AGTGCATTAGGTGTAGTTGTCAACATCGCTGTCGAATTAGTCCTCCCTTCTCAGGCCTTTGCAGAGACTAAAATTGCAGTGCAGTTCAAAGGCACCAGTACTTTTGGATATCTAGATGGGCCGAAGCCCGAGGATGAGGCTTCAGCCTTGTTTGTCTGATAGCGGGGCTGAAAAGAGTCAAAGTTGGGTTTTGCACTGCACTTTTAGTCTGTATGAGCAACCACGACCAAGCCGCTTGTGCTTGCCCACCTAGGAGGGTGATCTCGACCGCCACTGCACTGCATTTTTAGTCTCTATGAGCAGACGAGGAACGAACTCACCACGACGCACTCTTCTCGTTACCGTCCACCCTTGGTCCGCTCTGGGGAGGAGCAAGCAATACATGTCCCTAGGTATGTATTATCAATGATGGGACGGCCAGGCAGGTTGGGTGTTTTCGGCCAAGGCTCTCAGTCAGTCTCTCACTCACTAATTCTCTCGTGTCAGGCTACGCAGCGTGGCGTAGTAGAGCCGACTCTCTCTCTCTGGTTCAGGTGGTACGAGGTACAGCATCATGGGGGCGGTGGCCCGTCCAGGAGCCATGGAGACTAAAAATGCAGTGCAGAGTTCCAATCAGACACCCGCAGAGTTCCAAGAACTTGAAACCCTTTACTTCTGTGTTCGCCTTCTGCCGAGGTTTCCGACCTGGCGGGCAGCAAGCCAAGGCTCCGCCGTGTCTTAGGCGACTCCTCGTGGACCTCGCAGAGACTAAAAATGCAGTGCCGCGCAATCAACTGACTGGCACCGCAGAGCCTCATCGTCCTTGTTTCGTTAGAGACCAACAACGCAGTCAGTGCATGTTGTCTTACCGTGGGGTTTGTGCAGGTCTACATGGCGGCCAAGGCGAAACCTGAATCCCTTGGTCCTCGTCGACTCGCAGAGACTAAAAGTGCAGTGCAATGCGTAGTGCTTTGGGCCGAGTCCCGGCGGGCCACTCATTGTCCAGGGCGAACCCTCAACGCTATATCCTCATCGACTCGTAGGGACTCAAAATGCAGTGCATGCCGACATAGCGGGCTCACCTCGTGACCAAGGCGAACTCTTGAACGCCCCATACCAGTGCACCGTCCGTGTCGACTCACAGAGACTAAAAGTGCAGTGCTTGTAACGCTGCCCACAATCCTGGCCCGACGCCTGTCCAGGGCGAACTCTGACCGCCGGGTGTTGGTCACTCGTAAAGACTAAAATTGCAGTGCAGAAGAAAAGGATTGCACGGTCGGACGGTTGAGGTGGACGAAAAGTGCACTTCAACGAACGTTCAAGTTATGAGGAAAACCTACTTGTTTTGGCCCTGGCGCTGGCCCTTGGTCCAGGGGCCTCTGTCTGAACACCTAGGCTAAGAATGCAGTGCAGTAGAAAGGCAATTTGCCTGGATTTGTCCTGGTCTCTTCCCTACTGTCTGTGACGGGCTAAATTGCAGTGCAGACAGTCCTGACCTTTCTATTCGGCACCTACCCTAGGTAGGTACTCATACTGATCTCCACAGTCAGAGAGCGAGGAACAGTCTTGCCTGCGCAAGTCGAGCGTGAAATACATGTCGGCCCACCATGCCATCTCATTCATTCAGCTACAAAGCTCCCAGATGCCCAGACGTCCCACACTCTCGCCGGCGTTGCGCACAATACAGAGCCTCTTCTGCCTGTCCTTCTGCTTTTCACTCACGCCGTCATCCTGCATGGTGTCTTCTTGCCATCCCTCAATCACCCGCTGGGCCCAAATGCTCCCCACGGCCGTGCCCCGACCTTCGGCCAGATTGTACCCACCACTCGTGACAAACCCGATGAGGTCGTGCGGGTCGGGACAGGGCACATGTTTATCCCATTCTGTCGGTTCGTTGAATGGGTCGATCAAAAGGGGAGCAAGGTCTCCCACATCGTCAGGTACGTTATCGAGAGGTTCTGCCAGTACTTCGTCATCCTCTAAGTGAGCGCCTGCCTTCTTCTCCTTTCCCTTCTCCTTGCCCCTTGCCTTGCCCTTGTTCTTTGCCTTTGGAGGCGGCGGCTCCTCCTTGGGCACCTCCCCATCTCCTCGCCCAAAAGCACTGTTCGGTCCATAGTTCTTCACTATCTCTTCAGGCGCATTCTTGGGCAGCACATTGATCTTCGCGAGCGATTCACGTGGGTAGCTGACTTGGTGACGGGGTATGGAGAATTTGTTGGCCTTGATCTTCGAAAGTCGTGAATGGCTGGTTTGCGTGTGGGCGTCGGAACGTTTGTCGAGAGCAAGCCAGCGGGAGCGAAGATCGCGAGCAGTGCTCATTGACGACGTTGATGATTGCGTCAGGCTTGTTGCAGGTGGACGTTGCCCGGGCGGCGGCCCATCAGAGTTCCAGCTCTGTGGCTGGCTCTCCTGAGACTTGTCCGTCCCGTCTGCATTTGGTTCGGTAGAACTAAGTACTACCCGTGGCTTTCGATTTGACGGCAGGCGATAGATTCGAGCTGCCGGAGACGGCGTCCCTTTATCGAGCAAAGTGATGCGGACTGTGACCAGAACAGGAACTGGTGGCAGACTGATGTTTGACGACTGCTTCAACAACGACACGCTCTGCGCCGGCAATAGTTGGGTGTATTTGACTTCTTCTACAAGTTCCGGTACAATCTCCGGCTCTCCTTCACTTTCCGGACTGGATGTATTGCGCCGACGGGCTGGATCTTTCTTCTCATCTTCTCGGACCGCTTGAGCTTTCGCTGCTTTTCGCTGTCGCTGAGTGAGCAGGGGGGCCGCCGTCGTCTGCGTTGCAGTGCTTTTGGCAAGCTCCGCGTTGGGCGTGGCTTCGGCAGGAGCTGGATCTTTGGTAGTCTCAAACAAGTACTCCCAGTCGCAAGACCAACCTCTCCCGATCTCGCCACGCCTTCCTAGCCCCAGGTCCAAAGTGTCCCAGGCAACTCTGTGCTTGGGAGGTCGCCTGATCCATGAATCAAACCTCGTTTCGCTTTCTGAGCGCTCCCACGCCTTACCCGCCTCGGTGCCGGCCAAATCACCTGGGAACCAGGGCGCTTTTTGCTCAAACGACAGCTGCTGTTTCTGGCTTAGACCCCCGAAACGTGGCGTGCCACCGGATGACAACGGATAGAACATCAATGAGCGCCACACTGGGTCGACGCATGTCCAGGGAAGCAAAGCAGTCCATGTCCCCTGCGAGTTTTTCGATGCATTACTCTCCGCTCTCGACGCAAGAAGGACCACAGGGATTTGGGGATCTTTAGCCGTGACTGATGGTGTATGGCCCGGTGGCGCAAGGGCTCTTCGTCGATTGATTGCTTTTTGGGAAGGCAGGGTGTTGCTGATCCGCCAGCGTGCCTTGTGCGAGAGTAGTGCGGAGGACGTCAACCTTTTGTCGGGCGCCCAGGAAACGAGGGTCTCATCCAGGAGAGAGGCTTCCGAGGGGCTTGGGATCTTAATCCGCTTGGGCGGATGATTGAGCCTGGGATCGACCGTATCAAACGCGAGCATGGCGTTCTGCGGGAGGACACTGGGGTTGTTGAGTCCAGCAAGAGACGCCCACAACGACGACATCGAATCGGCAGCTTCAACATGGGTCGGAAAAGGACGAAGCACACCCAGTAAGGCTTCCGTTGAGCCTGGACCTTGGATTTCGATGCTCCCGATCTCAAATCGCAGATCTTCAATCAGAACCTGCGGTTTCTGCAATTTGGCGACTTTCAACAACTCCTGCCAGCACTGATAGAAAGCAGATGGGTGGACTCGGAGGAGGATTTGGTGACTAAGTTTCGTCTTCCGTTTCCCCGTCTTCTTGGTAATCTTCGGAAATGCAGACTGAGCTCCTTCGCCTTCCTCGACTCCCATCTGGTCTTTGCCAGCGTCAACTTGAGACCGATCGTCTTGGTCAACTTCCATCTTGTCTTCGCCCTGGCCATCTTCCGGGTTCGCTGTCTTGTTCTGCTGGCGCTGGACCCAGATCACCGTCACTGGCGCAATAGGACGCTTCTCGTTGTCCCGTTCCGAGACCCATCCACGAGCAAACCGGGTCCCAGCCTTCCACTTCTTATGCATAGCCGGCGAGAGCCCCTGTGGGCTGAAAGAGAGTGCCTTCAGCATGCTGTCAAGTGCCGTCTCTGTCCCCAAGCAGGCAACCGTAGACATATAGCTGGTATCCCAGGCTATGCAACCCTGATTACCAGCAGCTCGATGGCTTGGTCTGTAACTCTTTTCCGTAGGGCTCAGCGGGATGGACATCCTCCACAACGGCTCCGTGGGCCGAGTCATATGCGCGCGTTTCGTATGCCACAGGTGCGTTGGCAGCCATGTCTTGTTGACTTGCCTCCTCTTGTATTTCGTCGTCGCTTTCGGAGGCTCGGCCAATTTGTTCTTCTTCAACCGTGGCACACGCGCCGTTAGGACGTGGTTTGCAGGGTCAGGTTGCCGAGCATTGTCCTTGGCCTCTTTCTTCCTCTGGCGCACCGTCTTGTGCTTCTGGGTGAGCTTCTTGAGGGCTTTGGCCGTCTCCAACCGCAATCTCAACCTCCGTGAGGGCGTTCGCGTTCGCTTCGTGACAGTCGGTGTGTTGTCGTCTTTCATCTATAGTCCTCCTGGTCAGCGCCCTGTCAGTACGCGCTGGCATCTCGTGCACGAGTTAAAACTTCGGGGTGGGGTGGGAACTAACCTCACGTTCTGCCCTCCTCCGCAGCCTTCGCGGCACATTTTTGGCATTGTGACTGGCAGTTCTCCGTCTCATGTGCCTGGGGACCTGTTGAAACGCTCGGGTAGACAGTTGCTTCTTTGCCCTGCGCATGCTCTTCTCGAGAGCCCCGATCTCGAACTCTCGGGCCTTGATGAAGGATGCCACATTGAGTTCCCCACCCGCAGACACGACTGCCTCGGGGCGCTGCACGGGAATGGCTCGAGCATCGTGGTTTTTCTGCCGCTTGCGCGCCGCCGATGACTGGCCAGACTGGTCAAAGGCGACTTTGCGCTTTTGCCCGGCCTTTTGTGTTGGCGGAGCCATAGAGGGGTTGGACAAAGCCACACCACGTCGCGGTGCGCGCTCAAGTTCGAAATTTGGGGAAATGGGGAACGATTTTATTTTTGCCGGTTAAAGCGGCAACACGGACTCGAGATCAAGAAGCCGCGAAAATGTCCCAACGTGTGTAATTTACAGCATCCGAACCTCTGTTAGGTATGTATCTAATGTCAACATGGGTGGTAGAGTGACAACTGCATGGTCCCTTATAGTTTCCTGTAGGCTTTCATCGTTCGCTTTTCCGCCGGGCGAGCTTACGGGACCAGGTTTCCGGCTTCCTGTGATGCCCATCGAGTCTGTCACGGCCAGCGACGAAGTCCTGGCTGGTTCTTTCTCATATTTGTTCAAGGCTTGTAGCCAGCTGCTTCTCAATCCGTCTGCGAGCGGCTCATACCAGAAGAAGAAACGCATTGCAGACTCCACGGTGTCCCAGGATCTTGCTTCTGGGTACTGTGCAAAGAAGCTCCGACCCAGAGCTATTGCTTGAGCAGCAAACGGAAGCTCTAAGCCCCAGGATCTGATGGCAATCATCATAATCCAAATCAAGCAGGCTCTCTCTTCTGGATTCTGCGCCTGCGTAAAGGGAAGTGACCGAGTCAACTCTTGCCTCGAGCCGCGGTACGCCGTAACTCGGGAAAACGATCCATTAGGGTTATGCATGTCGAAACCGAAGATAATCACCGCAAGGATCAAGTTCTTCTCCAAGCTATGCTCGGTGCGAGCAGATGATTGGAGACAGGCACAAACTTCGAAAAGGTCAGGGTAATCCTGGTCATCTGAAACAGGATCCTCCTCAATTGGACGTGGGAGCTTGGCAATCTTAGATTTAAGAGAAGTGCTTACTCTTGAGAGGATTCGAATGATATCCAGGCCGAAGGTTCCCCGTCGAGCGATTGCGGCAAACCCTGGGGGTAGTGTCGAAAGGAGTAAAAGAAGATCGTCTCTGAATGGCCGTTGAGGATATGCTCTGCGACTGTTGCGCTTCGTGAAGGGAAAAATGGTCCCGGCACCGGTCTCGAGCATCCAGAAGTAGTCAGATTGAACAAGAAAAGCTTTGACGAGTCCACGCAGCCCGAGGTTGTCAAGTCCTCCCTTCAATGCCACGATAAGTGCCAGTCCCTTGCGATTGGCAATTCTGTCTTTCCTGTACAGAACATCAAGGTATGCCAAAGCCAGCACAGTCATCAGCATACCATCCTCTGGTGGACCCCGAAGATCGGCAAGTTGGTCACACAGGATTGACGCAGCTTTTCTCTGATGGAACGTGACTTCCGATGATGCTTGGCCGGTCGGTGCTCGAGTTTTTTCTAGATACGCCAGGGACAAAGCCACAGCTCCATGGTAAGCACCTTCGTGCGACAGGACTAAAGGATACATCCAGACCATCAATGGATTCGCCATCTTGATCGTCAGAAACAACGGCTCCAAAAGGGGCGAGATCGCCTGCGTATAGTAGTCGAGGGCCTCGGCCACACAAGGTGTTTCTTGACCTGGCAAGGATCTGAATGGGTCCGTCCGTAGGCCGTTGAAGCTGACTTCGAGTGGAGAAGGGGCGCGAGCCCATCGGGAATGTGGCGATTCGTGAGATCCGAATGAGGTTTGTGCCCTTTTGCGTCTGGATTTGAGGAGTTTGTCCTCCTCTTCGCTATTCCTGGTTTGGTGTGGTAGGGCGTAGCGAGGCTGAGCCTGCTGGCGGATGGCGGCCCGGTACTTGCTTGAGATATGCGACTTGACCAACCTTCGGTGCGTAGCGCTATGGTCGGGGTGGTCGTAATTTAGGAAGGTGAAAGCATTGGCATCCTTATGTCTGGCAGCAGGCATGATGGAGCCTCGCGTATCATGCTGGAGGGTGGCAAGGGGAACCAACGCCGGTCGTCGACGTCCAGACTAACGCTGTAACACAGCGGTGGTGGAGGCTTGGGGCCAACCATTCATGGACGTCTTTTTGCGAGGCCAAATACCGCTTGCCCGCAGGCTGTGACAGATAGGGGTGAAGACGTTGTTGACAAGGTTGCCAGTGCCACGGATCAACTATTGGCACCGCTTTGCAGGACGTCGTCGGATGGTCCGACGGCCAGACTTTTCGTCGTCCGTGGTCGTCTTACGCCGAATGCTGACTTAGTAAGCCGCCCTGTCCTTGCTGTGGTTCGTGCAATGTTGTGCATACAAGGGAGTCGTGGTGCCGTGAAGGGCAAAAAGATCCAATCTGCTGCAGCGCTAAGGGGCTCGCAAGGTGATACCCTTTGCTAGAGTGAGTGGGGGAGGTACGGAGGAGTAGGGATCTCGGGAGGCTCAGAAGGTGCTTTTGGAGTTTCGCGAGCCAAGAAGGTTGGACTTGATGATAGCCATTTGGGGCTTAGCGTCACCGAAGCTCACTAAGCCTTTCGAAAGAGGGAAAAGGTGGGTCACGAGAAAGTCATTAAAACGGGACTAACGCGTGGGGGCAGTTCGCTAACGACCACCGTTGGAACTCCAAGCGCCGTGACAACATGATTCCTGGATCTCTACATCGAAGTTTTGAGGGCCGCGGGAGTATTGCTTCCTGGGACTGCTGGTAAGCCTCAGTATATTAGGTTGCGCTTCGAGACTCCCTGGTTCATGCTCCGAGTATTGGAAAAAGGGGGTTCTAGAGTCTGACCTCCCTACTGTACGCCGGCTAACTCCATACATGTGCACCTCGCGAAATGACTGATTTGCATTGTCTGGGTAGCCTCCGTCGTCTCTAAATGGCAAGAGCATCAACGTCACAGCCAGGGGAGTAGTTTCAATATGGATACGCTTCAGAGGGTACCTAGGATGTAGGTAGCCCTCGCTACTCGGCGGTGAAGCATCCAAACCCCCAATAGCAATGTTATATAGGGCGTCTCTCAACATCCCCAATTATTAATGGGCTTCCTCTTTGGGCTATAACCATCAACCACCTTTATTCTCTACAGACATACTCGGATGGCGAATGCCCTTTTCTCGTCGGTCTGAAGCTTCACCGGTGGCTGCTGGGTCCACTGCATTCAGCCTTGGCCACGATATCTCGGGGCCGAACAGCGGAGGTGTGTGCCTTAGCTGGATACCGTGTCCCTCGCCAAAATCCATCCAAGTGATGCACGGGTCAGTATTTGATAATGGGAGTGTCAGCGCCAAACCATTTTGTTTTCATAACACACGTGATAATGGGTTCACCAAATATAACATACCTACTGGTACTTACATACACAGTTTCATTTTCGGAGGATGGGGGCCGATTCAAAGAAGGAACATAGTCGTTGAATTTCCACAGGTTGCTTTCGCGGGGGCTTAATAACGCCATCTGGGTCTTCTCGGCTTGAATCCTTTGTCGCACGGTTTCCTGCCTTGAACCCCTGAGCCTTGTAAGCCTCCAATGGCCCCAATACCAAACCTAAACCTAAACCTCAGCTTCAATGCATGCGCCCGCGCACGATCATCTTGCAGCGGCAACGGAAAATGGCCGTCGTCGTTGTCGTCGTAGGTTCACGCACCGATGCATGTGGATGCTTACTTGAGAGAGAATGGAAATCTTGGTGTCTTCCAATCACAAGCAAGCCGGCGTCTTTGTCAGTATCGGCATCCCCGCCTTTGAGCATGCCAAGCTTCTTACAAAGAAAGCGAGTTGGTCCTTAGTTCAGCCCCTCGGGGTGCCTTCGGAATCGGCGAAACAGCCTGAAATCGCTCAGAAAAGCCGTCTGGAATTCTCTTTCTCGACTTGTTGTGATATAGAGGGACTCTCTCTCCTGGTGCAGCATTCCAGCTACTCACAGCTTTTCCCTTTTCCTTTTTTTCCCACAACCCCCACTGCGCAAGAACGTGGTTGAGAGAAGAACTAATACGGCACGGCCCCTAGCTCTTTTCAGCAGCGCACCGAGCCTCGTCTATTGGGCAATCTCATGACCAAGACGTAGGAAGCCACGAAGCAGAGACATCCGGGGGATACGGCACAATTACTAGAACTTATTCCCACTGCGATCCACGCACCCCCTCGACATCAGGCACCAATCAGACCCTTGACTCAGCTTTATGTAAACCAACAACACCCTCCCTCGTCTTCCCGGATTGGCTTATCTCCCCGGTTCTGCGTTGATCTGTCTGCAGTCGGCAATCCATACCGTAAGATACCTCAACAATCCACTGCTGCGGTGGCATTTGCAACATAAAGTGCAGGCCCACCCTCAATCCTCTGCTATTGTCCCGGCCGACCAACTATCAGGATTTCAAAGACCATCATCGAGTGAAGACAGCTTTGACAACAATGGACTACTTCGCTGCGCCTGCAGCTCCTCGTGGCTCATACTTTGAATCTCTTGTGGATGCCGATTCATCCAGCTCGAGCTCTCCTGATGTATGTTTTCGAACCACAGCGCTCCTTTTCAGCCATCTGCGTCGCCGAAGGGGATATTGACCATTTTGCTCAACACAGAATATGGCAGACGTGTTTCGATATGGCAGTATTGAGTCTGACATGTTTCCCCCCGGCCACGGCTGGGACCCAGCTGATCTCGACACGCTCGACACCTTCACCCACTTCAAACCGGACACCACCAGACATGCCAGTGCTCAGTCGTCTACAGACTCCGAACAAACGGTTGTCCCACCCTCGAAAGTGGTGAGGCAATTCCTCACCGATGAGGCCCGAGCAACCGCTAACGAGCAGGGCCAGCGTCGGAGAGCACAGAACCGGGCTTCGCAACGAGCCTTCCGCGAGCGTAAAGAGAAACACCTCAAGGGCCTGGAATACCAACTGGAAACCCTCAACGAAAAACACCAGGACCTTCTGTGCTCGTACAACAAGCAGAGCGACAGCATCATCAGACTGAATCGCAAAATCGCCCAGCTACAAGCCGACCTGGAGGCTTTTCGCTTCACCGCTGCAATGGCGGACCCTCCCACTTCCCAGCCCTGCCAACGTCGCAAATGGCACGGCCCAAACCCAAAGGTGATGCCAGACAAATTCGACGCATTCTCAAACGCCGCCAATTTTGGGCCCGTGCTTTATGACGGCTACGAGCTAGGTCCAGATGGAACAGTCGTCAACACTGTCGATACCCAAAACGCTAGGCAGGCGACGAGGACCGGACGAAGGTTACCAGAGTTTGAAGATCTGCTGCGCATGCAGTGATCGTTTTGGTCCCAGACTTGCAATTTTTCGTCAGTATTATTTTCAGCAAGATCTTTTGAGTTCAAAGAATCAACTTCATCAGATTCCAGACTTAGACCAAATCAGCGAAAGCGTCAAATATGAAATATGGCCGACAACAGCGAATTGTATCTATATCTATCTTGATCTACTTCGTTCCCGGACGCAGTCCAGTGCAGACGTTGAAGCAGACTTGACTAGAAACCTGATTTCTCAAAGTTTGTCTGAATTGTATAGTGCGAGCCCGGGACGTCTTCTCTCCGACCGATTCTACATAGGGGTGCCGGTGGTGATCATTGCTAGCACTAAGCGCGTCGATCGGTGAAGGTGTTTTGCTTAGCAGCTTAGGTCATAGTTTAGCAAGCACAGCTGCGGCTCCGGAAACCTAGAAGGTAGATAGCCTTGTCAGCTCCACGCCAGAGGACTGCGCGAGGGACGGAGAGCATTTTTGCCACATCCACAGCAAAATGGCAAATAAAAGGATATATGGACTAGTGAGGTTGTGGCCGGAAAGTCACCGGCCTCTCGTATCTGGGGAGAAGGGCGTTGTGAAAGGTCCAATCGCGAACTGCAGGATAGATACGAATACAGGGTTTGAAAGCTCACTGTAATGTCCCGTCCAGGTTCCTTCTCTGCGTAAACGACCTTGCCGTGGTCGATAATAATGGCGTACCGTGCGGTTCGCTCACCAAGGGTCCAGCCGATGGATTTCGAGAATTTGGTTTCCGGGTCGGAGAGGAATAGCTTGCACGCGGAAACGATTAGTGAAGGTGATCTTCGGACACCGCAAAAAGTCATCACATGCTGTCGTGGGCTCGTGACGGTAGCCCTGTCTCTCCTCCTGTCTCATTCTCAAGCACGGACTTTGGCCCATCCTCTTCCGAGAAAGATTCCAATCCAAATATATGGAAAAGAGATGGGGACTCACAATCTCATCCTTGATGCCATTTGCCTTCCCCCAGGCGCTCATAACAAAAGCGTCGTTATACGCCAAAACGGCCACTATATCCACCTTCTTTCCCTTGATATCTTGAAGGGCGTCAATGTAACCGGGAAGGTGCCTCACGCTGCAACCCGGAGTAAAAGCGCCGGGCACGGCGAAGAGGACTACCTTTTTGTCTGCCCATTCTTTGGACGCATTGTAGTTTTGTGGGATTCCACAACTGGTGATGTCCGCGCTTTCGGGGGTATATGGGATGTAGCTGCAGGTAGCGAGAAAGGTGTCAGAATACAGGTTGAGAGAGCTTCCAGAGAGAAACTGCAGGAGGAGAACGCGGCGACTCACGAGAAGACAACATCCGGAGGAAATTGGTCCCCTTCTTTCAGCCCGGCCATGGTGGATAGTGATCTGTGGTTCAAATAGCTCGGATGAGAACAGGCTTCTATCAAGTGTCTGGAGAAACTCAACGTTGAAACAGAGTTGATTTGTGCGTTCGTATGTAGCGTTCTGGTAGAAGTGTGCAGTGACCGCTGACCGCAGGAGCCCCTCATTGACAACCCAATTTGGAGGAACCGCGGCACCCGGCGGCGGTCGCTGCCCCGCGCAATGATTACACACCTGCCTACCTACCTAGCCTACCTAGGTAGGTACCTAGGTAGTTTGAAGAGAGCCAGATTAGGCTCCCTTCCTCGGCCCAGGGAGTTGCTCAGCCACGCTTATCGCATGCCCAAAGGCTCAGCCTACTAAACCAACGTCGGACACTCAAGTACACTTCCGCAACTCATCAGGTATATGGACTAACTGGTCATCTAGCTGAAGAGTTGACTGAGAATTCGTTATGGGCGAACCTGCCCCTTTTCCACATGTCCTCCCCATGCAAGACTATACCAAGAAATCTTATCCATGTACAGCGACAAGCGAGTTTCTAAGACACAGGCTGAAAAACGCGATGGGCAAGGATAAGTGTGGAGCAACAAGGGAAGAAGCGATGAGTGTGCCATGAGGAACTTTAAACGAGCATTTTGAAAACTCGATGTCGGTGGCATTTGCACTTAAGCCGAGCCTAATACCTATAAATCAGAGATGCAGCGTGCAAGATTGACCCTGTCTATTTTGGTCCATTTTGTCTATGAAACTGAGATGTTCCCCTGTGTCAAGTCGTTGGACCTCGAAAAGAAAACACGGTATTTGGAAAAGGCTATCCTGAGCGGAGACAAAAAGGTTTATTTAGTTGTTTGAAGCTGCAAAGTCACACAATTCTGATGTTCTGAACATTTTCATGAATGGCGTAGCGATCACCTAGGATCTCTCCCTGCATATGATGCGGATTCTAAAACAGATATATTACACAACGGCAGACTCCAGAGTAGATGGTCCCGTAGTATATGGTCAATCTTGTGCATTAGCTTGACCTGTGCCACTCTCTGCTCTCCGTGAGGTATTCATGCTCTCACGTCTTGCCCAGACTAATGACCAGCCGGTTGCTTATTCGACTTGAGTAGAGTAAAACCTTAGAGAATTCCGCTCTAGCCATGCCACTGAAGATGAATTTGGCCGCTTTTGCGGGGTCTTCCTGCCATCCTTGACGCTCCCATTGCTAAGCCCTGACACAAGATATGCAGTTGTGTTTGACCGCTAATAATTCAGACTTGTGGTCGGTTGACCCTGTATCATCAGGAGAAGACAGAAATATTGATCCTAGGCAAGCCAGAATAATTGCGCTTTTGGTTCCCACTGAGTCTCTGCCACGTCGAGCTATCCATCTCATTACTTAGCACTGCGGCGGAATAGCTGTGGATAGATCCTCACCGCATCTGATCAATAGCGCGGCAGCCTTTCTGTTTTCGTCCAGACAGTCTCAATATCAAGGCGAATCGAGGAATCCGAATCCAACATTTGACATGTCAGAGAATGTGCATGCTCTTGTGGAGCATTTCCCGGGGTACAAATGTCACTGAGTGTCTGCATGAACGACCCATACTCGGTTGCAATGTTGCACGAGCACTTTTCGTCCGTTCTCTCGAAGGAAGTCCACAGGGTGTTCAGAGCTGGCGTTCCGCCTCTTGCCACAGAAAGTAGCATTGCAAAGCAGCATCCTAATTGCCAAATGTCTGCTTTCAGGCTGCTTTCCTCACATCTCAACTGCTCGGGGGAAAGGTATTGGTATGAGCTGTTGATATAGTCGGTGTTCGAACCATGTCGGAAGACCTTGCTAGTCCCTACATCCGTAATGACAGGAATGAGACCGCCGATGTGATCATGGTGCAAGAGTATATTGTCGGGTTTGATGTCTTTGTGCTTGATGGAAAGACGGTGGAGATAACGAATGGCATCGACGATATCATGCATCATACGATACACAAAAATGTCTGATGTCGGCAGATCTGGCTCAAACCAGGGACATTTCCTCTTCCTGTGGGTATCGGAACCGCGAAGGAACTGTAACAAGGTGTATGGGGCCCAAGGGGCGATGACAAAATGGATATTGTGTGGCTCCTCGTCAATATTGTAGGCATTGATGAGTTGGATGATATTCCGATGGAAACACAGTTCCAGAACTCCAAGCTCCTTGAGAACCTTTTTGCGATCCACGACCGAGAAAACATTTTGAAACGTCTTCTGAGCGAACACTTCTTGTGTCTGGCAATCAACAATCTTTCTCACAATCCCATAGCTGCCTGAAATCGGAATAGCCGAATTGTCAACGATGTAAGGCACATCACGCGCAGTGTCGTATGTGTGGATATATCTGGGGCTGAATGTGGCGATCGTTCTCTCAAGGAGGCAAGAGATCTCTGGCCTGAAGCAGACGCCTGTGAGCTCAAAATCCCATGACGGTCCAAAGTAGTGACGGGGACTTACACTAAGACTTCGAGAACATCTGACTGGGGCCTGGGCCCGTGGCCCCACCACCAGTTGCGTGATGATGCTTCAGGACCAAACCATGGAGACAAAGTCTGATACCATTCTTGATTGGAACGAGAAATGCGATCCTTCAAATAGCGGACCTTTGCTACATCCACATTGCTGTCGTTCAAAATAAGGAGAGACGCATATAATGCGTTCAGCGCACCATCGTCGCCATCCTTTTCCACTGCAGAGCAAAAGTCCAACAAAGTCAACGATTCAAAGAGCAGTGTTCTGACAGACTGCAAGCTGTCAAGAATTCCACGATCTGCCTCAAAGTCCCCCTGGCGTTCAGGATGACTGAAGAGTTTGCCGAGGCACTGAGCCCTGCCGGAGAGTTTTGCGATGTGTTTTAGGACTTGAGCTATCAGGGGCGAGTCTGTACGCGCCTGGGCCAATTCGCTCAGGCGAGCACAGACTTCAAGGATTTGCGGTATGTAAGCGGCAGCGTCTTGTGACTCGTTGGGTTTCGTGGGCTGCATATTTTCATATTTGTGAATGAACAAAGGGAGATATGAAAGGCCTTCGTTGACGTTCGGACTGGAACGTCCTCTGGACACGATTTCTACGCACCGATGGCACCTGTCACACAGGACGCGCTCAGACGCTCAGACGCGTCAAGATTCCACTCTCAGCCAAAGCCTTGGCGTGCTCGGTCGAGTACTGGTCCCGGCGGAACACAACGCGGAGGACACGCTTCCGGCCGGTGAAACATATTTCCGTATGGTCTGGCCAAAAGCCACAGCGAATTCTCCCTTCGCCAGATTACCAAACAGTCCGATTCTTCGCTTTGCGATCTCAAATGCGCCGGCAGATGCCTGGATGGCGGACCTCTTGCCGCAGGATCCCGTCCCTCCTGCTGCTTTCCTTCGACCCCAGACCTCGATCCTAGACCTCAACGCCTAGAGCTTGCGTAGCCTACCGGAGGCCAGACTTCGTCAGGCTTCCTTTCTCGCTATTTTCGAGGTCTTGCCGCTGGAACCCTTCCCCCTTGCTGCTTTTCCTTGACCCCAGATCTCAAAGCCAGCTAGGAAGGCGCGGAAGGAAGAGCTTGCGTGGCCTATAGGACACTAGACCTTGTCAGGCTTCCTTCCTTGCTGTTTTTCTCGGGTCGCGCCGCTTAATGGATCTGACGGAGCCTCTCGGGACAAACATACCTGTACGTTTACCGTCGGGTTAAGGCTCAGGTATCCATAATCGTCTGGAAGGGCCGCAGAAGAGCTGCAAAGGCTGCTTTTGGAAGGTCTTCATCGCCTCCTCCAGCATGGGTGGGACGTCTTGGTGGGACGAATTGTCCTGCAGCCTTTGTCATGGGTCTATCGAGTCCCTGACGGATCTGTCGGGTCTGGTAGGCCGTATGTTGTCCTGGTTGGGTGAACTTGACAAGGCTGAGTGCAAAGGAGGAGGACCCTTGGAGCTGGGACCTTACTCAGAGGGCGGGCTGAACGAATACACAGTAGACTCTGGGGGCAGAGTGGAACTCAATGTTTGAGCGGATCGTGTCCTCCATTGACTTTCGCTGGAGAGTCTATAGGTATATTAGGGCTTCCTTCGTCCACTCTTGCTCTCAGAATCCAACTTCTCTTCCGGCATCTCGCACAGACCATCCTTCAAAGGCAGCGTTTGCTCGTCCTCTTTGCTGGTCTTCTCCCTGAACACATCACTCCCTCAAGCTCATTTCCCTCAGATCCAGCAAGCAAAGTCCCTGCTATACAAAATGGCCGCCCTCCGCCCTCCGTACACATTGCAGACCGCACAGGAAAAAGTCAAATTCGCCCAAAACATGTGGAATAGTTGCAATCCAGTTCAAGTCTCCAACGGGTATACAAGTAACTGCATTTGGCGGAACCGCGCCTCCTTCATCCGCGGCACGGCCCAGATTGTCGACCTGCTCACCAAGAAGTGGGATAAGGAAAGGTCTTACCGTCTCCGAAAAGAGTTGTTCGCCTTCACGGATGATAAGATTGCTGTGCAGTTCTGGTATGAGTATCAGGATAAATACGATGGCATGAAGTGGAAGAGGTGTTACGGCTTGGAGGATTGGACCTTTGACCGGGAAAGTGGAAAGATGAGGAAGAGACATATGAGTGGCAATGATATCGTGCTGGGAAGGGATGGGGATGGCGTTGCGGTGCCAGAAGAGGGTATTGAAGGGAGATGGTTTGTCGACGGCGTGGATGTTGACGATGACAGCGTCACGGCGAAGATTACGGAGGCTCACTGGTGACCCAAAAAGCGACAGGACAGGATGGCAATAATGAGATGGAAAATACGGGCTTCGACTTGCTGGTTAGATTGTGTCACCCTTTTGAAATTCAATATCAGTGTTATGATCAAGACCCCAATAATGATCGTCGGTCATCAAGCATAAACCAACCGCAGCAAGGGCTGGACTCTGTCCACCTGAAACCTGTACAAATATTATGCTCTTGACAGCCTTTTTTCCTCCGACAGTCAACAGTTTTCACCGTTATAGCTCAGGGTTTTCCTCAGCCCACTCGCTTTCTTCTGGCTCTACAAAAGGTGCCAGCCTTGACTTAAACTCATCGAGATCCATATTATCTTCGGCGACCGCCATTCCACCAGGAGTCTTGGGTGGTATGAGGACGTTAGGAACAACGTGAATCACGCCATCAGCTGCAATACCGTCTAGGACGGCAACTCGACTAAAACCATTGATCTTCATAGTGATCAGTCGACCAAATCGAGCAATGTCAATGCTCAAGCTCTTGCCTTCGAGGCCGGTTGGAAGATCCACATGAATGAATCCTTTGGGCACCTTGTGATGAGGTGGCGAGCTGGCATCCGCGTCGAGCTTGTAGATGGCATCGGAGTAGAGAGTGATATTGTCACCAGCATGGTACAAGATGAGAGCCTTGAGATACTTGAGGCCAAACTTGCTGAAAAGAAAGGCATTGATTCTTGGACCAAGTCGTTTGAAGGCAAAGTTTGAAGGTGCAAACAAGGTGCCTCCCTTGTGGCTTGATGTGTCGTTAAAAGCGGGATACAGGCCAGTCTTCTCCAGAGCGAGGTCGAGAGTGCTGAATTCACCAGGGAGGGCAGAGATTATATCGACAGCCTTCGGCGGGGGAAGAAGAATGCTGTCGATGCCATGGATGACACCGTTGGTTGCAAAGATATCGATGGCGACGATGCGAGAGTAGAAGTTGACAGTTAGGCCTCTCAACGAGACTTGAGTTGAAAGCCGCTGGGGAACCTTTCCGATGAACTTGGCTTCCAGAGCGGTCGGGATGGTCCGACTGACCAGGATGCGGGGAGCAGGGTAGAATTCAGGCGAGACATGGTATGTAAGGAGCTTCTCCAAGAACTCTTTGGGTGGCTTTGGAGCATGCTTGGGGATCTTTTCGAATGCTCGATCTGTCGGAGCAAAGACGGTGTGGTTTGATTTAGTGCTATTCAGGAGCTCGACGAGATCCGGAAACTCCTTGACGGCAGCGCTGAGCTTTGTCGTATATTTGCTCTTCGAGATTAGCTCCCAGATAGTCTGATTTGGGCGATGGTGAGGATGATGCGGGCGGCGAGGCTTCTTGCCAGGAGGGCCATGGTGAGGCGGATGGTGCGGTGGGCCATGATGAGGAGGCTCTTCGAATAGGTCCAAATCGTACTCTGCAGTGTCTAGCCAGGCTTCACCAGCAAAGGCGTCCTGGAAATCTTCGCCATAGCTGACGACTGTGTCGTGTGGAAAATCAACGATCTCTGCAAATGCGCGTTTGGCCGAGTCAGCAGCCTTTGTAAACTCCTCTTCAAGATCTTCCCAAAAGGTTTCGGCTCGGTGCTCGTGGTTCCAGAAAGGATGCTCGGCAGGGTGGTCGGTCTCCTGGTTCTCAATGGAAAGGGACTCGAAAGTAACCTGGTCTGGAATCACGAAGGCAGCAGCAATAGCTGCCGCCGAGAGGAAAGAGACGCATCTCATGGTGAACTCAGGTAGGGATGGTCAACTGCGATGGTTCTCAGACGTTGAACAGAGGGAATTGGAAGAGGTGACAGAGATTGAATAAGTTCGAATTCATCCAAACAGGCAGAAGCGAAAAGGCGTTGTACCGACCACACACGTTCCTCCTCACTCGGGACACGCCATGATCTATGACATGCAGAAAGGAGATGGTGATGCGAGGTGGGAGGGAGCATCTGAGAGGGCGACGTAAGATGCATGCACCCATGAAAGCTTGTGCTCGATATGACTGGTTGGTATTCGATCTCTGGGCCTAATGGGCCGTTTCCGGGCCTGACTAGGGGCTCACTAGGCTGTCATCGTAAGCTCCTCGGGTACCGACTGGGTGCTTCCCCTCCCTAACAACTCCTTGTATGGGCCCGAGCCAGCTCCCCCAGGCTCAGGAGCTTCTCATCACCCCACCATTGGTGGCCACTAAATATTGGCATGAGGTGATGACGGCGGAGGACCGCCACGCACTCGTAAGCTCCTAGTCGGCGAATTGCCAGCTCCGTTCCGAGGCAGGGAGGCACCCACAAGACCTAAATAGCAATAGGGTTCAATAGATACCTGGTACTTTGCTACGTACACGGTTCTCCCGTACCTTATTTTCAATCGTGGTCCTGTGCGAGGATGTGATCTGCCATCAACAACCGACGAGATCATCACAACAATGCTGATTCTGCGTTAGGGAAACCAGTGGGAAGCATGTTGAGCTGCAAAAAGGTTTGATAAATCGCCGCCGCAAAGCTGAATGGTGGAAAGCAGTCGTTCACTGACGCGCCGTGAAGGTTTTTGACGAGATAGTCCTGCCGATTGCCATGTGAAATGGTCATACCAATCATGATACCCATGGCGCGGGTTGCTCCTGGTGTCAAGATGAAAAAGAATGTCGAGCACGTCGGCAGAGTATCTTCAAGAGGTGTAGTTGGCAGCTGCGATCCAGAGGAATGCGATGCGCCTCCCAATCCACCACAGTTGCCAACTTCTGTTGCAGAATGCCTCCTTTTGTTCTCTATAGCGAGTGCGAACAAATTCATTTCCATTGAGACCCTGTTGGCGCTCTCAAGTCGTTCTTTTTTGGATGCTTCCCCTCCCATTTTGGTTCTCGCTTCTTGGTTCTCTTTTTGGACTCACCTAGAACATTTCGCATTGTCCAATGCGCCCACTGCGCCAGCATTCCTCAGCCTGACCCAATCATATTTCAAGCCTGACATCAACAGTCTCCTGGTTCTGGCCAAAACAAAACATATTGCACATCGACTTGAGTGGAAGACAAGCACAATCGCGTGGACGTGAAGAGAAGGGAACAGGGAAGAATTGTGGTTGAGGTTGTGCGAGCTACGCAGTTAACCAGGACGCGGAATTCACATCAGAGGACTGGCAGAATTCTGCCTATGTCCAAATACGACGCTTTGTTGACATCCAGCCCTCGCATGTGATCTCGCGGCTCGTGAACCATATCATTTTTTGCTCACCTCAAATTGGCGGCCCTAACGCGGTCAGATACATACGTTCGTTCACCAACTGAAGCGCTTTCTGCTCATAGCTAACCCTTTATTAGGCGCGTTGGATGGAGACAGCAGCTTTGCAGGCTTGAGTTCGTCGATCAAAAGGGCGCGCTCATGATGTCGTCCTCACTTAAGACTTCAGCTCGACCCGGAGGACCCGCTACGCTTCAGTCCAAGACGGAAAGACCATCTGCAAAGAGGAATGTTCTGGCTGAAATCCAACCTAGAGCGCAGCCTGCACCTGTCTCGCCTTACAGTCGTGCCCAAGCCCCTGCAAGCTCGTCGCCCCGACTACCACACCACGAGTCACTTAAACCTGAAGGCAATTTATCCATTCGTGAGAAGACTGCCGGGAAACGCCCCGCCATCGAAAACAAGCGGCTCTCCACTGTAGCGGATGATATTGCCACAGAGAGTAAGAGGGACTCGCAAGTCTCAACAACGTCAGCAGTATCTGCTACTACCAAGGGGAAAAGAAAGACCCATGTTGGGCCATGGCAACTAGGAAAGACCCTGGGAAAGGGTGCAACAGGGCGAGTCCGTCTGGCAAAACATGCAGTAACTGGCCAAACCGCAGCGGTCAAGATTGTCTCCAAGAAGTCTGCCGCACTTGTCCAAAGTGCGAGTATGGCTCGCATGGACGACGAAGAGACGCTTTCGATGATTGCGGCGGGTCCACGAACAATGCCATTTGGTATCGAACGCGAAGTTGTCATCATGAAGTTGATTGAGCACCCCAACATCATCAATCTTTACGACATCTGGGAGAACCGTGGTGAGCTTTACTTGGTCCTCGAATATGTTGCGGGGGGTGAGCTGTTCGACTACGTTTCGGGCAACGGATCTCTACCTGAAGATGAAGCAGTGAGACTGTTCCGCCAGATCATCGCTGGTCTTTCATATTGTCATCGTTTCAACATCTGTCACCGCGATCTCAAGCCAGAGAACATCCTCCTCGATGGCAACCGAAATATCAAGTTGGCAGACTTTGGCATGGCAGCTCTGCAGCCCGATGGCACATGGCTCAATACATCATGCGGTAGCCCGCACTATGCCGCGCCTGAGATCATCCAAGGCAACCAGTACCGTGGCGACAGGGCTGACATCTGGAGCACAGGGATCATCTTGTACGCAATGCTCAACGGCTTTCTACCTTTTGATGGTGGATCACTGGTTAACACTTTACGTTTGGTCAAGAAAGGAGAGTACTTTATCCCTCCAAATTTGAGTCCTGAAGCTGCGGATCTTATACAACGTATCCTGCAAAAGCGACCAGAAAAGCGAATCACAATGGATGAGATCTGGGAACACAGACTTCTCAAGAAGTACGAGAAGTATCATGCAAGCTTGGTGGCACCCGAACCACTCATTGGAGTAGCTCCGCCTTTGAGTATCGAGTCACAAGGCCGACGCGTCGTCAAACGTTCCGAAATCGATGCCGAAATTTTGAGGAATCTTTCGACCCTGTGGCATGGCAAAAAGCCAGACGAACTGATCAAACAACTGACGAGCGATGAGCCAAACCATGAGAAACTTTTCTATTGGGCACTGGTAAAGTTTCGAGATGATCAGCTTGAGAATTACCCGGGCGACCCTCTTCATTACTCTGCAAGTGACTATCACCATGTTAGCAAACCGAAACCTAAACCCAAACGTGCTCCTAATGGTCGCGGACACAATCGACGAGGTTCTCAATTCTCCATTGTCAGCGACGACAACAATAGGCGAGACGGGTACTATAAGAATCCCGGCACCGCGGCAAGCAAGGCAACTCAGAGCAGCTATGACCCTTACCGTGCGTCGAGGACGCCAATTGCTGGAGATACCTTAGAGCCGCCCACAGTCGTTGTTCGTCATCGGCCAACCACTCCAGGTGGTCGATCTGTGAGCTCAGCGAGCAGCGCACGACACAAGGCCGTGGATCGACTGAGGCCAGACGTTCCCGCTCTCCCGAGTTTCACATCCGAAGAGCTTGAGAAACTCATCCAGAAGAAGCGTGCCTCGTATTCCACAGCAACATCCAAAAGCTCCCTGTCTAGCACAAGGCGCGTTCATGGTATCCGGAAGTCGATGAGCTACAAGCGACAAGTCAGCTTCCAACACCGTCGACAGAATTCATCCGGTACCACAAACCCTCGTGCTCGAACGTTGTTGTCAGACAATCATCTCGCAGACCGTCCTGCCACTCGAGGGACTACGAACGGAAGATCTGAGACACAGAGCAATCCGAGTCTACCAACACCTTCCCAAGCCTATCGTCCGCGCAAATCCAGCTCCGAGATCGACGTCAAGAAGCCACGCGTGGCCAGCTCTTACTGGAAAGATGAAACACGTAAGGTCAGTGCTGAACTCGGCAAGATTTGTGAAGAAGCGTTCAATCGATCGTCGGTGTCTACAGTTAGCGAAGTCAGCCCAGCTCCGCCAATGGATTCATCGGCAACATCAATGGCAGCACATGCTTATAAAATGCCAGAGAGCATCCGTGATCGACCCCTTCCTGCAACACCAATCCTTCAAGAATTGACGGAACGTCGACAGAAGATCATTGAGACCTGGGGTGACGCTGACCCAAATGTTTTAGCTGACATGCTGGCTGCTGTTGACAAGCGTATCGATGCCGAGTTGGGCAAAGAGGGAAGATTTGACATGCGAGCGGCTTCTGATCCGACACATGGGGCTGGACCAAGCAGATATCATCGTCCTATGTTGCCGGTCGATACTATGGAAGACTTGAAGCGCAATCGTGAGGATAGCTCTAGAGCAGCATCGGATCCCGTCAAATTGAAGACCCCCCAGGTGCAAAAGGACACCACAATTCGCCTCGTGACTCCGGACCCAACTTCGCCCTTCGCTCGAATAGAGCCCCTTCGAGTCAAAATGAACAAGGCTGCGCCAATCAACTCTCTCAGGGGCGGCCCAGCCGAAACCTACGAGCGTGTTGGGTACGACCCGCGGCTATATGCCAAACGGGAACTTGACACGATTGATGAGAACCCTGGGTCGCCAAAGAAGAAAACTTTCCCAGCATCGTCTAACGCCGCACGAAAATGGTCATGGCTTGGGAAACGTGGGTCTGGTCCTCAGGAACCCCTAGATTCTAACAAGTCTTCCGAGGAGACTGGTCAAGAGACTGTTTCCAACACCTCTCAGATTGTCCAACCAAGCGAATCCGGCAACTCTTCTACCCTCTCGACAACAAAAGCGAGTGAGCCACAATCGGGTGATATTGAGTTGCATATCGAGAAGAAGAGAAAATGGTTCCAGAAGATGTTCGGGAGACCATCGAAGCCTAAGGACGACGTCTCGGCACTCCCGATTGGACATCGCATTGTGCGAGACCTATCGGATGGAACAGACACCAACGAACCAAATCGCGAGGTCAACGCTAATGATAGAGTCAGAGTTCAGAAGTCTTACCCTCCGGCGACCAGTGTCGATGCCGCCATGGCAGCCGCAGCAGTTGGGCCTATTGAAATCAATCAGAATTGGTTCGCAAAGTTTTTCCATGTGAAACCCGCGACTCGTGTGATCTGTCTTCAAATCAGCAAGGCCAAAGCGAAGAAAGAGCTTGTCAAGATTTTGAAAGAGTGGCGCAAGTACGGATTGAGAGATGTGGTTTCCGAACGACGAGGAGGCAGTGATGTTGTACGAGGGCGCGTTGATGCTTCAAATTGTAAGTGTCCATTTGTTTTTCGCCATCACCGAAGCTGACTTTTTTGTGAAACAGACCTACAACTCAAGCCTGTCCATTTCCATGCCTATCTGTATTCCGTGCTTGAACACGGTCGAAAAGCCAATTTGAGCATTATGAAATTTACTCAAGAGAAGGGAGCAGCGAGCAGTTTTTACAAAGTTGTTGATACCCTTGAGACTGTCTTGAAGGAGCGGAACTTGTTGGTGCTCGATGCGCAGCGCAAGAAGGCCATTGAGCGTAGTCTTAAGGACGCAGGTTTGTGAAGCAAAAGCATCATAAGCAAGTTGGATCACTAGCGGTTTTTGGGGACAAAGCATAATTGGGGGCTTGGAAAGCAAAGCCTGTTTGCTTTGAGCCCTGTGTACATTCCTTTGCAAAGACAATTGGATTGTTGGAGCCTTGGAGAGCAAGGGAAGAGTCTCTGCTGGTTAGGATACATATGGTTGTTTGGTGCCTGGACAAAGGGCACATGCATTGATCTCAGGAGCTTCTGCAGGAATATTCAAATGCCAATGGAACGCCGAACCACAGAGGAAAGGCCAATTGTACGATCCCAACCTCTCAAGCCTACGACTCCCTAGATGATGAATGTTTCTCAAACTTGACGTACCACGCCCCAGTCCCCGGGCCGAAATATGGGCGAAGTTTGTTAATCTCTTCGAAGAACAGAGACGTGGTTGCGTATTCTTGATGGTGCTGCGCATGTGTTTGGTCAGCTGTAATGTCCTCCCATGTACAAGAAGGTGGGCCATGGGGGGCCAAAGACGACGATGGTGGTGGTGATGGTGGTTGTGGTGAAGAAGACACTGACCTCGACACCATCCCAGCCCAGGTAATAACACGCAAGCCTGCGCTCGTCTGGGGCGATCATCTCCTCGAGGGCCGCCGTGGCTGTGCCGTATGTCTCGTTCGTGTTCAGCGCGTACGACCAATTGCCTCCCCTGAAGCCTGCGGCTCCGTAGCAGTCCGTGTACGTCTTGTGCATGGACTTGATGAACCCGGGGTCTGACTCTGCTCTGGGATGGTTTGGGGTGAGGTTGATGATTGCCTGTTTTTTTTCCCACGTTTGTTGGCTCACGGGCGATAGGCAGGGGAGGAAGGGATATCGGGGAAAATAAAATGAGATTATAAAAATCGACGAAAGGCAGAGTTTGACCTCTCTCTCTTTTTTTGGAGGGGAGGATTTCCATTGGACTTACGAATTCGCAGACTGGGGCTTCGAGTGCCTTGTTCAACTCCGGGACCTGGGAGTCTTCGAATTGGAAGAGCAGGGATGTCGCTCCTCCTCCTGTTCCGTCATCGTTGCTGCTGGTGGGCTCTGATGTGAGCTCTTTCAGTTGAGCTCTCAGCTCTGCAATCTGAGCGTGGTGGCGAGTGCCCTGTGGCCATTCTGGCTTGATTCGTCCACGCGTATTATATCAGCGAATCTTCCCCCTTTTCCTCACATCTGGTTGTTGGACTATCCATCCATACGGCTGATTCATTGAGAGTGTGGAGTGAAAAAAGAAAAGGAGAAGACTAACGAATGACCCAACACATCTCATTCTCTTTCACCAGCAAGTGCGAGGATTTGACTGGGGTGATATACCCACAGTACTGGTCGTGCACGTTGTAGGATCGTGAAATGTGTTGTCGCAGCTTGAGAAACTCGGTCAATTTGACTTTGGTGGGTGGAAGGACGAAGCGGACGATTTCTGAGAGGATGGCCATTCTTAGAGAGGCAGGTCGTAGTTTTTTTGATCTCACAACAACTCTGTTTTCTTCAGTGTAGCGTTCGTTGGGATGCGGCTTCGATGTATATTGATTGAGGTATATATATGCCCTATCAGGAGCATACAGCGTATTCAATGCTTTGCCTGATATGGCAGGTCTGATTGGTCCGAAGTGTCTGTGGCTTTGATGTGCTCAGCCCACAAAATGGAACCGGAGCGACTCGGCCGAAGAATCGACGGCTGCCGTGAGCCCGCGACTGGCTTATGGTAACCACATGTTGCATGACTTTGGCGGCTGAGAAATACTAGTCGCCCATTCAAATGGGGAGTTTGGTTGAGCCATGGACAGGAGACATCAGCAACACAGAATTTGCTTTATGACAAGGGTCAAGAGGGTCCCAGGCGTTAATGGTATTCTGAGTGACCCGATTTTGTCAAGGTCGAGACATGTTCAGCAACTGCAGGCTGCTCATCGTGGTGCGGATACCTCAGCATACCAGCTTGCAGCTTTTGTTCGAGCCTGAGTTCAGCGCGCCTGCCTGTGCATGTCAGGAGATGATCGACTGTGTTCATGATGCCCTGCCCACTTATCCTAGTTGTTCGCGTTCTTTGTCAGTAACGAGTAAACCTCCTTTCGCAAAGCGGACAGACGGAGTGCTAGAAGGTCTTTGCTGGAATGATGAGTTGATGGATCCTCCTGTCAGGATAATGACCATAGCCATAGACGAAACTGGGATATGCGAACAATGACCGTTGCTCGTAATTCTGGAGCTGAGTAGCCTTTGTCGGCGCATTGATTGGACTGTGCTTGGAGAGCCCTCCTCCGCGCATTTTGGTTTCAGTTTGTGCCGTGTGAGGTTTTACGCTCGCCATAACCATGCTGAACGAGGCTTTGCGCTCTCCCCTACCGACTGCCCCAACGCAATAGTGGTCGATATATCAAATAAAATCTGCAGATTTGGTCTCGATTGGAATGATCAGCCTGGGATGACGAGAAGAAGTTCTTACAAGACATTGTTTTACAGCCGTACTCCACCACAGTATGTGTATATATATACACATATATATACACACATACATATCTGGCCTCGGTGTAATGAGCATGATGACATATTCAGATAGCTGACTGGGCCTCGGATCAATTTCTTTTTTAAGTTGATGCCAGTGTGGACAGGGGGTTCGTTCCTGGGAAGGGTAGGGGTTTTCGTACTTCAGTCTTACAGCGTGGGCAGAAGTCGCGGCCTCGTTGTTGACCGCCTGAAGCCCCCATGATTGCTTCAAAATGTCTGAATTTGATGGACGCGTTGTAAATCTGTGAGAGTCATTGGGCCTGGTCCTTGACAGTGCCCAATGCTGTCAGCTCGATCACGGCCTGCCTCTGCTGCACAGTATCTGCATCATGCACAAATCTTGATCAATGGCAGATTTGGTAGGTCTTTGTCGGTGTCCATGGGAACTAGAAAGAAACAAGATTCCTTTCTCCATACCACACTTGTCGAGAAAAGGCAAACAGCGCTGGATCTGGAGTGATCGTGGACACACTTCGAAGGCAAGGAACAAGCCTCCTACTCACAGCATGCTGTGTCGTAGGGCCCTGCGCCAGCCCGCATTCGGACGACGGACGATCCATGTCTTGGAAAATTTGAGGTGCCAGTATTATGAGCGATATGAAGATGATTCGTGAAGCTGCCCTGAGTGCAGCTGTTACGGCAGAATATTATGACCAGAAATTAGATGCTCCACCGTATCGATGGTCAAAGAAGAACAGAGCAATGATATCGGGGTGAATGAAAACATGACTGTGGCCCACTAGCGCCTCGTACGCCTTTTGCAGAATTATGGTTAAGTTGCGAGATACCGCTCCTTATAGGTTACGCCTGGTGGGACCCGGCGTCTGGATCGATAGTGTCATGAATAGCTGTGTCTCTTGTTTCCTTCGCGAGCTCCCTTCTACGGCAGCTTGCTATAGCCGTTGCGTCGGACGTTTCTCCGCGATCTTGAGATACGCAGCCTGCCCAGGACAGGGTCGAAAAAGGTGTAGTAAATCCAGTAGCACAAACTCAGTGGCCCGAAAATCGACATCGGGAGCGCGTTGAGTAAAATGTGTCCTGGATAAACTCGCACAGTCAGTGGCGTTGTACAATGAAGAATGAGATCGCAACGACGAGCGAACACATTTGGGAAAGGCGCCCTGTGGTAGTTAGATGTTGAGAGAGAACTCACCCCAGACAAATGGTCGCCTCTTGATCAGTTCCCACAGCTCTCCCTTCATCTGTTCTTTGGCCCCTTCCCACCGCCATGGGCCAACCAGTCGGAATTTAGTGTTCATGTTTGCACCGCATGCCCACACGATGAAGACTTTCCACCCATGCTTCAGCACCTGGGTTATGGATGGTGCCGAGCCGATGTCGAGGGCGAGTTGGTATGCGTAGGATTCATGATCCACTCCGTGGTGTACCCGTGCTTCAGGCTTTGGCTTCAGTCTCCACCACTCTTCCGCATCGAGATCCAATGGTGGAGACAATGATCGTAGGTTTGCCTTTGGAAGAAGGTTGAGGATCCGAAGAACCCACAGCTGGGCTTGGAACTCGGCTAGAGGTGGAATTGCTCCTGAGAGTCGTTCGATGTTAGCATTTAAGAGATCACCAAGATAGATAGATCGACGCATGAGAGCAATGCGGGACCTTACCGAGCTGTGGCCGAATGAAGCCTATAAAACCAACGGTCTCATCACCATCCTTCCAGAGGGCACGGACATCGGCATCGTTAGAGTGAGGATATCCTTCACTCAGGAATGGGAATGTCAAGTGACGGTAGCCGGTTGCATAGATCACAACGTCCGGTTTGATTTTCAAGGTTTCGATGTGCTTCGACTCCTGTGTATCATTCTTCTGGAAATGAATAACACCTTCATCATCAACGTATTCTGGAAATGGGGCAAAATCGACGGTGTGGCCCTTTGTGTCGACTCGCGGCAGGTCAATGATCCTTCTCATAAATCGTTCTAATCTACTGTCTTTGATATAACGCCTGTTGAAGTACGGCTGGACTTTGGTGGACTTGACAAAGAGCACTGGCGGGATAATTGTTATCCTGGAACGCTTTACGGGAGTAAGAAACTCACCCTCAGACATGTGATAACCCTTGATGATTCCCGCATGCTGACCGTACCCATATCGACTATTGTTCAGGAGAATCCAAGCGCCTTTCGTCCACCAGTCATAGAACAACCACTGCCACCGGGAATTCCTCAGTTTTGGGTGTGCATAGGCAGTGTCAAAGAGACAGTTCCAATTGGTGTCAATTGGCGACGGATTGTACTCGTCCTCCCTCTTGCCCATAACAACGAAGCGCTCAACATGCTAGAAGTGCCACAGGTTAACATGGAGAGGTCTTGTGCGTGCTTAATATATCTTACCTTGGGTGCCAGGACGAATCCATTGCGGTGGCAAAGCGTCACCGAATTGGTGGGAGAAGTCACTGCGAAATATGCCATGTCCATTGCCGTTTCTCCTACACCGAGGATCACGACATTGCTGCCTTCGGTGAATATCTCCCGACCTTTGTATTGGGAGGAGTGAATGACAGTGGGCACTTTCTCGATGCCGGGAATGCTGGGCGCAACGGTATCCACGTGCAACCCTGAACACACTGCAACGGCATCGCAAGCCCATTCCGCACTGGTTCCGTCGGTGGATGAATAGGTCACGATGTGGCCTTTGCCATCCTTGCTGCGTCGTACATTAGTGACTGCAGTGTTGAGCTCGATATGTGGTCGCAATTTAAAGTGATCGCAGTAGCCTTCGAGGTACTCGACGTATTGATCGAGAGTGAGAAAGTCACCGCAATCAGTGCGCTCTGCCGGTATCCTGAAGTCTGAGAAACAGGTCAAGTACTTGGAAGACACCATCTGTTTCGAATCAGCCCTGCCACTATTTGAGCGTTGGATAAAAGTCCAGTTTTTACCTCGCCCTCTGGATAGGTGCGATAGCGAAATGTGCCTCCAATGCCATCTTTAGCTTCAAAGAGTCTGGCCTCAACGGGCTCAATGTTGAAGTTCTGATTAGCTTGGAGGAGGTACTTCAGCGTGACCAGACCTCCTGGCCCGGCGCCGATGATGGCAACACGCATTTTCAGCAAAGCTCACAGGAAGACATATGCTTGATGGTCGAGGACAGGCAAGGTTCAAGGTTACACAGCAGGGGGGAGGTCTTCATGACCCAGAAGATTGGGAGGTCTCGGCTTCGCTTGCATGATTTCCCCCACTTCCACGTTGAAATGTACCGAGTAACGACTGCTTCAGGGTGTGTGCAGCAAGCTGACGAGGGAGCGTTGTCCACGTATCAAGTGGAACTGCTAGTCTCCTCGGGTACATCTCATTTCGGCCTTTGCCGTGAAGATTCCACAGGTTCTTGACTAGACCCCGACGGCCCGGTGATAGCTGCGTCGCAAGCGGGAGATATGAAAGGTTCCGGCTAGAAGGAACGAGACATGAGGAAAAGCAGAAAGCGAGTGGTTGAGGGCAACCTGTTGGTATTGGGGTCAATGGGACCTTAAAGCGGCAGTTGTGACAAGTGCGTGCCGGAAGACCTCAGCGAAAGTTTTGGCGGTGCTGGGGTCCGCCAAGAGTTTTATTTCCGCAGCTGGCGCAGTTGTTGGAGCTTCAGTTGCCGGCAGCGACAGCAAGGTCCAGTCTGTCACGACCTCTACCCTGTGAGCAGAGCACACTGAATCCAGGGTATGTCACAGTAAGGTCGTCACAGAGTTATCCAACTGTTCAAACTCCCGAACCAGCCGCGACGATGGGCGCAGGTCAATCCAAGCCCGACGAGTCAACCAAGCATGTTTTTGCAAGCGATACACCTATTCAATTTTCCCAAGAGTAAGATCCGGAGGCCATTATCGCGTACTTTGCACATATTGCCAGAGGAAGCACGACTGACACCCGTTCCAGGCTGATAGATTCCCTCCAAGCATCCTCAGAAGTATGTCTACTCTCCTCGCGGTCCGGAAGAACGGTTTTCACTACAATGCGCGGAGGAGGTTATGCTCACAGCTCGTTCTTGATATAGACAAACTCGACCCGCGCAAAGACGCTAGAGCTGCACATCGCACAACGCGTCGCCGCCGAGCTAGAGAAGATTCGGAACCAGGAAGCCTCGGCCCTCGAGGAAGCACGGAAGAAGATTGCTGCAAGTGGAGAGGCTGGCTCAGAAGACTCATCTCTACTTCAACTTTCGCCGATATCACCAAAGGACCTCCTTCCGGGCTCTGACACCGATGAGAGCAAGAAAGCCCCGTCGAGCCAGAGAGTGCAACAAGAAATCGAGAAACTGAAGCAGACACTGGGCCAGCGGAAAACGTTAAGAGAAGTGCCAAAGGAGGTGGAGAACGCGTAAGTTGGACTTTGTCGAGCATCGTGTATTCGGCTTCAGACCTCGTGCTCAAGCTAACAACTGGCAACCAGGAGACAAGATGTCATCTCCTGCCTGCGGATAAACGATCGGAAACCGCTCGACTGCTGGAAAGAAGTGGAGATCTTCAAGCGGGAAGTACGGAAGATGGAGGAGAACTATGTCTCCTCTGTACTGTAAAGCCATGTTTACACATCGGAAAGCTTGCATTCCGCTCGAGGCTCCGGATCCAATGTATATAGGTAAAAACAGGGTACCACATGGGAATGGAACAAAAAAGATTGCTGAGAAGCCTATCGCTTGTATGCAAAATATCGGTCCATTTTGAAGCTCCGCCAGCCCTCCTGACATTCGAGCCAGCATTGAACTATTCTCTCTCGCGTCGCTCGAGAACATTTCGGAGGTCGTCAACAGAAGTTGAAGACGAGTATCTCTCAAGTTGTGACCTTCTTCCCCAGATATCTCCAGGTACTGGGTGTTTGCGAGATATTCAATGCTATTACTGCATCGTATGCCGTGTGATCTTCAAAAGCTCAATCCTGACTTGAACTCTTGCGAAAGTAATTGCTCGAATTGCGCCCTTCAAGTAGGTGTTTGCGGATTTGATTGTGGCAATTGCTCCAGTTTGTTGGACATCACAGCACCTTCACAAGCCGACGTTGACTTTTGTACTGTCTTGGAGTTTCGGAGGCATCCAGGGCCAGAATAGACAACGTGTTTGCCGAGTTTTGACCGGAGCCGCACTCCAAGAACTGCTTGCAACGCGGTCTTCCACATACATACTTCAAGAGTACCTAGGTACTGTGCTCACATATCCATGAATAACTCTTTGCACATGCAGCGCACGAAGCAAGGGTGGAGCTGTTATTTCTGATCAATTGAGCGGTCACAACCGATTCGCAGTGGCTTAAATCGCACAATGGATAAACCCGTTGCGTGACAGCCAAAATGTCTTTTGGATCTGGCATAGAAGTCAGGTTCTCTCCAGGTCTCTCCTAACAATCCAAGCACCGCTCGGTCGCAGCCTTCTGTAATATTGCTCAACAAGCATGACGCGCTTGAAGCCGCGTTTGGCATACCACTCCAGCGCGTCCTCGTTCTGCTCCCACACATGTGCGTATACGCACACTGTGTCCGCAGCTTGAGCAATAGCCGAGGATAAGATTGTGTCCAGCAGGAGCGTTGCGAGGCCGAGACCACGGTAGGGCGAGAGGAGAGCTAGGGCTTGGATATAAATCTGAGAAGGTGGAGGGTGTGGCTGCGTGATGAGATAATGATTTGGCGAGCATGGCTCTAAGCGGCAGCGGATCCAGCCAACAGGCTGTGACGCGTATAGGACGACGCGAGATAGTTGGTTGACCATTGGATCAGTCACTGTGTTGGTAAAGAACGCATCGCCATACCGGACAGGGAGGATTGTAGCTGTAAGACGCCGAATTCCCGCAATGTGCTGTTCTGCAATTGGTGCAACAAGGGCTTCAGGGAGATGAGGAATAGAAGCGCCATCAAAATGCTGTAGGCGGTCCCTTGATAGATCCTCGGCTTCCAACCTCACCCGTTTGGGCTCTTGGGAGACATCATCAGATCTCCTGCTTTCGACTTGGCCTTCTTCCGCGTTTAGATTGCAAACAGTTGGTTTGGTCGTTTTCTGAGACGCCTGTTTTCGTGCTGCTTCGATGATCCCCAACCCACGGCTTTCAGAGACACGCAGACACCCATGATGGTCGGTCGTAATAGCATCTGTCTCTCTGGCAGTTGGCGGGATGGAAGGGGCTGGGGTCACCGATTTCGAGAAATAGGAAAGAAGAGTAGCTTGAGGCATGATGGTCTAGCATCCTTCAAGTTCATTGGTACACCGCTCCACGCTGAAGCTGGTACACTGCTCTCAAGAACCGCGAGTGCGCGACTACGAGAAACGATAGCGCGATATGCGCGTGGTGAATGCCCCAAAATACCCGGTGCAGCGGCGATCGGGGCGGCAGTTACCGGCGCTAAAAAGAAGGTTATCGATGCTTATTGAGGCATGTTAGCGAACCCTAAGCAGAGCCCCAGAATCCGGCCTTTTTTCATTTCTGCGTCCTGCATCATCGTTGCTCGCCTGCACAGCCGCTGCTAACCCACACACGACATCTTGTGTCCTGTTGACATAGTTGTATCCGGTCGCTGTTGGAGCACTTCTCAAGCGTGTCTTTGCCTTTAGACCCCAGACTTCCGGACACCAAGGTGTGCCTTTAACGAGCACGAGCCTCCTCGAGTCTGCCCGAGATCCCTCCCCCAGAGTGCGTGCGCCCCCTTCCGTCCGCCATCAGCCTTCTCCAGCGCGAGACAATACAAACAGAGTGGCACAATAAAAAGATTCATGGCCGCTATTGAATGAATAGGAGGTTGTTGGGTGCGGCAGGGTGTGAAGGTGTTTGAATAGGCAGAGTGTACCGGCGCAGAAGTTTCCTTCACACATCACAAGATCAGTAAGTGAATACACTGCCGGACAATAGTGTGCAACACTGTGAATTATGGTATTGTCTGTTATTGTCTGGTTGTCAATGGAGCGTCTGGCTTCTGCTTCGATGCTTTTTCTCTTAAACATCCCCTTCCCTCTTCCCTCGGAACTTTACACGACGAAGACAAACGCACCTTTCTCCTCATATCCCTGTCCTTTCAAACTGTCAAAGCTGCTGGTCGGCTTTTGCATATCTGCTTGTGTTTGTTGGCCCAATATGGCTCCCAGAAGACCATACGTCTCCTTGTTCCCCAACAGCATTCTCGACGTCGACTTGTGGATGCGCTTCATGGAAGATGAGGAAATCACAGCTGACTGTCCGCCACCAGTCAAGGACGTTCTTGACATGGCTTCCACGAAACTATCCAGTTCCAAGACTTCCAATGTCAGCTTGACTGTGTCTGATCAAGAACAAGCGGTTAGTTGGCCAGAAAAGCTTGCTTCATGCCCCTTCCACTGACTGGAACTAGATCACGTATCTCTTGGAACATTCAATCGAAAGCATCCTTCACGATCTTCTTCTCGACATTCACCAAGATGAAAAGATCGCTCGGATGCAGACTGCCGTCCTTGAAGTCGAACAGAGAGCTGAGAAACTGAAATCCAAGGCCTCCCAAGATGCAGAAACCACCGACAATACTGAACATGAAGCTGTCGAGACTGACGCTGCTGTGCTCAAGTCCGGCCAGGTTCAGCTCAAAGGAAATCCGATGAAGACAGTCAAACACATCAGATGCCCGAACTGTCGTCTCCGCCGCTTGCTGTACCCTCGCGTTGGTTATAATGCTCGTCCTGTCCCAGATGCCAATGAACAGTACTGCAAAACTGAACCGATGATTGTTCTTGACAAACATGATGTCCATGGCCAACGCAAGAAAGGTGTCAAAGTTAAAGGTGCGGCCAAAGGCAAGAACAAGAAGAAGAAGGATGACCCAAGCTCACCGGCTGCATCTGAGAACTCCGATCCACTGACTCCATCTTCGTCCATGCCCACCGAATCATTTGAATTCAAAGAGATCGACTATCCAGCTGCCAAATGCCCGAACCGCGAATCTCACCTTGGTGACCACTGGAAATCTGTCAATGTCTTCGCCACACATCTCAACGGAAGCTGCTACCTCAAGAAAGATCGTGCGGCCGGCCGCGAAGCCAATGCAAAGATTGGTGGCACTCCGCGTGACAGCAGGGCCAATTCACCCAAACCAACCGCCAACGGCGGGGTCAAGAGAAAGGCGGAGGACGACGACAAGGAGAAGGGCCTCGGCCCAAAGAACAAGAAGCAGAGGACAGGTGGAGACGGGAAGAGGGGGGACAAGAAGGCTCCTCCGAGCAAGTTGAAGGAAGTCAACAATGTTGACGATGGCAAGCCGGGCGAGAGCCCATTGAAAGAGGCCAACGGCGACGCGCCTCAAGCGACGCCAACCAAGGCGGCAAGAGACGCGAGCTCTGAGCCGCAAATCAAGCTCAAGCTCAAGGCGGGCGTGGGCGCTGGTGCTGGTGGAGAGGGGGCCGCTCGCAAGAAGCCGGGCAAGGCCAGCAAGAAGGAGAGATGAAATGTGTAAAAATAATTCACATGGGCATAGCGAGGGCGGTTTCTTGTGCTTGTTTTTTCTGTCGGCGTTTGAAAGGGAGTGTGCCGCTGTGGCGGCACCCACCTGTGCGTAAAGACAGGTGATAGAGAATGTTTATGAAATTTGTAAACTGTGCTTCTGCGTGACACGGCTTTCTCGTATCTATTTCATGTCTCTCGTGATGGTTGGTTTCAAGCGAGCACCTCTTGCTTTCATCACAAGACGGCACGTTTAGTTGTAGCTGGAGCGTATATATCCCGCAAGCCTGTCATTCCCTTCACTCCTCACGATTCAACGAATCTATCTATATACATGTATGTATCTTGGATTCAGCGACCGCTGAAATCCAGGTTCATATCATGCACATGTCCTCGGCATTAGAAATAGCCTTGAAGGGGAGGGATGTCAAGAACAACGTCAAGTACCGCTCCACCTCCGTTTTCAAAGCGAAACCCAAGAAGCCGCTGCTGGTGTTTGGGGATGCTTGGATCGTGGCTATTGAATCGCGACCACGACCACCACAGACCCATACGACTTGAACGGCCTAGGAGGTCGCCGCCGCCGGTGGTAACATGGCCTCGACGATGTTGCCCGTGGCGCCGCCCTCGCGACTGTGCCAGATCTTGACCATCTTTAAGCCGGCGGCCTCGAGCAGCTTGTTGAACCCCTCGGCGGTCCTCTCCTTGCCGCCCATGACCATGACGACGTTGTCCATGGCGGCCGCGGGCAGGTCGGCCTCGTACACGCGCTGGGGCATGACCATGTCGGCGATGAGGACTTTGCTGTCGGGGGACATGGCGTCGCGCAGGTGGGAGAGGATCAGGACGCAGTTGGCGTCTGAGTAGTCGTGCATGACGCGGCGGAGGAAGTATGCCTTGGCTCCCTTTACGGGTTGCGGGGTCCAGAAGTCGTGCACCATGGCCGTTACCCCGTCGGGGAGGAGCTTCGAGTCCTTGCCCTGCGCGATGGGTTCGGGCAGGTCTTGGAGAACCATGCGGTCGGGGCGGAGGGACGGGAACGCCTGTAGGATCTGGATGATGGACTGGCCCTGGCCGCCGCCCACATCCACAAGAGTGGCCCGGTCCCCGTCGTGCTCCGGGTCGTAGAGCGCAGAGAAGTCGTAGAAGCCGATGATCGGGACAGAGTCCTCCTGAGACATGAAGCCCAGTTGAAACGCGCGGAGCCGGTCGGGAAACTGTGCCATGATCTCCCACACGGGATGTCCATCCATGCCATGGCGGTGAGTGTATGGGTTGCGAAGAGGGTCATCGGGCTCCTGCACGGGCTTGCCGTCCTGGGCGGCTCGTTCTTTCACGTACTTGTGGAAATGGACCATGGTGGAGAGGCATTCGTCGTTGATGAACTGGAAAAAGTTTCCCGGCCCCGGAACCTGGATGTATGCTCGGGAGAACTTTGTGTGCACGTAGTCATAGTCGGGGGTTTGCTCGAGGAATTTGGTGCCGACGAGTAATCGAAGTTGTCGTTCTTTTTTGACAGGTTATGATCAGTCAGTTGCATCCGGAAAACGTTTGCGGGAAGAAAAAAAAAGCCCCAATACCTAGCAGTGAGTCCTGGACGCCAGTGACTTTTGACAGCTCGGCCAGAGAGATGGAGCCGTCCACTGGGATCTTTTCAAACACGCCCAGCCCCATCAAGGTTCGAATACTGACAATCTCCAGCATCTGCCATTGGTTAGCACTCCTGTCAAATCCCTCGGAGCCCCCAGTGTCATCAAAGCGTGTGCACGGACATTGACCGAGTGGTGCATTGACATGTCCGACGGTGCCATCACGAGACGGACAATGTCCTTGGCTATACCGGCGACATTGGTTCTGGCAATGTAGCCCTTGCTGCCTGGCGCGTAGTCACAGGCTTTGGCGGCTTCGGTGAGTTGCTGGATCAGCTCCTGCAGCTGGGCAGCTTGGTCTTGTTCTGAGGGGGACGACATCGTGATCTTCACCGCCTCCCGTGTTCTCGTCACTTGCAAGGCACAGAGACAGAATGAGGCTTCCTTGGCAGTCAAAAGGACACTGTCTCAAAGGTTGGGGAGGAACAGGTGAGCGGACGGAGGGGTAGACTGATGGATCGACAGGAACATATTTCCGCTTGCTCGAAGCAATGTGAGGGGCATTGTGGGCCAAATGACCAGCTCCTCAATCCTTGTTGCAAAGGTCCGAGTTGCAAGGAGCTAGGTTCTCGCTTGTGGTCTGTCCCAGAACGACTCGTTTACATTGGTGGCTGTGGGTGGCTTGAGTGCGGCACCCGCGGCAGCTTGCCAACTGCTGCTCTTCCTAGAGAGTTTTAGGCGAAGTCCATGCACGAAATGCACGGTTACTTACAACACGTGGAAAAGGGACCCTTGTGGGCTCACTAGCTAATCGTATTGACAGCCCCCTCTTGGGTGCCTCTGCCCTCTGCCCATGTTCGCGTGGTCCACCTGGTCACATTGCCCGAGCAGCTTGACCAGTCAACGGGCGAGCGGGACCAAGGAAATGAATTCCCCAACAATCAGCCATGAAGCTTACTCTTGCGTCCACTGGGTCTCCGAGTCCATCGGTATCCCTCGCGGTCCTTGAAAAGAAGGCCACCCTCTCCTCCCTCATCCTTCATTGTGGAAACTTCTCATCCTTGACCTGCACCTTCCGGGCACGCGACCATTCCACTCTGACTTCCTTCCTCATGGAGCCTGATGAGAACACCGATTTCGTTGACGAAGGCTATGCCAGCACTTCGGCAAACAGCAGCTATGTGACGAGGTGAGGCTCGACTTCTCACTTGGGGTGGGAAATCCTGACCACGAGAACAGTATAGCAACCGAGATCCGTGAGGGGATCGAAGAGTATGGCTGACAGGATTGAACCCAGCTACAACGTGTCTGGCCGAAAACCGGGGCCGCCGGGATAGACTGTCCGTCCTTGGTGACCAAGCAGGCCAACAATCTTTTGTCGACGCCCGAACACATACCGAGTACTAGCAGGTTGATGCATCAGTGCGGCGTTTCACCCAACTGAAGTGTATCTGCTCAAAGCAGCCAGCCTGCGAGGTGAATTGAGGACTGACATGGTCTCTGTCGAAAGCTTTCAACCACAAAGCCCATGAGATGATGCACCCGTGCGCTCAGCAGGCCATGAGACAGCTCCGGAACAGCCCTTCACAAATTTCCAGACGGACATGTGAATTTCTGCTTACCTTTCAGCCATCATTCCGTTCGGCGCACTCCAGGCTTCCAGCCCATCAGGTCACGGCAGTTTTTCCGGTGTACACAGAGCCATTACTAGGCCTGCGGTACGAGACCTAAATCCCTCGACGGGTGCTGCAATATTAATGAAAGAGCTGGGGATCTTGAGGCTACATCCGTGTTACAACTTACAAGGGACTGTGTTTAGCGTTTCGCCCACGTGTACTCGGTATTCGGTAGTACATCCGCGCGTCATGGTGGGTTGGTTGGTGGTTCAACCGCATGCGCGAGGCTGTCGGTTTCCATTGCCTAAACATCGGCATAATTGAAGCCTAGTAACCAGTGACGGGCGGCTGATCTGCGCCCGATCCACCCCGTTAAATGGCATGGAAATTGCTCTGAGGCTGTGTTGCTTCCTAAGTCCCGACACCCCTTCCAATATTCCATCCTGCTCTTGTTGGGCTCTGTTTGACTTGTAATGAACTGCACCAGATGATGCTGTCACTACCTGGGTGCCCAATTGTCCCAAGGGTTGCTTGCTTCAGTCTAGATTAAGCCGAGTCAACTCCTGGATTGAAGCACTTGACTTTGGCCTCCTCTGATGGCACAGCACCTACATGCTGCTAAGCATCATAGAGGTTGCGGATTACCGTGAGCGGTCACCTGGCGAAGAACCGATGACCCGCACTTCGATTGATCATCTGCCGTGTATGGACAGAGATCACCCCAAGATGACCTCCCTGGCCGCTGCGAAAATATCCCGAGGGCTATTCTGCAGGGTGGCAGCAGCCTTGGTGTTCTTGATCCTCCTTTTAGGGGCTCTAGCAGGATGGTATGTATCTGAGATTCATTCCAAGATATTCAACCCGAGGGCTCACACAGTGTGCAGGATGTTTCCAAACAAACCCCCGTCCGTCGTTGGACGCCAGCCGTACGGCGGAGAGCTTCTCGCCAAATATCCGTCAGTTTCTCTTATGGCCAAGATCCGCCTGGCGCCCATGCCCTGAGATACGTCCATCTGACTCGAGAGGAACAGGACGCAGAACTTCACCATGCCCGTTGACCATTTCCACAACATATCCCGCTACGAACCCCACACGAATACCACTTTCCAACAGCACTACTGGCTCGACATCAGCAACTATGTTCCAGGAGGCCCAGTGATCATCCATGCCATCGGCGAAGACAACGCCAACTACGACCTCGAATGGCTGCAGAAAGGACTCCTGCACGAAATAGCCAACGCGACCGGTGGTGTCGCCGTTCTCTGGGGCCAAAGGTAGACGGCCCTCTTATTGGGCAGCAAGACCACCTGATTTCTGATTCCATATTTTACAGATACTATCCTGGCGGCTACGACATCGTCCCAGACCACCGGTGGACCCGAGAAACCCTCCGCTTCCACAGCACCGAACAAGCCCTCGCAGATCTCGCCTACTTTGCCCAGCGAGCAACGTTCTCGGGCTTGGAGGACAGGGATCTCACGGCGCCAGGCACACCCTGGATCATCCTCGGCGGCTCGTACGGCGGTGTGATCTCCGCGTTGACTCGAATCCAATACCCGGACCTCTTCTGGGGTCATCATCGAGGGCGGTTTCCACGAGTGGGACTTCCCGGGCCTGTTCGCCAACGAAACATCCAAAATCGACATGCCTCAGGCCGTCAAGCGGGCCAAGACCAGGGAGGTCGCGGCCGTGGTGGCGTGGTTGAGGGAGTGGAATGCCACGCATTGATGCTGATGGAGGACGGGGAAATTTCCATTGGAAAGTCAAAGATTTTGGATGGTAGATACTCATATATATATATATATATATATCTTATATGTACTCGGCTATGTTGCACGAGACTGTACAAACCCACTCTTTGTCTCCACGATAGTGTAAAGCAAGACCGGCCGAACGGGGACAGGAGTGTTAGGCTCGGAACCCGCTTCCAAGAGGGGAAATTTCTCTTTCCATGTATAGACGGATATATGTATATGTATATCTGGAGACCGAATTAATTACGTATGTACACGTTGTTTTCGTGTTTTTTATTTTCAATTGCACCACCTTGCGACTTTTCGTCTCTACTTTCATCAACACGGTTCCTCTGGTTCGTCAATGCATTCAAAGGCTATCCTCTCCGGTATTCTAACCCCTCTCTCTCTGTGTGGCTTGGGTATTGTTTCCCCCGGTGTCTGCAGGTGGGGGACTTGGAGCGGACTCCGCCCAGAGAGAGAGGTCCAACTTCCTCCCCTCAAGGGCGGCAGGAACTACGTACAACTCAATAATGGCCCGGCCCCTTCAGCCCCATGCAGTTGGCATAGTAGGTGACGGTGGCGGACCAGTCGGAGAACATGGCCTTGACGCCGATCTGGCGGCCCAGGACGTCGAGGGCCTCGTACTCTTGGCCATCGTAGGAAATGATGTCCGCGATCGAGGACCAGTAGTAGTCGCCGTTGGCGCGGACTTTGGACAGAGGGCCCGAGCGCTCAAAGGACCACGCGATGATGTCCAGGCCGGCTTCCATGGCCGTGGTGGCGTAGATGGACGGCACGATGGTGTCGTTGTTGGGCCCTCCACGAGAAAGGAGGTATGAGTATGGGGGCGCGATAATGTTTACGCCGCTGGCCTTGAGCGCGGGCAGTCGGTTGACCGCCGTGGTGAAGTTGGACGCCACGTCGCCGTCCTCGTCCAAAAACACCGCCTGCGCCCCCCACGCCGGGTACTCGTTCAGCCACAGGTAGATGTCGGCCGGGTTGAACGACTGCGGCCACACGCGCTCGTGCGCAATGCCCTTCTTGATGAACATGTCGATCATGTCCCGCGCGTACTGCGCCTGCGTGTAGCCGTGGAACGGCATCGGCACTTGTGACGGCGGCGTCTTCAGCTCGGGCGTGAAGTTGCGGAACCCCGGCAGCGAGTCCACAAGGTCAATGTAGCTTTCGAGCGTCATCACCTGCGCGCAGTTGTTGTACAGGTCGGTTCGGAACGCCGGCGTGCCGTGCTGGTAGTCCTCCGGAGTGGCGGCCGAGGCGTTGAAGCCGTCCATCTTGCTGCAGAGCGTCGTGTACTCGGCCATGGTGATGTCGCTGGTGCAACAAAGCGCGTTGGCGTCGGCCGTCTCGTTCGCCGGTGTGAACGGTACCGTGCACTTTGCCGCGAGCTCCGGCCGGAGCAAGATGTCGGTCGTCGTGTGCAGGTCGCACAGCGAGTGTCTGCAGACCAGCCCCAGATCCGCCGTGAAAGACACGTCGCATTCGAGGATCCCGGCGCCCATACGGGCACCAGCCATGGTGGATTCGACAGACTCTTCCGGAATCTGCAGGGTGCCGCCGCCTCGATGGCCGATGCTCCAGGTCGTGACTTCAAAGGGTCCGTTGTAACAGGATTCGAGCTTCTGCTTGAGGGGGCCGTCGGTCATGTTCTGGATGAGGTAGTAAGGGCGAGGCCCCAGGGAGATGTAGTAGGGGTCGTCGTGTGCTGGTTGTTGCCATCGAGGCTTGTTAACAGGGACCGCGCCAGCAATGTCCGCTGCCAAGGCAATCAAGGCCACACAACCCGGTGTTGCGCGCATTTTCTAGAGGAGATGGGAAATTGTGCCAGAAGCTCAGAGATCTGCCTGCAGCTACCTGGAAAAAGAGAAGACAGACGAAAAGGATCGTGAATAAGATGGCGGGCACGAACCTTTTGTACCTCCCGCCGACCTGGAAAGCCATCCAGGAAGCTATCCAGCAAGCCCATAGCTTTCTGCTCCATCAACTGCATGCTTTGTCTGCGTCATGACCGCACGTGGTAGATTCGAGGGACAGCACGTCCTCCGATCTGGGAATCTTTGTGAGCTTCCTCCAGCTTGGTGAAGCTTAGCAAGAGCGAAATCCGCCTCTCTGCACAAGTCGTACCACCACCGTGGTGCCTGTGGTATGGGATCGAGCAAATAACATCCCTCATCAAGCAACGTGGACTGTGGTACCTGCATTCTGCGGTCTGGGTTTCGACGGATTGCCCGGCTGGTGCTGGTGGTACATGGGTGACTGAAGCTGTTTGCTAGACTGAAAAGCGATATCTGCACCTGCACCCCGCTCATGGAGGTGGTTCGATCAACGGTGCTGACCATGGCTGAAGCCTTGGCTGCATATAGACTACCGTCTTGGCCGCCCTGCTTCCCAATGAGAAGACAATCTCCTCTTACACGAATGCCACAGCATCGCCGTAGCTCCTTGGCACGCCGGGGCGGAATGCCACTCCGCCCAGGAAGGAATCTCGTGAGAGGGTTAGAGTTGCCCTCCCGGAGCTGGACTGTAAGCACGCCCCTGTGCCTGTCTGAGCTTGGCAACTCCGCTCGGAGCTGTCCAATGGAGCTTGAGGTTGTTATCATGTTTTTGAACTTGTGATCGTCATTGGATGTACACTGCAAGACTCCCATCATGATCTGTAGGAACCAGACTGGGGAGACGCTGAGGCAATTGTGAGATACAAATCGACAGACAGAAACAAGGTCAGTGACCAAGGGCGTCCGTGGCCAATTGGCAAAACAAACTTAAGAGGTGCAAATAAATGTGTCGTGGCTGTTGACCAGCATCGTCCGGAATTTCACCCAGCCTTGCAACTCAGGCGGCTCGGGCGATCCTATGGAGCACCGTTCTGCTTTCTCTACTGTAAATCCTTCCATAAGTGGCGTAGTTGCTGGAAATATATAGGAGGATAGTGTATGAGACTTCGTGAGCGATGGGCTGCCGTGCATGAGCTAGCCCTTGCTGGGAGAGTGTGGTCTGCGTGAAGTTATTTGACAGTATCCGGAGAGCTCCCAAAAGAGGTGAATGGGTCAACGTCACCGGTTGATCTGGAGCGTTCCAACCAAAATGGCGGAATGGCCGGTGGTGCAATCATCGTGGCGACCCCGTGCTCAGAATCGATCGGTACGTTTGCCGGCATTGATGGGCGTTTGTCTCCATTCATCACGGTCAGCATCTCCTTGTTCTGTCTCTTGGATGACAGATACCAAGCGAGAAAGACCACAAAGGTGCAACCCCCGGTCAAGGCGAAGTAGAGCCATATCCACTTCGAAACGACTTGGTTGGATTGTCCAGGCAGAAAGTTGAAGAAGCCGGAGCTGAAGAGTGTCGCCATCTTTCGACCCCGAGAAGTCAGTGTCACAAGATCAAAAGCGAATTCGAGATGAAAGACCCGGGTCCTGCCAAGTGGGCTCCGGCGAAGGCTGGGGAGACAGCGAGAATCTGTCTGGAACCGTAACTTACAAAAGTACCTGGAAGAAACAGGAGCGTTACCACTGCGATGATGCGCATGTCGGTGCTGTCCTTGCGGGTGAGTATGGCAACATTCCTCGAATCTTCGGCCATGTCCTTCATGGCGTTGCTATGAAATAGGCCTATTTCGGCGATCCTCTGGGAAGTCGCCGCGGTCTCGATGTTGAGCTTATTGTCTTTTTGACCGATCATACTGTAGACCTGTACGAGCAGATCAGCTAGTTGACAAGCAGGGGAGATAGTCGAGGCTCCTCATACCGTCTGGACCTGAGCCCGTGTCCGTGCTGATAATACCTCTCCGTGAACTTGAGCTCCAACGATCAATTCTCGCAGATATGAAATCCTCGTATCAAGGCTGTTCTGGAGGTTCAAGCCAGCGTTATCCAGACGCATATTCAGATGGCTGTTGAATCGATTCCGGACGGCACAGACGATGTCCAAAGCTCTAAGGCTCGAAGCAAATGTCATGTCGCAGAACGACAAAGTTCCAGTGACGCCTGTCAGCTGCAGATTGCTGTCAGCATGTGCCGATAATGACAAACAGACAGTACCTTCTGAGTGATTTCGTCGAAGTCGAGCTCTTTCAGGAGCTTCTCTCGTTCCCGATTTCTTTCTGCGTTCCGTTCCGGATTTGAAGAGAAGCCATGTCTCATGCCAGTTCTATACTCAATATTCTCGATACCTTGCGCACGCTTTTCAAGAAGCACAGCGAAATAGTGGACCTTGGCCTCTAGCAGGAATACTGGGAGCAGCATTGGGTCTTGCAGATATTTTGTGGACTGGCGAAGACATTTGAGCATCAGATCGGTTTCATCAGCTTGCATGCCGTTCACGATACCAGAGACGACTTTTGTTTCCTCGTTGTAGACGAGTCCAAGACAAAAATTCCAATCTCTCGATCTCGCGCTGCGCACCATAAGGCCCGTTATTGCTTGTCCTGCGGAATTCTTGGTTTGGAACTCTGTGGCTATAGGTAGCGTGCTCAGCATCATGCGCAGCAGTTCCGTGGGCAGACTCCACGTGGTTCTGATTGTCTCGAAGGTGTTGCGAGATATTGGCAGCGCCAGAATCTGTGCATCGCTTTTGTGCTGCTCCGGGCTTCCAATCAAAAGCTGGAGTCGGAGACGACCTTTGGTGAGATTCTTGTCGAGCGCCCTGTCTGCCGGTAAAGTTATATGGACACCAATCTGGTCTGAAATGTCGGACTCGGCAATTTCGCCATCAAGCAACACCAGCTCGCCGCCAGCCTATGACATGTCAATTGATGTATTGGTGGGGACCCTTGAAGCGGTAGCTAACATCAGGCTCCCACACCTCGACCCATCTGTTACCCGCCCGAGGTTCAAATTTGGAGGAGTCGTTGAGGAGTTTGGTGTAGTAGAAGTCATACATAGTGCAGGCCACTCATCCGATAAGGACTTGGGCAACGATGTCTGCTGTCGAGCAATCTGCCTGTAGAACGCACAAGCACGAACAGTCACAGGGCATATAGCACATAGGTTGACTCGCAGTGGTGGGCTGACACGCCTTTATGAGGCTGAGTATGCCAGCCGAAGTCTGCCTTGCCCTGCAAGGTACTTTGTCGGGCCATGCAGCCAGCCTCTTCCAAAGCAAGACAGGCAAAAACCTCCATGTAGACGCCCCACATCCATGGAGCTCTGTGCATCTTGCAGCGACATCAGTTCAGATGAATACGATGACATGTCTCAAAGTGGTGAACAGAAAGTGCACGGCCAGACCAGGCACCAAGGAGAGAGGAAGCACCAAGTGTCAAACTGCGCCGCCGAAGAGGCTCATTTGGGCGTTAGCAGTTTGTCCTCCCTGGTGCTGCCTACCCATTTCTAAAATAATGTTATCAGCTAATTGATTTCCGAACCTAGGGGTACTCCTGTCTAGGCTTTATGAAAAGCCCTTCCTATCTTGTCACACGCAGATCCGTAGCGACAGTCCATTGACGCAGTATCTCATGCAGACAGTCACAGCTAGGGTACTGGCATGAGGGACAAGTCATCTACTTCAAGCACGTCTGGGGCGCCTCGGACGCCTCAATTCCGTCACATTGGCTAACTCAGGGGACCCGACTGGCCTCCTTACGAGGAGAGCCTCCTAGCCACCAATTCCAGCCGACACGGGCCCAATCGATGGCTCCATATCGGTAAAAACGCCTGGTCCCCAGACTGCGTGATATCCCGGCACTTCCGCCCGCGCTGCTCTGGCATGAGTGTCCAGGAATGATACCTCGTACTCAAAAAAAAAGCAACGCAGATATACACCCCGAGCCTGATCCCCTCTTCGACTAATGTTCTTTATCTTGAAAAGAGACGACAACACCATGATCTCCCCTCCGGAAAATGCTCACGAAAAAGGGGGGGCCCGAAAAAGACCTGACAGATTGACTCGATCGACCTTTACTCGGTATTCCCGCCCACCCAGAAATTCGTCCCTTACCTCCCTGCTCCGGAAATCTTCGCTAACATTGCACTCGGCTTCTCTTCCGCGGCCCTCGTCAAAATCCACCCACCCCCCTCTAGCGAGTCCTCAGGAACGCTTTCGCTTGCTTTTTGCCGGTGGGAGGGGGAGGAGGGGCGATCTGGCTTGGGATCTACCCGCCCGCTCGTGCTCCGTAGGTACACACAAATCCTATCCGACAGATCCGTGGACCCGTGGGAGAGCAGAGCCGGGCATGCATGTCCCATAAGGCTAGCGAGGGTCCCCCATGTATTGCATGCCTAAGCTTTCTTCGCAAGCTTGTCTACAAACAAGCTTTGCCCAGCGCACGGGTAGCTCGGAGGTCATATCCGAGGCTGTGTTTTTTTTCCCTTCCCTTTTTTTCCTTTTCTCCTTGCGGGCCCTACTGATTCGTGAAGCTCCTCGTCCACCAGTCGGGCCCCTGCACGAGAGAGCTACTAATCATCCCGTCAGCGATCACCAGTGTGCTGTCTTGCTCATGATCCATGCCAACTTAACTGGATGGAGTAGGTGATCGACAATATGCACGAAATACTCGGTAGAGCTGCAGGTTAGACCTCTTCGCGGGTGCCACATCCAGACGCATCCTAATTGAACGTCAAGAAACGTCCTTTGCAGGTAAGATAACAAGTGATCCTACTAGAGGACGAGAATATTAGACAGGAAGCCAGGAGTTATGGATCAAGTTCAATAGTAATGTATTAATCTACACAGACCTCCATTATTCATTCATGGTGGCTGCCACTAGAAACGGAAGTTTTGTGCGTATGGAGACAACGACTTCTAGACAGGAAGAAAACTCGTTCAAACAGCCTTGTCGTTCGAAACAACACCTTCACTGGTAGGCTCGGCGACATATGACTCCCTGCGGTGGCCAGCAGTCTCCGGGTCGTAGTTCTTGGTGCCCGGCACTTCACCAGCCAGCTCTTCGAGCGTCTTGCGCTTGGTCTCAGGAATGAGGAGGGTGGTGAAGCAGCCGCAAAGCATAAAGAGGGCGAAGATTTCCATAACATGGTTGAGCCATGGAGACGGGTTCTTAGATGTAGGATGTCCCTTGGTTCGGAGAGGTCCAAAGACAGTCTGGGCGACAATGGCTCCGACTTTGCCGGAGGCGGCCGAAATACCGTGCGAAGTAGATCGGTAGCGGGTTGGGAAACACTCGCCCGGCACGATGAAGGTGGTGGCGTTAGGTCCGAAGTTGAAGAAGAACTGGGCGAGGACGTAGAGCGCTAGAAGACCACCTTCGTGAAGATGGCTGTAAGCGAAACCGATGATGATGAAGATGATGGTGAGGATGGTGAAGCCCATCAGCTGAATGGTCTTGCGACCGATGGTATCAACGGTTGCAACCGTCACCCAGTACCCAGGAATAGCACCTGCGCAGACAATGATCAGGTTGCCAACAGCAGTGTTGTAGAAAATCTCATAGACGTTGTTACCCTTGGCGTAGCCAATGGCTTGGAGAATAATTGAGTTGTTGAGACCCAGGCCGTAGAAAGCGACATCCAGGAAGAACCACGAGCCAGCAGTCCCAAGAAGAACCTTGCCATGCTTCCATTGGCTGTAGTGTCGCCAGAAGTCGCTCCAGCTGGCCTTGGGAGTCTCGAGGCGCTGGCGGGAGTCTTGCAAGACAGCGGCGCGGCTGACTTCATCGGGCTTGCCCTCGTGTTGACCAGATTGGTAGGCCTTGACGTCCGCGACGGCCTTCTCAGAGTCACGAGCAACATCGAAGGTATAACGAGGAGTCTCGGGAATGGTGAGACGGAAGTACAAGGCAATGCAGCCTGGAACGGCGCCAAATCCAATAATAACACGCCACATCTTGTCAACTGCAAGTTGGCAGACACCATCACAGAGAGCAACGGTTTTGGCAGTCTTGAGAGACTGGTGGAAGCCAGAGACGACGATCAGAGCAATGATAGCAGCGGAGAATTGGCCGATACCCTGCATAGCAAAGACGGCACCCATCATGGCGCCTCTCCATTTGGTGGTGGCGAACCTGGGAATAATCAGCCTCGTCCCCTTCAAATATACAGGAGATCAAAGTAGAGTAACTCACTCAGAAGTGATGATGGAAGAAAGAGGATAATCACCTCCAATACCGATACCCATCATAACTCGCCAGAAGATGATGATACCAACAATGGAGATGGAAGGAGAGTCGGAGGAAAGCGCCTGAGCCAGAGTTGCGAAGATGATCAAGATCAATTCGAGACCGTACATCCGCTTGCGACCAACGATATCGGCGAGCCAACCAAAGCCGACTTGACCAATGACAGTACCGCCAGAAGTTGCAACTTTGATGGCAGTGTCCGAGTTGGAAGGAATCTTTCCAGCGTTCTTTGGGTTGGGGGCATCCTGCCAGTAGACGACACCCAACATGGCCGTCACCAAGTTGATGGCGAAGATATCATATGCGTCGGTGAAGAAACCAATACCGGCGACGACAATGGCACGGACATGGTACCAGCCAAAGGGAGCCTTGTCGATCTCGGCAAGAGCAAGTCGTCGTCGCTCGTTGGGGTCCTGGATATGGGCAAAGTCGTTGTGGAAGTTGTGGAAGGCGGCGTTTCCGCCAGCAGTCTTCGTCGCCATGGCGGGCAGGGTCTTTCAATAGAAGGCGGACGTCTTCCAAGAGTCTAAGGGAAAGTCAAGACTAGACAAGCAGTGGAGGAAGGCTTGCTGGAGAGACAAGACAAGAACCGAGCGTACGAGTCCAAGCAGGCAGGGAGCTGTGCTACATATACCTTTCGCAAGATAGGTCACATCGCGTCTGTACCAAGGCTCTGGGCAGGCCGCAGGCGAACTGAATCTGAAAAGTTCGACAAGGTGGAGTGCCAGTGGACCGACAAGGCGAGTTGCCAGCGTCAAAGACTATACCATGACACTTTCCCCACTTGGACTGTCTCCCTTGACAGCATCGAGGAGGGCGCCGTGAGAGCCAATAGATAAAGGCCACTAGGACACGCCATGAGCAGAAAGAAATAGGATTTTCAGTGAGCAGGCGCATCGAGATGAATCTATCGAGGACGCCGCGGATCAGCAGAAGCAACAGTGGAGGGAGATGCGAGGCAGAGCGGGTGGTCACAGGTGTGCACCCTGGCGTTCTCCGCTTCGCCACCAATAAGATCTGTGGGCCGGGATCGGAATGCCCTAGCTTCGTAAGGTGTTCTCTCGTACCGGTTTCCCACTGTCCTGAGGTCCTCGACGACCCATTGGATGTCCAAAGCATCACGATTCCTCTCGCTTCAGATAGCCACTTTGTTCGAGAAGCCTTGAAACTGTCTTCTGGGCGCCAAGCAGGCCAGTGGAACAGTCTCCCTCGGAAAGTGCCCCAAACCTACGCTGAAAGAGCAAACCACGAGCTGAGCGCTTGGAACGTGGCCGCGGTGCTGTCGAATTTTGATATCAGGACGCTTGGCTCTGATTTCATGGCTCTCCATTGTGATCCAACAGACACAGACACCAGTGGTGAGTTGAACGATCAGCAATCTCCCTGGACAGACTTCAGACGATGAATTCTGGCGTCAACCGATCATGTTTGGTCAAGAGCCCGTTGGCAGAGTCAAGACCCATCCAGGCTCATTGAGACAGGTACCTAGGCAGGTAGGCCAGACCAACATGGCCGTAGCAATCTCACTGGCAACGGTTAATCAGACCATGGTATTGTGTTTTGGGTGTTGTGTTTTCGCGTTTCCACTTCAGCTTTAGCTCAGCCAAACTGCAGGCTCGGGTTAATGGCTGGTTCGAGAGCTTGCAGGGATTTTAGCGGGCCATATGCAGGCAACAACCAGGGGTGAGGATTGTCATGGTGGACAGCGAGTGGCTGGAGGAAACGAGCCTGAAAGGGTCTGGAGCTAGGAGGAGGCTCAGTTACCCAGTGGACGTTTTGGTCAACGGGCGTTTGGTGGCGGGCGTCGGGCGACAGTCTGGGCGCAGCCCTGCAGAAATTTCACCTGTGACCTGAAGCCACCGAGGATTTCAGGAAGCGGTCCAAAAGGGTGGGAAAGAAAGGGAGTTGGATGGGGAGGAGGGGCGGGGCGGGCAGCTTCCCTGAAAGAGGCCCTCCGAAGCGGCTGCCAAGCCACACCAAGCCACACGTGCCAGCTAGTCACGGTGCTTGAATCGACCACGTTTCTTGTTGATTGGTGAGAACACAACCTGCGCCCAGCTGCCCGCCAAGGCTCCGTCGTTGATTGATCTCGACGCTGGCGAGGCTTGGAGTGACACTTTGAAGCCTCAGAGAATGCCGAGTCTTTTGCGTCTTTCTTTCCTCGTAATTGATCACCCAACGCTGCCCACGATGAAATTCCCATGCAGCCAAGCACGCCAGAGGCAATATACCGGCCACACCCATGGTGACTACGGTGACTAGGTACGGTGGTAGTTGTGTCTGACTCCTTGGCCATCAAACTCAAATCAAAGGGATGGAAGCGAGGGCGAGGGAAGAAAAAAAAAGGAAGATCTCCATACAAGCTTCCAGCGTAGCAAGCTACCGAGTACCGAGTACGTATTGTATTGCTCGCCTTCCAAATACGGCGAGCAGCACTGCGCATTTGTCAACTCCGTCCGCAGGCAGACCCCGAGTCAGGTAAAACGCATCGTCTTGAGTTTATCGAGATCAAACGAGAAGTCATACTATCATCATATGATGTTAGTCCCCTCTAAGATCAGCAGTTTCAAGCGGGCTCGGAGATAGTGGTGAATTCGACACATCCATACAGAAGAGAACAAGAGTGGAAGGTGTCTCCGCTGATGATGAAAGGATATGCGCAAGGACAACAGTCTGCAGCTCCACCATATCTCGATCTGGCTTCTGGGTTGTCGACATATGCTCAAACTTGTCAACGACATCAAGAGGGTCATCGGCGTCTGGGCTGAATGAAGCAATTCGATCGTCTCTGGGCATACCTCAGAAATGCTGGGCACACCTCAGAATCGTCTCAAGGTAAGGTGGAACAGGGGGGGAGCGATATCACCCTGTCAGCTCCAGGTGGTGCTGGGTCAAGGTCTAATGGGGTACGAGTATGCAGCATGCTACCTGTGTCCGGGACGAGGAGTCCGTCCAGATGCTTCACCTGATGGTTTATTTTGCCCTTGCCTTTGTGGCTTTAGTGCCTCAGTTTCAATATCTCTCAACCGGTCGCCGTGGCCAGCACGCCCCCTTTCCTAAAGTCATACGAGTAATCCTGCAATTGGTGTAAAGAGAAATAGACCAAGGGTGTCTGGTGTGAGACATTCAAACGCATGGATTTCGACGCGATGGTAACCTTGCTATGGCCTGAGTGATGCTCCTTTCTCTCCGGCCCATTACCCCATGTCACTTGTCCCCCTGGTCCCCTAGTCGCAAGACTGCCTGCCGCTTCAATCCCTGCTAGCGGCCTGCACGAGAAGCAGGAGAGAACATTCCTTCGACTTTCCTGATTTAGAACAGGGACCAATGGCGGTCTCGGCCTCGACTCAAGCCAACCCTGGCATGCCTTGGTCACAAGGAATCCTTCTTGTCGCTGTAGTCTGACTTTTCTTCTGCCGCAAGGGGGTGCCTTCCATGCGAATGTCAGCAGACTGGCTGCAGAGGCCGTTGACCGTCGAGGCGCAATGTTTCCAGGTTGTCGCATTCTGTCCCGGGGGCGCAGTGCTGCCGTGTGAGAATGGCAGGCCTTTTAGCTGGGGGCCGAGCGGCAAGGCAGATTACCGAACCTGCCGTCGTGATTGAGGTTCGCCAACTTCAGGTCATGCACTTTGCTCTATGACTCAGTGACTTCTGGAGGTGTTCCATGGTTCCCTGTGAATCGCTCATCTATTTCATCTTGACAGTGCGCAAAGAGGCAAGGGCATGGCATAGCCTCATGGAGGACCCAGCTCAGGATTCGCAAGCCCATGCTCGGCCGTGTCAAGGTGAATTGCAAGGCCATTCTACAACTACGACCTTGCGAGGCTGACTCGAGGCCGCCTGTCAGGCTGGGATCTGCTTGGACGTGGATATGTCAGGGTACACGAGCGCCGGAGCCAACGACCAAGTGAGATATTTTTGAAGAGGAGGTGACGAGTTATAGAGCCAACCTCCACAGGCTCCTCTCGGTCGTGACAGCAGGTCTGTTATCTCTGCTTACAGTGTCATTCTCAAGGGTCAATACGCAACCACGGCGACAAAAAGGCACCCTGTCACAGCAATTGTGTCCGCATATTCTTGTGCCCATCCCCGCCTCCAGAGTTCCGTTCACGCACAAGTCTCTTCTTCAACAAGCAATTCTGATGCAAAAGAACATCCTGAGCTCTAAGACTTCACGCCAGAGCGAGTCACGCAAGACTGTGCCAATCGAGACGCATTGACCAGCCTCCCATCAGGCAAGACGGACGGACGCACAAAAGACACAAGAAGGTTGTTGACGGACTTCGAAGAAAGAGGATGGGGTAGTCAGACTTTTCCAAGAATGCCCCAGCGCCAGATTCGTGCCTCGTCCCTCCTACGACTGTGGTAGGTGCAACGGCCAGCAATAGAATGAACATTCAGCACGAGCACGACGCCCTTGACGCACGCTTCTTCTACCAACGACAGACAAACCTGTGTCTGTGTCGAAGAGAACCTCGTGCTGAGGACTCTTTCCGCGGACCACAGTCCTGCCTCCCTATCCCTGAAAAGTGTTCCGAGTAGAGACGATTGATCGTTCCCAACGACCAGATACATACCTAGCGAACTGAACTTTTCCGACCTCAGCATTACGATACGATAGGTTAGGGCAAGATGTGATATCCCCCGTCAGAGCATCCTTGTCCTGCAGAACCCGCTCGATGAGAACGATGCCTCTCGCGGATCTTCTATCCCCCCCAAATTTCGACACACCAACTAGTTCTGCACACCGATAGCCTCTTCCTCTTTCCAAACAACAAAGCTTTAACACGATCGAAAACGGAGCATCCACCCAGACAGACTCGCCCGGGTAGGTTCCTGTACCGATGGCGAGGAGTCGTACGAACGGGCGACATCTCGATCTGGTGTCGTCGAAGTACTTCTGGCTGTTAAAGGGAAAGGTAGGCACCACTATCTGGAGGCAGAGGGGACATATCTGCGCGTCCACCAAGGCTATAGATTGCATACCTCGTACTCGGGACTGAAACCGCCCTGTATGGTATAGCTAGATACTCTCAGCTACCTAGGTATGTACAGCCATATTAAAACCACATTTGCCATACAGGATAGATCAATCTCGACCTGAACAGGTTGATCTGTACAAGTTACGTCTACATGTATTGATCACTCCACATGGTCTGTTCAACCGTTGCCCTTTGCCTTCCAATTCGTAGTCTTTTTCTGGTTTTTGAAGCGAGAAAACCTCCATTTCATACCTGTCAACTCCTCCTTCCAGAGGACTTCAGGTGTCCTCGTCAAAACCAGCACCTTCGAAGGCATGACTTCATCGACCGGAGCTGCCAACATTCGCATCGTGTTTGTCATTCTCCACTTGGCCCATTCAGCGCAATGCATGCCCATTCATTGCTTCCCCGTTCTCCTTCCTGAGGACATTCCCGCTTTTGAGGTGTTCTTTCCCAGCTTGCAGCGCTCCTTGAAGCCCAAATTGCTGCCTCACTCCCTCAATACGGTGGGTTGAGTTGATGTTCTTGACCAAGACAATTTGGAAACAAGTCGCGGAACCTTGTCGAGAGATGATGGTGCTCCAGGCCAAGAAAAATTCCCAGATTCTGTACCATCTCACGCCATACTTCGCCTTGACCTTTTCAGCGTTGCCGAGCCAGTTCCTGTACCATCGCCAGAGCGTCGCACTGTAGTGCACACCGATTGTGTCCACGGATTTGACTTCGAAACCGGCACCTTCAAGTTTATCGATGACGAATCCCAGAGGAGTCGATGCGTCGGCGCCAGGAAAGATGTACTTGTTCATGAAAAGCCCCCAAATGAGGTCTTCGTACTGCCAGTACTTCCTCAGGCCGGCGATCTGCAAGAAGAAAACACCGTCGTCGTCCAATAGATCGTTGACTTGGCGGAGGAAGCTCGAGAAGTGTCTGACTCCCACGTGCTCGGCCATTTCAAGACAAGTGATCTTGTTGTACTTCTCGTTAGATCTGTTGGGAGGGGAATGGGGGATGTCACGGTAATCCATGCAGAGAATTCGAGACTGGGACTCTGGGATGTTCAACTTCCGAAGACCGTTGTTTCCCCATTTTGTCTGGTTCCGGCCCAGTGTGATGCCAGTTGCGTGTGCGCCATAGTTGGCACTGGCATATTTCGCCAGGGTTCCCCAGCCACAGCCGATATCAAGGAGCGTCTCGCCCTGTTGAAGTCCGATCTTCTCACACACCACGGCGAGTTTGTTGTCTTGCAGCTCCTCCAAAGACTCTTCGCGGTTGATGTCGGAGATGATTCCCGAAGTGTAAATCATCCGCGGGCCGAGAAACCATCCGTAAAAGTCGTCACCACGGTCGTAGTGATCACGGACTTGTTCTTCATCCTGGGAGCGGGTGTGCATAATAACTTCAGGAATCATACCGGTGAAAAAGAACCGGAACAGCGAGAGTGTGAAACGGAAACTTGCCCAGTCGTGGCGATACTCCATGGCTTCCAGGCAATCACCCTTGAACGAGACCTTTTGGTCAAAGTACATCTCGTGGAATGTCTCCATTGGGATTTTGTTTTTTCCATGGTATCTTGCTTTATCCTCCTCACTGTGGAAGTCGAGGTAGTGTTCGACCGGACGGCCCGGGTACGTTGCCTTCTCATTTATCCGAGGCGAGATGGTTGAGGCGACGGACCAGAAAAGCATGAGGATGGGAATGCTGGTCAAGACAGCCATGAAGAGTGTGGTGTAGAACCCGCCATGCAGTTGGCGGGCAATGTACCATGGCACGGCAATGAGCAGACCAATGAGCAGGAGGTTGTTGAAGGAGTCACCTCCTGCGGCGTCGGCAGGGAGAGGGGCATTCTTGATTGAAGGATACTAGAGGAGGCAATCATAAGTCTGGGGAGCACAGAGAGCTTCCATTGAGCTACACAACGTACAGAAGTCACTCGGACACCACAGTTTGAAGAAGGTTGCTCCGGAGGTGCACGAGGTGTCTGGATGAATTCAAAGTCCTCAGGGGACTCTGGATGTTTGCTGGTCATAGCGACTGCGGTTGAGACGGGGGTTATGTGGAAGAAGCGAAGTGCAATGCGGTGAACATTTCGAGGTGTGGGAGAGGAGCATGTGCGGGCCGGAGCTTGGTGGTACCTGCATATCGAAAAGTGGAGATGCGCCAATCCTTTGGATATCACCAGCTACAGCCAGGCAACATTGCACCATTGAAACAGAGTATACATAGTACTCCTGTCAATCTTCGTCTATCTTTCCAGCGAACTCTCCAAGGAGTATATCGTCTGTGGCAGGGCCCCGGTTGTTTCTTACCCACTCCGTCTCAACCCTGAAAAAGATCCACATCCATCGCCTCAACACCTCCAAGAACTCCATGAGAAAAATCCCGCCCTCCAGGTCATTAAAGTGATCCAAGTGTGGCGAAAGCTTGAAACTCCAGGTACAACGCAGTAGAAAGTCTATGACAATGGCACTATAATACACCTCTTTGGGATGGAAGTACCGGTGACGTCGCAAACCCCAGGGGTATTCGGGGTTGTTTCTCTCGCGGCTGGAAGAGAGAAGCGAAAGGTCCCAATCTTTGGCCACATCCCAGTAGAAAGAATAGAAGGAGTTGACAAACACGAAAAACAGCCTGTAAATCGTCAGAGCAACGCAGCATGTGAGCGACAGCTTGTGCTCACCATAGTCTGAAGAGCCCAGCCTCGCTCAGATAGAATTTGCTAGGGTCGTAACCTCGTTGCAAAGCACTCAAGATGATGACGGGAAATGCGCTGGAATATTTCAATGCATTGGCCAGGTGTTGGCCACCCCAACCCGAAGAAGTCGATCGATTCCTGCGAACCCGATAGTACTCAATGAGACACTGCCTCAATCGAATCATGCTCGGGATGCTGATGATCAGAGGCACGAGGTATGCGCCTCCACATCCGCGATTTGGCCTCGCCGTACTGGTTGTCTTCGAGTCAAGGAGCATGCAAGTCGAAACGAACAGATCACCCAGGACTTTTGCGTAACTCGTGAGAACGTCGGCCAGTAAGATATCCCCGAACTTTCCATCCTGGACTTCTGCCAAACCTCCCAAGCCGATTCTCTTTAAGGATCTTAGAAAGTGTAGCCGACCAGACCGTGACATGCGTTTGAGTGGTAGGAGAAAGCACACGGCGAGAAGCACGAGGTAGGACTGCGGGAGAATCTGCCATCGTAGAACCGCGCGCTGGTCGCCCCGGGTGACCGCCCAGAAGAGAAGAAGGGAGGCAATCAAGGGAATAGTGAGGAAAGAGGCAAACCGATACGTCGAGTAGTGGTGGTGCTGGGCTTGTCGAGGAGGATACCGAATTAGTGCGGGTACATCCTGCGCCGGTCAGCTCGGTACCGATGAAGGTAGTCTCAACAATAAACTTACAATCTTGATGAGATGCAAATAGTGTAGATTGAGACCCCATGCCCAAATGCCTAGGAGCTGCATTAGATCATGAACAAATGGTGCCCGTCCGGCGGCATACCAAGAACAACTATAATTGCGACTCTGTAAGGGAGCGGCAGAACCAGGCTGAAAGAGTCGACCTCAGGCTCCACGGCGACGTCTCCGTCCATATTGATCTGAGCATATCATGCTTTTTATGACTATAAAGAGTCTGGGAGAAAGAGTAAAGAGCGAGAAAAGAATAATATCGAAAGAAGGAGGCGGATAGTCCAAGCCACGCACTCAAGGCGCAAAAGTTGGGGATCTGGCTCTGCGAATTGATACTTGCGCCTCGTTGGTGATTAACTTCCGGAGCAGCCTAATTAGGCAGACTTCCACCGCCGTTTTACGACTCAACGCAGGGTGCAGGGATATCTCCCGCCGTAGTTGGCCGCTAGTGCCGCCGCTTTTGGGGGACCTTCCTTCTCTCAATGCCAAGATCGCTGTCTGCTGCGGACCAGAAACAGGGGAAGGGATCTTCCAACTCTTCGCTACCCTGACTGTCGCTTTTGAGAACCTCGAGGGACGGTCCTTCCGGTTTTCTTCTCCGCCACCAAGAGGACATTGCCTGACCTTCTCAAGATCGACTCTAACCGTCTTATCTCTCATCCCCTCTCATATATTCCAGCGGCTCTATCGGCACCACATAAGGCTTCAGCAACAGAGAACGCAGTCTGGCGGCGATATAGATAAAGCCATATTTCCAGCACGCTCGGGCTCTGGCGACACTAAGGTGGCCATTGAGAAAAAAGGTTCCATTCTTTGTGACACTAAGGTTCCTATACAAGAGGGCCGACATCGAGGTAATCAAGAGTACGGAGGTTGCAAGAATAAGAGCAAAAACCGACGTTCAAGAGAAATAAAACCTATCCAATTTTAGTGAGCATGAGTTCTATCCTGCATAGCTATCTGAGCGGAAGGCTCTCAATCCGTACGGAGCTACAAAGCTTCCCCCCTACGATTGAACTTTGCCAATTGAAGCTTCGACTTGCCCTGAATATCTTGTGCTGCTGATGACAGCTCTCTGAGATGTTAGACCGCCTTTCCTTTTGAGACAGAGCTGACCATCCATTGGATTTGGACGAAGGCTGAATCGCCGATGGCAAGCCTATCATGTTCGATGGCCTGACATGTTGCTGCCCAATGCGCCCTATTTGGCTGCGCGAATCCAAGCCAAAGACATAATTTCGTCTTTCGTGCCAGGCTCCCACGGAATTGCAGACTGTATCATCACGCCGCGATTGAGGTGTCGCAGGTAAAGGACCACTAGCGAGCCGCATCAGGCCTTCCAACTGCGCCCGGAAATGCAGTGTAGTGCAAAGCTCTGGCCGAAATATGGAAAGAGATGACCACAGCACCTGCGCTGGGATTGCACCCCAGGTAATTGAGATGCCAGTACCGTCCTGCGCTCCCTTCTCCAACACTTTCTCAATTCATTTGATATAAGGTACAATCATCTGAAAGCCCGGCGCCACAGTTTCAACTATGTCTTTCGGTGCAAGTCCCAGCGACCTTGTCATGCTTCTCACGGCTCTCGATCGGCTGGCCCGGACTCTCCTCAAAGAGGCAGTCGAAAGCTTCGTGCGGTGCGCAAGAGTGTATGAGACTTTTTCTAAATTCGCAAGACATCTTGACAGCTGTGAGGCAAGTCACGGCATTCAGAGCAGCGACCTGTTTAGACATTCTCAAGGGGAAATCGCGAGGCTGCTGCAAGAATTCTTCGGCAAGATCAAGGACTTTGAACCTTTTCTCGGTTGCAATCGTCATCGAAATTCGCTCCGAGGTGCTATCGCCAAAATCCAATGGTCACAACATGCAAAGGCCTTGGAAGACCTTCGTCAAGACCTCGAGACCCAGATGAACACTATCACCTTTGCGATTCTAGTACCTGCGAGGTAAGTCATCGCCGTCACACAGGGTTTTATTTGGCATTCTTTGCTATATCAATCATCAGCTAACGCAGAAAACTCAAGGCCAAACTTCCTCACGCAGGTTCTGCCGGGTTTTCCGGGACCAGAGTCTATCCCTCGCCTGCCCATCGGTGATCACTTCACCTTCGAAGATGCACGTCGTGTGGTTCGTTTGATCTCCTTCAGGGATATACCAAATTGGGAGGTTAGTGGCATCGAACAAGATAGGAGATTGACCTACCAACAAAGAGCTCTTAACTAAGAGATTTACTAGCATTTCCACGAGTTCCTTCTTCGAGTATTCCCCCACGGTCGCCGAGGTCACAGCGCCATTGCGGCAAGATCCTACGTTCTACATAACGCCGATACTGGAAAAGGCATTCTACCAAGCAGCCCCTGCGTGAAGGTCTTTCGAGAGTTCATCTCGCCGGATGAACGCATCGAGATGAGCATCATCTTCCCCTATGAGGACTCTTACACTACGATTTGTCCTAAGTGTAAGACTAGGCGCAGGGACACTACGAACGTAGCTGTAACGTGGTATGTTAAATTTACTCGACACTAAAAGGCTTCTGATGTATCCCCAGCCAGCTAACATTGAATAGTCGTAAATGCGGTCTCTTTGTTCGCTTTCAAGACTCATTTAGGGACGCAATAGATCCCCTTACCCAACTTGCAATCGACGACGTTCGCGGAAGCGGCTTACGCGCGTTTATCAACGACTTCGTTGATGAGGCCGAGAGGAACGGCTATTTCAACGCGAATCACAACAAGCACCAGCTAAAGGACTTGATCGGTAACAATTTCCCAGATTCGAGGATCCATTATGCGAGAGGAGCGTACAAAGAACATTCGGAAATCCAAGATTTTCTGCGAGTGACGGTCTACATCCCGCAATGGCCAAGCTTTGAGCAAGTTTCGACCTTCAGGAATGCTGAGAGGCTCTTAGCCAAAGTCATGAAAGGCTTACAACGCAGACTTGAGCTTCTCCAGACTGCCACAGACTCGCCTTTGGCTATTGTCGGGAGGGCAATAGGCTCCCGAGCCCTCGGTGGCCGCCCTGAATCGACTGTGGAATTTTTGAGATTAGCCTGGTCGATGTACGATTTCCGGACACAAGGAAAGCGCAAATCTGTGCAAATTATTCGTGTCCTAGCAGCCTACTATCAATGCGCCAAGGAATCCAGGTACCAATTCCACCCTTCGGTCGTTAAGGCACGATGTCTTCTCTGGACGTTTGCACAAGTCCTTGCACTCGAGAGAAAGCTCCTCCTCAGCTGCGCGGAAGCCCTCAATCCCTGGTGCAAGCCAGAAGGAACGACATACGAGGAAAGCTCCACATTCCACAAGCTCTTTTCAGTTCTCTTCATACCTCATGTTATAGTAATCAGATGTACTTTCGACGTCCTTCAAGATGCGGGATCATTCTTGTTTGGCACGAGTCAACCTCCAGAAGTCCTCTGGGCAATTTTTCAGATAATTAAGGACTCGAGAAATATTTGTCTTTGGTTTTGCTCAGATGGACACTTAGGAAACTACGACCTGGATCTCACACCGTCGCACCTCTTCACTGGAACAACATTCACAAGAGAGTTTCACCGAGCGAATTCGCCCGCCCGGGGTTACTTGGAGTCGATCTTGAGGTCAGGAAGTGAAACTTTAAAGGCCGACATGCTCAGATGGATTTTTGATGCCTACTAGGGGTGCTATGGTTCCACTAGACGAACATGAAGGACTAGTTGGCCGGTTGGTATAGAAAGTGCATGCTTAAAAACAAGTGAAAGAACTAGTGCTAGATACCATCCTAACACACTCCGTGTTTTCCCTTCTCCCATAAGGCCGCAGTTCTAAGCTTTCTCATTTACCGAGTTCATACCCCCCCCTATATATACTTATCTCCTGGCGTTTCTGGGGTCCATTGTGGCGAGGAGGGAGAAGCCGATCACAGCGACGAAGTGAAGTAGGGTCTGCCGCCGACTCGCCATAAGAGAAACGAGCGACGGGCATTCCTACGGTGGTATTGACCACGGCGATAACGGTCCCGAGAATGAGAGAACGGCACTGGGCTTTGGCTCATTCTTCAGGGTCCTCACGATTTAGTTACGATGAGAAGATCCCTGAAGGAACGAAATGGAGACGGAGACTTTTAGTGAGTTATCTTAACGATCCCACAGTTCCGCTTGAAATTATTAGTTCACCGTTTAAGTACAGGGTTGCCTACTGTTAAGTTCATCGCATAGAACAGAGAATCGACGTCTGTGTTTGTTCGAGCGAAATCATGTCTGGTGAATCCCACTTCTCCCCATTCATAGCGCCGTTCGCAACAATTCCGCCAACAGTCGTGAATCTTTCCCATACCTACACACATGAAGTATATAGTCTTCACTTCGATACTCTGTGTGCGATATCGCTAACAATCCCGAATCAAGCTACCAAATCACCGGTAGCGACTGTCCATCCATTGCGCATCCTTCAAGACGTCTTGACATAATCGGGTTTGAAAGTGGTCGTCTTCACCTCCGCGACCAAACTTTCCCCAAATTCTCCCTCGTACCCGTGAGCGGCAAGGTATTCTCTGAACTTGGCGTCCTCGCTCTCAAGTTCTCGATCTCGGTTAGGGATGAATACCCACGAGATAATGCCACCAGCTGCGGCGAATCCAGCACCGATAAGGAAGACTGCCTGAGTACCCTTTTGCACGTCGCTAAAGGAATCCTGGATAGGCGTGAAAACTTGGGTCCCAATCGCAGCACCAGCTTTGCCCACCGCAGCGGCGAACCCCATAAAGTGGCCGCGCAGAGGAGTCGGAAAGCTTTCAGCTGCTGTCAAGAAAGTGCAAACTCCAGGTCCCATCTCTCCCAAACTGTTGAAAATGCCATAGAGAACGACAAACAGGGGGAACACCGATTGAATAGGGTTCAACGCGCCTCCCAGGATGAATCCCAAGAGTGCCCACAACCCAAAACCGAGAGTCATGGTCTGCTTGCGGCCGATTCTATCCATTAATACCCCGCCAACAACACAGCCAGGAAGGTAAAAACTGTTAATTAGAGTACCATATCCGATGTTCTGGATCAAGGTGTTGTTAGGATTGAGTTGACCGATGATGGTGGAGCTGAAAATTCCAAATGGGTAGGTGACACTGCCGACGGATCAGCGAAATCAAGGAGTGGCTAGGATGGTGTCCAACTTACAAATCATACATGAACCACGCGAGGGAAGTTCCCACCATGGGCTTCCAATATCGCTTGATGATCAACCAATAGGGTACGTTTCGCTTGATAGCATGTTTGCGATACTGACTGGATTCGACCATGCGGATTCGGAAGAAGAAAAGTGTCACCGGAAGGACGAAGCCCAACCCGAAGCAGACGCGCCAGATTCCGCTTGAGATCTTATCGTTGTAGCATTCGATGACGATCAGCGCGACGATACCCGCAATCACGAACCCTAAGTCAATGGAAAAATCCGTGGCCATGGCGACAAGGATGCCTCGTCTGCGGCGGACATATTCACTCTCGTCTGACGCCTCGGCGCTACCGGTTCCGCAGGTTGGGTACTCGCCTGTATCCAGTTGTTAGACCCTTGACTGGGACCTGGGCTTTCAAATTGTACTCACCTCCGGCACCGAACCCAGCAACACCGCGAGCAACGATCATCATCCAGAACATGCCCAGCTGAGTGACGCCATGAGCAGCCGTGGCCAAGACGATACCAAGAACAAGGAAGAAGGTGGCGAAGACAATGCCGGTACGACGCCCTATCTTATCGATGAGGAAGCCAAAGAAGAGCATGCCGAAGATTTCGCCAATGAGGTATGCGTTGGACAACCGGGTCTTGATGATGCTGGACATGCCGTCTTTGTACAGTTCCGTGAACAGGGGCTCCATATACCTGCAAGGGGATCGTGTAAGCATTTCGTTCCAATTCAGCAGCGACATGGCATATACCCAATGATTTGCGCATTGTATCCATCAGAGAACAGAGCAAGACCGGCAACCAGAACGGTAATAACAGACGAGACCTTGGTGATCCTAGCGACTTCTACGTGGCTGAGTCTTCTATCCCCAACCTCAACGTCCTGTCCATTGGATTGACCTCTATGGGACTCATCACGCGTGATTTCATAAGAAGGCTGGTACTTCTCGGCTGCCATTGCTGCTGGTGGGAGGTTGTCCGTAGGGCCTGGCGCGAAAGGCTTAAACATTGGTCGGGAGGGTGGACGTAGATATCTATATATGCATCTTCAATTAGGCCGTTGAGGAAGTTCTTTCTTCTACCGCCTCAAATTTCTCATCTTGATAGACCCCTTCAACCTCGAAAGCGCCATCTCGCCGTGACTCCGTCAAATCAGTGGCAAACTCCATCGCCATCGGCTTGAAGAACAGAACGGGGAACACGAAGAGGAAATCCCTGCATGGTAACTGCCTGCCAGTTGTGTGGGAACGTGCAGAACGTGGCATATACCTGGTCGTCCAAAATTGCTAAAGATATGCGGCGAGGGACGTTCAGCCTTGATTGAAGTTCTCCTCAAAAAGCTCCCTTTCGGGACAAAGCCTGCCAGGGCTTGACCCACGTGCCAAGGTCAAACAAGATGATTCGGATCTGCAAGACCTGGCAGGATGGCGATCGTTATGCAATGCCAAATAGAGAGCCATCGAACGGTTCGTCAACGTCGCATCTTTCTGCAGCCACTCGGTTCGAAGTGCGATGTTGCAGTGTCTGACAACAAGGAAATCCTTCTCGAACGGTAGGATTGTTTGCGCGTGGCCACGCATTGAAATCCGGTGCCCGGGTCTGACAAAGTGGAGCTGGGATCGCACTGTCGACAATCGACACTTGCCGCTTTCGATCGCAGAGAGTGCATTCCATTGGAAGCTCTTTCGATTGGCTACTGAGTGAGAGAAAACCAAGGAAAGCATATAAGTGGTCCAGGTCAGGTTGATAGCAGAGGCAGCGAGGCAGTTCTGGAATATCTAACCAAAAATCTCCAGACATCGTATGTTCGTGCATTGGCGCAAGGAATAGGCAAGATGTCGGTGCCCGAAGAGCAGATGCAGTTCTTTCGCAAGAATGGCTACTTGATTCTTCGTAATGTCCTATCCGAAGAAGAGACCAAGGATCTCCAGCGATGGGCGCAGGAAGTCCATGACTGGCCAACAGACGCAAACAGTCCCTGGATGCCGTACGAGGTATATGCTTTGTGGAGGCACCAGCAATGAATCGCTGAAGATCTGGCAGGAAATCAATGCTCAAGGGCAGACCGTGTTGTGCCGGACAGAAAACTATGCAAATTCCCATGCAGGCCTGAATGGCCTCCTTCGTGGACAGAAGTTGTTGAATCTACTCAAACAACTGTCGGGCGAGGACATGTTGCTGTTCAAGGAGAAGATCAACTACAAGCTCGCAGGGAGCGGTATGACCTTTTCACATAAAGTTGATAGCGGCCTCTTGCTCACCAACGCGTAGGCGGATTTGCGCCCCATGTTGACTCGACAGCATACACTCACATCAAAAACATCAAACACCTCGCTATCCTTCTGGCTGTTGACCCATCGGATATGTCCAACGGTGGGCTGGAGGTCGTTGAAGGGAGCCACGAAATGAACGTACCCATTGGTGAAGACAACTGCATCGAGCCGGACTGGGTTAAGCAGCAGAAATGGACCCCAGTGGAGCTCAAAGCAGGTGAGTAGAGCTAAAAGCCTTCTCTCAAAAAGTGGTGCTTTCAAGTCCCACCAGTGTGCAGGGTGCTCTGTTCCAAATGCTGACCTGATTTGTAGGGCAAGTTCTTGTTTTTGGCTCATATCTTGCACACCGGAGTGGCGCCAACCATAGTAATCAGGACCGAAAAGCACTTTATGCCACATACAACTGTGCGAGAGAAGGCGATCTGCATGACGAGTATTATGCGCATAGAAAAGTTGTATGGCCACCTGCACAACTGCGGAAAAAGGGCGAGGAATATAAGGTAGGAGCACTGGTGTATGGCTTTGGAAGCCCTATGCTCAGTGTGGATGCTGGGAAGCAACTCGAGGTATGGGCCGAACTGATTGCCGTTGCTAAAAATCATCCTTCGAGGGCGGTTGCTGACTTTTTTCTCACCAGTTCGATGAAGAAGAGTGGAAGTCTAAACCCAGAGCTGCAAAGGCTGCGTCCCGCATTATCGACATTCTCAACCAGTATGGGAATAGCGACTACATCGGCGAACCGATATCGCAGATCGAACATTCGTTACAGTGCGCCTATCTTGCCGCTCAGAATATGGCGGACCCTCAGACAGTTGCTGCCGCTTTGCTCCATGACATTGGGCAAATCATCCCGGAAAGAGATGCTGAGCACATCCTGGGTGGAGCTCAGGTACGGAGCATGCGTCAAAATAGCGGGATCGGCGCAGATTCGAGGAGCTCAGATAGCGTGGGCAGGGTTTCCCATGAGACATTGGGGGCTCAGTATCTGCTGGCGTTAGGTTTTCCAGCCAAAGTGGCTGAACTCGTCGAGGCTCACGTTCCTGCAAAGCGTTACCTCTGTGCCACAGAAAAGGGTTACTATAGCACCCTGAGCGATGCAAGCAAGGAGAGTTTGCGATTCCAGGGCGGCCCGATGAGCCCAGATGAAGTGCGACTATGGCAGGAAGGCAGCTGGGCGGACGAGAAAGCCAATCTGAGGAGATGGGATGACGGAGCCAAGGTGGTTGGCTTGACTGTACCTGGGTTAGAGACATATCGACCAGTTTTAGAGCAGGTCTTGAGTTCTTGAACATGGGGAGCCAATTGGGCTGGTTTTGAAAAGAGCGAGTGTGCGGCCATGTTGAATGACTAGTGAAATGTGATTCCCAATGCCAGAGATGGTGTGTTTGCGAGAGAGAGCAAGTCGAACATCGAAGGTCTACCGACCTCGCGACCTAGGTACCTAGGCACATGTAGGAGTGAGAGGTGCCAGGACCAGACTGAGAAAGTTTGCCGGGGCTACATACGGCACTGCGCCAAATTCATCCTATTTCATCTCGACGCCGCTCAATGTGAAACAAACCAGACCATTACCTTCCCCTACACAAGTTCCGGCGAGCAGGATGAGGTGGTATGGAGCAGCCTCCATATTGTCGACTCTGTTCTGGCCGGCTTGTGCCATCTTCGCCGACGATGCCTTCCACATAGACTTCCACCATGCGCTTCTTGGAAGCCCGCAACCTCATACTACCTTTTTCCACAAGCCACATTCGAACACCAACGCCTCTCTTCTCTACACCGTCTCCGACAAAGCTGTCCTGGGCGCCGTTAACCCGAAGGATGGGTCAGCGCTGTGGCGTCAACCTCTGGCAGGACAACCCATTGACAATGCATCGAGTTCGTATCTGATTGCGGGCGAAAGAGACGGCCAGCTAGTGAGCGGATATGATAGGACTGTGGCATGCTGGGACGCTCTCGATGGAAGACTCATCTGGGACTTCACTCTGCCACAGGGGACTGTAATAGGTGGACTGCAGGCCATTCCCCTCCAAGGCTCTGTCACCGACGGAGTTACGCAAGACTTCGTGGTCCTGGCTATTCCGACGGACTCTCAAACACATATTTCAGTCAGTCGGATTGCTGGCGATGGCAGCGGACAAAGATGGCAGTATGTGGACTCAAGCACCGCGCATGGCTCCTTCGCGTCAATAGCAACGTCGTCTAAGCATATTTACTATGTCACAACATCTCACGGTTTGTTGACGAGCAACAAGGCGAAAGTTGTCACCCTGGATAGCGCAGCAGGGCACGAAGTCAGCCAAACCAGCATTGCCGTCGACTCAGAGCCCTTGGCAGCCGGTACTCGACATGCAGCGGCAGCCTGCTCCAACCTTCCGTTCCTGATCTCCGCTGAGAGACCGTTTAACTCGCTCAAGTTCACCCTCCTCAATAACCCGAAAGTATCCTCCCTCACTTTGGACGAGAAAGGTGAAGAAATTGAGGACGTTACTGTCCATGCTCTTTGTAACCAAGCTGCAGCTACTCATTTTCTCCTGCACATTAAAGGAAAGAAACGACAGTGGGCCGAGGTTTATCATGTAAACACGAAATCCGGGCATGCGTCGAAGGCCTACTCGCTGCCTGCTACCGAAGAACAGAGCGTCTTTTCTGCGAGCAGCTACGAGGGGGCTACCTTCTTCATTCGTTCCACTGAGTCGGAAGTCTTTCTGTATTCTTCGGAATCTCACGGACAACTAGGGAGATGGAAAAAGACAAACTTCAAAACCAGCCCTGGAAGCTTCCGCTCGCACGCGACCGCCGAGGTTGCGAGCAGAGGGAAGGCTAGCTACGCTGTTCGAGTTGCTGAGTTCTCCACGAGTGGAGATTGGTCCCTGATCCGCAATGGGGAGTTGCAATGGAGCAGGCCCGAGATGCTGGCCTACGCCCACCTTGCTGCGTGGGACGAAAATGGTGCTCCAGACGCCTTGGCTGAGGAACTCGATCTTGAGTCTTCAGTCAACCCCTGGATGGCCTACATCCATCGTATCAAGCGGCATATTCATGATCTTGCATCACTTCCTGAGTATTTGCGCAGCCTTCCCGACACCATTTTCAAATCTACTCCCGACGCTGATGCGATCACACGCCAAAATCTGGTAGGGACAAAAGTTGTGATTGTGGCCACTACTCGAAAAGAAGTAATCGCGCTCGATGCCACCACTCCAGGCGTTCTCAGGTGGCAATCAGATCTTTCCTCCCATATCCCGGAAGACGCCGAAATGAAAGCTGTTACAGTTAGTGATGGAAGGGTTTCAGTCTATCTCTCCAATGGATCCTTGATCGTTTTGAATGCGAGTAATGGAGATCTAATCGAAAACAAACCCGGCACCATCCCCATATCACACCTCATTCACATCCCTGGCAGCCCTGCACCAGCAGTCATCAAAGTTGGATCCGATGGTGTACCTCACCCTTCCGAGGACTTTGTCCCCGGTACTGCCCTGGAAGGCAACGTTGTGGTAACAATAAGCCCAGAAGGAAAGGCAATAGGCTGGACCGTTGGTCGCAGTGTCGAGAAGACGTGGATCCTAAAACCACAAGAGGGCATGAAGATTGTGCGTGCTGTCGCTCGGGCAGAGCACGATCCAGTTGCCTCGATAGGCCGTGTTCTAGGAGACAGATCTGTGCTGTACAAATATCTCTCGCCAAACGTTGCCCTTCTGCTGGCCACCTCGGACACCGGAGCATTGACAGTGTACTTGATCGATGCAGTGACGGGAGCTGTTCTACATACTGCAGCTCATTCCGGCGTGCTCTACTCAGACATCCCTGCTGTGATATCCGAGAACTGGTATGCCTACACCTTCACCGCTCGAGACCCATTGACCTCCGGCCTTTCCAACCAACTCGTCATTTCCGAACTCTATGAGTCCTCGGTGCCAAACGATCGGGGCCTTTTGTCCTCGCGAACGAATTATTCCGTCTTCTCCGTTGACGGCGCCGCGGCCAAACCCCACGTGATTTCTCAGTCATTCACTGTGGCTGAACCGATTTCTCATTTGGCTGTTTCGCAAACGGCGCAGGGGATAACTACACGTCTGCTGCTCGCGACATTACCCGACAGTAATGCAATAGTCGGTATCCCCCGCGAGATCCTCGACCCTCGCCGTCCCGTCGAGCGGGATCCCAATGCCACGGAGCGAGAGGAAGGCCTCACCCGCTACGTCCCGAACCTAGACTTTGATCCAAAATACTACCTTACACACTCTCGCGAGGTGTTGGGCATCAAAGAGGTCCTTTCTTCCCCTTCCCTCCTGGAGTCCACGTCGATGGTCTTCGCCTTTGGCCACGATGTGTTTGGCACGACGACCACGCCCAGTATGGCCTTCGATGTGCTGGGGAAGGGTTTTAACAAGGTGCAGCTAGTTCTCACTGTCGTGGCGTTGTTTGCGGGTGTGGGCGCCCTACGACCACTGGTGAGAAAGAAGACGGTTGAGGGCCGGTGGAAGTAGGGATCTAGTTGGAGCGATATATCCAGCTTCACTTCTGCGGAAGAGATTGTGTTGACGAGTTCTACCCCGGCCAGGAGAGGTGCAACGACATGCATGAAAGTGATCAAAACCGTCTGATCAGACAGGTTACCTTGCTCCCGCGGTGGACCTGATTGCAGTGGACTGCCGCAGCGAGAGCAGAAGAGCTGTTCGTTTCTGTGCTGGAACATCCTACGAAATGAAGATAAGAAAAGGGCACAGTCCGTGGGGAGGCAAGACCTTGGAATAGGATCTTCTTTGCTCATTAGCTATACTGTACCTCTTTATATAGAAAGAACGTCGGTGGCTTGCCAGACTCCCGTGTCTCTCTTGCTTTGCACCTTGCATTCCCTGTAGGACTCGCACCGTTACATTGCCTCCGCCAGTTGAGGGGCTAAGAGTTCCATGAAATGTTCGGCGTCCGCGATTATTCAAACACTCGTACGGTCGCGTGGTATTTGCATGAGCGCCTAGGTGGATGGGCACATCCCCGAGACCCTGGCCATAGAACAAAGCTATGCTTCGGCCGTAGACACGTGGCAAGGTCCCGACTAATTCTTTCCGCACCTTTCTAGCTTCCTCTCGCTCTCCGAACCCATTGCTTGCGGTGCTCTTGACGTCCTGGAGGATCGTGCTGGCGTGCCTTGTGGGGGCTGCGGGGGACTGCCGTCCGTAGGTACCATTGATCTGTTTGGGAAAATGGGGCGGTTTCGGATGTAGAACCGTCTCCCATGACTTTGATGTTTCCTGTTTTGCCGGATGACGGTGCCGCCTTGTGGAAAAGGGGGAGTAGGCCATCCCGAAATGTAGCGGCCGCCGGCCGGAGCTCCTGGAACTTAGGCGTTGTTTCGGATCCGGTCTATTGCTGCAGGTCCAGGGTCAAGCATATGCTGTCGCAGCTATCTTCAACTTGACGGAAGACGGGTTTGCCACGTGCCATTACCGTATGTGGTGCCGAGTACAATTTAGGATCGAGATCTCTCGACCGGTCAATGACCGGTTCCTCATCCGAAGGACTTCCGCCAAATACTCAACAAAGCTGGGAAGCCACTCTCAAGTAGGAATACATACCCGGGGTTTCACAGACACTTCACGACATCCATCATGCCAGCTGAGACTGCCGAGCGCCACGAAACTGCCGCAGCTTCTCATTTCAGAACTCGATCAGTTTCCTCAAACTGTCGTCCTGCAGCCGGGGGTAATAAAGATAATTATCCATCAGAAATGTTGTCACGTCGTCAAAGCTGCCAAATTCGAGGTTTGCCGCAACCAAATAGCTGAACCGGGTGCTGAAAAAGCGTCTCTGCGGCAGCACCGGATCCTCCTTCTTGGAGAGTTCTGGACGCATGAAAACGTCTTCGACGTACGATCCAATGGAATAGATCCACAGCAAGTCTTGGGTGTGGTCACTTGGGACGACAGAAAAGTCTTCGGCCGCAGGCCGCAGGGCTTCCATAACCGCAGTCATTTCCGCGTGGTAACGTTTGGCCTCACGGTAGACGCCGCCAGGTTGATAGTGCTCTTCGAAGATGCATCGGTCAAAACAGCGCATAGCAAGGCATAATGCGACCTCGAAATCAAAAGCGACTTGCGATGGCACGCTGCCAGGCGCGTAGATTGTGGTCATGGGCTTACCATCCTTCTTCGCTGCTTCAAGCAAGTCGCACCAATAGTGCAGGGAGCGAGCTCGGACTGCGACTTTGCGAGCATGAGACCAGCGGAAAATCTCCGAAGCGCCCGGGGATTTCGAGGTCGCATATTTGAATTTCAGCTCTTCGATTGCCAGAAGTTCCCTGATGTCAGCGAATATCGCTCTTAGGGTCGGGGAAACAGTGGTCGGGCCAGAAATTGCAGGTGGAGCAGTTTCAGGGAAAGCGTTCTCCACGTCTTGCAGCAAGGCGGGCGAGTCTTTCAACTTGGTCGCCCAGTTGTGTGAACGCCACGGCCCGGGGTCGAAGTCGCCAATATCCAACACCGGGCGAGAACGTATGGCTGTAGCAAGGAGAACGACCGCACCAAGCAGAACTTCCTTCTCCATGCGCCCGACAACTGACCAGCCACCCAAGGAATCGACGATTTTCTTTGAGGCAGTCAAATGAACAATTGCGGCATGAATGTTGCCGCTGAGCATCTCGGCTGCTCCAAGCCAGCAGCAGGAACTAAAAATTTTCCACAACTTTGCCGTGTCTCCAGCCTGTGACTGTGACTCAACAGACTTTTGCAACTCTCTGAGGGCCTGGAATTTGTGTTTCTCTGCGTGTACCAATGTCTGCTCAAACGGCTGGCCGCGGACCCTCAGCCTGCTGCCGCTGCTGTAATAGGCGTGGGAGATGATTGCATGACTAGAAGCTTTGTCGGAGACGAAAGCTGGCATTTTCTTCAAGGATTCGGCCGTGAGCGCACCGTGATTGTGACGTAGGGCTATCTCGGAGGGCCAGGTGTTCAACATGGATTGTGCTCGAGCCTGTTGAAGTAACAGGTGCTCAAGCGCACTGACCGGTATGACCGTTGTATTGAATGGATCAGTGTTTCCTTTGAAGATGGGGATGGAACTCTGTGGAACCACTTGCAACTGATTTCCATCTCGCCTGGCTTGAACCTCCCTTCTCTTGCGTCCGACATTGGCTTCTCTGCTGGAGTTTCCTCTACTTCTCTGCGTGACGATGCGATATCTGTGGAAGAGTTGGCCGTGCTGGTCGAATTTCTGCCGGGATTTAGCACTTTGTCGAGAGGATTTCTGAGCAGACGGGGCGTCAGTGTTGCGCGTTGGTGGAAGGGGGTTTGCTTCTATGCTCGAAGCTGGCTCTGAAGAATCAGGGAGAGCTGCACCACTGGATTCGTCGTCTGTATGCTCAGCAGCCTGCTTTCTGTATTTTGGGTGGGACACAGTTGCAGCATGAGACCGGGCTGCAGATTGAATCAGCTCCTGTTCCCGCTTGCTGGAGGGGAAAGGGTGAGAGTCGACGAAGCGGACCGCAGTTTCCTTGTTGGGCGGCATCTAGTCCTGCTGTTATCGATTAATCGTAGTTGCCAAGTGCGCAGACATGCTGACAAGGAGGATTAATTCCCTGGACCCCGATCGATATCCTATCCGGCCGTACGCGGATGGAATTGGTGACTCGAAATCTGCTCGGATCCGGGTCTCTTGGTAAGTAACCGAAAGACAGTTAGAAGCGGGGCGCCAATACCACAACACAGGATGAGTAAATGGCACAAGCTATGGACGTCTTAATAGACGGGCCGGATGGTCTTATAACGGGATCGGGGCAAAGCGGCGATAGTGGATGTTGTCGGACAGACACAGGCAGCAGGACGACAATTCCAAGCGGCATTGGTTCGCCGCCTGCAGCAAAGTCGACCGAGGTGTGTCTCTCTAGCAGCAAAACTTCCTGCTTGCGAAAACGCTGGACTGTTTTGGGAAGGTCATTGATTGGCGAGTGACAAACAGGGAGCCAAACGAAACTTCGATTTGAAGATATGGCGTCCTCTCAAGTGTCGAGGGGAAGTGCATTATTGAACGTGTCTGCAGGAGCGTGGCATCGAGAAAGACTCTTTGCCACCGTTGACATCCTCCTATTGTTGCTTGTTTCACCTCGAAGATATCCTGGTACCATCTGCAACGGCCGGAGTGGTGATATGCAGTAAGACTCGATGCAGAAGCTCCGAAGCTGGGAGTGCTATCTCCATTGGTGAAAAGCACTGCCCATATTCAGCTTAGTCTGGTCCCTGGTTTCTCACCCTCTCTGCGCTCGTAAAGCCCGTCGGGGAGATTCTGTTGCCCGAAACTTAGGGGCTGGTGGGCATAACTAGGGCCTCCCAGTGGGCAATGACTCGCCATCGCTTGCATGGGCTGAAGTGCACCAAAACGCGTATACGATGTGGCGATTGCTTGGCTTTGCTGATGCGACCGAAAGGCAATTCGCAACGCCTTCTTTGTGGAACAGGCTGAATGCCTTGTAATACGCATGCCACTAACCTTTGGTGCCAATTCAGGAAGGTTCAGAGCCCCCAATGAAGGATAGTTTTTGTGGGGAAGTCCTGAGGCGTTCGTGGCCGTTGCACGAGTACAAATCGAGTATTCCGTAACGTCCACACCATCAATTTCCCTGGGATACCTAACTGCAACGTGAACAGTTCCATAAGTAGCGGTGGTAAACGGGAGCAGGCAGGAGCGCCATAGATGTCGAAGTCTGTGAGAAGACAGTCGCAGTCATCTGTAGTGACGGGTGAATTTTGATGGACAATGGGGAGGCTGCTGGGCCGACCTTCTGGAACGAGCATAACTTGGCATTGTCACCGCGACAAAAGAAGGATATCGAGTCATCGAGGATGACAGAGTGCAAAGGGTGGTTTCGAGACGTGGAATTGATTGTCAGCGGCCGTGGAGTAGAGACATACCTAGGTAGACATGCCTATGAAGTACGGCGTATGTACTAGGAGATCACGAGTACAGTCGTTGTAGACAATAAGACGCACTTCCCTAAGATGACCTTGCGTCTTGGGGTCAAAGTATCAGGGATTCGATACAATGAAGTCGTGATAACCTTTTTCTCGGGGGATGTTGTCGCCATTTATTGAACGGTCTGTTGCAAGTGTGTTGAATTTTTCCTGCTTAGTCGGCGATTACACAAGGCTGCAGCCCCGGGGCTCGTCTTACCTACAGCCTCCCGTACTTTTGGGCATTGGGGGCCGCCTACAAGGGACTAGTAGGCTATTAGAGGCGCCCCCATCAGCCTTGTGTGGAGTGAGCTTCAGCCTCGTAGCCTCGCCCCAATAGAAGCTTCTCGCACCTTCTGTGGTTGGATCCACGCACCGCCCCGTGCGTCATTCGTCCAGCGTCACTGTGTCCAGGCTTCCAGCTGCCCGTCCTGCCGTCTTTCTTTTCTCTTCCAGCAGCACGAGGACCTTGTTCAGGCTATGCAAAGATTGCTCTGAGATCAGCCCATACCTAGGTGTCTCAATGCCCTAGTCTCCCCTCGACCACACGCCTGTCAAAAGTTCTGCACTCCATTTCTATTGGGTTCTGCCCGATCATTCCATTGACTCCACTGGCACGAGCCCAAAATCCCGCAGCCCGGATCCTGTTTGCCCTGCCAGCCTCGTCATTCCCTACCTTTCGATTTTATTTCTTCCCTCTCACTTGTCCTACCTCTTCTCGTTCAGAGCAGAAACCAACTTTCAACATCACACACACTAATATTCAACCAATCACACCCTTAACATCACCATGGTAACAGAGACAAAACTCTACGATGCCCTCTCCATCTCCCCTTCGGCGTCCCAGGATGAAATCAAGAAAGCATATCGAAAAGCAGCCCTGAAATGGCATCCCGATAAGAACAAAGACAACCCCAATGCCGCTGAGAAGTTCAAAGAGGTCTCTCAAGCATATGAGATCCTGTCGGACCCGGAGAAGAGAAAGGTGTACGATCAATATGGCTTGGAGTTCCTTCTGAGAGGTGGCCAGGCTCCTCCACCGGGCGCTGAGATGCCTGATGGTATGCCTGGCGGTGGTTTCGGTGGCATGCCAGGAGGTTTTAGTTTTGGAGGCATGCCTGGTGGTGGTGGAGGCGGTACACGGACGTTCCATTTCTCCACTGGCGGTGGTCCTGGAGGCTTCAGCTTCTCGGATCCTAACGACATATTCGCACAGTTTGCCCGAAGCGGTGCTGGCGGACCTGGCGGCGCCGGTGGTGCCGGTGGTGGTGACGACGCCGACGATATTTTCAACTTGTTCAGTAATCTAGGCGGAGGTGCTAGAGGGGCCGGGAGTCGACGAGGCACAGGCAACTTTACCCGCCAACATGCCAGACCACAGACTCCCGAAGTCACTGTCATTGAGCGGCCCCTGCCAGTTACCCTGGAGGAGCTCTATAAGGGGGCGCACAAGAAGATGAAGATCAAGAGAAAGACATTTAACCCCCAGGGACAACGGGTGACTGAAGATAAGATCTTGGAGATGGACATCAAGCCAGGTCTAAAGGCCGGCTCTAAAATCAAATTCTCCGGGGTCGGAGATCAGGAAGAGGGCGGCACGCAGGACATGCATTTTATCGTCGCCGAAAAGCCTCACGCGACTCTTACCCGCGATGGCGACAATCTGGTAACAACGATCGAGCTGGACTTGAAAGAGGCGCTCACAGGCTGGAAGCGGACTGTCACCACGATCGATGGAAAGCAACTGAATGTTTCGGGCGCGGGTCCAACTCAACCTGGCTATGAAGAGAGATTTCCAAACCTGGGCATGCCGATCAGCAAGAAACCTGGCGAGAGAGGCGACTTCATTGTCAGAGTCAAGGTCAACTTCCCCAGGTCGTTAACTGCTGCCCAGAAAGCCAAAATCAAGGAGGCCCTTCCATAAGCGCCCGTCACAAAAAGGCATACCGGTACGACACCTTGAGATGTTGCCCGCTCAGTTGTGAAGGCCGAGGGCGAAGACAGATTTAACAGCAACAAAGGAGATGCGTGGTGCATTGCGTGCTGGTATCAAAAGTCCAAATGAACAACGGAAGAGTGTGGAGGTTATGCAGGTCCACACCTCCGAGGGAGACGCAGGATGCAGCAGCAAAGATTGTCTCCTCATCGGAGGAGCTGAAAAAGCGGCTGCTTGATGTGTGACAGTCAGTCTCAGGAGATGACGTTTAGCATCACGCACGAGGTCACGCCCCGCCTAGGGCCAGACTCCCAAGGACGTGGTAACAGGAATGAATGAGGCTCTGCGCCCCGGAGTGAAAGGCGCATTTATGAGAGACGAAATGGATTCAGTGACGACTTGCATACAAATGGCCTCTCTCACATTGCATAAGGTTTCTTTCTCTTTTCCTGGGAGGAACGGCTTATGATCCATGAAGGGCGGCGCAGGTCAGTAATTACGGCGTTAGAATGAGCGATATGGATTGTTGTCGCCTCGCCTTTTTCTTGGTAGATAGTTACAATTCTTGTCTTGTTTCAAATAACATTGGACTTTGCTGTCCACTTCTTTTCCAGCCATCTTTCATTCACTTTGTGCTAGGCTTCTGGCAGTGCTGTGTCGTTCATCTCACTACATTCTTTCCTCATACTCAACGCTCATTGCCCAAATTCACCATCTTGCTCTGTGCTTCTGATTTTCCGAAAGTCTCGGCATGCTCCTCCTGATCGACCACTCAATTCATTCTCGCGAGCCAATCCCAAATCCACCCGATCGAGGTCACAACTTTTCCACTGGCGCATCCACGTCCACCTCGGCGACCTGGTCGATGCCCTGATAGTGGGGCACATCCAGGCCATACTTGTTCGCGACATCCTGGCTCAAGAAGCGGCCACCAATGAAATGTCTCTTGCCCTTGAAGAACTTGACGCTCGGCTTCGCGGCCGTGAGACTGATCAGGTAGTCGGGCATGAAGTCGTGTCCGATCTGCCCTTGTTCCGGCGGACCGGACGCCACGTCCCACGACGAAGGGATATCGACGGCCAAGACGGGCTTTTTGGACTCGATCATGGCCTGCAGGACCGTGTCGAAGGGAGCGCGGACGGGCGGTTTGAATGAGAAGCCGAACAGGGCGTCGATGATGAGGTCGGCCTTTTTTAGGGAGGAATTGTACTCCTCGGTCGTGGTGAGGAAGGGGATATGTAGGTGCCGGAGTTGCTTCTGGAGGCCCGTGAAGATGGGCGCATTGGTGGGTTTTGGGTAGTAGATTTCTGGGTGGTAGCCATAGTGGTATAAGTGGCGGGCGCAGACGAGGCCGTCTCCTCCTGCGAAAGATTAATGAGTTGGTTATGATGAGTACTAGAACTCGTAGGATCTTGGTGGTAACAGAGATATAGAGAAAATCCAAGGACGTACCATTGTTCCCAGGTCCACAGGCTATGAGGATACTCTTTCCTTTGGATGGCGGGTGGACTTTGTAGACTTTGACCAGAAGAGCAAATATCAGCTTCTGCCTCACCCCTAACGATCGTCATCCGTTGCCCGCTTGTAGCTTACCTGCCTGTGAAACGCTCAACCCGGCCAGTTCCATCAATTGATCAATAGTGAACCCTCCCTCCTCGCTCATGAGCTCTTTATCCAGCTCTGCCGCTTTCTCTGGGCCAAGAGTCTATCCACAACGACGGTCAGCGGTCTCCAGCACAGAAGCGTACGTAAACGTATCGAATAACCCAAGGAAAATGCATATGACGCTGGATATATTGAGGCTCACCTTGAGCGCCATCTTGGAGAATCTCCTTGCTGTCAAAATCGGTCGAAGAGCCCTTTTGGGAAGACAATTCCGGATCATAAGAAGTATACCTCGCAATAAGGTTCTATACAAATGATATTATCTGATAAATATCATCCGGATGCAGTGGGATGTTCAATATGGTGAGGATCAACCAACACCATCAATATCTCGTCATAGTTCGGCGTCACTCCCCCATTCCGCCAATCAGAAGCTCGACCAAATTCCGCACGAGGCTACGAGGCTGAGCTGCGCATCTCCCTAAAACTTCCTCAATTGAATTTCTTCGTTGAGTTAGACCTTTCAATTCCCGCCAGCCCACATCCACGCCACCTATTTCCACGCACCGCAGCTGTAATATCACCCCCAGATCGTCCTGCAAACAGCATTTCCATCCTCCTAGGATACCGGATAGAGAAAGCCGGCAGCTATGGTCCTCCGAATCCGCCTAGCCCGCTTCGGCACGAAACGAAAACCAATCTACAATATCGTCCTCGCGCAAGCCAAATCTGGGCGAGACAACAAGCCCATGGAGGTGCTGGGGACGTACAATCCAATCCCACAAGCGCCTCTGGCAACCCCGGATACACCAGAGCTCCTGGAGAGTGGGGAGAAATACGTGCCGAAGAAAATGAAGGATATACAATTAGATACAGCAAGGACGAGGTATTGGCTTGGTGTTGGGGCACAGCCGACAGAACCGGTTGGCAAGCTGCTGAGATTGGTGAGTCATGCTTTGTTCCTTGCCGCTTTCTTGAGGGAGCATTGCCTTTGCAGATGGAATAGGACGAAGTTCCGAAGGATGCTCTACATACTTCCGCATTGCTTTGTTTCTCTATGCTCAAACCTTGCCTCGGCGCGCAAAGCAACCCCAACTAACAAATTATCCTCTCCGCGCACAGATTGGCATGCTCGAAGAGAAACCCTCCAAGGTCAAGAGATTCCCGACACAGCCATACAAACCAGAAGCACAGCCACCACCAGACACCGAGTCCGCAAAGCAATAAAGTTGACTGCACCACTAAAGATCCACACTTTAACGGCGCTTTTGTACGAAGATTCGACACAAGGTCTGGGGGAGGCGTCCAGTCTACATACCATTAGCGGGAGCATAGTTATTGGCGTTTATGAAAGAGGACCATTGGAGCTCGAGAGCATGTGGCGGCATGAGAGGAACACGACCTCTGTCCGACTTGACGGTGACAAATGGTTACAGTGAAGGACAAACCCTGTACACTACATTGGCCTTATTACAATATTCTAGCTTTGGACGAGGAAGCTCACACCATCGATTGCGGAAAGCATATCAAAAAACATATGACTACCAAAATTATCCGGTTTACGAGCCATACTTGTCCTACCACAGCAGCTCGCTCTCCACTTCGCTGCAGTCCATCAACTACAGCAGGGTCTCAGGGGACAAATCTTTCACACTGACAGATGCATCTATCTTGGGAATCATCTCCCGCTCGATCCATGCTGAAATCCGAAGGCCAACTCAGCTGCGTGCGGAAAGACTATGGGACCCCATAAACATTGCCGCTCTCACTTTGTCCGTTCTCCCTTACACGATCCATCCATGTCCCATCAGTGCTATCACATACCATGCATTATGGTTTGGGGTACGATAAATATCTCCTAAGTCAGCTTTCCGTGCGACACCCCGCTTTCACCAAATGTCCCGCTGACAGGGTTTGAATGTTGGAAATCCGACATCTGTCCTCGCTCGAGGAAGTTAGCTGCATATTTCTGTTGACAGACCACCCTCCTTTCACAGCTCGTCCCTCCTCAACTCGCCGTTCCGCGACCCGACCGCGACGATCCTCGACTTCCCCTCCGGGCCGTCCAGGAGTCGCAGAGGACCTTCAACCCACTTGGTGAACAAGCTGCTGCTCAACACCTCGGCGTCCGGGCTGAGGTTGGGGAACGCTCCAAACTCCCAATCGAGGTCGCCGCCGAAGCGTTTGGGCAGGTTCTCGGCGCCCAGGTCCCGGCGCAGGATCTGGGCGCTCTCGTGGTGGCCGAGGACGAATATTTTGCGCGTCGTCTCCTTTTCGAACCACATGGTGATGAATTTCCAGATCTGAGGGAAGAACGCGGGAGCCCCGACGACCTGTCACAGAGGCATATCAGTAGCTGTCGTGATTCAATAAAACGATCCTCAGGGAACCTCATGTTCTGGGGAAACCGCGTCGCTCTGCGAGTGAACGGGCGTACATATATCCTCTTGACTGTCTCGGGATAGTGTGCTGTGGCCATGGTGCTAGCGGCGTTGAGCAGTCTCCTCAATCTCCAGAACGTGGGGATCCCGACATGGGACAGGTCGATGATGTTGCTGTCGAGTCGAGAACCTGTCAGTACCTTACTGACGGGTGGGTTGAAAGGTTCCTTGACCGGTTGCGCCAGATTAAGGAGGAACAAACTTACATTGATTTGCTCGTCCGCCGATGCTGGAGTTTGCCGCACAAAGGCTGGACAAACTGAGTCACATACTCGGCAGCAAGGAAGACGCTCGACAATGCCGGGTCCATCTTGTGCAAGGCGAGGATGTCTTCGGGCTTCACCTGGGCGACGACATAGACCATGATGGGGACGCCCGTGTCATCTCGCCGGCCTGTCCATTGGGGTTGCTAGAAGGAGCATTCGGCCGATGAATAGAGCTGCGTCTCGTGAAAGGGGAAAAATAGATTGTTGACTTACCAGCCTCCGGATGGTCTCGAACTTTGCAATGTCGACATCGTCGTACGTCTTCTCCAGCTGGATCTCGTGGCGCCATTTGGCCGACGCCGCATACTGCTTGAACGCGGCGTGAACATCGTACTTCCGCGCGACCAGATATCGCCTGCGCTCATGTTTAGATACTTTCAAACTCCACCGTCCCCCTAACCCATCCACCTCAGGCACCAGGTCCTTGTAGAGCATTACTTGATGCACTTACAAGAGATTAGAATCCTCGTTGCCGTCAGCGTGTTCCGAGGAATCGCCGGCACCAGCCGCCACCAGCTCGCTCTTGGGCCACGACACGTTGTTCTTGCGGCACAACTCCCTAAGCTCCGTGAGTGCCTTGTGCTCGCGCTCGACCGCCGAGTCCGTGCGTGTGACCGATCTCGCGGAGAGACTGGTCCGCCGCCTGGCCAGGGAGCCATGGGTGTTTGTCCTGAACATTGCCCTTTTTGTCCCAAACAAGTCGGAATTGTGTACTTCGTATTGTCACTCGTGGGGCCCTTCAGGTCGGGAAAAAAACAACAACAAAGTCTTTGGGCTCTCACAACCAACCAGATTGTCAACAATTGGAATTGTGTCCTGCGGAGAGACAGTGTGTGTGTGATATTTTATTCCATCGCCAGGGGATGCAAGAATGCGAAGAAGCCGCGTGAGACGGTGATCAGGTGGGTCTGCAAATGTCCACCCCAGGAGGGATACACTCGTATAAATACGATACGAGAACAACAGCCTTATCATATCAGATATGATCGGCGAGCAAAGGGGAGATCGATATCTCAAGGGGTTTACATTCCAACCCGGAAAAGAGTCGTGGTGGCTGGGTCAGATCGAGATGAAGGAAGAGCACCAACCAACACACAGAACCCGTCTCTGTACCGCCCCCCCGAATCCTTGATCGTGGCAAATGACAGACATTGGACTCCAACCTACAACATCCCCTTTTGGGACTCGGCGGCAGCGAGTAGGCTGGGAACGATATCCTGGGGGAGTGATGGGACAGGCACGAAGGACGAGATAAATATAGCCAAAAACGCGCGCCTCTTTCACGGCCTGTCACCGGAACGCCGCCTTCTTTTCCATTGCCTTTAGGCGGGAGGACTCCGCGGCGAGTGCTGCGCCCGCCACTACATACAGTATGTATTCTGAGGGAGGCCGCAGCAAGGTAGGCGGCTGTGATAACCTTTCCCTTTGACAGATATTGTATCAAAACTCCCCGCGACGACAGGTCAGAAGCCCCATGGCAATGCGGCCCTTTCTTTTTTGCAGAACGCCTCGGACGTCTATCAAGGCGATGTTGAACAGCCGTTCTCCCAGTCCAGGAGGAATCGATGAGGATGGACGACCAAGACTTCCCTTGTGTCCACACGAGGATACCCGACGCTCTGCCAGGGCTGATCCGTCTTGTCTCCTCCGCGCTTCTTTTGGGTAGTTTTCTTGTGGAAGTTGTGGGAGTATTGGTGGATGGAAGGGGTAGGTGCTCTAACTGTCAAGTTCGAAGCTCAAGCGCCGCCAGGACGATCTGGTTACGGTTGGCACGACTATCTACGGCGACTCCAAGGGATTGAAGGGAAGCGCAACATCCAACAGGTAGGTCATCAGTAGAAGAGGACAAGGCATTCATTCAATCAATGCATGATTCACATTCTTCATCGAAGGCGTCATTGGTCCGCTAAGAGCCCCTCTAGTATTCTTCCTCTGGATCCCACTTTTTCTTTTGCCCAAACCGCTATGCAATGCAGTCATATCAATGGTGTCTTGTACCAAACCCGCCACACATCATCTCAAGGCGCCCTCAATCTCTCCAACAACAGTTTTGAACCTTGGTTCGTCCAAATACTTGCCCTCCTTCAACTTCCTCAACGCCACAGGGACCTCGAAAATCTCCTTCGCCGCAGACTTGACCTCTGCGCGCGGAATTCCGACCAGAATGGTCCCCAGAGCCACCAGTGAGCGATACGCCGGTTCCGTGGATTGCGAAGCAGGGTTGCCGGATGCGGCAGAGTGATTTACCGCGGGGAAAGAAGAGAGAAGTTTGGAAAGTTCACCCAATAGGTCGAGCGCGTGGTTCGCATTGTTGTCGGCGTCGCTGGCAGTTGTGGCAGTGGTAATGAGGACGGCAATGTTGAGATACAGCGTTGTAAGAGCTATTGCCACAGAAACATCGGAAGAGGCGAACGGTGTGAGTGGTTTGAGGCTCTCAATGATGTTGTCGACGTTTTCTTTCACAAGTTCCCTTCCCGCAGGCGATCCGTACAGCAGATTGGAAAAGAAACGCATGGCAATCATACCCAATTTGTTGTTTGTGCGAACAAAGGAGTCATCGAAGATACCACTCCCGAGGATACCCGCGACCACGTCCAAGCCATCGACATCTTCGGTCGGAAATTCTTTTGCTGCTGCTGCAATAAAGCGGAGAAGATCCAGACCAGCGAGTCGGTTAGATGGCGGTTGCCATTGCGTGGCTATCTTCGTCAGCGCCGCAATGGAGAATTTGAGGGAGGGGGAGCTAGATAATGATGGACGGCCTGAGAAGTTGTACTTCTCGAGCTGTTGGGCGACATCTGTTAGTGCTTGAAGTTCCTCGGACTGAAGGGCCATTTCGCTGCCAGCGTATTCGGTGTTTTTCTTGGAGATTTGCCCCATGGCCGCCGAGGGCTTCCCAATCACGACAGGAAGGTACTCCTTCTGGGGTAGTGTCCGCTTAACAGGCGGGGATGGTGCTGGTGGTTGATATGACGAGGATGTGGCATCGCCAGGTCTGTATCGATTCTCGGTACCCCACGGATCAGCTCCCACTGGCGCTGACTGTCCAATAGTGGCACCTTGGGTGTTCTTGATGATGAAATTGGCTGTTTCTTCAAGATAGGACATGGGAAGTTCGTGGTCTTGCAGGAATTTTGTGGCTGCATCGTAAGGATTTTGTGTGACGTTGTATGGCAGCTTGAGTGGAGGTTTACCGTCCTCAATGTCAATGTCGAACACATAGTCGTATTCTTTTCCATTGTACGCCGTCTTCCCACTCGAGGCAGTTGAATCCACGACCTGTCCGATCTTGATCCATTGCTGCTGAGACATTGACCACTGATACAGACAGGCACTTCCATCGTCTTCCTTGATGATCTGATTCTGGCCTTCTTTGGTGCCGACCTTTCGTTTGAGGAAGTCAGGCCCAGGGAGATCTGTCATATTGATTTGCCCCACAGTTTGCTGGGGAATGCTGGATGCTTGGACTGACTCTTCGAAAGCTGCGAGCGTCTCGGCATCGGCCACTCTGTCTTGGTCGCGTGTGAATATGCGGGCCATTTTGTCGCTTGAACCAACAATGATATCGCCACTTGGAGAAGTAGACACAGACCAGATGGAGATGGCTGGTAACGTAATGACCTGGACGCAATTCTGCCCCTCCCAAATGCGGACAGATCGATCTTCTCCAGAACTGACAATTTGGCCCGAAGGAAGGACAGCCAGGGAGTATATGAAGGATTCATGGCCAACTAAGGAGGCAATAAGCTCGCCCTTCAGAGTCCATAGACGGATGATGCCGTCATTTGTTGCGGCAGCAATTTCAGCACCGGTGTAATGACCTTCAGGCAGCTTCGCAAGAGCGCGAACAATGTCCTGACCGTCCCAAGAATTCACCATCTTGCCCCGGACGTCAAAGACTCGGATCGCACGGTCGGCACAGCCAGTGACGACTGTGTCCCTGCTGAAAGCAAGTACCGCCCAAACCGTGGCTGTGTGATTTGGCAGGTCGAAAGCAACTTCCCATCTGCCGATCTCCCAAACTTTTGCCGTAGCATCCCAGCTGCCACTCACAAAGTAGTTTGCCGGTGCACACACGTCTATCGAGCAAACTTGGTTGCTGTGGCCCACCATGAAAGCGTCTGCGTTCATGTCCGTTGTTGACGATGGTTGTCGAGCCTCAATGAGCGCATCCTGGCCAGACGAGAGAACGAGGCCGTCCTCATATTCTTTTGAAGGAGGAATATAAGCAAGACAGGTCTTGAATTGTGCGCCATGGGATGATTCCGTATCTTCGTAGATCGGTGGGGAAGTGGATGTTCGTTTCCAGACTCTGGTTGAGCCGTCGCGAGATGCCGTCACGGCAAAGGAGGGATCAGGAAGGAGGACGGCGCGAACCTGTAGTCTAATATCAGCGTGTGCGGTGGTGGACCTGCTCCGAGATGCCTACATCGCTCTTGTGACCGCTCAGGACCGCGCTCAGCTTGAAATCTGTCGTCGCGCCGCTCATTTTGGTCATTGACTAGATGCAGTGGTCATTTGGAAGCGAGCAACAAACAAAAATAAATATGTGCGGCTCTGCAGTGACAGGTGAGTTAATCGATCACACAATCACATGTTCACTCACTGGTGTCACTAGGTGCAAATTCACTATCCAATTCTCACAGCCTTGCGGTGGGTGATGTATGACGTAATAGTGTTCAGCCTTGTCAGGTGGGTGTCAGGCGTGCCAGACTCGGAGTTCAACACCATCCGCGAGTATATCATGCAGGCTGACAAAATCATGTGCTGGCATATATTTTGTAGATCGATATAAAGGTTACGAGAGCTCTTGCTGCGCAGTACTTTCCCCCACAACTTCGGGCGAAGTGTAAGACTGAAATGCCCCAAACTTATACACAAGGTGTGGGCTGGAAGCAATCCTCTCAAACAATGCCAGATACATCCCGACCTGGTAGAAAGAAGCGCTGGCACCATAAAGACTTCAACGGGTGCATGAAGTGCAAACAGAGGCGCGTCAAGTGTGGGTTGGAAAAGCCAGCCTGTCTCAGATGCCAAAAGCTGGGAGTTCTCTGCCCGGGCTATCGGCCATTACAGATCCGGATTTTTGAGCTCACACGCCGGCGCGACGATTTCCAGTGCGAAGAGGACGTGGCCAACTTTGATTACTTCGTCGAATCCGGATCAAAGATTGTGGCCCTGTCTCAGACAACCTCTCAACCCTTCTGGTCAAGATTCGTCCTCCAACTGGCCGAGACCAATGCGATTATCAAGCACGGACTGATCGCCTTGGGCGCTCTTCTACGGCCTCTACATGCAATCCCTTCCTCTCAGAAGTATGACACTATTTGCCCACCGCAAGCTGCTACGAAGCATTCAGCAGCAATGTATCAGTTGAAGTCAGCAGCCTTGGGCGCTCTACCGCCAGAAGCGGCCATAGCATGTTGTCTCGTCTCCGCCGAGCTTGATAGATGGACGGAGAAAAGCACCTCTCCTGTCCTTCAAATCATGTTAGCATACCGTCTCCTGGAAGGGAGAAGCAGGGCAAATGCAGCGGCACCAAGCACGACCAAAGACGATTGCCAGCAACTATTCGAGCCTATGGTTGATGAATTACTCGTCGATGCGTGCAGTAGTGCCGACAACTTTCCGACCCTGACTTCTGGGCTAATGTCCAACTATCAGCTTGCCAGTGGCCTCAACAGGGTCGAGTCCATCACAACTTACATGGACGCCCTTCATAGTGTTGCGTCTCTGCTGAAAGCGGCTTTCCGTTCAACTTGCCCCTACATCGTTGCCACCGCTGCTGAGATGGATAAGATTTCCCTGACCATGGACACCCTCGGTCACAAATTGCAGCATTTTCATGCTGTTGGTGAGGTGCCGGTGGAATATCAACTTCTCCAAGTCCACCATCAAGTTGCCCGGATCATGTTCTACACACTGGGCAGGGACGATGAATGGATATACGATGCTTTCCTGCCGAATTTTGCATCCATCGTCGAACAAATGCAACATATCACGTCATCTTTGAAAATGATGAGAGCACAATCTGCCATCGCACCGACTTTGGGCTTGATCCCCCCGCTGTTCCTGGTGGCGACGAAGTGCCGCCACCCCGAAGTTCGGCAGAAAGCGTTGCACCTCCTCCATGGCGTGCTGCGGAGTGAAAGAGGCTGGACGAGCTGTATGTCGGCTGCGATCAGTCAGTTTGTGATCCGAGAAGAAACAAAAGAAGGAGAAGAGCAACCCCAGCCCTGCGCCGGGACACTACAGAATCACCCCGACAATCTGTATGGAAACTCTCTCCCTGAGCGGCGCCCTCGGAGGAGAATCAGACTCGACGAAGTGGAATTCTCCAGCCGTGAAAACAAGATCTACCTCGCCTACACCGTCTACTCCTCCAATCCCAACAACTCGCCGGGGTCAAAGCGCATCGCAAGCATACCATATCTGTCTCACCCGTCACTCGAGACCAACAACAGCACGACGACATGCCAAATGTCAAGAAAAGTCCTACGACACTGCGGATATACAGGCGTTGTTTTGTTCTCGCCACAGATTGAATGTCACTGCGTCGTTCGAAGCGATAGCAGCCCTTCGGTGAGGAACAGAGTGGATGAAGTCAGACTTCAGGATCTATGGCACCGAATCGTTTGAGCGAGATCACCAATAAAGTTCATTGATAGGGATTGCTCTAGGAAGACTCCATCTATGAGAGTCAACGGGACAAACGCGATTGGGATACCGTAAGCAAGCTACGCGGTGCTGAAGAGTTGGTTTGATGGCGGAGACTTATTCATATTTTGTAGGTGATGCCTGAGAGCATTGGATTAAGACGAGTTACGATTATCTAGATGTTCCGAGCAGTCCATTAACCTTGCCGTCGTATTAGCGCTCCTTGGAGCTGCATACACGGTCGTATAGGATACAACGTGAAGCATTTTGCAACGTCCCATCATCACAGTCACCCTCGACCACAGCTACATAACAACGGTCTAGCAAATATTCAACCTCGCGACACTTGGATCGTGATCTGACTTCTGATCCGCGTACGTCACCCACGTATTCACATGCACATGTTTGATATCGGGCGTGGCCCCCGGAGCGTCGGCGATCTTGGGACTCACGTACATGTGGTCCAGCTCCTCACAGCTGTCGTCGAATATATAGGTGTATCTCTCGGTGGCCGCGATGCCCGCAGCATCGTCCACATTCACGAGCCCCGAGACTGCGGCGAACGTCTCCAGCGGCTCCACGAAGGTGTATTCATTGAAGTCTCCCGCAACGATGACGGCGGCCTGGGGATCCTCCGCCAGGATCTGGGAGACGAATGTCCCCGTCACATTTGCTTGGGCGTTGCGCTGGTCTACGCCAAGGTTGACCGGTGGGCGCGGGTCGCCCTCGATCGAGGAGCTGCCGTCCTTGGATGTGAAGTGCACGACCACCGTGAAAAGCGTAGACTTGTCCTTGACCGTTTCCCACTCGGCGGCCAGGGGTTTGCGACTGTCCTGCCAGGCTGCATTTGTGGGGTCGATGCGGCCGGGATTGTACTTCAATGAAGGACCCGGGAGTACTTCATTGGCGTCGAGCGAGGAGCCTGGGTTGGGATTCTTGAGGTTTAGGACGGCTGGATTGTAGAGGTAGGCGACGCGGATGTTGCCGCCAGGTTCGCCACCGTCTTCGTCGTTGATGGGGTCAATATCGACGTAACTGTACGACACTCCGCCAACGTCTTCGATCGCCGTCGCAAGCGTCTCCAATGTGACGTTCGCGCTAACGACGCCGTCATCAGTAGGGCCACTATTATCTTGAATTTCCTGCAAGAATACAATGTCCGGGGAGTTGAGGAAGTAGGCGATATCATAAGCGATGCCCGGGAGGGTGGTGGAGTTGGAAGCAAAGTTGTCAACATTGTACTGGCCGATAGTAATCTTCTTGCAGCTCCCTTTCGAGTTCCAGGTGATCGGATCTGGCAAAGCCGGCTGCTTCGAGTCGATGACGGAAAGTGCTGTCAATGGAAGGATGTAGTAGGCGCCAAATTCTTGGTACACGACACCGGTGATGTCTTCAAGGTCATCACCCAGCTTGATGTCGTCTGGGTTGACGGTCCCATCAAGGGGGGCACCGACAATAATGGCTTCAGGGTTTCCGTCTCCCGGAGTCAAAGTCAGGCCTCCTCTGTTGTTCTTGGAGGTCTTTCTCCAGTTCCCAACAACCCATGTCTCATTGTACTGGTTCGGTTTGGCAACAGCATTGGGGCTCTTGACGGTGACCAGCTCACCCATAAGGCTCTCCCAGAAGTCAAGACCGTAGGACCACGGCTGAAGCACAGGGTTCACCACAGAGACCAGGCTGACATTGTTCGGTACGCCAAAGACATCGCCGTTATCGAGATACGTGAACTGCTCCGTGGGAGGGCTGGTGTCTTGTTTTCCCAGAACCACTGGGTTCACCGCATTCCCCCGGGATAGAAGCTTGACGTTGGTAGGCCGGGAAATCTCTGTCATGTAAAGATACGCTGAGCTGGAGCGGTACTCAGAAACAATCCCATCGAGCACAATGATGTCTCCCGAAGTCAACGTAACATTGGTGGAGATCCGGCCGAAAACATAGACTGACTCTGAGGTACGAATGTCCGAGTCTGGTGTGGTAGAGCGAATCCACAGCCCATCTGGGCCGACGGCAGTGACTAATCCTGTGACATTGTAGACATTCTGGTTGCGGTAGGGCGAGATGAACCGGATACCATTGATCTGGGCAATAGTTTGTGCCGACGCAAAGGAGAATGAAAGAGAGGCTGCGCCGAGGCGTAAAAGAGCATCAATGAACTTCATGGTGGACGAATCGAAGGGCGAAAACGAGAGGACGGCTCGGAGCCAAGATGTTGGACAGTGGCCTGCTCAAACAACATGATGTCTTGCTGGAGGGGACAGCGTTTCTATTTGAGAGTCTCGGATCACGCAGGGCTCCTGAACAGCATCTGGGGGATGTAGCAAAACCCAATATCGCATCACCGTTGCTTTTGCACGAACCAGTTGTATCTTCTGCAGGTGTCTAGATTGGCAAAAGGACTGAAGTGAAGCTGAAGTCAAATCTGGTCGACAGAAGATGATGGTTGAGATGGCGATGATTGGCGGGGAAGACGAGATTCCTGCTGGTGGTGCGAGATTGCGCCTCCGGCCAGGGCGGCGGTGGGGGCGGAGCGCAATCTCCTGCTGCACATCTCTGCATGAGTAGCACTCTCATTTCCTTTGGCAGCAGACACGTGTGGTACGTCCGGTCAATGGATGGCTTATATGATAATACCCTGGCAGTGTAACTTACTTTTGTACCATGGGCTTTTGCGCCGGTGTCTCATGAATCCCATGCGAAAAGAGCGCATTTGCCGCTCCACAGACCTACCGACCAATACAATGACCGGTCGAAGGGTATCTCTGTACTCGTATATGCTCCTGGTCAATATCAAGAGCAGACTACCGGGTACAAGCAACATAGTAATGGAGACAGCCAAGAAGAGTCGGCTTGGAGTGAAAATATCCTTCTGGCTGTTGCTGTTGCGCTATACTGGTTCACAGGCAATGCAACAACAATACAAGTACATTCAAAATTCCACATGGCCTCTATCGTTTATCACGTGTCCTGGGTATGATAGCTCATGGGTAGATGTCCGCATGTAATGAAGACCATCCCTGTTGTTGACGTGCCGATCGACGAGGCTGTTCATTCATCTCAATCACCCTTGCAGCGCTGGACTTCCCGCTCGCTAGTATCGAGGTGAGCCCCCGCAGGTTCGTGCGTCCGAACTATCGAACCCGAGTACAGGAGAGGGATCCTGCTAAGGCCGAAGAAGTAATGGTATCGTTGCACCTAAGATCAATCTCATATCCGTGCAAGGCAAAGACGACATCTCGAAAAGGTCCTGGCTTCCGCGGCCCTTCATCTAGATCTTCCCCGCCAGCAGACTACCAACCATCTTTTGCCCTGTCAACCACACCGTACGGGCAAATTCCTGAAAATCCAAGGTAGAAAACATCGTATCGGCCAGCCCGAACGGAAGCATAGGTGGAATCCAACCTTGGGCGAGTTCAAGGGCAAAACAGCCGCGGTGCATTTTGTATTGCTTGACATTGCCCCTACGGAGATGGTGCATAGTCCCTTTCGGATAGCGTTCAAGAGCCAAGGAATGTGCTGGGTACGCCCATTGCTCGCCCTCAAGGATGAAAAAGTAGTCGTCTGCGGTATGGCGGCCGGTGTGCCCTTCGGTCCCAAGAGCTGTGCCGAAGACGATCAGATACTCGGTGATGCTTGCGTGGATAATGTACATGCTTCCCATGGCACCGCCAGCATTGCTCCATAGCCATTGCGAGGCATAGGGGGAGATGGGTGAAATGTCCGTGGTATTCTCGCTAGCATGAGGGAACGGATCTTCGCTGATGAGAGTAGATCCATATTGTTCTCGGAGGGTTGTAACAATGTTGTGCACCACCCCCGCAGTCGATTCCGGGTAGCGTTCGATGCTTTCGTCGACCAGCTTCTGCAGTGCCACGGGATCAAAAATGTACCATTTGGACTGTAAGGTGATAAGATCAGTATGTGTAATGGCATGGAGGACAATTCACTGCTGTGCGTACTTTGACCGAATCTGCCCAAGTGTACACGCTTGTCAAAAGGCCGACAATAAGCAGCCCAATCGACAATTTCCAAGGGAAGGTTGACTTTTCTTTCCGCGCAGGATCCATCTTCAGCCACTCAAACTTTTCCTGGTCTGTTACTGTACGGGTTGACTTAATTGTGATACAAATGCCTGCCTAGTATAGCCAGGGTTGTGTTGACCATGTACACACATATATATAATCCGATCGATATATGCCTGCATTCCAAGACTGGAGGCGTGATCCGGATGGTCGGATGCCGTAAAACGAACATAATAATACGCAATACGATCAGTCGGAAGTGTAGCTACACGTCGGGCCAATCTGAGCAAGGACGGAATCCTTCATAAATACTTTGTAATTACATACCTGCTCGGGGTTCATAATAGCATACTCGATGTAACTAATATACCTAGGTAGGCGAGGTGGCCACTCTGTCAAGATATCGCCAAGGTATGTGTAAACGACAAGAGCACTGCTATCCCTCTCGCCCTTACTGACAATAAAGGTCCCCTCAATCTAGGTACTGACGACCATGCTCTCCTTTGCCATCCACGGCCCCCAGTCAGACACGACGCCGCCAATGTTCCAGCTCGGCTGCTAGCGTCAAGTTGTTCCAGTTCCACTGCCACAATCTACGCAGCGTATCACAAATACCGAGTACAGATCGTAAACCTAGCCTAAAGTGGCGTCAACGAAATGTACGGATACGAGGAAGTCGGCTGTTTCTCAGGCGTCCAGCGTCAATGATACAAAGGGTGGCAGATCGAATTGACATTCTTCTACCTAAGTGTTCACACTTCGACTTGCCAACCACAGTACGAGGTGGTTCTGCCCACCCCCAGCTTCCAGAGCTATGGAGCTTCTCTGGAGCCTGTTACTCTCTGCTCTCGGCTTGTTCCTGTTTGCATATCTCTACCACGTGAATCGAGCAATCTCAACACTTCCAGACGAAGTTGAGAAGTTGGCCGGCAAGCCATGGACGGAAGAAGTGGTTCAAGCAGCATATGAGAAGTGCCGCAGAGACAGGCCGGATTTCAGGAAGTATCTACCGGCAAAGCAGGACAGACGATATGTCGTGTTCGGAGGATCAGGTACATACCGAGGGTGGCTAATAAATAACTCTAGGCCCACAGTTCTGACAACGTACAGGTCTCGTTGGCGGCTGGATCGTCGAACATTTAATTATGCGAGGAGAAAACCCTTCTGCAATACGCATCGCAGACCTCCAAGCACCTCGACGAGAACACGCAGTGAAGCAGCACGTGCCATACTTGAAGGCCGACGTCACAGACCCGGCTTCTGTGTCCAAAGTCTTCACAACCCCCTGGCCGGCAGACCATGCGGAGTTGCCACTGACAGTCTTTCATACCGTCGCCTTCATCCACGCCGGCTATCGCAAGGCAGACTTCCTCGGCAAGTATATGAAGGTCAACGTCGAGGGCACAGAGAACGTCCTCGAAGCAGCGAAAGCCGCAGGCTGCGACGTCTTTATCGCAACTTCCTCTTCCAGCGTGGCCATTAGGCCTGTCAATTTCTTCATTGCACCATGGGAGAAGCATCCAAGGAATATAGTGCAGTTGTCGGACAACGCCGATCCGCCACCCTTGAACCTGGAGAACTTCGCAGGTTGTTACGCCTATACGAAGGCACTGGCAGAGAAACTGGTGCGCGATGCGGACAGCAAGAAGGACTCGTTCAGGACTGGCGCTATCCGACCAGGTCACACCATCTACGGCCATGGAGACGAGAACAGAAGCAGCATAGTCTGGGACTACTTACGACGTGAGTTGAGGCCTTGAACTGATTGCACAAGTGGGATGATGATTACAAACTAACTATGAAAACAACTAGGGGGAGGACTCCAAACGTTGGTCCCTTCTTTCATCGCTTCCTGCGGAGCATCGAGAAAGCTGACAGTGTGAATGCCTCACAAACAGATGGCTGGCCCCTTTCGTCCTGCAATACGTGTCCGCACAGAATGTCTCTCTTGCCCACCTCCTGTACGAAAAGCGCCTGCTCTCGGGTCATGATATCGGCGGCAACGCCTACGCAGTGTGCGATCCTGGGCCACCGTTCCGCTACAGTGACTTCTACCGCCTTGCCTCGACACTTGCACACCCTAGCACGCCCATGAAATGGCCCAAGATCCCGTTTGCCTTTGTCCTTCTCGTCTCCTACCTGGTCGAAGGGTACACGCTCCTCCAACGCCGCTACCTCAGCTTCTTACCCGAGATCACCAACTTTGACCTCACGATGCTTCAGCGCGCCATGCTCAATTACTCCACTCTGGTCATCATCTACGACGACTCGCGTGCTAGGAAAGAATTGGGATATAATCCAGGCCACGACACGCTGGAGGGACTGTGCTTACACATGATCGAGTGGAACGAGAAGGTGGAAGCGAGTCTGAAGGCGAAAGGTGAGGTGGAGGAAGAGGCGTCAATCCTGGAGAAGACCATTCCTGTAGTGCCCAAGTCGGCTTGAGCAGGAGGGTGGGGTTTTGAGGGGCTTCGTCTACACCAACGGCCATGAGACTTGTGTTGCAGTCGGCAACTGAAGAGAATGAGGTTCCACTACCATAGAGCCAAATTCTGTCGTATCAAGCAAGAAGAGCTTCCTCTGGCGCAAGCTATCATGAAGTCCACGAGCAATCAGATAGTAGAGACAGGAGAGGCGGAGTCTCTGCAGACTCCCGCTTCTGCGACGGCTCCCATTACGTCCACACCAACTCCAAACGTCCACCCTCGCAGGACCTGCTCATACCACGGGATATCCTTATAATTACCCAGCACCTAGGTCGCAACTACGTCAGCCGGGATGATTCCTGACTTGTAAGGTCCCAGCACAGGCTCCTTGATCGTAGCCTGGTTCACGGTGGCAATCATGGGGAAGACATTATCACCGGGCTGCAAGAGGACGTCTTGTATGGGACAAGTGGCTGCGGGGACGTCCGCGACGGACATATTTACGTTGATGCTGCCCGTTTCGTAGGTCGAGGAAGACGGATTGGAAATCGAGACCGTGACCTGGACATTGGATCCATCTGGGAGCGGCGGGCTGATGGGCTGGAACCAAATCACATTGAAACCTTTCGAGGCCGTTGAGCGCTGGAATCCTCTTCGTTTCAGTCGACCGGGTCAATATGAAGGGTATATATATACTGCTTTGTGGAAGACAAATCCACCTTCCAGACTGACGTTCTTGTCATAGGTCACCGTGACAGAGAGAAGTCTACTCTTGTGCAACGCTCCAGACTCTTGCAAGAAGACATTATACTCGCCATCAAGGGGTGCCATCCAGGTATACTTGTCGAGCTCGCCCATGTTGGCAATCCGCATTCCCTGGATCTGCACCTCTGTGCCACTGACGGCTTTGCTCTCAGGGACTGTGATCTGTGCAACAAGGTAGTTGCATTGCGGTTCGACATACAGATCCGTCACCCAGTCTGCACCTGCAGTTCGAGTTTTGTTAGAGAAGAGCATGGGATAAGCAAGACCGGGGTTGGCTTAAGACTTTTGGCCTGAGGATACCCAGGTGCTTGCCAGGTACCCACCGAGCCAGGCACAATCTGACAGGGAATAGGAGTTCCATTGTAACTTTTCAACCATTTAGTTCAAAGGTAATTCTTCACTTATAAGTGTATTTAGTCTACCCTTTCGGCTTGGCGGTTTCCTTTCTCTTCTTAACAATGTTTGCGATATCTAAAAAGGCAATCCCGCCCTCGCTATTGAGCAATATAGCATTATACGAGGCTCCGAGCACTATCGGGTATCTGACGTTGGCTCCGAGGCCAACGGTTTTGCTGTCAATGCTCTTCCGCAGACCTTTCAGCATGTGATGAGCTCTGATGCTGGAATCGCATCCTTAACGGCACCAATTCCGCGGACAATTTGGATACCTGGTCCGCAGCATCCGTCAGCTAGAAGGACCCAAAGCCCCCCACACCATCCTCTATCCCGTATTCCCTGCGGAGTTTGAAAAGTACTCTGCTTCGGGTGCTCTCAAACAGGGCAGCGACAACGGTTGTTCGTACGAGTGGCAGATGATGGAGTTACAGTATTCCGGGGGTTTCTGAGGAGGCATTCGAGGACTTCGTCAGCGCTGGCAACTCCTCGTGACACAAGATTGCTCTTTTCCCAAGTCGTCCGGACACCGCAAGAGAGCCTGCCCTCCCTGAAACAGTATCTATGGGCAGCAAGCCAATTGGATACGGCGATATCACCCTTTCCACGCCCGGTTTCATGCGCATGTTTCGAGATCACTATACATTCTCTCATTAGCACGCTGGTATCTACCCGCATTACGCGGGTCGTCGCTTTTGGATGTTGGCCTACATTCGACTACAGCACAGGCAGCACCGAAAGTCGGCCCCGAGCATTTTGGCGCGCTGACTCGCTACGCATTGGTGACCCTCGACAAATGCGCTGACTCAGGTACGAAAGCGCTATGATCTGTTACCATGTATGGCAACGTGTCGACATTGCCACACTACTTTATTGGCTAGCTTTCCAATGGCGCGAGTGGCGGAAGGATAGTAGCTGACTCAAGCTCTCCCCTTGTTCGAACGACCTTTTGTCTATCTTGCTCTTTTGCTGATAAGGCCAGGTCTAACCATCATCACCTGGTGTCCCATATCAAAATGTATATTATATCCGCTACAACCACCTATCTCCGTGTTGAGGTTACTGAAAAGCCGATGTCACAAGCAGGAGTAGGGTAGTAGGGTAAACCACCCGTGATGCTTTGGTGGATGTCAAGACTCCTTTAGGCTGAAGCTCACGAGTCTATCGTGAAGACGTCCGCAGCAGCCAAAACATCACGAAGTTGATGTCAACTTGAAAGCCATCTCAAGCTTGGGCACATCGACATGCTGTGCATTCTCCTGGAAAAGCACGCCTGTTTGACCCATTTTTGCGATGGTTGCAATCACCTTCATTCAGCACGATCCTGCTCAAGGCTCACCACGACAGAAACACCTCGACTCCGCACGCGCAAGAGCCCATGCTGCCCGCGTCTCTCATGATCGGAGACGTAGCGACAGCCGCCTGCCATCGCCACCGCAAAGTCCAAAACTAGATTTCAAAGGCGAAAGTGGTGACGAGGAACGGCTCTTGACAGTTGCAGCTTTTGAGGGCAACTCAGATCCCTTCCGATGCGCTGCGATTGAAATCACTCCCGAACTGAACCGCATTCTCACCTTCACCAGAGAGGTTGGCTTGCGCGCCCACTTCTCGCCTCTCGCGGTAAGGAAAATATCGCGTGAGATCGCTGGAAACTTCGAGCAGCCTTATGTCCTGGGTGCATGGGCCGATATCGCAGCAAGTTTGCGCGATGAAGGCACTGCGCTCGCTCGCTTGGTGACATACAGCTCATACTTGTGTCGCTGTCTGCCGAACGCGAAGGAAACGAGGATCCTGGTCCATCAGATGCGGAAGCGCAGCCTGCAGCTATTGCGTGAAAAGGTGGAGAGACACACAAACTCATCCTCAATTGAAGACAAAACCGCCTTGCAGCACCACATATATGCGCTATTTGACGCAGAATGCTTTTGTGGAAACACAGAGGCAGCAATCGTCCACGGCACAGCCCTGCAGAAGCTGATAAACGAGAGCAACACATTCGATGCGCCAATGGCACAACGATTGCTGTATATCACATGTCATTCGGCAGCCACCAGTGGGCAGCGAATCCTTCCATCCATTGGCAAGTGGATCATCGAAAGGTCTGAAGCCTTCCTGGAAGAGGAGGTTCCGCCGCATCCCCTTGGAGCACCGGAAAACCACGATCTCCATGCAAGCATCACTTTCCCCGAGCTGCAAGCGTGCTTTTCACGCTGCTGGTACCTGGGAGACGCCAGCAAACCAACATCACCAACAGAAAGTCCCACAGCTGCCGAGCCCGTCAAGGACAAGAAGGCCGCTTACATATATGTCACCGTCTCAGCCTTCAGTAACCTATGTCGCCTCAATGACATGTTCTATGATCTCGTCGAAGCGGTCTGGATGGCTGGAATCAGCAAATCCGAGAGATACACCCAGGCAGCTCTATCCGTTGCACTCAATTACCTTGCGCGAGAGATGTTTGCTGATTTGACCATCAGTGGAGTCAACATTCGGGATTGCTCAACCATGCTGATGGGCCAGCTGAGGTTCACATTCATGAGAGCCTATCAGTCTAGCACAGTTAGCGACCGCACGGACTTCGCAGCCGCATACCTCTGGATCCTCTACGTGGGAGCTCTCTGCGAACACAGAAGGAGAGACGACATTCTGATGGTTGACCTACTTAATGAATTCTGGTTTAGCCCACTGTTGGCTCTCCAGGCTCATTTGATGGGCGTCACGACTTGGCCGGATATGTGCGTTGTGGCTAAGCAGTTCTTTTACTCGGACATAGTCGAACCCGATGGCGCAATCTGGTTTGATGTTCTTCTCAAGAGGTACAATCACGAATCTCGCCAAAAGAAGTTATCACTGGCCAAAAGATACACCTGGTTCTTCGAGACCCGAAAATGAAGCTTCTTCGGCCAGAGAAATTGACCCTGTTCTCAGTTGCATCCACCAAAGCACCTTCGTGGCTCATCTTCACAAAGCTGTTTGGGGCTGGGGACTCCTAAGGCGAGGATACCTCAACATGCAGCGCCACCCATTGTTCCTAGTTGGCGCGTTTCAGTGTCTATCTCTTTCTTGTATTGTATTATATGTGTCTCTCAATCCTACCGTCCTTTGATCAATGTCTAAGCGAGTGAGAGAAACTGGGGGCGAGCAGGATACCCTACAGTGGGGGCGTTAAATGTCTACAGGAAGTCTGCGGTGACTTTCATCTGGATAAATGCCGTTCAAAGTGTCATGGGGGTGCATATCTCTTGAGTTTCCAGAAGACGGTGGAGCGGGAAAGCAGGGCTCTTGCTATTGAACTTGGAAGGGTCTCGTCAGAATGAAGTGACGAGTCGTCATGTGGGATTCAGACGCAGCTGCGAATCAAGAAAGACGTGGTGTGGAAATGAAAGTGAAGGCAGGCGCCCATTCACCTCTTACATTTCTATTCCCTCTCACACGACTTCACTTTTACTAACCTCGAACCAAGTCTTTGATCTCCCTCACCCCTCAGCTACCCAATTCCACTTTGAATCAACTGTCCAGTGTCCGATCTACTGCGCCCCAAGCGTCGCTCTCTCGCTTGACTAGACAGGAGAGATCCTCACTTCGTGCTCACCGGCCTTCCTCTCTCCTCACACAGAATATCTCCCAAGCCAATTCCGAAGACTCTCCACAATGGCAGGGCCATCTCTACCTCCAGACATGGTCCTCACCTACAAGCAGTACAAGCATGACACCGAGATCGTGGCGGGATGGCTTGCTGAGAAGTCCGCTGCAGCCGGCTACAAGTCAGAAACCGTCCCTGCTTTACGTGACAAACAACCCAAGCTGGGTGCAAAAGCTCGCAGAGTGCCTCGAAGCGCCGCCGAAAAGGCTCAACGGTCAAAAGCGCCCAAGCCCATGTACATCGTGAAGACTGTCGAGTTGGTCGAGATGGCCAAGTGCATCGCCAAAGCGCGGCCAAAGGTCCTCCTCAGTCGAGCCATGCAGACGGTCTGGGAACACACTATTCGAGCCAGGCGGGAATTTTCTCAGTGGTTTAGGAGCAAAGCTGCCACCGATATCATCGTCGATGAAAAGCACTCACACTTCGCTTCTCTCCTTGAACTTGCTCTCGAAACCCTTAGGCCCTGCTATGAACCAGTGAAGAAGGAGTCCAGATCCGCCTCTCGGAAGAAAGACACCGACAAAACAACACCTCTCCGCACGGTCACCAACATCTTTCAGCATCTTGAAGTTGAGGACGTCCTTTCCGAGGAAGAGCTGGATCAAGAAGGCACGACTGTGGTCATGGGTCCCCAAACCAAGGCCGAGGGTCCACGTGCTCGCATTGACTTTGATGAGACGGAGGCTGAGTCCGAATTCCTGTTCGGCATCTGGTCTTTCATGCAGGAGGTTTTTGCTGTACGAATCTTCGTTGCAACTACCTGGAGACTTTACGCTCTCGGAAACATCGAATTGATGCAGGCTGCCAGTGTCACCAATCTAGCTGTCGACCTGGTTCGAAGAGCTGAAGCCGACCTTGAAGCCAGCCTACAGCGCCCGTCAGCATACCCCGCGGCGAAATACCCAACCGGCTCCTTACCCCTTCTCATCTTCAAACTCCATTTACCGCCCTCACACCAATGCACAGTACCTTGTGATCCTGACCTGCCCATGGTGGTTATCATCTGTGGTTGCAAGATTTGTAATGTTCTTCTCTACATACCCTGGGTTATGGCCAAGTCGTACATTCACATACTCAAAGAGAACCCACCAACATTCCCGAGCTCGAACAATGATTTTCGCGTCCAAGTGCCGCCCTTTCCAGAGTGCAGCATTCGTGGTGCGGAATTCTATCATGCGCAGAACCCCAGCCAAAAGGCGCAGACAGAGTTGTCCGAGATCTTGCCAAACTTCTCCCTGCTTTCACTGATGCTCCGGGGGAAGTTCATTGAAGATGAGATATTGCACGCGGCCAGACATATCCTTGAGAACCACAACGTCCCAATTTGGGTCAGCTTGGCACTGCAAATTCAGCTTGACATTCAGAGAATTGGCGAGATCAAGACTATCCACGCTTTTGCGGATCTGAAACGAGCCTACGAAGTGACTAAGTTTCGAGCTGAGGAACATCAAAAGTGGCATGCATCGCTCGAGTTTGAAATATGGGACAAGTCATGGCACAACCACGTTCGCACGTTGGTCGAGGACTTTGGCGAATGGATCAACGGTAAGACTTGTGGCAAGTCGGACGGTGAAGAGGTGCTGCACTGGGTCGGCGCTGGATTCGATATCAAAGACGCTGTGAGAGCGAGTGGGAGGGTTCCATTGCTGGAGGACTTCCCTGTCACCTGCGGCACGTTGAAAACGGAGCTTCAGCTGGAGTGGCACACTTTGGGCTTGAAGCTCGTCAACCGAACAGCCCACGTCCCTATGCTCTGTCACCTTTATAACGCTCTGCGTATCGTGGATTCCAAGTCGCCCGTCTGGCCGGACATGGAACTTCTCATCCGCAACCAGAACCCAGGAAAAATCTTCGTTGGTGGTCGCCCTGGAACGCTCGTTCAAGCGCGTAACAGGTTTATGCTCAGCGTTGGAGTGTCCGCGGCAAGCTTGGCAAAAGATGCCCGCGGGATCCGATTCAGAAAGGACAACCCTGGATTACGAGAATATGAACAGTCACCGATTGCGAAGAACCTTTTCGATCGTTGGCTGGGTCAGGAGACGCGGAAGATCGACGAAGTTGCGTACCAGCTGCAGGAACTTCTTTTTAGTCGCAAGTACCGACAGGATCTTGAGCGCAATCTCTATGTGACGACCTCCTCCCCAGTACAAAAGAACCCTCACAGAACTCTTCCACTACTGCAGACCAAGATGGTGCGCACTCTGGCTAGGCTGTCTGAAGGTTTCGCGGCCGAGATGCCGGCGATCATTTTTGACTTTTTCTCCATGGAGCGACGATGCTTTGCCATGTTTGTACGTCTTATGCAAGATTACCAGGCGGCGACAGAAGGCAGTCGGCGCTCGACCAGCCTGGCCCGCAACCCCGCTGCCCACCCTATTGAAATCACATTCAAACTTTTCAATGACTCTGTGAACTCTGAGGAGATGGTGCACTGTCTTGCTTCAAAAAACCGGGCCGACAGCAGAGTCCACGGACCGGCAATGGCGAAGTACATGAAGTCGTTGATGCCCCAGCTCCAGGACGAAAATAGCCAGGCTTATTTCAAAGAGGCCTTGACACTCGTCCGCAACGGGCGCGTAGGCGATGTATTTGGAGAATACGCAGATCTATCTGAATACGCGACAGCATCGAGGCTTTTCAAACCAGTCCGTAAACAGATCGAGAGCGTCGTCAAGGAGCAAAAAGGGGATGCAGAACTTGTAAAATTGCGGAGACAGGTGGGAGACAAGGACTATGGGATTTTTCTGTTTTGCCGTCCAAGTCTGGAGGCATTATACGGCTCTGGGAAAGAGCAATGCTGGGAGGACATTGTGGTTTCGGAGAGTGTGATCAAAGAAGCAATGCCGCGCACCGCCGACAACCCGCGGGTGTGCTTGGCTACCTTACTATTTCTTCATCGGGAGAAGATCATGTGCGGGACGGGTGAAGATTCTTACGAGAAGAGCGGTCTGCGGTCTAACGATGTCAAAGATCTCGAACGGGAGATTCGAGAAAAGTGGTTCAGTGGAAAGCCGAGTACATGGGGGGATGCGGCTCAGAGGGACAAAGAAGACTGGGAGAAATGGGAAGGGATCTATGGGAGGGAAGGTCGACTGGCTTCTCAGCGGAGAAAAAAGTGACGCTCGAGGGCGAAAAGAAACGAGTATGAAGACGGAAGTGGTGACTGCATTGTGCAAGGACGGAATTGTTGGTGCTTTGTCGACACTCGTTCAGACTCCAACGAGATAGAGCATGTATTTGGACCCAGGGCCAGAATTAGAGCTTGTATCAATATCGACTTGTATTTACTATTATGCAATGTCATGTCAATGTCAAATGCACGCCCTTTCGGCTGAATGGATGTTCGGGACGGCCGCCTTCAATATTGTATACACATTCATGTTGCGAAGGCCAATCACAGCGGGACTGGTTCCAGAACCGGCGGCTATCCACGGCATCCCACAGGATGATCAAGAAAGGACTGTCGACCTCGCCGGTCCCTCGTCCATCCAGATTCAACCATGGACAGATCTCACTTTGGCACCATTGACAGCATCACGTCTCTCTGGAAAGCTCTAGGTCTTCCGGCCAAAGCGCTCACCGCCATCCACCTCCCAGATGTCGACACCATAGGGATACCCTCGTCATTCAAGATCGGACACTTGGCCCAAGCATCCATTGCGCTTACGGGCCTGCTGGCCGCACTGATCTACTCGGAGCGCCAGGGAAGCGAACATGTCCCGACGGTCACCGTCCCCCTCAAACATGCCCTGATCGAGTTCCGATCCGAGCGATTCTTCACACTCGGCGGCCAGCGCTTGCCATCACCATGGGGCCCTATCGGCGGCCTCCACAGGGCCTCGGACGGCTATGTACGCGTCCACGACTCGTTCCCCAATCACCGCGCCGGGGCGCTCGAGCTTCTGGGCCTACCCGAGGACGCGGACCGGAAAGCCGTAGGCGCGAAGATTGCGCCATGGCGGTGCGTGGACCTGGAGAACGCGGCGGTCGACGCGGGCGTGGTCATTGCCGCACTGAGGAGTTACGAGCAGTGGGACGTCCTCCCCCAGGCGAGGGCTATCAAGGATTTTCCCATCCAGATCAAGAAGATCGCCGGTGATGGTGATGCTGACTGTGGTGCTGGATGGTGGTCAGACAGTATGTCCATGTCCCACGACAATGGCAATGCCAGAGGCAGTGGCGCAGACAAGGCCAAGGACACGAAGGCTCTCCGCGGCCTCCGCGTGCTGGAAATGAGTCGCGTCATCGCGGCGCCCGTGGCGGGGAGGGCTCTCGCGGCCCACGGCGCCGATGTCCTCTGGATCACATCCCCGAACCTGCCGGACCAGCCGAGCCTAGACCGCGACACGGCGCGGGGGAAACGCACCGCGAGGCTCAACCTCGACCTCAGTCACAAGCCGGAGCATAATGACATGGAGACGCTGCTCTCGCTGCTGGACGACGCCGACGTCTTCCTCCAGGGCTATAGACCGGGCAGTCTCGCGGCGCGGGGCCTCTCGTGCGAGACGCTCGTCGCGCGACGCAGACAGAACGGGATCAAGAGGGGGATCATCTGCGCCAATCTCTCGGCCTATGGGCCCGACGGGCCATGGAGCCACAGACGCGGCTTCGACTCGCTCGTCCAGACGTGTTCGGGCATGAATGTGTCCGAGGCGGAACATTTTCGCACCGGCGATATCGACCAGGTGACCGCCGCCGACGACGACGATACCCCCCCGAAACCCACGCCGTGTCAAGCCCTCGACCACGCCTCGGGCTACTTCCTCGCCGCGGGGATAATGGCGGCGCTGTGCCGACAGGCCCACGAGGGAGGCTCGTACGAGGTCAGCGTCAGCCTGGCGGGGACGATGAAATACCTGCGCAGTCTGGGCCAGTACGAGGGACGGTCTGGGTTCGACCACCTGCAGTGCAAGGACCATTACGCCACCATCGAGGATATCCCCGAGGAGTTCCTCGAGGAGCACATGTCCGGATTCGGCCTGCTCAAGGCCGTCAGGCACGCCGCGTCCATCGACGGCGTGCCTGTGGGATGGGACCTTATGCCGAAACACCTGGGATCGGACGAGGCGCGATGGCTTGCACGATCCTGACCGACCGAGGAACCAACGAGCCGGCTTCAAAAATTAAGTGGCACACGTCTTACGAGAAGAGGATACGGCGGCAATAAAGTAGAAGTGGTTAACTATTAGCTATCAGATTATCTTCACTTACAAAGGGAATCCTATCTGCTCTTGAGTATTGCGGGATCCTTGTACTTATTACTAGATCCTAGCTGTCGCTAACTAGGTGGTCCCCTCGTCGTTATCCAGCACTCTGTGTCAGACTGTTGCCATTTATTTCTGAAGTCGGCTTGCGAGGTAATGTCTCTGCGAAAAGTGCAGCTAAAGGCGAATCCAAAAGGAAGTTTTGAATATCATTATCGTCAGAACATCCGGACTTGATTAGACATAGTGAGCCTTCTCAATTAGCCGCCTCATCGCATTTCCCGACATTGCGAAAATGCCTACTGTCGTTCGACCCTCGAACCTGTTCAACTCAGTCGGGGGAAGACGGCCGCTTTCGCACAAAGGTATGCTTGATAATATCACCTTCCCACATGTGCGACTCCCACTTGCCAATGCCATATTTCTCGGGAGCTCTTCGGACTCCGCGGCCACCGCCGCCGACAATGAGATTGCCCGGACGGTAAGTCGGGTCGGCTTGCATACGCCGGATGACGGAGATGTGGATTTGCGCATCGTCTGGAATATCTCGAGTTTCTCCCATAGGGAGTGGCCTTCAGCTCATGATGATTAGCCAGATTCTCCTCGAGAAAACTTTGCGAAAACAACTCCGACGTACCAGCGGATAGCTTTCCATTTCCCATCTTGCAAGTCCATTCTCCGAAACGGGAGGTATTCCATCAATTTCCAGAAACATACGGTGCCACGGGGCAAGCCGCCATTGTACGTGAGACAATCGTGCAGAGTGGAGGCGGCGTAGCAGTTCTCAAGGTTCTGCTGGAAGGATTGACGCGTAGTGGTGTCTTCGATCCTCTCGCCAAATTCGTCGACCGCATGGGGCGAGCATCCCAAACGAGCCATCTTTCTGTTGAAAAGTCAGCTTTCTGGTCAATGACGGTATTGGAAAGATCAGATATATACCCGGGGTCAAATTTCAATCCCGCATTCTCGGCCTCATGCACCATCCACACCAATGGCGTGTGGCTGAGCATCCAGTGCTCTTTGTCCCCCTTTTCCCAGCCTCCACCAATATCCCCGTGTCCACCTGCGAACCAGACCTCTTGCACATCTTGCGGCCGCTTCGGTTGGGACCATCGACGTCTAGTGCGCTTTCGTGGCGACTTTGCTCTCTCCCGGAGATGCTCAGTGGAAGGAGAATACATAGGAGCAGCGAGGCTCTCGGAGGAGCTTTGTGATGCAAGCTGGGCGGCTGGCACTGAGAGTTGGCCACCTGATGTGGTTGTCAGGGTAATCTTCGGGCCTCCCTGCCCTACATGTGCGCGTTCTCCTTCATCTGCCTGCGCTTTCTCGTTCATTTGCATCAGATCCGACTCGTAGCGACGCATGTCGTGGCGCCTTTGGTCCTCTGCTTGGCCTTGTGGTCCAGTGATCAGATCTTGACGGAATTTCGCCCGCCTTTCATCAATCGATACCGCATGCCTTATCACCTTGGCCGACGGACGAGCAGTGTAGGGGAATTTGCTTCGTTGCATCCAAGCCGACTCGAATCTCGGCACTGAATTCACCGTGTCGAACAAGCCAAGGAACCGAATTCGGCGAACTGGCCTGCTGCTGCCGTGGGTGTCAGAAAGCCTAGAGGTGATCCAAATACAACCAGCACGAGACTTACAATGTTTCCCTGAACCCCCTCATAAATTCATACTGCTCCTCCTCATCCATTTTGGCCTTGTCACTGCCATCGTTCTTTCTGGCAGCCCACTTGGCGTAGGTTTTCCAAGCAAACCTGATAAGCTCTTCGTTGCCAGCAGCTAGCAGACCAATATGATCTAGCATCTCGGCAAGGAAGCGAGCCGTATAGGCTCCACGACTGAAACCAAAGAAGTACAAGTCGTCCTCGCAGCTGTAGTAGCGCATGAGGAACTTGTAGCCACCCATTACGTGGTCTGCAAAAGATGTGCCCACAGCCTCATCTATGGCTTTCAGGTACCAGGATCGGATCCGGCCGAGTGTGGAGGTAGTTTGAATCTGTTTTGTAAGCATTTAGACGGTCCCAAGGGAGCTCCTGTTCCACACACCGAATGAGAGCTGACGTATGTCCCAATACCTGGCTGGTAAAATGTGTACATGTTCACATCAGTGCGGTCCAGCATACGGTAGAGTTTGAGGATGTTGCTGTCGGTGTCCTTGCCACTGAACTTGTTGCCCGTGCCCTTGGAAATGTGTCAACGGATGCCATCACAAGCTGATATCTGGGGGACGAACATCAAAACAAAGGACGAAGACACTCTTCTGGCGTGGCTGATCTGGATCTGGAGCGGCCATCGGGTGCAATACCTCGGAGCACGTCACCAATGTGTCTGCTAAGAATGACCAAAGATATCGGCTGAAACGAAGACGGCGGCGACAAAGACTAAGAACTTGTGGTCAAGTCGAGAAATGAGAGCAAAAACGCCTGAGACAAGTTTATTGAAAGAAGCTGCCCAACCTGGGTCCGTGCGTGATGTTTGCTCGTGGAGGTCTTTCCGCACGTCAAAGGTGCACATAACACAAGCAGGGCCCTCCCTATCACAGCAGTGGCCTTCATCGACATTGATTCGGCCCATCATCCTGGCCATCAGCAACAAGTTTGCATCTCACCGCCAGTATCCATGCAAAATCCGGAAATGATGGTCAACACCGCCAGTGTTTCTGCCGGGTAACTCCCGTAACGGCAGGGTGGGCATGGCGCTCGGACGCTCGGACGCACGGAAGCAGCTCTCATGAGGATGTGCAAGATGGTTTGGGGTTTGCGTGACGTTCAAGAGTCCTAGTCTCCATGTGCTGAATGTTGGAGTGTGAGAGGGGTTACACAGGTGCCCAAACATGCAGCCCTTCCTTGCTGCAGTGGAAGTGTCTCCGAGGGTGATCGCCCGCTTTGTGTCTTGAGTGGGACCGTGTATCTCTTTGTGTTTCACGGTAGGGATCATCGCTCGATAGGCATTCGGCAATCCCAAACAGGCCTCAACTTGACGACGCTGCTGTCTTGTTGAGGCAGACTAATCTGCAAGCGGAGGGGAAGTCTGCACAGAATCAGCCAGCAGACCAACCACCCCTTCCCTAATGTGCTCTATCGGTCAGTGGATTGGTGGTCGAGCCCAGCGATCGGCACTCGAATAACAAGCGAGCAAGATACACGAAGTGGCTCCCGATGCTTAGGAGTCAAGACGGAGGAGAATGGGGGAGGCGAGTGGGAGGTTGGCCTAACTCCCTCGCTCGCTCCCTCGAGGAGGGGCGGGTGGGCCCGTCTTCCGGTCCGGTCCGATCTAATTCGAGCGGATCTTAAAGCTATTCAACAGACTCCGCTTTGCCCAGGCTCCCATTTGGCTCTCTACCTCCTCCCCTTCCCCCTTTTTCTTGTATGTAGGTACTCTGTAATTACATCCCGACAGCTGTCAATTCCCCTTCGCGATCCACCGTCCTACCAAGACCTTCATGTTTGGCTCAATGATTGACCCACGAGTCACTGACAGCTCGGTGTTTGTGCGCCACCATGGGCCTTTCACGTAAAACAGGAACCTTCCACAGTCGACCCCGCCCAATGCTCGAGACAGGGCTTCCGAATATCTGCCCCATTGGCTGCGGCTCAGTCAGTGTGAAGCACACCTACCTACCTTAATCTCTCCGATCATGCCAGCATGCTCGAAGAATAAGGTTCAGTCTGACCGCTGGAGGACGTTGAGTCCGATCCGGCATCCGCGCACCGATCAACAATTATGGCCGCTGTAAGCAGAAGCATGACCTGTACAATAGGCAGAGAGGAGTCCGCTGTTTCAAGAGAGAAAACAGCCTTGGATATGAATGGAACGGCCTTTGATCTTCATATCCCATCCTGCTTAGCTGTGGCACAGGAGGACACCCGGTCAAGCTGTGTTAAACTTACTCCGGAAGAGCTTGTGCGAGGAAGATCTTTCAAGGAAGCTGTCCATCAAACTAGGCTTGGTTAACAGATCGACACTGTATCACGTACTGAAACTGGCAGAGCAGCAGTGACTCTCGACTGCTCGCCCCACATCGGACGTGGTGCATGCGACTTGATTGACCACAAACATCATATCTCTGATGCATGGAACTATCATTATACAAGGAAGTGGCATATGCAGCTTCAAGACCATCCTGTCCGCGCTCTTCTCCACTCTTCCGAAGACAAAGTCATTCACAGCTGAGCGCAGATCGCACCTTAATTGCTCAAGGTATGATGTCTTCGGCAATTCACCGTGCAAATGAAGATCTCATCAGCTTGGTCTGCGTCGTTGAAGGTTGGGGGCTCCCTTAGAACCCCCATGGGATCTTTTCTCTTTTCCATTCCTTCTTCCAGCTTGCTCTAAGGTATTTGTCCTTCTCAATCAAATTTACCTTCCTGAAAATCGAGAACTCAAGCAATGCCGCTGCTAAGAAGGCTTTCTTCCAGTTTCAAGAGGAACAAAAGTGCAAAGGCCAACGGCGTCAATGGTACTCTGAGTACTGTCGACGAGTCTAGGGCTCCATCTACTGCTGTGAATGGTGACCATGTCAATGGCACAAGCTCAAATGGTGCTTCTATCGGTCAGAGCCTTGAAAAGACAAAGGATGTTCAACGGCCTTCAGCGCCTACGCTGGCGACCACCTCGAATCCTCCGGAGCCGGTGAAAGAAGACGACAAGGCTGTGGCTTCACGAAAGGATGTCGAAAATGTCTTCACACAGTTCGCAGCACTCATCCACGCTTCGCAGCGTCCGCTCCCGACTCAATCGGGCGACGGTCAATATCTAGAGAAAGAGGAGCCGACAGGACTCTGGAATGATCTAAAACACTTGGGGATTAAGGACGCTGAAACAGCTTTGCACCTGGTTCAGGACAAACTCAGTGGCGGTCCCGTGGATGACCGCAAAATGCACATGGAGGAGGCTATTCAGCTGGTCGCCGCCCTTCCTGATCGCTCTGCAAATCGAGTCAAAATCACCAGTTCGCTTATTGACCTCCTCTGGAATTCCTTGCAACATCCGCCTCTTTCTTATCTTGGAGATAGCTACCAGTACCGTTCAGCTGACGGCTCAAACAACTCGTACATGTTTCCGAAACTTGGTGCGGCGAATACCCCTTACGCACGTTCGGTGCAGCCAAAGATTTCACAGCCAGGCGCGTTGCCCGATCCAGGACTCTTGTTTGACTCATTGTTGGCGAGAGAAGAGTTTATACCTCATCCTAACAACGTATCGAGCATATTCTTCAACTGGGCTTCGCTTGTCATCCATGGTATGATGTCTCAGAATATTTGTACTTGAATCACCCTGACTAGTTATAGATCTTTTCCAGACCGACCACCGTGATTTTAGCAATAGCAAGACTTCTAGCTACCTGGACCTGTCAATCTTGTATGGGGATGTTCAGGAAGATCAGGACATGATGAGGACATTCGAGAACGGCAAGATCAAGCCAGACTGCTTCGCAGAGGAAAGACTTCTGGCTTTCCCACCATCTTGCGGTGTGATGCTCATCATGTTGAACCGTTTCCACAATTATGTTGTCGAACAGCTGGCTTTGATTAACGAGAATGGCCGGTTCACGCAGCCCTCTACCAAGCTATCCGGAGACGCAGCAAAGGCGGCTTGGAAGAAATACGACAATGACCTCTTTCAAACAGGCCGACTGGTTACTTGTGGACTCTGGATTTCTATCGTGCTTAATGATTACCTCCGTACTATTATCAATTTGAACAGGACAAACAGCACATGGAGTTTGGACCCCCGCCTGGATAAACCAAAAACCGTTGGGGAGGACGGCACCCCGCGAGGAGTTGGCAACCAAGTGAGCGCCGAGTTCAGTCTCTCATATCGCTGGCACTCTTGTATCGGACAAATGGACGAAGCATGGACGGAGAAGGTCTACGATGAGCTCTTCGGAAAGAAGCCAAACGATGTGTCGCTGCAGGAGCTGATGATCGGGTTGGGGAAATACGACAAAGAGCTTCCCAAGGATCCACTTCAGCGGCCATTCGCCCACCTCAAACGGGATGCCAACGGCAAGTTTGATGACGGGGATCTTGCCAAAATCTTCCAAGCCGGTGTCGAGGAGGTGGCCGGCGCATTTGGTGCACGCAATATCCCCAAGTCACTTCGAGCCATCACGATACTAGGTATTATGCAGTCTCGGGCGTGGAACCTATGTACCCTCAATGAATACAGAAAGTTCTTCGGCCTGAAGACATACGACACATTCGAGGAAGTTAACCGAGACCCGTATGTGGCCGACCAGCTCAGACACCTGTACGAACATCCTGACTTCATCGAGCTTTACCCAGGCCTTGCGGTGGAAGAATACAAGGAGCCGATGGTGCCAGGAGTCGGTATCTGCCCGACACATACCATTTCACGGGTGGTGCTTTCCGATGCGGTCGCCTTGGTCCGTGGCGATAGATTCTACACCATCGACTATACTCCCAAAAACCTCACCAATTGGGGCTTCAACGAGGCGGCCTCTGATCCCAGCATCAATCAAGGCTGTGTCTTTTACAAGCTCCTCTTAAGGGCACTGCCAAATCATTTCACGCCCAACAGCATTTATGCTCACTGTGAGTAGTGTACCATGCTGCAGTACTTGGCAAGTATTCAGTTCTAACGCCGACCAGATCCGATGACTATCCCGAGCGAGAACGCCAAAATCATGAAGAATCTCGGCCGTTTTGAGGATTACGACTGGAAGACTCCGGAGTATATTCCTCCCCGCGTCACTTTGACGTCCTACGAGAGTCAAAATATCTCCTGGAGCGTCCTCAAGACTTTAAAGTCATGTGGAACGACGGCCTAGGGTTCGTGATGGGCAAGGGAGGCGAGAGGTTCTGTCTTGGAGGAGATACTATCTTCCATCGGAAACAGCGTCAGACGATGCAACAACTTATCTACCGCGACAAGTGGCACGAGCACATCAAGCACTTCTATGAGTACATCACGCTCCGGCTTCTGCACGAGAAAAGCTGCAAAATCGCCGGGATCAATCAGGTCGACATTACGCGAGACGTCGGCAATCTCGCGCACGTACACTTTGCAGCCAATATGTTCGATCTGCCTCTTAAGACGGCAGAGAACCCCAGGGGCATATTCTCGGAGCAAGAGCTGTGGATGGCCATGAGCGTGATTTTCACCGCCATCTTCTTCGACTTCGAGCCCACAAAGTCCTTTCCTCTCCGGATGGTGGCGAGGAAGCTGTCCAACTTGCTCGGCAAGCTCATTGAAGCCAACATCAAGTCTGTGACGGCTACGTCCTTTGCAGCCAAGTTCTTCGATGGCTGGAGAGAAAACAACAACGCGCTCGCCGACTATGGTATTCACATGATTCGTCGCCTGAGTGAGACCGGCATGAGCACCTACGACATGGCCTTCAGCCAGATCTTACCGACCGCTTGTGCCCAGGTGCCGAACCAGTCTCAAGTCTTCACACAGATCATCGACTACTACTTGAGCGACGAGGGTCTCAAATATCTCCCGGACATCCAACGGCTTGCCAGGATCGACAGCAAGGAATCCGACGACCAACTGCTCCACTACGTCAACGAGGGCATCCGCCTGAATGGCACCTTTGGCAGCTATCGCCGGAGCCAAGTCAACCACACTTTCCACGACGACGGGAAGCAGGTCACAGTCAAGCCCGACGACAAGGTCTTCTGCGGATTTGTGAAAGCCGCCCGGGATCCCGCCATCTTCCCGAACCCCAACGAGGTGCGCCTGGACCGACCTCTGGACTCGTATATCCACTACGGCATTGGAGAGCACGCCTGCCTTGGAAAGGACGCGAGTATGGTGGCTTTGACCGCCATGCTGAGGACGGTCGGCAAGCTGGAGAACCTGCGCCGCGCGCCAGGACCGCAAGGGCAATTGAAGAAGGTGAGTCTTGTTTCCCGTGACACAAATCCAGCATTCAAAATCTTGGTTCCTTTTTTTGAAAAAGAAAACCTGATTGACTGACCACTTCTTCTCTCTCTTGCAGATCCCACGTGATGGAGGTTTCTACGTCTACATGCGAGAAGACCATGGCTCCTACTTCGTCTTCCCATGCACGTTTAAGGTCCACTACGATGGGACGCTGCCTCCCTTGCCCAAGGCCGAGGCTGAGCATTGAGAGTTGTCCCGGATGTATGTTCATTATGCGATCGAAGCGGACGCAGGTCAAGTAATGACGATGAACGGTATTGGCAGTTGTAGTGGTAATGCCCCTTGAATGATATGTGATTAAAGCAAGCCTTGAAATTGCCTACATCATCGAGATCATCGTATCGTCTGTTTGATGCCAACCGAGCGCAAGATCTAATGAATAGGTCGGTCTTCCGAAAGTGCTCAATCTCAGCTTCCAGTTGTCTAGTTGTATAGTGCTCATATTCTATAGTGCTCATATATTTCCTAGTACGCACGGTAAGTGATTGAGTCGCCAAGCCAGCCCGGAGAATAAATTTCCTTGTCTTGACAAGGAGTTATCTGGCTATTCGCTAGTTGGGGAAGATGAACCTTCATTTCCATTCAGGGTTTTCCTTCCCATGGACGCAGCTGGCCCCCTCTCTCAACTTGATATGGATGAATTCTCTTTTGAGAACAAGCTGCTGTCTTCATCTCGTTCCATTATGGGGCTGAAGCAGCCGCCGACAACTGGGATTGACTCTAAATATCGACATTACTCTTACTGGTTTGCGGGAGCCGTCGATCGAGATTCAAGCATCAGGCCTCCTACGGCTTGACACGTCTCCGCATCCAGGCCGCGCTCGCAGTCGGGCTTGTGCTTGGCACGAAGATATTCTCCCATTGCTGGATGCCGATCAGGTTGATGGCCTGGAGGAAGCTGCACCTTCAGCGCGACGGTTCACAGTCGCTATGAGCAAGAAAGTTCGGCGACGACGCGCTGGCGCCGGGCGGATAAGAAGACAACCCTGTTTCTCCCCCGGAGGACGAGCAATGCACAGGCAGAACGGCCACTGCCTGCACCCCCGAGTGCGATGTGCAGGTGCATTCTCTTGTCGAGCTGGAGAAAACGCTAGGGAACGAGCGACTGGACCTGTAGGGACCAACTGCCGGGTTGCTATGGTCTCGATCGGTTGTGCTGCAAGAAAACCAGCCTCATGCCTAATGCAGATCATCAGCCTCGTTGCAACTCGATGTTGAAGCCATGACGTCGTTCTGTAACGCTCATTCCACCATACTCCAGGCTACGAAGCGAAGCCAAAACGGATTTGTCGACGACCTTGTGAGAGAGCAAATCAACACACGCCATGTGCCCGTCGTCCCAGGGCCGTACGCTTTATCTTCGCAACGCTTGACTTCCAGCAAACCCAAAAGGCCAGCTGGTTGGGCCACACATCGTTCACTAGCACAAGTCTTTCTGGTCTCCTCAATGCTTTGACCCTGGTGCGCTTCACCAAGGTATCGACCATGAGCTACTTGCCATTGAATTGAAAAGGTTAAATGCCCCTCCTTCACCAGGTATGTGTTGAACATCTCTGCATCAACGCATTCTGCTATCTAATATGGCTGGAAGAAACAGGTGTTCCACTTGCTTCCGCCTGCTGCTACTGTTGTATTTCTGCTCGTACTCTGGCTCTGTCATAGCAGCAGAAACAGACAGCAGTTCGAGATGGCTGATCCCTCGAACAAATATCACGGGACCGAACCCGGACGACTACCAGTGCCAGAGTGCTCGTGCGTCTGATTACTACGGAATTGGTGTTCGCCTGGTATGTTTTGCGCTCAACAACCATACATATATGCTCTGACGGACCTTCACTGCCTCCCTTGTGTTCGGAGCTTCATCACTCTCACAAGCCTAACTAACATGGTGTTGTAAAGGGGATATACTTTTCGTGGTTCACTGGATGGATCGTGAGTGCTTGTCACTCTCCCGTGTTTTACTTGTTTGCGCGGTCTCATTCTTATGTCCAGGCAAATTCATTTGTGCCCGGCGATATCGGTGGAGCTTTAGATACAAACGCCATTTTCCTCTTTGCCAATCTCGTGGCCATGGTGCGATGTACCATCACCAAAGTTCTGACACAGCTTGACTGCGTGATACTCATGCACTTGTCGGGAGGAACCATCTTTTCAGTGCTGAGCCTTTGGGGATACCGGACTTGTCACTATGTGCGCGAAGGCCCAAAGGGGATCCGCCACTTTGGAGGCTTTGGCACGCACCTTCGACTCCTGCTCTCGATGGCTGTGGCCGTGTACGGCCTGTGGTTCTGGTGGTTCGGTATCCAGCCAGACACGACCGTTATCAACGTGGATACTGGCCCATGCAAGACCGTCTATACTTTCATGTTCGCCAAGGTCCGCGCCGACGGTGGCGTGAGAATATTTTACATCATTGTCTGCATCGGCTGCGTCATCTACTTCGGCATCATGTTGCTGGTATCCTCCCTGGCTCTCTACGCGAGGGTTGCAAAGGCAGTCGGCATGGCCAAGAAAAAGAAATGGCGAACGAGCACTCGACTCCATTATGCCACAGGCCTCTACCAAAAAGAGTAAATCCTTTCTCCGGCCCGACTTTGAGGCTCAGGAGAGACCTTACTGACGCTTTGCGTTTTCAGACTACGCCGAATCTTGTACTTCCTCCGAGTCGGCAATTTCCTCTTCATTGTGTGGTCGATGATTCTGGTGGAGTGTACGCTCAACTTCAACCATGTCAAGGAAGTGCTGGGCCCTGGCGGCCGCATTTTCTTCCCGGACCAGCTGATTCCTATGATTATCGGCACCTTCAGTTTCCTCCGGTTGGGGTACAAAGTGCTCGAAAAGTGGCGAGATCCCGATGACGACCCGTCACTTCCAACGGAGCTTAAACCGTCCAAGACACAGCAAGACTTCCCGGGGCCGAAGCGAATCTTCAAACTCTTCGCACCGCCGACAAGCTCTGCCCACCCCCGGCCTCAAGCGCCGGAAGACATGCCGCCAGAGGACACGGATATCGATCAAATTGTACAAGACGAACCCATACGGTTGCGATACCTGGTCACCTGGCTTCCCTGGCTGTCGCTGCTACATTGGTGGACGGACGACGAGCAGCAGCAGCAGCGCCAAAATTCGCACAAGCGTGATGCCAGTAATATGGAAAAGGGCCGTGCCCGTGCCCACTCGCCGACATCCACTCTGCAGGGAACACCGACTAATTCGACGTTTGTGAACCCGTACGAACCACAGATCCCATGAAGACAACAAGAGCGTTGCGCAGCGTCGGTGTGTAATCAATCCTGTGCTAATGATATCACACAAAGTGAAGAGTAGGGAGATGGGGAGGAGATGAGTCTCAGATGGAGGGTGCTAGTTCGCAGGCAAGCTATGAGCCGTTCCTCATGTATGAACCTGTTCGATTTCACGGAGGACAACTGTACAACAAGATGCACGGAGTAGTCCCACCATGGGGCTTGGGAACACGGGGCCCTATCCCTGTGATTGTGTAACGTAATGCGGAGTGATATTGGCCTGACAATTTCATCCATTTCGGACATTTTCATCAATTGTTGACATTTTCATCTCGTCTCTCTGCGTCTCGCTCTCCCAGCCTCGTCGGTGCACATGATCACGTGAGCGCAAGGGGTTGCCAAGCCGAAGCCAGGGCGCCCCAATTGTCCGAGTTCCGACCCTCACGTGGTTGGGGGGCCGTTGTGTCACGTTTTGCAACTGTGCATACAAAAACTCTCCGCAGGCTGAAAATGGGCGGCGGCTCACCGTCGCAGCCCAAAGCGCCCACCAGCCTTAAATCTCGTTTTTGCTCGCTTTGCTCGCTTCCTTCCCCGCGAGATCATGTTGCGCTCCTCAATCTTGCCATGTTTTATCGATAGCTTGTGACGAACGCACATAGCGCCGTGCGAAGCGAGATGCGATGGCGGGCGTCATTTCTTCGAGAAGACCAAGTCAGCGGGCAGTGTTGGGCCTTTGACGCAAAAGGTCAACTGAGACATGGCTAACATCATGCAGCAAGGCCCATGATTGTCAAGTCCGTCCGGAACCTCTGAGCCGGACCGCTCCTGGCCCAACCCCAATAGCCCTTAACGAACCCTGTTGAGTGGACGGAGAAAGCGAGGGCGCTTTTCGCAGTGTGCCGCCTGTCACCTTTTTCTTGACGTGGCTTGCACCTCAAAAAGCCAGCTGAAGGGGCGTCAATTTAAAAGAACTTCCCACCAATCCCCCGGAAAATCGTCTACCAATGGACAGGGTGAGGGGGGCCTTTGTCCGAGTTGTAGGAGTAACACCATTTTCCACCCAATCTCGGCCTGGTTGACCCCCGTCCAGCCGGCGCGCAGCTAAGCTCCATCCTTGCCTGCTGTTTCTTGTTTTGTCGATCCAACCGGCCGGATTGGCCTCTCAAGCTCCAAAGTCGGCACGGTCGTCCGTCATGCATCCTAGGGTCCTAGACACGGCCTGGAACCTCACCGCAGAAATCATGCAGATAGCATGCAGGTCGACCTCATGCTTTTGTGGACAAAGTCGTTGTCGACGAGTCACTGCTGTCCTTGAGATAGGCTCAAGTTTCCGGCGAACACGTAACGTGGTCCTGGACAAATACTCCGCAATGGATGTCAAACCCTCCGATCTTGGTCGGCTGCTCGTGGCTGCTCCAGCCCTGTTTCTAACGCATAATTTCCCGGTCTTCGAATCCATGTCGCCGCTCACCCCAGGCGACAATGTGCAATGTGCCCCCTTAGCGGCTACTCTCCACGGGAGCTAGCTGGCACGTTTCCATTCTGCTCGTTCTGGCTTGCTTCTTTGATGACGATTTGGACAATCAAGAGCCCCTCACATCCCAAAAGGTACGCTCATGCGAGCATGTGGCTTGCATTGATCAAGGTCAATTTTGCTCTTAGCCCGCCTCGTTTCCCCCAGCTTCACGGCCTTTTGGTCCCGCCTCTGAAGCTCTTCCATTCTTCTTTTTCATTCTAACAAGAGTGTTGCCGTTGCCTGGTGGGGAGGAGTGTTCAACGTTGACAGTGTCTTACCTTTTCGCCTTGTTGCTGTGTCTGCTACACCGAGCTCGTGGGCTGAACTCAGATAGTCTCCGATTCAACGCCACGTCAATGGTAACTCAGCATCTTCGCCCCGGGAGCCGCACCGGTTGACGTGGAAGTGGTCACCGCCTGAAGAGATTCTTGAGGAGCTGAGATCCTGTGCGTCCGGCGGGAGTTCATTGTGAAGCTCACTTGCGCCCATCGAGTCTACTGAACAAGATGCATGCTTCTCAACTTCTGGCTTGGACGGTGCTGGGATGGGCTTTCGCCTCAGGAGTTTACGCTCAACCTGGACCGGGAATACAGAAGCGACAGGATAGTACCAACACCAACTTTCCGTCCCTTACGACCGGTTCCCCAAGTGCTTCGATAGGTTCTTCCGCCTCGACAAGCAACACGGCTACTTCATCTGTACCAACTTCGACGCAGGGCGTCCAGCAGTCTGGTCCAGCATCGACGACTTCGGCTGGGAGCTCACATTCGGATACCTCCTTGCCTACCACGAAGCATCTCTCCAGCACAAGCCCGGCCGTGCATACCGCTTCTAGCACTCCTTCCAGCAACTCGACGACCAGCTCCACCGACAAAGAATCGGATGCGCTGCCCATCCACCCTCGACTTACCCCGGCGTTTGGGATCGCTGGGGTGTTTCTCATTGTCCTGGGCGCGACTTATGCTCTGATTGGTGTCAAAACCAGATGGGTACAGATCTTTTTGTCATGCGCATTCCTGGCAAGCATAGCGACAACAGCACTGGTTGACTATGTGATGAACCCGCCGGTGACAGATGCTGTCCAAGGAGGCTTTTTCGTAGCGATTTTCATGACTGGTGCCGTGTTCGGAGGTGGTGCTCTGGTGTTCAAAGAAGTCACCGAAGGCTTTGCTTGTCTCTTGGGCGGGTTTTGCTTCAGCATGTGGTTGCTGACATTGCGAGCCGGTGGGCTAATCACCAGCTCAGGGGGAAAGGGGGCCTTTATCGGGATCTTCTGTGTGGTTTTCTGGGCGCTGTCTTGGACCAGCTACACTCGCCCTTACGCACTAATTGGGTCGATCTCATTTAGTGGAGCAACTGCTTTCGCCTTGGGCATCGACTGCTTCACCAGGGCCGGATTGAAGGAATTTTGGTTTTATATCTGGGATCTCAACGACAACCTCTTCCCTTTGAACACCACCACCTTTCCATTAACCAAGGGCATACGGGTCGAAATAGCCGTGATTGTGATCTGCACCATCATCGGGGTCCTTTCGCAGCTCAAGCTCTGGAAAGTCGTCAGTTCTAAGCAAAGAGAGAAAGGGCAGCTTGACGAAGAGGATTTTCGACAGAGGGAAGCAGTGGAAGCCGCCCTGGGGCGTCATCTTGAACGGCAGAACGAGCGCGACAAGTCTGAATGGGAAAGGCAGTATGGTGATCGACTCTCGAGTAAACGCAACACTGTCCTGTGGCAGAATGCTCATCCGGAAAAAAGATATTCGACAGTGTCAGTTGTTGCACTCGAGCAGGCGGCCGATTCGAGTTCTTCTGAAAGCGTAGAAATGAACGCTTTTGGCCCCAAGGGAGCCTCTTCAACATACGGATCAAAAAGCAAGCGGCAGAGCACCTTTGCAGTCGACGTGATTGAGGAGGTGGAAGAGGATGCGGAGGCTGTCGCCAACAAAGAACGACAGAAAGCACTCCAGGCCTTGGAAAACGCCCGAACTCCGCTTGGAACGGAGCGGAAAGGCAGTGGCGGTTCTTCTGCAGCTCAGAGTACTCGCAGCGCTTCGAAAGATGTGAGCCCCAACGAAGATGCCTTCAACGATCAGTCAGGCACAGTCGGTGGGTCGTCCAAGCTTAAACGAGGTTCTCAGCCGTCGCTATCTCGCCGGTCGAAATACTTGAGCGCGAATTATGGTAGCGGTAACTCTGAATCGCAAGAACATCTGATCGACGGTGAAAGACCCCTGAGTAGGGCTTCTTCAGCTGCAGCGACCATGGATGTGGACAATGAAGAGCTGGATGTGGATGCTTTGGACGTTGACCTCGGTCAAGATCCGTCATTGCCGCCAGAAATTGTCATCTCGCCCGTAGCTGGCCCATCAAGTGCGGTCCTGCGGTCATCAGAGAACCGGGAGAATGCCGCTACTGATGTGCAAGGTGCTGAAGGGTCAATTGTTGGTGGGAGCTTGGAGCTTGAACGCCTCCTTGTGGACCACGGTGGCCCCTCTGCTAATGGTGGTTCTAGCTTGGACGACGGACTGAAACCCGAGGGAAGCGATACGAAGACGGACACGGGGGATGTGAAGAAGTCCCAGTCGCAGACATCCGACGCTACCAACTCCAGCGCAGATACCCTGACCAAAACTGCTCTCGCCTCAGTTCCTAGCCAGCTGTCGAGCGTAGTGTTGTCATATCGGACCAATGAATGGGCAAAGCATATTACCATGGCCGACGAACCAATCTATGACGAGCCCGAGACCATTGAGGGAATTGACGACGAATTGCCAACCCAATTGGCATCGGTCACCACGCCCCCCAAGAAGGTTGCAGCAGAGCCTCCTGTGGAATTGCCGCCAACAACCATGTTACCACTCACGGTGAGAGCGGGTGGGTCTGGTGTGGGCGTTGCTTCCAAGCCGCTGTCAGGCAAACGGTCGGTCTCGGATCAAGAGCGCCGTCGCAGCACGGGCAGACTGCCGTCACAGTCGGCATCGACACAATCGTTGAAGCACTCCAACAGCCGAGGCGGGCGGAACTCTCTCAACCCAACAATGCAAAACTCACTTGTCTCGACACCGATCGATGAAGATGCCCCCATGGAATTCACAAACCCCAAGAGGGCGAGTCGACGCATGTCGGCCCCGTACCAGATGCCGCAGCGCAGCAACAGCGGAACGCGGCCGCATACTGCCTACGGTACTGCAAGCCCGCCTTCAGGTAGCGTGTACGACCTGCCTCAAATGATGCGGCCAACGAGCCAAGACAGCAACAGGGGTGGTATTTCGCTTGGGACTCGACTTGAATCATACAACTCGCACCAGCCGCCTCAGCGGGACCACAGGAGCGACGCACAGAAGCGAGAGTCTCTGCTTGCTGAATGGCGGCTGTCACAACAACATCGGGCTGCGAGCAAGGGCATTAATGGAGCGATGGCGGAATCAGGACATGCTAAAATGAAGGTAGAGAAAGAGAACCAGAGACTGATGGAAGAATATCAACGGAGCGTGCAGCAAAGGAAACAGTTGATGATGGATCAAGTCATGAGACGGCCGGACATGCAAGAGCTGCATCGTGAGGCGATGCGCAAGATGCAAGCAGGAGCTAATAAGAACCTGGGAGGTGGAAGAGGTTGAGGTAAGGCCCGGCGCTCCATCCATTCATTTGATATTTTCGGGCAAGTTCAGGAGTTCAACGGCAAGTTTTCAAAAAGCAATACGGGCAATGAAAGAGGGAAAGGGACACACTCATTACTGGGCAGGTGCATTGGCTCCCTTGAAAGCACGATTGCCTTTTGTTTTTCCAAACGGCAAATGACGAGAACATAGAGATGATACCCCTGAGCTGGACATATACGATAAAATAACATCTAATCAAGCTTATATTGATAATAGAGGAATTGATCCGTGGAGATGGGCAGGAGCCGGAATATATTTCGTGCTGATATTTTTGACGACGTTGCGTGGGCAGCGCTGTGGCCGCCACATGGTATGCAACGGCGTGACAGAGGCGACAGAAGCGAACAGATGGTTGCGTCAACTGTTTGGACCATCCGTTAAAGTTATTCTGGAAGATAACGACAATAAACGGCAAACGGTCGACACCGAGACGGAGAGAGGTTTTGTAGTGGTGACATAGATAGGGGGAACTGGAAAGTCTTTATCGCGTGGCTTGCGGGAAAACAGAGTTTCGGGGAAGTTGTTTCTTTATCGTCCAGGCGTCCATCGGGTGCCAACGGCGGCGTCGCTAGGGGCCTGACTTAGCACCTAGGTTCCAACTGTTTAATGGGGAGTCTAGGGCTCTTTCGGCTTTCTCCAGGGGCCCTGACGCCTATCTCGAGCCTCACACGTCTCACCAGCATGACTCGTCCCCCGCGAGCCCGCATTATTGTGCCTTCAACTCACAGTCCCCTGCGCAGAGTTCGTCCAGGGCCCTTGTCACCCTCTACAAAAGTAGCTGCTCGAACTTGTCGAACATTGTCGCTGAACCATCGTGGGGATAGCCTGTTCCTGTTGTGACGGCCTCCACCAGGCATCGAGACTCGACATTCGAGACTCGTTACCCAAATCGACGCTCGCACTTCAGAAACAGCCTGAAGGTTTGACGGGGATCCCTATTGTTGGTCTTGCAAGCTGCCCCATCAGGCTTCGTGTCCATTCCACGTAAATCCCCGGCCCCGGCTTCATCATACGACAGGGAAAGTGGCTTTCTAGGTTGGACCGGCGCCCCGTTAGTCCCACCCTGAACAAACCCGTTGCGGACTCGTTGGTGCGATAGGATCCCCGATGATGATGGGCAGGCAAGCATAGCGTTTCTTTTGCCTCTTTCCTTTACCTAGGTACCTGCTCCTCGTCGATCCCGCGTTACAGCTCAGCTTGAAGCCCTCGAGTTCACCCACCTCAACACCTCCCCCATCTCTCCCCCGGCACGAAATTCGCCATCCATTGATTGACCTTGTCGCTAGTCCGGCCGCCTCGCCTCCCGCTACAGCCCGTGGTGACCTTTCTTCCCCCAGGTGAAGCGAGCCCCCCAGGGCGTTTTCTTATCACTTGCTATCCCCTTCGTCCGCATGATATCTTTGCGTTGGTGAAACCGCTCCTTTTCTTTCTGGCAAACGCCTGTTCTTGTTCTCGCTCGACCTTGAAACGACCTGGATTCAACTCCGAAGAATCTCTCTTTCTATACAATCATGCCGACTTGGTCAGAAACCGCGATCGCACGACTTGACCAGCTGTCCCCGTGAAATCCATTTTCCGCCATATTTCGTCATTGCAACCATCCTCGAAAGCCGAGGGACATACAAGAAAACTACAGCAACAATGACCGCCTTTGTGGTGGAATCATGGATATGGTATTCGGTGACCATATGTATAGTTCTCTCGCGCATGTACGTGACATACCCTTCCAGCCAACAATGGCATGATCTAGGGCTCATAATGCTTTGTTCAGGGCATCGCGCCTGCTACTATTCAGATCCTTGCTACGACTACAGGTCGAGGACTACCTGATGATGTTCCTGACCGTAAGTCTCCTGGTGCGGCGCAACGATTTTTCCTACACGAACTAAAATGGAACCATCGCAGTGCCTATACACTATTCTGATCGTGTTTCTCAACATTGACCTGAATGTCTCAACGAATCTCATCGACCCAGCCCATCCGGTTGTCTTGACACCCGAAGAGATATCCCGCCGTACATGGGGATCTAAGACTATTCTCCTTGTCGAACAGTGCATGTGTGCTGTGCAATGGTAATTATTTTCTCTGAAACAAACTTGCTCCATGCCAGCGCAACCTAACAGAAGTCTTCAGGGGAACCAAGTGTTGTCTCCTTCTGCTCTACTGGCGCCTCACTCAGAATCTCAAGCAAGGCATGGTGGTCAAAATCGCAGCGGCATATGTAGCCATCACCTACATCGTCATGGAGATATGCTATTTCGGCGTTTGGTGTCGACCCTTCCACGACTATTGGCAGACTCCTACGAATAATGTGCAGTGCACCACCGCCTTGCACCACCTCATCATGAACCTAGTATTCAACCTGAGCAGCGATATCTTGATCTTGTCAATTCCCCTTCCGCTATTTGTCAAGGCGCATCTGGAGCCCAAGAAGAAGATTCTCCTGGTGTTCCCCTTCAGCCTGGGACTGTTTACAATGCTCTGTGCAATTCTAAGCAAGCGTCTGAGTTTCACTCATCCCTTCAGCTCCGAATGGGTGTACTGGTATTGCCGAGAAGCAAGCACGGCAATGATTGTCACCAACATGCCATACAGTTGGGCACTGATACGACGGATCTTCAATCTGCGATCCTTCTTTGGAGATTCGACCTCCGGCCATCTACAAGCAGGACAACCGAGAACGCTTCATGGATATAGTGCGGGAGCAATCGCCCTGGACAGTCAACCGCGATCGCGACAACCGAGTCACGTGGATGACGACCCTAGGAAGCCTTCGTGGCATCGCCTCAAACTTCACCGGACAAAAGAGGACAGCCCCTGGGCCCATGGTGACCTGGCCAAAGAAAAGGAAGTCGCTGTAGAAGCCACCACGGTATCGACCAGCACCAGTAGTGCCGGCTCTATTCGCAGACCACCGCCGGCAGCAGCAGCTAACACGGATTGGACCTTGGATCGTCTGTACCCCTTGGATGACGAAGAAATTATGGCCCCAGATGTAACGCACCGGCGATATGAGGGTGTGTGATGGGCGATCGTCCAGGTGCTTCCCAGGGGGGAATCATGAAAAGCAACTCCAAAGCATTTCGCCACCTCTCGCCCTGGCCCGCGCTAGGTGGACTCCGAGGCTTATCAGTCCAGGCAGCCCGCACTTCAGTTCGAGGCCCCACCAACCTTATCGAGCTGAACCGAGACTCGTCCAGCTGGAATCAACAAGTCCATTGTCTTCATCTTCACAGCGCTGGCCCTCGAAAACAGCCACAAGTCGGCTCGTTGTCAGTGCTGGGCATGGCACGTGCCAAGATCCCGAAACGGACATACTGGCAGCACGAGTCATTTTCTTGGCAGGCTAAACCCGATCGAGCTTTGCGCTGAAAAATGACGCAGGCGGGTTCGACTCACTTTTGATTTCCAAACCTGCGTCTTTGTCAATCCCGGGACTTTCTTTGTCAATTGACTCACAAAGGAGCTTCCGACAAACAAAAAGACCAACTCCCCGTCACTCATTTGCAACGAAGTAAGTGTTTCCCTCTTGTTCACGACGAAAGGACCTACGTCTGGACGGAAAAGAAAGGGGCAAGTCATGGCTGACCCGAGCCCGTCGCAGGCAACGCACGAGCAACACAATCCTTCGAGTTCCGAGGCCTCGTACAATCAGTACCACGATCCGACCCAAGATCTGTTCTGGCCTGAGCCTGTGGATGATTCTGCTTCCAATTCCTCTTTGCTCTCACAATCCGAGCCGCAGCCCCAGCCTCAACCTCCGCCTCTAAAACATGTTGTCAAGAGACGTCCCGTCAAACCCCTAAGTTCCCAATCCCCTCCGCCGTCCTCTGTCACGAATACCGAACCGGTTCTCTCACCTATAATCCCGTCTCCGCTGCGCATTCGTAAACCCAAGGTTTCGTCCCCGCAGCTGCCGATGCGCTCGGTACGCCTTCTCATCGCCTCTTTGGGCAACCCTCCCCCATATCATTCGACACGACATTCGGCAGGGCACATCCTCTTGAAACATCTTGCTGCGCACTTGCGCCTCCCGCCGCTCGCAAAGTCAAAGCTTCTCGGCTCCGGCCTTGTTAGTGCTGGTGCCGACGTGGGTCGCGATGAATACACCCTCTGGCAAAGCGGAAGCATGATGAATGTTTCTGGGCAGGGCACGTTAAAAGCATGGAAACAATTCAACAGTCTGCATCCTGCATCTGATGACACCGTGACAGCACTGGTCATCCTGCATGACGAGCTTGAGTCTTCATCTGGCACGATAAAGCTGCGCCGGGGTGAATCTTCACCCAAGGGCCATAACGGAATCAAATCAGTGCAGTCATCCTTGAAATCGGCCGGTTTGTTGCCGGCCATGGGCGACAGGTTCATCAAAATCGGCATCGGCATCGGGCGTCCGTTGTCGAGAGAGAAAGATGATGTGAGTGCGTGGGTGCTTGGACAACTGACACATGTGGAGAAAAGCAAGATTGAGGCAGCGGCGGAAAGTTTGGTTGCTGTGATGCAGAGTGAGATTCGGAGGCTGGAGAGCTCGTGAGTTTTGGGACACCTCCCGAAGTGAAGATCACAGTCCCCGTTCCACCTACGGCGTTGCAATTGGGTCTGGCTGCCCGGCTGATGTGGTCGGCTGCTACCTTGGGACGACCACTTCCGTCGCCATCGTGGCCTGCGTTGTACCAAACTTCCTACAGAATATAAGGATCTGACGGAACTGGATCCCTTCGGAAAGGGCTGTCCGGAGAAGGGTCGGGCTGTTTTTTTGATATGACCTGATTTGACTTGGCTTTCACGATACCCCATATAGCATGTCCCGGAGTGTTTCCCGGACTGGAGTTTGGTGGGATTTAGTGCTGAGCGCGGAGGACGCATGGACGTTGGGATCTTGTAAGATATCTTGACAGAGAGTAGCATCCCAAGCAAGCATGACGACAAGTGTCTATCATTCTCATTTGCCATCTGGCAGTTCCCACGGACGGAATGGAGGACCGGGTTTCTCAGTCCGTGCTGACGTGCTTGTGCTGTATGACTGGCATGGGGTGGCATGCTTGTATATATACCGAAGGATGGATCCGTGGGATGTATTACTATGTCTGTACCCACTCATAGGCAGGGTAGGTAGGTAGGTACATACGTATGTGTATATGCCTAGCAAGTATGCCTGGGTCAATAGCCAGTCTTACATGAGTTTCTACCGACCAGTACCTAGGTAGTCATCCCATGCCCTACGCCCTCTGTATGTCCATACCTAGAAATATATATATGTGGGCATATATATATATATCTATATATCCCTAAGCAGTATATCTCAATAGTTTATCTCGATTCGGCGTATGTCTGTTTGTACCTCGTATATATCTCTATATGAACATACCTGTGTATGGATCCTACATCCACACTCACGTACGTACGTATGTATATCCATGCATGTACTGCCCAGTCGACCACGGAATCTCCCATGGTGCGGCGTAAAAGCTAAGTTCTCTTATACACTTATATACATACCCATACCCAGCTAGTAGGTAACATGTATAGACCCTGTAGATCTGCAAAAGCAAGTATGCCTGGCGGGGGGATCAGTGAGCCATCATCACCTGAGGGCCTCGATCATCTTGCATGTCAGTTAACTCGTTACCTAGGACGGTGCTATGTCGGTGGGTTTCGGTAAGCAGTATATGTACGCCATTTGTATGGGACGTATGCGCGGATGGATGGATGGCTAGATAGATAGATTGGTTCGATGGATGTATGTAGTGCATGCTTGTCAGTTCTGTATGTCAGTTGTTCACCTGCTCGTGTGTGCGATGGGAGCTCGTAAGGGTGTGGGGGTGGGCATGTAATGCGTGACGGTGCATGGATGAACGTTTGAACCAACACGGTCGTGGATATCTTGTTGTTACTCCCTTGCTCCTTGCTCTTTGTTCCTTGTTCCTTGCTCATCATCCCTCTCCGTCCGTAGCGCAGCCCCGACGCGAAAGAGCGAGGACGGGAGCCAGAGCGAGGACGGGAGCCAGAGCGACCATGAGCGTGGGAACCAAGAGTGAGAATCAGACGACCTTGTCAACTCGTTAACCCCCGTCCTTCCATCTCTTACACGGATCCAACTCCCCACTGCTTCCCACCTGGGAGGGTCTCTTCCTGTCTACCTTTGTCCGTAGCCAGGATCGAGAGGAAAGAAGAGCGGAAGGAAGAAATTAGAGGGGCCGAGGAGTCGTCATCGAGGAATCAAGCCCGCGCTGAGGGTTATTGCCCCATACAGGTATGCATTCACGAATAGACAACCTCTTTCGTCAATTGAGGACTATGTAATAATAAGCGTCGGCGGTGGCAAAAGGACACAAAGGGCATTTTGAATGGGGGCGCCTTCGCTAAGTGGTTGACCGGGTATGGGGGAGAATTCAACAACCTACCTAGGTACCTAGGAGGCATGGTCGTTAATACGATGTACGTAGGTATGCATCTGCATTATGTCATATTGTGCTATTAATTAATTATTTTTCTTGTCTGGCTTGCTGGCTCAGCCTCAAATCCTCAGCTGTGGCCGTTTGCGCCAAATCCCGAATATCCTCAACCTCTTGTCCCTTTCCATTGCACTCATGAAGGGGGTACGCAATACGGCGTCCTGCATTATGATGTCTTGCATATTCCCACGGGCGGTTTCAGCTCAGCTCCGCTTCATCGTGCACCCAGCAAACAGGTTGACCTCTTGTCAAATTCCCGAGATATGATGGCCGTGGCAGAGTCCCTCCAGCCGTTTACGTCAAGAGTAAAAAGAATGCAAGTGGTCCCGTCAGCTTCAGCCAGTCTGTTTGGAGAACAAGAAAAATGGTCAAAGTCAGGCGTGCATGTGCCTCCAGGTTCTACCGCTGTTGTTGGCCGACGGTTCGGTATGCAGTCACCATATAGCGCCTTTTGCTGGTTTGCGACACCCCCCCTTTGAAGAAATTCGACAAGACAGTGGATCGGCGATGCCATGCTTGTGTCTCAAGTTGCTTGGTCATGAGATCGCATTTTCCCATATCTCCACAATCTCATCTGTGTGACATTGAGGACTATACTCTCTTTGAGGCCCATTTCCATATTGCTGTCCACAGAGTCGGGCCCATGCATCGGACGCCGAAACGAGGGGAATGTAAGACGGTGGTCCGCACGCGTAACAATAAGAAAGGCAATAGAAGACGATGCCGGCGCAGGGGCCAAGTGGTGGTATAGCGAGCGTATGCAGAGAGCAGCAAGATTCAATCAGGGCGGTTTTGATTTTGATGCGTTGTCGCACGACCTTGGGTGGGTTACGTCGGTGATGATGCCAGTCCCGAAGAAGGTTGAACAACTTGCGCACAGCTTGCTGGGCATGTTTATTGGCATGATGCGTTGTCCTCTGAGCCAAGCTGAATAGAATAGCCTTGTAGTTTGCTGTCCTAGTTGACCTGCCTGACTCGATGCTGACGAGGCGGTGACGGGCATCAATGGACCTTGGACGTCGGCTGAGAAGAACGTCCAGTCAAGTGGTAAGTGGTGATTGGCATTCCCATAGGGCACGTCGTCTGCTTGACATCTCCCATGCGCTTCGGAGAAGGTCGCTGAGGTCCCATCGGCTTGAGAATACCCGCAACATCGTAGTGGCCGCGACCCATGTTGATGGATGTGTCGAATGTATTGGAACCTGGAAGGCAACAAGGTCTACTGATGCAGTTACCTCTTGTACGGTCTCTTCGGGTTTGCTGTGTCGATGTATGGACGAGCTGAAATTTTGAGATGAGATGCTCAGATCAAAGGAAGGAGAGACACGCCCTTTTTATGCAGGTCCCAACGGGTAGCGGTAACACCCTGATGGAAGATGGTCGGAGACGGAAGTTCAGGATGAGGCGGAGGCATCAAACATGGAGGACCCAGTCAGGTACCGAGTACAATCGTACCTACCTAGTAGATGAGAGCTGATCAGTGTCGTTTCTGTCTGTGTGTTGGTATTCTGCGTCAGCTGTCAAAGATGCGGTGACTGTGTGGCGTTTTTGGTCATGTCCACCAGCCAGCGACCACAGCGAGACGTCTTCCCCTAGTTCCTTTTCGTATGCAGATGCAATGCAAGGCAAATGGAGGCGCATGTACTGGGTCAGGGCCCTTGAACCCGAAAATTCGGTGTCGCCTTTGGGGATGGTGTGGTTGTTGTTCTTGGGCGCCAGGCTCCGCTTGGGCTCCCACATCCTTGTGATGCTCCATCACATGAGTTTGTTGAGTTGAGCCCGGCACAAGAGGAATAAGTGCCCTCAGAGAGAAGAACCGGTGTAACCCAAAGCCGTATGTCTCGTTTGCTTCTTGGATGGGTGCTTTGAAAGAGAGGAAATCTGAGGTCCAGAAGGGCGGTGAAGGAGGCTGACGAGGCGCATAGCCCCCCAAGCCCCCCTGGTCCATCTAGTCCCAAGGGCCAAATGCACGATTTCTTTCCCCACGCTCTGTCCTGCGGCTAGTCTAGAGTCGCGATTGGCGTCAGGATTTAGCTACATCGCTTGGGTCAAGTTGCGCCATCTTCCGGCTTGGGGGTTGTACCTATACGAGGAGACTGGTGGGATGGGAGAGTCGGTGACACAAAGAAAAGAGGTGAAGAGTCCTCCAGCAGGTAGGCTACAAGCAGGAAGGGTATTAGCCATTTTTTCACTGGACTTTCTGCCTTCTTTTGCTGCTCAGACCCAGGGAAGTGGCCGTGGAGAGAGCCGGAGGTAAGAAAGAGCATCAACTTTGGGCAGGGAATCCAGGTGCATATCATGAACAGAAAAAATGACAGGGACACGGAAGTGGACAAGATCGACGCCAAAGAATAGTCTTGGATGTCTTCTCGAATGCCATCAATGGCTGTCCCTGGTACTTGCCGTCTGCCTGGCGCGCCAACTTTCTGCAGTAATCCCTCCATCCACTTTGGTGCTTCTACCAACATCCCCGGAGGTTATGGTCCCTCGTTCCATTATGGGCCGGTGCATGGGCTTGACCGTTGGAATACAAGGCCCACAGACCTCTCCTCTGGTGATCGACAGAGCGCTGGGAGAGTGCCGTAGGCCTTACAGGTCAACGCCCCCTTCCACCTCCACGCCCTGGATTTCGCCCTTGCGGAACTTGTTGGCCATTTCCTCAAAGGTACACCATTCCACCCCCTCGTGCTTGTTGATCCATTCAATGAGACGCTCATGCAAGAGGGTGATTTGAGGCTTGCCACTGACTTGAGGATGGATGCTGATGGGGAACACAAAATGCTCATATTCCCGGTAGCAGAAGTCGAAGTGCTCCTGCCAGAATCTCTCAATTTGATGCGGGTCGACAAAGCCGGCAGCGCCCTGGCCCCGCATGGTCTGAAAAGCAGGCCAATCGTCGACGTGCCAATTCGCCGGGACTTCGACCAGCGTCGACGGCCGAAGCGATGACATGGGAGTCATCCACTCCCCGGCCGACTGATTCTTGTAGTCGGTTTCCTTCCATGTGGCCGGTGGGTACGGAAGATAGTACAGTTGGGAGTCATGATGCATAAATGAGTGATCATACTCCAGCCCATACTCCTCCAAGAGCTTCACTGTCTGGGGTGAAGGTGTCCATGCAGGCGCCGTAAAGCCTCTGGGTTTCTTCCCCGTGAATGCAGTGACCACGTCAATGGACTTCTGCAGGACATCCCGCTCCTGTTGGGTTGAGAGCTGCGAGACAAATTCATGCGTATACCCATGGAGTCCACTGGGCGGCATATGCACCGCATCAGCAATCAGTCCCAACAAATCATTTCCGGAATTCACAGAGGGCGGTGACCAGGAGCTAAATGAAAACCAACCTACATTTCGTGTCCAGCATCCCGCACCTTAGCCATTTGTTTGGGAAATGACTCGATGGAATGACCCGGAGCAAACCAGGTCGCCTTGATGTTATACTTTTGGAACAGTGCCAGTAGTCTGTCAATGCCCACCGTGGCTCCAAAGACACCGCGCGATATGTTAGTCACATCAGCCGGCTGGCCGGTCTGAGTATTGATCCATCCGCTAACGGCGTCGACGTCTATGCCGTAACCAACAAGGACTTTTTTGACCATTTTGAGAGCAGATTGATTGTAGAGAGCAATGGATGTCCAGCAACTGCCAACGATATTGACGCGACGACGGGTGAAACAGATCCTTTTTCAACCCCGGAGACTTACCTGGTGAATCGAGAAACTCCGGAGATCATGGGAAGCTAATGGTATCTATTTGCGTTGACATATCTCAAGAATCGGAGATGGTCGACGAGAGCGAGTGAAGCAGCAATGAAATCTTTGTTGAGTTGCTTCTCCAAATGCCCTTCGAGCCTTTTCCCCGACAAATTAATTTCACGTGCTTGTCAGTGTCAGGCCCCGGCCACCAGGGCTTCTCTCCTTCCGCTTTCGTTCACAACCATTCCACATTCCCACCTCTGGAGCTGATCGATTGCAGGGACTTGGATAGCAGAGTCCTTGGACAGAACACCCACTAGACGACATGTCTGACCGATGCCACGTCTTCCTCCTGCCCTAATCCGCCAGGCAACCTCCCAAAATCCACTCCTTACACTGCTCCTCCGAGTATGTCGCGACCTTCCCTCTGCTCGCAACGAGCTTCGATGGCTCCAAGAGCACGCTCGCGGTGTCGTCAGTGTAAAGAGACAGGCTAGTCATGAGGCTGCGAACCTTCCTGAACAACCCGGGCTGGATCCAGCCGACCACACAGGCTCTTTCGACGGGCAAACCGCAAAACTCGATGATGTAAAGACCGAAGACACCCATGGACCTCGGAACCAGACACAACGGGACGTGCCCGTTAGCAAAACCGTTGGTGGGCGACCGATCAGAAATATCTCTACAGTTCCTACAGATACTGTCCTTTCGACGTCGACGACTCAAGAAAAATCAGTTCGATTTCGGAAGCACCAGGTTGGGGGATCCGCCCACCTAAAAGCAGAACTGCGAAAAGTCACGGTGCGCAAAGTCCAAATGCAAAGGCCCAGTATTCGAAAGGTCCAAGTGCAGAAAGAAGAGAACATTGTCCGTACCTCTAAATCTTCGAAAATCAGGTCCCCGCATGACGAGGGTGTCCGTGAGTTGGAGTTGCGGCGTCCGTCGGACGGGGACCTGGTCAACAGCGAGGCAGACGAACATGCCCAGGTGCAAGAGATTCTGACCGAAAATGTGGGCAAGAGATCAAAAGGCATGCCACTCCAGTACATCATCGGCAACCAGCCGTTTGGCAATCTCGACATCATATGCAAGCGCGGTGTCTTAATACCAAGGCCAGAGACAGAGATGTATACTGAAAAGGTCGGCAGCCTGCTGTTGTCGGCTCTTACTACGGATTCCGCGATTGATTTGGGGCCACAGAGTCGCAGGAAGTTCCGAATCTTGGATCTCTGTACAGGAACTGGGTGCATTGCCCTGCTTCTCCATTCGATACTCAAGCCGCCCGCGGCTAACTCCGGTTCCAACTTGGGTCTACCTCCAGGTATCAGTATTGAAATCCTCGGTATTGACAACAGCGAATACGCCGTTTCTCTGGCCCAGAAGAACCTGGTACACAACATTTCACAGAAGTTGCTGCATCCGGACGCGGCCAGCGATGTGTCCTTCCAGAACGTAGATGTTCTGGCTTTGGCCAAAAAGGGCGGTGACAGTGAGGGCCAGCAGCACCAAATCCGGAAGATCCTCAACGCCGCCGTGGCTGACGTCGATGAGAAAGAGGAGCGCAACTACTCTCCAAGTGCGTCGTGGGACATGATCATCTCCAATCCTCCATATATCGGTCCCAAGGATTACGAGCCTGGCGGAAAGACGGAGCCAAGTGTGCGTAAGTATGAGCCCAAGGAGGCACTTGTCCCCACCTTTGCTCGAGGAGAAGAAGGCTGGCAACGGTACAGATCCTCTTCGATCGTCTTGGCCGACCTGTTTTATTGGCCGCTGAGGCGCATCGCAAGAGCCGTCGGAGCCAAACTCCTGGTCATGGAAGTGGGCGACTCGGAACAGGCGTCTCGTGTGTGCAAGGAGTTCTTCGTCCACAACTACAGCTCGGCCACGGTCCTCGGGCAGCCCATGCCGAGGCTGGAAACGTGGAGAGATGACGGATCCGTGAGGATCGTGCCCACAGAAGCGTCTCCAACTTTCGACGTCGACTTCGAAGAAGCGACCGACCCGAACATCTCGGATCGGGCGGTCGTCGTGTGGGAGAAGGACATGGCCAATTGGCGTCGTGACACCCTCCCTGCTTCTGATCCTTAACTCGACAAGACACCTACCTACCTTGATTCCAACTCCTTTCCAATGGAACGAGACGCCACGCTGAGTCCACGGGTACCTACGAGCTCGAAGACAGAAGAAAAGTGGATGGCTATAAAAGGAGGCTTGGGTCTTCCATAAGGATAGATAAAAACTGTAACAATACTATTTCCCTCAGAAGATACTTCCCTATTAGCTCTGTAGGTAGCTCGCTGGAAGTCCCATCGAAAAGAGAATACACTCTCTTCCTTGCTGCTCTGCGACTCCCGCCCCCGAGGGACGCAAAGTTGAAAGTGTATGCACGAAGGTGACACTTGGGAGTTGCATTGCTAATGTTCACGTCCCATTTCTTCCTGATAATTGTCTGCTTTGGAGGGACTGTACTCGTTGATACATATATATATATATATATGTGTGTGTGTGTGTATATAGATGGATAACCCCCATCGTGGCTCGTTAAAATCTCGTCGTTGGTTCCCCAACGAATTCAAATCGCCTCCGCGTAAAAACACATATGTAAATGGATCGATAGACAGGTATATAGATAGGTAGGTAAATAGGTAGATAGCCGCCCCCCTTGGTATGCTCGTTTCGAGTAGGAGCCGAACCAAAAAGAAAAAAACAAAAAAACATCCCGTGTCCCATTTCCAGGCAAAACACGGGAGCGATGCGACCAGCCCAAAAGCAGATGAGAAACCCTCCTTCAATCCTCTCCCGAGTTTGGACGGCATGAAAAGCCAGCCCATTCGGCCGGCTGGGGGCCCAGATAATGGCAGGCGCTCAGATTTCCGCCCACAAAAGCCCAAGGGTAAAAACAAACGCTGCAGAATTCCAATCCGGTCGTTATAAAAAATGCAACAACAATGCGCAGCACTCTCGCTTCGGAAAATCTCTCGCGCCCAGTCCAGGCAGAGCAAAAAAAGCGAATCACCTCGCACTACCAGGCTTCCTCGCATAAACCACATTCATGCGATGGATTGCATGGACCCTGGGATTCCTCAGTTCATTCCTAACCGTGGCGCATAGAGCTCTGACTTCGTCCGCGGTCCACCCCAAGACACTCGTCAACAGCCTCAACGTCCAATTCTCCAGGCCGGTTTCGATATGCGCTCTGCACCACTGACCAAGTTGTTTAAGATTAGGATCCTTGGGCCAAGGTCCGATAGGCCACTTATACCGGCGTTCGGTGACGGATTCAAAGCCCGCATTGACCATGTGTTGACTCATGGACTCGAGGACCTGCAACTCACGATTGAGCTTTGCGTGACACTCAGGGCCGACCTTGTTCCACGCCGCAATGCCGCCGTCTGCAGGGATACTGTTGTCCTCGCAGGTGAATTTCGCAGAGTATTCTGCCTGCTCGAGCCACCCGCCGGGCTTCAAGCAGCGCATGCATTGCGCATACAAGGCGGGCCAGTCCTCTATGGTGCCATGGAGGCCGCGGATATGAATGAGATCGAAGCTATTGGGGTCGTAAGTCCATTCAGCTTCCATGTCGTCGATCTCGAAGCGGACGTTGGGCGGGACCCACGTGGGTTGAATGGGGGAGAGGTCTGTCCCGGTGACGACAGCCGAAGGGTATAGGTCAGCGACATCAATGGCCCATGCTCCGGTGCCAGTACCGAGATCAAGGATTTGAGATGGATTGGGATTGATAGGCGCAAGGAAGAGGCGGTTGTTGAGAGTTCTGAGATACAGGTTGTGTCCGATATCATGGTGTTGGTTGGCCTCTTCGTCGTTAGCGCCCCTGCAGCAGCAGTATCAGCAATGCAGGATAGGGGCCATGTATGCAGCAACAGCGTACCAGTACTTCCCATCCTTAAAGGCGTGGTAAGTCCGGCCATTCTCCACACGATAGTCCCTAATCCACGACGATATCGAGGTGGTTTCGGTTAAGCTAAGGCATGTCAACTCCCACGATAGTTAGAAACAGCTAAGGCATCACCTACGCTTCGTCCCCATATGCCGAGTCGTTATCATCATCCTCAAGGTCCTATCAGGATATTTCCATGTCAGGGGTGAGTCCGTCGAGGAAGGTGCAGGGGACTTTTTGGAACTTGACTCACAGGATCAGCAGTAATTCGACTGGAGCGCTGACTTTCAGTGTCTGTATTGTCGGCTCCTTCTGGGCACATAGTGCGAGGATGTAGCTCACAGAAGTGAGCTGGAGTAACGTCTTTTTCTTGAACTGGGATATAGGTAAGGTAGGTTGCTGGTGGACTGCTATGGGACAAGGGTATGTACGAGGGAAAAGCGGACCAAGACCCCGGATGGCGTAATGTGTGTTAAAAAATTGTAGAGTAAGATTATTGGCAACGGTCTCAGGCGCAAGGGGGTGTGGAACCCCGCGTCCCGTCTAGATTTGGCCAGATTGCGACGGCGAGACGTCTCTGCTTATTCCATTGAGTTTGAGAACATTGGCTGTTGAGCGGGCCGAACCGATATTGCTTTGGATATCGATAATGTGCTCAGCATGCTAGGGTAGCACATAGCAGAGGCCCTTTTAATGACGGGACGATGAAAGACGGTGAAGAAGACAGAGGTCGGCAGGGGCTGAACAGGATTTAATCAGTTTTCTGTGCTGGCAATCGTCGAATTCGACCTTGGGGCTTGTTGCGGGGCTAGACGTTGAGCTTCCGAAAGGGACCTTGGCTGCCGTAACAAAACAAATAAGAGATGCCCACATCCTCGACCCGTGCGTGGCTGGTCTCGACTCGTCGGAGTGGCTAGTAGATGCCGTCAGTAACTTTCGACTCAGAATCCTTCGCGAACTCTGCGAGACGTGTCTAGTCAGGCCATGAATTCGTTTTGATTTGTCTCCGGAGCCGTTCCACAGCCTCGCTAGAGCAGGGTGGAAGCGGGAAGCGGGATGGCGTGTGTGGACGGTCCAAGCCACAGCAACACCTCGGCACGTGCCAATGGAGAGAGAGAGAGGGCGTCGCGAGGCTAGGAAAACCGCCCGCAGGTTTATGAAGTTGGTGGGATGATGGATTGGTCGGGTGTGCTTGGCTGAACTGCCGGAGGATGCTGAACCCCAAGGAATTTCCCTGCCTGTGGGGAATTTCTCTGCTTGTCTGCTTGTCGCTACCCCAAGACGAATCTAGCTCCTTCAACGGCCCTCTCCATCATCTCGTGGGCAACAGCGAGGCTAGGGAAGGCATGGAAATAATGGGGAAGCCCCTCGTAATAATCGAGCTTGCTTTTGACCCCGCTCTCTTTGAGTCTGTAATCCAAGACCACTGCATCGTCTCGAAAACAGTCCTTCTCCGCATTGACGATATAGCAGGGGGGAAACTTGGACAGGTCATCTGCTAGGCCTATGAGGTGTCGTGGGCTGTCAAAGTCCAAGTCGAAATGAGCTGGCATGGAGTCAATGAAGATGCAACGCAGTGGAGCGAGCGGATGGACGTTACTCACACCACATGAACTCGGCGAGCTTCTGACCAAATACGGGAACCCCGGCGTGTCCATTGTCCTCCCACGAGGTGTACATATGCTTGTATTTTCCATTGTATTTCCAGGAAAGCGTTACGGCAAACAGCAGAACGCAGCCAGTAATAGACGTATGGTCGCCCTCGGCCATAAAGCGGTATGCCACTTCAGCTGCGAGCATTGCGCCAGCCGAACCGCCACACACAAGAGTATTGGAAGGGTCATCTCCTAGTTCTTTGGCTCTGTTGCGGCACTGTTTGAGTCAGAACTCCGAGATAGACAACGTAGCGCCTCTACTTACCCAAGGAACAGCCTGGCTAGCAAGGTTGATGATGTCGTCCAATTTGACTTTGGGAACCTTGGGATAGTTGACGCTGATGACCAGACAGGGCACTTTGGCGGCGAATATCCGGCAATGAGCGTCCTCGGTGTCAAGATTGCCAGCAATGAATCCTCCACCAGGAAAGTAGATCATGAGCGGCAACGATTTGTCCGAGGCCGGTTTGTAGATTCGGACCGGCAGATTACCATGTTGGCTATCTGTCTGTTCATCCCCTTAAGCAGTGCATGTCAGCGTCGAGCAAGTGTTGCTGGTGTCATTTGGGCTGGTACACTTACAGACTTTCAATTCTTCAGATAACGGTGGCCATTGTTTCGCAAGCCCGGCAAAGACTGCATCGTAGGTGGGGACATCAACAGCCCAATCGCCCGTCATGACATATCGGCCGCCAGATGCGTCTTCGAGCTGGAGGAATGTCAGTTGGCTTGAGGACAAAGATGGCGGGGTTTGCCTTGGGCGGGGATGTCATGTTTCTGGAAACCCAAGTCTCAAGGAAATGAGATGCTCACTGCAAGCCATTCCGGTCGGTAACCCTCTCGAGGCCAGGCCTTCTTAGGTTCCGCTGTCATGGTTCTAGGAGTCGCTGATTGCGTAGAATACGTGTGTAGCAGCCCGTCCAGCAGTGGAAGATTGGCAACAGCGGCGACAACGGCTCGAGCCGCGGGGGACAAAGCAGTATTTAGGACTCGGTACTTTCGAGTGGTGGACACCGTGCAAATAGCGACCTTCCAAAACTGGCTTCGAGCCATATCATTTAATCCATCAATACGGCGCATACCCAGGTACCCATCCATGGGGGCCATGAGATGCGAGACCGTAAACGAGTATTGCCATAGCGACGAATCACCAGTGTCTCGTGGTTCAGCAGCTGTATATCACAAGTATGTTGCTATCATCTAGCACTTGTCCGCTTGTCCCCGGGCAGGAACACATGAAGTAACTGTCGTACCTGCCGTGGGCTCGCCAATCCAAGTCTTTGTAAACGATGGCTTCCCGACACAAACACTTAACTCCCTCACAAACCATCAGCACAGCAGATCCGCACTCGGTCGCTATCCCTCTCCCTTAGCACGATCCTACCCCATCCACCTTTCCCTCATCTTGCCACGACCAGCAACACCCACCCCCATGAAGGAGGACACTTGGGGCCTTGTCTGGGGATTCGCCATTGTCGTCATTCTCTATTTGACCATCGCCTTTCCGTTCCTACTTTGTTCGTGGGGTTGCCTGCGTATCTTGCTGTGGGCCTTAAACCAGATGTGAAAGTACAATGTCGACCTTTGCAGACCAGAATGTCAATGCGCGGTCGATATCACGCAGGGTGGTGTCTGGCTCGGTGACATCCAACATCACATGTTGAGGAAGAAAGGGCAAGAGAAGAAGGAAATGCTTTGTGAGAGACAATATTTTGCACGAGTGTCAATACTACGCCACCGTACTATGCGACGCCACCAATTCTACAGAACCTCGGTACGTAGGGAGGCAAGGGAGGCTACCTGGTGGGTATGCTGCGAGGCTGGTACGTTACTTTCGATAGCCCGTCGTGCTTAGACATTATCAATTACAGACATTAACTCCAAGTCAAACGACGAGATGGCTAACCAGGCGCCGTCTAGCAGCTCCCCTCCTCCGCCTGTGTCTGCGCCCGCTCCCACTTCAGCAAATATGGAATATCCCTTCGCAACCTCGCCCGACATCCTCCGCACGCATCAGAAAGACGCCTACTTCTCAGGGAGCATCTCGTCACAAGCATCCACGATCCTGCGCGCCCTCCTCGGCGCTCGGTTTGCACACAAATACTCCGAAGCCACGAACCATCTCTCTGAACTCCTCTATCTCTGCATAACCACACTTCTGGGGAACAGGACCCTGGGTGAAGAATACTGCGACGTGATCCAAGTCGAGGACGACACACTGAGACTAGCGGGCCTCGGGAGAAGAGTCGGCTACATCGCCAGTGTGGTGTTTGCGCCCTGGATCCTGGGGAAGTCTCTGCCGGCGTTGAGGAGAAGGCTGAGGAGTAAACTCGAATGGAACATCGAACACGCAAAGCAGAAACAACAACAACACCACGGCAGCAGACATCCCCCCTCACCCCGGAGCCTTAAACTGCAAGAATACATCCTCAAACACCTCGACACCCTGACGTCCCCTCAACCCATCTACGCCGTCAGCCTTGCAATCTTCTATTTTACAGGCGCATACTACCACATCGCCAAGCGGCTGTTCGGATTGCGCTATGTGTTCACGAAACAGATCAAACCAAATGAAGAGCGGGTAGGATACGAGGTCCTGGGCGTGCTGCTCGTGCTGCAAATGGCCGTGCAGTCGGCCCTGCACATCCGAGACACATACATGGATGCAACAACCTCTACGACGACTGGAGCCGAAGCAAAGGGAGCCAGCACCGCAGCAATGCTGGCCAACGGCGTCGAGATCCCCATCTCATCCAGCCTCGAAACCTCCTCGGCGGGCCAGCTGCTCTCCGCCGTTCCCGTGCAGTCCTATCTGCCCCCGGGCCTTGGGGCGAACACGGCAACCCCGGTCCTCGACACTCCGCGCTATGCCCTCGAGGGCCACGACGAGATCATGGCCTGGATCCCCGCCGGCCACCAGCGGAAATGCACTCTGTGTCTTGAACCGTTCCGGGACCCGAGCGTGACGACCTGCGGGCACGTCTTTTGCTGGACCTGCGTGCAGGACTGGGTCAAGGAGAAGGCCGAGTGTCCGCTGTGTAGACAGAGCGTGCTTAGCCAGAAGATATTGCCGTTGAGAGGGTAGCGTGGATGTGTATATAGCAAGTCGGCGACGGGCACACTGGAGCTTATAGGTGATCCCGAGACGGCCACCAAGCCGACTTTGTCATGAATCCACTCGTTGGGGCAATCATTTCGCGCTCATTGTGGGCGAGGCGTTTCCATCAATGATGCGCCCCTGTGAAAATGCAAATCATGATAATTGTCTACCTTGGGTCCTTTTGAACTTGTTCCATGCCGAGACCTGTATATATATATATCCATCCCAATCCTACGCCGGCGTTCGAACTGTCCTTGCGGTGAAATAAGTTGCGCTCTTTCTCTTTCTCAGAGGTGGCTAATTAATGACTCTGGTGGTGAGGTGATATGATCTCTCAAGCCAATGCGACAGCGCCTTCCTTCTTTCCCGCGTCGTGGGGACTCTCCACATCATCCTCACCGTCCTCGCTGATCAGTCCCTCGAGCTCAAACTCCTCGGCGTCCCGGACCTGCTGGCTCGCCGAGCTCCTCTGGTGGCGGGCCCCCGGCAGCCTCGCGCTCCCGTTCACAGGGCCGTTCGTCTGGAGGTCTCCATTCATACCGATGGTGGAAACTTTCCTCGCATGGTGCCCGTGCCCACCACTTGGTCCCGCAGCAACACTCAGACTCCGGCCCGAACCCGAAGAACTGCCCGGGGGTGAGCGAACGCCGTTGCTCTCGTCGTCGGGCCACGCGTGGCTCGCGTAGACGTACAGCAGGATATTGACAAACAGGTAGAGCAAGAAGGCGACGCTGTAAAGGATCAGGATGTAGGAGACGTGGGTGACGTCGGCGTCGGACAAGAGGCGCATTTGTTCCTCGGTCGCGCCCATGAAGAGGAAGCCTGAAGCGTAGAGGAGCTATTTTTGTAACAATCATTGTCAGCTAAATGCGTAGACAATCAAAAACGTAAAAAGGGAAGTGGGGGGGAAACTCACGAATGGAGGCAAATGCTGCCAGCTGTTGACCTCGCCCGTGCCGCGGCTGTCCTTGAGCAAGAAGGAAATCTCGACGATCCGCGCCGCACCGGCGGCCATCAGGGTGTAGCCAAACACCGTGTGCACCATGGTGCTCAGAGGCAGATCTTGGGGATGGGCACTCATGGCCCAACCGGTCAGGAGGATGACCAGACCAGGGAGTATATTTCTTTTGGGCCGACCATTCCTCGATCTCGACAACCACACACCGAGTAAACCCGCGCACCACCACACAATGCCCATGCTGGTGTGCTGCAGATCGTTCTTGACCCAGGGATGGCCCCAGCGGTGTTCGGTAAAGGTGTTGACGCAGCCCCACGCCGCGATCACGCAGCTGTCGAAGAACTCCTGGCTGCGTCCCGTCCTTCGCAACCACGCCTGGCCCACAAGTAGGAGTAGAGTCATAATGACTCCGTACGCGATGAAGGCCGACCCCATGATGAAATGCGCCAGACACTGTCCCAGATGGTCACCACGACAGTACCCCATGGCGACGATGCCCCCAAAGAGGAATTGCGCCCATGAGACAATGGGCATAAGTTTCCCCAACCAGCCGTGAACCATGACCACACCTCTCCTTCCGCCCCTGCCAACTTTGCCCCCAAACACCCGACCAATCCATCCCTTTTTCTCCTCGAGATGTAGCTTCAACCCGACACCCAGCCCGACCTGAACGAGGAGCATCAACACCAAACTATTGGCGAAACTCGCGTGGATGTTCGGGTGGCGAAACTGCCGTCCTTTGTGCATATGTCCCAAGAAATACGCAACGGTTGCGATAATGGTGCCCACGACTTGCAAAGGAACGTGCCAACGACTCTTGATGATACCCAAAACCATGCCATAGGGGAAAATCATGCCGAAGGAGACGATCATGAGCAGTATGTGAACCCATAGTCGACTGTCCAGGGGATCCGGGGAGACGGCTTCTCCCTCGGGAATCTTGTCCGTGTGGCCGCCATGAGCTGAGACGGGGGTAGCGAGGAAGAGGAGAGCGGAGAGGCAGAGAAGAGAAGTCGGTTGCAGAATCGGTCGTAAGGGGAGTGGGAGAAACATCGCGCGCAAACGGACGGTGGTGCGAGACGAAGACTGCGGGAGACTCTCGATGAGGTTGACAAGGCAATTATTGCCAGCTATCGGCTGAAGGGCATTGTATGAGTTATGCTAGACTAGCAGAGGGATGACTTTGATGGCGACGATTGAGGAAATCATCGACTGATATGAGTGCTGATTCCGTCGCCCACGCTGCATGCGTCGTGAGGTGTCCTCTCGGGAAAAAGAGGTTGCATCCCCACAACTCGGATTCGCCGGTCACGCCGGTCGATCACGCTACCGTTGATCTCCACCGCAGGTCGTGATGCGGATTCAAGTTGTTTACCTCGTACCTCCATCTCGTCAACGTCCTCGAGAAAATACTTTCGAGCAAGAATAGCACGGCGAGAAAGCATCAAGAGGGAGACACTGCAACGTCCGGCGCACTACTGATAGTCCCAAGCCCTATATAAACTATTACAGCCGTCTTCGACACAAACTGATCCGGACCTTCACACCCACCACCAACCAAGTTCCTAGACCAATATATTCATGCTTGGCTGTTGACATAGAGGTACTTGGTTTCACAAGGTAGCTCGGATTGTCCGCAGGCTGAGCAGAAGAGGAATTGCATGCTGCAGATCATCTCCAACCTCTCGCACATCGTCTTGTCCGTCTGTGTTGAGTTTCTGCATTTCAAAGCATCTGTCTCACATTGGGCATTGCTGCTGAAGCATTCGTCCTTGTTGGTAAACCTCCGCATTTCTACACAGAAGTCCCTGTCCGAAACAACACAGCCTCCACTTGATATTGAGTCAACGCTGATCCAAGCCGGATCTCGATACCAGCGATCAGGTTCATCATTAAGACACTCTCCGACCGTGACAGCTAAACAGTCAGTGACGGTTTTCGATAAGCAGGGCAGAGCTGGCACGAACCTTTCCATCCTCGCCGGGAGATCACGTCGAGGACATACTTTGTGAGCTCAATGGCTGATGTGCGGATCGTATCGTGCTGGATCAGCAACATCCTGTTCAGTTGCTCATCCGGTCTCTGGAATACCTGATCGATCCTGTCGGTCATAGCTGTGAGATTGTTGGGAGTCATCCAGTCCCCACTGTCGAATGCGTATGAAATGACATGGTATCCCAGATCTCTCATGTCGTTCAAGCAACCGGTCTCGTTGTTACAATGAAGGTAAGGTGGACGCATGTACGCGGGGTACTTGCCTAGGATATTGACGAGTGCCCTCTCGTTTTTAGCCATGTCGAGGAGGCGAGCTTGAGATCCCATCTCGTTCATGTCCTCGTGAGACCAAGTATGAGAAGCGACTTGGTGCCCATCCATGACCATACGCCTGACCACGTCAGTCCAATTCTGCGTCGTGTCGATGGGTCCTTTGCCGTTGCTATTCCCTGTGATGAAAAAGGTTGCCTTTGCACCAGCTTCGTTGAGGATATCCAGCAGTTCCTCCGTGTTCTGTGATGGGCCATCGTCGTATGTAAGGGCGATAGTTCTAGGAACGTAGCAATTGGCGATGAATTGTCCGTATGCGATGTGGCCTCTCTCTCCTCTTGGGTCTCCTGACATATTGTACCCTGCCGGTGTCATATCAGAATCGCAAATGCCAAATTCCTCTTGGCAGTTCAAAGGAACGGAACAGAAATCGGGCCCAATCCCCTGCGCCATGTCAGCTAGGGAAGTAATCTTCCAAAGGACAACCACTGACACAGTAATCAGCATGAGAGCAACACTGAGGGAAGGGGCAGGTCCTGTTCCCGTTCGATACGCCACATCTCTCTTGGACGCAAGTTCCAAAAGCTGGTTGACACCCTTCGCCGCAGAAATCGTTGGATATGCCCTGCTTCGGTCAGAATCTCATTATTGCGTACTCCGACAACACCGACACATAAGCCGTCCGAAGAGCAACACTCGCCGGTGCTGCAATTCTGTCCGTTATAAGCGGGACCACAGAACTTGATAGTTGGAGCACGAATTATGACATCTCTTGAATCACACCTCCTGCAGCAATGTCAGACAAAGTGTCAGGAAGTCACCTTCGCCGGACTTGCCCATATTCCTTTTGACAGCCTTCGGCGGATTGTTGGGGCCCAGAGTCGAGACGGGAGGAAAAAAGCGAATCAACGGAAGACAGTACCGCTGCATCGGTCAAACAGACAAGTGCATGACAAACAGCGAACAGAAGGAAAGGAGGCTTCATCGTGTCGTATGAACGCGTTGAGTTGGAAGAGAGGCTGGGAGTTTGAATCAGAAAAGTCAAGACCTCGAGAGCAATAGTCCGTATGCATTAACGAATGCAGCCGTATGGATGCAGGCGAGCTCGACAAATTTTCCAAACGAAGGGTGATTTGCACGGTGATGGTGCACGTTGGATGAAAGAAGAAAAAAAGCAGAGTAGGATGTTGTTGAGTTGAACTGTCCAGTGTAGAGCCTACCTTGAAGTCGCGAGGCACCTGCTAAGGGATGATCTTTCCTTGCAACCAGAAGGGATGACCGCCATCAGATTCACCGGCATGGCAGCGCAACAGCAGGGGCAGAAAGTACGACTCTCACTCCAAAGCTAACGAATCAATTGCGGTGTCTTCGTCTCTCTTCAATGCGTGACCCACAGATTGCAAAGCATAGCAGCAACACAGATCGAAAGAACTCGCAACCATTAATTTATTTTTGACTCCATCTAATCCGGACGGCTCATTGAAAAGATCCTGGTATCTCATTAGGGTTCCCCTTTGACTCCTCAGTGGGCGTCACTGGTACGGAATGGAATGCAGAGTCAGTGGCTTCATGCGTGGAAGTTGGCGTCAGAACGTGGCCGCCCTCATGTTTTTCTTCGGCGTTGCCATTCAAGTCAATCTTGTCAAAGCCATCGACGGGCGTCTGTGTTTCTGAGGTAGGTGATGCTACCCGACCAGGATTCCGCGGTGGTAATGCTGGAGGAACACGCTTAGGAACTTCGACCATTCTCGCACGGGCCATGACTGGTACAGCTGTCGAGACCTCGACATCAGAATCCACGTCAGAAAAGGATTCTCTTCGCTCGTGTCGCTCTTCACCAATGTCATCCACGAGTTGGCTGTGTTTTCTCGAATGTTCAAGTCCCCTTAGAGAGTCTCTGTGAGGACTATTTCCGGCACTTTTCGCTTCGTCCTCATCGGTCTGGGTACCCCGATCGACACTAGCTAGGCTGTGAGTGCTTTCTCTCCACGTCCGGCTCCGAATTGAGCCATCGACGCTTCTGCGTGAGAAATGGGAATAGATTGGACTGGTGGGCGACGGCTTGAACTCAAAAGCATCAGCACTTGGCCTTTGGTGGGTTCCAGCCTCTCGGATATTCAATCCTTCAGCTTCCAAGGCTTTCACTCCATATGGATCTGGATCATCTTCGGCCGGGATGCCAAAGGTACCTCCTCCTGTAAGCAGTCAGTAATCCGGTCGCAACGCACTCGCCTGCTCTCACCTGGTGGAATGATCTCCATATCACTCGGAGCTGGTGCATCGGGCAGCAAACTCTCGTCTACTTCGTCACCTTGAGCCGCCTTTAAGGTGTCTAGAAGCACCTGGTACTGCTCGACTGGCGGATAGCGCACCTTGCCGACAAGGATATCTGTAACGCTAACCGGTTCTCCGTAGAATTTTGCATTTTCGTCAGTCCGCTCAATGACGAGGTTCCCTTCCAAGGCGACTCCGGCATAAAGACCGCGACTCTTCACGTATGACCAAATAGGAGCCTGGCGTTTTATCACCTCGCTGTCGAGAGCACCGCCGATTCCTACGGGGCCGGCTGCAACTCCGACCTCGGTTCCCAAGGTAGTCCTCCATTTTGTGAAAGCTCCCAGGGCTTCGTATGTATTGATGACCAGGACTGTATCATAGATGTCGACCCCTGCGAGAAAACCAAACGACAGATTTTGAGTCTGAATGCCACTAGGAGGGCTCCATTCTCTCGTCTCTGGGTGCCTTCCGACAATAACGCCAGCACCGCCAGAGCCACCAAATAGCCAGCCGGTTCGCATGGTTGTGAATATAGCCAAGCCGACGGCATTTTTGATGACACTGGCTGGAATCTTTTTTATTACCCGCTGTTTGCCCTGCGGGACACCCACGGCTGTCGCATTCCGGTCTTCCACCTTTTTAGCCTCCTTCTCTTCTATCTGCTCATAGAATCCGTCTTTGCAGAAGCCACGCAGAATACGAGCAGCCTTTTCTGATTCCTTGTCCAATGTGGTAGGCCAGAATGCTTCGGAGCCGATCTTATTCGACAAGCGATTGACAGGGGCTCCCAGCTTGTCAACAACTGCGTAGGCTTTGTTGAAGCCTGGTTTGAGGGCTTTCTCGTAGGCTGTACTGGAATATCCTTTGGTCTTTTCCCATAACGTCGAATTGCCAGATGATGTCTTGGTCGAAGTTTTGGTGGTCGCAGTGTCCAAAGCTAGACTGTCCGCCGGTTGCGCCATGGCACCCGGTCAGAATCTGCGATGTGACTGGACTGGGGACGCAGCCGCTTGGTGGTTAGGCTAGTGGTGCACACAATGTGATCTCACGGTGAGCTGGTTACTTGCAGAACAAGTCTAAGTGACTGCGAACGAAGAAATTAGATGGTTCAGTCGCGCGTAGCCGATCTCGAACTCTCGACGACGGCTTGGGCAGTTCAATCAGCCAGTAATCCGGTAGCAGCCGGAGTTCACGATTGAACGTTGCGATTCGGGCAGAGGCACCAACGGCATTAGGGACTTAGACGTCATTGGCTTCAGGCGCGCAGTGGCGGTAGAGAGATATCTTAGTCAGGACGCCTCCTCTGGATGGGCGGTGGTAAGGCAGCTCGGCAAGGTGTATTAGCACCTGGAACTGCCTGGTAAAGCCCTTGGGGTTGTCAGTGGGGGATCCGAGGGCAGAAGTGAGGGACAAACAAGGCCGGCGGTCTGACGATATCACAGCCCTAACAGAGCCTGCAAAGAGCTGCAATTTCCTTGTCAGACTGGAATCATTTTGCTTCCCGCGACAAGCTCTGAGGCGGAACGACATTCCTATCAGTGCAGAGCCGACTCGACTTGACCTCTCCTCTCAGTCACTACCAGCCCTCATATATCGCATAAGCACAAAACCTGACGCTTCAAGCATTCTGTCCTCATACCAGAAGAATTATACGGAGCAGTAGAGAGCGAGGAAAAGGACAGAGACTTCTGCGCCTCGGCTTGTCAGATAATCAGAAAACTGATTTCCGACTGGGTGCCGACTAATCACATGTGAACGCGGTCGACAAAGATATATTTCGAGTCGGTGTTCAATCGGCCGTCTACCTCTGGGAAACACCAGCGAACTTGTCAAACTCCTCCGAAAACGACCATCTGTCTCCTATTCACAGCCGACAATTCAAGATGCCACCGATCCCACCTCTTTTCGTGCTCCCAATCCCGCCGACCTTGGCTGCTGCTGGCTCAAGCGCTCAAGGCGAGCAAGGGACCTTCATATGCACCCAGGCTGCTCCTCAGGTCTATCTCCTGTCGTTCTCCTGTCCGCCTGATAATCGCCTTGTTCCGGCTTTCAACCAAACATTCCTGCTGGCGCTTGACATAATTGAGCACCGTCTCCCTCGAGGAGTGGTCATCACCACTTCATCCATCACCAAATTCTATTCCAATGGCCTGGACTTCGAGAACGCTATCAAAGATCCGACCTTCTTCCCAAACAGTCTTTACCCTTTGTGGCGGCGCCTGGCCACTTACCCGATGCCTACAGTAGCATTGTTAAATGGCCATGCCTTTGCAGGCGGCCTTATGACGGCCATGATGCACGACTACCGCATCATGAATCCTCACAAGGGATTCTTATGCCTCAACGAGCTGGATTTCGGCGCAGCTCTTCAACCGGCCATGGCGACCGTATTTCGGGTGAAGTTGAATATGACGACTTTCAGGAATATGGTCCTAGAGAGCAGGAGATATCCAGCCCTTGAGGCCTTGAAAGAGGGTATCATTGATGGCGTTGGGGGAGTCGATGAGACGCTCGCCTTTATTTCGGAGATGAAACTGACTCAGAAGGCTCAAGGAAAGTCTTATGGTCAGATCAAGGAGGAACTATATCGGGAGATAGTCAAAGACCTGGACGAGGCCGCTGACACCCGTGCGAAGCTTGCCGCGAGAGACCTGGACCGCAGTCGTCGGACACTGGAATCGAAGAGGAGGGTCGACGAGTATCAGGCTGTGGTACAGAGGGCAAAGCTCTGATCATGGGCAGGCATCAAGGGTAAGGCTTTTTTTGGTCTGAAGTGCCCGTGTAACAGGAATAGGAGTTGGTACACACCGATATTGGAGATGTCCCTGCTTGCAGGTTGCAGTAATCACCAGTGGGCTAGTTGGATTGATTTGACGCAAGGACTCGTATCCGTATCCGTGGTTATCGGGCTCTTTTCAAGTAGATATGCACTCCTCAAAGGTCGATATGGTTTCAGGAGACCAGCAGCCCTGGGCTGGTGATCAGGAGCCCAGTATCATTGTGAGAACCACCCATTACGTGACTGTGCACTTCGCATACTTTGGTACGATGGACAGGATCTAATAATACGAAGGTTGACATGTTTGCCGATTGGGGACACTCCGTATTATGGCCAAATAGAAGGGCTTGCACAAATGGGCCTTTATGAAGCGTTATGCAAGTCTCGAGAGTCGAGATGCCGAGCGGGAACTCATTAACCCTGACTGGTAAAAAATGCGGAATACGAGCCTTAAAAGCTCAGGGTGGCAACCGACTCGCCGACTCCCCCATCTTTTTCGTTAAGGAGAACCTCCAACTACGACCGCTCTGGGTGCCGTCTAGGGGTGACTGCCTCCTAGATGGCGCCCGTGGCGTAATCTTCGCAGGCATGAAGCATCGCTAGACGATCGCCAATTCGCACGCGAGAAAGGCCCCGATCCACAATCGCGGACACCCATCACCACAATCACCCCGTTCTTGTGATTCCTCCCCCGCCTGGCCAATTGGCCTCAGGCCGATACGCATTATTTTGGTTACCCGAGTCCGCCCTCCAAAATGTCCGGCTCACACTTCATGGATCCCCTTCTGATTGTTTTCGGGCCCGAGATTCTTTCCTGTTGCCTGTCTGCCCTGTACATATTATCGTCATTAACATATCGTCTGTTGTGTCTCTAACACGTCCCCTCCTTAGTCTATTGCACATAAGAACGAAAAGAATTGCAGCGGTCTACAGCCCGACCCTTTTGAATTCCGCGCTCAAACCCTCCACTTTGCTACCTACTCGTATTCACGTATTCTCACGGCCGCGAACTACCTAGTTGCATATCCTTCTTATTGTTCGGTTTCCCTCCTTCACCATGCTCTGCTAGCTGTTACGCGAAAAGTACTATCCTACGGTGGTGTGAGGAGGCCTCAATATGAATCCTGGTGGTCAGGGCGAATTGCCCGGTGGCGCAGCTGCCATTGAAGAAAACATTGAGGAGAAGGAAAGATCACAACTGGGCATTGTCACAGACCAGCAAACGGACACTGTGCCACTCTCTGAGAAGAGCCCTGCCTCCCCAGTCAGTCCTTCTACGCCCATCTCTGGCAACTTTAAGTCTCCCCCTACTGCTGTCTCGCCTAAGACGCCTACGTCGCAGTCCTCCGACTCGGATACTCGTCCCGACCTTACAAAGTTCGACTCGAAGATTGTTCAGGTTCGAGATGTACCAGAGGGCGATGCGGCGTTGGCCCACTTACCAGAGCATGAGAGGGCGGTCCTGAAAAAGCAGTTGGATGTCCCAGACGTGAAAGTCTCCTACTGGACGCTATACCGGTACGCGACCAAGTGGGACAAGGTCTTCATTGTCATAGCATGCCTCTGTGCAATCGGCGCCGGTGCCGTCATGCCTCTGATGACAGTCGTCTTTGGAAATCTCAGTGGTACATTCCAGGGTCTGGTGCTGGGGAATCTCTCATCAAGTTTCAACTCCATCCTCACACGATATGTTCTCTACTTTATTTACCTGGCTATTGGAGAGTTCTGTCTGGTATATATTTCAACCGTTCTCTTCATCTACACTGGCGAGCACATTACTTCCAAAGTCCGAGAGCAATATCTTAGGGCAATTTTGCGACAGAACATCGGATTTTTCGACAAATTGGGGGCTGGAGAGGTCACAACGCGTATCACTGCCGATACAAACCTTATCCAGGAGGCCATCAGTGAGAAGGTCGGGTTAACCCTCACGGGTGTCGCCACATTCTTCTCGGCATTCGTTATCGGTTTCGTCAAGTTCTGGAAACTCACATTGATTTGCACCTCCACCGTATTTGCTATTATCCTAGTCATGGGCTCCGGAGGCAAAAAGATGGCTGGATGGAACAAACAGGCATTAAGTTCATACGCAACGGGAGGCTCGGTGGCGGAAGAAGTCCTGGCCTCGATAAGAAACGCAGTCGCCTTCGGTACCCAGGATAAGCTCGCGAAGCAGTACAACGTCCACCTCCTGGAGGCTCGACGGTGGGGAATACGAAGCAAGAGCGCTCTGGCCTGCATGATAGGAGGCATGTTGTGTCTCCTTTTCTTGAATTACGGCCTCGCATTTTGGATGGGTTCGCGATTTCTGGTCGATGGCGAGACCACTCTTGCTCATATCTTGACCATTATCTTTGCCGTCATGATCGGTGCGTTCTCTTTCGGCAATGTTGGGCCTCATATGCAACATTTTGCTGCTGGTGTTGGTGCAGCCTCGAAGATCTACTCGACTATCGACCGAGTGTCCTCAATAGATCCCCTCTCTGATGATGGCAAAAGACTGGATCAGGTTGAGGGAACTCTCGAATTGCGAAATGTCAAGCATATCTACCCTTCACGAGCCGAAGTTGTGGTCATGGAAGACGTCAGTCTGGTCATACCCGCAGGCAAGACAACCGCGCTTGTCGGAGCTTCTGGGTCGGGTAAGTCGACTATTGTCGGCTTGGTAGAGCGGTTCTACGATCCAGTGGGCGGTGTGGTCCTCCTTGACGGCCACGACATCAGCACACTCAACGTTCATTGGCTTCGACAGCAAATTGCCCTCGTCCAACAAGAGCCGATTCTCTTTAGCCAGACCATCAAAGAAAATATCAGAAATGGTCTCGTCGGTTCCAAGTATGAGAACGAGTCAGAAGAACAGCAAATGCAACGTATAGTTGATGCCGCAAAACAAGCAAACGCACACGACTTCATTTCTTCACTTCCTGAAGGCTATGAAACGCACGTCGGCGAGCGCGGATTTCTACTGTCTGGCGGTCAAAAGCAACGTGTCGCCATCGCCAGAGCCATCGTCAGCGACCCCAAGATCTTACTACTGGACGAGGCTACAAGTGCCTTGGACACAAAAAGTGAAGTTTCGGTGCAACACGCGCTAGACGCTGCAGCGAAAGGCAGAACTACTATTATAATTGCTCATCGGTTGTCAACCATCAAAACTGCTGACAACATTGTGGTCATGCAAGAAGGTCGGATTGTGGAGCAAGGCACCCATGACGAGCTACTGGAACGAAAACAGGCTTACTTCAACTTGGTCTCTGCTCAGCGCATCGGCAGTAAGGAGGACGAGACGTCTGAGCAGGAGACCGGGGCCAGTGAAGCAGAACTTACCAAGATGCAGTCCACCAAATCTAGTAGTGCCGGCATGGTAGATCCTGACGACGAGAAGCTTGCATTGGGCCGGACGAGAAGTGGGAAATCCGTGTCCTCTAACGTCCTCGCAGAGAAGAAGGCGGAGAAGGAAGCTCATTATTCTCTCTGGACTCTCATAATGTTCATTGCACGCTTCAACAAGAAAGAATGGTGGATTATGTGTATCGGGTTCGTCTTCACGGCTATTGCAGGAGCCGCCCAGCCGGTTCAAGGAGTTTTTTTCGCCAAATGTATCGTGGCACTGTCCCAGCCGTTGACTCTCCGACATCGGATTCGACACGAAGTCGACTTCTGGTCGTTGATGTATCTGATGCTAGCATTCGTGGATCTGATCGCGATGTGCATACAAGGCATCGCCTTCGCCTACTGCAGTGAGAGCTTGATTCAGCGCGCACGAGACGGTGCATTCAGAAGATTCTTGAGGCAAGACATTGCCTTTTTCGACGAGGACGAAAACTCCACAGGCGCCCTTACGTCTTTCTTGTCGACGGAGACAACCCATCTTGCGTCTATCTCTGGGGCGACACTGGGGACCCTCATAAGCTGTTCATCCACTTTGGTTGTTGCGATTGTGGTGGCGCTCGCGATCGGCTGGAAGTTAGCACTTGTATGCATGTGCGCTTTGCCCGTCATCCTCGGGACGGGATTCCTCAGATTCTGGGTCCTCGCCAAGTTCAGCGCTGCAAACCGGAAACATTACGAAAAGTCTGCCGGATATGCTTGCGAACACACCAATGCCATCCGAACAGTTTCATCTTTGACGACCGAGCGAGAGATCTATAACGAGTACAAGCGCCAGCTTCGAGCTCAGCTACGCGACTCTCTCAAATCGAACCTGAAGCACGCCTCCCTGTACGCCGCATCGCAGTCCGCCATGTTTTTGGCATTTGCACTCGGCTTCTGGTACGGAGGCAAACTTTTGGTCCGAGGCGAGTACACTTTGTTTCAATTCTTCATTGTCTTTTCAGAAATCATCTTCGGTGCACAATCAGCAGGCACCGTTTTCTCGTTTGCTGGGGACATGTCCAAGGCGAAAAATTCAGCTGCTGAATTGAAGAAGCTCTACGATCGTCAGCCTTCCATTGACCCGTGGTCAGAAGACGGCGCACCAATCACTGAAGTTGATGGAACCATTGAATTCCGAGATGTGCATTTCCGATATCCCACGCGACCAGAGGTTCCCGTACTGCGAGGCCTCAACTTGACCGTCAAACCTGGACAGTATATTGCTCTTGTTGGCGCGTCCGGATGTGGCAAATCGACAACTATCGCACTGTTGGAGCGTTTCTATGACCCGCTCGCAGGCGGCATTTATGTCGACGGCAAAGAAATTTCAAGCCTCAACCTTAATGACTACCGCTCCCATCTTGCTCTGGTATCCCAAGAGCCAACACTATACCAAGGCACCATAAAGGACAACGTCCTCCTCGGAGTTGACAGAGGAGAAATAAGCGATGAGCAGATCATCCGAGCCTGCAAGGACGCGAATATTTATGAATTTATCATGTCTTTACCGGATGGCTTCGCCACTGACGTCGGCAGCAAAGCAGCCTTGCTCTCTGGCGGCCAGAAACAGCGCATTGCTATTGCTCGTGCCTTGCTCCGGGACCCTAAGATTTTGCTATTGGACGAGGTTAGTAACTAAGAGTTTTCCTATCACAAAGCTATCTATACTGACGGTCATCACAGGCCACAAGCGCTCTTGACAGTTCCAGTGAGAAGGTCGTGCAAGCAGCTCTGGACTTTGCTGCTAAGGGCAGGACCACCATAGCGGTGGCACACAGATTGAGCACGATTCAGAAGGCGGATATCATTTACGTATTCGACAAAGGTGTCATCGCAGAAAAAGGCACCCACCATGAACTGATGGCTTTGAGGGGAAAGTATAGAGAGTTGGTGAGTCTACAGAGTCTAGAAAAGCAGCGGTGATTCAAGACAGCTGTTTAAATTTCATTCATGTTGGTGTTGTTGGGATAGCTTTTGAACAGCAGGGTTGGGTAGCATGTGCATAGACACCTCACTCCTGTCCTATGGATGTTGTTATTACTAGACCTACATAGCTCAACCATGGAATGCGAGAGCGAAGCAGACAGAATATATGAGGTGTCCCCTGGGCGTCCAGGAGACAGGTTCCTCCTCGACCGATTCAGTCATCCTCGTCTATTCCCCGTTCGTCCATCACGTCCTTGAGCCTCCGGCCTTCCTTCTCCGCAATCAGGCTTAACATCCCCATGGCAATGTTCTTGATTTCGTTGTACGACTTCAAAAGCGAAATGTGGCTGTTGATGATGGAGTGAGCATGAGCGAGGGCCGCTTTATCGTCTTCGCTGAGCGTTGACGAAGAAACAAAAGAGTCTCGCTTCTTCTGAGCAGTTTCTGGAGCCGCACCTTGTCGGGAAGAGAATTGAGTTGATTCTTGGTTATCCTCGTTCGAGGTTGATGCCCGAAAGGACTTTAGTTGGGTGATTTCTCGGAGCTTCGTGGATAGAACAGCCTCTGTAGTGGAGATGCTGGATTTCAAATTCTCGATGGAGGCCAGGAGCTTGGCTTGCTTTGCGTGGGAAGAAGGTCTGTCGCTTTGATCTGGTTGTAATGGTATAGTCGGTACAGTGGAGCTGGATTGCATCACTTCTTCGTCTTCTTCTGGAAGCTGAGCGCGTTGAGTCCGGCAATGGACTGTTTCAGGAAGTTGTTGACCCGTTGATTGGTTTACTGAAGACGTATTGCCTTCCATGTCCGGCAGTATCTAGAGTCCTGTCGTGGAAAGACAGGAAGATCTTAGGACTATAGACTCAATTGTCGTGTGGTTGTCGCATTGAGAACTCGCAGTCTCACTGTGCTCGGAAACTAAATCAAAGACTTTGGTCCTCTTTGATGTGCATCAACTTGATAATATTCCATTGATGGACCCAGGCAATCATAAGGGTCTTCTTAAACAAGAGAAGAGATCGACTTTGTGATGGGAGCTAGATTGCTCCTTGCTCTCACAACTAAGGCGTGGTCGAAATGAGGGGCATCAGCCTCGCGGCGTAAAACACAGAGACTGACCTATGACCAGATCCCGCCGAGGTGAAAGACATAGAGGGAGCTCAACCTCTTGGCATGTTAGTCACAGGATGCGCAGCAGCAGTGGCAGAGACCCTGTAGCTATATTGAGTGGACGGTGATCTCTAGCTACCTGGTACTGGAATGCTCGCCTTCAGCGCAGCCTCGTTAATTCCTGTTCAACGCCGGGAGTATGTCAGACACGTCCAATTCATCAGACTGGGGGCTGGAGTGGCACGAGTGGGGCCGGATCGCCCCCAGCCATAAGCTTAATCCATCTGTCAGACAGAAATGATTTCTCACTCAACTTTGCTCCCACCCACGAACTGCGTTCACCTAGAGAAATCCTATGCGGTTCCTTCTTTTGACAAATTATATCCTCCGGTCGGTCGAGGACGCGCCGGCTTTGATGGAGACTCTCAGACTCTTTTTATACCCTTGATTAGAAGGCAATCTCGTCACGGACAACGCGCCGTCATGTTCACCATCACTCCTTTGCTCGGGGCGCAGAGCACGTCTCGAGCCTCGCAGTCAATCCTTGAGTTGGATGGCGGCATCAAAATCTTGGTGGATGTGGGATGGGATGAACGTTTCGACACTCGCCAGCTCGCCGAGATCGAAAAACATGCCTCTACTTTATCATTCATCCTCCTCACGCATGCCACGACTTCTCATATTGGCGCCTATGCGCACTGCTGCAAACACATCCCCGTCTTTACCCAGATCCCCGTCTACGCCACACCACCCGTCATTGCCTTTGGCCGCACCCTCCTCCAAGACCTCTACTCCTCCTCTCCTCTGGCAGCCACGTTCATCCCAGGCTCAGGCTCCCCTGAAGATGCAACTAGCGTTGACGACAAAACCCGCTCACATATCCTACGGCAGGCTCCGACATTTGAAGAGATTAATAAATATTTCACTTTGATCACGCCCCTCAAGTACTCACAACCTCACCAACCTACACCTTCCCCGTTTTCCGCGCCGATCGAGGGTCTCACGTTGACGGCCTATAATTCTGGTCACACACTGGGTGGCACAATATGGCACATACAACACGGGATGGAGTCAATAGTGTACGCTGTGGATTGGAATCAAGCCCGAGAGAATGTTATTGCAGGAGCAGCCTGGTTTGGGGGCGTTGGGGGTGCCGAAGTCATCGAACAATTGCGCAAGCCTACTGCCCTCGTCTGCAGCAGCATTGGCGCAACAAGAGCCGCGCTGTCTGGTGGTCGGAAGGCTCGTGATGAGGCTCTATTGACGCATATCAAGATCTGTGTTGCTAAGGGTGGTACAGTTCTCATCCCCACCGATTCAAGCGCGAGAGTTTTGGAATTGGCTTGGATCCTTGAAAAGGCGTGGTCCGATCCCTCAAATGCAACCTCTTTGAAAACTGCCAAAGTGTACCTGGCCAGTAGATCCGGCAATGCTACGCTTCGGCATGCCAGAAGCCTGCTTGAATGGATGGACGACAGCATTGTACGAGAATTTGAGGCCGAGGACGAGAAACAAGCGCCGGCGCAGACGCACAGGAGAGGTGGTGGCAGGCATGCAGATGGCACAGACGAACCTTCGCGCCCCTTTGAATTCAAAAACATCAAGATCGTGGAGCGGAGGAGCCAAATGGAAAAGCTCTTGAAGGCGGAAGGGGCTCGAGTCGTCCTTGCGAGTGATGTGACAATGGATTGGGGCTTTTCGCGCTCACTGTTGGAGCATGTGGTCCAGAGACCCGAGAATCTGGTGGTTTTGACCGAACGACTAAACATGCGTCCTGGGTCACAAAGCCCGAGTCAGATATTCTGGACTTGGTATGAAGACCGTCAGGATGGCGTTGCTCTCGAGAAAGGCCTCCCGACGGGCGAATGGCTGGAGCAGGTCCAAAGTGGAGGTAGAACGCTCAAGCTACGAAATTCAGAAAAAGCACCGTTGAACACGCAAGAAAATCAAAGATATCAACAATATATGGCGACTCAAAGACAGATTCAAGATTCTCTTACTTCAGCCAACGAGCGAGATAATGCTGGTGCGGACGATAATATCGATGATGAATCGAGCTCAACATCCTCGGATGAGTCAGATGACGAACAACAGGGTCGTGTTCTGAATGTTTCGGCCGCTCTAGGCCACGGAGCACGGAATAAGCTGGCACTGAGCGATGCGGATCTAGGAGTCAATATCCTCGTCCGCAAGAAAGGCGTGTATGATTACGATGTGCGGAACAAGAAGGGACGAAACGGTATCTTCCCATATACGCATTCACGAAGGCGCGGTGACGAGTTTGGAGACTTTATCAAACCTGAAGATTTCTTGAGAGAGGAGGAGAAAGAAGACCAAGACGCGGCAAATGACACCAAAGCTGGAGGTCAGCTCGGACAGAAGCGTAAGTGGGGCGAGGCAAACGATACCAGGCATACACAGCACAAGAGATCTCGAGGAGCACCCGTGCAAGCAACATCTGGCGAGTCCGCAGTTGATTCGGACGCAGAGGATTCCGATGAAGACGACCAAGTTGAGCGGGAAGGCTTCCAAGGCCCAGCAAAGGTGGTGTATTCGACCTCGGAAATCACGGTCAATGCCAGGCTGGCCTTTGTCGATTTTGCTGGATTACACGATCAGCGCAGTCTGCAAATGCTGATACCTTTGATTGGACCCAAGAAGTTGATCCTTGTTGGTGGAAATACTTCAGACACTGTCGCTCTGGCCACTGATTGCAAGGAGCTTCTTGGGATGAGAGTAGTGGGAGCTGGAGACGAAGCGTCCACGGAAATCTTTACTCCTACAGAAGGCCAAACCGTTGATGCAAGTGTCGACACAAACGCGTGGGTTGTCAAGCTCAGTCGTAACTTGGCAAAGACGCTCCACTGGCAGAACGTGAAGAATATGGGAGTGGTGACTATCCAGGGTCAGCTCAAGGGCGAGCCCTCAGGAGACAATCTGCAGGAAGATCCTCAGACCAAGAAGCAGAAATTTGACACCGAAGTGTCTCTTGCGGCGGACTTCGCGCCACCGCCTCCTGTCGAACCGGTTCTCGATGTCCTGCCCGCGAGCGTGGCCGCATCAACAAGATCCGTCTCCCATGCCATCCACGTCGGCGACCTGCGTCTGGCTGACCTGCGAAGGTTAATAGCACTGGATGGTCATGTTGCTGAATTCCGAGGTGAGGGCACACTGCTAGTCGACGGCATGATAGCCGTACGCAAGCTCGGCACAGGAAGGATCATATTAGAAGGTGTTCCGGTCAATGGAACTGCCATGACTCGGAACAAGATGGATGATTTCACGCGTGTGAAGCAGAAAATCTATGACGGACTCGCAGTTGTCGCGGCTAGTTGAGGGCGATCCGGGTGAAGACTCGGCAAAGGTCAACCTTTGTTTGCCGTTCTTCCCAGTCATTGTCTTGCTTATTTGTCACAGCATGATATCTCTGCGGCCGTCATTTACTGTTGCAAACAACAGGAAAGTCCTGGTCTTCGTGTTTTGTCTCGACGGGGGCGCTGCGTCTCTTCCAGCGGCTTAGATTGCAGAGCTCGCAGTCGGCATCCACCCCTCTCGATCGAGATAGGCATGCGATAGATATATGTGGTCCAGTCATAATAGATGGCCTCTTTCACTGCGTGGCAATACCGCCACCACTTGACTGCATTGCTTTGTCTCCACGGCACAGCCATGACACGAAACCGGTCAGGCCGTTTGCAATACCACAGTCAGAGCGTGTTGTTGATGCAGAATTGATGACAGAGGTTCATGGCAACTTGTTTATATATGTTCTGCTTGTCCCTCGTTCCTCGATTGCAATTTTCCAAACGGTATCTGGCACTGGCCCCAGCCTGTTGACTCGGTTTCTTGCTTAAAAGCTAACATCGTTGACGGCGGCCGCAAGAATGGCGTGTGTACCGCCTCCTTACTACCCAATTGCAATGCCTGTCCCAGCTCAAGGACCTGGCCTGATTGGCAAGACTGTCTATCATTACATGACCCGTGATGGAGGGCCACCGAACAAGGGCGCACCTCCAAGCGGACCACCATCATCTGCTGCTCCTCCGCCGTATTCTTTGATGCCCCCATGTCAAGGAGCGTTTTGTCCTCCTCCTCCGAGTCAACCTGGTCCATTCATCATTCCGCCAGGAAATGGATTCCCTGGAGCGGTGTGCGTGCCTAATGGGCCACCAGCGCCTCCTCCCTCTGCGCCGACATGGTATTCAGCACCACCACCACCGCCACCGCCTCCTCCGCCAGCGTCAGGATTCCCTCCTGCTCCTCCACCTCCTCCACCTCCACCACCAAGTGTCGCAGGAGCAGTCGCCCATGCCGCGTCTCAAGCGCCAGAACCACCAGTCAGTGGAAACCGAGTCAAAGACCGACTTCTCGTAGTCAAAGACAGTGGAGGCCATGGGCACGTCGCGTCCAAACACGTGGCGACATTCCATCTTTTTACCTACAACGTCATTGACAAGTATACGGTGAATGCCCACAACCAATTCTACATTCCACCGCATGCGTGCGAGCCGTTTCGTGTAATGACGGCAGCCTATTCCATGCCACTGGAGGAACTGATTGAACAGCTTGATTGCATCAAGATTGCAGGGTCAGCGTATCCACGCTATGCGATCGGACTTGCAGAGGCGTTTGATATTGGGAATGGATGGTTTCAAGTCGGCAGCAAGTTCCATCTGGACGAAGAGAAGTCGAAGCAGACCATCAAGGAGGCCTGGAGCAACAACATTGGCGAGGGGGGCGAATCACGGCCCAAGTATCTCATCCGGCTGCCGGGCAAGCGACCTGGGATGTGAGGACAATGCTCGCTATTGATCAAACACGCTGCAAACCGTTGTCATGGACCAAACCATCAACACGCGGACAGGACTGGTGCGGATTGGGCAATATCAACATGGACGGACATTTGCGGCATTGATACGAGACGCCCACTGGCTGTTCGGATGGTCTTGCCTTGTGCAGTTAAGGGACTTTGCTGTTGCACATATGAAGTCGAATGGAGAGCGCAATCCGGAAGGATTGGTCCTTGCGACCGAGCTCTCTTGCCTGTTTAGGGTCAAACGAGTCCTGCAAAGACCCATCGAGTGGCAAGCACAGCTGATGTATTGTGCTGTGGACCTCAGTCTCGAGCGAGCAGGGGAGCGTTGAGATCCCAGCTGGTTGGTGAGCGGGCTATTCTTCTCGGCTAAGCAAAGCAGGGCCATGATGGGCACCCAATGGGCCCTCCTCACATCTCACATCTCACAGGGTTCAACGGGTGGACCATTCAGATAAGGGCCTTGGGACTAATGAGGCCCATCATTTGCATTGGATATACTGAGTACATATCAATCATTTCTTCCTCTACTTTCTTTTCATTTCCCATCAACAGTTCCGTGTCTTTTTCATCCCTCCAGGTTGTTTCCAACATGGCAGCCGTCCCCCAAGACTTCTCTTCCCAGCCGTCGGCGGCCACTTATCCCGTCGCCCATCCACTATGCCCGCTCACGGCGGCGGAGATATCCACCACAGCCGAGCTGCTGAGATCGGTGTGGCCTTCCTCGATCGACCTGCGCTTCAAGGTCATCACGCTGGATGAACCCGCCAAGAAGTCCATGATCCCATATCTCGAAGCCGAGCACTCTGGGTCCCCGCTGCCTGAGATTCCACGAAAGGCCTTTGTGTCTTACTACATCCGAAACACGGTGAGTACCTAAACCCACCCAGCATAGTCACGTGTACGGGAGGATACCAGCAAGGCTCCGGAAGAGGTTGTGGTTATCTCTTTGCCTTTCGTGGGCGTGCGTTGTGGTTGAAAAATGGAGCTCAAAGTTTGGTCCTTTTCCTCCTTGTACACGGGAATTTTGGGGTGTATCTTCCATCGTCCCACATCATGCTTCCGAGCATAAGCTGACGAACCCGTCTTCTCGGGAGGGGAATAGGACCGCTTCCACGAAGCAGTAGTCAACCTTTCCGCCCGGACTGTGGAGAGCAATGTCCGGCTGGGTCCCAATCAGCATGGCAACGGCGACTACGACGAGATTCTGCAGGTGGAGAAGAACGCTTTGGAAGATGAACGCGTCAAGGAAGCCATCAAGAAGTTGAAGCTGCCCGAGGGGACGGTCGTGTGTGCAGACCCCTGGATCTACGGTAAGCCCCCAGGTTATCCCCCTTGTTATGCATGCTCTGGACCTGAGGTGGTAAAGGTGGAGAGATGATCGGGTTCACCATGAATATCCAATGCTCATGTCGTATGGTGGATAGGCTCTGACGGCATCAACGACGACGACCGCATGTACCAGGTCTTCCTGTATATGCGGGACCCGAGCAACCCTTCGGAGCTCGACAGCAACCACTACGCCTTCCCGCTCCCAATCTCGCCCGTGCTGGACTGCAATGAATATAAGGTCATCCGCATCGACTATCTTCCCACTGGGGCAGACAACACAATCCACGAACCCAGGCCGTATCAAGCCAAGCCGGCGAACGAGTATGTCAGCGAGTACCAGACGCTGCGCACGGATATGAAGCCTCTGCGAGTGATCCAGCCTGAGGGAGCGAGTTTCACGCTCACTCCCGTGGGCGAGACAGGCCATGTGCTGGCGTGGCAGAAATGGACCTTCCGCGTCGGCTACAACCAGCGTGAAGGCATGGTTCTGTACGACGTCCGCTACGACTCGCGGCCTTTGTTCTACCGTCTCAGCCTGAGCGACATGAACATCCCCTATGCGGATCCGCGACACCCTTTCCACAAGAAGTCGGCGTATGATCTGGGCGACGCCGGTGCCGGCGCCATGGCCAACAACCTGCAGCTCGGGTGTGACTGCCTGGGGCACATCCAATATCTCTCATCAGTCATCGCGGACGACAAGGGCACACCGACCCCGCTGGAGAACTGCGTGTGCGTCCACGAGCAAGACGCGGGCATTGGGTGGAAACACACCAACTACCGCACGGGTCGCGCCGCCGTGGTTCGTCAGCGAGAACTGGTCCTGCAGAGCATCATCACGGTCAGCAACTACGAATACATCCTGGCCTTCATGTTCAACCAGGCGGGCGAACTCATCTACGAAGTCCGCGCCACGGGCATCTTGTCCACCCAACCGATCGACCACGAGTTGGACAAAGTGGGCGTCCCCTTTGGCACCGTGGTCCACCCGGGCGTGCTGGCCGTGCATCACCAGCACATCTTCTCGCTGAGGGTGGACCCCATGATTGAAGGCCACAACAACCGACTCGTGTATGACGAGGCGCACGCGCTGCCTCTCTCCAAGGACTGGAACCCTCACGGGGTGGCATACGAGGTCGCGGAAACGGTGGTCGAACAAGCGCAGGGCTTGGACCTGAACCCGGAGGCGAACCGCGTGTTCAAGATCCAGAACACGAGCGTGCGCAACCCCGTCAACGGGAAACCCGTGGCGTACAAGATCCACGCACCGCCCTTCCAGAAGATGCTGTCTCTCCCGTCGTCCTACAACTGGAAGCGCGCCGAGTTCGCCGACCACAACATCTACGTGACCACACACCAGGACCGCGAACTGTACTCGGGCGGCTGGTACACAAACCAGTCCCGGGGCGGCACGGGCGTGCGCAGCTGGGCCTCCCGCAAGGACAACGTCGTCGACACCGACATCGTCGTGTGGATCCAGTTCGGCATCAACCACGTGCCCCGAATCGAGGATTTCCCCGTCATGCCCTGCGAGATCCTCAAGGTGTCGTTGAAACCTGTCAACTTCTTTGACAAGAACCCGGCCCTCGACGTGCCCCCCAGCGAACAGCACTTTAACCGCTCCACCTTGGTCAGCGAGATGCATCACCAGCCCACCACCGAGGCTGTGGTTGGCAAGGATGGCGAGTGCTGTGCCCCAGCGGCTGACAGTAAGAGCAAGTTGTAAAGATAAAAAGGAGGAAATATATGAAATGATCAGAACATATTTACCAAAAGAAAGAAAAAACCCCTTCCTTTTTTTGTGGGCTTCAAGCTGCAAAACTCTTCCTTTTGCTCACGTTTGCAGTCCTTCAGAGTGAATGGGAGATGTATCTGCTGAACTACCGGACGGGAATTTATGCCCGTGACGGACGATGATGATGTCGTTGTTCTCGACCAGGAAGAGGGGTATGGAGAGAACCAAGTGCGGATGCGGAACGGAGGCGCATTTGTCCATCAGCCTCGTATATGACTGCACGGCGACGACGACGCCGCCGACGCCGCCGACGAAGTGACATGGACATTCCAGCACGGGGGGGGGGGGGCCCAACTCTTGTCTTGTCTTGGTGGAGTTGAGGGCACGAGGGCAGACTATTCTATCTATCTATCTACATGTATCGGGGATTCACACTCTATGATCTACATAGAGTAGCCTAGCCGTACGCAGCAACCAGCATTATCATTCACCCTCCGCTCTTCTCTTTTAGGCACCTCTGTTCTTCTCCCGAATCTCATTCCGCGTGGGTGTGCGGCCATAGTATGGTCTGGATATGAACGGGCAAAGAAGAAATCCCAACGTAGGTGTGTGTGTTATATACCACATCATGGGCGGTAATTTTCGAGGGATATATAATGAATCAATAAATCAATCAAGACGGGGGATCGGGGGACCGGGGGACCAGGGGACGGGGGCGGGCCACACAAGGCACAAGGCACAAAGGAGCCAACGACCGACGCTCATTCTGATCAAACAATCAACAATTGAATCACTTCCAATACCATTCATTACCCCCCAGGTCGGCAACGACGTTCAGTTCGTTCAAAAGAGGAGATCAGGAATAAAAAATCCATGACGGAGCTGAAAACTCATCAGGTTCGTTTCATTGCATTTAATCCATGTTGCATATTTGCATATTTGCACATGCCCAAGGCTCCAAACCATACAAATCGCATATTGCATAACTGATCTTGTCATTAGAAGAATTCCCCGTTCCCTACCCCGTCTGGACCATCAGGTTTCCTCGTGTTTGGATCCGGACTCCTCGGAGGCGTCATGTATAATCTCCTGCTGTCTTGACCACCTCCCAAATGTGAACTCGGTTCTTCTCCTGTCCGCGATACAGGATACGGTACCGGCACCACGCCGCTCTCCTGATCCCCGGTTGACCCTTGATAAGGCGCATAGGGCTGCTGCGCTGGTGGATGACCGGGAGGAGGGTCGTACCGCCCGTTGTATTTATCATCATAGCTCGAGGCAAGTCCAATATCGCTCACATTGTTCGAGTCGTAAAAGTCATGACCCCCATCACTGCCAGCTCCAACAATCCGTGCTTGTGATGTTGCCATACCTGCGCTGTTGGCAAGCAGATTGGCGTTTTCTTCATCGCCGGCGTAATGAGGCGGTTTGGTCGCAGCCCCCGTGTAAGCGCTTGGGGTGTTCAGGGTGCTCAGTTTTTGGCCATGGGCGCCAAAATCACTTCCTTCGGTATCTTTCCTTGACAAATCATAACTAGCAGGGTCATCGTTGTGTCGATTCTTGCGTCCCTTAAACAGCCATCTCGCCGACCGACCCGTAGCTCTGAGCATGTCCATGCCATTGAAAGCATCAAAAATGGCCCTTTCACCCACAAAGCCTCCTTTGTATGAAGCCCGTGACGACCCCTCCCCGGCGACAGTCTCCGACATTTGTTCCTTGGAACCAATCACATATGGTTTCCAGCTAAAAGACCAGATGTGGAAAATGGAAAAGAAGGCCATCTCGATGCACAAAAGCAGCGCAGGGATGCCGACTTTGATATCGGGAGTTTGAATATGCTTCGTAGCCTTGATGAATCCAGCGCTGGTGAGGACAGAGATGACAATGGTCTGCCAGAAACTCAGGAATATGACCAATTTGATGGCAGTGATTTTCAGAAGGGGCTTATGCTGTCGAATGTCGTCCTTGATCTGAATGTAGAACTGGATCAAGCAGAACATGGCGGCAGTGATGGAGATGGTTTCAAAGACCATGACCCAGATGTGGGAGAAGGCGGGACTCAGCGATTCGAGGCAATACAAGTTGACGGCTTGCGTGATGACTGATACAATCGTGAAGAAGACGCGGATGAAACAGTACTGGAAAATCGCGACCCAAACCACCTTTTGACGCAAGTCAGTTTCTTATAGCAACACGAGAGGCAGAAACGGCACCTACATTGAACCATGTCAATCCGCTTTTCGGATTCCTCAACCAACCCTTGTCAGGACCCCCCGTACACTTTTGAAAGTACTTCATCGGCCAGACCCATTTCTTCGGGGTGATTGTTCGAAAGTAGATCTTTTGCTGGTGCAGGTCGGGAGCGAGGTATGCGCATAACAGGGAGAAAAAGGAGGCAATGGCGAAGGCTTCGTAGCAGTCTCTGATGACTTCAAAGTAGACGCTGTGCCGGTAGTAGTAGAAGGAGAGGAGGGAGACGGCGGCGTAGATGGGGATCATGAAAAGGATACGAATGATGTGCTTCTGTTCCCATGGTTTCAGGTAGTGCGTGGCGTGCATGACGATCAAGAAGAAGGAAACGATCAGGGCGATGATGGTGAAGATTGCGGCGACCCAGAGACCGATGGTATGAAAAGTATGGCCGTCCCATATAGGCGTCTCGGTGATCGATAAATCCTCATCGGTCGAATTGCACTGTGGCCAGCCCATCGTGGTTATTTCTTCGTGTGTGTGTGTATCGTGTGTCAAAGACTGAGTCGCATTCGCATCGCTGTTCGGCGCAGCTGAATAGGAGGGAGTGTACTCGGTAGTTTAGTGAGAGTGAGCCGACCTGCGAGAAGTGACAGGGTAGAGGCGCCTGCGTCGCAAAACGAGTGAGCGAGTGAATTCGGTCAATGTGAGGCCCTTCTTTCAGATCGAGGCAGAGGCAGAGGCGGGGAAATACGAGAATAGAGAGTGAAAGGAGGATTGTCGTTTTGCCTGGAATGGTTTCAAAGGGTTTCAAAGGACTACAAAGAGATGGAACTCTAAGGTGGACATTGAACAAAGTTTGGACGCAGCTCGGGAGGTTTTTGGACGTACCGGGATGGGTGCATTGGGTGGCCTGCTGCGCCGCAAATGCTGACAAGGAAGATGCAGGTCACTACTAGCAGTTAATTCGGCGGGGGGTTTGGCAAGAGCCTGATGGAGCCTGACCGCCCTGGGGGCCTCCGAGAAGGACGTGGAAGGTCACCTAAAGAGCCACCCCAGGGGCCCAGGCAAAGAGCCAAGTGGCTAGCGGCTCTGGCGCAAGCCCCAAAGTGGGAACGAGGCAACAAGCTGAAACGGATCTGCCTTGCATTATAATTATTCCCGTACTTGGCCTCACTGGCCGCACTGGCCGCACCGGATTTTGGCGCATCCATCCCTGTGGCTGGCTGGCCGATCTCGTCCTTCTGGTATATTCAAAAAGGTTGTTCACGGCTCGTGCTGAGTGGCTGGCTTAGGGAAATGGCCCTCGCGCCTTGACAGGAAGAAGCAGGATAGACACCACCTACAGAGTACCTACGTACCACTAAGGCCTCCTGCACCCGGATACCAAGGCTCCCACGCTCCTCCAAGCACCCCAAGGTTCGCCTGTAAGCTCGCACAGGCCCTTTATGCCAATTGTCACCTGCCTTCCTAAGTACTCGTGTCCAGCTCGCCGGCTAGCCATGTACCAGTACGACTTGCAGGTCCGATCTTCCTATCTCATCCATGGCCCCTACGGGTGTCTATATTTAATCTCCCCCAGAGCACGCGACCAACTAGTCCCAACGTGTTCCCTCTCTCGAGACATCCAATTGGTGGTACCTACCCAGGTAGTGATGTTGATTATGACGACGACGGTGCTGACAGCCCATTGTCCTCCCCCATAAGACATAGTCGTAGTCCGAATGAAGCGAAATGAAAAGTTGATCCTTCAGGACCATATCAATTGAACACAATTTTCCGTTGCATTTTCTATCTTCCTAGCCATCGTGCCCATGTCATATCCTAGGGGTATATTGTGAATGCAGTCATTCTGACTGACGACAATGATACATAATATATACAACCATAACCACAGCCCTGCCTCTGCGTGCCATCTCACCTTGGGGATCTGGCCAGAGTTGAACTGGTCCGGAATCCCTTTTGAGCCGCACCATGGTCTGACCGACTTACCAAGCAGTCAAGTCGCCGACCTCAGCCTCGCCAAACGTACTCGACTTGGTCATCTGACCCACCCCATCTTTGACCTCTCCGTCTGGACCGCCGATGCCCGGTTTATTCATAATGTCCGGCAGCACCTCTCTGAAGAAGCTCAACAGGTAGCTATTCACTTGCTCAAATTGCAACAAAAATGCATCGTGGCCCTCGGGACTGTCGATCTTCCCAAGTCGTCCGTTGGGGATGCAGTCAGCCAGCTCTTCTTGTTCCGCGATGGTGAACAGGCCGTCCGACTCAATCCCCAGTACTAATGCTGGTTGTTCGATTTGCGCGAGAGCTTCTTTGACGGTGGCTGCCCGGTCCCGCGAAACATCGTGTGTATCCAGCTTGCGAGTGATGGCGATGTAGCAATTTGCATCGAACCGGGTCACAAATTTGGTGCCTTGGTACCGCAGGTACGACTGTGCCGAGAAGTAATGATGTGTCGGTTTGGACGTTGTCTTCTCGACAACGGGCACAGGTATGACAAACTCGGTGGCCCCATTAAACTGAGGGTCTTTGAATGTCGCCGGCCGCTCCTCGCGGTCAGGTGAGTGTCGCTCTGAGGGTGGCTCGGACAGGGTGCCGTTGCGGGACGCAGGGCGAGAATCGCGGGATCCTTTGGCCCGCTTGTGCCCATCGTTGTGGATGCTCCAGTGCTCGTTCTGAACACCGTTGGTCCTCTGTCCTTGATTGATCGAGGGTTTCTTCGACAGGTCTGGGGTATTGCGACCAAAGCGAGCCTCAAACGAATCTCGACTTCGGTATGTGAGCAGAGCCGACATGCGGGCTGCACCCAAGCCCGCGGTAGGAGGGTCCTCAAACGAGTAGTACCCATCTTCATATTTGGGGTCCGAGTAGATCGCCTGCCGTTGAGCTTCTCCCCAGCTGATGCCCCAGGCGCTGTGAGTCGCCGACGTCGCTATGGGTGCAATGCTCCGCACGTAGTCCTTCCCAAAGTACGCATACTCCAGACTTAGCATGCCTCCCATAGACCCACCGACCACGCACGCGATCTGTCGAACGCCGAGATGATCGAGGACAATCTTATGTATCCTGTCATAAATCGTCAGTCTTCTAACTCAATTGCCTCACTCCGCTCTTTTCACTCACCGCACGTCATCTCTTATCGTGGTCAAAGGAAACTCTGGCCCGTATCTGCCTTGTGCCGGGTCGCCATTTTTGTTCGTCACTGGACTGGCACTACCATAGGGACTCCCCAGGCTGTTCAGGCAGACAACGAAGAATCTCGTCACGTCGAATGCTTGGCCCGGTCCTCCTAGTAAAGGTCCCCACCAGTCGGCCACATCCGCACTGCCGCTGAGGGCATGGCATATCACCAGGGCATTATCCCCGGCTTCTGAGAGTTGCCCACGGACGGTATATGCGACAGGGACGTTTTGGAGAACGACGCCGGATTCGAGTGTGAAAGAAGGAACAATGACGATATCTTGCTCGGTGACGAGTTTGGCGAAAGGGTTTTCAGGTTGTCCTTTGGCACTCTCTACGGGATTTAGTAGCCGGTCAATCATGATTTTGTGGGAGGGGGATCAGAGGCCCAGCAGCGGGAGGTCGGAAAGAAGAAGAGGAGGTATGGGGATACTGACGGAGTCGTGGAGAGGCTGTATGAGCCTCTCCATTGGTATCTGTATCCTTGGAGTCCATGGTGATCATCCAAACCCGCCTTGACTTGGAGAGGGCGAACTCGTGCTAAGGCAAGGTGTGATACGAAGAATGGCTGGCCTTTTCTGAACGGTGTCGCGAAGGAATCAACGAGCTGATGTGAGATCCATTGACTCAAGCGCTCTTGTCTTCGGCTCTCTCGTGTATATCTACCTAGGTAGGTAGTGGATCGAGGGCCAGCAGCAGCTGTAGTGAGTCAAAATGAAAAGCAGTCGAGGAAGAATTGACCGAAAAGTGGACACGGAGGGACAGTGTCCTATGTGCCTGGCAAAGTCCATGATTTTTTCGTTCGGCAGTGGGTTTGGGGATGCAGGGCGCGGAGGCCAGCGCAGGCAAAATGCCACCACCACCTGGAGGGGTCGGTGGCACCATCTCGCACCAATGGCGATGGACAACCCAGAGCCTCGGCAAACCCGACAAACTTAGGGCAGCTTTTCCGAAATGAGCCCCCAACACAGGTAAAGAAGTCCAAGGGAGTCCCAGGCGCAAGGCTGTGGGGGGGGGAACAACGGCGGGAAAACATTTTGGAACAACTGACAACCAGCTCGCCAGTCATATCCAGATCCAAATACGATGTAATATTCCCCAAATCTACCTGTTTATGCCGCTGCTTAAGCATCCAAGGTATATATCCCTGCAAATGCTTTCAGAGTTTTAGCTGGAATCTTGGATGGGTCCTGATCCTCTCGCCGTACTTCAAGAACACCCAGATCATCGGCGACATGCCCAAAGAGATGAATGCAAGTAAGCTGTTTCCCCATCCGAGCCCCAATGCATTGTACATTTGTCGCCCGGCCAGGGGGAGAAATGCACCCCCAAGGCTGCGGAGAACTGTATTGGCCGCCATCGCGCTCGCAGCGTAGAAAGTGTACGCACTGGGGTGAGGTCAGTCACTCTGTTCAGCTCGGGTGGAAAGGGACAATGCATACTCAACCAGATAAATGGACATTGACATAAATGTTCCGACCATCCCAAGGCCCAACAAAACCGTCCCCAGGATCGGCACTATCCAATGCACGTGGTACTGCGCACTCCAGCCATACAAGAAAAGACCAACAGGCACGGCGATCGCACCCGGCCAAAGCAATGGCAAGCGGTACTCGGGCTTCATCTCACCGTTCTTAGCCAGCTTTTTCAGCAACTTGTCGGAATACGCCCCGAACATCAACAGTCCAAGAAATTGACCCAATCCGATGCCCAAAAACACAAGGCCAACATTACTCGAACTGATGCCGTATTCATCATGGAAGATGAACGTCATGGTGGTGAACAACAGATAAAGATACCCATACACCACCGCAATGTATAGAGAAAGACCGAATATGATTGGTGACAGAAACAGCATTTTGGTTGGACGGACCACACTCAGGAAGAACAACTGTGACGGAGCCCTGGAAGATTGAAGCACCGATCGGAGCTTGTCGTTCCCTGTTTCTTTTCGGAGCCGTTTGACTTTTCTCTCGAGAAGAATGGGCGGGTATGTTTCTCTTTGGACGATGAGCGCCACGGCGAACATGGCTGCCGTCTGTGTCTGGTCAGCCCTGCAACGATATTGACAATGAGATGGGGATGGACGCATACACAAATAGCGAGAAGGTAAAAGTCCCATTGCCACCCAGCCGCTTCAGAGAGATATGACCCTACCACAGGACCCAAGCTTTTACTGGTCAGCAACCCCCCTAAGCGTCGTGCGCAGGAACATACACACCTTGGTCCGAAGAGGATTGGGAAAGTCCAAATACTCATGACCTTTCCGCGCTGGTCCTGTCGGAAAGTATCTGCGATGGAACCAGATCCGACAGTCAAGGGACAAGAACCCGCCAAACCCGCAAAGAATCGAAACACAATCATCGCGGACAAGTTTGGCGACTTGCCGCAGGCGAAAGTGAACACCATGAAGAGGAATGTGTTGACATGGTAGACCGGCAGTCGCCCGTACAACTCACTCATCGGAGCTCTGTCGGTGGATTAGCCGAAGCCGTTTGCTAACCAGGTCATCGACCCCCGTAATGGCCTGGTCTATCAATGAACAAGCACTCACATAACAAGTGGGCCGAAAGCATACCCGAGCACGTAGACAGATACCGAGAATGATGCCAGAGCATCGCTGTTGGAGTGGAAGTCTTGCATCACCTGAGGTACAGCCGGTGCAAACATAGACGAGCCAAAAGGCCTGAACAAGCGTCAGTATCAAGGATGCAAGGCCTTTCGAGCATTTGCTTTTCTTGGTCACCGACGTCAAAAGCGTAATAAAGGACAGCAGACCAATATTGGTCCATTTTTTCAGCGCAGGCCAATTCATTGGGTTTTCCGGGTCGTTGGGCCCATCCCAGCCGACAACGTCTGGGTCAGCCGTCGCTTCGACTGTGATAGTTTTGACATCCTTCTCCTCGAGCACTTCCAGCGCCTTTTCAACGTCTCCTTGGTCGCCTGGACACTTATTGCGGCTCCCCACAGAGCTGGACACGCTTGGGGTAATACGCTCAATGTCTGTGGGTTTCTCGTCGAGCGCCATCGTGCTGTCCACTTTCCTGGGCTTGGCTCCCTCACGACGCGTGTTGCCTAGCAAGGCTGGCTTGTTCAAGGTATGGCACCCATCGTGCTGGAGAGGAGCTAGCGAGATGAAAAGGTAGAAGTCCAATGAACGAGTGGCGTCGTTTAGTTATGTACTTGGTAGTCTTCTTGGGATGACCTTCCCATCGCGGCGAAGTCCCGCACCACCTCCATGGGCTTTGACCGAGGCGGGACGGCTCATGTGGAGATGAAGAACGGTCTTGATTGTCCGGGGCAAATGCATGTAAGTGTGTTGGTTTTGCTGGGGGAATCGCTCTCAGAATCGGCTGTTGCGGCACAGGATGCGGGGCTTGTCTGATGCTATGAACGGCCAGAGGACAACCGGGGGCTGCCCCAAAGGGATCACTCAAAACTCGGCCAGATCAGGGGAGCGAGCGACATGACAGATGGCGTTCTTGCAGCTGCGAGAAGCTTGGTGCGCATTCGCAAAAGTCCCATCGGAACGGTCCAGTCGACTGCGAGTCATGAAGCGGTGTGTGGCCATCTCGCATTCCCCTCCTCGCCGCCAGGTACGTCCATCCACACGCCTACCTACCTAGGTACCTAGGTAGGTAGGCAAGTTCTCGGTGTAAACCAACCTACTGCGACTCGCCTTGATAACGATATTCGAGATTGGTCCTCTCTCCAGTTCGTGGAACATCCTTTCTGCTGTGCTAGGTACAGAACAACTTGTCTCAATGTCAAGAGGCGAGCGGATTTCTTGGGAAAATACAACATTACTGGTCGCTGGACGGTCTCGTCCCAACATCCCGGGCATATCTGCATGGTTCACATCAGAATCCTACGCCAATCTTCACGTCCAGTATGGTGCCTTCAGTCCCGTCAAGTTACTCAAGATGCCCTCATGATCTCCCGTGTCTTCTTTCTTCCTTTGTCCACTCAGCTCCATCTGGATCGCCCGGTGTACATGGACGAGCCAGTCAACATAACTTTGAGCCTCGTTGTTCCGGTCCTCCACCAACATTCGGGCATATTCGAACTCCGAGCCATCTAGTCCCTGCCTTGCGAGCGTAAAGCTTGCGGCTTTGCTCCCACGCACAGTAGACATGTATTGCAACAGGTTCCGCACCTGGGCATTCAGATGGGTTTCCAAGACGGGCAACTCGTTCATCATGGGATCCAGATCCTGTAGGCTGGTTTTACCTTCCCCAAACAGATCCTCAAGCAAGTTTGGCGACACTTGGGCGTGGAGCCAGATAAGCACAACCTGTCCGTCGTCTACCAGATACACCCCGCCCTCCTCGACCCTCGCAAACGACGCGCGAACGGTTGGCGGGACCACCAATTGCATCGTCTCGGAATTGGCGAAACAATCCTCTGGACTCAGGTTGTGGAGGGCATATATTCGTGGATAAAGATATAATGCTGTCTCTGTCACCCCCGAAGATCTCATCAACCGAGCAGAATGGACCCTGCGATCGGTAGGCTCGATACCTCCTGCATCAAATGTCAGTGTTGGAGTGTCACAATGTGGCCCGTTGAAAACATACCTTTGAATGCCCGACTCTTGATCAAACCGAGCGTGTAGATGGCAAACTCCTTGAGGTGCTCTGGAAGCACGAGCTGCCCAGGCGGATGTGAGCCAGAGAAGTTCTTTCGGTAACCCGCCAGAATATCAATCGTCCTCTCCGTGATACCGGCACGAATGTCTTTCAGGGACTTTTCCGAAATTTTGGACGAGGCTTCTTTTGCAATGATGTTGACAACGGCGTCCTGATCGACCGTCCGCATGGTGTCGGTGGCGCCTTCGTTGACTGCGGCCACCACGTTGATGCACCTGACCCGCCTCTGGCCGGTTGCAGAAGTGTAAAGAAGGGCTGCCTGGAAGTGGGCATCCAGCTTGGCATCAAGTTTGCCATCGTAAGAAAAGGTGACACCAATGGCTTTGTCCGCGTCGACAGTCCCAATCTCAAGATCCGCTCCGAAGGAATGGTGGAGAAAGGAGCCGTAGTAAGCAGACACCTGCAGACCGTTCGAACACCGCACCTTCATCAAAGCTTGATAGCCTGTCTCTCGCCGCAGCGAGTTCTGGATTTCAAGACGCAGCTTGAGTGAATCGCGGGGAGCCACGAAGTTCGGATAAAAGAACATCTCACCACCCGTCAATCGCGACATGTGTCCTATTGTTGCTATGTCCATATATCCTCCCCCGGCGGCGGCAAGAAAAAAGTCCACTCCAATACCTGCGGTTACCATTGCACTAGCGGTCTTCTTCCAGCCCGGGTGTTCAGTAGTGAACAGACGTCGTTCCGCATCTGTGTCTCGGCCTTTGCCATCGTCCCTCAAATGCAGCCTCCCAGGACCCCAAGTGGGCAAGGTTGATAAGGAACATATAATTTTGCCGCCAGTGGCAGTCAGCGCGGCTAGGGCGGCGTTGAGCGCAGGTAGTAAAGCCGGCTCTGGATGTTTGATCGTGGAGAACATGGTAGGGATGGCTTTGAGGAGTGCTGTAACCACTTCTTTGGATTCTTGGGGGTCGACAAACAATCCGTCCGCCAAAGGCACAAAAGGGTCTTCGAGATCTGTCACCACCATCATTTGAGCAGTGTCTAGGCCGGGCGCAAGATTGTAGAATTGTATTTCCTTGTCGTACGTGACGATGCCAATCTTCGCTCCTGCTGGTAGTCCAACGAATGGTGAATCCTCATCTGAAGAAATCTCACTCTCGCGCCCATAAAGCGCGTCCAAAATGCCCTGACAGACAGAGTCAAGAAATCCCTTGTTTATAGATTCTTGGGTGATGTCGATCATGAATAACCACTGTATAGGAACTGGCACCTTCGTATAGTACTCTTTTGGCACCAAGAATTCCACAGTACCCATCATCAGCTCTGGCCGCTGCAACCGGTCAACCCTCACCCCAGCCGTGTCGGTAGGTGCAAAGTACTCGGGTGCCACATCGTTGGGGAAGCTGCACATATTGCACACTAGCTTATTGCCACCAGATCTGAAGGTCATAAAAGGGTTGATATATGTCCTGCATCTCCGGCATCGAGGAGGGCCGACTTCGCCAAAGTCTAGTACGGGAATAGGCTGTTCGCCTTCTTGGAGGGGTGCAAACGGCTGCAGGACAAGGCCGAGGGGAAGTCCAGTTGATGCGAGAGCCTCGGCCGTAGAAGGTATATTGTTAACCGTCAAACGCGCAAATTTGGGCGAAGAATTCCCCTGATCGTGGGCCACGAAGGGAATAGCCGCGGGAGGCGGAAGATGCTTCTCCATGGTTGGATAGACGTTGAGCTGGTAGTATTGTGTCGCAACGTCCCTTGATCTTGCCACGCTGGGGATTTGCTCTGGATTGACACGGCCTTGTGTGGCCACAGCCTCCTCGCCCATGCGCAGTTTATCCGCTGAGTTGACAAAGGCATTCTCTGCTGGCTGTCCTGCTATTGCCCCTGGCGCTACTTGTGACCCAACAGCCGGAAACTGCGATCCTCCAAATGACCCTGCAGATGCCGCAGCGCCCACAGACGCCGATGCCGGTGCTGAGCCGATGTCGTGATAAGCATGCCTCTCTTTCTTCCTATGAGATCGTGCGGGCGCAGCCGCCATGTCTAGTCCTCCCATTTGTGCTGCCAGGCCATTCATGGCATCTTGCTGTTGGGGTATAGGCCCTGCAGCCTGTCCAAGGTAGGGCGTTTGTTGTGCGTTGGCATAAACGTGCTGAGCGTTCGGATCAACACCATACTGCGCGTAGCCTGGCTGGGGGCTGACCGGGGGCTGGAAACTCGGAGGCCGTTGCTGCGCTTGAGGGTCGGCATATCTGGGATCCTGATTCGTTTGAAAGGGCTGGCCATGGCCACTACCATATTGAGAACCGTAACTTGCCATTTTCGAAGCATCGACACAAGGAACTTCAGGGAGTGGACGGCCGTCGCTTCATAGTGGTGGTGGAATGGGCTGATTTCGCATGTGAGAAGGTCCGTACACTATAGCGGTAGTGTCAAACAACAAGTGTTGGTTACTCCCCGAAGTGAACGATTGAGAACAGAAGGACAAGTGGCATCAGACAGTAGTTGGACGAGAAGCGTGATACCGCCAGAAGTGGGACGTCGAGACGCTCGACGTGTTCACTGGCAGCTTTTTTTTGGAGAGTTTTAACTCCGACCCCGTAATAACTTGTCGGCTCGCTGATTGCTTACCTAAGACAAAGCCTCGTCTCCTAGTCTACCACATGGAAGTTGTACGAATGCTAAACATTGATCTGCCCAGTCTCGACACTCTCCATCCTTCGACTAGACCGGAAATCATCCAGGGCGGTAATAACACATTTTGAATTGGAGAAACTAACTAAGCTGGCCTGACAAAGGCACAAATTCACTGTTGGCAGCTCGCCTCCATCATATTCAACACTTTCAATTCCCCAGCTTGCCGTCCAGACGGAGACGCGAGTATAGAAATTTCAAGTGCCCACGCCAGAGCACTTTCTTCAAGGCCCGCGTCGGACCCGCTTGCTTTCGCTCCCAACCCTTGAGCCACCTCTGCCTCCACCACTTCCATGGCTGGGAGCCCCGTAGTTGCTCGGTTCTTCCCCTCGACCATGTTTCCTCGAAGACGGATTGTCATCTCTTGAAGGAGCAGATCTTGAATACCCTGGTCTCCTATCATCAGCATCTGGCGGGTGATTTTCTCTCCTGCTCGGTCTTTCATCCCGTCTCGAAGAGTCGCCCGGCCCGTATCGATCTTCCTTTCCGTCACGACCATTTCGCTCGCTCCGATGTTCTCTATCCCCCCGTGATTCGTCATGCCGGCTTGAGTGCCGTGATGGTCTCCTCTCGGAACCTCGTTCTTCGTCGAGTTCGCTTCTACGGTCCCTGCTGCCGTCGTGGCGTGAAGAAGGAGGTCTGCTGCCCACTGGCACCTCGTTAGGGTTCGAGGAAGCAAACAAATCGTGTGATGGGTATCCATTGGGACTTTGACTGTGGCTCGCGGGAGGAGGGCCACCTGGCGGTGGAGGCGGTGGAGGAGGGGGCATATGCGGACCAAAACTCGTACCGCCCTGTCTCATATTACCTCGACCGCGGATGGAAGTACCAGCCTGAGCAAGCGTGTTGTTGACGGCTGTAAGCGCATTACGATTGTTTCGTCCACCACGCATGCTCCCGTCCCCAGCCTGTGGGCCGGAGGGCGGACCTCTACTTGTAGGCGAGGGCCTGGACGGAGCTCCAGGCGGAGCACTTCCTCTAGGACCTGCCGGTGGCTGAGTCTGCGGCGGAGGCTGTGTGGCCTGGCTTGGGCGCGACGTTTCCGAGGTTGCCGAATCGATCTGACCAAGACGAGAGGGGTGGACACCTGCCGCATCGGCAGCAGGAGTGGAAGGCGCAGATGAAGGCTCAGCATAGGAACTGGTGCGTCCATGTCGTCTCGAAGGTCCAGTTGGAGTGGGTCGATCAGCATTCGGTAGTGGCGACACTTGTGTATTGAGTGGAGGAGCTCTCATCCTCGATCCCCCTCCTGAAGTCGGTCGACCACGAGGGCCAGACGGTACATCAGACTCTTGACCACGATCTGGGTTTTGCGAGATTGCTGGATGTTGGGTCAACTCTTGCTCGAGCCTGCCGTGCTGCATGTCAATGGGTGGGGGCTGCCTAAGATCGCGCTGCTCTCTCTTGTACGAACTTGGTGCACTAGAACGAGGAGGAACGGCACCCGGCTCCGCAGGCGAAGGTGTATAAGAGGTTGGCCGTGTGGAGGGAGTTTCTGGCCTCGGCCGATCATCATCGCGACGGGGATATGCCCGTCGGTCGTCTTCTCTTCGCGGAGAGCTCGGCCGTGATGATCTTGACGGCTTCTCTGGTCCCTGGCCCCTCGAGCCCGGAAGTGATCTTCGCTCACTACCACTTTCCCCGATCAATGAAGCGCGCGCTGGATTAACAATAGGTTGAGGAGGCTCCGTGAGGCTCTCCTTCTGAGGAGGTTGAGATTCTGGTCTGGAGGATTCTGGAGCTGGAGGAGGTCTTGATCTTGAGGCTGGCTCACGACCTTCACGCTCACGCTCCACGGGTGGAGGGCGAATGGGTGGACGATCTCTCTCATGCGCAGGAGGTCGGTCGTATGGAGTTCGTCTGTCGTGCTCTCGACCGTACCCACGCTCCTCGCGGGAGCCATGGCCTGGGCCTTCGGGGCGTTCATATCTTCGGGAATGTCGGTCATAGTCATCGAAAGCTGAATCTGGTCGGTCCGGGCGGTCCGACCCTCGATATCCTAGCCTTGCATCTCGACTGCTTCGAACGTCGGGGGGCAGTCTCGGAGCGTCGACTTCCAATCGATTGGACAAACGCGGGCTGTCTCGATGACCATTTCTAGACTCCACAGGCTCTGGACGGTTTGGTAGGTTCGCAGGAGGTCGTGACGGAGGAGGAGTAAGCCGTCTAGGAAGTTCATGCGGCTTGGACGTTTCCGCACGGGGAGGCCTCGACTCTCGTTTGGCATTTGCCAAAGGCTCAGGGGCTTGTCGAGATGGTGTTGAAGCGCCATTGGTGTTCCCTGGTCTGGAACTTGCCCTAGGCACCGGTGTAGGAGGCCCGCTTGTGGGTTGGGGTTTCGTAGGCTTGGTAGGTTCTTCACCTTCTTTCCTTTCAGGTGCACCTTTGGCTTCTGGCTTCGATGGCGCGTCTGTCATTTCTGCGTCTTTGGCTTCGGCATCATCCTCCTTCTTGGTCGGCGCCACAGTTGTAGCCGGAGATTCTTGCGATGAAGAAATCTTCGGTTGGGAGACTTCACGCTCAGGCTCGCCGCTCTTTTCTGGTCCTTTGCGGAAAGTTTCTAGTCCCACCCACAACTTCTCCCGCCGATGTAAAGCACCCAGTAGTGCCTGAGACGAGACTTTAAGATCTTCTTTATCGGATTCGCGGAGTTTATCGACCGCCTTCTGCAACCCTGTACCGTGCCAGTTGACTGCTGGATAGACCCCTGAGATCGCGCGTAGAACAGAAATGGCGTTCCGGACGTGCATGTACTCCGGGGACGTCAGACACCTCTGAAGGGCCGTGTGCACATTCCCATGCCATTTGTAGAGCACCCTCTGAAAGCTTTCGAAATCCAGTAGGGCAACGACTTTGCCGGCTTCAACTTTCATAGCAAAGCCTGGTAGATTTTTCTTGATACCCCAGCCTTCCTTTTCGTAGATTGCTTTAGAACCATGCCAACGAGCAAGATCTTTTAGCACCTCGTTCAGGAATTTTCCCAGATTATCTGCTTCTTTAGAGGTGCACATAAATATCAGCGAGATAAGTCGGGACGGCTTGAAGAAAAGATCGTAAAAGCCGAGCGTTCTGAAGTTTGGCGTTCCAGCCGTATGGAGAAATTTGACAAATTTGAAGCAGAAATATGCATCCAGCGGCGAAGACAGCATCCGGGGGAGAAAGCAATGCTCAATAAGTGTGGTGTTCAATGCTTTGTCCATCCTCGCTTTCCCAAGGAACCACTGCTCTTTTTCGCGCTGTAGCCGGGCTTTACTCTCTGCAAAAGCTTTCAGGTGTTCTTTATTTTCCGCAAGGAGCTTATCGATGAGCTCCTGTATCTCCTTTTTCGCAAGGTCCTTCTTCTTTGTTCCAGAGACGCTGACATCTGTCCGGTCTGCCGAAATCGCGGCGATCTTTTTATGCTGTCTCGAGAGTTCATCTTCATACGATTTGCCGGGGATGGTGATGTCGTACAACGATAACTGCCAGAAGGTTGCGTAGAAGCCAGTTCCGACTAGTTCCACAACCTCTTTGGGCAGGTATGGCTCGATTGCAGTCATGAGATCCTTCATCACGGGATGCCAGCAATCATCTGTTGCTGCTTCCAATGGTCCAGGGGTCTTGCTGGCGTCGAGTTCGAGCGCCGGACCCATTGTGTCGCTTGCAGCAGGCGAGTCGTTCATCAGGTTTTCTGTTTCAACAGCCTCGCCATCCTCCTCTGAGCTGGCATTGATTTGGTCTGACATTTCAACGTCACCGTTGACCTCTTTGACTTCCTCCACTCGCTGATCTTTTGCATTTTCTTTGTCGTACTCGAGTATTTGCCTCGCGATGAGGGGCCGGCTGACCCAAAATGCGATTTCAGGACGAATCTCATAGTCAATGAGCAGACTCACCACGTCAGGGATCGTGGCCCGAAACTCTTCTGGGGTCAGGTTTGTCCTCAGCAAGTCAAGATACTGCACCATCACTCGATGTACCTCGTCGTACGTGTTGCCGATTGCTTTAAGAGGCACCTGCCCTTCCTCAAAAACACAGGCTTGTCGCTGTTGCGCCATGGAAATTAGAAACTTCGCTGCCAAACCTGTGTCTTGAAGCGACTTCATTAATCTCTCGGAGGTCTTTTTTGAGTCATGCCGTCGATCAAGCAGTTGAAGGATAGTTTGGGACTGCAAGAGTGGTCCTCCGCCCATTGCTTGTAGTTGTGCATCGTTGTAAGTCGTATCAGTTGCAATTCCAGCCATGGAAAGTACAATCTGTTCTAGCATCTTGAGATCCATTGTGTTACCGTGCTCAAGCTGTCCGGCGACATATTGCAAGATTGGACCAGGCTTCATCATGCCGTATCGCTTGTAAATCTTGCCGGCAAAAACTGCAAGCGCTTGAAGCCAACGACTCGCAAAGATACCGCCCTCCTGGGTACGGTTTCTTCCGGTCCTTGCCATTGAGCTTACAATCGCCCAAGTGAGAACATCGTACCCTAGATCGGTAAAATACCGTGCGCCTTCGACGAAGACCTCTGCGATGCTGTCATATACTTCGATCTGAGTGAGCGCAGTGGTAATCACGATATGCGGGTTGGCAAATGCGATCTTAGCCAGGGCCCGCGCCATCGGTCGTACATTGGTATTAGATATACGTTTAAGAATATCTTTTGTCTCGGCCCGAGCCTGATCAAACGCTGATTTGACGTCGGGATTGCGAGAGGTTCTCCCAGATGACCATTCGAGGTACATCAAATAGCGGACATTCACGGGAAAAGTGCTGACTAGCTCAAAGACTTCGTTAACCGCACCGGCATTCGATTTAGTCAAGCTCAGCGAAGGTAGGAGGGTACGTTTGACCAGATCCAACCATCGCGATCGGTTAGCCTCGCTTTTGTCAGTCTGTAGATTGTGCTTTCCAATTCGGGCAATCTTGAGGAGAAGACCTGGATCTTCGCCAATCTTGACACCAACGAGAGGCAGTAAGGTTTCGCACAGTGTGAAAACATCTTCGACAGTCCGACAGATTGGAATGTTGTCGTTCCACTCATCCCAGTAGAATCGATAATCAGTACCGTCGGGGCTGTCAGTTTTGTCTAGCTGAGCCCATCGCAGGACCTTTCTCTCAGTCGTTTCGACGACTTTGACTTGTCCTTTCGGCACGCCGGGTACATCGGTCTCATAGCTTGGTTCCTGGCTCCGAAGACTCGCACGATCTTGCAGAGGTTGGACTTCCCCATATACCTTGCTCAAAGAGTGATGCAGGATACGGTAGACATATTCTGGAAGATCAGGAATTAGGGCCATCAACCAGGGGAAGCGGCCGAGAATGAAGAGGGCTTCCGGAAGCGCCCCAATGGCGAGCAAGCTCTTGAGTAATAGAACTTTCTGGTCCGCGGGCTCATTCTCTTTCGGAGTCGGCTTCTCTGCCTCTGGTTCTTTCGATGGGGTGTTGGGCCGTGTGGTTGACTCTTTCAGCCGAGGTGGCGCCGGTAAGGTGTCGTCAATCAGCGCCCCAGCCGCTGTGAGAGCATTCCGTGCGCCTGCTCCTGGCCTTGCGGCTTTTTCCCGCTCTTGTTTTTCTCGTGTCTTTTGCTCTTTGAGTTCTTCCATCGCGTCATCCGTCCTCCAGATATGCGGGTACAGATCCTTGAGCGAGACAAATCCGATTTTGATGAGGAGAGCCGAAAGGTAGATGAGATTGTCTGGGAGGACATCTGTCTCATCCCGTGCTGGCGACGATGAATAGAAACGGAGTTTAAATCCCAGAAGCTGTGCGGCGTCGCGATTGCCGGAAGGCGGCAGGGTGCCAGTCTCTCGAATCCACTGCGTGAGAAGATCATCCCCGGAGGCTGAAGCTCGTTCACGGATCTCTTGTGGCGCTTGTGATCTCCCAAGGAGATAGAAAGCTTCGAGGCCTCGCTCTCGAGCCATGGGCCAGAAAGCCTCGTCACGAGCCCGGGTCTCGTCTGCGACAATTTGCTTTTGCTCCTCTGTGAGATGCCAATCAGGAGAACCGGGAAAGGCCCACTTTGGAAGCCCTGTCAGACTTGGGGTTTTCTTGACTGGTGTCGATGGCCGAGGCCACCACGGACTCGCGCGAAGGAATTTGACAAAGAATCGACACTGCTTGACCAGAACGGCACTAAAGACGTCGAGAACAACATCCAAGCTTCGACCCACATCCAGGTCAAATGCGCCGATCATAGCCTTAACCTTTTCAACCGTGTCCTCGACAGTTTCTGCAGTCGGAGCCTCATTACTGCTAGTAGTGAATAACTCCGTCATCAACTTCGCGAAGCCTTCAGATTCTTCCCGCATGAGGTTGAAGTTGGCCTGTCTGTAGAGAAGGTTTGTCTGCTTTCTGATGCCCATGCGATTGAACGTGTTCCTGATCAGATCCAATTTTTCGAGCAAAGGCGCGTCCAGCTCATGTCGTAGTAAGTCGTGAGGTATTCCGGTCGAAAGGATGAATGAGGAGAGGCGATCGAGCGGTATCAGAGGATTGCTCTCGTAGATGACGGAGATGGAATCTAGAAGGGCGGCTTGTAAGGCTGTGGGAGGTGGTATTTGTTGGTTGTCTTCATCTGGCATTTCGCTTTCATGCATTTGCTTAACAAGGTCTCCTGCTTCTGATGGACCAAGCCTGCCAAATACAACAGCCTGGACAAGCTCTTGCATGAATGCGATCAGCTGTGTCCCGTCCTCTTCCTGCATACCTTGCAGGCCGTGCCGCAAGGCATCTTCCCTTCCCCCGGTCTGCCATGACTCACAAACTGCGCTTGTCAAGTAGGTGTAATTGTAGGGTTGAGGTTCAGGTGGGGGACTGGATAAGTCAGGTATGTTCGGAGGGTTTTGCTGGGCCGCAGACATAGTGCCGTTTGCTGTGCTGGACTCGCGTTCGACTAACGGCGCCTTCGTCGCGGCAGGAGGCTTGTCTCCTTGAGCGTGAACTGGGCTAGATGCAGGATTGCCTCCGCGGCCTCCTCTGCTTGATCGTCGACCACCTCTTCCACGCAGTTGGCTATATTCACGATCATTTCCAGACGTGTGATAGGGCGTCGACTGAGCGAGACTGAGATTTCCCGGTCGATGTGGTGAAGGACGAGAGGGCGGCTGATCATCTGAATATGTACGCTCCGGTCGTTTCCTCTTAGCGCCAACTGGCAGGGGCATCACGTCCAGTCAAGTCCAGTCGTCAAGAACTGCTGCCCCGGCAAGGCTGTCTTCGAGAGGAATGTTCGCTTAGTTTTCATGAGGGAGGCTGCGACATCCGGTTGAAGAGAAGGCGGTCAGTTTTGATTCGATGAGCAGTGCTGGACAGCTTAGACTTTGTGTTTAAGCGTGAAGCCAGCAAGCTGGAGGTTGGTTTGCAGGAAGGGATCGTCGTATCGAGGAATGAGAAGATGATGGCTGTGCGGCCTTCGATGCGTCAAGTCAAAACGAGGGACCAGGCGAGCAGGGCAAAAGAAATCCATTTGTGGAAAAGCGTGAGATTACGGTGAATGTTTTGGACCCGCCATGCAGGTGGTGACTTCCAAACGTCACCTTGGTCACGGTCCTGACGACAGAGGAATTTCCAGACAGCGGGCTAGGAGGAATCAATCATCAAGTTCTTCCTCATCCCCTCTTGTAATGAATCTGCCTCTATCTCTACCCAACTGTAAATCATGGCTCCCAAGATCTTGCTGACTGGTACCACCGGCTATATTGGAGGCGACAGCCTGTATCTCATCTCCCAAAAGCACCCAGAGTGGGAACTCACATGCATGGTTCGGAACAGCGACAAAGGCGCCAAAGTTGCTGCTGTGTATCCAAAAGTGAGACTGGTTTACGGAGACCTGGATGCCGTCGAGTTGATAGAGGAAGAGGCTGCCAACTCCGACATCGTCTATCACTTTGCCAACTGCGACCATGAGCCATCCGCCCACGCTATTGCCAAAGGCCTCGCACGGAGGGATCGCGAGGGCCCTGGTTACTGGATCCATACATCTGGGACACTAATTCTAGGCTGGGAAACAATCGAACTCGCCGACTTTGGGAACAAGCTAGACAAAGTTTTCGACGATTGGGACAATGTGAACGAGTTGGTATCTCAGCCCGACCACGCTGCTCACAGAAATGTAAGTACTCGGAATCTGGACCTATTCAAAACCCGTGTTGGCGCAAAGAAGTGCTGCAGCAGGTTATCCGCAGGTGGTTTCTCCACTCTTCTTTCGTTGAAACGCATTTGGGTTTTACTGACGCCATCTTTTCCCAATAATTGCAGGTCGATAAGATTGTTCTAGCGGCGTCGTCTGACAAGGTAAAGACGGCGATTGTGTGTCCTCCAACAATATGGGGTCGGGGTCGAGGTCCAGACAACACACGTTCAGTCCAACTCTATAACGCGACGGAGAGCTTTCTGAAGCGCGGGAAAGCCTTCAAAGTCGGAAAGGGGGACAATATCTGGCACCAGGTCCACGTTCATGACTTGTCTGACCTTTACCTTCTCATCGGCGAGGCTGCAGTTAATGGCGGCTCACCAGCGACCTGGAATGATCAGGGCTATTATCTGGCTGAAAATGGTCCTTTCGTGTGGGGAGATGTCATCCAAGAGATTGCAAAGGTCGCACATAAAAAAGGGCTCTTGCCCGATGAAACTGTGGAAAGCCTGAGTCCGATGGAAGCTGAAAGATTTCTGCCGCTTGCGAAGTTTATAATTGGAACCAATTCAAGGGGAGTATCGATCCGAGGAAAGAAGCTGCTTGGATGGAAACCTACTATGCATGGAATTATGGACGAAATTCCGGAGTGCGTGGAAAGCGAGGCCCAGCTCCTCGGCCTGATCAAACGCCATGCCGCCAAAGTTGCAGAATAGACTGATCGACCTCACTCATCCACAGCTAGGCGGAATGCCGGCGGCGCAGCCAGTTTTGTACTTCACACTCGCGGAGTCCTTGTGGTCTTGGTAAAAGGACACGGTCCGGCTGTGGAGGCACGGAAGGGCCGCAGCATGGAGAACAGCACACCTCGAAGCGCCTTGGAGAGAATGGAACTATGGGACCAGTGTGGCGGTTCGGTCAATGTCCGTCCTCTTCCCTGCCACATCAGAGATGATTCATGGCATCGTAAAGTTATCTGCATTGGGAAGGCTCAATAGTCATTTCTTTGCTCCACTTCCATGATTATAGATTTGACATCCCAGCATCCTCCCTTAGACCCCTTCCTCAACTATCATCGAACAGAGGCAATCAAAAGTGTCCGGATTCCCCCTTGGAGGCGGAGCTGGAGATATAATACCGCAAGAGACTCAGCCTCCGTCGAGGCCATGAGCACAGGCCCAATGTTTGCCTGTTCTCCATTCGCAGACAATTCCACACCCAGGGCGGCTCGTAAAATTGACTCGATTAGGACCATTGCATCAATCGCGTGGACACGGTCACTGACCTCCGCATCAAGAATGCCATTCGATATGGTGGACTGGCTTCCAGCCGATCCAGCCTAACCTCGAATCGACTTCCATGACGGGCAATCAGCAATCTCATTGTGTCTCGTATCTTCTTGCACCGGCACCACCAGAAGTCACTAATTCACTAACTACCTACGTACATACCGATTTCCGTCTAGGATGTCGTCCCTTGGGGTCTCCATTGCGGCGGGCACTGCCCATTGTTAGACCCCTTGCCTGCCTCGTCATCCACGAGGGAACTCATGAGATGCTAGAGTAGGTAGGGTCATCATGTATAAGAGTCACGACACAGGACATTTATTCCTGATGAGCAAGCAATTTCACTGTCCGAAGCCAAATTTACATTTCTTATAGATAAAACAGACGCCCGTACCGATTCTTTCCATCGCAAGCGCAGCCGAGCACGGGAATTATCCATCAACATCTTCACGCCCGAGATAATATGTGCCTTTCAGGCTTTTTCCTAGTCCGAAGGCTGATGAGGAGCCGACAGTCGGACGAGCGCAATAATGGCTCTGCCTATTACGACAATCAGTCAAACTGGCAGCAGGGGCCAAACCAACCAAGACAAGGAGACAGCGGCCGAAGTTCTGCTCCGGGATATGGAGAATCGCGACAATAAGGACGATGTTCTGCCATTGCTCTGTACGAACCGACCGCCAGCCATACCTTCTGTGAGATGCTAACGAATACCTTGCAGACAGACCTTCAAAGCATGGAGAAAAGGTCGTCGTCCAAACAAGACAGGGTTTTCGAAGTGTGTCGGCCTGAAAAAGCTGCTGGGATACAGGGATTACCGACATACTGGGGGAGACTTGGCCAGGATGACGGTGAAGATATGATGTTGGTTTCTACACATCTAGAGCAACGTTTTGTTTTCGACGACCAATTCGCTGCCAGAGCATGCGTCGTTTAGCTTCTGCTGTATCGGTCTCATGCTTTATTTGTTCAGCATTCAGCGGTCAGCATTTAGCGAGAAGTACGGGGTATCCTGCATGCACCATCCATAGCCACAGCAATGAACAACGATAAACCATCTCCTTATCTTCCTCCTGCCTGAGCGTTGTGTACCCTTCAAGTTAAGTCGATACGAGAGTATTCCGGGGCAGAATTGGTGGGAGTATCTTGCTTCCTGTGGGCGGTTCTTTGTCCCAGATTCTTACCAATTGTTGTCCCCAAGACCGGCCCCGGCCCCGGCTCCATGCTCCCGCGGCGATTTACAATGCCAGATGAATCTTGTTGCGCGAGTGTGGAGATGAATCTGGCTTCATGTGTAGGCCGTGTCTAGCATTTTCACGGGAGCCTCTGTCCTTACAAACAGTATGACATCAATCTGTTGACAGAAGCAGGGTCTGGGGAAATTGATAGCGGAACCAACCAAAACCTCATTACAGCCCACCCATCAAGCTTTCTTTTTCTTGGTCCTGCTGCTACCTATCTCCCTTCGTCAGCGACTCAGTATTTAACGAATGTCGAGAACGCCTTTGCCGTCTCCTGTAATACACCCAAGCATCTTGATCCCTTCGGTTCCCATTCGCCTTCCCCTTTGGCATGATCAAAGGGAGTTGCGCCTGTGGGCGCGTTCAGTATGAGACTCAAGCTCAGCCCCTCGCCCTGACTGCCTGTCACTGCGTCACTTGTCAACGTGTCTCTGGTGGACCGTATATTGGCTTTGTGGGCATTCCCGCTTCAGCGGTGGAGTGGAAACAGCAGCCGGATATCTGGGTAGCAAGTGACATTGCCGAGCGCGGCCATTGTAAGTCCTGTGGCTCGGCGATGTTCATGCGGTACTTTTTCGAGGAAGACCGCACTGCAGTGACGCTGGGGACAGTGGTTGAGGCCGAGCCCGCGCTGCCACCGTTGAGTGCGCACATCTTTCTGAAAGACAAGGCATCGTATCTTGTTCTCGCAGATGACGGGGCAAGACGCAATGATGAGTTCTCAGAAGAGTTCAGCGAGAGAATCAAACAATGGAGAATCCGGCAGCAAAAGGAGGGAGAGGGCAAGACTGTAAGAATGAACCTGCAAGAAGCCTTTCGTTGACTGCGACTGAATCGTCTCAGAAATGAAGCCAAACAAGAGGCAGAGGGGAGCAAACCAAGCAGAAAACAACAAGAAGAGACAAAAGCAAATCAATCAGATCCAGTGAATTCTGCCTCACCGGCTCCAAGATGAAAGATATCTCCTGCCTTCACCTCTGCGTCTTGCCCCATTCTTGTCTGCGCCATCTGCACCACCTTCCTTCTCGCTGTAACCACCTCTTCCCCTCTACCGTTGAACCCTCATCATTGCTCCCATCTGGCGCGACGATGTCATCAGAAACGTCGTCGTCTTCAAAAGTGCCGCCGGGCGCTCCAACCGAGCCAAAGTCATTTCGTTTCTCGCGCATGGCCTCTCGTTCACGACTGCATCCCAACCTCAGTCGCTGGAATCGCGCCCCTTCCCCTTCAGTACCTCGTCACAGCAGCAGCCCCCTCGTCCATAGTCCTCTGCAGCAATCGTTCCCTGCTTATCAAGACCCTGCAAAGTCAGCACCCAATTCTCCAGGGAGCACGATCATGCAGCAGACCCCTTCTCGTCAGTCTCGCCCCGCTGAGCAAGATGTTCGTCCCCGAGGAGAATCGCGTTCGTCATCTGTGCCTACTGTCGTACGGACTCAACAATTTTCGGAAGCTGAAGGTGAAGGTTCAAGCCGACGCTCGATGCAATCCCGCGCTGGACCTAGTTCGCGGGCTACCTCACCAGGAGACAGCCGAGACAGCCACAACCGTCGCTCTGTGAAACACCTCACTTGCTTTTGGTGGTGGGAGAAGGGGGAATGCAAATACTCTGAAGAAGATTGCCGTGAGTTCATCCCACCAGGCGAATAGGCGTGCAGGAGCTTCCAGGGCGCAGCTTTTCAGTGCTAATATTGAATCAGTATACGCACACCACGACACAGGCCATTACACAGCTGCACCTCGCCAGGTGGTTCCAGGGGAACCGGCCAAGGCTGGGAGATCTCTAGAGCGAGCATTGAATAAGCTGGCTATATCAAATCGCTCGTCTGCTTCGGTGTCGTCTCTGGCAGGAGCTAATATTAACAATGTTGAGATTATCGGCAGTGGCAGCAGTGCAGTCTCCAGACCTGTTACTCCACTCATTAGCCACAGCCGGCCGAGCACTCCTTCTCCTCGCATGAGCATGGACCTTGGTCATGCCGCTCACCTCCAAACTGACAACGAGTTCCTCCGCAGCCTCGTCCAGCAAACGCAACGAGAGAAGCGCGCTTTGATGGACACAATTGAGACTCTTCAAGGAGAAAAATCTCAGTTGAATATGCAAATCGAAAACATGGGCCAGGAGCGTAACGCACTACTCACAGAGCGAGACATCTTACATGCTACAATCAAGAAGTTGCAATTCCCAGCTGGGGCCAACCCCTATGTCCAGGGTTATGGCCACAGTGGTCCGATGAGATCTCCAAGTGCAACCACCTTTCCAAGCAACAATCCCTGGGGTGCGATTGGAACCGGAAGTCGAGGAGCTGGAACCAGTCCAAACGGCACTCCTGTCGATAGTCCTGCCATGCAAGCACGCAGCTTCAGTTTCGCAGCACTCGGCGCCCTCGGTCCCGTGGGCAGCATGCCTACTCATCTCGCCGGCGGCACTGCGCGGACGAGCATGAAATCTTCCTCTGCTTCACCCTTGAACTCCGCTGTCCCAACTCATGGACCGGTCAACGGAAATGGCCTTGAGCGTGTAAATGTAACGGCGGATACACAACTCGACGATAACCTTCTCTCAAGCGACATGGAAGGGGAGAGACTCAAGTCTTTGCTGAGCAACTTGGGACCGGGTTTCTAAAACGTCGATCTCAGCCAAGACATTGCAACGCGACATGTTTCACCTGTCAAACACCAGTCTTCAGAACGATCGTTTCATCTAATAAATTTCATCCGAAATCGACTACAGGAGGCATGAGGCCTCGAAAGCTCATGACATACAGATCGAAAGACCTGGATACGTCTAAAGTAACGATATGATCGAAACGACAGGGCATGTGAGGAATAACCGGACACCTGGACCAACAACATGTGCATTACAATGCGAAAATGGCGTCATCAGGCTTCAACTTAATCTCTAATGTGTTCGAGTTTTATGGGAAAAATCAGCGATATCCAAGCAAAGAGGGGAAATGCCGATTATCTCAAAGTGCCATGCAGTGTCAAAAGCTACGGAGCGGATGGACGAGCTCGCAGGATGACGATAGGATGAGACAGAAAATTGGGGATGCAAGGTCTAGCGACGATAGCAAAAGAAAAGAAGAAAAGAAGAAAAAAGGAAAAGAAGAAAAAAAAGGAAAGAAACACACAGAAGGCTTGTTGAGTTGAGCTGGACAATGAGTGGCCTGGACAAGAGCGTCTCTTCGCCCGCAGTCCTGATGTTTGCAGAAGGTACAGTCCTATGCTGGAGGAGGCGATATTGACATGCTAACACTGCTGATTAGGGGATGCCTATACAGTAGCAATGAGCTTGGATAGATAGATCAACCTCTCTCACTCTCCCACGCCTGTTCCTTGATGTGATGCCTGTCATGTTCCCCCTTGCTGGATTCCCTTCGAGAAGTTCTCTTCCGGTATTCACTTTCGTTCCTGCTACTCAATGTCTTTGTTTAAGTCGCATCGCTATAGAAGATGACTCGGGCGATACTCATTCCCCCATCAAGGGCGCGCCGAGTCCGTCACAAGATATTGAGATTTGTTGGTTATCAGAACGTGCTCTGCGCCAACCGACTAGCTGCGTTTCTTGCGTCGACGCGATCCTCATCTTCGTCTTCCTTGACCCTCTCCAAACTGGCCCCAGTCGCGCTCCTCGGCCGTCCTCCCCCCTGCGCCACCCCCACCCCTGCACCGTTCGTCCCGCTGTTCTCACTCTCTTCTCCTGGGAGCGGAACACCCAGCGCTCCGGGCCCAAAACTTCCAGACATGCTTCTGGAAAGAGCGTCCCTGCTTCGCGGGACACCGGACCAAGCGTCACCTTTGGCGCCCTGGCTGCTGGCCATGCTAATCCTTCTTACGGTGGGATGATTCTCCCTTCCCAATCTACTCAAACCACCCGAGGCGTCAATCGCCCGGATATCCGGCCTGACGCTTTCGAGAGTCGCGAGCGTGCGGCGCTCGGCTTCGATTTGACGCAGGACATATTCGCGAAGGGAGAGCATGAATTCCGTGGACGTGCGATTGAACCAGCGTCGTTTCTCCAGCAGGAGGTTTGCCGTCACGCGTTGGGTTTTTGAGCGGAGGTAGTTTTCTTGCGAGATGGCCTCGTCGAGCGCGGAGATTGCTTCGTCGACTTTGTCTCTGCGCACGCTGGACGAGCTTTTCAGGCGTTGAACCGCATTTTCCTTGCTCCGGCGGGATGCCTCGGTCTGGAGCAGTTCCCGGAGGAGGATGTGTCGATTTGTCAAAGTTTCTTTGACGATGAAGGCGTCGGAGGAGTGGTATGCGAGCGCGTCCCCTAACGTCGTGGCTTCGGCGGTTCCTTGCGCGGCGTGGTAATCGCCGCACGTTTGAATGATGCGCCCGAGTTTGCGGTATGCGGTTGCTAGACCAGGGTGGGTCTCCTGGACATTCATTTGGGCAAGTTTTTCTCCAAGAGAGGATTCTGCAAGGCCGAGTGCTGCGAGAAATACATCAGACAAAGTAATTCAGGTGAGATCCCATCAAGACTCACCTCGTCTTGCCTTGACGACCTTCTCGAGTCTTTGGCTTGTGTCCAAAGAACTCAAGTAGAATGCCTTGACGATAGGCCTTGCCTCGTGCAGCTCAGGCGTATCGTCAGGCGGTGGTGCGAATTGTTTCAAGACTTTCCGTCTTACCCCCGTCGCCGGTTGCTTCATTCTCACCACGGGAGAGTACCCAAAATCACTCTCCACGAAAAACACCATCTCCTCATCGCGCATCAGTACATCATTGCCACAAACAGCATTCAACCATCTTTGAATTGCCGCCTTGACTCGAGCTTCATCCTCGTCGGTGCCCACACCAGCAGAAGTTTGAGCCGGGGGCACTGCCGGGACAAGCGCCTCTGGATTCGAAGATATGAGATGGTCGGCGAGTTTGACGAATTCAGAGTGCGTTCGACGGACGTCCCGGAATTGAGTAGTCCGGAACTTGGGAAGATTCGTCTTTCAAGGTGATTAGCTTAACTGCTTGTCATGGAACAAACCGCAACATACATAAACGTCAAACCTGATAACGGGATCCTTGCGCCCCGTTCGCTCCAGCGCAGTTACCTTGGCTTGCAGCTTATATTGCGGCACCGGCCTGTTCTGCCTTGCACTATGGTATCTTGCAGCACCCGGTCGTTGTTGCGGTTGACCAGTATATTGTTGCGCAGCCGCGGTTGCTTGGACATCCTGTGCATGTCCTGCAGCTGCCTGTGCTTGCGCAGAGACCTCTTCTGGATGTTGATTCTGTACGGGAGCGCCAGGCTCTCCCGTAATCCCAGCCTCTCTGGAAGCAGGCACACTGGACTGATTAGGTGGAGGTAGGTAAGGGCTCTCAGGAATGCTGTCTTGGGATTGATTGTAGGAATGCCCTCGAATTGGCTGCGGTGACTCTGGAGAATCCGGCGCAGCTTGGGCAAAGCCTCTGGGGGCACGGGGAGATGACGAACCCCAAGGAGAGGCGCCGTGAAGAGCATCGGCCTCGCTGGCAGCAGCAGAGTAGTCCATAGCTGCAAGGGGTGGCAGCGGAGAACTGCTCACGTTGTAGTGCGGTCAATCAAGCGGGCATTCGGCAAACACATGCAAGCAAGACCGGGCTTGCTGAAAAGGAGTTTCTGAAGTCGCCTGAATGTATGCGCGTAGTCGTGTGGAGTTTATTGAGTGATACCAAGGTGCAGCCTCGATTCAACAGTAATGTTCTGTCTATCACTGTCTTCACTGTCCGCGGTCGGCAAGTTGGAGAAAGAGTTGCAGCGGGAAAAAGGCGCTGCCAGGTGGCCGAAGATGGCTAGTCGAAGCTGCTGCTTTATGCCCAATAGTTCTATATTTTTTTCGAGCCTCATCAATACGTTCGAAAACACCCAACTAGTCATTCATTTCGGTTCTACTTTCATCTTCTTTTCAACTCTTGTGGCCTTTGAAGTCCTGGCGTACATTGCATGTTGGTGCGGTTGGCTAAGGCACTTGGATTTCTGATAGGGGATGAAAGGCCAACATGCGCGATTCATTCGACTCTCCGCTCTGATTGATTTATGTCGGTCTCGCTCTGCTTCTTCATTTCTTCGGATTCATTCAAGAAACATATGGTCATCATGTCCACGCACAGCACCTGCAACGTCGACATCTCAAAGCCTGAGGCCTTCGAGGACCAGAAATATTGGCATCATCGCCCATATCGATGCAGGCAAAACGACTACCACGGAGCGCATGCTCTATTATAGTGGTCATACTCGTCGGATAGGCGATGTCGATGAAGGTTCTACAGTCACCGACTTCCTTCCTGCTGAGCGGGCCCGAGGGATCACCATTCAATCCGCGGCCATCACCTTCGAATGGCCCCCAGCTCATGCTGCAACACCTCCAGGGGCCACCGATAATATTGAAGTTCAGCCTCGCGCACGGTTCTCGCATACCATCAATCTAATCGACACGCCGGGACATGCCGACTTCACTTTCGAAGTCCGCCGGTCCCTGCGCATCTTGGATGGTGCTGTTTGTATCCTAGACGGTGTTGCTGGTGTCGAAGCCCAGACTGAGCAGGTATGGGCCCAGGCTGGCGAGTGGAATATCCCGCGAATAGCATATATCAACAAGTTGGATCGGGACGGTGCTGCTTTCGGAAGAACAGTCCGCGAAATCGGCTCTCGCTTGGGTGGTTGGCCAGCAGTCTGTCAAATTCCCTGGTTTGAGGGCGGAAAGGGCCGTTTCACTGGCGTTGGAGATGTCATCAATCTGGAGGGATTGTTGTACGAGAGTGGCGGAGATGGTAAAGCGATAGAACGTTATACCTTCTCACGGCTAGAGCAAGAGCAGCCGGAATTTGCACAAGAATTGCAAAGAGCTAGGATGGCTTTGGTGGAACTACTCAGTGAACACGACGATCAACTCGTCGAAGCCTTTTTCGACGCCGAAGAAGACCATCTGAACGTGGCTCCTGCTCAGATTTGGGACAGTCTGCGAAGGTGTCTGCTCACACCGCATAGCATGATTATCCCAGTTTTTGCAGGCGCCAGCTTCCGCAATATCGGGGTACAGCCTCTCCTGGATGCCGTCAACAACCTCCTACCATCCCCAGAAGAGCGTCCGGATCCTGAGGTTGGTCTTGGGGTGGTTTCCGGAGGGCTTTCGCAGCTGATAAGAGGTGATCTGTCGCTGGAAAAACAGCCCTCAAAGTCCAAGAAGAAAGGCCCCGAATCGCTGCCGGCGGCAATCGGCAAGGCTTTGCAAGGCTGCGCATTAGCTTTCAAAGTGGTTAATGATCCACGCAAAGGTATGCTGGTGTACATCCGAGTCTACTCTGGAACGATCGAGCGCAATACCCTTCTTTTCAACACGAACCTTCAGAATTCGGAGAGGGCAACAACTTTACTCCGGATGTATGCTTCCGAGTCGGTACCTGTCCAGGCACTGCATGCTGGTGAGATAGGTGTTATTGCAGGCTCGAAGTTTGCTCGTACCGGTGACACGCTGATCTCATACGCGGGAAACAAGGCCACTCCACCAGATCCATTACAGAAGCTCCAACTGCGCCCTATTAGGGTGCCGCCGCCTGTGTTTTTCGCAGCCATTGAACCAAACAGCTTACGGGATGAGAAGGATATGCACGAAAAGCTGGCGCTGCTGCTGCGGGAAGATCCCAGTCTCCAGGTTTCGCAGGACGAAGATACAGGCCAAACGCAGATCAGTGGTATGGGCGAATTGCATCTTGAGATCGCCCAAGACAGACTTGTCAACGATTTGAAAGCAAAAGCACGCATGGGCAAGATTGCAATCGGTTATCGTGAAACACTGCCACAACCTTCAGCCATCGTCATAAAAGTTTTGGAAGGAGAACGTGCGGCCTCGAAAGGCAAAGCGGGTTGTATGGCTCTCGTGGAGCCTCTGGAAGGCGAACCTGCTGAACTCGTGAATGACTCTGAAGCTAGCTTCATTCATGAAGAGGACGGTAACCTGGTCATAATCGAGACACCAACCCTCGACCAACGAGGAAGAGCACTTGACAGTGACAAAGGGAGCTTGCCACCACACCTCTTGCTTCCCGAAATCCGAGTCGCATATCTCAATGGCGCATTGGCGGCTTTGAGCCGTGGTCCCTCATGGGGCTACCCGATGCGCAACACGAAAGTCACCTTGACACTTCGTCCAGATGAGCACATCTTTGGCACTGAAACGACTTATGGATCTCTGACGACCGCTGCTCGCCTGGCCACAATCGGGGCATTCAAGGATGCCACCAAGAGCAACCCGTGCTCTCTGATGGAACCTGTGATGAACGTTGACATCAACGTGGATGAAGCAAGCCTAGGCACTGTCATTCAGGACATCTCTTCCGGTCGGGGTGGGCATATTGTCTCCCTTGGTGACCATGAAGAAGAGCATTCGCAGACAGGCTTGGATCCCAGGAGAATTGACGTGCAGAAGATCTATGCTCCGAAGGATCCATTTGAATCCGGTTCATCGTTGGCAGGAGAGGACCATCAAAGGGTCAATTTCCAGAGAACTGTCAAGGCCAAAGTGCCTCTGAAAGAGATGGTTGGCTACCTCAAACATCTCCGCAGCATGACCGGAGGAAGAGGAACGTTTGTGATGAGTGTTGATCGATTCGAGAAGATCACGGGTCCTCGAGAGAAAGCACTTATTGCCGAACTACAGGGCGGACTGTGATTGATATATAGAATGTACTATATTGTATCCATGAGAAGTATTCGACTCGATAGAGTGTCAGACGTCAGCAGCCAATGCGGACCGTCGATCGTCGAACGCCAAATGGGGTCTGACTGGCACTGACTGGCCAGCCGCTCCCTTTGTGTACCAAGAACGTGGAACGCTCACTGCTTGAAATATATTTGGACCCACGTGTAGAAACATCTGAGGACCTACGCGTCAACGTATACTCTGTCCGCTGTATTGAATCTAGAGAGGGACTGTCTTCGAGCATGTATTTCTGGCCAAGCTGACCTGAGGAGTGCTGAGAAAAGTGAGCACACGAACAACTTCCCACCCCGCCGCGCTCAACGTTCCAAACACAAACCCTCCGAACAAGATGGCGGCCAAGGCGATGTGGGAGGTCGACCCGGAGACCAGAAGCAAGGTTCGCATTTCTTTTTGATCTGTCTCGTCTTGGAATATGAGTTCCTGATTCTTATCTTACAGCTTGCAGCGTTGGGCAAAAAGGAGGGCGCCGGCAACGACAAATGTTGTGACTGCGGCGCCCCTTCACCGCAATGGGTGAGTCCTTGCAGTCCTCCTGGCGAAAGCCTAGACTTTTGCCATTGTATTTCTCTTTCTGTTTCTAACCATTCAATTTACACTAGGCATCCCCCAAGTTTTCCACCTTCATCTGCCTCCAATGCGCCGGCGTGCACCGAGGACTCGGAGTCCACGTCTCCTTTGTGCGGTCCATATCCATGGATGCGTTCAAGCAGGCCGAGATACTCCGGATGCAGTACGGCGGCAACAAGGCCTGGCAAGACTTCTACAACAAAAACAGCCCCTCACTGCCGTTTGAGGAGGCAACGATCAAGGAGAGGTACGACTGCGAGGTCGGCGAGGAATGGAAGGAAAGGTTGTCCTGCCAAGTGGAGGAGAGAGAGTTTGATAAAGCTGCCTTCCAAAGGGAAAGACAGGCAATACTACAGAAGCAGGCAAGCCGGTCGGCCACGCCGGCTGGAGGAGCAAGAATCAACAATACGGCTGTGTCAAATAACAGCCGTCCAGGAAGTCGTACAGCGTCCCCAGCGCCCTCCAAGGCAGGAGGGCGCATAACAGCCGACCAAAAGGCCCAGAATGAAGCCTACTTCGCGCGCATGGGCGAGGCGAATTCCAGCAGACCAAACAACTTGCCGCCCAGTCAGGGCGGGAAGTACGGTGGCTTCGGCAGCGCGCCGCCGGAGCCCTCGCACCAGCAGGGTTCATCAGGCGGGATCCCGTTTGCGGATGATTTCTCCAAGGATCCCATGGCAGCCATCACGAAAAGTTTTGGCTGGTTTGGCGGCATGGTCAGCAAGCAGGCCAAGATGGTGAATGATTCCTACATTCAACCCACTGCACGAAATGTTGGTTTCTCCCCGTCACAACCCCCGGTATTCTTTTTCTTTTACCTCCCGAAAAAATCCTCCAATATCATGAGAAGAGGTCAGTATACTAACAGATCCTAATCTAGATCGCATCCTCCGACTTCGCGGCCCAAGCTCAAAAAGCCGCCGCTGCCGCGGGACAGGGTATCCAATCCGGCGCACGAGGCGCCGCCGAATCATTCAACAAATTCGTCGAAGGGCAGGACGAGAGGGCCGCTTCTTCCGCCTCCGCGGCCGGTTCTAAGCGGACGACAACAGAGCCGGAGAGGAAGGATTTCTGGGACAGTTTCGGCCAGAGTGGAAGCGGAGGGAACAGCAACAGCAGCATCGGGACGAGTGCGATGAAGAAACCGGCGTCGTCCAGCGCGACGGCGAACCCGGCCCGGAAGACCAAGGAGGACGGCTGGGGTGATGACTGGTAGAAAAGAACCCCCCGACTCGCTTCCCTGGTGAGCAAGACTGGAGAAGAGGGCGATCGATTTTGACACGGGCGAAAACCAGGAGCAGACCATCAGTACCGCATATTTTGCCATCTGTCGCATTTATATGGGGCATTGATAACACAAACGCAAGACCAGAACAAGACGAGACAAGGGACCAAGCTGAAAGAGACCCACTGCCATTTTGGATATGCTGGATGGGGGAACCTCGCCAGCTGAGGGGATTTTGCCATAGCAGCTCAATGCCAACGGGAAAAAAAGGCAAGTGAGGCCCGTGGAAGTGGATGGGCACTTAAGGCTTTGGCTTTGCCTCTACAATTGAGAATAGACACCATGGGCCTCTGCGATTTCCCTCGGGCGTCGATGCTTCCGTGGAGGAGAGAGTGGCGAAGTATATATATAGAGAGAGTAAGTGTGGAGGCAGCAGACACATGACATGCCTTTAAGGGCTCTCTCGAGGTCGTCATGGCTGAGAGAGTACACATTTTTGCGCATCTGGCCTACTTTCTATCGTGTCACATTCCTCACATCAGATAGTGTTTACTTCATTTTCAGGGATAGACAACATCCTGCCACTTGTTCTATCCTCTTAGCATCCTACAAAAGTAGTCCGTGACTTGCATCGAGTTCGGTCACCCGTAGACCCTGGTGTCACCGTCCACCGCCCCTCCATGAGTCGACCGCTCTGCCTCGATATCCTCCGCCTCCTCCCCTTCCTCTTCCACCCCCGGCCCCCACACCAACCAACCTCGACTGACCCTTGCGCCCGAATCCAAACTCGGGGCCTTTGTCGACCCACTCTTCTGCGCCCTTGTCCCGCTCAAACGAGAACCGCTTCATGCCTTCATCGCCACTGCGTCCCATCTCCTCCCACCCCGGGCGCAAGGCGCGGAACATGTCCAGCCGCTCGGTGGCAACGGACGACGGTACAGGTTTATAGTATAATTTGGGTTTAGTGGAGGTGGAGTCGAAAAGTTCGTCGAGCGCTTTGAAGCCTGTGCCGTTATTGCTTGAAGATGGGTTGTGGGGAGGACCACCGGCTGGAAGCTGCCCGCGCTGACGGTGGTCGCGATTGTGCTGATTGTCATGAGGGATCAAAGCCTCGCGGGATGGACGGACACCACCTGCGGAAAAAGATTCTGACTGCTGCTGCCTGTCAAAGGAAACGCCGCGACTTGGTTCGAAGGGCGGAGGGCGAGGTTTGCTGGTGTCGACTTCCTGGAAAATGGCCTCGATGCCACTACTCTCGCCTTGTTCGTAAACGACTTCAAAACGACGACCACTGCCGCCTCCTCGGCCAAACCCGCTGCCGGTTTCTTGGTCGATCCATGTTTGCACCTTGTTCGGGGGAACATAGTCGACAAAGAGTGGTTCTCTCAGAGGCTCATCGGGAAAACGTGATCCATGCATCGCAGAGCGGACCCGCGATGCCGCCGCGATTGAGGTGAATGACACAAAGGCATGCGTGCGAATACTGTCGAGGTAGAATGTGATGACGGGATCAGTATTCTCGGAGGAACGCGATTTTGCTATTGATGCAATATGAGCGCGAAGAGAAGGGATATGTAGAGGGCGCTTGAAGTTGCGGATGTAGATAGATGATGTTGCTGGGTGGATGGCGGGTGGAATGTCTCGATCTTCGAACGAAGCCGTTGATCTGGGCGGAGACGTAGACACTCTGGTGTCATTTGCTTCGGGTTGTCCTGGATTAGTTTCTTCGAGATTGGAAAGGGGCTCCCTGATGACGGCTCCATCGTCAGATGTCTTGACGACAACTTCAGCAGGCTCACGGTTCATAGGCTCTCCGGGACTCTCCTTCGCCTCCTCTACTTCTGCTTCCGTTGGCTCTGGAGCTTCTTCCGCCTTCACATCCTCTGCCTCTTCTGCTAACCGCGCTCTCTTGCGAGCTGCATCTTGCGTTGAGGGAACTGGGGTGGCACTTCGTTTTCTCCGCTTCCTCTGGTCTTCTGCAAGATCACTGGAAGGTATTTGCGAGGAGTGGGGTGTATTGGAGTCAGACTGATTTTCTGTTGACGGTGGTGTGGAGAGCACAGCAGTACTTTTGGTTTCGCCGCTCTGATCGATGGTTGTTGCTTCAGCTTTCGTTGGCTTCTCTGCGCGGTCAACTGCATCGTCACTTTGTTCAGGAGCCTCAGTCGTTTCCAGCTTCTCTTCAGTCTTCTTCGGAATGATTCCTGGTTCGTCCTTGGTCCCTATCTCATCAGGCTGGGGAGATGCTTCTGCGATAGGCTGTTCCTCGGTCTTGGTCAAGGCTTCAGCCTGACTATCCTCTTCTTGAATTGCTGAAGGCTTGTCTGCTCCACCTTCGTCTTCTCCGGCCGCAGGATGATTGCGTCTGCTGGCATCCTTCAGCCCCTCATCCTTTTCCGTATCATTTGTGCCGGGGTCGGGATGTGTGCCCTCTCCACTGTGTCCATTTTCCTGCGGCGGAGATTGTTCCTCGACTTCTTCTGAATCTTGTCCATTTTCCACCCCATTTTTAGTGGACTGGTCCTCGTTCTGCGCCTCGTACTCTTCAAGTTTATCGATGTATTGTTGTTTTAGTTTGAGGCCCGTCAGAGGGATATCACGCGACTTGCACTCCTCCTTGAGGTCGGCAACCTTTAACTTGCTCCAATCCGTCATGGTTGCAGCGAAGGACTTGATGCGATTGGCAGAAAAGGCCAGTGTTGTGATCAGCGAAGGAGTCAAGATGACCAGAGTGCGCCATCTACGGGATTGGATTGATCCATGTGTCGTTGAATCAATGGTTCGTTTGACTTTTGAAATGCGACGCGCCAACTCGCATGACAAAGTTCGACTCAAGATCCAGACCGTGACGGGAATGACGTCGCGCTTGGCGACGGTCACGTGACTCCATATTCCCTCCCAGCTGCCTCTGCCTTGCTGCCTCTGTTCCTCCGACTCACTTCAACCTCATCAATCTTACGGCAGCTTCACTTCGCACTTCTCACACTTCTACGGCGCCATGTACCGCCGATACCTTGCGAGTCACTCATTGTGTTGCGCACCACCTGGTTTGCCGGCTACGCCTTGACGACGCAACTTCCTCCCGAACCATTTAAAAAGACTCGGACCACCAGGCCTATCTTTGCTTGTCACTGTTCCACCAGGACCTTTTCCACTAAAACCCCCATATGTTTGTTGTTCTTGTTAAGCTACATCTGGGCTCCTTCGAGATGACGGGTTTGAGGTCTTCCCTGTCTGCCAGGTTTAGGGGTCTAACCGGTGCTTTTCTGATCCCGATAAGGTGCTTTCCTTGACCTCGGAAATCAAGAGACCTACCCCAGGACGCTCAGATGTTGACTCCTTGATCATTCCATCGATCGGTTCAATCATTTGCGTCCACTTTCCGGATCTTGGTTCATCCACGTGGGACTCGCTTCGGTCTCGATACAGCCGCGGAGGGACCAATGTGTCTCAACCCCTGAACCATGGTCAGCCTCGCCGGTTGAAACCGAAGTCCACACAACCTTTGCTTCAACCTAACGGCATGACAGACAATCGTCTTGGTCGGTGATCCACGTCCAATTTATCAATAACACACCCAGCTCTTTGGATTTATTCCTAAGACAACGAAGCAAACTTAATCAAAAAATACATGACGCTACCTTATAGCCCTCAGCACCTCGTGTAACGCCAAGTCGCCGTCCTACGCTCCGTCCTAACTTTGCGGGATTTCATCGAGCAATCCTCTACGTACTCGCCTTCAGAATGCTTGCTGTATCTCAAGTTGAATTTCCCTCCCAGATGCAGTGGAGCTCGCCTCCATTCAGGCCGGGACGACTTTCTGGCACGATGACTTAAAGGCAAAGCGCAATATAAATTGAGGTGAGTCCTCTAAAGATTGATGTTCCTTTAGCAGTGTGGTCAAACAATTCATCTTCGATATTCCTCAATCTTCAGCCGCTGGTCGGTACATTCGTTTCTTCGGCGAGCTAGTCTCTCTTTTACACAATTCGGACTCGCAGCACGATCTTTACTTGCTTTTCAGTATACCCACCTTCCTTTCAAACATGCTTTTCAAAACAACTGCGCTTGCCACACTCCTTGCCGTGGCTCAGGCCCGGTTCAATCAAGAACAGATTCCCATCCCAGCCATTGCAGCTGTCCAGGGCGGTGCTCCAGGAGTAGCTCAGACCATCGCTGGTGCTGCTGTAAGCGATCTCCTGGCAGCATCCAATGCCTGTGACAAGCTCAAGCGGGGTGACCAAATCATCGCTGAACTCGGCACCGGAGCTGATGCCGTTGCTGCTGCTATCGGCATTGTTGCTGCGGAGAAGAATTTCAACCCATTCGTTCAGTCGATCCCTACAATCTGCGATGACCCTACTTTGCCGGCTACGGATGTCCTCCGAGGTATCACGCCTCTTATAGATCCGGCAGTGGTTGGCTCAGATATCGCAAACGCATTGTCTGCTAAGACCAAGGTGACTCCGCTTGATGCCACTGGCAAAAGTGTTGCGGACCTGCTCGCTGAGAATGGGTTCACCAATTTTACTGGTCAATCTGCGGCCGGTGCTACAAGTGCTGCTCCAGCTGCATCCGGGAGCGCTTCTACCGATACCTCCAGCACCACTGCAGTTGCTGCCACTTCAGTAGCCAATGCCTGTGGCACCCTCGTGACATCCGGTCAGTCTCGCACCTCAAAATTTGGAGCATAGCAATACTCATAGTTCACAGTTGTAACCTCTGCAACCACCTCTGCCGCTGTCGAAACCACGACGGCTGCGGCAGCTACAGCAGGCAACGCCACCGAGACTTCGACAGTCAGCGGAGCCGACTTTGGTCTCTGTGTGCCAACCATGAAGTTCGAAGGCGGGCTCGATGGCCGGCCCGCCACCGAGTTTACTTTCCTGCCCATCGACCCGCTCTGTGCCCAAGGTCAGCAGGAGGCACTGAATCCGAGTACGTTTATCACACAACTATCTACGAGTCATCCAAGCCCTTAAATACTAACGGTATACCTCTAGATATCATCACCAACCGAATCTGCGATCAACTGACCAATGTTTGTGAAGCCAATGACGCAGCAAAAACATTGTGTCGAAGTGTCCAGGCTCAAATCCAGGCGCTAGGAACTAGAGACAAGTCGACCGCAGACACTTGGAACACCAACCTCGGGTTCGCTGGGGCGATCACGAATCCAGATGGTGGCCCTGCCGAGCCGCCTGCGAAGATGAGAGTTGTTCGATCTTACAAAGACTATTGAATCTTTTTGGCGAGGGCATTCAAGCCTTTGCAGACCTGATCTTCGTCTTTCTCGCAATTCTCAGTTCCAGGAGAGGGCTCGTTTCCAGCCTTGGTTGTCCTGAAGCACTTCTCAACATGCAAAATGGGCTAAAACTCATTTGCGTCCACTGCATGTATCATTGGAGTTGACGATGTACAAATAGAAATGCTCAATTGACGATCAAACTGGCTGTGCGCTTTTTGTCGCGAGTCGTCCTTTCTATTTTGGAAACATACATACATAGATACAGCATACCTTGCAGATTCCGACCAACGTCGCAAGGGCCGACCGAGCTGCAGCACTCGAGCTTTTTGGTCCATTTTCTCCCTTTTGGCAAAGTCCACATGTCCGATACATCTCCGTTACTCTTCGTCGGACCACCGCAACTGATTTATGCTCCCAGCTGGGGGTTAGTGTTTCAGGATGCCCGGGTCTTCTGGATCCACTCGATCGCGTCGAGGAGGTACGGCACCTACAATTCGCGGCAAACATGCTTAGCTCGAACAACTCCCACAAATCTCGAAGGAAAACAACAACATCGACGGGACGTGTGTCGACTCACGAATTTCCTGGGATCCTCCGTCGCCGGGAAATGGCCTAGCCCTTTCATGGCCTTGAAATTTGCGCCGTGGATCTTCTTCGCAGTGGTCTGGGACATCTCGGGAGTCGTGGACCAGTCGTATTCGCCGGTGAGGAAGTAGATGGGACACTTCTTGACGTCGATGGACGAGACGCGGTCACGGGCGTCGAAGCCGCCAAAGTAGAAATCCAGGTCGCCGTGGAAGATGCCGTACGCTTGGCCCGAGTATAGATGCTGGGATGGGAACAAAAATGGGTCAGCACAGAGCTAAAAAAGAGAAGTAGGGGGTCAAGGGGAAGATCACCACATACCCAGATGAGCAGCTTGTTGACCTTGGGGCTTTGAGGTGCCATCATGCCGTAGACTGTCAACGTGTGTCATTAGTCTCAAAAGTTCCAGCATCCTCGCAGAGATGGTATGTTTTCTTACCCCAGTCTGGGTTGAACAATGCTTGATTGCACACAGGGCTCTTGTCGTTGAACTGTCGATCCATGGTCAAATAGTCGCAACCCTGGAGAGGAATGGTGCCTCCGGCACCGACTTCCTCGGCTCTGATCGCGACAGCAACACATACTTGACCCGCCACTAGAGCACACAAGTAGAGTCAGTGAAGTCGCCTCAAAACGGAACTGTTTTGATCACCTGTTTCGGGGCATCTTCCGCTTCTGGAGTTACGGAGTTTGGGGAGTAAAAACATCAGACAGGAATCGGAGACTCACTACTGGCACCGCAAATGATGGGCTTGTCGAGTTTCAACGCCTTGACCATTTCCCTGATGGTACCAACATACGCGTCCTCGTTGTTCGTATGGTTTCCTGGGATGTGGTTGCTACCGGGAAAACTCCTCCCATGAGCGGGTAAGTCAAAGGCGATCATGGTGCATTTCTCGCGCATGCGCGCGTCGTTCATTACACCGTGATACTGCCTGCTGTCACTTCCTGCCGTATGCAGGAACACGATCTGCTGGGGGCCGGTGCCGGAAGTCTCATAAAAGACCTTTGTGCGGCCCCAGACGGGTGCGGTGATGTAGATATATTTGCCCGTTAGGTGGTCTTCATCGGTCTCGGGTTGTTCATCCTCCTTCGTGGGTCCGTTCTGGCCCTCTCGAAGGAGTTCGAGAAGACGGGTAGCCAGGTGGCAGTACTGAGCGAACTTGACTTGGTTTCCGTCGACGCCGACTCCTTCTTGCACGATATTCATGCCCTGGGGGTCGAGTTAGCTTTTTTTTCATGCTGGAGTTGTCTTCACGAGAGATTCGTTTCTTACCTGCAAGCCGACAAAGCTGGTATAGGGAGCGACGGGGTCAGCGGCAAAGAATTTCTCCCACTGTTCGGGTTGCGCTCGAAGAACAAAGTCTGCTTCGGAAGGAGACCCGGTTGAAGTTGTTGTTTTGGCACCGGGTGACACTGTGACGAGAATAGCCTCGTCTCCTCCGAGACTCTGCACGCCCATGGTCACCGTTTCAAAAATGGCCTTGGTGTCGATGAATGCTTGCCATTGAGGATCCTTGTCCAAGGACTTGTTCAGAGAGGACACCGCCTGGGACATTGCCTGAGGCAAAGACGTCCACGAATGGGTCTGGGATGTCATTAGTATTAGTGTCTGAACGGCCGTCCCAGGTGGAATGCAGGCTTGGAGTCGCGACAGGGGTTGTCGGTGACAAGACGTACGGTACCATTTGCGCCGTTCACAGGAGGCATCTTGACTAGCTGTGAGTTCTCGGAGTCGTCGCAGTCTGTAAAGTAGTGATAGAGCTTTTGAGTATAGCAAGTCGGTCTAGAGGTGAAATGTAAAACATTCCACGAGCCCCGACAGCGTTCTTTTTAAATCTGGCAGACAGCTCTTACTCCGCATGCTTGTCTTCGTGCTCCGAGTTGGGGATGCCATGTCGCAGCTTCGAAGAGGACGAATAGGCACAGCTTGCCGTGGCCCGAGACTGCTCTAGACCTCCACTTCAGCAGCAAACCATGATGTACCCGGAGACAAATTGGACCTTCAGGTGGAGGAACGCGCGGAGAATGACAGGAGCATCGAACCAAGGATCCATGGGCGATCCATCTCGGAACCGCAGTCGACCCAAGACCTCCTTTTGACAGAACCAATGGAGAACCAACGACCCCGCAAAGCAAACAACTTCGAGAGGAGAAAATGGTGAGGAGAGGCGTGAGAAGGACGGTAGATGAGGTAGTCCCTGCATTCCAGAGAAAAGGCGAGTGGGGGACGCTGTGGAACCAGAAAGGATCAGCCTCGATGCCGCAGCCAGATTGCAAAAGGAGCAGAAGAGAATATTGAGCAATCAAGTTGGCATGCAGGAAACAAATAACATTGTATGACATTTAGCCTTTTCCTATCAAGCGCGAGGTTTGTATGGGCATTTCGTCCTGCTCTGTCCATGGTGGCGGCAGTAGTGTTTTTGGGGACTCACTAGCCAGACCGCTGCCACTCAGACCGTCTCGCTTGTGGCACGCCATTGTCTGGTCCCAACTATACAGTGACGAGAGATATATGTACAGGTTGAAGCCATTCACATCTTTTAAGCAGTCAGCGAAAGCAATTGCTCCTCCTACCCGCAGAATCGCCCAAAACCCAGACATTGCGCCAGCCAGACCGAGTACATAGCAGAAATCTTATATGCACGTCAAGAATCATCAATCAGTCGCCTTTCCTGCCACGCTTTCTTTGCCAACTCATACAATGATTCGAAGTCGCCGCTTGTCTGACACATGGCTCGGAATTGACCATCTTCTTTGCGTATCAGCTCCCAGGGATCAGCATACTCGACCACTTCGCCTCGGTCGAGCACCAACACTCGATCGTAGTCAATGATGGTCTGCAGTCGGTGAGCGATGGTCAAAATGGTGTTGTTGTGGAGCTCTCGCAGAGTGTCTTGGATCTTCGAGTCGGTCGCATAGTCGATCGATGCCGTGGCTTCGTCCATTACCAGCACTTTTGGCGATTTCAATAATGCTCTAGCCAGACACAGAAGCTGTCGTTGACCCTGCGACAGGTTCGAGCCCGATTCAGCCACTGGGGACGACAAGTCCCGGAAGATGTTTTTATTTTCCTTGCTGTTGCTGGCAATCTGGACGAGGGTGGAGTCGGACTTCACCGTTCCTTTCCCGGACAACGAGACATGACTTTGGGACGGACTTGAACCCTCCCGAACTGTGGGTGATCGGCTCGAGGCCTCAAGCGGTGTCGTGTTCCCCGATCGCTCAGAGTCACTGTGTGCCCCTGAGATAAGTTGGACTCTTCTAAGTGCGGTGAAGATCTCTTCATCGGTGAAGAGTTCAAATGGATCCAGATTGCTCCTCAGCGTGCCGGAAAAGAGCGTGGGATCCTGGGGGACGATCGTGATGGCCTCGCGCAAGTCTTGGAGCCCGATGAGTCCGATATCAACATCATCAATCAAGATCTTGCCTTCCTCGGCCTCCAGGCCTCTAAATAGTGCCAGAGCGAGTGAGCTCTTGCCTGCGCCAGTCCTTCCAACGATCCCGACTTTGTGCCCTGCTTCAATCTTGAAGGTCACCTTTTTCAGCACAGGTTCCAGATCTGGGCGGTATCTCGTGCTGTACCCAATGAACTCGACAACTCCGTGACTGGGCCAATTTGCGGCAGGTTTGGTTTCCGGGATATTCGCAGGCGCTTCTTGCTCGACGTTGATGTATTCTTGTATTCGTTCGACGGCGTTCATGTTCTGCTCATTGGCAGCATACAGCCGCACCAACCACAGAACATTCTGGGTGAAGGTGATGGCATAGGATAGAGCCAACCCTGCAGCGCCGGGGTCAATGCGGCCAGCATTAGTGACCACAAACATGGCGGAAAAGAAAGAGACGAGTGCCCCAGCTAGGTCGATCCGAAACGCGAGCCATCGGTTAGTGGCCCACAAGTAGATGAATGGGCGGTTGTGTGTGTTAACCTTCAATTGGCTGTCCTCGATGAATCTCGACTCATCCCCATAGGCTCGAATCGTGACTACTCCACTCAACGTCTCCCCAAAATGTTGGAACAGAGGGCTTCGCTGGACTGCTTCGATCCGTTTCAAGTCGCGCGATGAGCGGATGTAGAGGAGACCGGTTAGAACGTACATGACGGTGATGAAAACACCAGGGATTAAGAAGCCGGGAGTGATAACCGAGATCAGCACAACAATCGTAAGGACGGCGGCAGCGCTGTGCAGCATGCCAATGGCTACAGGAGCAACTTCCTGGTCAAGAGCTTGAATGTCTTTAGAGAATCGATTGGTTAGTTGGCCCAGCGGCGTTGAATCGAAAAAGCGAAATTTGGCGCGAAGAATGCTTGTCAACAATCTCTCATGCAGACACCAAGACTGCAAATGCCCGTTAGCTTGACACATATTGAAGCTGCCCATTGACCAACAACTCTTGTGAAGGCTAGACCGGCTCTCTGAGAGAAGGAGAACTTACAGCGCGGCGAGAACCCCAGAACAATATGATTTCGCGGGAAACTAGAAGTGTCCTTTAGCTTGCATCGACCTCGAGGGGCAAATAAAAACGCTTTCGATCCGGAATGCTGTTGGAAAGGGGAGGACTCACAGCAAATAAACACATACAGAGCCCCAATTAGGGCATAAATCCCAAGGTAGTAGCCATCGTCGACATCATATAATGACTTAACAACCCAGGATACGGGGTGGGACGGTGCTGTTTGCGGCATTTGAACATACGAGCCTCCAAAATTCGAAGTTCCTCCCACCGATTTCACGTCCTGGAAAGCATTGACTGCTGCGTGTGTCGTGTGCACACCGCGGACGTGGTAGGCATTGGCCCACTGTCTGATCCACAGGTTTGTCGCGACCGAACCCAGTTGTGTGGCTATAAATCCCCACGCAGCGAAAATCCAGTAATACCATGGGCCCATAGCCTTAAGGTACATTTGGATTGTTGACCATTTCACGCTTCCTGTGGCTTTTGCTTCAAGCCGATGATCGATAAATTGTTTCTCGGGCTTGTTTGTCTTCGATCTGTCTCTGTTGCTGGCCTTCCCACCCGGGGTCGCTGTACCATTTGTGTTTCTTCCGGATAAATGTGATCGCTCCTCTTCGAGGTTGGACGGAGGGGGAGTGGGTGGTCTCGAGTTGGTTCTTGAAACAGGACGTGACTTGAACAACTCATCCCCAAGCGTGCCGCTTTCGATAATTTCTTGCGGCGTCCCCTGAGACATGATCTTACCATTGTCCAGGACGACCACCCAGCTGGCGAGTGGAACAGTCAGCGCCACATTGTGCGAGACCAGGATGCAAGTTCGGTGAGCCATCAGGTCTCCGGTCAGAGCCTCTTCGAAGATGTGCTTGGCGGTATGAGCGTCGACGGCACTAAGACAGTCATCAAGAAGTATATGCTTCGAATTCGAATAAATCGCTCGCGCAAGCGATATTCTCTGCTTTTGACCTCCTGACAAAGTGATTCCCTTTTCGCCAACCAGAGTCTGGTCACCAGCATCAAGTATCTCTAGATCACGTTCTAGAGCACAAATTGAAATGACTTCATGGTAGCGATCTTCGTCGTAAGGACTGGCAAAGAGAATATTCTCTTTGATTGTCGCATTGACCAGCCATGCCTGCTGTGCGCAATATGCCACACTCTCAGTCAGCCCCGTCACAGGATCAGGGCGCAGATCTTGTCGTACTGATCCGCCCGGGATGTAAACAGCACCGCTAAGCAGCTGCATTTCCCCCAGTAGAGCCATCAAAAGAGAAGACTTGCCAGATCCTGTCGGTCCAGCGATGACATTCAGCTGACCAATAGAAAACTCGACATTCATGTTGATAAGTCTGAATGCCTCAGTTGCATCCTCGTTGGTTGTTCCCCAAGATAAGGTGGCATTTTCAAGCGCAATGCGGGTTGTTGGGAGACTTCTTCGTCTGCTCTGGCGCAATTGCAGATATTTCTCCGTTTCTGCTTCCTCTAGAAACTGCTCCACTCGATCGACCGATACCTTTGACTCTTGAATGTGAGCCACCATATCGGCAAGCTGGTCCAACGGAATCCGCAGCAGAGAAAACATCGATAGAGCTGGGAACGCAATCGATGGCACCAGCGGTCGCTGCTCGACTCGCGTGTACATGAGAAAAGAAACAAAAGTGATCACGATTGGGACACCACTCCAGATCGTAGCTGCAGATGCCCACAGAACGTATTTGCGCCATAGAGCAGATAGCTCGATCTGTCTTTTCTCGTTCACATTGTTCTGGAAGCGCCGCTCCCAGGCGAAGTATTTGATGATTCTGATGTTTTGGAGAACTTCATTCGTGACGTGGATTCTGCCATCAGTGGCTGTCATGATTCTTTTCTGTGCTGCTTGAAACGAATGTGCAATGTAGAGGTTGAGTGGCAAAATGAGTATCATCACGAATATTCCGACGAAAGAGCTGAACCCAAGGACGTTGTACAGCAGGGCCACAGCCATAACCAACTGCACTGGTACTGCAGCCCAGAGGAAATGGAGATAGGCGCAGATTTCAGCGACTTTGAAGGAATCAATGGACATTAAGTTGATGATGGTGCCGTTGCTCGCGTAAGATCCGGTGGCCTTATTGGAACTGGTGTTAGAGGCATCTTTCTGCTGTTTCTGGCCTCTTCCCAGGCATAGTGAGCCGATCTTTGCCCAGAAACTTCCTTCCTTTCGAGTGGCTTCTTCTCCAAGGTTTGTATCAGTGGTTGCCGCCGCTTTTCGTCTCAAAGTCTTAGAGTATATTTCGCCAATGATAATAGCCCGCAACTGAATGCAGATTTTTCGACCAATCCACAGACCCTGCCCATCACCAATTGCTTGCACAGCTCCAGTAGCAAAAAGAAGTATGACATACAGCCATGCAGCGCTAACCGGGACTGTGTCTGTGTTTTCGAGATACTCCAGAACGGCCTTCAAAAGGAGTGTTGGAAGAAACATGAAGACACTGGCCAGCATACACCACGCACCTTGTATCAAGACTTGGGTCTTGAAGTGCAGGAGTAGCCGGACAGCCAGCGAGTGAGTTTTTCGAACCTGTCGGAACTGGGCTAGGACAATCTCTGCCTTATCCTCCAAAGCCAGATTCCACACATCAGCAAGCTCCAACGTCTTCTTGAATCCTTTCCATACGATGGGGTCGACCCACGTAAAGGTTGCCAGAGACAGGACGCTGGCAAGGGGTTCTCGCGACGGTTCAATGTCTCCTTCGTACTCCAACAAAACACCCTTGTTTCCCTTTCGAGCTGTGAGAGCAAGTACGACAAGCGTACACGTGATCGCAAACGACACTATTGTCAGGATCTGAATAGGTCGTCCAGGACGGTGGACAAGAACAGAACGGAATGCCCAAACTTGGCAAAGCCATTGGACCATGTATAGCGTTGAACTGTGATTCCAGAGACCTTTGAGAGGACACCGCCACTTTGTTGTTGACGAGATCAGACGTGCCCCAGCAACAACCAGGAGATATGCCCATACAGCGGTCTCTGCTGTCCAACTCCTTCTTTTCCGGCCCAGTGTATTCAAAAGGGCGACAACATTTACGGCAAGTTGTGCCGACAACAGTAGCAATTCCAACGTGACCATGAAAACTTCGCCAGTAGGTTTGTTTATATCCTTCGTTGAGTTGTCCCCATGAGAACATGTCTTTTGCAACGTCAGCCTGGCAAGGCTGTCCTCATCTTCATCGCTGGACTCATGTTCGTCTTCGCTAGTATCAACAAGAAGGTCTCGAGAGCGGTTGTGGGATCGTATCGTCCTTTGCCAAAGGAATTGTTGAAGTAGAAGCAAGAGAGATACCGCACACGCCAGCAATGGAAAGAGAGTCTGGAGATAGCTATTCGCACTCGATCAGAATACAACCTCAGTCGGAACATGCGAAATCACCTACTCGGCCTGGAAGCATGCAGACAAGTCGTCAACCCGCCATATCGGGCTGCTGCAATGCGCGAACATTGCCGCAGTTGATTATCCACAACAATCACCGCTCTTCAACCGATGCGGGGATGTCAAAAATCATGTCGACCGGGACAAGCGGTGCTGGAGAATACTGATAGGAGCGAGATTAAGAGCAGGTCAAGATGAAAAAGCAGCAGCTCAACTCCATAACTCAAACAAACGGACAGAGAAGGACCTCGATGGACATACTCGGGATCGTTGTTGTCGAAGTGGTCCCTCTCTCTGCGGTTAACACTCTCATTAAGCCTCTGACGCCACTAAACTCCGGTCAAACTTTCCCATGCTAATAATTACCTAGGTACCTAGGTAGGTAAGTAGGTACCTAGCAATTATTGCTTGGGGCATGACCGAACCGGGACAGAAGGCTGGAAGGTGAGTGGTTGTGCGGCACAAGACTTCCTTCGGGCGCTCTCGGGGGCGTCTCGGGGTACCCCGTACAGTGACTCAACAGTGATAGGGAATGCCGAAACCTCACCCTGCCCAAATGCCTGCCCAAAGGCGTAGCCGACAATCCGGCTGCGGACTCCCATTAGTCTGGAACGTCAACCGCTCGTCAACCGCTCTATCACATCATATAATAATCCCTGGCCTCATCTCACTCAAGATCTCGACCGCTATTTCTGACATCTGGAAATCCCTCTTTTCCTCCCTGATTGCTTCTCCTACGTGAATCCTGTGGCCTGCGCAGTTTTACTGTTTGCTATTTGGAGCTTTGCCACACCTCGTTCTGGCAACCAGATCCGGGAGATCCATTCTCTAAGACGACCAAGAACAATGTATAGTTGTCGGTGATAGTCACTTGTGGCGGCCGAATAACACCCTTCAAATACCTCATTCACCTTCAGGACAATCACTCCAAAGCTATTGTCCATCTTACCGCCTTCAACCCTTCCCGCCCATAAAGTTTGTCCCCCTTCCAACCTCCTTCACCAATCTTGGTCTCCGCCACCACGCGCCAACCTGTCTCGCAGCAACTTGGCCCAACATGTCTCAAGCGGTTCTTATGAAGGAATACAAGGCTTTGGCCAAAGAAAAATGGGTTCAGATCGAGGTGAGATGTGGCGCAGATTCCTCCGATACGTAAGACTAATCGAGCCAGATCGACGAAGAGAACATATATCACTGGAACCTAGCCCTGATGGTCATCAACCCTGACTCTCTATACTATGGCGGTTATTTCAAGGCTCAGATGAGCTTTCCAAGAGATTATCCTTACAAGCCACCGGGTCAGTATCTCGATCCGCCAGAGTTTGTTTGACACTGACCCCTGGCAGACTTCCGCTTTTCCAAACCACTATGGCATCCCAACATCTATGCCGACGGCCGACTTTGCATCTCCATTCTTCATGCACCAGGCGAGGACATCATGTCTGGCGAGAGCGCCGGTGAGCGCTGGTCCCCAGCTCAACGTGTTGAATCGGTGCTCATCTCCATTCTTTCCCTGCTGGACGACCCTGAAATATCTTCCCCAGCCAACGTCGATGCCAGCGTCATGTTTCGGGACGATAAGGAAGCATTCAAAGCAAGAGTCGGACAGGACGTTGAAGCCTCAAAGAAGGACATTCCCGAAGGATTCGTCATGCCTACGCACGAGACGACCAAGCCAGTCATCGAGAAGATTGATGATGATTTCTGGAACGATAGTGATGCGGAAGATGTGGATTTCGACGATTTCGACGACTTTGACGACGATGCAGCTAACGGAAGCGAATCGGATCAAGAGTTGAACAACGATTCGGAAGACGAGGAAAACTACGACGACGATGATGACGATGACGTGGAGCATGTTAAGGGCAAGGCTCGGGGAGACCGACTCGACTCTGACATGACGGAACCAGACGAGTGAAGAAAGCATCACATTCAGGATAGGGTCCGGAACCTGTGCAAGCAGCTTTTGATCTACGTACAGGTGTTTGCGACGGATTTTCTCTGACGGCGATCGTGATGAGAAGATTGAGGCCCAAGGTTCATGTTCATGGTCTGAGGGGATATTCATTTTCCAAGCCAGTCATTCGATTCGATTTCAGCGATGGCGTCTGGGGTTCGTGTGCATAGGAATCCTTCGTGAAATAAGGGGGAACTCTCAAACAATCCATACTGCATCTTGCATCTTATGGGACAGGACGTTGCACATATCGCTGCACAATTTTGCTTATGGTGTGATAGACAGAATTCAAAGTTGGTTTCTTAACGAAAACACAAGATCACAAGTCCTATTTCGGACCATCCATGCAGTAGTCTTTGTCGTCGTCGTTGTCGTCAAAGGGTTCTCATTGATACCGGCTGGCACCAACCCAGCCATGTAACCTCATTTAACCAACTGCAGAATCTCCTGCACGCACCTTTCTGGTTGTTCCTGATTCACCCAGTGCCCGGCTCCATCGACAAGCACGGTCCCTCTATACATTTGGTGGCGCACACTCTGACCAGTCTCCATTGCTTCCACGGCGCCAGGCTCCTGGAAGGTGCCCCAGTCTTTCGTGCCGCTCACGAGCACGGTTGGGACGGAGATCTTTGCGCCGGACCAGGCCTGCATGTCGGAGGCGATTTCCGGCTGCGTCTGGACGCGGTACCAATTCAGCCCGCCCTGGAAGGAGGTGCGGCCCCATTCTGCCACGTAGACGGCGAGTTCGTCGTCGGGCAGCCAGCGCGCCGCACGCGATGCGACGACTTGCGGATCTTCGTCGGCCATGTCTCGCGCCACGCTCTGGCGCATGTTGTCGGCCAGGTCCATGATGTAGTAGCGGGGCATCTTTTGCAACTCCGTCGCGGTCCATCCCCCGGCCAGTTTGTGCGGGTCGTTGCCGTCCCAGTCGGCGGACTTGAGGTGGAAGTAGCCGCGAAGAAATGTGTGCAGGGGTTGGCCCGTTGGGTTGGTCATTTCATCGTTTGAAGGTGGGGTACAGTAGTACCACTTGTAGTGTTTCCGGGGCCGGGGGAGTTGGGAGAGCGCCTTTTCCATGTCGACTGGAGGCGGAGGGGCTTGGGAGGCGGTGCCATAGGACGGAGAGGTGGCAAGGGGAGACTGGGGAGGGCCTTTGGTGGGATGGGACATCATCACGAGGCTCTGGAACATGTCAGGGCGGGCGAGGGCACAGACGCTTGCCGTGACTGCTCCGAAGTCGTGCCCTACCACACAGGACACGGAAGTATAGCCAAGAGCGTTCACCAGCGTGACCGTATCTTTGACGAGGTTCAGGGGCCGGAACGAAGATGCATCAAGTGGCTTGCGGGAGAAAGTCCGCCCATATCCTCGCTGGTCAAAAGCGACAGCATGGTAACCCTGTGCAGAGAGCAACGGAAGGATCTTGCGCCACGAGTAGGCGATTTCGGGGAACCCATGAAGCAGGAGGATCAGCTTCGGCTTTTCACCAGCAGGCGGTACCTCCGCTGGGAGGGATTCGAGGATGTGAAAGACGAGGCTGTGAGGGGAAGTGTCGACGAAGCGAGATCTGATACCGGCAGGCAGAGGAAGTGGAGCCAGTGTCGTGGGATCAACCGCATCAGCGGGAGAATCCTGGTGAGTATATGCCATGGTCCGCTAAGATTTGATCCAAGCAGTAGAATACGGTACCTAATGGTTTTGCTCGAGAAGTGAAAGGCAATCAGGTATCAAGAGAAGAGACTCTCTCGCTATATGTTTCTCCATATGCGGGGAAAGCGATGCTGACGGCGCCCTTCGAAAGTCGTGCAAAGTACATTTTCGTCGTTTTGATAAGGCATCATTCCCTCACTGGCATTGACCGAGGCAGTTTTTACCTTTCGATAGCCATCTTTGTCAATCTTGTAACTGAATCGTTGCTCTTCGTATGCAGCAAGGGAGCCTCTAGGTCGTCTTTGGAGGACGTCTTACCTTTTCGGGGACTTGTATGGTCCTCTTTCCAGCCCGGGCGACCGCTAACCTACCCCGAGTCTGGTAGCCTGGTGGGCCGAGGGATACAATTACGCAGTAGCCAGTAGCGTGGCATGATATCCACCCTCCGTGCATACGAAGAGGTATAGCAGACGGAGTACGGAGTACCTACCTATATGTACCTAGTATGCGACAAGTGGCTGGAGGACAAGCAAGCGGCTGGAAAGCAATCTGATCTCTCATCTCTCGTTAGTCATCACTTAGACTCGAAAAGGAATCTAGAGGGATCTGCAGGTTCCACTGCAGGACGGAGCACCCATAGGTACCCTTTTGAAGGATGCTGGGCTTGATTCAAGCACGTGGCTATACATTTCGGTTTGAAGAATACCCAAGTACCTAGGTACATATGAGGGATCTTGGCGTTGTGCTGTGACTTCTCGATCGATGAAGACTCGTTGTTCCAAGAAGAAAGTTTCGAGAGGGCATCATCAGCATCACCAAATGAGAAACATTAGTGACGTAAGGAATGTCACACATTGTGATTGGTATGCGGTCATCAGCCCCACCAACCCAACACCCTCGACCTTCCAGCTTCATTCAGTCACTGGCAGGAAAAGGCCAACACAGCCACAACTCGCGACCCTCACCAGCCAGCCGCCCACTCGGTGCAAACTACCACCCGCGGCCCCAGTAGTTCACTAGCCATCGAGCCCATCTCTACCTGCTACTACTCCATACAAACTCAGCGCTGGCTCGCACTGCTGGCTCCCTCTGTGCCTCTGGTGCGCTCTTGGGTGACTCTAGCCTTCTTTTCGCCCCATCTTTCCCATGGTTACGGAGCTTCCATCTTCCTCGCTTTCCCGCACCGATCCACGCCCCAAATCAATTACTCCGTACCTACCTTGCTCGCCTGGTATCCCAGAAAACAATCCATCATTCGCAAAAGCTTCTAACCACCTCTCCCTTTCCATCATCCTTTTCGCCCTTGTCAGGCGGGAGAGCTCAACCTGAAGCGACATGGGGCATGTCATCGTTCTTCAGCCCTCCGATAACCAGTTCAGCTAGCTGCTTGGTTTGATAACTCGCTTCTGGTTCTCCCGTCTGCGATACTGCATCGTTCGCCTTTGATCGCGCGACAATTACAGCACCACATCCTCCGGGGCCATCGCAACCATGAACTTCTTGCACAGACGGAGCAGGTCTGTGTCGGCCACTGTAAGTAATCACTTGCGGCGCCCCGTTCAGTCTCATTCTGCGCTTCGGTGCTGACGTTTGCTCAACTTCAGCGGCCCCAGACGCCTGCTTCAGCTTCTGCCCATATGGCGGCCACTCAGGCATTCCTCAATAGCCGAGCCTCGCAGGCAAATCTGTCAGCTTCCGCCGCCGCTCAAGCCCTGAGAACCATGTCTCCGACTCCGACCCCGGTGGATCAGGTTCAGACAAAGCGCATGATTCAAAGGCAAGCCTCTTCCGGTTCTCTTTCAAGTTCAGCCCGGGGTCGAGGAAGAGGCGGCTTGCAGAGGCACAACAGTGCTGGGTCCATGACTGAGAGGACGTTTAGAACTCCTTCGCCCTCGCCCTCGCGACAAGTCTCGCGCTCAGAACCCGAGGCCCCCCCGCTACCGACCATTCCGCAACAATTTGCTCCTCCCGCGGCCACGCCGTCCAAGAAGAAGAAGAAGAGAGCATCCAGTCAAGAAGCTCCTCCGCCTCGCGTACTCTCACCACCGCTAGTGCGACCATCAAACCGTGGCCAGAGTCTCGATAGGTACGGATCACCGCAGCAGCCACCGCCCAACTTTCAGAGAAATCCCAGCGTTCCACAAAGCAATGATCTTGAGCGGGTTGACAGCCGAAGTTCCATCAATTTTTCGAGACCGCTGTCGCCGCGACCCCAATCTCCCGTAGCGCAATCTCCAATGGCACAGTCTCCCGTACTCGTGAACGGTGATCGATCTCCTTCCAATGCTGTCGCAAAGGCGATCTCTCCGGCGCAAGCCGCAGATATTCAGGACGACCTAGTGCAAACCGCAAATCAGCCTGTCAAGAAGAAGAAGAAGAGGGTGGTCAACACCGCAGCAGAAGGTAGTCACCTGCAGAGTGGGACAATAGCGAGCAAACCAGTCGTCAATTCGCTGGAACCAAGTCCAGAGCCACAAACACAAACTTTCTCAGATCAGCAGCCTCCTACAAGGAGGAAGAAGAAAAAACCTTCGTTTTCCGAAGAGGGTCTTGATTCTTCTGCGACCGAGGCCTCGCGGACCGATTCAGACTCGGACTCGAATGTCGAGCGCAAGCGAGAAAGGAGGACGCAGAGAGCCTCGGGGATCTTACAGAAACAGCCATCTATCGTTCGGGAAGACTGGGAAGGCGAACAGCAGGAGCAAGACAGTCCACCGCATGCCCATCAAGCCGCAGACGCCAGTGTGAATTCTGTCCAAGAAGTGACTGCTCCGGATCTGGGAAAGAGACCTATGAATACCGCAGATATACCTAGGAAGATTGAATTCGCTCCCTCGCCATCCGCTCCCAATCAATCTCTTTCTCCAGAGACTGCGGCACTGGACGGTCGCGAGGAATCGCCAGCTCCAACGAGTCACCTCCAAGTCACTGAACCTCAGCCTGCTCGGGGTACTTCGCTCAGCCCCTCGCGATCCACTCGTTTCTCGGAAAGGTTATCTTCAGACCTTGCTGCAGGCCGAAAACACGAACCTCCTCCGCGATCGATATCGCCTGCTAAACCTGCGCTCAAGCATCACTCCCCGAATCCAGCCTTTTCCGGCGGCGAACCTCGTGGCGCTAGTGTTACCCCGAGTGAGTCGTCTGATATATCGAGTGCGTCGGTCGATGGTCCTCCAAAACGGAAGAAGTCTGTGCGAGTCAGCTTCGAGGCTCAGCCCGAAATTGTTGGAACTGCCGCAAGCGTTCAAAGTCCGGCGGAGAGTCCTGGCAGAGAGAAAAAGGGGTGGCTTGGCTTGGGAAAGGGCAAACCAATGCCGAACACCTTCTCGAACGATGACATGGAAGAGTTGATGAAGCCACGCCCTCAACTTCCGTCGTTTGGGAGCGTTCGTGGCCAAAAGTTTAGAGATATCAATGATTCCAACCACGCGCAAATGCCAAGGTCGCCTCCGGAAACTCGTGCGCCGCTCGCAGAGGGCAAGAATACTACTGCTTCGGGGACGTCTTCGGAGACGTCCAGTACCTCCACCCCCTATCCAGCCACAGGCGTATCAAGCGATCAAATTGTAGGAGCTTTATTGGCTCAAGAGGCCCGAAGGACCTCTGGGCAGGCTTCTGGACCTCCACTCAATGAGCCCCTTCCGCCCGAGGTGACGTCCGTCGAGGGCGCCGTGTCGTTTTCGGACGAAGAAAACGACATTTCGGAGGCTGAGGAGACGACGTCTGCACCACCTCCTCGTCCAGTCCGCGGTTCAGAACTACATACTGACGCAAAAGCCGACCTTGCGAAACCAATCAGCCAACCTGTGAGGTCTGGACCTCTCCAGACAGAGGTACCACTGGTATCCGTCTCACCGCCCACTCCCGCTGAAGAGCCGAAACCCAATGACCAATATCTGGTGGAAGTTCCAGGAGGCTTCCCAGTGTCTACGGAGGCCCTAAGCAGACTCGATGATGAGTCACGCAAGGCATCCCACGTCGTGAGTGGACCCCCTGACGTGAGTTCACGTACGGTCACGGAAGCCGTGGACGATGAAGTGTCGGACAACGATAGCATTTACAGCGATGCGGCGGAAGATCCCTCGGAGATGGAAGGGATGGGATTTGGTTCCATTGACGCCATTGTGGAGAGTCCTATTGTGACTCCGCCAGGACCTTTTACTGCCCCGGAGAGCCCACTTGCGCGACTATCATCTACCGTTCCTCAAGACGCGCTGGGTTCCGGATCTTGGGAGGAGGCACAGGCTCGTTGGAGTGGCATCGCAGAGCAGACGAGATCTTTGCCTGGTCAAAACATCAATGAAAGTCAACCAGCACCAGCGACCACTGTCCGCGAAGTGGAGCAAGCGAGGCAGGTCCCAGATCAGAGCCCCGTGCCCACAAAGACGCCGGAGGCTGCCACAAAAGTATACAACAAGATAACACAACCTGCACAACCTCGACCTACACGGGCTCCCGCGTCACAGTCCACTGCGCCACAACCTAGGCGCAAAAAGAAGTCGCCTGCTGCAATAGCTGCTGCTGCATCTGTGCCGGCAGCGGCAGCAGCGACACAAGGACAACCAGACTCGCCACTTCAAAAGAGGACGCAGCCTTCTGCATATCCAACGATCGAAACCCCCAGCCTCGGACATGCTGCGGCCGCCGCTGCACCTTTCCGACAGTCGATGAGAGCCAGCTCCCCGCCAGAGATCGAACCGGGATTCCGCAAGACCATGCGTAACGAGAATCGCAATTCAATGCCAGCCTCAACCGTTGCCCCGCCACAACAACGAATGAATCCTCAAATTCAACCCCGAGCAGCACTCCAGAAGAAGAATATTCCACTAGCGGCGGCTGCCGCTACCTCTGTGCCCGCGCCTCGGACGCAGCCCGTCCGGCCGCTTGTGTCAAATGACAGTGACTCGGAAAGCTCGTTTCGAAAGGCACGTCGCAGCAAGTCTACTACCGGTGGGAAACATACAATGCGCCGAAGCATGCGAGGTGCAGGCGAACCGACTCTGCGGGGAGATAGGCTCAACGGCGTGCGGTCGGTTTCACCTGTGGGCAGGCGACCCTTCACCGCACCAGATGGTTCTCACACCATGAGAACTACTATGAGAGGATCGATCGACAATGTACCTACACTCCGCGGGTCAACCGACGTCAGAAGATCATCTTCAATGTTTCGCCAACAGACAAATACAGCCACCGCCCATTCTTTGAGTATGATCGGGCAGAACAACCGGTCCCGCGTTTTGGACTCAGACGACGAGGACGAACAACCTCAGCGCAGCAAATGGCGCTCACGTTTCGCCGATGATAGTGACGACGAATCGGACGTGCCACAATTTGCTCCAGTCCGCGGCATTCCTCGTAGAACCACTGATGATGAATCTACAGACCTTGATGATAGCTCGGATGAGGAGCGAGCGTCACGACAAGCACAAGCTGCTCCCAAACTGCAAATTCCACAAAGTGATACGACTGGACTCCCTAGCAGTGGCGAAGCTTTGTCTCCAAACAGTGAGAAGAAGCGGGGACTACTTGGAATGTTTCGCAGCAAGAAGCCAAAGGATGACTCACCTTCGCCTGTGGTTGAATCCCCGCAAAAGCCCCCGAAGACCACAGACACGACTAAAGGGTCACGGCTCGGATTTGCTTCAACTGCCGAAAGGGATAAAGCCATTGCACAGGCAAGAGCCCAGCTGGAAGCAGCAAAAGAACAGCAGAACCCGGGGGGCCAACAGCATGGGCATGCCAAATTGCAACGTCGACACGCGCCTGAGCGAGTCATGAGTGATTCTTGGCCGCTGCCTCCCGCATCATCAAATGAAAATGCTCGACCGAGCACCATGGATGGGCCTCCGATGCGGAACGGAACGACGAGGCTGAACCAAGGCAGTATGCGCAAACCGCCAGATTTTGCCGAACCTGTTGGTCGCAGTGGGAAAAAGAAAAAGTTCCCCATGCTACGCAAAGCCTTTGGGCTGAAAGATTAATTGATTGTTTCTGATTTCCTTTTCAGTCTGATGCTTACTCGAGGACAATGATACCACTCTCTGTCTCACGATGTGTTTCACGCACTTCTTTTGTGATTGGAATAGGCACGAGCTGGAAGGTTAGTTGTGGGGATGGCAAATACGCAGGATCTCAAAAAAGGCATCTAGAGGGGTCAGAAATCCGAATACATGGGCTGGATTTCTGCTTTGTGAGACGATGGAGATACAGAACATAATCAGGTCATTCCACCTTTATAGCCTGATAATCAGTAATATACCTTTGACGTTAAGGACCAAGCACAAAGAGACCGGGAGATGTGACGATCAGCTTGCCGGAGCACATGCACCTTAGTAACGCCTACACAGACCACGATCGTGGATGCAGGTCAGGGTATCCGACACGCCCCGAGACGTTTTCCTAGCAAAGTTCAGTAGCATGACGCGACAGCTTTTGCTGATGCAATTCTGGAGTAATATCTTTCTTGGAGCGAGTAATATAGCAGTATAGTCCCAATCACACACCCCAGCAGGCAGGCATCGCTGGAACGGCGGATGTTTCTTCCATGCGACGCCGCTTCCCGCGAACCGGCCGGGGTTCTGCATTGAGGCAATGGAGACCGGGGTGTGTATCGCCGGTCGGCGATAGTTTGTTCAACGCACAAACGCTGAGTCAGGATATAAGGTTGAGGTAAGCCGCTCTCAGGTGATGATTTGATGGATACTATGTAGGTATTGAGAGGGTGGTACCGCATGGCGCGGGCATGGCAGGCAAGGTTGAACTCAGAGCTTGAGCGACCTGGCTTCGAGAGCATGTTCAGCTGGTGCTGCTGCCAAAAGGTTATGTCAGCCTGTCTACAAATGGGGAGTGGGAAAGAAATGAAGATCAACATGGAGGCGAAAAGCAAGATCTCGATTTTTTTTTTTCGGAGAGCCGGAGTTGTTTCTTGGACCGTGCAAAAGAATACGTGGGGTTTGGACGTTGGGACATGGCGCGAAGCGCTGGGGATTTCGAAAAATCTGAAGAGACTGACTGGAATCCCGTTTCGAGGAAGCCGCCCGACGATTTCCGTCCTTACAGGGGCGCGCATGGGCCAGCACCCGTGGCTTTAGGCGGTTTCTCGTAGGCGGGCTTGGTACCTAAGGGAAGGAGGGGTGCCAGTTGCCCTGTGCCCCACCTCTGGATCGCAAACCTCAGGCTCTGGAAGCTAGCTGGTGGCGCCCCTCCATGTCACGGCTTCGTCACAAGCCCGTCAGGACCAGAGACGCATTTGCTTAAAACCATACAGGCAGCCCGTTTGATCTCAGAAGATTTTTTTCCCTCTTGTCTCGATCAATTCGAACTCCTGCTTCATAACTCGCTTCTCTGTTCTCTTATCCAAAGGACCCAGCAGATAATCACACCCACTACAATCATGACTTCCTCTCTCGACCAACTCAAAGCCACTGGCACCGTACGTTCCCACCTCCGCTGTTTCCCGCCATCCGCCAATATGGCAAAGTTCGTTGGGATACTAAACAAGCTCAATAGACTGTCGTCTGCGACTCTGGTGACTTTCACAGTACGCTCCCGCTCACCCCGTCGCGTCAGCCTGGGATACGTGCTAACCTGGGTCGCAGCAATTGAAAAGTACAAGCCACAAGATGCTACCACCAACCCCTCGCTCATCCTCGCCGCATCCAAGAAACCCGAATATGCCAAGTTGATCGACCCTGCGGTTGAATATGGCAAGCAGCATGTATGTCGGACTCACCTCGTGTCTTTTGCAAAATATCCATACTGAACAAGATCGCGCTAGGGCAAAACAATCGACGAGCAGGTTGATGCCACTCTTGACAGACTCCTGGTCGAATTCGGCAATGAGATTCTCAAGATTGTTCCGGGAAAAGTCTCGACCGAGGTGGACGCTCGATTCTCCTTTGATACGCAGGCTTCGGTCGAAAAGGCCCGTCACATCATTGAGGTAAGTGTCCCAAGTTGCTTCTGTTGGGACCTCATCAGCTCACAAGCACGCAAGCTCTACAAATCGATTGGTGTTGACAAGTCCCGTATTTTGATCAAAGTTGCTTCCACTTGGGAGGGTATCAAGGCTGCGGAGATCCTCCAGAAGGAAGGCATCAACTGCAACTTGACCTTGATGTTCTCCCTGGTCCAAGCCGTCGCAGCCGCCGAAGCTGGCGCCTTCCTCATTTCCCCCTTCGTCGGCCGTATCCTCGATTGGTACAAAGCTGCGATGAAGAAGGACTTCCCTGCCAACGAAGACCCAGGTGTCAAAAGCGTGCAGTCCATCTTCAACTACTACAAGAAATACGGCTACAATACCATTGTCATGGGTGCCTCGTTCCGAAATGTTGGCGAGATCACCGAGCTTGCTGGCTGCGACTACTTGACCATTTCGCCCAACTTGCTGGAGGATCTGTACAACTCGACCGACCCGGTGCCCCAGAAGCTGAAGGCCGAGGAGGCTAAGACGCTGGACATTCCCAGACGCAGCTACATCAACGATGAGTCCTTGTTCCGTTTTGACTTCAATGAGGAGCAAATGGCGGTGGAGAAGTTGCGGGAAGGTATCAGTAAATTTGCCGCCGATGCGGTCACCTTGAAGGGCATTTTGAGGGAGAAGATTGAAAAGGCTTGAGCGAATTTGTGCAGACTCTCGTGAAAGTTGTTGAATTGAGTGGCTATTGAACTTTTAGGGGACAGTTTCCAGGAATAATTCCCATCCATCGGACCTCTTTAGATTTGTGGACAAGGATAACTTGCCAAAGAAGAAAAGAAAGCCAATGCAGCATGTGTTGACCAAGTTCTGTTTGTTGGATTCCGATAGCTCGCCATGTTTGCTGACGCCACTAAATCCAATACCAGCTCGGCACACTTTCCGGATGTGCACTCAGCCTCACTTGCCTCGTCATTTCCAACGTCGGCGGTCGATGTGACGACAACACAACAACCAATATCGTTACGCAGTAAAGGCGAACTTTGCACTTGAGCGCCCCTGGGTGCAAACAGTCGACTCAATGGCTCACAATATACAGTTGCGGTGACAGCAACATGCTTGTTCTTGATTGAGATTGTAATTTGTCCCTACCCTCTCCTGTCCCCTCCATACCGCCGCCCGTCACCATGAAGACTATGCGGCCAGGGGAAGCCAACAAACGAGGGAATGTGGTGACAGCACGAATCATCCCAGTCTTCCTTCTTGGAATCATCGGATACTCGTCATGGGTGCTCACGGATCTCGTGGGCGTCAAGTACCTCATCCACCCTAAACAGTCGCTATTCGTCCGTCGCGAGACCGGTTCTGCGATCGCCATCCTCGTTATATTCTACCTTCTCCTGCTTGTCACGCTGACATGCTTCGGCCGCCTGGCCCAAACGATCCTGACAAACCCGGGCCTCGTTCCGCGCGGAGAGCAGTACTGGATTGAGAAAGAACGCAAGCGGCGGAAAGAGAGGAGGAGTGCGACCCATAAGGAGGAGGCACTTGAGTATGATTCAACCGAGGGATATACGCCCCGGAACCTCCGCCGAAAACAGGATAAGGAGGCTCAGCAGGGCTTCCGCGCTCAAGATTTCTGGCACAAGGACGTCTTCGTCTGCGGCTGGGACGGCCGCCCGCCATTCTGCTCGACATGCTACAATTACAAGCCCGACCGGGCACACCACTGCAGCGAACTCGGCCGCTGCGTGCTGAAGATGGACCACTTCTGTCCCTGGGTGGGCGGAATCGTGTCGGAAACGTCGTTCAAGTACTTCATACAGTTCACCGGCTGGGCAGCCCTTTTTTGCCTACATACACTGGTTGTCATGGCGTATTATTTCGCCAGACGCCGGAGTGAAGGACCCGGAAATTTCCTCAACGTGCATTGGATCCTGGTCTTGATCTTTGCGGGATTGTTTTTCATCTTTACCGCTGGCATGTGTGGGTCGAGTCTGCAGTTCGCGTTCCTGAATTCCTCCACCATCGAGAATTTCACCCGCAAGACCAAGATCTGGTATCTGGCGGTATATTTACCACCTAGAATCTTGGAGAATTATCAGAAATCGAACAGGACGGATCTGAGGTTGATCACGTATCCCCGCCCCCCAGAAGAGCAGTTTCAGATTCTCAAGCAGCACGGCGCAAGTATGGGGGACAATGAGGAGAACGTGGCGGCGCAATCAAGGAATGCGAATGCGCCAACCCCAACGCCGCCACAACAGACCTATGATCCGCAGTCGACTACAACATTTCCCCCCGCTCCGGCCCTGCCATCACAAGAGACACCAAACACTACTCCCTCCTCGTCTGATTCGCAGCCGACCATTCCGATACCCCCGACTCCTTCAAATGTGGAAACACGTGTGTTCGCTATCCTCGAATCCCCACCTGGTGGTAATCCTTTCGACATTGGTGCAGGGGGAAACTTCAGAGAAGTCATGGGGTATACAGTGTTTGATTGGTTTTTCCCACTGAGGGCAAGTCCCCTCACTGATCATAGCGATCCAGTGAGTATGTATAAAGTAGGGTCTGTGGTAGAGAGGATGAAGAGGAAGGCGGGCATCCAAGAGGGAGAGGCTGGCCTTCAACATGGAAGGCAAGGTGCAGATACGACTGGCGAAAAGAGAAAAGGAAAGACCAAGGGAATTAAGGGTACAAGTAGGCAAGTGCGGAAGAAGAATAGGAGACGCAGCCATTCACACTCGGCCACGGACGGAAACTCTCGGGTTGATCGTTGAGAAGATGCTATCCAAAGGGAAGCTGAATCCGACGTTCCAGAGTCGGTGGACAATCCGATATTCCTTTGCTGGCGAGGCTCGAGCGTCTTTGCTTGGTACGTCAGTGTCGAGGTTCTGAGGTTGCAATCAGTGGAGTTGAAGCCGCCATGGAACCCAAGATGTCGACGAAAAGGCTTTGGAGCTTACTCCAACGAGTCTCTCCTTGACCGTCAAGGCCTCAAAAGAGCAAGGCATGGATTGCCCACGCAGTCAGAGCTCGTCTGTTCGACGTCGTCTACCATACTCCGACGCAACTAAGTCATGGCAACAACATACGACTCGACGCCAAACATGTCGATAGGTACACTCTCCCACACAACTCAAGAGCGATGAAATAGTATTGACGGGATTTTTTTTCAAAGCAGCAGCGTTGGCGTTCAGGATCCCTTGGAAAAGGGACATGTCTAGTCCGAGGTGAATGGAGTTCTGTACATTGTATATATGTCTGCAAATGTTCCAGCTCCTTGGACACTCCTGGGCGTGTAAAAACTTCACGCACATGTCCCGATTTGCACTTCGATCTATGCGGGAGCGCTTCGACTCGGAGCTTCAGAGGGTTATGAGCACAGCGAGGCGACCGTCGGTGTTGTCCACACATGTCGAGCACACATACATACCTATATACATACCCATGTATATATAATGTATGAATGTAATATTTCTTTTCAATATCCACGTGGAGACAAATGAAAACAGTCTATTTCTGTTTTTTTCCCTTTTGGAGAACTAATAACCCTAAAAGAAAAGAGACGTCGCTTCATGGATCTAGGGTTTCCATCCACACGTCGCTTTCATGGGAATCTCGGTCCGCTTCACAATTCTATGGGGTATCAAGTAGCATAGATAGGAAAGGGACGGGTCCGATGGGTCTATCCTGTGGTGGTACGGAAAAGGAAGGAGAGGAAGGAGAGGAAGAGGGAGAGAAAATAAGAATCCTATTCATTAACGATAGTTTCCTCCTAATCTAACTCTAGGACCTATTCTTTCTCTTGACTGGAACGGAGGGGGGATGTACTAATAACAACCATCTGAAGTAGGAAAAAAAGAGGGTATGATTAGAAAAGTTGGCCATAGATATGGAATTCGTACCCAAGCAAAGTCTCTGGGGGGTTCTGGTTCGTGATGCTCCCTGATAAGAGATGAAATTGGGGAAGAAGAGTGATATCGAAAAGTGGTAACGACAAATGGAGAATTTGGAGACTTTGAGAAGTGGCAAGAACGAGCGAAGCACCTGAGTGATTAGAGGAATGTATAGGCTCGACGGCGCGTACTGCTGGTGGTGGTGATGGTGGTGGTTGGTGCTGAGAACAAAAGAAAAACCGGACAGGTCGAGAAGTGGGCTGTTTCCGAATCAACGAGACTGAGTACTCTGGATGGTGTTCGTGCTGGGTCCTGTGTGTCCCACCAGATGGGACCGTTCCATTGAGAAAGGGCCGCTGACAAAGAAATGGAATGCTCGGTAAAGACTGGCGGAAGATATTGCTGCTGAGGCCATTGTGTCGGTCCGGAGGGTTGTTTTCGTCGAATGGCGCCTAATGAGTGAAAAGCCCAGTAGTGCCAGAGAGTGAACGTGTCTTTGGTTTGAAGCCCGACCAGAGGTCTTTCCATATGACCAGGCTAGGTTGCGTCACAGGCCTCCGGTAGGTCGCAAGGAGCGTGGAGATTCGTTGGGTTGAAGCTAAAGATGAGGCTGCAGCAAGGCTGAGAGATAATGGGGGTTATTCTGTCAATTTCCGTGCTGAGACGCCTTTGGTTGCTCAACGTCTCCGGATATGCCCATTCCTGGTCGTAACACAATTAAGCATCGGTACAGTTGTCACACTTGGTGTGGCTACATTCTGCGCATTTCTCTGGGGCCAGTGCTTTTTTGTTGAGGTGGTTGTTTTCACAGCAATACCAATAGTCTCCTGCAGCTGGTTGACTTCTGAGCCGGAGGTTCCGTCCGTTTGACACACTAGTGGGATGCCGAGCGATGTGAATGGCTTCAGAAAATGCCTGGAGTGTAGCTTGGACTCGAGGGTCACAGGAAGTCTTTGGCTGACAATGACTGAAGTGATTGTAGGCACGCACACCTTTTGTGTTTACCGCACGGTCAATATTGTTGTCTGTCTTGCAAAAGTCGCAGCGTTCGTGACCACAGATACATTTCGGGTTAATGGCCACTATCATAGGTCCGTTGTTGCATTGGCAACATTGCCACAACATTGGCCTGTTCATGTTCGCGACGCAGCCGGGCAACGATAGGGGAGCGGCGGGGGGAAAGAGGACAAATTGGCAACTAAGAGCGCGTGATCTGGGTGCGGACAGCAAGCAACAGCCAACAGCCAGATCGGAGACTAGATGCTCCAAAGATAGCACTGGAGAAGCAAGTCTTTGTTCGAAGCGGTCGGATCGAAAAGGAGCGATATCGAAAAGGTGGGAGAATGAACGGACAGAAGAAGGAGATCGGCTGTTCTGAAACAATTGACAGTGTAGACTGACGAAGACAGAACGAATATAACATACCTTGATGAGCGGTATAGTATTTTTATATTGCAATGGGAGCGGTTGACGGCACAAGGGATAATGTGCTTTAGACACCATTTTCGCCTTGACAATGCGTGGTATTGATGAAGGAAGACAATTGTACCACGCTGTCGAATGGTGCATCTCATCCGATGGCAGTCCTGAGCATCAGCCCCTTTTGCCAACCATCGCCTGCTCGCCTGTCGATGCGGAGGTCATTGCAATTCGACGACAAAACAATGCACTCGATGGAGGTTCAGACGGGGTAACCTCTTGATTGGAACACCTTTGGCCCTCACTTTGGTATCTTGGATGTATCGAGGCGGAGGTCTGTCATCTGACCAGTCCCGGGTACATGGATGCTTGCTTTGACAACTTCAACTTCCAGAATCACGCCTTGTTCTGAGACGAGGCTGGCCTGTTCAGGGGTGAAATCAAATCTACCTTGCAGTGGCTGTGGTAGGCGTCGGAAGGCCATGACGGCCTCATTTCTGCTGAGCTGAGCAGCCAGGCGTGGGTTCTTTCAATTGATGTACGCTGCATTATGATCCTGCGCTCAGATATCCGAGGTGAGAAAGCCCTGGAAATATGAGCCCAAGTGTAGATTGCCGAGGAGGCTGTGTCCACACTGTCTGCCAAAACTACGATACCTCATAGAGCGCACCTGGTGGGCCACGTAACCCCAGCGGTCGTTCCAGGAACAAGTAAGAGCCATTAGCCTCAAGTATGACAGCCTTGCAGCCCGCTGCAAGGCCGTGATCGGTAGGAGAAGGAGAAGGCAGCTGCCATCAGTGGCAGAGAGGTTTTGCTGCGGCTTACCCAGGCAGCCAGACATCACTGCGAACATTGAGGAGCGGAATTGCACCGCATCAACCATTCATGAAACGTTAAGGGACACGGTAGATGGAAGGCAGGCATGAGCAAGCTTGTGGGACATGAGTTTAAACTCTGAAATGTAGATTCTTACCTTAGCCCTGCGCCCGAATACAGTCTGCAAAGCTTCTGATCACGAGTCGTCTGCGACGAGGGTGACGATGATGGGTCGTGCTGCGTCGATATGTCAGGTGTTGGACTATCGCTCCTTAAACAACAGAGCATCGATGTCAGTAGACAAGTGTCGTAGTTTTGTCCACCCAGTTGAACTTTGGATGGCGAGGCCAGTGCAGGCTCCTCAAGCTCCAAACAGGACCCAACCGCTCACGGGGATTTTGCAGCCTTCCTTGACAGAGTATAGTGACACGAAGTCAAGTCCTTGGAACCCGGATCTCGGAAGAGATGACATGGTTTTGCTGAGGGCGGGTGGGGTGGCTCGACGACGCCCGACTTGTGAGAGAGGCGGAAACGATGAGGATGCAACTCTGCACTTGGCCACCAGAACGCCTGAAAAGGTAAGAGGGACAAGGCAGATGCGGCTTTTGATGAAGACTGAGCTGCACCCGCATCGTGGTTTGTCGGATATACATGACTATCACGGGGTTCACCAGGGTGAAGCGATGGGAAGAAACTCCCAGAGCTAGAGTATGGAGCCACTTGAGGGCGGTGGTCCACAAGAAATTAGATTGGGCAGCAGCTCTCTGATCGACGTACATTTGGTAGCAAACGGGTAACTTTGCGGTCACATTGATTGGGTCTCAACGGTAGTACTGTCCTAGTTTCGAGGAAAGGCAGCGACTTTGGGACGGAGTGATGCCTGAGATAACTAAAAGCGACCGAAGAGGAGAAGGTGAAATTTGAGGCGGAAGAGGGGCAAGCACCGGAACAGGGTGAGTCATTGCAGGTGATCAAGCATCTGGGACAGCAAAGAGGAGGAGAATGAGAGACGGTAGAGGAGGGAGAGAATAGGGAGATACAGATACAGATACAGAGAATGTATATGTGTGCAGCGCAGACAGTGTAGGTAAGGGAGGAGAGGACGAGTGAACCTGGAAGTTGCCAGTACCTAGGTAGGTACCTAGGTAGGTACCTAGGTAGGTACCTAGTGGCAGTACTCGGCATGTACCGAGTAGATACTCCTCCGAGCGGACCTCATCGTCCCCAAGAACTTGTAGGTGCCTTTGGGCACTTGGACAGACCGCCGTGACAGGCTCGCAGGCTGACAGCCAGCAGTTCGGAGAATACCTAGTACCTTGACGAGTTTGCATGGCGCCATTCCATGACGTCGGGCTTCAACTTCAACTCCCATTCCCATTTCTATTCCCATTCCTATTCCCATTCCCACTGTGGTGACCGGTGACTGGCACCCATCTGGCATATTCCACACCCATTATCCAGCAAACACAGTCAGTGCCGCTGGGTTGCACACTCGGGCTGCTAGGCTGCTAGGCTGCTAGGCTGCTGCTCGTACATAACGCATTCTGTCGCTCCGAGCGACTTGTTTATATTCTCTATCTCAAATCACCACCCTCCTCATCCACTTAATTCTGTCCGCGAATGTTTCGTTCTAGAAGCTAACAATCCCACTTTTGTGTGCGGTGAGCCCAAATCCCCCCTCCCCTCGGCCCAACCCTGCTTGATTCAATGAATCCATCATTCCTGTTGGCCCCCAAGGATTTGCCAATCCTTGCCCTCCTAACCACTCACCATCCGCCCACTGACATTGGGTGGTTATGCAAATACAGCGCTGCGCTGCGCTGCCTTGACCCTGACATCAGATCTTTGGTCTTTTTCTTGACGCTGCGACAGCCGCCCCCCTGATATGCAATCTTACTGACCTTGAGCCTGTTCAGGGTAGAACCCTTCATATTATTACATTACCAACCCAATCTTGTCTCCATTTGTCTGGGACCAGCCTCCCCTTCGGTTCTGGCTGCCAACGTCCGATGCCTGGGGAAAAGATTCTCTACAGCAGTGGCCAGCCAACATCCTCACCATGACCGAAAACCGCTACCGTCCCAGCTCCCCGCCTGGGCGGCGCTACGCTGACCCTCGTGCCTCGACGGGCATGGTCATATCCTCCTCCTTCGACCCTCGATACTCCTCCTCCTCCCAGCCTCGCAGCGCCATTGATACTTTCCCCGTCACGCGACACGGGGGCGTCTACACTACTCAAGGCATTGCAAGGAAGACGGTCCTCGACGATCCCCATTCTGGCGGAGGATCAATAGTGAGGACCGAATATGCCGTGCGTCCAAGGGGCAATTCTACACTGGAGACTCGCAGGCCTGTGAGCACATTTACCGAGCGCCGTTCTTCCCCACCTCGAGTACGACCGGCCATCATCAGTGGTTCCTCTCGTGACGATCCAAGAAGCCCGGTCCTGGCCTCGAGAGAGGACCGGTACCTTGTTCCCGCTGCCTCGGGTGGTCGGAATCACCATCGTCATTCGAGCGCAACCCGTGCCGAGCAAGACCGTCTACTGCCCGCGCGAGTGAGCCGACAACCCGAGTACCATCGCCGAGGTGGTTACAATACATATCCGTACTCTTCAACCCGAGGTCCGCTTCAGGATGAAGGGTTCTCTTACACTACTCCCAAAGAGCAGTTTTTGCAGGAGTCATCTCGGCCTCCGCAGAGGCGGGAGAGCTACAGCAGACGAGAACGACCCGTAAGCATAGCTGGGCTGCAAGAGTACAAAGTGCCTGCAAGGCGGGACACACGGGATGGACCACCGCCTTCGTCTGCCCGCGTCCTCGATCGAATCGAGAGAAACGAACCTCTTCGATACGCAGGCGGCCGCACAAGCGACACTGAAGATCGAGGAGATATCCCCCGACGTCGTCACTCCACAAGAGCACCGGTTTTGCATCACTATCCCGACGAGGGTTACACGTCGGCACGTGAAGAACGCGATATTCGACCCTTGCCTAGGTCCCGTCATGATCGTCCCGAGGACGATGATAAACCTCCTAAGCACAGGCATCGTGATGAGCGCGAGAGAGAGGTATTGCGCGAGCTTCCACGTGAGTCTGAACGAGTCCGCGAGCGGGATCGGGACAGAGACCGTGAGAGAGACAAGGATCGAGATCGGGATCGTGAGAGAGACAGAGATAGAGAAAGAGACAGGCATCGAGACGTTGATAAGCCCGGCAAGCCTCGAAGTCGCGACAGCAGCCCGGAGCATTCGGGACTGCGTAAAGGACTCGCCGCCGCCGCGGGTCTAGGCGCGGTAAGCGCTGCTGCTGGGGCAGCTCTGAAGAGCAATCGCAACAAGGAGGACAATGAGTCGGAAACTGATGATCGTAAAGAGCGAAAGCACCGAAGAAGACGACACCATGATGAATCGAGTCCAGACGAACTTGCCGGACGCGTTGAGCGTGATCTCAAGTTGACCAATGGAGATCGCGATATGCGCCGACGAGACGAGGACCGTGTTGTTGACGACATGGGTGATCATGACGACCGCCACGAAAGACGGAGGCACCATCGTCACAGGAAGCACCGAGATCGGGCTGACCGTGGGACTGAGTCAGACACCACCGAGGATTATGACGGTAAGGACTCCAGGCAACGACTTCCCCGAGAGCGAGCGTCTTCTCGTGACGAGGATCAAGATGTTCCGCCGGCTCTGGAACAAAGAACAATATCCCCAGGTGAAGACGAAGATAACCGTCCTCGAAAAGTGCAATTGGTGGAGCCCGCTGAAAAGAAAGAGGAGTTCAAACCAAAGGGTATCCTCAAGCCGCCCCGAGAAGTTCCATTTCCTGAAGATCCAAATCCCACACGAGAAGGGGTTGCGCCATTAAAAGACGCCCATAAAGATGGCATACCACCAAATGCAAGGTGGACCAAAATTAGTCGAGCCCTAGTGAATCCCGAGGCCCTAGAAAAGGCTCATGAGAGGTTCGAAGAGAGAGACGACTACGTGATTGTCTTGAGAGTGGTCTCAAGGGAAGAGATCACGAAGCTGGCGGAGAAGACAAAGGAGATCAGAGGTACGTATACGGTCCGCCTTTGAGAGGGGAAGCTGTAGCTAACACGGACCAAAAGAGGCTAGAGAGCGCAAATGGCAAGCCGAGCTCGAAGAGAAGCGCCGTCGGCGAGTGGAAAGAGGCGAGTACAGTGACGAAAGCAGCGACGACGAATACAGCGGGGATGACCGACGTCCGTTGCGTGCTATAGAGCAGCCGCCTCCTTCTCAAGGTTTACAAGGTGATCCCAGAGCGTACTTCGCGCAGCAGCAGCAGCCACCACAACAGCAACAGAGAGTGGAAGCTCCTGTCGTTGCTAATGCTATCCCAGGACAACCTGGTGTCGCATTGGCCCAGCAGCCGCCATCATTGGCTGGAGCATATCCTCCACCAATCCAGCAGCAGCAGGGATTGCCTGTGCCAGATATAAGGGTTGAGCCCACTGCCGGTAACTATTCGACAAATGTATGAAAGGATGGATGAGCATGAGAGATGAGTGAATGTATGATGAAGGCATGGTTATGTTTAGAAAGGGGGTTTCAGTAGGAGGGGTGGGCGTTCAGTTTGTCGTTCGAATTTGACACATTATTTTTGGAACGTAGTAGGAGATCAACTGTCAGAGTTTGACTAAGTCATTTGAGAGCGGCTTCAGCTTTACAAGAGGGATGCGAAATTGCGAAAGAGGCCAGGTCTTTGAAGCGACGCGCAGTTGGAAGTGGATCGAGATTCTGGGCATTGGCACCTTGAGAGCGATGGAGGTGTTGCTCTAGCCTTCGCAGTGGATTAGGACATTTTACTTCTGTACCTATGAATGGAATTTCAGCACAGTTTCCCATGTGATTAACGACGTGTATAAATGGCTTTCTACCAGCGAGCCAGGTAGGTTGGTAGTATCTGGCGACGGGGAAGTAATCACGTGGCAATGTATGGAGTCACGTGTTACGTCAAGCCACATCTGACCAAATTCTCTTTTCTGTCAGACGGCTGAATTTGGCGCTTCCCTCCCGGCTGCAGTTTCCCTAACATCACATCTACCACTCGCTACGTCTCCCGCCCTCAGCCCACCATCCTCGCTTTCACACCATCTGTCCTTCTGACATGATTGCACTCCCTGAACGGCTCTTCAGGGGTGCGACGGAAACCTTCACTCGCTACCGGCCCTGTCAACATCAATCATCGTTCCAGGCGTTGACTTGTCATCGGCCGAATGCCATTCGCACAGTTCTACACCTCGTTTCGAGAATTGGCTGGCTTCCCGAGCGATCCTCCACCGAGCCCTGTTATCTATTGAACGGTGTCCTCGCCTTTCCGTCTCCCCGGCTCCGTGCTACCACCCTCCCCAAAGCTAGTACCTGAAGATCTTTCCCGCCAGCCGAGCCAACCCTGGCCAGTCCGGCTGTCCATGGCCTCCCCTCCTTGATAGCTCTTCTCGTGGCAAGAAACTCGTGGAAAAGCGTGGTTGATCGACATGGCACGTTGTCTGCCATGAGCTATCAGCCAAGCAGGGTCCTACATACCACGTTATCTGTCAATCAAGAATCCGAGGACGTAAGCTCCAACAATCGATCCAACAGCCCCTTTGTAAGAGGATATATGCCACTACAAACGACCCAAGCGGGGCATCGCTGGCCGCAAGCGAGAAAGGGCATCAGCAGCGTTACTCACGCAAATGCGTTTGGGAGGCAGTCCAGCTGAATGACCCTGTTGCCCAACCAGTAAGGATGCGACCCATAGCACAGGACTGCAGATGTCCGAAACCCGCAGAAAAAGGTCTTGTGACAAAGATGATTTCTCTGGATCCGACGCCGTGGACCATCTACCTCTTAGTTCCACCACACATATCGCCAATGTTGCACCGTGATCAAGACATGTATGCTGATCGCTGCTGATCGGTACCCAACGTATTTGTTCAATTGGGCCCTGATGCCTCGGTTCGCAGCCGATTTCTATCACAAGATCTTGAGTGAATGAGGGTGCAGCTGGGCTCTGTCATTTCTTTTGTGCGATCCCCAATCGTTTCGGCCTGTTTGGTTGCCCCCCCTTGAATCTGCAGCGATCGCCGCCAGGAAGTTAGACCCGGAGCAAGGGCAGCGAATCGCCCGCGAGCCGAAAATCTGTGCAAGGAAGGTGATCTGCATTAATAATTGCAACGCCCAATTTTTCCTGCCGGTGTCATTTCTGTCAAGCCAAAAGCAAATCGTCAATCCGCGTGCCCACAACGCTCCATACTGGAAGGACCTCAAAGAAAATAAAGCACCTTCTCGGCGCCGAGCTAGGATCTACAGTATGTCTCTTCTGCGGCTGTTCATTATCCAAGATCAAATGCTGTCTGTAGCAAGGCAGAATTCCGATAGTCGGTTTTTTGCCACCCCAATTCGATGATCCCGCCCACATCAGGGAGAGTAAGACGCGCACACACCGTTGATTTCCAACCATCCTGAGACACCAGCATGTCTTTTCATTTTCTGTGTAGTGTCAGTTCTTGTTGTGAGCTGCATACTAGTTATCGACTCGTAGTGGACTTGGAGAATTAAAGTCACGTAGTCTTGCCCAGTGCAGCTGAAATCGATGTTTTAGTCAAATGGTATTATCCATACATGAGCTGAGAGGGATTGCATTTCCGCCGCTGCCGGTTGCAAATTTGAACCCACAACTGCATTGTCCGCCACGACGCGATAAGTCTTGGTGATATGCAGGTGGCAGGGGGAGCATAGCGTGCGCAGGTAGAGAAACGGTCTACCAAGGAACAGCCCTAGATTCTTCTGCGGCTCGGTTTGCTGTGAACCATGGTATGAAAAGAAGGGCCAAGGGCATATCCAAGGGCAATCCGAAGATCTCTGGGAATGTCGTCGGTCTTTCTTGAAGATTCGTGTAGACAAGCAGTGTAGGTCAAACTGTCAGCCCTGCAGAATGCTCTCCGACGGACAAGTATCAAGGGCGACAGCTGATCTCGCTTCTGCATCATCTGAAGCTGGACACGGCATTAAATTAAACCTACAACGAATTCTGACCTCGTTGTTTGAAGAGGCATCCGGGCGGCGGCCGTGGTGAATTTGCGCCACACGACGCTCTTTTGAGATGGCAACCTGTCTACCTCGTGCGAAGTACGAGTATCATTATTGCAGGTCCACAGCGGCAACTTAGGAGCACGAGCATTACCCACGATCAGGAGCAAGTACAGGTGCTATATGGCCAGCTTGACAAGCTGATTTCATGCGATAGTGGCCCATGGATGAGGCGGCACGCTAACACAGCAATCACGTAAAAGAGCTCCATGCTTTCGTGATGACGGCAACCTTTTTGGAGGGCCACAAGTGCGAGTGCTAACGCACCAGGGGAAGAAAGCTTGGTAGGCGTCAGTCGTGCTTGTTTGCCTAGAGCAGGACTGGTAATAGGGTCTGGCACCATCTGGTGGGGCGTCGTTGCTTTTGTTCAAGATACGAGAAGCTAAGGTTTGCTGCAGTTTGCTGCATTTCCTCCAACTCAAAGGTGGCTTGCCTAATGGCTTGAACCGCCAGATGAGCAACCAATTCCCCCCTTTGAATCAAAAATGTTGGGCCATTTCATGCATCCCGAGGGCTTAGTTGCGGAGAGCAAAGCTGATAGCTTTGAGATTGGTCTCATGTAGGTCTGGAACGTGAGACGCTGGTCAATCAAACATACATGAAAACGGACGACAGACAGGTGAGTCTCTACATGTCCACCATTGACCCTGCAATTAGTTGCATTGGAAGAAGCCGAGTAGCTGGCTGATTTCCCCGTGATGATGTTGGGATATAGTACTACCCAAGCACCAGGCAAAGGAAACTCACGGGCTCCATCTCAGCTCACGAGTCACCGGATCCATCCTGAATCCGCGGATACTTTCGTCACCATAGCTTTGCAGCAGCTATCAGAAGTGTCCAACGACATGACATGAGATCATGAAATTCAGGACTGCGAACTCAGCCGCGGGGGGTATCAACCGCACGCCCCATGCATATCGTCCTTCGCTTTGGCGGTATGACTCCAGAGACGGCCTGCCGTGACGGGGTCTTCTCTTTGCAGCCATTCACATCAAGGTTGATAGCTGCTCCTTGGGAGGATCCTTCTCGCAGCCAGGGAACACGGTTCTAACTGGCATCAATAACGCGCTTTGTCCACGAAACACCGCTGGGAGCACAAAACCGCAGGTTATCTATCGGGCTTCGGGAGGTGCCTACTCATATACTATCTTTATGGTTGAATCCTAGCGGGTGACACAGACACGGCACTCGACCAGAGCCGTGCGAGAAGCGGTCACTCCCTCAGTCAGCCGTTTAGTGGGAAAAGACCCTTTCAATGGAGAGGCGACTTCTATTATTAATGCTTCCCTGAGCCGAGTTCGCAATCCGTACCACTGATCTGATGTATATAAACTGGCCCGAGACCAACCCGAGAGCATTCCTCTGGCCCCAATGAGCACCAGACCAGAGTCTATTCATGTCATCGGCATCTTGAACAAGGCTGAGCAAACTGCATGTATGTACGAGGTATCATGAATCATTTGAAGGACGTCGTGAAGAGTTGCCTTTTCATGCAGTCCAACAGGGGTTGTTGAATAGACTTTCTCATGCCTGCCAGTGCCAGGAGATGAGAGCCGGGGGGTTGGCAGCGCGAGAGGCAGGAGCATGACGGGCACCAGCTAACACCCCGGTCAGCGTCCGCTCGAGCGATGGCAATTCGCCACCACGGCGTCCCTGGGGCTGCCGGGGTGATTATTGTCATCCTGACGGACATTATTGGCCATTGCGGTCGCGACATTTTGGATGCTCTTGGAAATGCTGATTTGCCCCGGTCTTTTCTGCAAAGGGAAGCTACGATGCTATGTTCCAGCTGCTATTCTGAGTCGGTGTAGCTCTGGCAAGAGGCGCTATCAATGCGCAGGCGCAGAGGACCAATGGCAGCGCCTACCGCCACGGACAGACACACCTACGTTGCGTAAGCGACGCATCACAAAAATTCCACTTGTTCAATCATTTATTCTAAAAGTACCTGTTCGGGCAATTCGGTCATGGGGGAGTGGGCGGCATTGGTGGATGAATGGGGCGTCCGTCTGCCACCGAGATCGACGCTGCTAATAGCCAGAACCAGGATCAACGCCGGGCCACACATGGCAGTTCGTGCTCACAGGTCGTATTGCAGAGCCGGCCTAGGGCTAGTTCCGGAATAGCTTGAGGAATGGCCACAAAGCATGTCTCGCCACTTGAAAGCGGAGACACTGGGGACGCTTTGGAGGTGAGAGCTGTTGAAGGAGGCAAGACCCAAGAAAGTGATAGAGGTCGAGAAGCAGCGTCCCAGAGGAGAATGAATTCCAGGGATCCGGGGTTGAGAAACCGTCGTTGGGTTGGCTGTCATGACAGCTACTCGTAGGTCCTTTTACTCGTACCTCTGCGCAAGCTAACGTTGAAACAGGCAGAAAGGAGACTACTACTCCTCTTTTCCATTTTACGATTTCCCGTGAGAAATGATAGACGCGTCGAGGGCAGCCCATGTGGATCTGGCCTTTGTTCCTTTTGCCATTAACCGCCCCAAGATCGATTTTGACGGTTCCAAGGGCTTGATGACGAGAGTAGCAGAAGCTGCGATCTCTGTTAATCTCCGCAGCAGGACGTGATTCGAGAGGCATCGCAGGAGGGCTCTTGGAGGCGTTGGTAAGTCTGTTGCAGATGTCGATTGAGGGGCGGAGGAGGATGAAGTGTGTGCCATCTCTGACCGGGGGTGTTTGAGTGGTGACTGGGCAGGTAGTCGACTTGGGGACTCCAGACCTGCGAGCATGCAGAACTGTGTTGCGTGTTGCATAGAGCATAACCTATTGCGGCCAAGGTTGCATGCTGCGCTGCAGTCAGAGCCACTAGGCCACTAGCGTCATGATCGCCGGAGCGCCGTTGATGACCTCTAGGCGTTTCGAGTTCAGACTCTGATGCGGGTCGCTGGGTGTGGTTTGGGGCAATCAGACCCCGGTAAGACCCAGCTGGTAGGCGGGTCGAGGGGGCTTCTGCTGGAAATTGCAGGGATTCCCGGGAGACGCGAGAGGTCAATGCGCTGCTCCCTTTCCACTTCCCCCCATAGAACACCCTGGGAGACCCTCCGGAAGTTTATTCGAGGAGCGAGTGAAAGACACCATGGTCCATGGGGGCGAGGGGGGTGTTAATTGAATTACCCGCATCCGAAGTATTGAACGAGTACAGCGTAACCACCTCTAGGTACAAGAAACATGAGCTGCTACCTGTGGAGATACCTATAGGTATACAGGCGTAGTACTGCTTTTGTCGTCACGCACCTCCCTCAGCAACCAATGCCTGCTGCTTCTCTCCTGAGCATCGCCTGCCAGCTGACGCGGACTCGCGAGTATACACCGTCCTCTCTGTTGATAGTAGTTGTCCTGTCTGCGCTCACCGATATTCCCTTCGGGCGAGCGGTGTCTTTGGAACTCTCAGCTGAGGAACGAGGGACGAACTATTACAGCAGCAGAGAAAGAGCGGCAGCTACTTCCATGGTTGTCAGACAGTACCTAGTAGTCCATTTCTTTATTTTGTCTTCTCCCATCGTGCTTCCCGTTAGCTCGCTAGGTGATGGTCGATACAAGACAATGCTGCTCCTTGTGGGTGAGCATCCCACCCTATAGATACGAGTAATCAGTTCCAGTCATTCCCGTGGGCCTTACCGTTTTCTCGAATTGCGATTTTCTTCGACCACCACCTCAAGATCATCATTCTGTCGTGACTTGCTGGTCTTGTTCCTTGCTCTCTCTTTCCACCTGGGACCCCGGCCCAGCCCTGTACTAGTATCCAGCCGCTTCATCCCTACGAGTACAACTTCTGTCGCCTCTCCTCCTCCTCTTTCCCTCATCTCCCCCCACCCGGCGACCCATCAGTTGCAGCCCTTGATGCGACAAGCGCTCGCCTCTCTTCAACCTCGAAGCCTCATTCCTTGAACAGCCCCTCCAGCTCCAAGCTCCAACTCCAAGCTCCAAGCTCCCCCCTCCTTCCTTCCTCCTCTAATCAGCGCGCCCTACCGAGCACTTCCGATCTCCCTCAGAAAGCGACATCCGAGACGAACCCAAACCCTGACCTCGGCCACCCGGTCAAATCTTGAACTCAGTCAAAACCCCCTTCTCACTTTCCTTTGCTACGCCTGGTCCCCCGCCGCGCGCCATGGCGCCCACCCAGAGCAAAAAGTACGCCGTTGCTTCGGAGAAATCATCTGGCCCTGCCAATTTGAACCTCAATGTTGCCAGTCTGGGTAATTCGCCCATGCTTCAAGCCTCCGCGCACCATCATGCCCAACAAGCGCATCACTTGGCGAACGCGCGCAACGCCTTCAAGAACAGCACTCGTCATTCTCACTCTCAGCAACAACCTCTGCACAACCTCCCACACGCGGTCGCACCAACCAAAGCCCCCGATCCAGCACCTGGTCCTGGCCCAGTTCCTGGCCCGGGTTCGGGCGTCGGATCTGCTCAAATTCATGGCGCTGGCGATGCTAAATTGCACGTAAGTCATACTCGTTCATCCAGGCTCTGCTTCCTGCTTCAACGTTTTCCTTTCTTCTTTCCGCTTTCCGCTTTTCGCACCATGTCAATCACCTGTCATGAGTGCACTTTCTCCCCCTCGTCAAGGGCACATCCTGGTCTGACCGTTGAAGCCCATCTGGGCCAATGCCGGTCCTCCAATGTGCGGTTAACCAACCACTCCCACCTACAATCTCTGCTTCCTTGGCTGCTACCCTGGTCCTGGTTTCTGGGCCACCTTGACCCCGGTCATCGTTTTCTCCTTTGCTCTATTTTCCGGGCCCTGGTCTGCATCTGCCCAGCCAGGATCCTGACCGAGACCGCGACTGGCTTGATCTCTCTCGGGTCCTGTTTGGCCCTCGGAGAGCTATGATTAGCCCGCTTGTGGCCCCCCTTCCCCCTCCGACCGGCTCTTCAAGCACCAAAAGTGCCAGAAGGACGCCAGCGGTCGACGCTTGGACCAGGGCTCCAGTCCACTCGGTGCAGTGCTCCAATGCTCCTCTCGCTCCCGACTCCACTATTGGCAGGTCTTCCTCCCCAGGACCCAAGGACCAAGCATCCACGCATCCAACCACCGTGGCCAGGTTCTCAAGTCGCCTGCCCGTGCCCCTACTCTTAAGCTCCCGCGCCATCGATCCACTTGATTTGCACGCTACAAGTTTCGAAAGCACGGATCCACACCATCGACTTGCTCTCCTCCATCGTCTTTTACAACGCCCTTGCCCCTCGGCTTTTTTGGCATCATTCCATCTCTTTTACTCTCGCCAAAACTTGTTCTTTCCATTACCCTCCCTCCCCCTATGACCTTGCACCGCCACGTCTGACGCCCACACTTCTTGCGTTTGCCCTTTCCGACAGTCAAAACAACAACCACTGCGTTACATGTCCTGGTTACTTTACAGAGCAACACCGTATTCCTGCCATCCCAGTCTTTCCACCACACACAAGCTTCGACTCCTTGGGCTCAGTTAACGGCGACAATCTCAGTACATGGTATGCTGGTTTCCGGAGACTACAACCCCCCTGCCTGCCCACAATCCCTGGTGGCTGCCCTATCCGTTATCACATGCCCGCCACAACCCCTCCCACACTATTCATTCACCGTTTCGAATCTCCATCATATCCACACCCTGGGCATACCTCAACAACCTCGATCCAGCCTTAAAGCTTTGCCTGTTCGCTGCATGCTATCCTGGTTCTATCTTGTTGCGCGACAAAGCCCTTTGTCCTCTCGTTAAACATCCCCTGGCACCTTGGCCCATGCCCATGCCCTACCTGACTGCTGCTGGCACTGCTTCTACAGGTATGAAAAAATTGTATCAACGGCCAGTGGTCCGCGTCTTCTGAGGCGCGTGTCTCGTGTGCTCCAAGCCTCTCTTCCTTCGCAAACCTCAGGATCCTCGCTTCTTGCCGAAGAGACATTCAAGGATCTATTGAGGTCCCTTGACTCTCCACTATGAACCGGGGGGAATGAGGCTCATTCCACTCACCCACACATCCCCTGGTCTTGGTCAATCAAAATTCGTTGATTTCGACCGGGTTGTGACCGTTATCTGATCATTTTCGTTCTGGCCTCTGTCAAAAAGGCGTTTCCCCTGCTCAAAACATTGTCGCGAATCTGCCCTGTTGCGCTTTGTCGTTGTTTTTCCGCCTCCCGGAGTTGTGCTGACATATGGATTCTCTATGCAGCATCGCACAACACAGCCATATTCAAGCGTTGCTCCATTGCATCACATTCCGCAACAGTCGCAAACAAGGACATTGAGTGGAAGTCAAAGCACGCAGCAACCCTACCCGTCGCCGAATATCTACACGCCTCAACCCAGTCTCCAGTCGCCGTTTCTCAATAGCCAGGCTCAATTCCAAGCGCAACCCGCCCCTGCCGACCCACCGAATTTCTACCCTCCTACGCAAAGCCCACGAAGCCAGCATAGCGGTGCTGGAGCTTATTATCCTCCAGGTGAGTCTGAGACGCGGCCGAAATCGCTGTAGTCAGTGAATTGATCCAGGTCCAGAAAAACCCGATTCTATGGCAGCAACCGCGACCATGCAGAGGCCCTACCCTCCAATTTATCACACTCCGCAGTCGAACTCGCCAGCTTCAGTCACTTCGCCCCAGACTCATGATCCTGCGCGGCCCATGTATGCTCAGCCAGGCTCTCAGTTGAGCCAGCCGCTTTATGGCTATCAGTATGGGATGAATTCGGTACACCAGCCAAACTACGGACAGCATCATGCAACTCCCCAACAACACCAGATCAACTCCCAATCAATGCTACCATATCAATCTACAACTCCGCAGATTGCTCCACCACAGGTTGCGTCACACCATTCCACCATTTCCAGCAGCCCAAGGCTAAAGTCGGAGCCGAACCAGCATTATCAACAGTCTTCCCAGGCGCGGCCGGGAATGCTTCAACAACAGCAACAACATCCAACTCCTGGTTCCCAACCCTCCGCCCTGCCGCAGCAACAAGCACAACAGCAATCCACTCACCAGCAGCAGCAACAGCAACAGCAACAGCAACAGCAGCAGCAGCAGCAGCAGCAAATGTCACAGCAACAGCAGCAGCAACAGCAACAACAACAGCAGCAGTCACAACAAATGCCGCCAAATCTACAGCAGGCAAACGCAAATGCCGCGCCTGGACCTATCCCTGCCACGACACCTTTGAAGGTGCGACAAGATGGGAACGGGGTCCAGTGGATAGCGTTTGAGTACTCCAGAGACCGCGTCAAAATGGAGTATACTATCAGGTGTGACGTTGAGTCAGTGGATGCCACTGTTTTGTCGCAGGAATTCAAGTCCGAAAATTGTGTCTATCCGCGAGCTTGTGTGCCAAAAGAACAGTATAAAGGAAATCGATTGACCTATGAAACAGACTGCAACCACGTGGGTTGGGCGTTGGCAGAGCTGAATCCGTGTCTACGAGGCAAGAGAGGACTGATCCAACGGGCTGTGGATAGCTGGAGAAACAGCAACCAAGATCCGCGATTGCGAAGTCGCCGCGTCCGTCGACAAGCCAAGATGAACAGATCCAAAATGACACCTTCATCCTTGGGCAAGGTGCCTGGATCGAGTGGCGCCGTGTCGACAGGGCTTCCCGGTCCAAACTCAATGGCAGCTCCCCCAACTAGGGCCCCTGGATCTCTGCCCAGTACACAGTCTCAGATACTCCATCACGCCCAGGATGTGTCTCCTACCGGCCATGAGAATGTTGGAGGTAGGTGAATGTTAAAGCCAACGACGGCGCTGCCCCCTCCCTTGACCACGCCCCACACGCAGACACGTCCAAAGTGGACTTTCACATAAAGTTCAACTTTCAGCTAACGTTCCAGCAGCTCCTACCTATAATCCCGCACAACAGACTTATCGACAAACCCCCGTGACCCCGCAAATGACGAGTCCAAACGACTTGCGACAAAGTCATGTTTTCACAGGCTATCCAAGCTACCCAGCTTCTCTAGCTCCTTCTATGGGCCCGTCCATGGCTCCATCAATGCAAGGAGGTCTCCACCATCTCGGACGGCCTGGAGGAACAGCGGCCATGGTTTCAAAAGAACAAGAGGAGAGGAATGAGGAAGACAATGCCTTGTTCGGAGAGCTGCCTGAAGGCAAACGCCGAAAGTTCATTCTGGTGGAGGATACGCAGAAGAATGCCCGCGTGCGAGTCAAGGTTACTTTGGATCAGATCGAGATGAGTGAGATCCCGGACTCTTACCGCAAGCAGAACTCTGTCTTTCCTCGAGCATACTTCCCGGTTCAGATGCAGACTGGTTCCGAGTCGACCCCAGGCGCTCGTTTCGTCGAAGAAGGGGACGAAGTTGATAGTGGTGTGCCAACGATTGGGAAAACATCTGTCTCTGTTCCAACCACAGATGGTGAAGCCGAGGTTTCTGTTCCCCTGATCTCGAGAAGCAAAAGAGGCCGGGAGCAGAAGATCAATGAACTGGGATATCGCATGGCCTGGGGACAGGGCCGAGTCTTTTCGGGCAGACCAATCTTCCTTGCTCGAGCTCGTGAGTGTTTCGCAGGTCGTTAAGGCACTGAAATATTGACGGTTTGCACAGTCGACGCCTATCGCAGCAAGCAACGAAGTGCACTCCTTGCATCCGGTTCCGATCCATCACAAATCCCTGCTCACCTCGAAAGTCGACCTGGCAAGAGGAAGTGGCTCGAACGAACCAGAGCTACGGCGCAAGCACCAACACCGCCAGCCCCCGCTTTGGACTAAACAAGTGACTGCGACTTGGCGAAGCATACCCGCATATTTGTTTTGCACCGTCTAATGATACCCCAGAGTACAGTTTTGTGGACTTGTACATTATTTCAATTCACCCAGGCGATAAACTATGTAATCACGCCGCCGGGCGAGACACGAAAAGTCGGATCCTTGACTCTGTGCGCAATGAGTTCGAAACTTACATGAAGGTGCTGTTTTGTTTGTCATTGGCGGCTCATATGTCGCGATTCGCTTTGCGACCTTTTTCGTTTCGAGAAGAGTTACAGCGAGATCTATCACTTTTGCACATTACGGTTGAGATCCTTCAGGGGAGGAAGAATGGGATACGTCTCATTCCGCACGGACCTGGCTTTAGCACCTTATCATATGAGAGAGCCTGTGGTTTTGGGGGAGAAAAGATGCACGTTGCGTATACCCTTTTGCTTTTTTTTGCTTCTACGAGTCTGTTGCCGGTGACAGGCGGAGGTTGGTTTTCGTGTTTGTCTTATTGCAGAAAGCATACTCAACCAAGCAAGGCATCGACAACGAGTGCGCAGTTTGTTGCCGCCTCCCTGTCACCTGCATTGAGAATGATGCATGGAGCTGGCAGGATGCCTGAGGTGATGGCTTGGGAATGTACTGGGACTGGCACTGGGAAATGAAGGGTGAGCGATTTGCAGCAACGGCCGATATCCCATTTGTTACTTTGATGTCCAGCCTGGTTCTGCCAGTGCAAAGACGGGCGATCCGCAAACGACGATCGGCATTCAATTGGAGGGGCCAGTATCTTGTGGATGCACGCAGCCAGCGATTGAATGGATGGGATTTTGGGAGGCGAGAGCAGCCTTTGTTCATTTGGATGCATTTATGATACCTTTTTCTTCTTTGTTGTTTTGAATACTTTATATTCATCTGGGCGGATTCATTGACTTTTGGGAATTTTGGCCTGGCATGGCCGCGAAGGATGGAAACTTGGGAACAAGAATGGCCATGGAATTGAGTTGGGAACAGGAATATGGTACAAGGGCCATAGGGGAGCGAATCATGACGGGCTTCTGATTGTAGTCCGTGTCTGGAGCTCCAAATGCGCAGGAAGGATAGGCAAGCCAAGGCAAGGCAATGGAAAGGAAAGGCAAGGCAAGGGAAGGGAAGGGCAAGGGTAAGGATGAATCAGTTCAACCTGGAGGAGGAACTTCCGCCAATCACGGATCTTTTTGTTAGGGAGAATTTGGATGGCTGCGAGGTACCCACGAGGGAAGGGAGGATCTGAACCAGGGACAGGGAGAGGGGAGAGGATGGAATATACTATCTACCTAGGTATTGTTCTTGTGTTTGTTGATCGTGTCTTGAATCTGTTCGCGAGCTGTGTACCGAGTATCCCCTTTTCTCGTCCAGAGCCTTATCCGCTAGTTACACTTGTCATGTCCCTTTTTACAGCTGCCTACCTAAGGTGCCTAGGTATCTACTGTAGATACTCGTACAGCAAGTAGTCCTACCTACCAAGGTAGCTACCTAGGTACATACCCCAGCAGGATGTAATAGTATCTCAGACTGTTCTCGGCAAGAATTTTTTCCCAAACCTCCCCTCCCCTCCCACAAAATGTGAAAATTGAAACCAGGCCAAGATATCAAAATACTACTATTGTACAGCCATCTCATTCTTCATATACAGTAGAAGACTATACCCCAGTGACCTCCACTGGTTTTATCCTGTACGGTTTCCATAGACCCTTTGTTGCCAATAATGTACATCCCATTGTGCCTTGGCCCGTGGCTTTTTCCCTTACATCCAAAGACCCAGACATGATTCTTTCAACCGCGTGCCGTGTATACTGTCCGCGTCATCCCATTTATCCGTAACAACCTCTGTCCCTTGCGCCCAGATTGCCGAGCAAATTCCGAAGGCAAGTGCGTATAGCAATGCCGCTCCCGACCGCACATGTCAAGGTGTCCTCCCAATAAAATATACCTAAACCACTGCGAGGCGGATGTCATGCTGCGTAAGACCGTGTCCAACTCGGGCCAGAAAAAAGACCGGTTTATGAGGCGACTTAGCCAACGTCGATCCCCAAAATCCCAAGCCTGCGCCGTCCAAATTTGCATCAAGAGCCAACAGTCTTCCCGCCACAGTCAGGGATTTTCAGGCCCGGCTTCAAATTCCTGCCTGGATCCATGAGACCCCACTTGTCTTCCCACTGTTGGCTGGCGGTATTGTAGATGATCTTCCAAGGCTCGTCAAATGCCTCAAACCTATCGTTCCAGTGTCAGCCCCCATGACCGCCACCACACTCTGGCAGGATGCAACTTACCAAAAATACTCAGTTCCGTTTGCTAATGCTTGGCATACCCAATTGTCCATAAATGTATTCATGCCATCAACGCCAGCGACAGATCCACTCTGCCCCGGCGCGCATGATCCGTCAGTGCCTCCACAGTCCTCTCCACCTCCGCTGGGCCAACCAGTCTCGCTGATGAGTTGCTGGACATTTGGCATCCCTTCAGTCAAGACGGCATCGTGAGTTTGCCAGAAATCCCATGTCCAACTAGCCGCGACCTCTGGCGTGACACCAGCGAAAAAGGGATGGATATTCGACATCACATAATCCACGGCTGTCACAAGTTGGGCGTTCCAGTTGTCTCCGAGATCGGATGTTGCAATGGGGAGATCATAGCCGAGAGACTTGAACTTCGTCCTGACACCGTCCAGAATGGTGATGAGCTGCTGCTCTGACTGTGCTTTGTCCACACCTGCACGATAGAGAGCTTCGTTGCCGACAATGACGCCCTTGAACACTGAGAGGTCTTTAGCTTCCGCCAAAATCTCGTACATTTGATCCAACTGGCGATCAGTGGTCGTCTGATTGGTGTCAATCCAGACACCCATCCAGAGTTTCATATCGGTGAGTTCAAGACGATCGATGGCGTGGAGCACCATCTCGGTCTGATTGCAGTCAGTGCCATAGAGTCGGACGACATTCGTGAGCTGCGACAAGACGGCCATGTCACGTGTGACGTTGTTCTGGGACGGAGGATAGGTGAAGCACAGAGGATATTGTGTCCCCCATGGCGTGTAATCCATGCCTGGGAAGACCTTGTGGAGGTTTGGGTTGTTCATGAGCGCCTTAATCTCTGCCGAATTCTTGTCGAGATCTCCGTTCGCCTCGGTGTCTGAGGCTGCATTGTTGGTGTCGCCGCTGGACGAGCTGGAACTGCCCGAGCTTTTCGAACCTAAAACACCACCCAGAATCCCGCCGATGATGGCTATGACGATAACGAGGCCAATGGCAACACCCACCCACAATTTCATCTTTCTTTTCCCTCTGGTCTGCTCTGACAACCATTCACTTCTCTCGGGTTTAGGAGCTGCACCCACCGCATCGTAGGTCCCGCTAGGGGTATGGTTCTTTGATTTGCGGCCGAACAAACCACCTAGTAAGCCGGCAGTTCCTGCGGCAGCCGCAGTGGTAGCGGCGCTTTTTCCGATGCCTCTTTGCCCGCCAGCTGGTGGCATGCCTTCATCACCGTCGTCGAGGATATTTTCTGGGTTGATACTAGCTTGGGTCATGAAGTCGCCAGGCTTGCTTGGCTGATAGGGAAGATCGTGGTAGCTAGGGTAGGACTGTGACTGGTGGAAGTTAGGTTGATATTCTTCCAAGGGAATGCTTCTGCCAGAGTAGCCAGAGGATCTGGGCCCGGGAGAAGGAGAAGGAGTGATGCTGCCGGGGGTGGCAGCGCCACGGGCAAGAGCGAATGTCGAGCCGTATGAGGTTCGGTCAGGGAACCGTGAGGAGGGTTGTGGTTGTTGGTATGGAGAATAGGACTGAGGAAATGAGCGAACAGGTTCAAGCCCGCCATCGTGAGCATGTGCGACCGGGTTGAATCCCCCTCCTGCTACCCCATTGCCAGAATAGTCCATTCCTGCGGTCGCTTCTGGGTAGGGGTTGGTGGTCAGGGAATCGCCTCTTGAGAGTCTGTTCGGACTAGACCTATGAGGTGGAGGGGGAGGGGGAGGAGGCTCAACGTCGTCGTAGTCTGCAGGAGCTGGCCGTCGTGAAAGCGCTCGAGGAGGCGAAAGGTCGGTGAGGAGATGAGTGTCTTGAGGGACAGGACGTCGACGAGGGGATGTGGGAGGAGAGCGTTGTTGGTTGCGACTCGGGGAGGTAGAGGCGTATCTGGGAGGAGGAGAGACAAGATCCCTGGGTGGAGTGTCATGGTATGGGTGTTGCTGGTAGGGTATGTAAGACAGATGCCCGTGTTCCTGTTCCTGTTCCTGGGCCTGAGCGGCATGTCCGAGCGGGCTCAAAGTGTTGTCATCTTGGGGCTCGAAGGAGAAGTTCCTTCCGCCAGCCGACATTCTCGATCACAGCACAGCGGCTTCCCGAGAAACCACGGAGCAAAGAGGGTCCTCTGTGTCTGAGGTGATATCGCCGGCGGTACACAAGAGTTTGCGGGAGGAATCAATTCAGCGCTTGAATGAGCGCCGAACATGAACGACTGAGGAGTATGTCTGATAGAGTACCGAGAAGGGATTCTAAATTAGCAACAGATGGGTCTTTGAAGCACCTATACCAGAGTGAACCAAGTTGCTGAAGCCGGGCTGAGGACGGGCGCAGCAGTCTGCCCGCAGTTCGTGGTACTCTGCACCGTTTTGGCGGGTACGGAGTATTTGGTAGGTGAAGGGGGGGCGCAGCCAAACAGACACACCGACAAGACACACAAGACAGGCTAACTCGACGTGCAGCTGAAACAGGGAATCGTGGTCAGCCGGAGTGCGGACCACTCGAAAACAGTTAAGATCAATGGTTCGGCCAGCAACAAGGATGCCTCAGCGAGAAGAATAGAAAGACGGGGAAGCTGAGCATTACGAGCACTAATTATTACAATGAATCAATGATTGAATTCATATCCATTTGACCGTTAAAAGTGAGAGCGAACTCCGGCCACGGCCCTGGAACCCGTTGCCTTGTGAACCATCCAAGCCCCCCAAGCCTCAGCCTCACTAGCAGCAACTCTGAAGCCAACTCTTGCTCCTTCTCCAATCAAGATACCGCGATTGTTGGAGCCCCATGCTCCGCTTCGGACAATAAATAACCTTGCTGGTGCTTGAATGCCATGGACGGGGTAACAAGCACATCTGCACGAATGAATCCACCCCTGGTCCATATTTGCCTGCTCCAGTTCTGGTCCTCAGCCCTTGCCTTCAAAATCTGCCTTTACAAGCTGCAACTGTTCGATGGCTGCGTCGGTCTCTGGCTCTCGGTTGTTCGACGCAGGCTCGAGCTGCAGAAAGTTTGCTACCCGCGCCTTATCCCCGAGCTTTGGCACCATACTGAGGTTGTCGGCTGATGCGTTGACTTTTGCCGGCCCTGGCCTTCTCAGTGTCTTCTTTTCCTTCGATGCCGTTGCCTTGCCTCTTTTGCTTGCTCCACGACGCTTTCGCCGAGGCACGTCAGAGTCGCTCGTTGTGTCAGAGGCCGATCCTTCTTCCTCGCTTGACGAGTACCTGGCCAAGTCCAACTCGCCCTGCTTGGCCTGCTCTCGCTCAAGGCCCCTAACACGCTTCGATTGACCGAGTCGTGAGTCATGCCCGCTAGACGATATTGCCAAGGGTTGGCCAACGGCATCGTTCTGGCGACGCTCAATCGGTTCTCCTTTGGTATTGCATAACCCAAGGTTCACAAGTTTGGCGATGTCCATGTATTGGAACTTGGCTTTGCATAGAAATGCCTCGTCTTCTCGGTACCGGCGGTATCTGCAGGTGACCATGCTGACGCGTTGCTCTTGATCCTTATCGATGGTGATATCGTGTGTCTTGCCGTCGTCATCTTTGGGAGACTCCTCTTTGCCTCGCTTCCAGTATGCATCCGAGCACACGCCGCCAGCATCCACCACTCTGACAATCTTAACCTCGATCTCTCCTCGCTTCTCTTCGGCCGCTCCATACAAGCTGTCCTTGCTCATTGCTTGAGTAAGGTCAGCCAATTCCTGCTCCATTGCTGTTGACGGGATATCAGGATCTGCCGTGGAGATGTCCATGCGACCCATCAGAACATCGATCCCTCTCTCTGAAAACACCCATGGAGAGATCGATATGTTTGTCGTCGAGTCCTCGTCCGACCGATCCTGGGTCGTGGCATCATCCGCCAGAGAGTAGCGGCCGTCAAGCAAGCAACCTTTACTACTGTATCCACTGTCCTCGGGATCCACGACGATAACACTTGTGCACTCGGGTTTCTTGTTGCCATCCACATGCACGTAAGCGACATAAACGACTTCGTCCGCAGCTGCTCTTGATGATTCATAGTCCATGCCGTCTCTTCCACCTGCTACCTCAGCTGGTGGCGCGGAACTCCTCAGGTTGTACCTGCTTCTGCCGAGGGGTGCATTGTCCGGGTCAGGGAACGGAGCTTGCGGTTTGATTCGAATGTTGAATCTCACACCGTTTTTGGCTTGAATCTTGGTGGAAATAATCCTCGGGCCCAAAGACCTAGTACCATAATTAGTAAAGGGCACACCGTCGACACCTTCAATCAAGAACTCGAAGCCTTGCGTGATAGGCATCTTGAGGAGGGAGATGAGTTGTGATTTGGGTTGTATGAGGCGTTGTTTGCTGTCGATCAAAAGTGAAAAGTCGAAAGGCGTCGAGTCGAGAAGAGGCGATGCTAAAGTTGTTACTTACGAGGTTCGGTAGAAAAGTACAGGTTCACACCTTTTAACGTAGGTCACTCTCCCAATGTCGCGCTCGGTGCTTTTGCCAACGACACCAAATGATACTGCGCTGCACGGATACGCCACTGCTCAAGCCCTGGTCGCCTTTGTCGAAGACACGACTGCCTAAGCAAATCCTTTCAATGGTTGACCAGGTCTTTGTTGACAGTCGAAGGCATTGGAGCGCCCCTATGGCCGATAGAATGCCTTTTGTCTCTGCCTGCCAACTCATTGTTTGGGACCAACAAAGAAAGTGTAGCTTGCTCTAGGGGCTGTCTTGAACCTGGCCGGATGAAAGTACCTTTGATAGTGCTCATCGGCCGGGAGCTATTTCATAGCCCAAAAGCACCTCGGTCGAGGCACCTTCCCAACCCCGGTTACCCCCAGCAGACAGCATAAACCGACACGCCGGATCAAGATACAGATGTGACACAACCCCAGTCCGATGGCCGGGCACGATCAAGAAGGGGACGGTTGATCGTTGAGACTGTGACTCCTTCAGATCATATAATCGTAATATATCATAGGAAGCGCAGATTAGGTGGCGTCCGTTGGGCATAGCCTTGACTGATGTGACTGCACCACTTCCATTTGGGAATCGGAAAACTCGTTCAGGCCCCTTAAGTCCCTTCCGCAGGTCGTACTCTTCCACAGTGTTGTTTCGCCGTCCTGCATAGATGAAGTTACCGTCAGGAGACCAACAAGCGCTCAGACACCAAGGAGGTGTGTTCCGTGGTAGAATGCGCGCGACTGGTTTGGACTGTCTTCGATCCCAGACGCGGATTGCCCCGTCAATAGATGTCGCAAGAAAAGTGGAGTCAGATGCAGTCGGGGCTTCACTATCCTGCGTATCGTTCTGGGTGTCGTCCTCCTTTTCGAGGTCCTCCGCATGTGGCAAGCCGTTGACGAGCGGCTGCTCAACGGTGTTCGGCTCGCCATTGGCCACTTCGGGGGCGTTTTCAGGGGCATTCGAGTCGTCTTGAGCGGGAGCTGTGGTATCATGAGCAGCCTGCTCCGCAGAATCCAGCATGGGATGATCGACTAGTTCTTCTGGTTGCGGACCGTTTGCCATTGCGCGCGCCATTTCATCATCCTCTTCGCCGAAGGCGCCGTTGAGGTCAGTACCATTACCCATGACTCCTCCTGCTCCGCCTCCGAAGAGGTCGTCGTCATCATCCCCAAATAGAGAATCTGGAGTAGCAACTGCGGGATGGTCTTGGGTATCGCGACTCGGGGGCTCGTTTTTGACACCATTAGTAAGTGGTTTACTGTCGTTGGATGAGAAGGTCCCATTAGTTACAACGACCTCTCCTGATTCGACGGGGACAGGAACCGATGACAGTGGACGAGCTTCGATGGAGGATATCTGGCTGGCGCTGGAGGCGAATGTGGTTCGCACTTGGCCCGTGTTTAAATCCCAGTCCAAGACCGTCTTATCCCAACTTCCGGATAGTAAACTTTTCTCGTCGGAGGAGATTGTAAGAACTGAGACCGCGGACGTGTGTTTCTGCAGCAAGGCGATCTCCCTTCCCTCATCGTGTCTGATTGATTGCAGCCTGATGGGACCTGATGCAGTACCGGATAGCAGCCATAGCGCTTGGCTATGACAAGCAAGGGAGTATACAGGAGATAGCGTCTGAGTGGTATTTGGTCGAGCGTCCCAATTCTCCCAATATGTCATTAGGACCCCGGCTTTGACCACACTGTCGACGAAGGGATGCCGTTGAGCCACCGTAAGGGCGAGTTTGAAGTTGACCGAATCAACCCAATTGAACTTGCGAATATAACCATCAGAGCCCCCAGTAAAGACCCATCGCATGTCTGCAGTAGTGGTGACAGCATTGATAGATGTGCTGTGAGGGGCGGCGATGGTTGGGACGATATCATACGTTAGTGCTTCGAGATATTCTGAGGAGATATTGGATCCGGTTGCCGCTCCTCGGGACGAGTCAACCTGTGTGGACGAAGCCAGTTGAGTACTTTCTTGGGTTGCGTTCTGTTCTCCAGAAGCATCCTCGTTGTCAGATTGCTCGGACTGGCTCTCCGCGTCTTCATCCTCGTCGCCCTCGCCCTCGCCCTCAGCCTCGCCCTCGCCCTCAGCCTCGGCCTCTGCATCAGCCTCAACGTCAGCGTCAGCGTCACCGTCTAGATCTCCATCTCCATCCCCATCGCCATCCACATCTTGATCCCCATCTGCATCGCCATCACCGTCAGCATCTGCTTCCGCATCATCCAGATCTTGCATTGTCTCATCGTTGTCATTGTCGAAACTGCCATCCTGGGATCGGTCGTCGTCTTCGTCAAATGCGGGCATTATGCTGACTCATGGCCTGACAGTGGCAGTGTGGAATGGCCAGGTACTGCTAGAAGCTGCATCCAAGGAACAGTCGTTGAGGCGCATAGATTGAGACTATGAGATGATCTTGAGCTCCGACTCTTGGGGAACTGAATCTCAAAGCAACGGGTTCTCGCGTTTGCACCATTCCATCCAAGGATTAGCGTCTTCGGATAAAAGATTCTCCGATCCGGCGAGCCAGATTGTCAAGCAAGCAAGCAAGTAAACAGTTGCCAACATTGAAAGACTTCAAAGTTCATCATATCTCATATCTGTGCTAGTCGTCCTTTCTGTGAGCCCTTGTTGTTCCCATAATATCGTGTCTCCCCAGTTTTGTATGGGTAATTTGGATCATTGCTAGACTTCTTTGCTCAGTATCAATGCATCTGACGCAGGCACAGCACCAGTACTAAGACTTCTTTTTGCGTCCAGCATCAGCTCAACTCATTGTAATACTACCCTGAGCGGGCAGCTTGTATCCTTTGTTCAATTTTGTTTGACACTCTGAAAGACACTACCTATCTCAATCAGCACAACGGGGTGGCGCAGAACGACTAGACTTCCTCCCGGAACACTTCTCTGACAAGGACAGTTAGCGCGACATATCTGCTTGGGTTTGATGTCTGGGTTGGTGCCTTCTTCCAACTACTAGCATGAAACCTCTCTCCATCAAGCCTCACATGCTCAGGAATCTCCAGATTCTAGACAAGCTTTAGGCTCCCTCTTGCCTTCGAACCGACCTGACACAAAGCCAGCCTGCACATCTCTTTGACGCAAGTCTTCCTCATTGCACACTAGCCTCCTGGATCCATGTATTGGCCACTGTCGACTGTCCACGTTCGGCCTACTTCCTCGCTGGAAGACGAAACCATCTTTTCATTCCACTTCTAAATATTCTCAACAGCTAGCAGATATTGACTCTATCGTGTCTCGAGCACGCCCACGCCCACGCTGACGGCTTCGAAACCATGGCGCCAGGACGGCAATCAACCCACAGTGGACGTGTTCGAGGGAATCACCCCCATGGGAGGAGAAGTGCTGCTGGTATGGCCAACCCGAACCACGGGCCGTTCTCACACCTCAATCACCCTGGCTCCTTCATTCTTCACCGATGACTGACACGCTGTCCAAACAGACAACAACAATTCTTTTGGCTTTCTTGAGAGTGGAGGTGAGTTCAAGACCACAATCAAGCCCCAGCACCACAAAGTTTCCCTTTCCTCTTATTCCCACGCAATTGGAACTTTCTTCAATCCAGCTTGATGGAATAAAACTTGCTGACAACTTTCCAGAAATGAATGCAGAGCTGTCAGAGCGCTTCAAAAGTGCTCGCCGCTATCCAAACACCCACCATGCTCTGAGCAATCCACGTAATGACGGACCCAATCCCACTCTCTGTTTGGACATTCGGGAGTATCACATCAAGCAAGGACAGATCCAGTCCACTTCAGAGAAGGATGCTTGGCTTTCTCAGGACGAGATCCCGACAACGCAGGAGCTGGCAGCTGGCGAAGCCACTCTTCTTCCTAACAAGATTGACAGCCCTTTCAAGAGCAAGGACAGGTACCTGAAAACTCACTATGCACTACTTCGAGAGGACGCCGTCGGTAGCCTTCGTGATGCTATCCAGGATTTCCGTCAGGACCCCGCGACTGGTGACACTACCAAGTTCTCAGTATATGACCAAGTCTACATTGTCGGATTTACTTTTGCGCGTCGAGGAGTGGCTGCCAGGATCAAGTTTACAACGCGTCGGGCAGGAAGACGCATCAAATGGGAGAGCAGTAAAAGACTTGTCAGCGGCAGTATTGTCGCACTCATCCCAGCCAAAAACAAAGTCATGGATTTGAATGACATAGTTGTGGCTGTCATCGCAGCAAGGCCGATGGCCGGGTTGATGTGTGAACCTCCGGAGATCGACATCTACTTCGCTCGCCCGGAAGAAATCCAACTCGACCCCCAAAAAGAGTGGCTCATGATTGAAGCAAAGCAAGGATATTTTGAAGCGTACCGCCACACATTGAAAGCCTTGCAAAAGCTAAGCCAAGAGACGTAGGGTCTTTTGACGCAAAATTGGCCTCACTTGCGCTAACATCTCCTAGATTCCCCATGTGCGATCACATCTGCCATCTTTCCCCCTGTGTCCAAGCACCTACCTACATTGATGAGAATCCCACTCTCGACCTGAGCGTAGCTGCAATCCCAGCGCAGAAGCAAGAATACTCCAAAGTCGACGTCACCAAAGATTGGCCTTCAGCTCCCGCCCAATCACTGGATGCTACGCAATGGGAGGCTTTGAAAGAGATTCTGACCAAGCGCCTAGCCATTGTCCAGGGACCACCTGGGACAGGAAAGACATATGTCTCGAGAATAGCACTTGAGATTCTGCATGCGAATCGAAAGACCGCATCAGACCCACCCATAGTCATTGCTGCTCAGACCAATCACGCTCTAGATCAGCTTTTGCAGCATATCTCGGTCTTTGAACCCAATTATGTTCGACTGGGGGGCCGTTCTACGAACCCAGAGGTGCAGAAGCGGGCTTTGTTCGCAATTCGGACTGCCGAACGACTGAAGGCGATTCCGGGTGGAATGTTAGGCAAAACCAACAACCTGCTCACCAAACAAACAAACACCATGATTGGGATCTTGGAACCTTTTGTTATGTCGGGAGCAGACCCATGGTCCACGGACCAGATTTCTGGTCCCAAGACCCTCGAAAATCTAGGAGCTATCAGCGCTCAGCAAGCCCAGTCACTGGAAGATGGCGCGTCTCAATGGGTCTCGGCAACCACCACAGTAGAAGGCCCCATACAATTATGGTTGGACAAAGCGCTCGTGCCATTCGAGGTCAACTACACAAAAGAGAATTATGGCTTCGAGGAAATTGAGGATAACGATCTCGAATTCGAACAGCTCAGAGAAAATGAAGACTCTACTGGAGTCAATGATGAGGAGGACATCGAACTGCTAAAGGGTCCGTGGAAAGAGCTTCGTGACAGGTTCACCGTTCAGCCTCCGTCGCCAGCGGATCTTAACAGAGCCACAAAGTTGCTGGATACGGTTTCGGACTTGTGGAAGATCCCGTCCTCCTGGCGTGGTCCTGTTTACCATGTCATCCAGTCACGAGCGAAGGACGCAATTGCAGCCAAGTTCCGGAAGGAAGCTGCGGTCTACGCCCAACTCGTGAAAGAGAATCTTGTTGGAAAATGGGAACAAGATATCGTCTATCTCCAAAGAGCCTCTATTATCGGCATGACAACCACTGGTTTGAGCAAATATAGACCTCTCGTTTCAGCTCTTAAACCAAAGATTATCCTCATCGAAGAGGCGGCCGAGGTGCTGGAAGCTCCTGTCACGGTCGCATGCGTGGAAAGCCTTGAACATCTCATCCTTGTCGGAGATCATCAACAGCTTCAAGGTCACTGCAGCGTCAGAGACCTTGAAGGCGAACCTTTCTATCTGAACGTCTCACTGTTTGAAAGACTTGTACGGAACAATATGCCGTTCAAAATGCTGCTTCAGCAGCGTCGAATGATGCCCGAATTTCGCCGACTCATCTCCGTCCTATATCCACAACTGATGGATCATCCTAGTGTCGTCGACCGCGCCGTTAAGTCATGGGGCATGGGCAAGATCACATCATTCTTCTTCAACCATGAATGGTGGGAGGCCAAAGACGAATCTCTCTCGACATACAACTCGGAAGAGGCCAAATTTATTTCTGGGTTCTACCGTTACCTTTGCAGAAATGGCATCAGCCCTTCGCAGATCACCGTGCTGACCTTTTACAACGGACAACGCAAACGCCTACTTGTTGAGTTGAAGGCCTTCCCTGAACTTCAGAGTGCCGGTAAGATCAACGTGAAAACGGTCGATTCGTGTAAGTAGGATTCCCGTACAGCCTCGCTTTTGCTCTCCAGTCTATGTTTTGGTGTTTTTTTTGGGATGATAGAGGCTGGGTTTGGGCACTTGTGGCCTGTCACCCGGGGCCCATCAAACTTTAAAACCACTGACTTCATCGGTGGCTTGATTCTGACATACTATAGACCAGGGAGAAGAGAACGACATCGTCATCCTGTCTCTGGCCCGAAACAATGAGGAGGGTAAGATCGGCTTCTTGTCCAACGTCAACAGAATCTGTGTAGCTCTTTCACGGGCAAAATTCGGCTTCTACCTTTTTGGAAACGCTAGAATACTCATGAATGGGAGTGTTCAGTGGCAGACCGTTCTCACATTGCTGGAATCAAATCCCAAGCGACGGGGCGATGTTCTCCCTATTCAGTGCAAGCGCCATGGCAGGACAACCTTGATGAAATATCCGGCAGACTGGGAGAGCAACGAAGGGGGTTGCATGCAGCCTTGTGAGACAATCCTACGTTGCGGTCACCGTTGCCCTCATCTCTGTCATCAAGAACCTCACGACGAAGTCCAATGCACACGCGATTGTCACAAGACGCTGCTATGTGGCCACGGGTGTAGCGGCCAATGTTCTCAAGAATGCTTTTGCGTTTGTGAAGTGTTTGCCAACTCCAATCAAGCCGAAGCGATGGCAGATGGGCATGTTGGATTTTTGCCCAACCCGACTGGCGAGAGGGGCCACAAACACGAGGAGATATTGGGTTCACACATCAATGGTCAGAAGCTCACCCTTAACAGCAGCGCGTCTTGCTTACCTCTACAGGGTCTTCCGATCGAGACTAGAAATGGTATTGACCCACGCCGTACCTTAGCATTGGCCCCTTCCATTGCATCATCGCCACCGACGTGGCCTGGACAGTGGAAAACCGGTGACCGAGGAAGCGCAGCTTGGGGTCTGGCATCACAAAAGACTCCTAGGACTAATTCTTCATCTCCGCGAAAGCAGGGTGGGCTTCGGGAGGGCTGGAAAGACTTTGCTAAGGGAGGTTTTATCGCTGATGACGAACGTCTAGATTTACTCACGTCGCAAACATTGCCTGACCAGCAGCGAAGCGGATCTCTCGGAGTCGACACGGCTCTATCTCCAAGAGCCCGATGTGAGCCTCAGGGAAGCTTTCAGGGGTTGTCAATCAAGGAAGAAGCTGTTGTCGCCATAGAAAACGGCAGGACAAGATACCTGCACAAATTCCAGCCGCAATCGGCCCACAGCAGAGATTTGTTGCACACCGGGGCTCTCGGCAGTCAATTCAAAAACGACATCCGCACTGTCGAACAAATGTACCCATCCTCAGATAATCAAGGCGTGGCAGGACTAAGCATTGCCACGGGGCGCAAAGAACCGAGCACTCCAGGACCGAAACAGCAATCGACAGAGCATACCAGACAAGCGAAGACGGCGAACGATATTCTCAACGACTTGAAAGAGATTGATGTGTATTTCCAGAAACCTTGAACCTTGATGTGTCGGCAATGACAAGGCCATTGTCCCATGGGGTTTGTTGTTGGAGTAGACGCGGACGACGCTGCAAGATCTTCATGGACAGGGGCGTTGCAGGGGGTTCGGGACTGGCGAGCGCGGCAGACTAAGAACATGTCCCTCGCAGTCAGTGGACAATATCCAAGGAAGAGGGCATAAACTGTCGTTCATTGTGTTTTGAGATGAGATATGAACGACTGAGCAGGAAAAAAGTAATCATGCTTGCCCATGGCATTGAGCGATGGAGTATCAGCAGGAAAAGTCTAGACTTGTATGCGAATACATGCTTTAATTTCATTCGTATTGGCTTTCATCAAATCATGGAGCTGAATTTGACAAGTAAATCTACATGGGTATTAAAGAGTCTTCGACACGCTTGCTTTGTGCAATTGCGCTGACCTAGACAAAAGGGGTCCGTCCCCCTTTCCCCAACAGCAGGCACGCACGCGGGAGACGACAACAGTTTCAGACGTGACGTCCATTTCGACACAGCTGGACATCAAAAAGCAGATAAATGCTTTGAGTTTTGCTTCACAGAAATTGGTGCGTGCCCCAGTGACGAAAGCTGGGATATGGTTTCGTTTCGTCGTGACCACCCGGACCAGGAACCCGAACTCCCTCTGCCATCCCGACAGCCAGATCCGATCATTCCCGCCTTCCTGGTCGCTGTAAATGCGCGCTAAGATGTAGGAAATAATCATCATTCCATTCGTCTGCTGTGGCAGCCTCGGATGCCGTCAGCCCCTGGGCTGAGGTCGCGACTTTGAGTGAACGATGCCTTTGACCTTCAATTCCGACTCCAATGCTGTAGGAGAGCGGTGGATGCGTACGCTCTTTGTGATCGTCCTGGGTGGTCCTGGCGAAGTAAGAGGCTACCTCGCTATTCCCACCCGCCAACCCCGATATTTTTTTGGTTTTTTGGAGCCTCCTCAAAGTCACAGTAAGAGCAGCCCTAACGTCACGGCCAGTGCAGTGCTCAAGTAGCTATATCGGCTGGTTGACAGTTCTATCGAGTCAGATGTCAAGGAAGAGGTTGTAAAGATCAGATCGCTCGTAATCTGACTCGAGTTGAAGCAATTGCTTGCATTGACCTCGGGGACGTCTTCGGGTTCGGCAAAGGTAATGTCGACACAGTTGTACAGTGCGGCGCCATGAACGGCAGCCTCGATGAGCTGGATTGTTGCATTGTCTCCGACGTTGACGGTGACGTTGGCAGGGAGAGGGACTTGGGGGAAGCAGAAGGTCCCTGGGTATGGATCTTTGGTGGGCCCGATGATTTGGACTCCGTTGAGCATGACGAAGGACATATTTGGCGGGGTTGTCCCCAGACCGAGATTGATGTAGATAAAGGCCGTTCCGTGGCCTGGGAACCAGCCTGGCTGGAATGCGACTGCCCCGCCTTTTACCGGCCATTTGGTACGATTTTGAGAGGAGGGCATACCGCCGCCTGTAAGAGCAAGTCAGGTCAGAAAACGCTGGGGACGAGGGTGAAATTGTCAGGAAATACATACAGGGATACATCCATTGCATTCCATAAGGGTAAAGATAGTCTTGTTCTGCCGTAGAACCTCCAATTGCATATTGTCCCAACCCATGTGTCTCTACTGTCGTGCCATTCGACTTCAGATTGTCTCCCCTCCAACCAGGATATGTGATAACCGTGTGCGCAGAGACGAGGCTGAGAAGCGAGAGGAGAACAAGTGCCATTCTCGAGGTCGATCTGCAAGGCATCCTGACAAGGTCCGTCTTTTGACGTCGGCTTACTTCTTGGGAGTGCAGTAGGGACGATGTCGAGACGAAGATTGCACAATCAAGTGTTCTTCAAGTGTTGCTGACTTGGTGGCCGATATGGTCGGGAAGGATCTTGAAAGGCAAGGCCAACTGAGGTCGCAGGTGGGGAGCTTTCTGTCGAGATGGAAGACCATCGAGGAGCCATGATTGTCGAGCGCATCGGATTGTTATTTAGGTCTTTTCCCCTGTGGCCAGGTCGGCAGGTAGGGATGGGGAAATGCAGGGCATGATTAGGCCAGACGGGCAACCGCCCAGAGAAACGCCGTGACTGGGCTCTTGGGAGGTGAGAATTGTCGGTATGGCGAGCTGTGAGTGGTTTGTGAGGACGGGTGGCACTTTTCGGAGCGTGTCAAAGGGAGGATAGCAGGGTTGACAGGTCTGGAACAAGTGTGATGGCGGATCTGATTCGAAGAGAGCAGCAGCTGGTAAAGGTGCGTCGGTAGGCATCGATTGGCCAGCAGTGGACCGAGTGGGCAAGTGGTGGACAGAGCCACCCAAGAGCTGGATAGAAATCAACTTTGCTAAGCGCCGAGATGTGACAGGGATATGGAGATGCAGGTGTTGGTGTTGGTGGCAGGGGGTGGGCACCCTAGGCACCACGGGCACCAGGCCACCAGGCCACCAGGCCACAGGGAGCTATCATGCCCTATCATGCCATCACCGGCGGTGTTTCCCTTCCCCGCCTAGGTACCAAGTCAACCATCAAGTCAACCACTTTCGGAGTCTCGCCTCGGCTGATCAGCACAGGCACCGTGACACACAGGTGACTCTCCCTTATCTCAACACCAACACAGCTCAGGCGGTTGCACAGATTGCACTGCACTGTGCCAGTCAAGACTCAGGAGACAGACTTTGGCAAGCCGCCACCAGTCAGTCACTTCGACCCGAAGGTGGGAAAACAGCTTTTCTTAGGTCTTACTCTGGACCAGCTTTACCAAATGGTGGGCCTGACGCTGGTGCTTCCGCACGTCAATCGATCCTCGTGTTGCCAAATGTTCCTTGGTTAGTAATAAGTGAGTTTTTGCTCGTCTTCGCAGTTGCTGCCGAGTCCGACTTTGCTACATTTGGACTGTGCCTTGATTCTCTATGGAATCTCCTTCCCTCCGTCCTGACGAGGCTACCACGCTCTTTGTGACCACCCCATTCAGCCTCGCCTTCGCCGTCCAACGTGATGATCAACAGAAATCCTTGATACGGGTCGTTGACTCGGGTTTCTGAGTGCCTTCGGGATCCATTTCATCACTGAACATCGCTTTTAGTCCGCTTCTCTTCGTTTTTGGCGATATGGCTCAAGTAAGCCAGTTCGAATGCCTCCGGACGACTGCAATGCCGACCTTCGCCGTGTTGCTTGTAAACAAACTGATGTAAATTGGTCCTGGCTTACAAATAGACAATTCCGCTGGAAACTTCGAGTGTGCAAACCTGTCTATATATTGTGTTGACTCGATCGCAGGAGGTTGCTGTGAACAACAATCATCAATCGGCCATCTCAGCAACATCACCTCGACACCAGAACTTCCGAGAACAGACACTAGGCAACAAATCTGCAAACTCTTCTAGATCAACATGCCATCTTACTTGGTGACAGGCGCCAACCGTGGCCTTGGAGTAAGTCAGAAACCAAAACATTCAGACCGACATTACTGACTCCTCTGCAGTATGGTTTTGTGAAGTATCTGGCCAAAACTCCAGAGAATGTCATCATCGGGCTTGTCCGAGACAAAGCTGCCGCAGATAAGTCTGTTGCTGCAGATGGCCTCAAGAACGTCACCATGATCCAGGCCGAAATCGCCGACCACAAGTCGCTGTTGACCGCCAGAGAAAAAGTGGCTCAAATCACCGGTGGCTCCCTTGACTATTTGATCAACAACGCGGCGCTCATCGACACAACAACTCAGGGCAGAGGACTCGACGACTTCGAAGATGCACCCGAAGTCCTGGACAAAGGCCTAGTCGACTCGTTCAACGTCAATGTCGTGGCAGTGATCCACACCATCAACGTCTTCCTCCCGCTCATCAAAAAAGGATCTGCAAAAAAGGTGGTCCTCATCTCCAGTGGAATGGCTGATCCAGATCTTGTCAACTCAGGGGTCTTTGCCGATGGGCCTTACACCATCAGCAAGGCTGCAGCAAATATGGCGATATTCAAATACAACGCCAAGTACAAGAAGGAAGGCATTTTGTTCTTTGCCATCTCGCCCGGCGTCGTAGCAACCTGGCCGGAGGGAACACCAGAGCCTCCAGTGATCGAATCATTCAGGCAGGGGAATCCGGGTTGGAAAGGACCTCTGACTCCTCTGGAATCGGCCGAGGCTTGTCTGAAGGTGATACATGATTTCAACGCCGAAGAAAATGGTGGCGCTTTTGTGTCTCACTGGGGCAACAAGCAGTGGTTGTGAGGTTGTGGGACAATACCTCGTAGTTTGAACAAAATAGACACAAGCCTCATTCCTGAGCCTTGCCGGTTGATCTTCGGAAATACCCTTGATAATTTCCTTGAATTCATGCACCAAGTAATATCTCTGTCCAGGATGTAGAAATGTTCCACAGGTCTGTACAATTCTCTGGCACGAGACCAGATCCACTCGATATGCAAGCGTGGTCTTTGCAGTCAGGAAACCATATGCAGCCCTCTTTAGACCGGCCCAGCCTGCACTCACCCAGAGATTCCCTTCCCGCGCTTTGCTGCCCACGAGGCCACTTCATCGGACTCCCACCTTGAGGTTCAGCTCATAGGCGTCGCTGACGCAATGCCTCACACAAGCCGCAAGAAAAAGGGTCACCACAGCAAGAGGAGGGAAATTGTGGACAATGATGGATGGACGAGAATCACCTCCAGTTCTTCAACGCCTCTAACAATCGAGCTAGACCCAACCAAGAGCGAGCCAGAGCAGGTCCCAAAAGGGAGTACTTGCGCACCCAGTCTTGCGATGGACCTTCCAGTGCTCCCGCCTCCAATGCCAGCTGCCAAAGGGTCGACGCTTGAGACTATGCGAGCGCAGTTCGCCAGGATTGAGGCGAGATGGCGAGAAACAGACCTATGCAAAAAGCTTGAAGAAATGCTCAGATACAAGATCTTGACCGGCGGCTGTAACATCTCTTACTGTGCTGTCTTTGGGACAGGCAGCTTCTGCGGTGACGCGGTTCATTGGATTGACAGACACGAGTCGGCCTATTTCCAACTGGCGGCTTTCCAGACTGTGGTCAAGTCGATAGAACGAATGCAGGGGCATGTTCTGCAAGTTTATGCCCAGGAACCGTACTATAACGAGCTCGATGCTCTTTTCCTGGCCGGCTTCAATATCACGAAAGTTGATCACCCAAAAGGTTTCGAACTGCTTGATCGGGATTCGTTCGCCTACTCCCCGGCTGCGGAGGCAGAGGTGGAGCGCCAGATCATATCTCGCGCTCCACAGATATGGCTACATAGGTCGATCGACCACTCCCTTGAAGGGGACAAGAGCACAAGCTCTGAAACGAGAGACCAATTCAAAATGAGCCATGAGCACGCGGTTCTGCCTGAGCTGGACCTCAAAAACTTCCCGTTCCATGGCTCGGTGCTCTGGTGGCGCAGGAATGATGACAGGGATGAGTCTATGCAGGCTTCATGAGACCTTCTATCCATTCATACCCGAACTATTTGATGTCTGCGCTTTGGACAACTGTTCCAAAAGCATCGTTCAACTCCCTTAATACTGTCTCGGTGACCTCGGCTCCGCTCAACCCGGGTATCTAGACAGAGATTAGAGATGATGTTGGACGAACAGGAAGGCAGCCTGGGTGAAAGGCCACAAGGAAAGGATTGGATCCCAAGAACAAACTTACGTCTCGGTCACCAATGGCATCACTGGCCAAGAGGACGTTGTATCCCAAATCGTTACCAGCTCGGGCTGTGGTGCTCACACAGACATGTGCCATGTAACCCGTCATGACCGTCTTCTTGCCCCTCTCCCCCAGACTCGTCAAGTACTCGTGCAAATCCGTGCCGGCAAAGCTGGAAATAGCTTCCTTCCAGACGACCTTCTCGCCGGGACGGGGTTTCAACTCGTCGAATTCCTCGGCCAGAGGCGTGTTGGGTGTAAATATCGGGGCACCCTCTGGAGCCTTGTGGACGACGTGCACAATGTTCTTCCCATCACCTGCCGCACGGTACTTCTCCAGCAGAGAGGCAATGGCCTTGCGGCTTCGCTCTGCGTCGACCACCTTCAGATTGCCTTGGCCGTATCTGAGCCAGCCAAAAGTCAGGATGTCAGACCCGTGCCGGAGGGAAAGAAAAGTAGATGGGGCTGTTAGAATTGGGGGTTCAGTGGGTTTGCAGGGAGGTGATTGTTCAAGCATACTCCTTTTGCGCATCGATGATGATCAGCGTGCTGTCGCTGGGGGACGCAGTGGCGGGCGCAGCGCCGGTGATCTCCCTGAGAGATTTGACTTGAGTCGCTGAGGCCATGGTGAAATGCTGACTTCTGGACCTGGAATTGTGTTTAAGAAGATGGCCCAGTAATTAGTCGACGGTCGTCGCAGACAAAGAAGTGATGGTTCAATAGTTGTCTGCCAACGCAAGAGGAAGGGAGCTACGGCCAATGGTGTTTATATATTACATTCTCCGTCCGCCCGTCGAATCATGGGGATTGGAATATCGTAATAAAGATCCTACAAAGTTTGCCCTTTCGTTCGCTCCACTTTTGGATTCCTAAATTCTGGGGGGTTTTACCATCGTCCCTTTCTCCACGCTCGCTTGTACTCCGGAGGACAATTGGCACCCCTCCTCCCTCACACCGTCATTGTCATCGTCCTCGGTGGACGTGCTGTAATAACTGACTAATTAATTATCAGGTAAGTTTCCTACTCGGTAGTTGATATAGTTATTAATGTATCATCTTGTTGCAGGTGAGATTTAGAGCAATGCGGCCGAGTTGGGCTTCGGACCGAGTACAAAGTCCGGTTATGTACCAGCTCGCCAGATTTGCAGTACGAGATACGAAACAGATCGTGGGGGTTGGTTCGTGTTCGGCGCTTAAAGGTCTGATTCGCTCCCCTCGCTGAATTGGCCTTCCTCATGCAGACCTCGATGCTTCAGGTACGGAGTTTCTTCACAGGTCGTCTACCCCAGCCTGTTGGACAAACGAAAACCTCAATTGCCGTTTACGATTTGATCATAGAGACCTGGCAGGACTCTAACGGGGTCACTGTAAACCTTGACCCAGCGCTCCCTAGACCGCACACGGAGTTACGACGTCAAAGGTTCCCAAGCTGGCCCCCAAAGTGACCGGCTCCCCCTGTCTCTTAGCCAGGCACCAGTCGCAGGTTGGTCCGCCATCCTTCGGGAACCTGGTACAAACTCGAAAGGTACCTAGGTGTCAAACGAGTAGGCGCCGAAAGAAGCGCCACTTTTGCCTCAAAGGCTACCTTCTTTGACCCGGATAGCAATCTGCCCTCGCCTATCTGAGAGTACAAGAGAAACCAGCGCGCCAGGGCCTCCTTGTGCCTGTCCTGCAGCTACAAAGGTGGGCAAGAGGGTGAGCGCCATATCAAAGCTGATAATCGCAGCGCGGGCGAGATGACTCTTTGACACAGGGGCCAACATTTTCAGACACCAATTCCACGCATTCAAGACACCATGATGCCTGGTCCATGGGCCGTGGGCCATGACCTGGGGACATGGCGGCCGTTGTCGTCGCATCCAGCAAGGTGCAACACTTGGCCGCTCGAACGCCTTGCCGCTGCCTGGATTTTGTTTCCGTGCCCAATTCCGCAATCCTACGAGGCCGAATTCCTTGTGCTACCATGACCTTTATGATGATCTCCTCGTGTCCTACCGATTTTATGTCCTCTTGATTGCACTTTTCTGGCTGCTCGTTGTTCATTCAGGCGTTGTTCCTCTCTGTTCACCTATACTGTTTGCTCACCAATTCTTGGTCAGTGACATGGTCAGGGAAATTCGGCAGATGGGTATTCCCATGTTAACCTCAGTATGTACATCTCCGAGTCTCCCTGGTACTGTAACTGACAGGGAGTAGCCAAATTTGTATTTCCTGAGCACCAAGCTGTGGCGCAATTTCTTAAGCAAAGCGAGCGGCTTCATTCGACTGCCAGATCCTTCTGTCATTTTGCACCTGTCCGCTTTGATAGCGTCTTCGATCTTGATTGGGCTTAATATTGCTCAATACTTCATCGGCAAAGAGCTCCAAGGCAATATCAATCAGGATGGCACAAAGATGCTGGCATTGCAAATTACAGCAAAGGTCCACGAGTTGCTCATGCTTGCCTCGCTCAGTAAAATCCTTTGGTCCTTTGTGCTGGATCATCTTATTACGTCCTCTGGCCTACCACTTTGTACCCTCTCGGCAGGAGATCGGTTCGGCGACATCTCATATTTATGGTCACGGGAATTTCGGACCGCCCTGAGAGCTTCTTTCCGGGGCAAAAACATCATTCTTCCTCTCGCCGTTGTTTGCACAATTCTTGGTATCATTGTGGGACCTGCTTCCGCAACAGCAATGGCTCCCAACCTTCAGGATTGGCCCGCTGGACAAATTACTATTCCGTTGAACCTTTCCCGAGATAGAGTGTCCCCCATGATTCTCGATCAAGACTCAATGCCCGATATGAAGTGCACAGAATTATGGCAAGATTGCAACCCCAGTAGGACATGGTCCCCATTGACAACCAACTTCTTCTCCTTCTGGGGTCAGACGGGGTTTGACCGTCTCCAGGGTATGCCTGAGTTGGTCAATCTACCCGGTAGTCAAGCAGTCCGAACATTGCGAGCGCGCTTCCGTGGACCCTTCAGCCTTTACCAGCCCCAGTATACTTCAGCCACCGTGCAGCCAGTCTGGGCCGCTAACAAGGTGAATGGCCTCAGGTTATTATGGTTTCGCAACAATGATACAAAGTGCCATCGAAGATATGGGGGATATTGCAATTACAAAGACATCACATGGGCGATCCCGATTCTACAGCCAGTGGTGCGGACATTGTGCGCCCGTGCCCACAATATCTCAGAGCTTCTATTTCCTATTATGGTTGAGGATGTCAATGTTCAAGCAGGAAGCTCTCTGAATACACGGCCTCTTGGTCAACTCACTACACCACCGTTTCAACTGACCGCGGTTGGCAACAACTCATCCTCTCAGACGTCTGTCGGAGCACTCGTGCAAGTATCAAACCCGAACGGCACCGACCCATTGTTTTATACATGCAGTATCCATGCCGATTGGGCGACATCCAGCGTCTCGACTACATTTTTAGGCTCGCCATTCGTGGTCGATGGTTATCCTCCAGACTTTTTCGAGCCAAACTCAGAAGGCAGTACATATTCTGGCACGCGGATCCAAATCAACCCATCATGGGGTGCGGCGTTGAATCCAGTTGTTGACAGCATCTCGAATAAAACAGCCTTTGACGTCCTCTACTCTGCCGGGTATATGCCTATAACCAGTGCCGATGCGCAGTCGAAAATCGAGGCCATTCTAGCCGTGCTCATCGCCGAAGGCATGTCATGGATCGGGTCAGAAGCAGACGTCGGCACCGGAATCTCCGAAAACAACTTGGCCTCAATGACGTGGGATAAGCTTCCTCAGCTCGAGTCTGTCCCCGATGCCCACAGATTCACCTTTGCGACCTCTGTTCTCGGCTACGGCTATGGGCTGCGCTCTGGTGAAACTTACTCCGTTGGCAGACTGCTGTCTTTGCTGACACTGGCCCTCTACTGTACAGTTGTCACAGCGTATTTGATCATGCAAGTCGCAGGTAGCCGGCCACGTACGCCGGTCTGGGACAATATGCTTCAGATGGTGTCGCTTGCGTTGCAGAGCCCATTAGCCACCACTAGCCCGTCGAGTATAGGAGACTCGAAAGGGAGGGCCCTCCTGAGAAGAAAAGTGAGGATAATCTTGCGCAACGGTCATGCTGGAATGGTGGTGGAAGGACATCAAGGGCAAGGCTGCACGACCAAGTGAGAGAGCAGACGGGGAGGGTTCACATTTCGTTGGCCACCAATTTTGAATAATACCATCGGTACAGCGACGTGGATTTGTATAGATTGTATATAACTTACGGACCACTATGTATATGTGTATATATATACCTAGGTATATAATATCGCCGTGTTCAAGTGTCGTCATAGACAAAGCCTCGAAGAGCCACAAGTGCCACACTAATCCTTATTCTTTGGACGGATGTGTTCCGAGCCCCATAATTATTACCGCAAGAGACACATTCTCCCTTCTTTAGATTGCTACATATGCAAGGAGTTACTGGAGTCTTGATGAGCACCCCTGTCTCTGCGACCACAGAGGTAAGTCCCATGACCAAGTGACATGAACAAGTGACATGAGATGAAAGCACAATTCACTTCCCATTTTCCTCGTCCTTTTTTTCTTTCTCCCCACTTCCAAAACTATTCTTCTCCCTTGGTGTTATGAAAGAGAAAGCCCGCCCAGATGCCCCCCCTGCCCGTGACAATGCGCAACAGAAAATCCGTCCTTTGCGCCGTGGGCGTGCTTACCATGCTTTTATACATTTTGTATCATACGTGGACTTCCTCACCGCGCGGCGGCGTCTTGCCGCCCATGCCAGGGACGTACCAATACTTTCACGAGATCAACTTCGAGTACCACACGCACAGTTTCGGCGCCATCAGTCATTGCGATCCGAGATTCGCCCCGTCAGAGCCGCCGGGCGTAGACGAGACGAAAAACTCGCTTTTCGCCTTGATGGAGACCTATGCGCGCACAATGACGCATCTTCGCGCCGAGACTTGGATCGCCCACGGGACCCTACTTGGGTGGCACTGGAACCAGAAGTTCTTGCCCTGGGACAATGACATTGACGTGCAGATGTCGTTAGAGACACTGGCGGCGTTGGATCCTTACAATATGACCGAATACCGGTATCCGGTTGCTGGGGAAGACTCTCCAAGGACCTATCTTCTGGACATCAACCCACACTACGCCATCGCGTCGACGCGGGATGTTGCAAACAAAATCGACGGACGTTGGATCGACACCACGAATGGGAAATACATCGACATCACTGCCGTGCACGTCAGTCCTGGCAAAACGGAACACACACCCTTCGATCAGGGCGTGGTCTTTTCCAAAGACGGCCATCGATATCGGGTACGTAGCAAAAAGTCCTCTTTCTTCCAGGCAAAAACTGTTGATGAAAAATTGCAATCTTGCTGCTAACCTGTCTGAGGCTTTACAGAGGGAGGATCTGTTCCCATTACAAGATGCGACTTTTGAAGGCATCGCCGTCAAAGTGCCGCACGACTCGGTCCAGATTCTCGCCCAAGAGTACGGCAAGAAGTCCCTCACCAAAACCCGGTTTCACTGGCACCGATTCAACAAGGTGACGAAACTGTGGGAATTCGAGTAGTTCATTGTCAAGGGCCGCCGGCGGGGTCAATCCACACCACCCGATGCAAAGCTTTCCATCAAACACAATGCATGAAGCTCGATAGTTTGCCAAACGGAGCACGCGTGCAGGTGTCGGTGCATGCCAGCAACTGGCGACCTCAAGCAAATTTGGATGATGGGAAATCATGGCGAGCCCATCCAGGCGACACACATGCCTGCCTACACTGCAATCCTTCCAGCGAACAGCGCAACGTGTGTCAATTTGCGTTGCTCAAGCGCGTCACACAGGTGCCCGTCTCGATGCAGGACTTTCTCCTCTGAACAACTTTTTTCGGATGCTGTACAAATCACAAACACGACTACTATACAGAGATCAGGTCCGAAATGGCTCTCGTCTCCCTAAGGGACCTGCAGGATACATCATGGCGCGGACAATACTTGATCAAACCCCTTCCCCTCTGTCAGCCATACGCTTGGTCCACGCGGACAAGTTGCCCCAGCGCCGGCCGCCGGGCGCGAACACTGCCTCGACCGATCAGACTTTTTCGTTGGAGCCCGTTCTACGACGCCGCGGCAGCACTCTGACTCGCTCGAGAGACGGGCCTGGGAGAGAGGAACTGGTCCCAAGGCAGGCCTTGGAATCGGGATTACCTCGCCATGTCCACGGGCTGTCGCGCCACAGGCCGCTGGAGCTGGGTGTTGTCTGGGTTTCCTGGCTCAATGGATGTCTGATAGACTGGGGGAGCGCTTCAAAACATTTCCAGAATGGGGGTAGCCCGTGCAAGGATCAGATGTGAACCGTAAGAGTCTACCGAGTACCCAACCACATAATATTATCTAGGTTTCCCAGTGGGAGCGATCATGTATGTTGAACGCCTTCTTGATATGAACATGACCACCTGCAGTGATTTGAGTAGGTGCATACGCGTGCATGCATGTACCCTACAGTACAGACGCGATTCTTCTCCAGAGGATGGTCAATGTCGAAGCACAGAAACGAAGCGACGGGGCATGTTCGTCTACCAGAACGCAATCCCATTGCGCCTATCCTTTCCTACCTAGCCTACCTACCTACCCTATCCATACCTGTCTCGGCACGTTCGGGAAGGCAGCTAACTACATACTCTTCCCTCAGCCAAGTCGAATAAGACGTCTTGCTGCCATGTACACAACAGATTTGTCCAAGCATATGCACATGAATATATTTGGTAAACCTAGTCCAGATGACGACCCATCAACTTCGATATTACCACATGCTTGTCCTCCTTCCCTCAGCTCACCACCTCCTCTTTCCAATCGACTCCGACACTACAATCTCGAACCGTGGATGATCTTCATATCCACAATCAACTCCCGCCCACCATCATTGATGACCAACACCCGGACGCTTCCTCGGCCATCGGCGAACGCTCGGTCGATTCGTTTGAACAGACCGCCCTGATCGACGACAGACAATCCCTGCTTGACATCACCAGTCTCGGTCATGCAGACGATCAAGCCGTCCTCACGGATATCCAAGACACGGTATTGCTTGAAGACCGGGCCGAGCATGGTCTGCACAACGACCGAGGGGGCGGGATTGCTGATGAAGGAGCTCTCTTCGTGCAATTGGCGGGTGAACAGGTCAACACCTAGGTAGCGGTACTGGCCAGTTTGAGAAGACATGCTGATACGGATGACCTGCGAGGGACGGCCCTGGAGAAGGAGAATGTCGCCGATGCGGATGAAGTGACATTGGATTGGCACACCCCGGCCTGAGAAACGAGGCTCGACATAGCGCACTTGCTCCACGGCGCCGTCACGAACGCGGGCTGGGCCGGTGGTTTCTCTGGTCTCTGACACGATCACCTCCTCACGGCCACCATCATGATGGTGATGGTGGGAGAAGGGATGCAGGATGCGGTCGGCAGCACGCTCCACCCCGCGGCGGAAGCTGTGGTAGTTGCCATCGTCGTCGTAGTAACCCATGTCTCTTCTAACTGGTTGATCGACCTTGATCTCTTCCTTTTGGACTGTGACGTCGGCTTGTACGGGACGGCGACGTTCGTATTCAACGTCGTAGGTGGGATTGACGCGGCGACGGTACTCTCGCTCGGTGACGTCTAGCTGAGACTCCAAAGACTTGTCGTAGACCTGACGACGGTCGTAGTCAACTTCAACGTGGTCGCGAGTGTCTCGACGATCGATTTCGATGTCGACGTTGGTAGCACGAGTGTCTCGGCGGTCACCGCGGGTGTCTCGACGGTCAACTTCGATGTCAACGTTGGTTTGCCTGTAATCAGTGGGTCCTCGGTACCTATGGGGCGCGGAGACGGGTGAGTTAGCAAGGAAGACTGGGGGGTCAATGCGTTAGAAGCACAGGCAAAAATCCAAGTACCAGGGGGCGCATGGAGGCACGTACTTCTCACGTGTGAGGTCTACCTCCGGGTATCTTCGATCACGCTCCTCGTAGACACGCACGTCCTCCCGTTGATATTGATCGCGGCGTGGACGGCTGTCTCTGTAGGAGATGTCGACTTCTTCCTTGGAAAATCGAGTATCTTCCCGTCCGACGCGCGAGGAGGTTCTGGGTAGTTGGACTTCCCCTTCTACCTTTGTGACGGTAGTTTCTTGGGCAGAAGCGTCCACGCTCCTGTACGTAGACGGGAAGACACTGATTGGGATGGGGACTCGAGCGTCAAAGTCCAGGTTGCCAGCTCTGAAGGGCGCCTCAACTCTCTTCTCCCTTGCGGCAGTCGAGAGTCAAGACTGTCTTTGGGGGAAACTAGGTTTCGGGAGAGAGAGGTGGAGCGAAGAAGAGTCTTGCAACGAGGAAGTCAACAATGCACGCTGAGCAAAAAGGAGCAAATGCTTGCGAAGAGTTGGTAGCAAAAAAAGACCAAATGTGTACAGGGTGTGTGTTTGTATGAAGAGAGAAAGGGGAAAAGGAAGAAGAGCAGGGACCATCAGCAACAAGAGACCTTTTTAAGGAGGAGTCTCCAAGAGTAGTGGAGATTGGGCCCAGCGAGGGCAATTCATCTGTACCCAGTCAAGCCAGTGGGTGCCAGTCAAGCCCGTCGACTGCCTCTGCCTGCGCCCGCAACACACAGCAACCGACACGCTTGTTGATCCTTGTTGATGCCGGTTGGCACGGTAGCCAAAACGCGAAATCCCAATTCAGTTTAGCCGCCTCTCGGCTCATCCATCGCCGATTTTGGGTGCTGCAGCATTTGTGCCTGCGCCCTACAAACACATTTCATCTCTACTCAGTTTCTTCGTTCTTATGGAAAGCGACAGAGAGCGTGATACTTCTTACTGACGAATGTCCGGGGAGAGGGCACAGCAGATCCTTTGCCCACACCTTCTGGAGGGTGTGCCACACCTGCAAGCTCCGCACTGACCTCGTTCTGTCCGCAGACCCAGCACTTCCCGTCCTGTCTCTCTCTCTCGCCCAAAGACACGGGAATCATCGTGTATCCTGATCATTGGCCTGGTGTTACCTTCATGCCTCACCAACGCAGCCAAAGAACCCTCGTATGCACACCCTTCCACAGCTTCCGGAACCCGTGCATCACACCTTAGACTCATCTACCACTTGACGTGAAGAGGCGGACATGTTTGACGCGTGGACGAGCACGGCTTGGGTCTTCTGCCTGCAGCTCTTCAGCTGGCATCCCTCGAGCTAGCTGCATTGGCGCATATGCACCCGCTTCCGCCTCTCATGCAGCTCGCAAACTCCCTCACCAACCATGGGCCACACCTACAGGGATGTAGATGCAGAAAAGAACGTATCCCAGAGACCTCTGTAGTCAGACTGATGCATGTGGAATTTTGTTACAATAGCTTAGATCTTTTTCTCGTCGTTCCATCCCACGGGCAACGGGATCCGTGCGGTTTGTGTCTATGCTATCTATCCAACTTTTTACCAGAACAGGCCCTTATTCTAGATGCTCTGAAAACATAGTAAACCAGCCAATTCGAGCCAACATAGGTCAGTCAGTGCTCGTATTCAAAATCAGCCCACCCCCAACTGAAAAGTGCGCCTTGCTATGCCTTTCTAACTCACAATTGGTGTACCCTGCACACCTCCCCCAGAGCACTGCCCGCAAAGCATATTCTGCGTTAGTGCCTCTGCACACAGTTCCATTCATACTGCATTCGTGATTAGCCAAAGCTCGTTGCAACTCAGCATATCAAGTCGGAGGAACTCACCACTCGCCCGTCTTCATCCCCGGTGTAGACAACTTGGGGCATTGGGAGGATGCAGCTGATCCCTGCATTCACATTTGCTCCATCATCCCGGCTGCCGTCAGCATGGTTGAGCTGCCGAATGAGCTCCAACTCAAACCGCCCGTCGCGGACCACTTTGCTCCAGATGCGCACCTGGCCCCTCTTGTGGCCGGTGAAGACCAGGTCTCGTTCCAGCCACTCGTTGCCCGCTCCCTCGTAGCACGCGCACGAGACAATGCTCTCCTGCGAGCGGTCTCCAGAGTCCTGTCGCAGGAGCAGATCGCCGTTCAGGGTATACATGCTGATCTCATGCCCGTGACAGAGGACAATATTTCCGCTAACGTCGTTGATGGCCGCACATTGCACGCCCAGCTCCACATCCAACTTGCGGATGAACTCGCTGCGGTTGAGATCCCAGAGCATCACCTGGCCATCTGTCGAAGCTGACAATAACGCATTGAACGACTTGGATATAGCCAAAGAACTCACCGGCTTGCGGTGGCCGAAAAGTGTGGCGCGCGGATGCAGTTCCACACTCTTCCCGCTCTCGACGACTGTCCACACAGCCACGGTGCAATCTGTTCCAGCAGTGATCAATGTTTTCGAATCCGCAAACAGCGCACAAGACAACTGCCCAATATGCAAATGCTCAAAGAGTCCGATCTGCTTCCTGCTTTCCGTCGAGTAGAAACGGACGCTGTTGTCGGAAAAGCCCCATTCAAGGTACATGTCGTAATCCGGAGGGATGTTCAGTCTGAAGGGCCCCGAGCACAGCAACCGATCAGACTTCCAGGAGTATCTGAGCGAAGCCACTCTTTCCCCGGTCTCCAGGAGAGTCGAAGGAATGCGAGTCAACGATTCTGCGGCAGTGTCAAGCCGCTTATAGCGATGCCGGATCTGTTCCCGCGCGGGATGCGGTTTGGCAAAAACCTGATATGGTGTCTGGCCGAAATTGTGAATGATTCCAATTGTAGCAAGCCGTTCCAATGGGTCGCTGATGGCGTCCAGATCCTTCGCACCTTGATATGAGAGGTAATGAAACACGTTCACGGCTTCCACGGCGGCTTCGCCCTTCTGTTTACTACCAAATATCAGGTCAATCCATTTATGTAGATTGCGGCTGACATGGGGACTCTCGAGCGCCTCACGCTGCTTGGCAATGAAGATGCGAGGGTCTCCCTTTGCCCACGGTGGGAGCTCAACATTTCCAATTGACTGCGAGGTTTGCCTGGTGCCGAAGTCAAAGTCGTTGACGTTGACCAGAAACTCTGGCAGGTAATAAAACTCAGGGGTCAATTCGCGGACGTCGGTCATGTTCATTCGGGCCGCTGACCTCCAAGCCCCTTCTATCGAGAAGAACATGCGATCGGGGTGATCAAATGTGCCGCCCTGCAAGAGGAGGTATGACTTGACGAAGGGTTGCAGGCGAATCAAGTAAGATGTCACAATCATTGCTGAGGAATAATGCGTCCCGTAATGAAAAGCCGGGGTGTTGTTGTCGCCCATTTCCGCGAATGTTTGGTATCGTTCTCTGAACTCTCTCTCGCGTTCCATCGTCTGACAGCCCATGGGTTTGGAAAGATCGCGAAACGTTCTCGGATCTGTGAGGTCCAGTTCTTCACTGGTGTAATCTGCGATAACCCACGGGAATACGGGATACTGTGTCAAGTCATTGTATGTTCTTCCTGCCATGGTGTTGATCAGCATGAGATAGTGGAAGTTCGACATTTCCCCCTTTTGCCATTTGCGAGTTGCAGCTAGAGAGCTCGACTGCTGACCGAACACATTCGCAAACTTGGACCCCAAGGTCTGCGGTTCGTCGTCCACGCTCCTCAAAGTCTCATAGCGCCAGGCCGTTTCTGAATGATTGCCCAGTCCATTGGGTGAAGGAGCTTTGGCGCTGATGAGACTGTGCAAGTCGTTCCGGATCTGAGGCGAGATCACAGTCAACAAGTAGCTTCTACCATCGCCGAAGAAGATCTCGATCGCAACATCGCGGAAAAGGAAGCGCCGCTTCGAAACGCTGATAATGTCAGACCACTTCCAGCTTCGAGTGCCATGTTCGTCACTCCGGGGGACGATTTTGCGTTCTGTGACATCTCGCCCAGAGATCATTCGTACATAAGGATCTCGCTCTTCCTGTGGTGCTTGCCAAACATTCACAATCTCGCCATCAGAACGTTGAAAGAAATTGTCGAGAATATAAATATAGTCCTTGCCCAAGATGAGCAGGCCCTCGACCGCTTCGAGTCCCAGAATGCGCGAAATGTTGGCAACGTGCTTGACCTGGTCTCCGCGGTGAAGGCTGCGCATCACCTTCCGATTCTTGTCTTCGAACTCATCCATCTCAGCATTTGGATCTTCAACCAATTCGAAACTCTCCTCGCCTTCCATGGCTTCGCTTTGGGTGTCATTTTCTGCCGCCTGATCGAGAGTCTGGTCACTGCTTTCTTGAAGCGCAGGGAATGGCTCAGTCCCGCTGTTCACGCGCTTGGGAGTATCGACGACTGGCGTTGCTCCGCCTGGTGTAACGCCTATCGATTCTGCCGTGGACATTTTGGTATTTCTAGTATCAAGCCGCAGTGGCATGTCAGATCCTTTCCTCTTTGGTTGCTGATCATCTTCTGTATAGGTGTAGTCCTCGTGCAATCGCATACGCATTCGATTGCGCCCTTCCGTTTGATCCAATCTCCATTTTCTGGGTTTATTGGTAGCAAACAGCCCGGCGGGTTTACTGGTATCCCTTTGCATCCGATTGAAGCTGGCTTCGGTGTACACCAGGTCATCCTGCTGGTCTTGGAGCAGTCTCTGGTGCTTGAGGTATTCGGAGGAATAGATATTGGAAGTCCAATTTTCGAAAGCAATTTCATGGCGACGAATCAAATCATCACGGTCGGCCTCTTCTCGTGCCCATTGCTTGACCTTCTCTCGCCGGCGCGCTATCCTCATCCGGCCATTTTCCTCCGTTCTCTTGTTTTCTGAGGTGACGAACGTATTCCACTGCTTTGAAAGGGTATCAAAAAACAAAGAATCCAGCTCACTGCGGTGCTCGTCGACCCAGTAAAGGAAAGTCTCATTGTCAAGTTCGACCAGCTTCGAAAAGCCGCCAGCCAAGCCTTGCTGCTCCGTCGTGTCTGTTTGCCCGAAAATTGCCGCTGCTTCGTCGGGCTTCTGAACTAATATTATCCTCCATAAATTGGCCGCCGCTTGCCGTACAGCGTCGGTGGAGGAGATGAGGTTGGCATACAGAAGGTAACAAATAAGCTGCAGATTGGCTGATTGAGTGTCTTCGCCTGAGAGCAGGACCGTCTGCCAGTATGTCAACTTTTCCAAAAAGGGTAACGAATCGCTGTCGTGGATTGATGAGAGACTAAGGAGGACTGTCCGGAAAACAACAGCGCGGATGATGGCAACTGTTTGCGCACACAGCCGCACGCTCTTCAGTTTTGCAATATCAGGACGTTGAAGATATTCTAGTATAGATCCTGATAAGTCGAGTACCGGATCGGCACCGCCAATGAACCATCCTTCGAAAAGAGCTTCTTCAAGATGTCCGAAGAGGCGGGCTAGGTTGATCAAAACCCTTGGCTCCGTCAGGATTGTTTGATTTAGAGCTATATGGTTCGCGAGCTGCGAGACGGTATTCCTCAAGATCCACGTTTCGAAGTAAGATTGGTGTTCGATGAAGCCAGGTGGCGTCTTCAGGAAAAGGCCGAGTCCTGGAAATTCTTTCCGAACGAGAATCTGATCCATGAAAACAGATATGACTATCTCGAGCAGACCCTGAACGATAGAATGACCATCGTGAAGTTCAGGCACCTTTCCTATAGCAAGGTTCGAGCCGCTCGAAGCTGAAATTGCTGTAGTGGTGACCGAACTATTCTGGCGGGCATGGTCCTTCGTGACGAGGACAAAAGACGAGCCTCTCCGAAGAGTCTTACCTCTGGTCGCCGTAGATGAGTTTTCTGCATCTATAGTCCGGATGACGGGAGGAGTGGTCGAGAGTGGATGAATAACGACGTCTCCGCCGTCGAATGTCAGCGTTGAATCCCGGGCATCCAACTCCGTCTTTGCTTCAACCACGTCAGAGCCGACCACAACAGGGAAGAGGACGGCAAGGAGATCCTGAATATACGAAGACGTGGCTGCAAAGTCTCGGAACTTCTGCGACCTAGTGTGGAGGTCTGCAAGAAATTTGACGACAGTGTTGAATGTTTCGATGTGTTGGCTTGTGACAATAGTGAGCAGCGGATTCGGTGGTGCCATTGTTGACATGGAAAGTCGTTCAGGAGGTCCACTCAGCTCTTCCAGTGGCGGAGCCAGGAACGAAGCAGCTTGATGCCTTTTTGATGACACAATTGTTTTCAGACCGCTTTGCAACATGCCTGTAATGACTTCGAGGATTTCTGGATAGAAAACTGAGAGCTCCTTTTTATTGGCAAAGAGGTCGATGAATCCGTACAGGTCGAAGTTTCTGTCCAGATCCAGATTTGCAACATCAAGATCAAACAACACGGCAAACAAAGCAGGCCATAATGCTGGAAGATGCCACCATCTCTTCAGACGATGCGTCATGATGGTAAAGCCAGAGGTCTTGGACGTGTCCTTGAATTTCTTGACATAGGCGTCGCCGTGTACGACGAGCAATCTCGCCAAAATCCTCATCGACAGTACCACAACTTCTGGTGACGTCTCGGACAGCAGATACAGAAGCCACTTGTTTGTCACTGTTTTAGCAAATTTCTTGATCAGGGTATCGTCATCTTTGCGGCACAACATCTCCGAATAGAGGCGGAGAACCTCCATTCCGATCTCGAAATGTGACAAAGTCGCCGTGGCTTCGTCCTTGGGACCATGAGATGATCCAGCTGACGAACTTCTTTGTCGTGCTTCCCTGCGGATGGTTTTCCGCGCTGGCAACCCCAAATTTCGTTTGTTGACGGAGAATGTTATGAACAGGGCGAGTGAACGTAAAGTTTCCGCGGATAAAGTTTGAGGTAACAGGACTTTGATTGCGGCCATATACTGTGGCATGATGGGCCGCATCACGGGCTCCGATTTCAGAGCCTCCATCAGTCGTTTAAGCACTCTCATTCTGGTTAGTCTCTTCAAGTTGAAGCGTTTGTATTCACTTTGTTCCCCCAACACCACGAATTGGTCAAAGTATAGTTGTTGCACAGGAAGTGGTCCACATCTCCAGAGGCTGGTGTCTGCTACTAAGACTTTGTAGGCCAAAGGATTGTTGATGACAGATTTTGTCAAGTCCTCGGAATTATAGCCGGTGAAAGAAAGGATGGCGGCCAACACCCTCATGCTCAACCCGGTCCTATCAAGTCTTGATGTTGGAATTGCCCAAGCGACTTTGGCAGCTTCGCCGTTGTTCTGGGAGGGGAGGCTGAGCTTTTCCTTCAAGAGCATCGCTAGAATTGCGTAACCACCATCTCTCTCCATGACTTCGCTGTTTCTCCAACTATGTCGGACGGTTTCCAGGAGGATGTCTACCGCGAGAGCAACGTCTTCTGTCGTCCGTGCGCGTTGAACGAGTCCTAGTCCGACCGCGCCACAACCACCCAAACGCCAGCTGGCATCGTCTAGTGATTGCGGAACGGTCACCGTAGGATCACCCATGAGCAGGAAAACGCCTCTAGCTTGTGTCAAAGCATCATTGATTGAAGGCACTGCGCCGTTGATCGCCACAGCACTTGTGCCGGAGCGCGTGTAGGCCACCAGATTTTTGGCTGCCAGTTTTGACAGTGACTTGACCAGTTGAGTCTCATCAATGTTGTTTCGATCATCATTATCAAGGATTGTCGCAGGGGAAACATTGATCAATATTTTGTCTTCGCGGATAAGACTGCTTGCCTTCTGTCGGATCGCCATAATGAGTTCTGACTGTTCCTCCTTTCCGGGATGTAACATCTCGTTTCGCAAATTCAGCGCTGCCGAGGCTTCATAGGTCTGGAAAGAACCAAGGCAATCCTGGAAATTACCATGATATTTTGGACCGAGATAGTAGAAGACGGCGATCAAGTCATCGCTCATGGCGTCTTGAAACAGAATTGCAGAACCAAGTGACCACTTTGACAGACAAGCTACTCCGGCAGAAGTCGGGGATAAATCTTGGGGTGTACCGAAGAACGCTTGGACCTTGACGTTGTTTTGGCCTCGATCATTTGGAGGTGCAGAAGGATAATTTGCCTTTTGCTGCTCAACGAAGTCCCCATCTACAAACAGCAAAGCCTTGGAAGAAGATGTCGTGCGTGGTCGCCTGTGCACCACACAGATGTGATACCATTGATCTGGCTGAAAAGCAACTGACTTGAATCTGACACTGGGCTTGTTGCCTTGGATCGCGGTCTGTAAGATAAGGTGATGAGTGTCTTTCTCGAGGTAGGCTAGAACGAAACAACTTTGAGTCCTGTCGAAAGCGCCAAAGAGTGTGGTGTGGGCTTGAGTGTCGAAAGTATCGAACCGTGCCCAGAGGCTCAGAGTATATCCAGCATTGTCGAGAGGCGGGAAGGGTCTACCAAGAGTAGCTAGTTCTGTGGATGCATAGCCATGCTGGGACAAGTCAAATTGCAGACTCGGTGGCTGTCGCGAAACAATGATCGCATCATGCAGGAATGAAGCTGCATCAAAAGACGTACTGGCCTGTTTGAACAAAAAATGGGCATCGTCCAGGTTGGATACGCCCTCTTGGCACAAAAGTATAGCCACTTCCTTCATCAGAACCCTTTCAATCGAAGAAAGTTGCTCTTCAAAGATCAGCTTGAGCACGGCAGTGAAAGTGCCGGCTGTGTGTGCGGAGACAACATTCTGCCGTGATGTCGACAGTATCTCCTTGAAGCTGAGTGGCAGTGCAACTCTCAGAAGCCGTTGCGGAATCTTCTCAGCCTTGATACCCGTTGTCCATAGCCCAAGCATCTCAGTTAGCAGCTCCGGTACTGCCAACTCACCAACATTTGCCAATGATTTAACAAGGCCTGCACGTGCGGAAGTGATCGTTTCTTCTGAGAAGAGCCCGCCGTCTTGTAAGGTTGTGGACCGATCCAGAGCAGTGTATATGTCCTCTATTATTTCCACGCCAGTAGCCGTCGCAAAGAGGATCCCAAAGAAATGTTCTAAGTGAAGGTCGTCACCTGTCTGACAATATAAGATGGTGAAAAACTGTTCCAAGGTGCATTGCAGAGAGTCCCAACCACCACTGTCCACTTTTGTTCTGAAGTACCTTTGGTTTCCCTCGTGCCCTTCCAAGGCCGCACCGAGCACGCCGAACCATTGTGAAAGAAACTGGAGGAATGACTTGGTGGTAGCAGGAGGATCGGTCGGCACAGAGTACTTGTCAACGAGCGAGCGAAGCAGACGGAGTAACGCTTGGAAGCCACCGGCTCGTCGAAAACCACTGTGTGCCCCGTGGACATCACTATCATCTTTCAGGAAGTGCCGCAATTGTTGCAGGCAGGTTGCCTGATCAAGACTGTTTTGCAGAGCATTGTAGGAGCTGTAATCGAGAGCTTCCAGGCTCTTGACGAGTTGCGCAATGTCCTTGTCTTCCGGACGCAGAATGTCCGCGGTGGAAACGGCCCGCGAACGAGTGTGAGTGTTAACGGTGAGGCCCATGTCTTTGTACCACTCGGGCCCACCTCTTTTTTGGCCTTAGCACCGTAGATGAGATTCGCTGCGACGGCATAGGGAGAAGTGAAGGCGTGACAAAGGGCGTTGAGCTAGGGAGAGTCTGGGGCTCCAGTCAGGGACCGATCCAACACGCGGCGGGACATCGAACGGTGAGCATCGAGAAATGCCCTTTGCTCACGCAGCGGGGAAGGACTGGAGTTCTTTCAGAGACTGCGAAGAAGCAAGTGGGTGTGGAAGAAGGAGTGGATAGCAGTATAAGACTCCAATTTCATACGCTAGACTTGGTACAGAGGACAATACCTAGGTAGTCACTGTTTGTATGTGCCGTGGGGAGCATTCCACCGCAGATGAAGGGGGGTTCTTTGTGAAGATGGAAAACTGCGGGTGACGTTGGAGGCCGCACTTTGTCGGAAACGCTAGATCTCGATTATGGCCCCCGAACATCACCTCAGCCACCAACGATGAAGTGACAAATGGGTACCTCGTACAGGTAACTCGATAACACTCTTAGAGCGAAGATATCACATCGCGACGGAAATCCCGGTCAATGGTTCACAGATCATAACTCCTTCGCGTTAGCCTTCAGTACATCAATATTGAGGCATTTCCCAAATAGCGCAGCCTGATCTCGTAACCAGGAAGCCGGATCAGTCTCGTCACGGTCGTGCGGCTCGCACTGGAAGTGACATTCAGCCTAGCCCCAGGCTACAAAGTTGAGGCTGGTGCGGCCTCAGATGAGTGGCACGCTGTGTTGCAGGCCCGCCCTCTAACACCCGACGGAGTACTCGATTTGGGGATGCCGGACATCAAAGAGTCGGACAGGAAACCCTGAAAGATATTGGGCTCGAGAAAGCATCTTCTCATTCTGATCGTCCAAGCATCCAAAGGCTAGAATGCGTAGCTTACTTCATTCCATGTTCCGTCCTGCTTTTCTCCACCTCGCCATTCAAGCGCTTGACAACCTCTCTGCTATTCAAACGCCCCATCCACTCGTTGTACTTTGTATACTTGTCTAAACGCTCTCTCCTGCCCCAGTTCCCTCAACAAGCCCATTGCCAGAAACGCCCATGTCACGAACGACAGATCTGCATATGTGCATTTATCTCCCACGAGATAAGCCTGCTTGGTGGTGGTGAGATGGGTATCGAGCACGGAAGTAACTCGCTCGATCTCATCCAAATAGCGATTGATGGCGCTTGGCAGCTTTTCGTGATGGTAGCGTGCGAACCAGACGGCTTGGCCAAAGTACGGTCCTTGCCCTATTCGAAAGCTAGTCAGATGCTGTTCATGTAGTGATGTGGAAGAGCCTGGTAACGACACAAAATGGTCCTGGACTGAGAACGCCTACCTGAGACCTGGAACATCAACCACTGCTGCAAGAGGTACTTTTCGGGAGCGGTCTTGTAGGACAGCTTTCCCTCTTTGTCATACTCTTCGATCAGATACAAGACGATCGCACCAGACTCCCACAGCGTTATGCCAGTGTTTGGATCCACGATCGCAGGCAACCGGCCATTCGCATTGATCTTCGTATATTCCTCGGATTTGACCTCGTGGATTTCGATGACATGCCACTCAAAAGGAATGTTAAGTTCTTCGAGGATGATTTTTATCTTGTAGGGATTGGGCGCTCCCCAGTGGCCGTAGACAGTCAAGGGTTTCAATGTATTGGTAGCCATGTTGGTGAGTGAGAATCTAGGCTTCTGGTGGCTTTGGTTTTGAGAGTACTCAAGAAAGACTTGTCACAGAAGGCGAATGATGTTGCTGGCACCCGGATTGATGGATTGGTTGAGTTGGCCGAATGATCCTGTCTCAGGTTCGAGGAAGTAGGCAATCAGCCTTCATCTTTATAGCCCAGCACCTGGTGAGCTTCGCGCGAAGCGATTTCGAGTCTCGGAGATTGTCCTGGCAAGCTGCATTGCAAATATCGTCGCATCCTTCTTTGATCACGCTAAATTTCCCACAATGACTGCGTAGCCGTTCAGTTCCAATTTGATTTCGTCCGAACAGTACCTGACCAGTGGGCTGACAAGGTCGATGAAAGGAAAAGCAGAGACCCAGTGAATTTTGGCTTAGAAACCATGACACTAGTGGTATAACCCAAACAGGATTGGTCTGGGATAGCCGGGTTCCTCCTCCCTGATGTCAAGCTACATTCAACATCACTCCTCCGAAAAACATGAACTTGAGAGGAACACCTGGCCCGCTACAATAACAGGGGCTGGCAAAATCCACTCTGGCCACATCAGGATCTCGTCCGAGACGGAGGACGGAATGGTCTCGCGCAAAGCTTTCAATCGCATTGCTCGGAGTTTGGATGCGCACATGATTTCCACCTTCGACAGACACCTCCAATTCTCCCCTTCGATGTGACCTTTCTAAGTTGGGGTGGTCCATTCGACACCAGCGATGGAGAAAAACGACTACCTCTTCGTCCATTTGACATCGTCTCCTAAAGATCGAACGTCGCAACAACTTCAGTATGCTGCATGCAAGGCCCATATATCTCGAAAAGTCCACCGAAACCGCCGCCAAAAGCTGAAGAAGCAGGACGAGGATACCTGCAGGAACCACAGTTCAGAGTCGACTCCTAACACAGCCCTGCTGCCCGTGATATTCAGGGGAAACTCTGATCCTTTCAGTTGCCAGATGATTACGGTGACGCCCATTGTGAATCACGCGGTCTCATTCGTTCGATTCCATCTTAGTCGGTGCTGGTCGCCAACCTACATGGCCCGGTTTGAGGATATCAACCCGGTAGACTGTCCCATTTTTGGAATCAGCAGCACGATCGGCATGATGGCGGCTAAATGGGTCTGGTCCTTTTTTGTTGCGGATGTTGGGACATTCTGGTCTGCTGTGGCAAGTGTACTGCCACTGATGACTCGCTTCGTTCCGCCGGCGAGTGTACGTGAACTCGAACGAGTCTCTCTGGAGCTCAAGGCAAAAGTCCTGGCAGGTCTGAGAAGAGCTCTGCAGGACGGGCCACTGAAACATCAGCCTAGCATGACTCTGATCTACCAAGTCAAAGCGCTATTCCGAGAGGCCACGACGAGCGGAGATACCCATAGCGCCAGCATCCACGCGAAAGTCCTGTTATCGCTTGCCGAGCAACTACCCGTCCAAGAATGCCAAGGTGGTGAAGATGTCCTAGGCATAGCTCTGTGGGGAGACAGCCTCTCAGCTCTATTTCAACTGCGTCGACCGATCCTCAATTACCTCAATTGGATGCCTCAGATAGTCGCCACCACGTGGACTTCGGCGGAATCTCTGCTCCCCGTACCTCATATAAGCGATCTCTCTGTCCCTGAAAGCGTGATCAGTCCACAGCTTCGACAGGCGTTCAGCCACATCCGTCGAGTCCTGAACATCGGCAAGGTTCTGATGCCTCTTGACGGCGACGACCATCTCAGACGCGCCCAGCTGATCTTCCATTGGCTTACCACCAAGTCTGAGTATCACATAAGTAGCTTGCTGGACCTGTATTTCGACCTCACCGAGGCAGAGACATCCCGTGGGTCGAGCGAAGGTGGTAGACACACCGAGGCAGCTCTCGCACTGGCTCTATTGTACGTTTTTCAAAAGAGCTTTAGCGACACCTCGCAATCTGACTGCATCGATATTCACGACAGCACAGCCGTGGTTCATCCGGCACTCCTCGCCAGAATGAAGACTGCACTTTTGATCTGCTCGCAGCAAGAACGCGTTTTGTACAAAGATGTACATTTCTGGATACTCTTCATAGGCTCGTTTTGCGAAGAGCGCTTACAGACCATAAGCCCACGAGATCACAATATGCTCGGGGAGTGGTTCCATCAGCAGCTCGCCGAGCAAGCTCTTGAAGCGGGACTCAGCAACTGGGTTGACGCTAGATCTGTACTGGCGAGATTCGTCGTCAACGACTTCCTCATGCCTCCTGCGCAGAAGTGGTATGGACAGACAATATCTCATTATAGCAGTGTGTGAACACACCAATATATGCCTTGCCTCGGTAGCGACGGTAGCCACGTGAGGCAAAAACGTAGGATACGCCCTTGCTATCGTAAGCCCTCGACGAAGAAGGATGGTCGACAGCAGGAGGCTGATATTGAGGACCACGGGTCTTATGGAAAAAATACCCGCTGATGTGTTGGGATGGAGAAATGGCGAAACGGGGCGGGTGACGGGGAATGCAGCGAATGCAGCCAATCTGAGCTCGGGGATAAGTACAGGGTCGGCCGGGGTCCGCAACCGGCCAAAGTGCCTTGCCGTGCCTTGGTCCAGCGGTCACTGGGACACTGGAAACCCCCAGTGACCCCCAAGCTCCCAGTGGGTGCCAGTGGCTCCCCGGCAACAACTGGGTCTAGCCCCAAGCTGCCGAGCTGCGTAAGTGGCAGCCTGGTTCAGGCGTTAGTAGCAGCAAGCAGTCATGCGTCCACTTGTGGCTGTGGCATCATCCAGCCAGCACTATTATCTTCTTATCCCGTCTGCTGCTCTTGCTTCCTTAAAGATACCATCCTTCCCATCACTCCCATCATCACCTTCGACTCCTTGCACTTTCTTCATCTCCCGTGCAGCTTGATCCATCCAGGCTCGCACTTCTGTTGCCCTTCTTGCTGTATCCCTCGTCTTCCCATCGTTGTCAACCTGCTCTGCATCATGAAGGGCTACGCATTCGCCTTATCGCTCCTCCCACTGTTGGCGGCAGGTTCGCCAGTCCTCGTGGACACCATCCACAACAATGCTGCTCCTGTCATCTCCTCTTCTAACGCAAAGGAGATTCCTGACTCCTACATGGTTATCTTCAAGAAGCATGTCAGCGAGCGGGATGCTACCGCCCATCACTCCTGGGTTCAAGAGGCCCATGTGTCACACGAGTCCCGCAAGCTGGAGCTTCGGAAACGTAGCCAGTTTCCTATGTCAGATGATACGGTCTTTGAAGGATTGAGACACACATACAACATTCCTGGCGGCCTTTTGGGCTATGCTGGTCATTTCGATGAAGGAGTTATCGAGATGGTCCGCAGGCACCCAGATGTAAGTTCCTACTCGTTTTGTCTCAACTCTTTGGTCTTTCAGTCAGCTTCCATTCGTCATACGGCATCGAGATGATGGCTCCACGATGCTCCTCTGCATCCCCAGAACATTACATATTTTATCCTGCTTCCTCGTCTTCGCTGTCGTCTCAGCTCTAAAGCTCACGTGCCCGATTGCTTAGGTTGAATACATCGAACGTGACTCCGAGGTCCGAACCATGAACCACACTCCGGCGCTCGAGAAGAACGCTCCTTGGGGCCTGGCCCGTATCTCCCACCGCGAAGCCTTGGGCTTTGGAAATTTCAACAAATACCTCTACTCCACGGATGGCGGTGAGGGCGTCGACGCCTACGTCATTGACACCGGTACCAATATCGACCACGTTGACTTCGAAGGCCGCGCCAGCTGGGGCAAGACAATCCCGGTTGGCGATGAAGATGTGGATGGTAACGGACACGGCACACACTGCTCTGGCACAATCGCAGGCAAGAAGTTCGGTGTCGCTAAGAAGGCAAACGTCTACGCTGTCAAGGTCCTCAAGTCGAATGGCTCTGGCACCATGTCCGATGTTGTCAAAGGCGTCGAATGGGCTGCCAACGCTCATTCTGAGTCCGTAAGTGCTGCGAAGAAGGGCAAGAAGAAGGGCTTCAAGGGCAGTGTTGCCAACATGAGCTTGGGTGGTGGCAAGTCCAGAGTCCTAGATCTTGCCGTCAACGCCGCCGTGGACGCTGGTCTTCACTTTGCCGTCGCTGCTGGAAACGACAATGCCGATTCTTGCAACTATTCGCCTGCTGCTGCTGAGAAGGCCATCACTGTCGGTGCCTCTACCTTGGCTGATGAACGTGCTTACTTCTCCAACTACGGTACTTGCAACGACATCTTTGCTCCCGGTCTCAACATCCTCTCCGCCTGGATTGGCAGCAAGTATGCCACCAACATCATCTCTGGTACCTCGATGGCATCTCCTCACATCTGCGGTCTCCTTGCATACTTCTTGTCTCTTCAACCGTCGAACGATTCCGCCTATGCCGTTGCCGAAATCACCCCCAAGCAGATGAAGGCGAACATGATCTCCATCGCTACTGAGGGCGCTCTTTCCAACGTCCCGGCTGACACTGCCAACATCCTCGCATGGAACGGCGGTGGCAAGTCCAACTATACTGAAATCATTGGTGATGGTGGCTACACCTTCAGCCAATCCGCTGATTCGTATCTCTCTGAGAAGGCCTCCGAGCTGAAGGCCGAGCTGAAGCAAATTGCCGCCGAACTTGAGGCTCTTATTGAGAAGTCTTAGGAGGCTCGTGAGCTGGCGGGATCTTAGTCGTGCAATTCAGCCATTCGTTGAATGACACAGGCATATCGTACAGGCATAAGGGATCGGGGCGGGGATAGGTGGTTTCATCCTAGATTTGGGCGGACTGGTAACCATGGCTCCCCCTGTTCTCGTGGGATGCTGGGCTCATGTATATGAGATACATTGGCATTGTTGATCTACAATCATATCGCATATCAACAGAATATGTCCCAGTAGATGTGATGTTTCTAGAGTGGCTGAATGGCCCGCGGCGTGAGCAATGTGCATGGATTCATGACAGCGTATGTGTGCGGCAGCCCCATTCCTCACCATGTGAATGCCTACCGTGTAGTCGTCCTGCCTAGCAGAGGCGCGGTCTCCTCATGGGCATCCAGTTTCTTTTGCTTCTTCACCCTTTCTCGCCGTTCCCTGCCTTGACTCGCGCTGTCCTCTCCGTTCTCCACAATCTCCTCTTCTTCCTCGACCTCCTTTTGCGGCAGGACCTTGAACTCGCCGTCCACGACTCTGCTCACGACCCACGACCCCGTTTCCGCGGCGGCGGCCTTGAAGAACTCCTGGTTCTCCTCGAACGTCCTGTTGCCCGATTCGGGACAGTACAGGTACGTCCACAGACCGGCAAAGGCGTTTGTGGCGGCAAACACCAGGAACAGGTAGTACTCGAGGTGGTCGAAGCCGATTGGAGTCAAAAGCGTGACGGCGAAGTTGGCCAGGCCCCAGACGATGACGCTGACGGCGGCGCCTTGGGCGCGGGCCGTCGACGGGTAGATCTCCGTGGGGATCAGCCAGGGCGGCACCAACCAGCAGATCCCAAACACCGCGGTCGCCAGGTATAGGAAGATGATTCCGGGGATGCCCGTGGCGAGTAAAGGGATCGAGAGGCGGAGGCGGTTGAACGCCAGCCCGCCCAGAAGGGTGAGCAGGGCGAAGGAGATGGCGAGCCAAAGGGCCCCCGCGACCATGAGCTTTCGTCGGCCGATGCGGTCGATCAGGACCCACGCGACGGTCATCATGGCCAAGTAGAAGACGTAGTTCCCCAGCGTGATGTACTCGGCCGTGTTGACCCCGAATCCCAACAGTTGGAATATCTGCGCGCCGAAGACCGACACGGCTCCATACCCGGTCAGGGCCTGGTTGACTTGGCCCATGACGGTCACGACGGTCGGGTGGAACTGCGAGCCCGTGGGCGAGAGCATGTCCCAGTATCCTACAGTGCCTTCCTCCTGCTCCCGTTTGTGCGCCTCGGTCAGCTCCGTGATCCGGTCGTCGACCTGGTCCTTGCCAAAGACCCGGGCGATGCTCCGTTTCGCCCGCTCGTTGTCGCCGTGCAGCACGCACCACCTCGGTGTTTCGGGCAACAGATTCGCGACGGCCAGGAGGAGGAGAGGGTAGATCTGCATGACGATGATGGGCACGCGCCACGCCCACTGGTTCCATTTCCCCAGGCCGTGCGTGACCCCGACGTTGAGGATGTACGCCATGTTCAATCCAAAGATGTTGGCTTGGAATTCCTGCGCCAAAGCCGTGCCGCGGGCGTCGTCTTCTTGTAGCTCCGAACTGTACACGGGTACAACTGCGTCGATGCCTCCTATACATACCCCCCCCAAAAAAAGGGGCGCGGTGTCAAAAACAGAAGTGCCACAATACATATGTATGAGGGGTTATGGAGATGGTGCGGACCTACCGACTCCAAGTCCCATGACGACCCTCCCACAGAGCATCGTCGCCAGGGCGCCCTGTTGACTGGTGCCACCGCCCATGCCCGCGACGAACATGAGCAGATTCCCCAGACTGGCTGTCACCAGGCACGCGAAGATGCCCGGCTTGCGGCCTTTGGCATCTGCGAACCGTGATGCCACCACCGCCCCCACGGCACAGCCCAGGTAGTAGACCGAGACGACCAGCCCGACCAGAGCAGAGTTTCCGGCAATGCCCATGGTATAGAGATAGTTGTAGTTTGTGTTGATCAGAGACATCATGCCTGGCAGTAGCAGAGCAGCAGAGATCAGTCATGGTCCTCTTTTTTTCCAGAAATTCATGTTGGGTATCTCACCTTGATCATACCCGTACAGGGCAATCGCCGTGGAACTGAACACGACCACCTGGGTCTGCTTGTCCATGATTTTCCTCAGACTGTACTTTCCCATCTTGCCGCCGCGGACGAGTCTCGTAGATCGAAATAGGTCCCTGCGATGATTTACTCTCGTTCACAGTTTGTCCCTCCACGAAAGCATCAAAAAGTCATCAATAACGTCAACAACGTAGTAGGACAAATACTGCGAGGGATCCGGATGGTGGGGCAGCCAGGTCGAAGCTCATCGGCATGGTGTCTGCAACTGTTGGCTGAACTGGGCTGGTTTGACTGCTTCGATAGAAAGGGTGGGGGGAGGAGAGTGGCCTACAACTCGCCAGCCAGACCTTGATTTATGTACATGTGTACTCGGTAGACGATTGACAGACAGGTATATACCCGCTGGTAGCTAGAAAGAAGTGGTGATGACGTCTTTCTGCTGCTAGCTATGGTGGCGGCTTGACCAAAGCTCTCCCCGCGTCTTGCTCGTTCAATGGGGCCACTCTGCGCACAAGTGGGATCGGCTGATCTTGCATTCCTGTAACAACTGCATACAATACCCATTGACATGAGTCTACCGAGGCCATGTGACTACGTGCAGGAAGACGGGGAACATCGGCGCGCTCTCGCCAGAGAATCAAACCGGCCAGCGAAATCTTCATCTTCGAAATTCCTTGTTCTGCTGATATTGTTACATTGTAACGCTCGGGCTGTGTCCGACACACCGACTTGGGCGTGGATAAATGTCATAAACTCATAGACCGCCGTTTGCGCCGCCTTTGCAACAGCTGATCTACCCGCTCCTCCTCTATGGATTGTCTATCAGGTACGAGCCCATCATACCGGCCAGCCGGCATGGGACCTTGCCCACCAAATCCTTCTCTCTCATCCAGGATATCGACGTGCCTGATGACATCGCCGTCAATCTCGTTTCGGAAGGCAAAGTCGGGACCCGGCTCTCTCCACCCGTATTTCACCCTCAGCTCCGCCAGTTCTTCCGCGATCTCTTTGCCGGTCAGCAAACAGCCATTGTCGCCCAGTTTCTCGACAATGGGACGTAGCAGTCGTGCAGTGCCCAGGAAGCTGTCGTCCCGAATGATGGCCGAGTTGGCCCAGGATATGACACCTATCAACGCCACCAGCTGAAAGAACGGTAGCAGTCCCAATATTGAAGCCGCCCATCGCCACTGTACAGTCACCTTTTGCGAAGGAACTGCATACCAGCCTAGTACATTCCGCCGTGGACCGTTGTAGTCGATTGCTGCCACTGCTTCAATGCCGAACTCCATGATTCGTTCAGATATCATGGTTGCGTTTGCAGGGACATTGGGGCTCCACCAGGTCTCCGTGTTGTATCGGACATATTGATACATATCATCCGGCGTGTAGTTGAACCCAGACCATCCAATCGCCCCAGCAATGATCTTTGCTTGCTGATTGGGCATCTCATATGACGCAGCCGGTTCTCCGTTGTTCAGGTATTCCTGGATTCCTTGCACCTCCGATATTCTGCTTTGGCACTTGAAGAAAGCTGCTTGTGGGATTGTATCGCCATTGGCGCTTTGCAGCGCCATCACTTCTGTGCATCGTGGCCCACAGGTCGAATTGAGCACACCGATATACGTCATTGCTCCCGGTCCCACATGCACGACGTCGAGGGTGGTTTTCTCTCCAGTCTCATCACGGTAAGTAACGTGCGCGTTGGTTCCGTTGCCGCCTGCGATGACTTGCAGCTGTTGGCAGGTGGCGGTTGTACTGATATTGCGGTGAGAGACCAAGGTGAGCTGAGGGTTTTGGATATTCTGATCTTGAAATACATATGTCATGACGCTCCAAGCAGGGTTGCCGTAGATGGTGGGAGTGCCGGGCGTCCCAAAGCTCGGAACTTTTCCCTGCCCGGGAGGATTGCCTTCAAGGAAGAGATAATCCTGGCCTTGAATGCCAAAAAAATTGGCAGAACCCAATTGCGCATCAAACTCGGGATCTTTGGCTCCCCAGACGTCACGGATGACGGTCAGATCAGCGATACTCATGTTACCGAATCGGCGTTCTGGAAAGCTGGAGGTGTTGAGGTTGTACGTCAACCCAAGCAAGGCCACAAGAACTTGCAAGAGGACGTTCAGTGACAGCCAGAAAGCACAAAGCCACTGTGTCGTGTTGAACCAGAACCACACGCCTCCAGGAGTCCTTGCTGCCCAAAATAGCCGCATGACCTTCCGCAGACTGTCGCAGCGCAACAACAAATCGAACTCGTTCAGCGGGCGGTATTTCGAAGCCAATATTCTCCACCGCATCATGGTTGCGTATTCTCGTAGCGAGCTTGTCAGATTGTTCCCGAGAAGGAGGGAGAGGAGCACGATGAGGGCATTGAAGGCTTTGACCTGTGTTACTGTCATCCACAAGAGGTTTCCGAAGGCTCCAAGGCATGCAGCCAAGAGGCCACAAAGCAGCGACGTGATGAACCATTGCCAGATGCACACAGTGAACAGCCGGCGACGTTGACGGTCAGGTTTGAACTCTCTGGTTGTCCGCGATTCCAACCCATAGCCTCCGGTTGAGACTGAGTGCCTCCATGGTTGTCGTAGTCGAGGAGGAGCGAACTTGGGGTAGGAGGAGCGATTGCTATCTGGCGAAGGGAGGCTATTGCTCCAGGTTAAAGACTCGGATAGGGATTCTGAAATCGGCTGAAGAGGTGGCTTCTCCATAGGAAAGTGTCGCAGGCATTATCTGAATGGCGTCTGGGATGATTGTAGGCGGTTTGATAGGAGTGAAAGAGGAGGTGTTTGTGGCATTGAGCCATCGGTGCTCGACAAGTGACCCATTAGAGTTTTTTCTTCTCGCGGAGTGACGGAGGGGGGCGAGGATCTTGTCTTTGGATTAGTGGCCAAGTCACTCCAATGTACCAAGCGGGCAAGATATCGAGATGGAGGGTGGCGAGTCCACTCGTGGTCCAGACTCGCAACGGAGAAAGAGAGCGGCTGAGAACAAGAATCAACATTGGGAAGCGGAGCGGCTGCACTTCCTCGTTCAGGCCAAGTGGGCAGAGGACGAGGCAATTGAGTCAATTGAGGGGGCTGAATGGGTGAGACTTCCCTTTAGCTTCTCGCTCTCGTCGCCTGTTGATCCGAAGTTTGTCGAGGAGTGGAGGAGTGGAGGAGTGGAGGAGTGGAGGAATGGGTGTTCCTGTTTCTCCCACCTCGTACAAAGTTCATGATTCATCTTCACATGTTCTCAGCTTTGTTCCTTGGGTCGTTTGAAGCTCGAAGTGCTGTTGCGCCATGGCCGTCACGGCCCACCACTGGGCTACCTACTAAGCACCCTCTAACACTTACACCTTTACCACTGAATCTACCACAGCGCCTATACCACAGCATTACAACACAGTACTACCTAGGTACTCAGCTAAAGTTGCGGGGCGAACGCCGCCTGCGATGACTGACTCGCTCACTTGACCTGCTTACCTAGGTAGCCAGCTCGGGCTACTAGGCCAAGCACCCCACGGAGCTCCCCTAAGCAAGGATTGAATGTCATCGCCGTCGACTTCTCCACGCCTTATCGATCCATCATCGTCTGTGCACTACATACTCGTACATCAGCTCTGTCTATCAACGCTACCAGCGCCAGTCGGAACTCTTTTGTTGCGAAGTTGTTCATCTATTCCATCATGGCCCAGGCCCTCAATCCCGCAAGACCACGCAAGCGACCCAGGGCGCTACAAGCGTGTCTATTTTGCCGCACCCGGAAAAATAAATGTAACGAGGAGATGCCGTGCTCCTTTTGCGTCGGTCAGCCATCCAACACCCTTCATGGCACGAAGCTCCGCTGATAGCCTCGGAAGCCCATGAGGTGGAATGTGTCTATTCCAGACCGTTGCCACCCCAAGAAGCAAAGTGGGCGTCCTGCCCTCCTAGATCTGCTCCTTGAATATCAAGCTCACATGAGGATTCCCAGAACGGTGGAAACGTTAGAGAGGAGGATAGAGGAGCTAACCCTCAAATTGAAACAAGCCGAAGAGGCTCTTTCTCATTCAAGGCAGAGCAGTCATCCGGCTCAACAATCGGCCCTAATGCCTGACTCAATGCCTTTGACCGAAGCCTTCCGAACTCATGACAGCCTCGCCTCAAAGGACGGCAGGACCATCAATCCAGTCCCTGCCGCTCCCGGGGCCGATGAGTCCACGGCCCAACGGGAAGGCTCTTGCACTCCGGACGGCGCAGATCTCAATGTTCACACACAGGGCTGGGAGTACTACGGCCCGTCTTCACCCGTCGCGTTTCTTCGCAAAATCCCCGGCCTGTCAGAGGAGCGGTCTGAATACTATGCTGAACAACCCTCCAGAACTTTCCTCGCTTCGCTTCTTCATAACAACATGTTCCCTCTGACACCGGCGGAAGGGGCTCTGACCCACACGGATCCGGAGACCTTTGCTCGCGAGCGACTTTACTTTAGAGTATCCAGGAAATTCATTGATGCCTATTTTGATAACCTCCATCACATACAGCCAGCCCTGAATCAAGAGAGATTCATGACTCGTTGCGAGGAATTGTGGTTCGGCCACCAAGTCACTTACCCATCCACATTCATCGCTCTGTATTATAGCGTTCTTTCCCTTGGAGCGCTCCTTGCGCATCCGAAACGCAGCAAGTTTCATGGTCTGGAGCATTTCGAGTGGAGCCGGATATTATTCAGAGAGGCATGTGAGGCCATGTTGCGCCTTGGGCATTATACCAACTTGGATATGGTTCAGTGCTATTACATGATGGTAATATCTCTTGAAAGCCATGTTGATATTACTGACACATTTTTCAGGCCAAAATTGCCCAGCACGAGCTGAACCCCCATAGTACGCTTCGAACTCCTTGACCATGTAGTCTCGGGACTGATGGTGATAGTCACGTACTTGTACACCGGTCAAGCTATCCGAATAGCTCTGAGTATCGGACTGAACCGCGCGTCCCAGGCTCCAGGGAACGCCCTTGAAAGGCACTCGACAGAATCAAGCCAAACCTGGTGGTCGGTATCGAAATCCGCTTGGCAAAGATCTTTGCTGACTCTGATCCAGGTCCCTTTACTGCCTAGACGTGTAAGCTAGCAGAGTTTATCTCAATCTCCAAAGCGGTCATTGACGATAACTAGCCAGACCAGCTTCGCTCTCGGTAGACCCGATGGCTTGGGCCCGGATGCATTTCATACTTGTTCCATTCCTGGTTCGTCAAGTGGTACTCCACAAGACGCCGGAAGCAACGACGATGCAAGCATTCAAATTCTGCCGACAATGGTAGCGTTTTCAAGAGTCATGCGACGTGTCGGCTCCGATCTCTACGCAACTCACTATCCATTGGTTACCAGACTTCAAAAGGCCGTTGACCTGGCTCGTGAGCTTGAACACTGGCTAGCAGAACTGCCGCCACGATATCAGGAGTCTAGTGATAGTATCACTCGCGCTTTGAAATCGACTTTGTCGGTGAGCTGCGAGGAAAAGCAAAGGATCGTCGTTTGGCTCCGTCCGTCACCCACAACCTCGTTATTCATGCTTTGTACTGACATTCCGACCAGGATATCACAATCTCCGGATGGTGATACATAGTTCAGTCATCGGCAATGTTCCAGAGAAGGATCTCAGAACCTGTGCGCAAGAGCATTGGGAACTGTGCATAAATTCGGCAATGAGGACCATTCAAATCATCCACGAAACCTTTCTTAAGTACAACTTCTTCCAGACGTGGTATGTAGGCTCGCTTCTGACTCATCGGTGGCGGCTGACTTTTGGTCTAGGTCTTACAATTCGACATACATCCTTTTTGCTGTAACAATCCTCTTCATTGGAGTGTTCCATCCTCTGTGTTGTGTCGACTCAGACCTGATTTTGGCCCATGTCAACCAGGCCATTGTTGTTCTTGATGCTGTGGAAGAAACGGTTGTGACCCGGAAAGCGATTGCCATCATCACCGAAACTCTCGCACGAGCAAAGGATCATTGCCGCCATGCTGTGACCCTGAAACCTTCAAATGCTATGCCTACAACGTCCCCGGCGGCAGTGAGCAATGCTTCTCCCAGTACAATCCTCAATTTCGCCAATGGCGCAGGTTCCTCTGCGATTGCACCATCGCATGCACTCTTCAATCAGGGTCTGCAGCCCCTAGGAGTAAATGGTCTGAACTACATGCAGGGAGGTTATGACTTTGAGACTTCATCCTTTTGGACTGAATGGGCACAAAGTTTAGGTGGCGTGACTGACATGAACTATGGATGCCCATGAGAACAGCCCCCGAGTCTACTCGACAAATATCACTGTCCCAACCTGAATCTGAGCGCACGGGGCAGCCCTCGCGGGAGGCAGCTCACGCAGACCCTAGAGTCGCCTTCGCTCCTTGACTCTGGATATATGCGAGCAGCGTCCACCCGACCTTCACTCAGAATGGAGCTATGCCTTGCCTCACACTCTTGAGGACGACGTGTCCTCTCTCAGACGGAGAGAACTCGTATGGATAAATCGATCACATTGCGTGACCAGCGAGCCACCAGAATTCGCGCGAGGGTACATCGATCTGAAATCGTCTCAACACTCGTGATCGTCAAGCTCGAAGATACCGCCACACTCCCAACGTGCAATGGCTTTGCGGTCAACTATTTCCACCCGTCGAAAGCAGACCATGGAGGACGGTATCAGTGCTTCCAATATCATGCATGGATAATGAGCACCTTGAAGCCCAATGTTCCACTGCTTCGGCAATTCGGATGCCATCGGCAAATGATGCGGCCATTTCCAAAATGCTGCCTTTTACCCAGTGTCCTCGTCGACCTTTCATTTCATCCAGCCCCCTTGCAAACGCTTCACTTGCCTCCTACTACACCGACTTCTACAAGGTGTGAATCCTACGATATTACTAATGGCTGCGGGAAATTGGCTAAAAGCTCCGACTGCGGAGTGAGTGAATACAGCAGCCACATCCACAGGACACTATGATCTCCGGTTTATGTGGTGGATTGTCGTCATCTTCCTGCGACCTTGTATGCATGCGAGCGAGAAAAAGATGGAGTTGAGCGAAAATACCTGGTTAGACTGCCCCAGAGCCGGTGGCAGGTCGGAGAATGGCCGCCGGTTAAAATACCACATATGAAAACACCCCGGGTAAAAGACGATCTGGGGCCTTTGACAATCCGTACGGGGCGATGCAGGTGGGTGCGGGGAGACCAAAAAGTACAAAGTACATATGTTGTACCTGCATGGGAACTTGTTTGGCCAGAGGATCGTCGACAAGATCAAGGGAGCCAAAAATGAGGAACCTCGTTGTCGCTGCTTTGGCCGCTGGCGTCTCTGCGTGGACCTATGCACCAAACACTACATACTCGGCGGCAATCTCGATCAATGCATTACAAACGTATCAGACCATGATCGGGGGTGGATGCTCAGGTGCATTTGGCATCGCCTGTCAGCAGTTTGGCTCCGTGGGCCTGTCTCCAGCGAATCAGGAAATTGTCACTCAGATCCTCTTCGACGAGAACATTGGAGGACTGTCCATCGTTCGCAACGACATCGGGTCGACTCCAGGCCATGTCCCTGGGGACGTTGCATCCATCCTGCCAGTCTGTCCGCCGACGCCAGAAGGGCCGTTCAACTATGTCTGGGATGGAAATGACACATGTCAACTGCAGCTTACGCAGACGGCACTCAAGTACAACCCCAACATCTTTGTGTATGCCGATGCGTGGTCTGCTCCTGGCTGTATGAAGACCGTGGGCACCGAGGACGAAGGCGGCCTCATCTGCGGCGTCAGAGGCAGTAGCAACTGTAGCGGCGACTGGAGACAAGCATATGCCGACTACCTGGTGCAATACGTCAAATTCTACGAGCAGGAAGGTATCGAAGTCTCGCTGCTGGGTGCTTACAACGAACCGGACTTCAACCCCGTCACCTACGCCTGCATGGAGTCGGACGGCTACCAAGCCAAAGATTTCCTGGAGATCTTGTACCCGACCGCGAAAGCGGCCTTTCCCAACATTAGTGTTGCGTGTTGCGACGCCACTGGCGCTCGCCAAGAGAGGAACATTTTGTACGAGCTGCAGCAAGCCGGAGGCGCAGATTTGTTTGACGTTGCTGTGAGTTCGCCACGGGTGGAGGGAAGCCCAAGGAGCAAAGCTGATGGATGCAGACATGGCACAACTACCAGAGCAATCCCGAGAGACCGTTCAACTCGAATGGAAAGCCAAACCTGATGACCGAGTGGGCCGATGTAGATCAAATCCCTCCCTCCCAGCCCTATCCAAGACTGACTGACAATCTGACACAGGGCTCGGGACCGTGGAATGCCAACTGGGATGTGTCCGGACAGCTCGCGTAAGGGACACCCACTCTACCCTGCATCCCTCCCCTGGATCTCGGTCACTAACTATTTTGCCAGCGAGGGATTCCAATGGGCCATGTACATGCACAACGCCTTTGTGAACTCGGACACGTCGGGCTACACGCACTGGTGGTGCGCGCAGAACACGACGGGCGACAACGCCCTGATCCGGCTCGACTACGACAACTACTTTGTGTCGGCGCGGCTGTGGGCGTTTGCGTCGTACTTCCGGTTCGCGCGCCCGGGCGCCGTGCGCGTCGAGGCCACGAGCAGCGCCGAGAACGTCTACGTCAGCGCCTACGTCAACACCAACGGCACCGTGGCCATCCCCGTCATCAACGAGGCCCATTTCCCCTACCAGCTGACCATCAACTTGGGCGCCGGCGGCATCAATGCCTCCACGGCCACGGCGTATTTGACCGACAACGCGCACAATGTCACCATGGTGGGACAGACGCAGATTGGCAGTGGCGGCGTGTTGGAGGCCACCATAGAGCCCAGGGCCGTGAAGACCTTCTTCTTGAGCTAGGTCCACCTCGGCTCCGGACCGTCCCTGCACTGGACAGCGACGATAATGATGTCTAATAACGCGAATTAAAAAAGGGGGGGACTGTAGAAATACTGGTGTTTAGTAGCACGTAGCCGTTGTAAATATGCGTTACAACATAACCAGACTACGTGAGAGACCACCCGGTGGTCTGCCGAGCGTCGCTCCCCTCCTCACACTCCTGGTATTCCCCAGCCTCGTCCTAGATCCCGATAGAACTATTGTCACTATTATTATAGCAAACAACGGCAAATCTCAATTACAACAACCATTTCCGACATGCGCGCTTCCATTCGTCAACACAGACGAGTCATTCTTTGTCGATGGGACGTCGATAGCCGGGTTCTCGGTGAAAAAGTCCGTGGGCTTGATGTGCAGCTGGTGGATTTCAACCGGCCTGATACCAACGTCAGTTACCTGGTAGTTTTGACACTTTACGGAACGATTTCGAAAAATGGATGGGACAAACTTACATGACGGGCCAATCCTCCACTCGGGGATTATGGGTCAGTCCAAAGACATTCCACACCACGACGTCCTCATCCTCGACCAGCTCGTTGCGCTTCACGGCGTCGGCAACACCGCCGATTTCATTTTGACTCTGCAACGTATATCTGCCGCCGGCGTACAGCTCGCCGTCGAGGTGTTTGGTCACCCAGACGTGATGCTGTGCGAATAGCGCCCGCTTGGATTGGACGGAATCGGGGTCCGCAAGGAGCAGTTGCGTCGCCGCCGGTGTGAACTTGTACCCGACCGGTTTGCCACTGATGGGGTTGGTCTTGCTCCTATTGACCATCTTGATGACCCGGTTGTACTGCGGGGCGGCGTCTAGGCAGGAACTTTTGTCGATGACCGTCTGTCGGACTTCGTAAAAGTTCCCTTGCGGATTGGTCGTTTTGTTGATCGGCACGCGATGTGACTCCTCTGCGAGGACGGTGTTTTTGTACCCGTCGATGGCCGGGTCGATGCGAACACAGAAAACATGCTGATGGTTCTGTGCCAGCGCGCCGGGTGACACGACATTTCCGTATGGGCTGGTCTTTCCTGGATCGATGTTGACGACTGACACAATACCCGTCGCGCGAGTTTCAACGGTGATTCCACCTGCCTGGTCAAATTTGTAGGCGAAGATGTATTCATAATTGGCTAGGGTGATGATGAACTGGACAACCAGCTCACGATACCGTGTGACGACAGCACGTCCCGTCCGCCAATTCGTGTGCTTCCACCCAATACCATTGTCTTGTTCGTGCAGACAGATGACGTTGGGGGCGATTTTGGCGGTGCCATCTGGACCGGTAACGATACCATCGAAGTATTTGATGACTCCAAGGCAGTCACAGCCCAGGGAGAGGTTGTTGGCACAGTTTCCTGCTCCGCCATCACCGAAGTCGAAGGCCTGCTTCCGAGGGAAAGGCCCCCGAGGATCCGCATAAGGTACAGTCATTTCGCTAATGCTCAGCCTGTGGATCACGCTTCTGCCGCCAAAATGAACGTCGTGTACCACCGCGCCTTCTCGCGGGTTGAAACTGACACGGAATCTCCAGTTTTGCCATTCAATCAGCCCTCCGTCTACCGAGAAGGAAGGACCTTCTGGTTGCAGCACGTTGAGAGGCTTGAGGTTCTTCCGGGTGCCATTTCTCAGGAGCTCGGGCACATATTCGGAGGTCTTGCAATGGTCGATGATATTCTTGGCGTGCGTCTTTGCATCCAGCGCATCGCCTTTGCCACCGGTTGCAAGTCGGTCGATTCGGATGATTTCTCTTTTGTGCGCGTCCATGACAGGTATGAAAGGCAAAGGATAGGCGTAAAAATTCGAGTCAGGGTTGCCAGGTCTTGTGTCTCGAGCAAAGCACAGACCCTGGAAGTAGCGTCGGTTTTCCTCGTCTGGAGACAAGCCACCATACGGCCATGGTTCGACGATGACCTCGAATCCCTCTGGCAGTGTGAACTCGGCACAGATGTCTTTGAACATTTGAGAGGCCTTGCAGACCTCGACGAGTACGTCAAATTCCGAGCTGACGTTGTCGTTAGCAATGTTTCCAAGCATCACATCCAAAGCATACGTACAGCGTCAAGCTTGCATGCTGAGACTTGTCGACTACAACATGTGAGACCCTTTTTTGTTCATCGAGATCGACAATGGCTTCGTGGAACTGGGGGACCCTATCGGCCCCGATGACATCGTACTGCACCAGAGCACGTCGAGGTAGGGGAGCAGCATTCCTCCCAGAGTGCTCTGCCAACAAATATTGAATGAGCTGCTCTTTTGGCGGTTCATCCAAGTATATCTCACGAAAGCTCAGCACAGCGTCGGGATGGAGACCAAGAATGAGGTCACGAGCACTGTTGGTCTCCTCTGCTGAGAGGATGTCTAAGGGGTGAGGTGCCATTGTGAAGAATAGAGAAGCAAGTGAAGAGTGATGGAAAATACATGATAGTCATAATCACGAAGGAGCCGGCTTTTATAGGCCCAAGCAATCCTGACACGGGAGACGGGGGAACTTAGGACTCAGAACTTTCCCTTACTTGCAGAACGAGGTCCCTTGAGGTCAGAACCCTGCTCTCACTGACACCCCTTGGACATCAAGAAAGGAATGAGCAATAGTGGATGTCGTTCGAGCATTCCCTGCACAATAGATGAAGCATTTCGGCTGCGGTTTCCTAATTCGAGGGGTCCAGGGAGTGCATCATCAATACATGGTAAGCCACGGAAGAAAACCAGCCGCCGACGTGGCAAACTGGGCGCGTATATGTCTGGCGGGAAAGTGAGCAAGCCACTCGCGTCGCCGCGTCGACACAGAGAGTAGGCAACCGCGAGCTCATTAGATTGGTTGAGGATCAGAGGTGCATAGCATAGCAGAATTTGAAAACGAAGTTGGAAAGAGAGGGCGGAGAGATTTCCAGGCCGGCACCAGCGGTGCATTTAAAGTATGCGCAATTCGACCTGATTGGCTATATACTCGATACTGTGGGCCATTCCCCAGCCATGGCGGAATCGCCCTCCGCGCTCCTCCACGGATCATCCTCCTCCACCCTGTCTTTCCTGTTCCGCTACGATGGGTACGCAACGTCTTCCAGGCTCGGAGTTGCCCAGGTACCCCTACTGCCATGCCATGGGCTCTGCCACAGAACTGCAAAGGCCGTCAAGCTACGTAACGCTCTGTAATGCTACTGGCCGGCTGTGTGATGAGTGTGGCCGCAAGCCAACCTGTTCTCCGCGGTGGGGACTACCCCGGGAAAGGAGGTTCAGAGATGCTGAAACACCTCACCAATGGTGCTCTGGCTTCCGGGGAGGATTAAGTGCTGTGGGAAAGCATTTAAGAATGCCTCGGCGCCCATGTGGTGGTGCAGTGTCAATCCAAGGCATCCCAAACGCTCGCAAACATGGACGTTGAAAAGCTGCCACAGGAGATGGAGGAAGTGGAGACTGCGCAACCCGTCAACAGGCGGTCGCTGAATGACGAACAATTGCTCGCCGCCCTCGGCCACAAGCAGGAGTTGCAGCGGGACTTTTCAGTATGGTCGCTGGGTTGCTTGTGTCTCTGTCTCATGGCGACATGGGAAGCACTGTCGTCCGTTGTTGCTGCTGCCTTGATCAGTGGTGGCGCACCGTGTCTCTTCTACAACTAGTATGGTCCTGCGGATGAGCCTCGATACTACTTCCTCCGCTTTACTGACGGCGTAACAGCATCATATCTTTCGTGGGAACCGTGGCAATTGCTCTCTCACTTGCGGAAATCTCGAGCATATGGCCCACGGCGGGAGGTAAGAAAGAGTTCCATCCCCCATATACTCGAGCCTCGACTGATACCCCGTCAGGTCAATACCATTGGGTCGCTGTCCTCGCGCCACCAAATTCCAGGGTTGTTGCGTCCTGGTTCACCGGATGGATCTCTGTTGGGGGTCAAATCGTCCTGACAGCTTCCGCAGCCTTTGCTGCCGGCCTCCAGTTTCAAGCCTTGATTACACTGAATCACCCCAATACATATATTCCCGAAAGATGGCAGGGCATGCTCTTTTACTGGCTTGTTCTACTCTATGCTGCCGCCGTAAATATCTTCGGCTCGAAGGTCTTGCCGCACACTAATCTTGTTTCTGGTGAGCATGAAGATAATAACCCTCTCCTTTTCCACTTCTAATTATCCCCAGGGATCCTGCATATCGTTGGGTTTCTCGTCATCTTCATTGTCCTTGGGGTCATGGCACCCAAGCACTCTGCCGACTACGTGTTTGTCCGAGTGTCGAATTCTAGTGGCTGGGGCAGTGATGGTATTGCATGGCTCGTCGGGCTCCTCAGTTCGGTTTATCCATTCCTCGGGTACGTCTAGTCGCCTTGTTCTCGAGTTGCAACTAAGCATGTGGTGCAGGTATGATGCCGCTGCACATCTTTCAGAAGAGATGCCCAGGCCGAGTCGCAATGTGCCAATCGCCATGATCGGTTCGGTCGTTGCCAACGGCATTATCGGTTTCGCTTACTGCCTGATGCTCTTGTTCTCCCTTGGTGATCTACCAAGTCTTCTCGAATCACCCACTGGCTTTCCCTTCATGCAGCTATACCTCAATGTCACCAAGTCCCCTGCCGGAGCCACCGTTCTGTCGCTGATAATATGCTTGATCGCCACTGCTGCAAACGCGGCAGGGCTGACATCAACAAGCCGCACATTCTGGGCCTTTGCACGAGACGAGGCGACCCCTTTTGCAAAGTACTTCGCTCATGTCGACGGTGCGCTCAAAGTCCCGGTGCGAATGATCGTTCTCGTCTCGGTCCTCCAAGCTTTGCTAGGATTTATATATCTGGGAAACACGACAGCTTTTAATGCAGTCCTTTCTATGGCGATTATCGGCATGTATCTGTCTTATCTGCTGCCAATTGTTTACATGGTCATCTACGGACGGTCGAAGCTCTCCAGAGATGACTATGGGCCTTTCAAGCTCGGCAAGGCGGCAGGTGTTCTCGTCAATATAGTCGCGATCGTATGGCTCATTTTTGCCATGATCTTCAGCACATTTCCAAACTTTCAGCCGGTGACCGCCCAGAACATGAATTATTCGACAGTGGTGCTTGCTGGTTGGGTCGGAGGAGGCGCTGTCTATTACTTTTTGAAAGCAAGGAATGTGTACACTGGGCCTGTGATTGAGATGGAGGCATCGAGCTTGACCGTGATGGGATCAAAATGAAAAGGTACTTAGACCCGGCGATGCATTACTGATGCACTTCGATGGGCCTCTAAAACCACCCAAGTTCCGTCAAACTGTGCGAACTTGATGGTGATATGCTCTCGTTGAGAACGACAGTTGTAACCTTCCAGTCATAAGGATGAGTAGTCTGATGCAACAACATGTATTGTGGTTGATGTTCTGAGATCGAGTTCAGGCGGAAGGCGATGTCGACAGATGCCACTTTCCGCGGCCGATCTCCGACGCAAGGCACCCCAGAAATCTTCCTATATTATCAACAAACCCGTCATATCCCTCTTTTCCTCACTAGCATTCAAGTTGTCCAGGATCAACACTATCATGGAATGAGCCCCAACCACTCCGTCGAGACTGTCTGCTTGCAAACCAAAATGTGGGGTAAAGGTTGAATAAGGGTCATCGAGTACGGGGTCGTTTTTCTCTTCCTCACAAACAGACCCTTTGCAGGGCTGACAGCATAACTGAAATGAGATCTGCGGTTACATCCCAGAAGCACCGTCTTCACTTCGGGAGAGATGCTCAATCAGCAGGTACCGATGACCCAGGGGGCCCGTTCGAATGCGAATTGGGGAAATGCCAACACCAAACCGATTTTCCCCAAAAACCCATCTGCTTCAGGGATGCCGACAAGCCCCACCATCAGGCTGGCGCAAAGCGGAGTCGAATACAATCGAGTCTGGACTGCCTGCGAGGCGGCGACGAATTTTTGGTCGAGGTTTCAAATACGAGGCTTCGAGACGGTTAGAAAATACTTCGTTCTGGGGACATTTTAGAGGGCGCTGACAGCATCTCTTATTACTCCCTGCGACGAGATCTCAACATGGCTGAGTTGTTCCCGTGGTCGTTTTGTGCGCAGCATCCCGTCTTGGGGATTGCTTTGCTGGGCGCTTTGGTCCTCGTTACAGTCTGGAGACTGAAGGAAATTGTCAAGGCTCGAAAGTACAAGTTACCACCGCGTATCCCGGGAGTACCAATATTCGGCAATACCTTTCAACTACCTCCTCTAAAGCAAGGGGTCTGGGGCATGGAAATGGCAAAGAAATACGGCGAGATGTAAGACTAAACCGCCACTGTTTGCATGAGAATGATTGAGAACAAGGCTGAGGCTCTGAGTCCCCTGATCACAGGTTCACTTGCAGCATTGGCGGCAAGACGTGGGTGTTTCTGAACTCGTCCCGCACCGTCAACGACCTGATGGAGAAGCGGTCGTCCATCTACTCGTCGCGTCAATACATGCCCATGGCGTCGGGCGTCCTGTCGGGCGACAACCGGATCCTGCTCATGCCCTACGGCGAGCGATGGCGGATGATCCGGCGCATCATGCACTCGATCCTCAACAAGCAGAATTCCCCAATCTTTGCGCCCTTCCAGGACGTCGAGTCCAAGCATCTCCTCTACGACTTCCTCCACCACCCGGAGCTGTGGTACTCGGCCACACAGCGCTTCGCCAACTCGGTCATCATGAGTGTCGTCTTCGGCAAGCGCATGGAGCTGGAGGACCCCAAGATCCGCGAACTCTTCGAGACGTCCAATGCCATCATAGAGGCCATCCAGCCTTCGGCTAACCTTGTGGATTCGCTGACCTTTCTTGAAAAACTCCCGAAGCCCTTGCAATGGTGGCGGCCGAGGGGGGAGGCCATGTTCCAAAAGACTGTCAAGTAAAGCCCGCTTCCCCTTAAAAAAAGTTACTACCGCTGACCCCAAGGATGTAGCATCTACAAGCGGGAGGTGGAGGAATTGGAGCAGAAAATGAAAAACGGCACCGCGAGGGACTGCTTCGCGACCAGATTCCTTAGGGACCCGGAAACGAAGAGCTACGGACCGACGCAGACGTATTTCGCCCTGGGCTCGCTCATGGAGGCCGGCAGTGACACGTCGCGCATGACCATCAGCCAGGTCATGGCCGCTGCAGTGCTCGACAAGCGGTGGGTGGTCACGGCGCGGGAAGCCCTCGACAGAGTCTGCGGGAGCAACGCAGAGCGCCTGCCGACCTTCGACGACCGGATCGATCTACCCTACATCACCGCGACGGTCAAGGAGGCGTTCCGCTGGCGCCCGTTTGCCGAGATCGGTGTACCGCACATGCTCATCCAGGACGACGAGTACGAGGGCTACAAGTTCCCCGCGGGGACGTTGTTCACGTGGAATGCGACGGCCATCGCCATGGACCCGCGCGAATACGAGCAGCCCGAGCGGTTCTGGCCCGAGAGATTCCTCAACGACGACCTCGATCATGTCTTGAAAGGGCATTGGAGCTTTGGTCCAGGTATGTGATTCCTTCCCCCTCCTGGGCCCTTTTGGACAGAGAGAGAAACGTGTGGAAACGATGTTAACACATCCCTTATGGGAAATCCAGGTCGGCGCGTATGCTCGGGATACAATGTGGGAGAGACGAACGTCTGGATCGTGGTGGCGCGGTTGCTGTACTGTTTCGACTTTGAGGGTGTTCCCGTGAGTCTGGCCCCTGGGACCTTGGAGCCCTTTGCCTTTGCGCTCCTAGTCCTTTTCACACTAACAAATGCTCACTACAGGGAAAGCCTTTTGACTCGTTTCAGGTCAACTGGGGGGAACATCGCTTCGCCCCATTCGACGTGTCAATCAGAGTTCGCAGCCCTCAGCACGCGGCCTTGATCGAAAGAGAGGGAAGGGCGGCGGTGGACACCAAGTACTGAGTGATCGGGCGTACCTCACACGTTGCATAGGTAGTCGTGAGTTGGAGCAGGATGCATAGACACCATCCTCCATAGCCCATATGGCTTACCTAGGTATACTGTAGCTAATGCGGTTGAGCGTGCCACCCTTGATTACCCCACATATTCCGTATTTCCTATTTCCTATTTCACACTCGTTGCGGACTCCCACTGTGGAGAGGAACAAAACCCCACTCAACCCCCCAGGAAACCATTTGTATCGTGAAGGGTAAGGGTGGACAAGGCACTGTCCGGGGGCCATACTTGTATCGCCGAAAAACAAAACCATTACTCTCCCTGAAATCCAACGAACAGTTTGGAGTAAATCAAGAACATCTGACACATCGAGGTCCTTCCTCTGTCCAGCGTTTGATTCCGTTGTTGTCGCAAAACAGGTCTGGACCAATCGTCCGCTTGGGCCCCCTTGCCTTCGTCCGTTTCCTTTTTCCCATATTCTGTGGGGCTTTTTGTGTGTTTTTGCAGCCTCGGTGGTGCCACCTTGTTTTGGAGCATTTCCCAGAGCAATATTATACGTCTCTTGAGTCCGGGGATAAAAAAAGGTATATTCACAGGTTCCCTTTCCCATAGCGTCCCGTCCCAACATCACAATAAAAAAAACGAGTGTCTGGTACGGTGAAAGTGGATCATTCAAGAAATCGGAAAATGGGGAAGCAAACGCCTGTTAACAAGGTGGGTAGTTCACTCTCCCCACAGCAGGAGCAGCAGGAGCAGCAGTAAGGCTTGGATACATATCCTGACAAGCATATCTAGATGATCATCGTGGGCGCTGGCCCGTCGGGCCTACTGCTGGGTATCCTTCTGGCCAAGCAAGGGGTCAAGGTTTCAATCCTCGAGGCAGCAGGCGAACTGGACAAGAATCCCCGAGCGGCTCACTATGCCCCTTCAGCCGTCTACGAGTTGAATCGGGCGGGCGTTCTCGACGAGGTCAAGAAACAGGGGATCCATCCCGATGCCGTCTGCTGGCGCCACCCGGACGGCACGTTCATCGCGGGCATCCGGAGTCGGTTCGACATCGAATTCCCCATGGTCTGCCTGCCCCTGGATCAACTCGACGTCATCCTCCTCCAGCATTTTCTGGCGCAACCGGGCACCGAGATCTTGTGGCACCACAAGGTCGTCTCGATCGACCAGGACGAAAACGAGGCGAGGGTCCACGTCGAGACTCCCGAGGGGAACAAGACGTTCGGCGCCGACTACATCGTCGGATGTGACGGGGCAAACAGCCAGATCAGGCGGTCGCTCTTTGGTGACCTGAACTATCCCGGGGAGACGTTGCAGAAGCAGATCATTGCCACCAATGTAAAGCCCTCCCTCCCTCGGCTGGGACAAAATGGGCCAAAAAAGGAAAAAGAAAACTGAAACTGACGGGGGTCCTCAGGTATATTACGACTTCCACAAATTCGGGTACTGGGACTCGAATTTCATCATCGACGAAAATGACTGGTACATGGCAGCAAGGATCACCCAAGATGGCCTGTGGAGAGTAACGTACGGTGATGTATGGGGCCTGTCGAACGAGGAGTATCTGGCAAGACAGCCCGAACGGTACGAGAAAATCCTGCCTGGGCATCCGAAGCCGGGAGATTATAAGCTCGTCAGCGCCAGTCCGTACAAGCTACATCAACGATGCGCAGATTCGTTTCGAGTGGGGAGATTTTTGCTCGCCGCCGACGCTGCTCATTTGTGCAACCCCTTGTAAGTCCTCCGGCGTGGTGAAATGACTCAGGCTGACATGCCCGGCTCTAGCGGTGGGCTGGGTCTAACTGGCGGAATCGCCGACGTAGGGAGCTTGTTTGATGCTCTCGTGGCGTTGAAAGAGGGAAAGGCGGACGACAGCATTCTGGACAAGTACAGCGAAGTCCGGCGCAAGAAATGGGCCGAAATTATCGACCCTATGTCTCGAGCGAATTTCCGGCGTGTCTGTCTAGACGAAGCCGAGTCGGAGAGACAAGAGTTCTGGAATCTTTGCAAAAAGATGGAAGAGGATGACGAACTGGCGCGCCAGATGGCACAGGTGAGAGAGATACATATGTGCTTTAGTAGGGGTTCACAACCGCGCTGACGTCCTTTCCAGGGAACGAATATTTTGCGAGAAGATTTTCGGGAGTATGTGACGGCTGGTGCAGCGTAGGCAGAGTTGACGGGGAGGACGGATTTGTCTGGCATCATTGGATTTGTTGATGATGACACTTCAGTCTCTAGATCATCACAAGAAGTCGTATTCCTTGAACTACTAGCAAACAACGTAGCCAGAGCATATTGAGTGAAAGACTTCACCCCTTCTCTTGACAATCAAGAACATTGTTGAGAGAGGCAACTTCAGACACAGATGTTCTCTCTGGTTATGTACCACCCAAGGGGTATTTCTCCAGGATAATCATCGTACACAAAGTGTTGACCTGCCTGAGCATTGCTGAGTTCCTGTGTGACCTGGGGAGAAGCCAGCATTGGCTGGAAAAGGGACCCGGCGAACATCTGGAGCCGCAAAAAGAGCGTCGTGGGTTCAGCGACAAGAACACATCGAGGTATCCTCTGAGAACCGATGATGTCGTGAAAGCTGCAGTCGAAGGAGGGCAATGTCCTCTTTATATAAGGGGATGCGAGGAATGAAAGACAATATATACCAAGGACGATGTTGATTCTATGGTCGAATTCAACTTGTCGTCATGGCTTGGCGGAGATGGACTTCCCCCTCAGAATCGATCCCTCGATCCATCGAGTGGAGTTCCCAAGGTTGCTTGTAAAGAGGCTGCCTGCAACCTCTCATTCGTCCTGCAACACAAATCCGGGTCGTGGGATATCGTCGAATCTTGTCATTGTTGTTCTCCTCTGTATCGTTTTGCGCTCTAGCGAAGAAGCATTCGATGTCTGCGGACTGAGCGTCGCTCTCATCTCCGCAGTTCTCGCGCGTCCAATCCTACACCGACATCGATGACAGTGCTATCTCAATCGAGCTCATCACGATCCGGTTTCAATCCCGACCTCAGCGACGACGAGCCAACCTCATTTTCTCACCCATCGTACTTGCTGCACCCGAATTTGACAGCGTTTTCGAGATTGAAGTTCGTGCGCCTTTTCGCCGAGTCCTCATTCCAAAGTCGGTCGGCAAATCTATCCGGACCGCTATAGTTCCCAAGCAAGAGCTGGCATACACTCCTTTTGGTGGCGGGATAGGGGAGGATGGCGGACTTTAGCCTTGTGCCCGGTGGGCACGGTAGCAATTATACTGGCATGCTCACAAGGAGCATCGTCTTCTCGGGAGCGCTTTTCGTCTTCCTTGCAGGTATGCACATCTCACTCTGTTGACACAGCGACCGAGGTGACTGACCATTTGTCTAGCGTCAGGGATGACTATAGCATCAATCGCCATTCCCGACTGGATATCCTTCGACGGGAGCACAGTGAGTGGACATGCCGGGGTATACGGTGACAGCTGACAGCGAGAACAGAATCACGGGACTTCGATACGCTACAGTTACGGACTACATCGAAGATGTTCGAATACGAACCTGCCTCCTTCAAACATCTCGTATACCACTGCCTCCAATTGGCATTGCACACAGTTCCCCCGGTATGAAGATTGCCGGGGTGATGACCGATACTTCTGCAGCATGTGGAGATCAGTGGGCTTTTTAATGTCCTTTGCAGTGGTGCTGGAGGGCATGACACTTGCCGCATTTGCAGTCCTGCTCGTTGGCGGGAAGCAGAAAAGAGAACAAGGTTGGGGCGTCCTCACAATATTGGTGGCATTGGCAGCGTTTGTGCAGGCCGTTGGAATGGCGTTGATGGTAAGAAGTGGCCCACTCCATGGCGCGAGTTACAACTGACCCCCACAACAGGCATATTTGTACGAGAACGACGAGCGATTTTTCTCCGGCTGGTATCTTGACAAGAGTTGGACCATGTGTACAGTTTCATGGAGTTTTGAAGCCTTATGTGCGGTTGCCATTACTCTGGCAGCAGTGACGCTGCCGAGTGAAGGAGGATACGAATTGATTCCAGACCATGGCTAATCCGGGTTCCAAATGATTTGAATACGCCACATATTGAGTTATATTTGAAGATGTGATGGCTTTGTACCCTCGGCGCTGGCAGGGCTGGAGCAGGGTGTCGCTTTGGCTGCAAATGTTTGATGTTGTGAGCTTAGTTTGCATCCATGGGAATATACACGGGTCCCTAGAAGGCTATTAGCTAGCGGCTGTAATATAAAGTGAGAATGATGTCGATTGATGTCATCGCAGAGACTGTGTTTGAGTGGTTGAGGGCCTTTGTGAGCATAAGGCGGTGTTGCGAATACTCGGTTGTAGGCCGGCTATCGCTGGTAATCCGGAGTATCAACATGTGAAGATTCGGCCCGAAGGGAGAGAGTATAATACTGAGAATGCGGCATAGCCTCCCGCTGCCTTTCACCTCCATTCCACTGCACGTGATGGTCCAATCAAAGTCTCTGCTTTATTGGGCTAGGCTTAGGGGCCTTGTTAAAGCGCCGAACTCCAATATCCGTCTCTCGTAAAGCTTGCGAGCTTAGCTTAGTCAAAAGTTGAGTAAATGCTGGGCACCCACTGGGGGTAGTGTTGGCGTACAGCGTCTCGTGTCTCGTATCTCGCTGGCAACTCCGGCCACAGCACGCAAAGTTATTACCGAAGGTGGTCAACGCTCAGACTGGCTCGTGCTTCATTCGAAACCGTCCTGCCTGATAGCTGACGGGTGTGTGCCGACTATGAATATTATACCTAGGGATCGTCCAGTTGGCGGGCCGATAATCCCTCCGGTTCCTGAATCCCTCTGTGTCACATCTTCGACTGTTGTCCCGCGGTCAGGTCAGTGCAGCTTCACCGATCACCTTTTCCACGAAAGGCAATTGCTGCCCTTAGTCAACCGTGGGACGTGGGACGGACCTGCTCATCATGTCAACTGTTGCGAAACGTCAGATGTCAACATCAAAACCTCAACGGCTGAAGCCAAGCCGGAAAGTCAATAAGAACGACATGCCAACTGCCCAGCTCGAGCTCCATCGACTTCCAGTGTGCTTAAATACCTTTGTCCCCCCGATTTCACTTCATTCTCAATCTGCCCACCCCTAAATTTGCTCGATTGTGGTACATTACTACCCTCCCCCTACTGTCGACAACCGTTCAGAGATCGACAACATGTCGACCCCAATTCCTTCGCCTCCCGGCATCCCAATTTTGGGCAACGTCTTGGACATTGACCCAAACAACGCCAATCAGAGTCTCCGTCATCTGGCCGACAAATATGGTGGGTATCTCGATGCCCTTGGCGCCGATGCAGACCGATCATGTTGCTAACATTCGCATCGAAGGCCCCATCTTCAAGTTGAGCGTCTTTGGTGCCGACAGATACATCATCAGCTCGGTCGAATTGCTCAATGAGATTTGTGATGAAAAACGCTTTCACAAGGCGGTGTCTGGTGCACTAGACCAGGTCCGCAACGGAGTAGGAAGTGGCCTTTTCACTGCCTACCATGGCGAGCACGATTGGGAGGTCGCTCATCGAACCCTTGTGCCTGCCTTTGGTCCGATCGGCATTCACGATATGTGTATGGTTTCTCTCCCCACGCGAATCAATGCAGCCGCTGATGTTTCTAGACGACGAGATGTACGACATTGCAACCCAGTTGGTAGCAAAGTGGGCGCGCGTTGGGCCCGAGCAGAAGATTGCAGTCACAGACGACTTCACGCGATTGACCCTGGACTCCATCGCGCTGTGTGTCATGGGCAAGCGCTTCAATTCCTTCTACTCGGAGAAATTGCACCCCTTCGTCGATGCAATGGTGGGATTCTTGCTGGAATCTGGGCGCCGGTCTCAACGTACGAGAATTGGATCACTTCTCAGCCGATCGGCCGACCGCCAGTACTTCGAGGACATCAACACAATGAGGACCGTCGCCAAGGAAATGGTTGAGTACCGCAGAGCCAATCCGGTCGACAAGAAGGATTTGCTCAATGCGATGCTTTTCGGAAAGGACCCGAAGACAGGAGAGAAGATGACAGAGGACAGTATCATCAACAATATCATCACTTTCCTCATCGCCGGGCACGAAACAACATCGGGGCTGCTTTCCTTTGCCTTCTACCAGCTTTGCAAGAACCCTGATGCAATGCTAAAGGCTCAGCAGGAGGTGGACTCTGTGGTTGGTAAGGGCCCGGTGACGGTGCAGCACGTGACCAAGCTGCCCTATATCGAGGCAGTCATGAGAGAAACCCTCCGACTCAACCCCACAGCCCCTGGGTTCACTGTGAAGCCATTGGAGACTGTCGCTGGACCTGTGGTCCTTGCTGGAAAATATACCATTCCTCCCGGCCGCCCCATCATTGCTATGCTATCAAAATGCGGACGTGATCCGCTCGTCTATGGTGCGGACGCCGAAGAGTTCAAGCCCGAGAGAATGTATGGAGAGAATTTTGCAAAACTGCCACCCAATGCTTGGAAGGTAAAGTCGAACCCAAATGATTGAATGGTGGATTCATTATTAACTGATTGCCAGCCTTTCGGGAATGGCGCTCGTGGATGCATTGGCCGTCCTTTTGCCTGGCAAGAAGCGATCCTGGCCATTGCTCTTATCCTTCAAAACTTCAACGTCAGATTGGACGACCCATCGTATCAACTGCAGATCAGACAGACCTTGACCGTCAAGCCAGACAACTTGTTCCTACGAGCCACTTTGCGCGAAGGCATCGATCCTCTGAAGTTGGAGAGGAAGATGTATGCAGGTCTTGAAACCGAAGACGCTCATCACAAGGAACGCAGTTCTTTGGCCAAGAAAGTTGGTGACGCGGGAAAGCCGATGCTGATCCTTTACGGTTCCAACTCAGGCACTTGTGAAGGGCTGGCGCAGGGTCTTGCTGGTGGTGCGGCTAATCGGGGCTTCAGTGCTACCGTGAAGTCTCTGGACGCTGCTGTCGACCAGCTCCCAAGCAATCAGCCTGTCGTCGTCATCACCGCGAGCTACGAAGGCAATCCTCCTGACAACGCCGGAGGGTTCGTTGAATGGCTCAAGACGGTGGATGCTGAAAAGGTTAAGAATGTGCAATTTGCTGTCTTTGGCTGTGGCCATCACGACTGGGTCACGACTTTTCAGAAAATCCCCAAACTGATCGACTCCGAGTTGGCCGCGAAAGGGGCGAAGCAAATTGTGGAGCGCGGACAATCCGACGTCGCCGAGGGAAAGGTGTTTGACGACTTTGACGAGTGGCAGGACGGCAAACTGTGGCCTGCTCTATCTGTTGGTGGTGGAGCTGACGAAATCCCGGAAGCTTTAGACATGGAGATCAGCACCACCGCTCGTGCTTCCCACCTCCGGCATAATGTGCAGGAGGCATTGGTCCTGGAGAACGAGCTGTTGACTGATCCCTCAATCCCAGAGAAGCGCCACACCGAGTTCAAATTACCAACCAACATGACGTACGAAGCCGGAGATTATCTTGCTCTGCTACCAGTCAACAATGTGCGGACAATCTCGAGGGTCCTCAGCCGATTCGGACTGCCTTGGGACGCATTCATGACACTGGCCAAAGGCGCACATACCACCATCCCAACGGAAACACCCATTGCAATCACAGCGGTACTTGGAGCGTATGTGGAATTGAACCATCCAGCCAGCCGCAAACACATTGCGGCTCTGAGCAAATACACCAAAGACGAATCTGTTCGCAAGCAAGTCGCAGAAATCACTGAGCCCTTGTCCGTTCTGGAAATCATGGAGAAATATCCCAGCATCGAGCTGCCTTTTGCCGTCTACCTCTCCATGCTCACACCCATGCGCATCCGCCAATATTCCATCTCGTCCTCGCCACTGCAGGACCCGACCAAGGTCAGCATCACATACACTGTAGTCGGCGCGGGCACGAGCCATATTGGCGTTGCGACGAACTACCTCAAATCCCTGCAGCCGGGCTTCGCAGCGCAGCTGATGATTAAGAAGTCCCATCCGAGCTTCCACCTCCCACTGGACACAAAGACTCCCATCATCATGGTCTGCGCCGGTACGGGTCTGGCGCCATTCTTGGGGTTCGTCCAGGAACGCGCCGTGCGCATGGCCGCCCTCGGCGAAAGCGGAAACCGCGACAATGCCTTTGGCGAGGCACTCTTGTTCATCGGTTGCCGCTACCACGACAAGGACCGGTTGCAGGCGCAGCAGATCGACGAATGGGCCAAGCAGGGCGCGGTGAAAGTGTTTTATGCCTTCAGTCGCGAGCTCGAGCGCTCCGAGGGGTGCAAGTACGCGCAAGACCGGCTCTGGCGCGAGCGCGAGACAGTCTTGAACCTGTTCAGTGAAGGTGCCAGGGCGTATATCTGCGGCAGCGCGGCATTGGGCAAGGGCGTCGCGGACGTCGCTGCAAAGATCGCCGTGGAGGACGCCGAGAAGAAAGGAAAGGACATGTCTCATGAAAAGGCCTTGAAGTGGTGGGAAGATCTGAGGGGTGAGCGCTATGCGGTCGATGTCTTTGACTGAGTGTGGTGATGGGTGGTGATGGGTTGGAATCGATTGTGCGGACCTCGAATGGGAGGACACTCAAATTGTCAAAGCAAGGCTTAATTAGGAGAACTAGACCGGGGGGGGGGAGCTGAGGGAGTCTCTTTCCGGTAATGGAGAATGATTTTTGTTACAGATTTCCTTTTCTCTAATAAAATAAGGATAAGCCACCAAAATCCGCTATGCTTAGCCCTGTACAAAAGTCTCGTCTCTACCACAATACATGCTGCCGTTGCGTGGTGACGGGCCGATCGGGCAAATGCACCCACATCTTCTTGCCAAGTCTTTTCTTCAGCGCCCTCGCCTCCTTCTCGGCCTTTTCCCTCGTCCTGGTCTTCTCTTCCTTCAACAGCACGGTGATCCCGGTGTGTGGTGGTCTCATGATATTCACTCGTCCTCGGGCGCGGTAGTCCGGTTCCATACCGTAGGGCCCACGGTTGGTCCAGGCCTGGGCGACGTACATGTCGGTCGGATCAGGCGCGACGCCCTTTTTGTACGTCTTCAGTGGTGTCTGGTGAGGTAGTGGCGGTGTCTCGCTCGGGTCCGACTGGAGTAGCTCTGCGTTTTGATTCTCCTCCCCGGCACGACCCAGACCCATGCCCTTGACGACGATGGCCTCGTTCCGGGCTTGGATGAGGTGCTGGCGCACATCCTGAGCTACCTTTTTGTTGGAAAACCTCATCTGGAGGATTGCCTCGTCGATGGGTTTGCCGGCGATCTGGCGGGCGAGCGGGGCCAGCTTTTTCATCGAAGTCTTGAAGAAATGAGATCGGGACATGTGGCTGCGCTCGGTCCTAGCTATGGTCACCGTCTTGTTCAACCGGCCGCGGTGTCTGATCTCTCGAATGACCATCTTACGTTGCCATCGTAAGCGGGCTTCGGGACGCGGATTGAGAGCCTGTTCCATGTTCGAGGGATTCCGCTTCTCAAAGGCATCTTCGACGAGAAGGCCGGTCGGTTGGAAGGCTTTGCGCTTCAATTCTCCACCGAAGGCGCTGGAAGGGGCGAGGCCTCCTTGAGAGGCCATTCCCTCGAACTCTTTGCGTTGCTCGTTCAACTTGTCTTGGGCTCTTCGCTGTGCTGCCTTCATTCTCTCCAGGGGTGTCATTGGTTTTGCTTTTGGTTCCGTCGCCTTGCCAGGAGCTTGTTTTGCTGCAGACCCTTCTGAATCTGTGGGGGCGCGTCGGACATTCGAGGAATGAAGGGATCTTCTGGACGAGAGATGGAGAGAGGTCGTTAGACGACACAGCTCAATCAAGGGCGAAGGGTCTGTTCGTGATTGGCAAGCTTCAATGCAGTCAGTCAGTCTGTATGGAACCGAGGGCAACAGGAGACTTGCCTCGGCAGATATGTCGTAGAGACATCTGTTGAGTGTTCATTATGACGGGCTTCAGCTCAGGCTGAGCTCCGTCGCCGCGTTAGCTGCTGTATCGTTGCGATTGAACAAAGCGACCAGTTCTCGCAGGCTCTCCAGATGGAGTGGAGGATTGGAAGGGTGAATGCTTGGCAGCGGAACAATATAAACCCTGCTCCGAGGCCGCTCCGTTTTTTGGGAAGAGCCTTTTCTTCTGTGATATGCCGACTGATGCACGACATAGACTCGTTCAATCTCCTGCCAGGTTTGAGATTTATTGTAAGCCTCGTGCCCGTCATGATTCTAGGCTCTGTGTCACAACGTCTTTGAATTTCTACAGATCAACGGCGAGCGCAGCTCTAGAAGGAAGATGAGACCACTACTGGCATGAGCATGGAAACAGGCCTTTGCATATATCAAAGGAATCTAAAGTGGCCAGTTGATAATGGTCGGATAATGGTCGCTGGCTCAAATCTGGCAGCATTTTACAAAAGAGTCCGTCCTGCAGAAGGTGAAAAGGCTCGATCAACAAGGCTCTCATGTCGATTGACCTGGGACCTTGAGTCTGAGATCGACGAACAAGATACCGCAAAAGGCCATTGGACGGAAGCTTTGGGTGGTGGACGACGTGGCCGCACCGGAAGCGTGACATTGCTCTATATAATTACCTTCCAGGTTGGTTGTGAAGAGTGACCTTTGGTACAGCATTGTATCTGGCTCGGTGGTGCATCAGCCCCTGCACCCCATCCGCCCCGGACCGTTTGGTGGTTACAACTTGGCAGAGGACGTCACCAGGGCACGTTGGGCGCCGGAGAAAGGCCGCAGTCGGGCACGGGCTCTTGCGGTTGGGTTTTAGTAAGCATGAGCGATCGTCAGGGCCACCCAAGGGCAACCCAGGCCACCTAGGGGCCACCTAAGGGCCACTAGAAGCGACACTAAAGGGCTGGAAGCCCCCAAGAGCATGAGCTCCCAGCCAAGAGAAAGAGCCCGGCCTCGAACCTGGTGATCAGCATGCGACCCTCTCGGCTGCCTCTCTCGTGCAGTCTCTGCCTGTTCGCCGTCTACCCGGAGTTTTTATCCAGCTCATTGCGCCCGAGGTTTACCAAAATATTGCTTGCTCTTCTCGCTCTCTGACCTTCGTCATTCTTGAACTTTCTACACTTCCTGCGCCTCGTGTGGCCTCTGGTAACCCGCGCCCACACCTTTCCGCTTCCTCGTCTACAGCAACACGCATAATTCTGAATGCCCTCGGTCCTAGTTCCTGCCCCTCCGCAATAAACTGTATACCCTTATCTGAGGTCTATCGAGTCCTCGTCGAAGGAGGAGCATGGCCTCGTCAGTAGGCCGGGGAATCATCACGTTGGAAAGAGTTGGAGCAGGGCCATTCATTGCTTTAAGTTAAAGTTATACCAGAGAGTATATCGGTGCGACCATGGACATCAATTCACTTCTTTCTCCCTCCGACAATACTCGCGCCAGTTCGCTCACTCCTTCAACTGGCACCCCCAGTCTGACGCATTCGAATTCGAATTCGAATTCGCTCTCGCAGTCGCAGTCACAGCCACAGTCGCCATTCAGACATGTTCAGAGAACGCAGTCTGGGACCGCAGGTTTGGTGAATTCGCCCTTAGGTCGTTCTGTTCAACCACCATCGAGCATTCCCGCCCATGTCAGAAGTCCGGCCCAGCAGACTCCGCACTCGTCGCCGCTCATCAGCCCCGTCCCTGCCGGCACCGCATCTGCTCATTTGCCTCGATCCTCTTCCACACCCACCATGGAGAGCCTGGCGGACTTCAATGCATCCAAGCCCAGTCTAACCAGCCGCGAATCAACCGACAGCCAAAAATCATCGTCGGGTCTCTTCCCTCACCTCACATCAGCCGGAGCGACCTCAAAACCTCGCGCATCCATAGACATTAACATGGTTGAGACCCCGCAAACAGTAATAAGAGCAGACTACACTGATACTTCTCTCCCCGTGGAGGCGCAACAAAGACTGGCTGTGCTGGCTGCACACATTCAAGAAACCCCGTCGTCGTATGAAGCCCACAAGGAGATCATCAAAATCTTGCATCAAGGCTTTGTCGACCACATCTATCCCTCCTCCAGTCCGAACGCTCATGGAGATCCTCGAAAATATGACCTCCTTGCTGACCTTCGGCGAGCTCGTGAGAACTTGGACAAGCTCTTTGCGGTTGGCGAGGAACAGTGGCTGGATTGGCTTCAAGATGAGAGTATTCTTGCACAAACGGCGGACGAGCGAGTGGCGGTCGTGGACAAGTGTCGGCGGGCAGTCACGGAGGAGTACGGCAGCACACGACTGTGGCTGACTTACGGAGACTGGGTCTCGTACTGCCACAAATGGGCCCTCGACTCAACTGGAGACGCGCAGGGCGATGTCGACACCGAACGTTTGATTGGCCGCGAAGTTTTCGACTGGAGTATTGTCTTGGATACATGGTCTGAAGCCGTCGAACGGACAAAGCATGACATGAGCCGTAGTCACGAAGTTTGGGACAAGTACCTGGCTGTCCGGTTTGGCGACGTCAGCCAAAAATTGCCATCACGCGATGCCACCACTGTTCTTGAACTGTTCGAATCCCGTTTACGCATACCACATGCTGAATGGCAGCAGACTTTCCAGGCATTCTCAAGTTTTGTCTCTGCCAATATACCAGCAGATCAATACGAGGAAATCATGGCGTCCAACCTCAGAGACTCAGCCGACGCCAAAAAGATATGGAATGACAGAGATACATTAGAGATGAGTTTGCTGGAACCCCAAACCGCTGGGGACACTGCTACTGAATACCAAGTTTTCTCGAAATATATCGAGTGGGAGCGTGCGGAGGAGAACAAGCCACAGACACAACGAAAAGGTAGAGGCAAAAAAGCGCAGGAGGTTCGAAATCCGTACTTCGATCTGGTCGACGCTCTTTACGAACGTGCGGAACTTCGCTTCCCTTCAGTGCCTGCGATCTGGGAAGAGCACATCGATTATCTGATCGAGAAGTCGAAGGCGGGCTTGTTGGACGTCCTGGCTCGAGCCACAAAACACTGCCCGTGGTCTGGGTCGCTGTGGAAACAGTACATGTTGACCTCCGAACTTGCGGAAGAGCCATTCGATGAAACCGAGAAGATCAAGCACAAGGCCACCAGCACCGGACTTTTGGACGCTGCCGGCATCGAGGAGGCTCTCGTCGTCCACGATGCGTGGTGTGGATATCTCCTACGGCGGACTAAACGTCCTGATGCTATTGAAGAAGATGCTGATGTCGCGGAAATGGGAATCCGGTCGTCCATCGAGGCAGTGCATAGCCTTGCTTCGAAGTTGGGAATTGGAAGCGCATATGATCCTTCCTTCCGGCTACAACGAAAATATGTCGAATATCTTAAGTCCCAGAACCGACTCGACAATGCAGGGGCCCAATTCAACGATGCAGTGGCTGACTACGGCAAGTATTACAAATTCTGGCTGCGATATTATGAGTTTGAAATGCAGAAATCCATGCAAGTTGCGCTACTCCAACGATCAAGGCCCGACCGACTGGACACTCTGTCTTCTGCCCCTTTCGCTGTGGGAGTTCTAAAGCAGGGGCTTCAGCAACCTGGTCTAGACTACCCAGAACCACTCATGGAAGCGTTGTTGAATCACTGCGAGGACTATGAGGATGCAGATGAACTGCAGAGCGCCATAAGCTTGGTACGGAAAGTCCAGAAGGAGCTCACGGCGCGGCGACAACGAGAAGTCCTTCAAGCAGCAGAGGTCGCGGCGCAAAAAGAACAAGCCGAAGAAGAAGTCGCTAGTCGGACACAAGAGGTCGCTAATGGTCTTCACATTGGGAAGCGCAAACGAGACGAAGAGTCGGAAGAAGAAGAGGCAAAGAAAAGGCAGCGGAATGAAGAGACTGCAGCACCGTCAATTGAACCCGATCGGCCTCCAGCCGAAGAACTGAAACGCGATCGGGAGCACGCCAGCGTGCTTGTGCAGAACATACCACCCAACGTCACTGAAACCAAGATCCGGCAGTATTTCAGCAGTTGCGGAAGCGTCAAGCAGGTGAAGCTTTTACAGGACGAGGAGAACAGTGTCATTGTGGAATTTGAAGATGCCGATGCCGCTTCTTTCGCCCTCTCCCGAGATGGGCGCGAATTTGAAGGCGCTGAGCTCTCCATTATTCTCAACACTGGATCGACGTTGTTTGTCACGAATTACCTTGCTGCCGCCGACGAGTCGTACATCCGCAACCTGTTCCGATCCTACGGGGAGATTGTTAACGTTCGCTTCCCTTCTCTTCAACGCAACAAGAAACGAAGGTTCTGTTACGTCGAGTTCAAGCGGCCTTCGGAAGCGCAGGCTGCGACCGAGCTCGACAACAAAGACATTGACGGGCTGAAATTGGTCGCAAAAATCTCCAATCCGACAGTACGGCAGCCAAGAAAGGAGCGGAGTAGCGATGGACGAACGATCTTTGTTGGTCACCTACCATTCAAGGCGACCGCCGAGGATGTCGAAAAGCATTTCACCAAGTATGGAGCCATCGAGCAGCTCAGACTACCCAAGGATCAGAAAAACAGCTCTCGAAACCGGGGCATTGCTTTTCTGACATTCGCCAATGCAGGGGAGGCACAGGCTGCCTTGTCCATGCACGGCGTGGAGTTCCAGGGCCGGAAACTCACCGTCAATATATCTGAAGGTGACAGCCGACCAGCCAAAAGCATCAACGGGCGGTCGAAATCTCCCTCACTGCCGCCGGACACCGCATCTGATACCACAAGTGTAACAAAAACTGTGGATCAGGACACCATAGAGAGCCGGCGTCAACGGACTGTTGTCATTTGCGACGTGCCTGATATTGTGAATGAAAGCCGTATCAAGGCCGTGGCAGAGAAGATCGCCCCGGTGCGCAAGGTGATCCTCAAGACCAACCACCAAGGGGCTTTTATTGAGTTTGAGAGTATCCCAGACGCTGGGCGAGCGATGATAGAGCTCGACAACCTGGAAATTACCCCCGGCCGCCACATCCGTGTCACCACCGAGAAGGACATGTTGCAGCAAGAGCGGGAGCACAAGACAGATCAATTTGCCCGACGCCCTGCTCCGAACGCTGTTACGCCTGCCAATGGGCCGGTCCGACGTCCTGCACAGCCAGGTGTTCGGAGAAAGGGAGGACATCTGGGTCAGAGGTCAAGCGCTTTGCACGGGTCGAATGAGAAGGAGAGCTCGAGTGCCGACACAGAGAAAGAAAGCGGAAAGAAGACGAACGAAGACTTCCGGAACATGATCAACCCGAGTTAATGGGGCGTCGGTTCTTCTCGAGACATAGTAATTAGCATGTCAAAGGCATGACAGCTGCGTGAGCCCTGGCTTCCCAAATGCGACATTTTTTGACCTGTATTATAGAAAATTAGCTAGGCAACCTCACTAATGGTGTGTGTATGACAAGAGATAGCTGTCCTGATGGCATGAAGGACTTGAAGGTCAGATGAAAGATGTGTTGTCTTGTACTAAGAAGTATTCTTGGGGCATTGATAGGCTTAGTTGTGAACTCCGCCGAATGACTCGGGCTGAATAATAGGATCTCATGACTGTAGAGTCGTAACACAACAGAAGAAGATGTGCCCAGTTGTGGACAGCATGACTGCGCGTGACTGTGCCGGTGGTTGTTTCTGAGATGCACGAGATGCACAGTGGCAGCCTCGTCAGCTACCAAGTTGCGGGCTCTAATAATTCGCTTATGCAGGGTTTGCTCGATCTTTCATCCATCGTTTATCCGCGGGCACCAACCCTAAGCACCTTGAACAACCTCTGGGACCACATCATCTGTCCTCCCCCCACGCTGACTATTTGTATCCTTTCGACGTTTTCTTTTCCTTGCCCAGGTGCCCTTCTTTTTCACGACCTACAAGCTGAACAGGGCATGAAGTTATCTTCGCAACCAAAACCATGATGAGCCAGGCCCGCCTGCGGCACCTCGCCGTCCACAACTGGTCGACATTCCGCCGACAGCCATGGAACGAGATCTCGGGCTCTCTGGGTGACCTGGGCACGTTCCTACCGATTGTCATTGCCTTGACCGAAGGCCACCAAATTTCCTTGACGACTACCCTCATCTTGACCGGTCTGTACAACATCCTCACCGGTGCCTGCTTCGGGATCCCGCTGCCGGTCCAGCCGATGAAAGCGATCGCAGCCGTCGCGATTCTCAAATCCCTGACGGCCGGGGAGACGGCAGCAGCCGGAATCTTCGTCTCGAGCTGCATTCTGCTCTTCAGCGTGACAGGCCTCCTGTCGTGGTTCACAAAGGTCATTCCGATCCCCGTGGTGAAAGGAATCCAGGTCGGCGCCGGGTTGAGTTTGACCATCGCTGCGGGCACCAAAGCACTCTCGTCCCTGTCATGGGCGACGCCGTCCTGGGCGGACAACTACCAATGGATGATAGTGGCCTTCGTTGCCCTTTTTGCCATCAATCTCCGCCCACGAACGCCGTATGCCCTGATCCTGTTCCTCGTCGGCGTGGTGTTCGCGTTGATCCAAATTACGGCCCATGACAAGCACCATCTTCCAGGATTCCAGATTTGGCGTCCGTACACTCGAGCACCGTCGGGAAGCGAGTGGAAGACAGGAATACTCGACGCTGGTATTGGCCAACTACCGCTAACTACGCTCAACTCCATCATCGCCGTCACCCACCTAGCCGCTGATCTCCTGCCCGACATTGAAACTCCTTCCGTTACGGCAATTGGCATCAGTGTTGCAGGCATGAATCTCTTCGGATGCTGGTTCGGGGCTATGCCCGTGTGCCATGGTTCCGGAGGATTGGCGGCCCAATATCGGTTTGGCGCTCGCTCGGGTGCCAGCATCATATTCCTTGGGCTCCTCAAGCTCCTACTGGGCATCCTGTTTGGCGAAAGCCTTACCGACGTCCTCCATCGATTCCCTCTGGCCTTCCTTTCGGTCATGATCATCGCAGCCGGACTGGAACTTGCCAGTGTTGGAGAAAGTCTAAACACGCGCCGCGCTCGAGACCTGAGCAAGGAAGGCTCCGGCGTGAGACGCACGGAAATCACGGACGAAGAGAAGAAGCAGAGATGGACAGTGATGCTCGTGACGGCTGGTCTGCTGATTGCGTTCAAGAACGACGCCATCGGCTTCGCCGCCGGCATGTGCTGCCATTGGAGCTTTCAACTGTCCAGCTATCTAACGCAAAGAGCAACAAGAAGACGACACATTGAGACTCCCGAAGATGCTGAAGAGAGCGCGAACCTCCTCCCATGAGAAAACCTTTACCAAGGTATTTCACTGCCCGACCTCGAATACGTCCCTGTCACCCCGTCGGGCCCTTGAGCAACCAACTCAGACACCCTCACAGCTCCCAACTTCGGATGTCTGTCCTCACTCAGTTCTGCATTGTTCAACCCCGTCGCACGATATCCTGGACACACGCTGTTGACCTTCCATTTGGGGTACTGCTTGGCATAGTACACGGCGAGCGCGTTCACGGCGGATTTGCTCGTGTTATACCAGGGACCATTATACATGATTCCACGGTCCAATGTGGTCTGTAAGGATCCCAAGGTGGAGGATATGAAGATGACTTTGGGCAACGCGGACTTTTCGAGCAGTGGCACCAGTTTGTCGGTGAGGACGGCGGTCGAGGTGACGTTGACGCTCATGCAGAGGTCGTATTTTTGCCGCAGGGTGGCGTCCGGGGGCAGAGTCTGCGCGGCGGTTCCGGCGTTGTTGACCAGGATGTCCAATCTGCCGAAATGCTGCTGGATGGCTAGAAAACAGTGCTCGATGGACTCGTCGTCGGTGATGTCGAGTTGGATGGGGTTGACGTTGATGGGGGCGCCCATGCTCGCCACGGCTTCTTCACCCTTGTGCGTGTCGCGGCATCCCATCAACACCTGGTTGTTGGGGTTGTCGCTGGCGAGTCGCTTGACGATCTCGTAGCCGATGCCTGTGTTGCCGCCGCTGACGAGGATGATTGTCTTGCGCTGTGCGACGACGCTGGAGGGGCGGGTTTGGAGTTGTGGTCGGGACATGTTGAGAGGAGGAGAGAGGAGGGCACACAAGCACCTGGCAGAGATGTGCTGAATTGGCTGGGCACAGCAGAGCAGATGTGCGTTGTATGGAGGAGACGGTAGAGTAAAACTCCGCGTACCCAATTGAAGAGATTTACCGAGTCGTTGGTTATTCACTTGAAGAACAACCACCCATGAGTTTTAAATGTTAATATATGATTTGTAGATACGTCACCAACTCAATGGGCCCTAGCGGGCGAAACTGGCGAGCTGGGAAGCGGGAAGGGGTAAAAGGTCGGGTATATTATTTCCTCCCTCCCGAGCGGCCCCCGCGAGCGAAATACGCTGCGTATCGGATTGTTTTATTTGGGATTTATCTACCTAGGTAAGGTAAGTTAAGGCACCACGATCCCTACCTACCTACCTAGTACCGAGAGGGGGAAGAATATTTTCTTTTATCTCCGAAATGACAAAGAAAGAATTGCTTGCCAAGAGATGGTTGAATGTTTTTGGGCCGTCAACCTACATACCTACCTAGGTAAGGTTCTTGGTACATAGTACTCGGTATTCCTTACCTTGTCATTAATAATAATTCATTTGCCGTATGGGTCAGTTGGTCGGTCGGTTCGGTCGGTCGGTCGGTCAATACCCAGCCGGGTGGGCGAAGAGGGAACGAGGCTGTCGGCCGATAATGTCTACAGGTACCTACGCATCCACATTCGCCGGGGCGAGAGATGGGAGCGGAGATGATGAGGATAAGCATCCACGCATGTATGTAGGTAGGTACGCATTGTATGGATACGCCTTGGTCAGGGATGGGTTGGTTTGGTTTCATTTACATGTTCATGTTCATGTACAAGCTCGAGTGCTATAGGAGAACTTTGGTAGTTCGTTAGACAATGGGGAAGAAGCAGAATGGAAAGTGAAAAGAAAAAGGCCAGACACTCGAGGAGGAGATCATACGGGGAGGATCTGGATTTCTCCCTCTCCTCTCATTTCTAACAAGTATGTACTTCCCTCCCTTTCTATTCTCCGCCTACCTGCCTGAGCTATACCTTCCCATCCAGCCTCGTAAACGCCTGCGGTCCGCCGGGAATCTGTAACCAGTTCTTGTCGTCGTAGGTTTCCTCGCCCTCGATCAGGTGGAACGTGTAGATGATGCGGCCCTTTTGGGACGTGTTCTTCTCGGATTTGTGCAGGATGTTGCCGTGGATGAGGACCAGACTGCCGGCCTCGACTTCACCGAGGACGTATTCCTCCTCCTCATCCTTCTCCCCCACGTCCGCCTCGTGCTCAAAGTCTCGCGGCCACCGCCCTTCCTCCGTGGGCACGCTTTCAAACGTCGTCCCCTCCGACCCGTCGGGCTGCTTGCGCACGAACCGGTCGCGAATAGGTGCACGCCGGTGGCTGCCCGGCGCGAAAGAAAGACACCCGTTTTCGACGGTGGCGTCCTCCAACGCGATCCAGAACCCCACGGCCGAGGGGGGTGAGGTGTACAGGAACGAACTGTCCTGGTGCGGCGGCACCGCTCCGCCAATCTCGGGCTGCTTGCAAATCACCATGCTCTGCAATAGCCGCGGGTCTTTGTATCCCAAGTCGCGCGCGATCTGCGCGTTGCGCCTTCCAATCTCGCCCGTGTGCGACACTTGCGCAAACTCGGGCACCAGGCCGTGCAGGTTGTGTCCGATCTTGTTGATGGCCTTTTCTTTCGGCTTGTTCAGCGTGCCACTCTCCGGATCAAAGGCGTCCTCCTCGAAGAAGAAGCGCACTTTGTCCCCCGACGTCAAAAAGTAGTCGTCCCCCACGTGCTTTTTCTCTGTCGGCTTGCCCGTCGAGTCCGTCCCCGTGGTGAACCGGGTCATCGGGTGCTCCTCCAGGGGGAACTCGGTGAGTAGTTGATGTGTTCTGGAGAGAAGGGTCTGGCATGTCTCGCGTGAGAGGTATGAGGGTATTATTAGGTAGCCATCGCGCTGGAATGAGGCGACCTGTTTGGGCGTGAGACCAATACTGGGTGTTTCTGTGGGCGGGTCTGGCGAGATTCTTGAGGGCGCCATCTTGGATTCAGCGGTATATCAGAGCTGGGTAGATTTCAGTAGCAATCCGTTGAACCTGAGTATTATCAGTGATGTAGGTGTATTTAAAGAACGATAGAATTGCTTGCACCTGCAGTCAATACAATATTTCACTTCCACAAGCGGAGAACAGCGCGGGGTATGCATGTCTATCGCCCATGCTCCTTCAGGTTACTATTGGTGTCCACCATGTGACCCGCGCTAATGTAGAATGCAAGTGTAGAGTAACCCTTTTACGCCTGGAATCCCAACTCCTTGCACCCTCAACAACTATCTCAATCTAACCGTCGTTCCACAAGCTTAGGAAGAAAGTCTTTCACCAAGTCGCTATTCCCGAGCAAGTTGATAAACTCTGCGTTGTGCACAATCTTTTCAATGTGGCAGACCAGGTAGTCAGAGACTAGGTTGCGCAATTTGTCAATCTTCCCATCATAGGCCGGCGTGTTCTCGTAGGTGTAGTTCAACAATTCGACAACGTCGCCGACTCGTTGTGGATGCAGCTTGAAGCTCGATAGCGTGAGACGAAGCTTCTGAAGGACGAGTTCCTCGAGCGGCTCAATGAAGTACTTGTCGGAGAAGACGTAGAGTCTGGCGTGACATAGAAAGACAGGCGTGTAATCCTGGCGAGGATCCTCATTGACTTCCGGCTCCCATGATACCTTCGGCACTGTGTGTGCTTTAATCTTAAAAGCATCCCACGACTGTTCCGCCTTAAAACCCCTGCTCTCACCCCAGGCATCCTCAAGCTTCCTGCCTTTCTTTGGATAGGACAAGGCATTCCCACTAAACGGACCCCAGCCATCATCTTCAACTGGCTCTGCGGGGGCGGGTTCGTCGACAGGATATGGCTCTGCGGGTGGTGGAGATGATGGCTCATGGCTCAAGTGATTGGACGGGTTCTCGACATCGTTCGGTTGAGGGGGAACAAAATCTGGCTCGGCAACAGCATAGTCACCCGTGTATGCGAACTCAATGACTCGAATAAAGGTGTCCTCATCTGTGTCGTCGATCACTGCACGTCGTCTCTTTGCTTCAATCATACCACCATCTACTAGAGCGGCCATGGTGCGAGATAGCCTCGAAGCAAGTCCGGCGTGCATGTACAAGGGCGTGGCTAGTTTGCCAACGAGGAATTCGAAAGGCGCCGAGCCGGCAAAGCTATACAATATGAGCACAATCATTTCCGACAGGGAGCAGACATTGAGAAGTTACCTATGATAGGGAATATCCATGGCTATGGCGCGACCTGTAGATCCAGACACTGCTGCTGGACCAAAGATGGAGGAGGAATGTCCACAGAAGACTCACCGGGTCAAACCACGATATACATAACATCTTGGGCATGCAGGCAGCATGGTAAGATACCGTAGGTAGAGGGTCTTTCATTTCGGGCACGGCAAACTGCATCAAAGAACGAATGATTTTGAAACTCTTAAGCGACACGACATGAAGTGACGTGTGCAACCAAGCCAACTCGATGAGGGATGGTCCTCTCTCTGTGGTGTTTTATCATTTGCCAGCCTTACTGTACAACATCAATGATAGTGGGAGGTGGGCATGTTGTTTTGGTGGGAGAAGTTGAATAGAACGTGGCTCAGGCTGAGGAGATGCCAACCTTGAAGGTATCACTACGAACCTGTAAGGAGTACCAGAGTATACCTACTTTGGTACCTAGGTAGGTGCCCAGGTAGACTGGTAGGCACTCTGAAATAGCTTCTGGGTCAGCTTTAGCAATGGCGGGCGAAGAGTTCAGGTACCAAGGGAAGCCCCGAGCCCCGCCATCCACCGCCCACTGGCACGCTCCTACCCACCCCACCATGCCACCATGCCACCAAACCCTGGAACTCCCAATCCGTGACCGCCTATCGCAGGTAGCCTCCAGTGGCCCCGCACCTCCAGAAGCTTTACTGGACCCCCTGCTCCCCACCAGCCGATTCGTTGCCCGCGCCCATCTTCAAGCCCACTAGCCCCGCCTACAAGGATAACCATCCTGCCCCTCGTCCCCAAAAAGCTTCCAGCCGCCTGCATTTGATCCAAAACAGAACAAGAGGAGGCTGGTTGAACAAGCCCGCCGCAATCGTCATGCAGTAGGCGAAGAACACCATTTCTGATGCCAACCATGGCACACATGCATGATGCGTGCGTGTCTCAGAACCGAGGGCCGTTCGTTCAGCTCTGGGCGCGCTCGATCCAGCCAACTGAATAATACCAACTCACTCAAACCCTACCCGCGTTGGAACTGCAGGTTTGGCTGTTTTCGCTTTTCCTTTCTCAGACCTTGTTCAGCTTCGCTCTCAATGCTGTCACCCTGCGCAGATGCGATTTCAACTGCGTGAACATCAGCATCATCCCGTTGCTCCCGCTCTACCTTCTCCATCTCCATGCCGCTGATCGAGCTGCGGTCGCCAGGCGGGGAATCAGTGTGGCCAGCCGTCGTGGAATCGACAACAACCACACAGGACCAGTGGCTAAGTTACACGAGCACCACCAGCGAGCAGGAATGGACCACCACGTCGACGCCAGAAGAGGGATGGACCACGACGGGCTACACGACGCAGACCGGCTGGATCACGAGCTACACCACGACGACGGACTGCGACTGTGAATGGGAATCCTCAACCACTTCCACCTCGTCATGGTGTCCGACGCCCATCATCGTCACGCCCACCACGACGAATCCGTACCCGATTGTCACCACCACGCCCGCCGGCGTCATTGTCGTCGATGACCACCACCATCACGGTCTCGCCCCAGGCGTCGTGGGCGGCATCGTTCTCGGCGTCTTCTTCGGCGTTTTGTTACTTATCCTCCTGTGCATCTGCTGCTTCCGCAGTTATCGCACCCGACCATACTACGCCGGCTCCTCGTCCTCGTCCTCCAGCCACTCCCCCCGGCGGCGTAAGCCACCCGTGGTCGTCATTGACCCTTACCCCAACAGACGCGACGCGAATCTCACTTTCGTCGGCGGTGGGAATTACCCCGGGACCAGGGTCATGGTCACCAAAACTCAAAAGATCTTTATCAGACCTCCGCCTGTCAGGCAGGTCAGGACGGTGAGGGAGACGAGGAGAGCCGAGAAGATTGTAGTCGTGGAGGATGACGATTGAGGCAAAACGACGGCCGTATCTCGATTGGAGCAGAAGGGGTAACGAGTGTATACGATCCTACATGACTACGCGATGAAGAGATGGGGATGGTGGGAACACTTTTGACATTAACGAGCGCAATGACGGTATACACATATGGGGGAGGGCTGATTTGATAATGGTTTTTTGTTCTGTTTATATTTACCCAGGCCAGCGGAACGAAAGGGAAAGGAGGTGTTGAAAAGAGAAAGCATGCCGATTTGGAAACTACATATATCAAGTCGATGAATGACAATAGTGGATACAATATCATGGCCAGAAAGCTTCTTGCGGTGAGCATTTCCAAAAATTGCCAAAGGGATCAGCTATACCCTATGAAAGTCACTTGTATACCCGTCCACAGAAGTAAGGCAGAACCAATGTGGAAAAAGCCGTGAACCTTTTCGCCCAAGCGCCCGCTTGTAAATCTCCAACTCAGAAAAATCAGAAACAGGTCGAAAATCCAGGGACATTTGCCAAGGTCCATCTCACCCCTAGAAAAGTCCCTCACAGGCTCAGTGGCGTGGTTGCATTGTACCAACTGTACGACAAGCTTCTCGCATTACCTCGCGACATGGGCTGAGACATGGACGCTGGGTGCATCGGAGGAGGCATCGTCCCGTAGTGATCGTACCTAGGCATCGAATAATAGGGGGCTCTCGGTTCAGCGCTGGGCATGGAAGGAGGACGTCTGGCTTGGACACCTGCAGGTGGAGCTGGTCTGTGGTATGACTTGGTCGAAGGCGCACTGGACACGCTAGACGCGCTGGATCTCGAGCTCGCGGCGCTTGACCTGGAGCTAGAACTGGAACTGGAGCTGGCGCTGACATGGGAGTGGCGGTCGTCGTTGTCGTGATGTTGTCGTGATGATGTTCTCGATTTCGGACTCGACCTGGATTTGGCCTTTGATTTTGGTGACGGTGGCGGAGGGGATCGCATCTCTGGTCCAAGGAATTCGTGCATGTCGTCGTCGTGGTCGCTTGGGTGAAGACCGCCGTGCATGATGGGAGCCGAAAAGCTCCTCTCCGCCTTTGCGTGGGCATTTGCCTCGCCTTGCCGTCTCAACTTCTCCGGGCTCGCACTCAGGTCATAGGGATAATCAGCCCTGCCTTTGACGTTCCCGCCGCCACCAACGTTGATCTTAGGTGGGCTCCTCTGGCAAGCCAAGTACGCCAATGGTCCTCGAAGAGCGGCAGCAGGGTCGTGGTTTACTGCTCGTTTGCGAGGAGGAGGGGGTGCAACTTTGACCCATCCTTGCGGAGTGAGGATTGTGGGCATTATGGATTGTGATGTGAGAGAAGGCGAGATGAGTGAGGTATGGAGTTTTGTGTCAATGAGATGAAGGACTTAGTGGTATGGGCTTTAGTGTGGGAAGAGAAAAGGGCTCGAGCAGTCGTGAGTAGGAAGTCAGACCCAGGGAACAGTTGCTTGGTGATCGTTGTACTCGGTAGGTCGAGTCTACTGAGACAATTTTGGAGATTTGAACTCCCAGCCACATGGAGTCGACCAGGGGCTGACGAGGCTGGGAGATTAGGAGCCTGGATCACGTCGGGACCGCCACCCCGTGTTCAATCAGTGCTATTGCAGTCATTAGACCGAGACAGAGAATGACAAGTCCAAGTCATCAGCAGCAAATACAAACCCAACGCCACGTCAGAACAGACCTGTTGTTGTTATGAAGTTGCAGGCTAATGCGTAACGCTGTCCAGCCGTGCCCCAGCCTCGTGGGTTTGTATGGTGGAGAATTTCATCACGTGAGGTCCACCCAAGGTCCACACAGCTTGTGACGGTAGGGCCGAGGCTGAACTAAATGCATGGCTGTGCCTCTTGAGAGGATTCACTGCTGACTTGTCGTGATGTCAATGGTGTCGTCTGGTGGTCGACTTAAAGCGCCTGTCTCGCTGTCGCGGTCTAGAATCAATGTCAAGGCGCCAAGGTACCTGGTCTGTGAAAGCTGGGATCTTGGACAAATGTGACCAAGATGAATACTTGGGGAGTTCAACTTCTAGACCCAAATGTATTCAGTAGGCGGACATTCTGGCCTGTTTCGAAACACGTCCTTCATTTACTGATGTCCTCCCTGAATACCTTTGATATTCCCACAAATATGGGAAGCGGCAGATCTTTCGAGGTATTCGGCCAACTTCCCGTTGTCGATTTGTCGCCACAGGTTCGATTCGGTTTCGACGATTTGCGGGAAGAGACCTGACACATCGCTAGGAAGAGAGTCTTCGCGCATGACCATACTCTGTTCTGGGCGAAGGCCGATCCAGAAAGTTTCAAAGTCTTGGTCTACCGGCCTTATCCCAGAGCGAATAACCCTGATCTTGATCACATCTGGGGAGGAGACGCCGTAAACCCTGCCATCGTCAGTCAGGCATGAAAGCCGCGACGTGAGTGTGGGCTTACATTCGGAAGCGTTCGCTTCTCTTATCGTACAAGAGAAAATTGCATGCGAGGAGCTGAAGTCGACTGTGTTCAGGTATATCATGACAGCTGGGGAAATCGTTGGTAGCGCTATCTGTTTCTTCGAGGGTCACGATGAATTCTGCAAGGTCGGCTGCCACTGTGTTTTGCCAAATGCCTTCTAACCTGGGATGAGATCGCATCAAACCAATTGCGCCCCTGCGGATGACGGACTCTCGACAACGCAAAGCGATGAAGGCTGCCACGGCAAGGTATTCTACCGGGAAGCCCAGGCAAGCATCAGCACCAGCAGCCTCTTCCATATCGAGCATGTCCGCGAGCCGTGTAGTCATGTCAAGTAGAGCTTGGAATTCAGATAAATGGCTGTCGAACACCATTTCAGATCGATATATCGTTGACTCCAGCCGGATTATGGCCGCCCAGAATTGCATTTGAAGATAGCAGGCTCCAACTTCGAAGTGGCAAGGAGACGAATGAGTGGAGCAAAGGTGGACGTTATGTCTCACCTCGCCAAGAAACTTGGTGAATGAATTATACCATGCCCACAGCACTACCCGCCCGTCGTGAATGATGCTTTGATCACCATAAGGCCATGTGTCTCGTTCGTGGACGTGTTGGAGGCTGCTGCAAAGACCATGAACTATCTTGTTGAAGTAGAAGTGGCTCTCTTGGAGAGATTGAAAACATTCTGGCGGATCAGTTGAGGTTATCTTCAGCCGGTCTGGTCGTATCGGCATCAGGGTGGCAGCCAAGTCCTGGAGATGACCTAAAATGGGCGCAAGATGCTCTTCAACAAACCGAGTGGAGGGCTTGACCTTGTCCCAAGATCCGTGCAAAGATCGCCATTCGGTAAGAACCCGTAATCCTGCGTGGAGGTGGACCAGAGCATTTGACAACATCCCTCGAACGTTTTCAAAAAAGGTGAACAAAATCGACGCCAACAAGACGTCCTCAATATCACCATGAATTCCAGCATCGAGTAGGCTCTTGATGGCCTTGTTGTATTGCCAAATTGCGAAGCGCTGGCGATCCAGCTGCCGAAAATGGTCAGGATTGTCGACACTCTCGTGATAAGAGGCAATTGCGACCAGCGCGTGCCGAACAATACCACGAGAATAGCCGGCTTGTATGACCAGGCGGTTCCAGAAATCGTGACGGGAAAGACTGAGGAGTTGCTTCGAAGTCCTATCCCGAAAGTAGTAGAAACCCCATCGTTCGTCCTTGTCTTGAGGTATTTCGAAGAGAAGAGGCTTCAAGACGACGTACCCATCACATCGGCGGCCCGTCGAGGTACACCTCTCGCAGCTTGGCTTCTTTTCATCACAGCGGATCTTTCTGACTTTGCAAGTGACACATCCTGTGCGAACTTTGGGAGCATGGCGCCTTGACCGCTTCTGCGTGACGGTGCATTCAAGCAAGTTTGCCATTGTTTGCAATCTTGTCCACGATCATTACTATGAGTCCGGGCTTCGTAGCTCTAGCGTGACAGTGAGTTGGTCTTACGGGGCCCGGTTGGGGGGGAAGGCCGGATCTTTAAGGCTGGACATTGAGGCATTGGAATAGTATGCATGCGTAGATCGACAGCCGCATCTGCGAGTCACAGGGGTCCCTTGCAGCGATACGGGACAATCGTGTCGGTCAGCACTGGATGCCTGATGATGGTGGTGAGGCCCGAAGGGACGCCAGGATGCTCAATGGAAGCACCGGCTGCGCTTTCCAGGAATAGATATTCTCCACCGTAGGATCTACGGTAGATCACAGATTGGCAACCTGCTCGCCTGCTATTGGAATCCCAACTACGAGGTAATGTCGCGACCGTGATGCTGAAGCTTTCCCCCTTGAACATCACGATCTCTCTACCATCCATCCCGACATACCTCTGGATCAATGTCTTCCCCTGCCACCGACTCGGCATCTCCGACGCCTTCTCCGTTCAACTATATTCTCTCTTTCCTGCTTGTCGGCATCTGCTGGGGCTTCACGACACCGTTCATCCGCAAGGCCGCCGTCAACTACGCAGCTCCATCCCATCCATCTATCACCGACCCAAACCGATCTTGGATCTCGCGACAGATTGCGAAAGCCTTTTTCACCGTTGTGGGACTATTGAAAACTCCTACATATGCTCTTCCGTTGCTTCTAAATCTGACGGGCAGTGTCTGGTTCTTTCTGTTAGTTGGGCAAGCCGGTATGTACACAGCGCCCGAGTAACATCGCCATCAGTTACTACCCTCGAGCCAAGCATGTCGATCTTGTCTGTCATATTTGTTTCACTGAGGGCGAGGCGTTATCTAACGTTCTCTCAACTGACTGGTGAGCACAGAACTGTCTCTCACGGTACCCATCACCAATTCTCTGGCATTTCTCTTCACGGTATTGGGCGAATGGTACGCTGAGGGCAAACTCATATCGAGAGACACTTGGCTTGGGATGATCTTGGTATGTGGTGGCATTGGGCTCTGTGTCTGGTCAAAGACTTGATCTGGGCACGATGTAGGGATTCAACTTTGGGCTGAGATCGCCTGGAATATAGACAACTATAGACCAAAGAGAGAACATAGAAAGCGGTAAAGAGGGTGAGCAAGCAATAAACAACCCATCCCTGTCATGGACGCAGGAATGACCACTATCTATTCAAGGTTTTCTTGTCCGAGTCATTGACCAAGTCATCAGGGACTCCTAGTGTTCAAAACGCTCATCCGATTTCTTTGGGGTATCTCGCCATTATGAAGTATCATCGTTGCCCAATGTATATATACAGAGTACCTTTTGAAACGCCCAACAGTCGTGCACTTGATTCAAGTCGTCATCCAAAATGGCGCTAGTGTCTCATCGTGTCTGGGAGCTTTTCGTGAAATCATACACCGCGGAACTGCGTGAAGTTAGCCAGAGAACGCACGAATGATTTCGATCAACTTACCAATCGCACAATCAAGAACCAGCACGCGCCAGTGAACCTGAAGAGCGACAAACCCGCCACCGACCACAGAATGACTGCCAAATAAATAGTCGAGTTCTGCTGTTCAGTGTCTTCCGTATCGATTCTCTCGAAGCCGGAGATGTTCAGGACGGCAGCCACCAGAATGAAGTTCGTGATCATCCAAGCAGTGACCACATTGCTTCGGAAAGACTTATAGTAGTCCTCTTGTTTATCTGCTGGACTCTGCTTCTTGACCTCCTTCTCGGCCTTGGTCGCAAATCGCTTCAGTTCTGCATCGTATTGGGCATTCAAGTCACCGTCATCTTGAGGAATCATCACATCAACCATCCCGCCAGGCTTGACATTTGCACTTGGAAGTTTTTCGGCCTTGTCGTCTCCTTTGGTGCCCCACGTGATGTCATGGGTGTTGCAGAATGCGTAGATGTTGAGAACGTTGATGTAAGTGGGAGTGAGGACAATATATTGGAGGAAGCATGTGAACATGTGCCAAGGGTCGAAGAATAAAAAGCTTGCCACGAACCAGAGGACGTACGTGCTGGCAAGCGACACAATCAGGCCGAAGAAGGTGCTATTGTTGAAAATGGTCGAGAAGCTGAAGTCCTTTTGGTTAACCTCGGTCTGAATCGACTTCACGGTCAAAAATATAGATGCAAAGGTCAACCAAATCATGAGTATCGACCAAAAGATAACCATTGCCAGGTAAGACTTCTTGGAACCTTGAGGCCTGTTACCCATGGACAAGATGAAGCAATAAAGCAGTGTGCCCAGGTAGATGAACTCAAAGATAACTCCCAAAACAGTGCCAGTTTTGCCCAGTGGACCTGGTGAGCCAAGGGAGGCCGTCAAGAGTCGGAAAACCAGGAAGAAGTTGCCAATTGCAAACCAGGCGAAAAGCATGTTGATGGTCTGGTACGTGAATTCGATCAGGAACATGAATTTGCGTATGGCGCTGTGGTTGCTGCGCCAGAGCTGGTAGACATGTGCCACGGCATAGACTGCCGCAAAGAAGGACCCGTTCAACCAACGTCTGCGCTGAAGAATAAACTCGGCGATCCCATCAGGGACATCGGTCTCGCCTGTGGCCGACTTGACGTATTGAAGAATCCATTGGCAGTTGCGCTTGCTGACGAGCTCGAAACACAGGATTCGATCTTCGGCAAGATACATGTTCGCAGTGAACACTCCAGCGTCTGCGTGCATAGTTTCGCCCTTAAAGTACTTCTCGAGAGGCCCCTCGCCATTCTTGTCGTTCTGCAAGGCTACAAAACGATAAGCCGAAAAGGCGCCAGGGAGCACCGAAATGAAGCCGAATGCAGACTCCAATGGTTTGTCCAAGATGTTCGACATTTTGTATTCGAAATTCTGCGTGGCGACCAAAGGGTTGTAGAGGTTTCTGCCCTTGTTCAACATGACCTTGATTTCACCGCAAGCGCCACCACACATGGGTTCCAGGTCGAAAGCTTTCCACAACTGGTAGATGGAGTCTTTGCCAGGTTTGGTCCCTGCGTCAATGAGGACGCAAATGTTGGGCTCCAGTACCCGACCGAAGGCTTGAAAGAACCATCGATGTGAGTTGATCTTCTTCTGGTTCTTCTCCTTGAGGCAAAATAACAGTTGAACGGGAGTTGCGGATCGCGGCTTCAAAGACACCTCCTTGCCTTTTAGTTCTAGACCAACCTGAGTAGTGTATTCGTAGATATGAGCGGTGACGTCTTTGCCATTGACTTGTTGTTTGGCAATGCCGTCTTGATAGACACCTAGACCAGCAAGGACTGCCCTCGTTCTGGGGTTGATTTTGGCACGGCCGTCGCTAACAATGCAGACGACAATCTTCTTCCAGGCCTCCTTTCCCCAGGTTTTGCTGCTGTTGCGATTGCACATGAATTCAATGTTCTTGAAGACACCGATCATGGTTCGCGCGAACAGGAATTCGTCCTCGTTGTACATGGTGACGACGATGAACAGTTCCGTCTCTCGTGGCTTTGCGAACAGCCGCTGTCTCAGCGTGAACCGCTCATTGTAGAACTCCGAGGGGTCGCATGTGGCGGCTGAGTATCTCATATGCGTAAACTCGTCTCTCTCCGGCGGCTTCGCATGAGGCACATTAGCCAATAGTTTAGGTGGAACCGGGCAATCAAGCACTAAATTGCCATTGAACAGCTGGACCTCTTTTACGGTCTTCCACCTCCGTATGGGTGCCGGAGACGGCGTAGGACGCTGCTCGTCATGGTAACCGTCGTAACCAATTTCTTCCTGAGCATGCGGATCTGGGCCGTATGCAGTATCAGACTGGAGGATGGGAATGTTGTCGTTGTCCATCCGATATGCCTGATCCGGTGTGGGATAAGGATCTAGGGCATAATCGCCCTGGGGATGAGGTGAATATGATTGTGTATAATAAGCGTCATGATGTTCCTCCGGTGAAACAATGTAGTCATTTCTCCCATAGCCGATGTCTCCCCCAGGTCCACCAGGCAGCTGTTGTTCATACTGCTGGTTATGCCCATGAGAATGCGGGATATTCTCTACCGAGTAAGTGGGTTGCATGGCTAGGCGATCATTGGAAGCGGTGGGCATCTGAAGATGTAGCTGTTGTCTCGAGTGGGCTTCGTCTGGGTGAGCGTAGGGCTGCAGCGGTCGGCCAGGAGAGGGGGACCGAGAATCGTAGTGAGGGTTGATAGCAGGAGAATAAGGACCGTCGCGCTGGGGATCGCCTGAGGACTGGAGTCAGCATACCCTTCGAGACCAAGTAGAGAGAGGTCTCAGTGTCTCACCGATGCGATTGTAGGCCATGATGGGCCAGAACAGGGAGAGCGGCGCAGAGAGAAAGTGGTCTGTGTTCGGGCACAGGAATGTGAGGATGAAGCGAAGACGATCCTTGTGTCAGGATTTAGGACAGTGAATGGTCGGACAGCGTACGCAAGAAGGATCCTGGCATGCGATCTGATCTTGGTGGAGTACTGGGTATAAATGGAGTATTGTTTACTCTTCTATTACTGGATCTGACTCTGGGGCGCAGTCGTAGGAGATATAAGAAGTCGACGCCGGACGCCTTCAAGGGTGTGCAGTGCACCTTGGGGAGGTCGCACAGGATGAAAGAATGAAGAGAGAGATAGTCTGTCAGGGCGATGGTATCCTGGTACATGTGAGATGAAAAGAGTGTCCTCCTGTTTGTTCTCAGCTATGCCTCTCAGCTGAGCGCAATAAGTCCAGGCTTCGACTATGCTGCCGCGCCTCAGCTCTTTCTGTTCTGGGCACCACGGGCATCAGACCCGCCAGCCCGCTGATTGGCATTGGCTCCCTGTCACTTAACGAACGGGCGCCAAAAGCCCCGGACGACCTCCAGCCAGTTAAAGCCACACCTAGAAGTCATCGCCGCAGAAACGCGCCACTGCCCTGCAGAAAGATGGATGCGCCCACGTTTCTTGGTTACTGCAGTTTCCGCCTGTCATCATCATCAAGCCCCTTGGGCCTCGGGAGCCCCTCGCGCCCCTTGTTTCTATTTATTCACGACCAGATTTGGGATCTACCATCGATTGGCAGTCTGTTTTGCCTTGAATCGCCTTCCTTGTTGGACTCTCGTATCGAGTGATCATCAACGTGGGCTTGTTCTTCTGCATAGTCGGCTTGGTGAACGCTTTCCCTGATGCCTAATAAATTAATAATGCATGGTGCGCAATCTCCCTCAAGGCGAACTGCAGATTCTAGCGCCTTGTGGCTGTGCAGAGAATTGTTTCATGCTTCCCCAGAGTGACCCTGCAAGTCCATCGAGAGGCGCATTAGGCTGACGAGGCTTCACATGGCAAGGCTGCGTTCTTCAACTGCACAGCCTTGCATCTCCATGGCTTCCCCCACCTTCCAATCAGGCCCAACGCCTCCGAGTCTTTCCCTCCAGCCCACACGTTCGTTTCAACGAAGTCCACATCAATACTTGCGTTCAGGTTCTATGCAAACCCCAGTCGTCTACCACGAGTGTCTCTAAAACTGCTCTACGACTGTTGCGTTCAATATTCTCTTGGCGTCATTGTTCTCACTGCGGCTGGCTGTCGGTGAGCGGCTTCCACGCAATCTTCCACGGAAGTGTCGACTGCGCCATTCCAGATACCCCACAATGACGGATTCCTCGACCAGAATCTCAGTCCTCTTTGTCTGCCTTGGGAACATATGTACAGTTCTGCCTCACTATTGCTCTGTGTATGTCAGCTGATTAGCCATCTATAGGTCGGTCGCCAATGGCCGAAGGCGTCTTTCGGTCTCTGGCGAAATCCCATCCTCGCATTGGCGACATCGACTCAGCTGGTACTGGCGCCTATCACACTCTTAATCCACCTGATGACAGAACACTGGATACCCTTCGGAGACATGGCATCACAGATTATGACCATGGTGCCCGTCAGGTGCGCTCGAAGGACTTCGACGAGTTCGATTACATTTTCGCAATGGATGCCTATAACTTCAACGATTTGCACCGAATGCAGCGAAGACTTGAGAGCAAGGGACACAAAACAAAGGCTAAGCTCATGATGTTTGGCGATTTTGGAGGAAGAAAGAAAGGCGAGGAGGTCATTGATCCTTATTATGGCGCCGACAGAGGATTCGAAGAAGTCTACGAGCAGGTCACTCGATTCTCAAAGAACTTCCTGGAACAGGTTGTCTCCACTGCTGCCTGAACATGTTATCAAGCGCACAGGGCCCCAACGGTGCTTCTTCGTCGGCAAACATATCATCTTGGACCATTACCGGCAAACGAGCTTCGACGCCGACCGCCATACCTCTAGTTTGCGGCTTTTCCAGCGACTTTGGATGATGCCAGTGCGAAGCAAGCATAGCAGACGCTCAGACAACGCTGATTTGTCTTCGATTGCCATTGGTGCGCTTGACATTAGTCTTCTTGACGCTTGAAGGTGGAGTCCGGCACATCCTACTAGGAGCCTCGAAAGGTAGTAGGCGAGCGCTTTGTCCCATGCTGTCTTGGGTCCAGTTCTGCTTAGGTGTTGATCATTCGCTGATCTACTTGAAAGCATCCTTGAAGCAAGGTTGACGCATCATTTGAATCTTGCGAAGGACACCTTTTCCCGGCGGAATATAGTGAAACTTGGAAAGAAGTACTTGAGAAAGGCACTCGCGAAGATGCCTAGCTCAGAGGTGTGTTCGTTTTCGTCGTCATCGTGTCAATCGGTCCCTATACCTCGGGAGATCAACGCTGGTCATGCTAGGGCATGGCCAAGCACATCCCATGAGCCAACACCGGCAATCTCGACGGCTCCAGATCAATGCCTAAGAGGAGGTTCGTGTCGGGGTTAGCGACTTTGCTCACTCTTGTTTAGTATATACTGCGTTTAATCGGCGAAAGATTTCGAGCTCCCCCAAGAAGGTGTTCCCCTCTCGATCCCTATCACACGTTACTTTTACGCTTGATCTGGCGTTGCTGCCATCTCTTAGTGAGGGGATCTCCTGCGGACTTCGATGTTGCTTTCTGGCAGAGAGGCGGCGCGGCCCTTTTTCGATATCCCGGATACCGGTTCTCCTAGCAGCTTTAGACCATAAGATTATCATTTTGACGAATAGTGACCCTTAGCTAAGGATATCAAAATGCGTGGCCATTCAAGGCCACCCTGTATTCATCGGAAGCGAGATCTTCGAAGAGATCTCCATTGTTTCTGAAGCCACCTAAGACTAGGTCTCGAGACAAATGTACTTTTCTGCGCTCGTCCCACCCGAGCCATGTCTTAATGCCCCTCACTGGACTCATCTCAGCAAACTAACATCGGCTTGAAGCTGCTATCCCCACCCCACTGCCAGAATCATCAACCGATTTACACGCGAGGATCGGCTCATATACCTAGTACTTCAAGGCCAGCAACGGAGCTGACTAAGCGTGGGGGACGGCTAGAAAGATTAAGGCAGGTCGAATGCATTGTCAATTCAAGGCTTGTAGAGTCTGAAGGTTAGTGCTTCGCGTTGTCGTCTATAAACCGTGAACCAACTTAAACTTCCACCTGAATCACTCCACACTTCATCATTCGACAACACCATAGAGCCTGGAGCGAGTCCCCAGCAGAGCAATATGGAGACTCAGCCATGCATTCTTTACTACGACCGGCGTTCCATATGCTCTTCGATGGTACGGTATACTCTTGCCAATGCGGGGTTGCCGGACAATTGCTTGCCACTCTCTGTGGAGCTTCGAGAAATCGACATTTATACCGGCGCACAGTTATCCGAAGCATATCTATGCGAGGTGAACCCTAAAGGGCAGGTAAGAGAGGCCTTCTAGAAGTCCATGGTCGATAGTTGTCTCCAGAAGAGGACGACACTGACGCTTCGAACAGGTTCCGGTTCTGTTGTGCCCTGGTCTCCTCGAAAAGCCGATTACGGACAGTCTTGACATTACCTTCTGGCTATGCGAGAGACATCCTGGCCTGAGACCTCCGGAATATGCAGGTGATATCAACAGACTGCTTCGCGATCTGCATGCCATCAACTTTTTCTCGCTTTCGATGAGGAGAAATCCGCAGAGAGCAGAAATGCAGGAAGCGAAGATCCTCGCTCAGATGAACAAGCCAGACATTTCAGCTAGACACAAGAAAGCCCTGGAGTACAAGTTGACCGTGTAAGCACTGGCCCCCATTGCAGAGAATTTATTGATGATGCTGACCATGTTCTCACAGAAACAGTTCAGAGAAGGTCGAGGGAGTGCGCCCCGAAGTCATCAAGGAGGAGATTGAACGTGCGCGTGCTCTTCTCAATGACATTGACGGGATGAGACGCGCACATAACGAAAAGAACTTGACGGCAGATGCGTGGATCTTTGGTACGGAGGTTCCAACAGCGCTGGACACGACTTTGATTTGTTTACTGGCCAGGTTGATGGATGTCCAGTTGGAAGAGATCATCCCGTCGGCTCTGTTGGAGATGGGGCGGGCGGTCAGGGCGACGACCAAGTTCAAAGAGATCTGGTTTTCGTTGTAATCCACAGAGCTCCAGACATGCTTATGGAGCTGGGGGGGACACGGAAATGAGTCCGTTGCGCGACTGGTGCGAATTATTCATACATTCCGCTTTGCTGATGCCCTGATCCTGAGGGGTCTGCAAGCCAACCCGTAACACGATGCCGACGGAGATGTGCCGACAACGGCGTCTCCTCCGAGCCCCTGGTCCCCTCAGCCTTGCGCAGCCTTGTAACCCTCTTGCTTCCCCTTGCGGCTTGCCTTCCCCCTTCCCACTGGCAGTCCAACCATTATCCCAAGAAAACAAAGAAGGAAAATTTACTCCGTACTAGCAGTTCAAAGATACCTAGGTACCTAGGTACTCAGTATCCACGTCCACCTTAGTAAACCCTATGATTCTCTCTCGCCATAGGTATGGCGAAATGGTTTCCACAGTACGCGAATCTCACATCCACTGCCCACTCGGCTGAATTTAGGCGGATTTGTCGGTCGGTCAGGCCGGCCGGTCGGTCGGGGCGCGCTGCTTTGCTGCCCTTCTGCCGGTTTGCATCATCCAGCATTGGACGAGCTCCTCACAAAATGAGGCTCCAAAGGATTCCCCCAAGTCTTGGGCGCATCTTTCCGCTCTCCGCGCCGTCACACCTTGCCAAATTTGTCAGCGCCCACGCGTTCTTGATATACATCCCGTGCTGTGCGGTGCATTGCGTTCCACTCCAGCGCGCGTCATTGAGGATGGGGCTATGATAATAACAGTAAGAATGAAGATGTTGATGATTGGGAGAATATTAATTCACTACCTACTATGAAAGGTTCCCAGTGAAAATTGAGAATTGACAGTTACCCGTGTTTTCTCTTGAAAATCAGTGCCGCCACGAAAAGGGGAGGAGATACACAGGCAAGGAAAAAGAGTGGGAGAGAAAAAAAAAAGACTGAAAAAAGGGAAACAGACCCTGACAAAGAGGATGGCGAAGAGGATCCTCGTCACCGGCGCAACTGGGAATCAAGGTATACCCAGACTCACACACATATCCCAGATATCCTATACACTATCCCCCTTCATTTACCCAAAGTCCGTAGAGAAACACGCTCGCTAACCCATCCTCCACCATGCCACAGGCGGCTCCGTAGCCAAGCTCCTCCTACAATACCCAACGCAGTACAGAGTGCGCGTCCTGACGCGGAATCCGGACTCTGATGCTGCGAAGCAGCTGGCCAGCCGGGGCGCCGAAGTCGTCAAGGGGGATCTGACGGATGCGTCGACGCTGGACGCTGCATTTGAGGGGTGCTGGGGCGCGTTTGTTGTGACGAATTTTTATGATGCGGTAAGTTACCTACCCTACCCACCTACCTAGGTAGTAAGCATGTGTTCATACATACATATTATCACCGTGACCCGGGGGTGTTTGATTGATCAACTGACTCCGATCGATAATCGGTATGCGGGTATGCCATAGACAATCAAAGACGATCCCGCAAGTGAAGAACACCAAGGCCGTAACGCCGCGCTGGCCGCCCAACGCGCCGGCGTGTCCTGCTTCATCTGGTCGACACTACCCTCGTCAGTCGCCATTTCCAAGGGTGAAGTGTGCTGTGAGATCTACGAGGGCAAGTACCGCGTCGACCGCTTTATTCGGGACGAGCTCAAATTCGACGCCGCCGTGTTTGTCTACACGGGCAACTTTTACGAGAACATGGTGCTGAGGGGTCATGTGGTTAAGACGGACGGTGGGAAGGGGCTTGAGTTTCGTCAGCCGATCATCCAGGAGGATACGACCCGTGAGTGTCTTTCCACCTCCTCTCTTCGCGGAAGCTTTTCTTTGCTGGTGGTCACGCATGGCCAAAAGCGTGGCCAACAGCTGATTAAAATTTGTGTTATTCTAGTCCATATGGTCTGGGTCGAAAAGGACCTGGCCGGGGTGGCAAAGGCCGTCTTTGACCACTGGGACCAGCGCAAGGAGCAGCTGAGATTTCGCTATCTCTACGCCATGGATGCCATCCACACCCCTCGTGAGATCTGCGAGGTGATCCAGCGCGGTAAGCCCCCACAGCCCAACCTAGCCCATCTATTGCCTGAACGTTGGGGAGCCAGCCTCAAACAAGCACGTAAGCAAGCTAAACTGACGGTATGAGAAAAAACAGTTACCGGCCTGCCGACGAAATACGTCGTGCTGCCCACGACCGGCAACGAACAGAGAGACATCATGTTCACCCTGTACAACAAGACGGGCACTTACCCGGGGGTGGTGCTGCCGGACCAGAACGTACTCGATCTTGGGGTGGAACTGCACGGGCTGGAGCAGTTTGTCAAAGAGAGGCTCGTGCCACACTTGGGATTGGGATGAAATGGCGAATTCAGACACTCCAGGACTGCCTCCAACATGGATGAAAGCCTTGCTGCGCCATGCGGAGAAGAGACAGGGATACAGTGCTCGTGGCCAGTCTCTTAGTCTTCGCTCCAATTCCTAAGCTGAACTACTTTTTCTCGTAGTGGAAGCTGGTAATGACTCGAAAACTCCTCCGTCGCGTCCAAGGGATGTCACCAATATTTGAAGCATTAGGAAACATCACCATGGCTGCCCATGCGCGCCCAGACCCAACACGTTCGGCGTTGGACGGAGAGCAAATCAGGTGAATACTACCTCCCAAAATTCCACAATCCAGCTCGCAGTCGCGCCACCAGCGAATCGTCATGGCTCATATTCAACTTCGTTAACCAAAGGGGTTCGATGGCGGCTGCCGTCCTGGCCACGCAGCGTCTTGACTCGGTGCCTCTCCGAATGTTCTCCCACACACTCTTGAGTAGTATTTGCTCAGTGCATAACAGACGTAGTTGTCCGCATTGTAAATAGGCTTCCATTCGAGATAGTCATGGTCTCGGGGAAGATATCTCTTGACTTCCGCGGCATTGTAAGACCCATATCCATTTTTCGGCCAGTCTCCATAGAAGTCTGAGATGAAGTGCGGGGTGTTCTCATCGTATGTAGTCACAATGTTCGCGTCGTAGTCTGGGACGTCTGAGAACAGACCAGGGAAATGCATCAGTTCATGCAACATGATAGCCCCGGTGCTGCGCTGCCAACTAGTGTCAATATCTCCCAGGTTTTGACACCCATATCCGTCATAGTACTGTGGTCCATTCGATTGATCCTTTGATGGGTCGATTGCCCAGTTTGGTGCCTTTTCTACGTCTTGAAGCATGGGCTCCTGCTGGTACAGTAGCCTGCAGACGGACATCAATGCCGAAGCGCCGCCAGATGTGGGAACCACATAGCCCAACCACGGGAAGGACCCTTCGCAGTCCATGGTGGTTGCTGGAACCCCAGGTTGTTTCAATCCTGGATGGTTCCCGAGAAAATAAATCGACAAACGGGTAAACTTTTCGCTGTATGTCAGAGGTTCGTCCGCCAGCTGTTGGACAGTCTCTAGATTAGAGAGATCCAGATCGAAATCAATGTTGGCTATCGCACGGAAGATGTTCTTCACGAACTCGGCGTCTCCTGGCTCGAAATAACGGGTGAAGGTCTATAGCCATCAGTGGCAAATCGGGTTGAGGGACCCTCGAATCAAGCAATACAGCTACTCACTTCGTCGTTAGCAGCATCACAAGGCCAGTAGAGAGCGGTGTGGCGAGCCAGATAGATGGCATCTTGAAATGTGCGGTAAAAGATAGCGACTTGATTATCTGTCAATCCTGGAGGGCCACCAATAACAGGCGTGTTGGGAGGGCGCACAATATCTTCAAGAGCCTGAATGAGAGAGCTGAGAAGCAAAAGAGCGAAAAAGGCAATGCAAGAACGAATGAGGAGGGACGTAGCCATTTTTTGCTGAAAGGAAAACTTGAAAGGGTGAGAAAAGGAGCGCCTGCAGAATGAAGAGAAGCTCTAGGCTTGTCGAAGCGATGGAAGCAGTTCTAAAACACTTTCAAAGCTTTAAGATCCATGAGACTAACATTCTGAAATCTACCGTTCTTGACTGTGAATGCGAGAAGCCAGCTTTAAATCTTCATTACTGGATGAAAGGGTGACACCGACTTGTTGGCGCAAAACATGGGTAGAAGGCTGCGATGGAAAGAGTGAAGACGAGATAGTGAAGAATTCCATATGTCAACGAGGCTACCTTCATGATAACTGCGTGAGAAGAGTGACAAGTTCTTTAGCTGTGAATGTCTGCAATTGTATCACGACTATTCGAGGCTTCTAGGTTCGTGGGTAAGAAGAAGGAATCTGTGCGGAGGATGCCTAGTAGTGGGTGTTGACGACGGTGTGCATCAAAGGGAGTTGACAACGATGGCACAAGTGAGAAAATCAGAGCTTGCGGCTGTGGTAGGAGATGCGAGGTGTTTTGTGGTCATCCATGACATAATTAACGAATCTCCCACTGATCGCAATATCCCCAATAATCTCGCAGTGCCACCGCCATGCAAGTGGCTTGCATGGGTGACCATCCCTGCTCGCTGCCAGTGGGCGAACGATGACACAGGAACCGCTAAGGGCCAAGTCAGTCATTGTTTTGTGCTGAGTTCATCTTCAATGCACGGCTTCTTCGGCTCCATTACAATACAACATCCATAGGGGCGACTAGGCGGCAATCTCGCATCGTTGGGGTTCATAATCAGCGTATTCGGTCTTCCATTTTCTTTTCCTGCCTCTGGTCATAGATGCGACGCAGCTGTTGTCAGCGCCTGCTGCCCTTGAGTCCATCACCCTTCATCTCGAGCCTCTTCCCCTCCGCAGCTCGGAGAGGGGCGCGTTCACTCTCCCACAAATTCCATCCGATTTTTCGCCCGCAGACCAGGCCTCACTTCTCTCCCACTCACCCTATTGTTGCTACGAGATCTGTTCGACGACTTGTTGCGCCTGTCGAATCTTCCGTCTCTTCGTATATTCTCTTCTTTGGCGTCGCCTGTGGAGTCGCAATCCTTTTCGAGATCCTCGTGCGTCATCAACCCCCGGAGGCACACGACAAGGAGGAACACACTGCGAGAAGCCAATCCCCTACTCCCACCGCTTCAGATCCCTACGATCCTTTCCGTCTCGACATGCCTGCTCCTCCAGGCCACCTGGGCAACTTGACGCCAGAGCAAGAAGCCAAATTGCGCGAGTTCTGGGCCGTGACTCTGAAAGTCTTCGGCGTGGACGACCCCCAACACGCCAGTGGAATAGATACGCCACTAACCGAAGATGCTGCATCAGAAGTCGATGTCAAGGACAAAGAGAAGAGCAAAAGGCGACTGGGTATATTCAAGAGACACAAGGATAAGGAGTCAAGTAATGGATCGGCCACGCCGACCAAAGATCCGAGCCATCATGCGGATTCCGACGACAAGTATGGCCAGGTCAAGGAATATCAGCAGATACTAGCCACACAGTCTCCAGAATCCCTGCGCGCCACGTTTTGGAGCATGGTCAAGGCCGATCATCCGGATGCACTATTGCTGCGGTTTCTAAGAGCCCGGAAATGGGATGTCGACAAGGCATTAGTCATGCTGGTCTCTACGATGCGATGGCGAAGTCAGGAACAACATGTCGATGATGATGTCGTCCTGCGGGGGGAAGGCGGAGCTTTGGAGGACTCCAAATCCAGTGATCCCGCCGTGAAGCGAGAAGGAGAAGATTTCCTGGCGCAACTCAGGTTAGGAAAGAGTTTCCTGCATGGGACCGATAAAGAAGGCAGACCGCTATGTTTTGTACGCGTACGGTTGCATAGAGGTGGCGACCAGACTGAGCGCGCTCTTGAACGGTATACGGTTTATGTGATTGAGACGGCTAGACTTGCTCTGAGGCCGCCAGTAGAAACCGCTGTGAGTGTTGCCCCATCCCAGATTGAAGCACCGCTGACATTCCTCTTTCAGTGTATAGTTTTCGACATGACCAATTTCACCATGGCCAATATGGATTATACCCCCGTCAAGTTTATGATCAAGATCTTTGAAGCCAATTATCCCGAGTCGCTCGGTGCCGTCCTCGTCCACAAGGCACCATGGATTTTCCAAGGCATATGGAAGATCATTCGGGGCTGGCTCGATCCCGTCGTCGCAGGCAAAGTGCACTTTACGTCCGGGGTGGAGGACCTCGAGAAATTTATCCCTAGATCACAGATTATCAAGGAGTTGGATGGAGACGAGAATTGGGAATATAAGTATGCAGAGCCCGTACCTGGGGAGAACGACGCGATGAAGGAAGAAGCGCCCCGGAACGCTCTCCACGCCGAGCGGGACACCCATGTCCGCGAGTACCAGAATAAAACCTATGAATGGATATCAAAAGGAACGGGCCCGGATGTGGACAAGATCAAAGAAGAGAGGCATACCTTGGCCAAGCAGTTGAATGAAAACTATTGGAAACTGGACAAGTATGTGCGGGCCAGGACATATTACGATCGCACGGGCATGATCGGGCCCGACGGCAAGATCAACTTTTACCCGCCGCCGCCAGGAAAGGGAGAGAACGCGGATCTCAAACCGACCTCGACGGAGACTGTGCCGGATGCACCAAAGATCGAAACCTCTGCCGATGATATCGACTGAATTTTGGAGGTGGGAGAAGCAAGAATTAGCGACGCCTTACCGATATCTGATACTTCGATCTTTGGACCTTCGAGAGAAGAACCAAACAGCAACAGGATATACGCTCCGGCCAGATCCTAGACGGAGATTGATCGACTCCGAGTATGTGCAAGGGTACATAGCGCTGTGTGAGAAGACATATACTATTAATGATTTAATCTCTGGTAGGTGTCGTGATGGGTTGTCACACAGCTTCGACTGTGAATGTTTGTCCTCGTGCTTGACCTGGTCAATCTGTGCATCAGACGAGAAGTACGAGATGGGTAGTGTATCCTGCCCGCGCGAGTTCGCAAAGCAGCCCAGTTGTGCAGGCTGATGAGGACGACAAGACCGATTGACTGGGCTTGGGCAGCACTGCAGTTAGTTTGTGGGAAGAGAAGGACGAAAACGAGAAGATTTTGACGAGACGATCTTCAGGAGAGGAATGCCACGAACAACACAACACATATCCACACCCACACCGGAGGACTTCTCCCACACTATCCACACATCATTGCGGATATACGGATGGCGGTTGAACAAGATCACACGTTCCTGGGGCCAGAACTCACCCTGGGTTTCCCTCTTCAAGAAACGCATCAACTGACTGGCACTTACGAATGCTATCCGCACTTCCTCCTGGGTCGAGTCCATCACCTCATCCATTGGAGGGGACTCCACAGGAGCTCTGCACCGTCGTGCAAATGGTAAGGCGCGGACCGTCGTTCTCCATTCGGTGTCACGGGTCTCGTTTGCTCTGTTCCCACCCCATTCACTGCTTGTCTTCTCCCCGTATCGAAGCCCACCCCCTGTTTGGATTGGTCTCTTCTGCTGTCACCGCTACTGCTTTGCTTCTGGGCGCCTGCAGATTTATGCCAATCTGAGGTAAGACCTGGCGCTCAGAATACGAAAGCACATACATATTTCAGGACAGATTCTCCTCTAAACAAGTTGGGGCGTTGCGTCATGGACCCGGAGCAGATATTGCTCCATGCATGTGGTCGATGTCGTGTTCAGGGTTTGTATGGACTAGGGAGGCCCCGTCTTGCATATCTTCCAAGCCCAGGTCGGCTCAACGCGGTGCGGGCGAGGCACGTCGATTCTCGTCCTTGATTTACCCCGGGAAACGCGTCGACGCCAGTGGTCAGGCTGATGTGCTGCAGATTGTGGATGGACGGCTTTTTCTCGTGATCTTGCGCCAACTGCAGACACTGCCGGTCTGTTGTGGTCACTCGTTTCGAGTTGAAGGGCATGGGGCGAGGCAGCTGGCAAGGCTCGCCGACTCGTTCGACTCGACCGTGGAAGGATCGGCACGAGCTTTCACAGAAGGTAACTGCCATGGCAAAACGGCGTCCATATTCTTCGACAACGTTTCCACTCTTTCTCCCTCCCATCTATCTCTGTGGGACGTATCTCCCAACCCCCCCGACAAACATTGCAAAGGCCGCCCAACATGTCCTGGTGTGTCTCTTCCCCTCTGCCCTTCTCTGAGTCGGGTGTTAATTATGTGTAACGCAAAACAGGCTTCAACTCGGGTACCACTACCTCGTGCTATGACATGATTGCGCCCCCAAACCTTGAGGTGCCGATATCCATCAATGGACCGGTCCAGAACCTCTGGCAGAGGCCAATGGTGCCATTTCTTGAAGCCACCAAATCTTGCAACGCTCCACTCTCCAAGCTGACTCGCATAAGCAGTATCCAGTCGGGTGATCCAACCAGCACACTTGCCGGCATCAGCATTCCATGCGAGAACCTCCTGTGGTTAAATTGATACGACAGGCCGCCCCGTCGTCATTCTTCTGGTGGAAAAATAAAATCCGACGGTTCAAGAAGCTCGGCTGCAGACTGAAACCCCTGCTCTCAAGGGATTCTCTTTCATGCACAGTTACGTCGGTGGCCCGTTTGTTCAGATATCTCGTTTTTTTGTTCCGCATATCAGGTTTCCTAACTACATTTGGGGTGGTCCCTTTCTCGAGACTCCGATACATGGATGCATTATTGCATTGCATTGATTATGGCTGGCCAGGGACGCACTACGAGTTGTGGCGGCTGGGAGTCCGGAATGCTCTGGCTAGGGAGTGCCTTTGTTCTTTCTTTCTTCCGTTCAGGCATCGATGCTTGACGATCTCTTTATTCCATTTCTACCTGCCAATCCTCCCCGTCTGGGTTAAAGGTCGTTGTTGTCCTCTTGGACCATATCCTATTGCCTGTTCGGAACAGATCCTCTCTCCCGATCCATTGGCCGCGACTTTGCCGTGGGCGGTGTGTGGGTAAGTAGGAGGGGGAAGGATAAGGCGAAAGTTGTCGTTGTATGGATGCCCGGAAAAAGATGCATATGCGCGATGCTGATCATTCTGCTCTGGGCGGCTGCCCACGTAGTCTAGGGGAGCTATCTGCATACTCGTGGGTAGTCTTACCTCTGCGGCTTGTGTTCCTCCTCTATCTCCCTCCCTCCCTCCCGTCTCGTCTTGTCTTCGGCCACCAGGGGGAAACGGCACGCGCTCGGCCCTTGGGCTGGCTGGCAGATACAACCCCATCCAATGCGGCAAATGGACAGAGTCCACACGCACATACACACACATATACATATAGACGCGCAAAAAAAGTGGAAACTCTGGGTCAACATCAAATAACAATTTCCCTTCCCGTGGGATTTTGATCTGCTCTCTTGCAAGTTTTTTTCCCTCGGGCAGGGGTCGACCGACATGAGCGAATAAGAGTTCGAACTCTCTCTCTTGCTCTTGCTCTCTTAAGAGTGTCCTCAAAAAGCCTGCCCAACGTACATGTATTATATCTGATATAATATGCCTGGGTGATTGGAGACGGGGGCCAAGGGGGAAGGCTTGCATATTGTATTGAATCATCATGCACTTTCTCGCGCAGATCAGTATTAGGTATCCTTTGGTATAGGATAGGAAGAAAGTCCTACTCCTTCATTCCCGCTCCCATAGTCCGCCTCCCTTGGACCTCGACCTCCTTCTGCAAAACAGGGCACCTCGTCTTCGTTACATCCTGTCCCACCCAGGCGGAAAACGAATACCACCTCTTTCTTTTTTCACGTTCACCCCTTCGAATTCCTTGGAGCCAGGACGAGAACGGAATCAAAGGAACATGAACACAAGCAAACAACGATAGAAGGAAGGCAAAGGGAAAGAAAACAACGGTGCACCACAAAGTCATCCATCCACCCAAACGGTCTTTTTCTGAGATTATCAAATCCCCAAACCAAAAAGCACCTTCCCAGCAACTTGACTCAACCCAGCGAACGGACGACGGCCCAAATGGCGCCTACCAGCGCCAACGCCAGTGCCGAACAAGACCTCTCGCCCCAAGACTCGACCTTCCTCTTCATCAGCACGCTGCAGGAACAGCTGGCAAAGTCCGAGTTCGTGACCAGCATCAACAGCAGCAAGCCTGCAGCAGACTCACAGTCACAGTCGCTCAGCGAATCGACGCCGTCGAGACCGAATAAGGATAAAGAGAGCAGTCGGACATCGGTGGTTGCGTCCTCGTCGTCATCATCAATGCCGACAACGACGGCGTCATCGTCGTCGACAACGAAACCCATTGTGCCCAAGTGGACAGACAAGGATAGCCAGGGAGCGAGGATCACGAGGTTGAAACCGCCCAGGCAGGCCAAGTAGTGTTCACTGTTGAGTTGAATGGCTCCAGGTGTCAGGTACTGGTCTGGCACAGAGGCTCGACATCAACGCCACCCTTTTTTTCTCTCTGTTTCTCTGGCTTGCCCTTTGGGCCATGAGCTTTCGGTGATGATGACGACGATGACATGCATGACAAGAGACGACATCTTTCTCAGCATTTCACCCATTTTCAAACCCATGTTACATAGTTTCAGCTTCATCTTCTTTTGCATTTTCCTATAAAATCTCAGCGATGACACTTTTCAAAAAGGGAAAGCAGAAACGGAAGGAGCATCTAAGACCCGAAGAGATGGCTTCTTCAAACTAGAGATTTGGCGAATGGTCTTTTGACCACCACGACGAGGACAAATTGACCAGGTTAGACGGGGAAGGGAATGAACATGCGTGCGATGACAAGTACAATCACGACGACGGGTCCTTTGAGTGCTGCGACGGGCCCTTCGCCATGATGGCCCCATCGACATCGACTTTTGGGCATTGAAAGGAAAACAGCACCGTGGCCGTGGAACTTTGCTCCTATCGTCGGTCCGGTCCAGCCTGGTCTGGTGAAAGCCCAGACTTGTCTTTGGGTCTTGTTGCTGTTGTTGCTGTTGTTGCCGCTCCTTCTGCTGGAAGGGCCTTGGGTCGGCCAGAAAGCCAAGATGATCGATACCTACACAAATGAATGGGATATGATCCAAAGGCCAACGGCCTCGTGGGCGATAATTCTGCTTTTCTCCCTTCCTGTCCGATATTCACCCATCAAGATCGAACTGGTTGGAGCATATCAAGCGCTTTGTACACTGCGTCCGTAGGTAGTCCTAGAGGCCGTGTCTTGTACCCACCCACGCACACGCTTCTCTTCTGTCTGTACGCATCCCATCGCACCACACGCACACACAATCTCTCTCCCTCCCTCCTCTTGTCACCACTCATCCCATACCCTCCCCCCAATTGGCCCCTCTTTCTTTCTCCCTGTTCTATCCACAACCGTCTCTCCCCCCTCCCTCCCCGGGTGTCCTCTCCCCTTATGCCCGCTCCTCTACATCTTCGCCTTAACCTCCTCATACAACCTCTTGAGATCGTCCATCTCGACCTTCTTCGCGGGCCACCCGATGCCCAGTCCCTCGGCGTCGTTCGGCTTCGGGATCAAGTGGAAATGCACGTGGTCGACCTCCTGGTGCGCCAGCCGCCCGTTGTTCTGCAGCACGTTGTAGTTCTCGGCGCCCGTGGCCACGGCGATCTTTTTCAGCACCCGCAGAATGTCCGTCAGCGAGTCGTCGGGGATGTCGGTCAGTTTTGTGCCGTGGTGTTTGGGGATTACGAGCTAAACCCCCCAAAGAAAGGGGACGGAGGGGTTAGTTAGGAATTGGTTTCACGGGGGGAGGGGATTGGAATCGTGTGTGTGTGCTCGGGTTTGCGCGTGTATCGGTTCGGGTGAGGATGCACGACCAAAGGAGAAGACAAGGGGTACGTACAGCGTGGCCCCGACTCAGCGGCTGGATATCAAGAAAGGCCAGCACCTTGTCGGACTCGAAGAGCTTGAACGAAGGGATCTCTCCTGCAATCAACCAAGACAGATTAGCACTCCTCCTTCTCCAACATAAGTAGACGATCTTCTTTGGCCGTGTTTCGCGTCCATGTTGTCGACGGACGACAAAGTATGGCCATCCCCATTTAATTGAAGGGGCCCGTTGCCTCACTCGCCTTTGACAATCTTGCAAAAGATGCATGCGGCCATCTTGTTCATCCGCGGCTTGACCCCACTCAGAGCGATAAATCCAAGGAAAAAATAAGAATCTCGACAAGGGAAGTGAGTCACTCCAGAGCAACGTTCGTCAATTATCTAAATGCCGGCAGGACCTTTTTCAGGATGCAAATTCACGCAGTACATATTACGGATTGAAAGGTCGGGGAAAACCATTTGCCTGCGTCTTGCAATTTAATACGTATTATTACTGCCCCCCAATGTACCTAGGTAGCTTTGGATGCGGGGAAGACAAGAGCTCCAAGAGGGGCCAGCGCACGTGATGCCACTGCTTGAAAAATCAGATGAATATATATTTAAGCCTCAAAATAAATCAGTTGGAGTGGGACGAGCTATTGCAGAATCCATTTCTTGCCTTTTACCAGAGATGGCCGTGGCTACGCCCAAAATACTCCATTTCTCAATCTTTGGACTCAACTTTCCTGTGTAATGCAGGAGCTGCTTTTTGCTTTTTGCTCAATCGGATAATATCGCCAGTTCGAACTCATTCCTTTTTGGATTTTTTGTGCTTCAAATTCCTGTTGTGTGCGTCCCGCTTTTCGCTTTTGCCACCTCTGTGATTATCCCCTACTACATAACATTCGGTCTTGTCCACCGTCTAAAACTCGCAACCTGAAGTATTTGTTCAGGTGCTCGCTCATTCGTCCAGCTCGAAAGGCTCCCACGAGGGACGATTCCAGGCACTCAAGCATTTGATCTGACCTGGTGGCTTTCGTTGCCAGTCAATCTTGCCCAACTCATCAGGTGCTTTAGATGCCACAGATGCCACCCAACCATGCGCTTCTTTGGCTTTTCTCGTGTCGTCCACCGAATACCCAACGTTGACACTGGGGATGACAGCGATCTTTCCAAGGCCGAGCTTCCACAGATCCTTGGCCAGGTGGACCGGTTCTCCAAGGTGGCACTCGTCCTCCACTTCAGTCCTGAACCGGATCTTACCCTCCAAGAAAGGTTTGGCAGTGAGAGCCACGGCGCCGTTCCAACAAGAGAATACTTGTACGGGCTGCCCCAGCGAGTATCGTGACTTGCTTGTCTCATGGTTCCAGAAGAGATTCTTGGAGAAATCCCATGACGTGCTCTGAGGTACCTCGAAGAAGAGCTCCCCGTTCATCTGTCTTCCGATCCATGAGTCGTAGAAGGTGCCGCCTTCGTCGTCCAGATTGTACCAATCCATCCCGCAAGTCATGTCTGCTTTCAGCAGCGTTCGCTGATAGATCAGTTCCAAGATGTCCTCCGCACATGGTGCAATGTCGTTCAGGAAGATAATCGTGGTTGATGGATCATACGATTGTGCATGTTGGGTCAAAGGCCAGAGAGCTCTGTTCCGCAGTTCAGCAAGAGTGGAGATACGTTCCATCCCTTCTCCGCCGGGCTCCAGCTCATTACAAGACAGGAAGTAGGACACTCCAAGATGTTCCATCTCTTTTGCCAAGCTCTTCAAGATCTCGAACGTCCCGTCTGTTGATCGGCCCTCGACCACAGAGATGACGCAGGCTTCGGGACCGAGAAACCGAACGACCTCAAAAATGGCTCCAAGCAGCTGTGCAATAATGTGTACCGACTGATGAAGGTTCATGGCAAAGAAAAATCTCGGGTTCTGGGCGGACAAGGTGGGATCGTGAAGCCCGAGGTATCTGCTGGCGTTCAACGGAGAGCATTCCAGCTGTGACACATCCCCGTCACTACAGTTCATGATTGAGTGGACGTAGTCTCTAGCCGTGTTGAATGCATCACGGTTCGCTACTCTGTCTTTGCAGTCGATCTGGAGCACCTGCGTTGCGGTGTCAGCACGGAGGGGCCTCGGAGTCAAGCGATTGGCTTCCTCAAATCGCTGGGCTCCGGCTTGCATCAAAGTCGAGGTGAGAAATGGCAGCTTGGAGCTAAAGGTGGAGGACGATGGTTGAACTGGTTCACTCGAGATGTTCATCGTAGGACGTGTTCGATTGAGTCCATTGGTGGCCAGACGTAGGCTGTCATGCAGCTTGTCGATCACAGGCTGCTTGTGTACTTCCTGGATTATGAGGAGAACAAAGAGGGTCAGCAGGAGAAAGGTTTGTCCTAATGAGCCTGCTAGTTTCCTCATTGTGGACGGTCATATAGAACGGAAAAATTAGACAATGAATGGACGGAAAACTCGAAGAAAACTACAATTTATTTGAAAAGTACCAGGCTAGGTCATCACAGGAAGGAACGCCCAGTCACCCTTTCCGCCAGCCTATCCATCTGGACGTTTCTGCAGCTTGCCCTACACACCAGAATCTCCCGGTCTTGGACTCAGGCATCCAGTTGCAGCGGACGCAATGACAGAGCGAATGACTAGGTTGAGTGGACTATTCATACAAGTGGAATTCTGCCTCAATGCGTCTCAACGACAACGGGAATATGGATATCGTGTAGGTATGCCACCCTCACAAACACCCGGCACCTCCATCACCAGTGCAATTGCGTTCAAAAAGCTTGCAGTCCCAAGCAGCAAAGCTAGAAGGCAATCTTTCGACCAGGGTTAACCCTCTGGACGACCCCGAATTGCTTCTTCCCAGCATCAAAGACCTATGTTTCGTTAGTGAACCGAGCGAATGTTCAAGGCCAGACACCACTTACCGCGTAAACACATTTCAGAAAGGTATCGCCGTAGACGTTGTAGGGCAATCCACCTCGACCTTGAATACCGCCATATACCATGCCGGACTTTGGAATCGGGGCGAATGCAATCTGTTCTTTGTCAATAACAATCTCCACGTCACCAACCGCGAAAGCGACATCAGGGATCTTGTCAGAAGGAGTATTGGAAGGGATCAGCCAGCCTTGCTGAGATTTATCGTATACCGCACCCGGAATAGCAGAGTAAATCTTCTCGACGAGATCATCATCAATGATCATCAAGGTGGTGGCAGTGTCAGCAATGGCGGTGTTTCCTGGCAATAGGGTCTTCTGTCCATTGATGACAACGAATTCCGAAGCGAACTCCCAGAATCCGTTACTATCATTGACCGGTGTGTAGGAGATTTCTCTGCCACTTGCGTGGACTACGTCACTGTCAATCTTTCCGAAGGTAAAGAATGAGGTGCCATTGTCTGGGTCTTTGGCGTCTTTGTAAGAACCCATGTAGCAGGTGAAGACCTCTTGGTCCTTGGGAATGTCTTCCTGCGCAATCATGTTGTCAAGAGGTGTCTTGACCGGCACGGGGCTGACGTTGTTGATATTGCCGAATGCCAACCCTAAAATCCCCTGCGAACCAGTCTCGGTAGCGAGATCGGGGGAGATATCTGTGGCTATCTCGACTGGTTGACCAAGAATCTTGATGTCTCCAACCTGCAGGACGTCTGTGGTCACAATTCCTGATGCCGAAGAGCCATCTCCATACCGGATCTGCCAGGAGCTTCCAGTCATGGGCTTTTGCGTGGAGGATTTGGTGGGATCATAGATGGTACCACCTGATGCGCTTCCAGCCTTCTTGGTGCTTTCAGGGAGGTAACTGGACCAGACCTGGAGACGCTTAGTTCAACGGTGTCATAAGATGTGTGAAGGAAGACGTACCCAAAAGTCAGCGGAACCAGAATCGAAGGTCTGTGGATTGTCAGTACGAGTCTCCTTGAGGGATTCATCTCTTGACGTACCACATCAAGTTGTTGACCAGGAGTGCCAATGGTGACCGGGCAAGTATAGTAGCTGTCATTTTGCTGATCTTCTGCGGTGCTTTTCCCACTAGATCAGCAAAAGGGAGAAGGCCGACACGGAATGGCTTACACCTCGGCGGAGGAACCATCTTCCTGACGTTTCATGAGGCGATTCTTCTCGTCACGATGATACCGACCCGGTCTGGTGGGGGTAATGTTATACTTGTTGTAAAGCCAGACAAGGGACTTGGTGCCGTTGGCCTTGTAGTTGGCATTGCGGTGAACAGGGACACGGGTGACGTCGGAGAGAGCCATGGAGGTGATAATGAAAAGGGATAAAACGATGGTACAGCTGTAGAGTGACCTAGTGTCAGGAATGATTGCCAGCATAAGAAAATGAAGCGACTGGGATGAAGTACTGTAGACAGAGGACGGAGACAGAGCCGAGGGAAGATGAGGCCACGGAAGCTGGAGCACAAAGCTCGCAAGAACAGCAGGTGCGTGTTGGCCTTAAGAAGGTGCTCAGAGACTCACCGCAACAGCATGATGACTGGCAGTTGCACTTCCTGGCCAGTGAGATATCCAAGGACGCAGAAGGCCTAAGGACAACTTAGAACCTATCCAGGTGGGTAGGTCTGAGATACAGCTGGACGGAGGGGAAAATTCCATATCGCACCGTCGAGCGGGCCAAAAAAAAAAGGAACTTTGAAGGAGGATGGTAGAGGGCTGTGTGAAGGAGGAGGATGCGTCCACGGTGGATATGGACAAAGGAGGACATGTAATGTGCGTCTCGCCACCTCCGTTTGATTTTTGTTTGTCCTCGATACATTGTCCTACACAGATATCAAATCTTCATCTTGTACCTCCAGCAACTCTGTTGAAGTCTTCATCTCGGTTCGGGCAGGGACAACCAGCTGACTTGTAGGCTTGTACCTTGTTGTGTTGTTCAAGGGTGTGTACCTTCTTTCATCCCCCAAATATACATTAGGCATCAATGCCGTAGACGTGGAGTTAGTTCGAGATTCGCTTTCTTTTCATGTTCCAATCACGTCCATGGCACACATTTCCATGACGAGCTTGTCACGCCCCTGTAGGCCAGATCGGAGTCATTGAAGGCCAAAGCTTGCAAAGCTCTTGGCTGCTCGTTTCCCCGAAAAATGTTGTGGTAATAAGACGCCAACAAATATAAGGATTCCATAACGAGTTGCTGGGGTAGGGAGCAGAATGCACGACATGGAGACTGGAGGATTGAACTCTCGAGTCTGGCATCAAGTCTAACGCGCCGACAGCCGTCTTCAGCAATGTAAAGGCAATATACACTCTTAGATTCACAACAGGCAGTAGATGGGAGAAAAGACAATAAATTACCCAGTTGTGGAGTCGAGAACGAAAGGAACGTCAACTCCGAGATAAGATTAGATTCGCGTGCCACCCGTTGGAGAAAAATTCACCTGCGCCAACAAAAAACCACGATAGTATTATTTAGACACGACAGCAACACCACCCAGGTCCAAATAACTCCTCCGGGTAGCAACAAGCACAATGGCTGCGGACGTCCAGCCAATTGCTCAGGTCAAGTTGCCTGCTCGTCCCTCTTCTCTGACGCCGGAGCAGACGTACTGGCGGTCGTTCAAATCTCCTCTGAACATTGTCTCTCCGACAAAGCACGCCGTAACACATATTTCCCAACCACAGCCAGTCACTCCAGGCCAGAATCCTTCCGACTTCTTTGTTGTCACGACTGGTGCGCGGGTGCAGCTTTATTCTCTCAAAACCCGAAAACTCCTCAAGACCATTACACGATTTGACGATATTGCCTACGGCGGTGAAGCTCGATATGATGGACGAGTCCTCGCGGCAGGTGACGAGACTGGTGCGATCCAGGTATTTGATGTCAATTCAAGAGCTATTTTGAAGACGTGGAAGGAGCAGAAACAACCCGTCCACACGGTCAGATGGAGTCCCAAGGAGACTACGGCGTTGATGAGCTGCGGAGACGACAGAACTGTCAGGCTGTGGGATCTTCCCAGTGAGAGCAGTATTGAGACGTTCCGCGGCCACCAGGACTACGTGCGGACTGGTGGGTTTCTCCCAGGACAGTCAGGTAATCTGTTTGTTTCGGGCAGTTATGATCAGACCATCAGGCTCTGGGATCCGCGCACGCCGAATGCAGCGGTTATGACGTTCAAACACATTGCCGCCGTAGAAGATGTCTTGTGCATGCCATCAGGGACCACTATCTTGGCGTCAGCCGAGAACCAGATTGCAGTACTGGACATTGTGGCGGGAAGACCGTTGCAGATGATCAAGAATCACCAAAAGACCGTCACTTCGTTGTGCCTGGCGTCCAATGGATCAAGGGTAGTCAGCAGCGGCCTTGACGGACATCTAAAAGTCTTTGAAACTACGGGATGGAACGTCGTTGCAGGTTCCAAATACCCAGCTGGCATCCTTTCACTATCGGTGATTGCGGCCGGAACCCCCCGAGAAGACAAACATGTGGTGGTGGGAATGTCCACCGGTCAGCTGAGCATCAGGACGCGACTCTCTGGGGAGCAAAAGGTGAAAGAGCGGGAAAGGCAAAAACAAATGGAAGCACTGATTGCAGGCACGATCGATGCATACGACAAGAAGCAGGCCAAGAAACGTCCGAGGGGAGTCGAAAAACGCCTGAGAGGGCGCGACTACGCTGGCGAAGATGCTGATATCATCGTGGAAGGAAATGTGCGACCGAAGCAGAAAAGGCTGGCTCTGTGGGAAAAGGAGCTGCACAAAGGCAGATATCGCGAGGCACTGGACATTGCCCTGCATGGTGCAGACAGGCTGACGATAGTCACCTTGTTGAACACTCTCCGCTATCGATCTGCATTGCGTGCCGCTCTCGAAGATCGCACCGAAGCAGACCTGCAGCCCATCATGCACTGGATATGGAAGAACATCTCCAACACGGCATTCGTTTCCTTGTGCGTGGAGGTCTCGATGAACATCATGGACCTGTACTCAAAGCACTTGTCCGAAAGTGAGGATCTTGCAAAGCACCTCAAGAAGCTGCGAGACCGAGTACACGAAGAGACGGATCGAGCAGAGCAAGCGGGAATAACTAGGGGGATGTTGGAGCTTTTGGCGGCACAGCAGACTGGCTGAGCCGACATTATCGGTGATTCACTCTACCTGGAGGATCCGAAAAGACCATCACTTCATGGAATCTCGACCATAACACCAACATTGTATCGAAGGCCTCAGGAGCCACGGGACGGTCAGTCTCGGTCCAAAATTAGGCCGAGAGTTCCGTGGCTATCAATTGCATCATTCGATACGCGGGGCTTTGGTACACATTGACTTGCAGGATAAAATTCTGCACTTGTGTCATTCCTCTACTAGTCGGCGAGAAGCATAACTTCAAAATTGACAACATGGCTCCCACAACGATACGATGGGGCATATTGGGCAAGTGCTGCTGGATCCTGGTTCGGAGTACAGCCGGCTAACAATGGCTCAGCTACCGGAGGTATTGCCATAACGTTCACCAAAGACCTTCTGGTTGATCCCGCAACGCGCGACGTGCACGATATCCGACACACCGTTGTCGCTGCGGCCAGTAGTTCTAGCGCTTCCCGCGCACAAGAGTTCCTGAAAGAGGTCAAGGCCCCGTCCACCGCTCAGGCGTATGGCTCATACGAGGAGCTGGTGCAAAACCCAGAAATCGACATTGTCTACATCGCTACGCCTCATTCCCACCACTACCAGAACGCACTGCTCTGCCTCGAAGCTGGCAAGAATGTCCTCTGCGAAAAGGCCTTTACCGTCAACGCTGCCCAAGCAAAGATACTTGTCCAAAAGGCGCGAGAGAAAAACCTGTTCCTGATGGAGGCCGTGTGGACCCGCTATTTTCCCCTCTCTGTTTATGTACGCGAGGCAATCAGCTCGGGGAAATTGGGTCAGGTAGTGAGGGTATCTGCCGACAATTCTCGTGCTTCTGATCCAGAGAAGACTTGGCCCGACGGCAAACACAGGATGGTGAATCCAGAATTGGCGGGCGGCGCTCTTCTGGACCTGGGGATTTACAGTCTTACGTGGGTCTTTCAGACTTTGTACACCACGCAAGCGCCCGAAAGCCGCCAATCACCAAAGGTCGTGTCCAGCATGGTGAAGTATCCACCAACAGGCGTTGACGAGACGACCACCATCCTGCTCACGTTCCCTCGCGACCCCGAGCAAGGAGGCGACATGCACGCTGTTGCCACCACGGGTATGCGCACGTCAAGCAACACCGATGGAAAGGGCACGTCCGGTCCTGCGGTCCGGATCCAAGGCACGAAGGGAGAAATGCAAGTCTGGCCACCAGCATTTCGGCCAACCAAGACAAGGCTGATACTCATGGATGGCACCACAGAGGACAAGGATTGGTCGCAACCTGGACCAGGGAAAGGGAGCGGGTGGTTCAACGGCTTTGGAAATACAATGAATGCAGAGGGCGAGGGTCATGGTATGTTTTGGGAGGCAGATGAAGCGGGGAGAGCGATAGTGGAGGGGCGCAAAGAGGGCAAATATGAGAGCTTGGACGAGAGTGTGTTGATTATGGAGGTGATGGATGAGGTGAGACGACAACACGGCTTCAGATATCCCGAGAAGATTGAGACGACCGAAAGAGTCGAACTGTGAGGCGAGCCATTCAATTATCATCTCAATTGAGAAGAAGAAGCCAAACAGATCAGCAGAGGGACAGCTCAAGCTAGCCATAAATGGAATGGTGTGGATGCTTCGAGGCTTGGCGGTTCCAAGATCGACGTCATCTCCAAAACAATGGGACTCGACATGATTGGCTGGAGCTGCTGCCTTCTGCGGTACGACGGCAGCGGGACTGACAGCTCACACCGTCGACCATCATTTGATCAAGCACAGGAATCAATTTACTATTATGCACGCAAGGCGGAGTAATTAATACTCGGTACAGGACATTGCGTGTCTCATTCATTATTACTATGAGCCCGTCCGAGTCTGTCGCTTAATGTCGACGCAGTTTCCGGCTCGGAAGTTCCCAGCCTTCTGCAAAACTGCACGCGTAAATTCCCGTGGCTGGCGCCTTGTCTGCATTCAAGTCCCAATGCCCCCTCATCAGCAAACTCAATCCTGTCCTTCGTTCAGTCCATTTCCAAAGCTTCGCCAGACACATCTGCCGGAGCTCATAATTCGATAGCTCCTCGGAAACCTATAACGTCTTTTTCGACCCGGCAACTGGCACCATGTGGCCTTGACAGATCACGACCACCATCTCTTCCACGAATGTTGCAGCCTTCACAACAACCTCACCACTTCACCGTCAACACCGCAGGCCGGTAGCTACCCCCTCCATCTCTTCAGCATGGCCTCCAAAACAAGAGCCCTCAATGCTGCCCATGCTGCGGGGATTTTCGCAGACATGACTCTCGACGGCCCCGAGATCGGCACCCTCGTCGCCGTAGTCGACAGGGCCAAAAACCTGCCGAACCGGAAGACCATGGGCAAGCAAGACCCATATTGTGCTATGAGACTGGGAAAAGAAGCCAAGAAGACGGAAACGGACAAGAGAGGCGGGCAAACACCCAGATGGTAAGGAACTTCCGGGAAGAACGCAGGCATGTCGCTAACATGCAGTAGGGATCAAGAACTGCGATTTACCGTCCACGACTCCCCCGACTATTACAAATTGAAATGCTCCATTTTCAACGATGACAAGAAGACCGACCTCATTGGCGAAGCCTGGATCGATCTAACAGAGGTCATCATTCCCGGCGGCGGACAGAGTGATCAATGGCGTCAATTGAACTTCAAGGGCAAATATGCAGGAGACATCCGGATTGAGTTGACATATTACGATACAAGACCCAAGCCAGAGCTCCTAGCAGAGAAGCAAAAACAAAGAGACAAATTTCATTCGACCGTCAGTGACGCCCCGAGCATAATTTCTGGCCCTCGCCAACTCGGTCCTCGTGAGATCAAGAGAAGGCCACTCCCACCTGGTCCGGGTGGAAACTTCTCAGCTCTTTCGACCGCTCAGACTTCCGAACGATGGCCCCGGGAAGACTCGCCGGATACAATTCCTGGCCATGGATATACGAACGGCAACCCTCCACCTCGTCCACCAAAACAAAGGTTCGTTCCAGAGACTCCTGACGATGTTGGATATGATCTGAACCCTCAATTCGGCCCCGACTCTTACGAACCGCCTCAAAACTTTAGTCCATATCATCACCAAAGTCAATCACCAAGCAAGTACTACGATGACTACGACGATCCTATGGCGGTATATGGGGAGCAAGACCCATATGCCATGGATTCCTACCAACAAGCAGGCCTTCTGCCGCAAACCCAACCACCACAGGCTGTGCCAGGGGTCCTACCACCAGACCATCATTCCTCATCGGCTCCGCATTCGCCATACGATCTACCAGATCAGCCTCCCTATCATTCCTCCCCTCCTCGAATAACGCCGCAGCGCACGCCACCAGGGGGTGCGCAGATTCAGCATTGGAACGGCAGGACCAGCACATCTCCGGTCAAGTATGCCGCATACAGGGATAGTCCACTCCGCCAATCTATCAGTCCACATGATATGCCTGAAGCGATTTCGACCTCTTCCGATCCACGGTTCGATCAAGATGGATTACCACCGCCCCCTCCTGCTCACCGAGGTACCATGACAAGGGTGCCGGCATCTTCGTCGAGTCACAGAGACTCGTATGGAGAACCTTCGCCACGCACCCCAGCGAAATTCAACAGCGTCGAGGGTAGGAGCCCTCTTCAAAGGCTCGAGCGTGATTATGATCCGTTTCAGGCAACCCCCCCTTCCCGAGATATACAGCGCCAAGTTCCATCACCGCAGTCTTATGAACCAAGCCCGCCACCGCCAGTCGACCATGACCGATATCCCATGTTTCCATCTGATAAGCGAAAATCCTACAATAATGATATAAATCAGCTTCAACCAATAGGCACTGAGAATGAAGTGCCCCCTCCTGAAAGGATCAGCGATCGCATGTTCGCTCAGCGTCATGACGGAGAAAATATTCAAGAGAATTTCAGGCGTTCTACAGGCAATGAACTGCCGCGGCGGGCGCAGACATTTGACAACTTTGAATTGTACGATGAGAGACACGTCCGAAGTTCTGCTCCGGTCGTTGTCCGGCCTCGTCCAATTACTCCCAATTCTAATCATACCATTCCTCGGAAATCAATTACCCCGACGTTCACAACGAGCGATGATCGCACCCAGATGTCTAGTGTTCCGTTTGGACCTGGCTCGTACGATGTGTTGAACCCCGGCACGAGCTCAACACCGGTTGAGGGTGCATTCAACTCCCCAGAAGATGCGTTCGAGGTGGCTCGACAGAAGGAGGTCGACAAAATTCGGGAACAAGGTCCAATTATCGGGAACGATGGAAGAGTGATTGATCCATCGGACCATCTTCCTTCTGACACGTGGGCGCCAGAACCTGAAAGAAAACAACGCAAGCCAGAGCATGTCATTAGAATTCGCACAAGAGAAGAAGCACGAAATCAAAATCGGGCAGGATCGTCGCCAGCCTCCGCTCGACCACACTCGATTGCGGCGACGCCTTATCAGGCCTCCCCAAGCGTTCCGGTGTCTTCACCGTACCAGACGTCAACCCCTCCAGCGACGGCTCCGGTTTCGCCTCAAGCCGAACCATCCAGCGGCCGGAACAGGCTGAAGAAACCAATGCCAAATCGACCACTCCCGACGCAACCGTACCCGAGCCCTCAGGCAGGCCCATCTGTGCAAAATAGCGCCTCAATCGAGCGACCTAGTCCCTCGAACCAACGTTATACTATTCACTCTTCTCCCATCAGCGGATCACCTCAGCGATCTCCGTTTTCGGAATATCAAGTTCCGTCTGGGAACAGTTACAGCCCGCGCGGTGGTTATGGGCCACCAGCAGGGCCTCAGAATCAGTTGGAGTATTCTCCATCACCGACCAATCCACCAATTGAGAGGTCGATGCCGGAGAATCCCGGTTACGGCGGTGGCCCGTCGTATGATGTAGAGGATTCCCTGGCGCTTGAATTGAGCAGAATTGACATAGGGCCGTCGAGGATGCCCAGGACGGCGTTACGGCCTCAGAAAGCATACGGCGCGTACTAGCATACATGTTACATAGAAGATGTCGAGTTTTGGCAGGCGTTGTGAGCGGCGCTGTATTTGGATTGATCTCTGGAGCAGGTCGATGTATAACGCGTCAGGGCAGTAACCAGCCTGATCAACACAAAATGAACGGTACAATCGTGGGATGGGAATGTACATTGGCATCATGCCGCGGCAGCAGGCCTCATAATAAAATCATATGTCCAAGAGGACGGAGTACACAGAAGGAATGGGGATCAATTAGACTAATCATCACCATGCATTTCCAAGTCCTGAGTCCCGTCACCTCTGTCACGTTTTCCTCCGTAACCTGACCCTTATCGGCCCCGTAACGTCCTCCATGCGCCTCTCCCCGCTAACCAGCTCTCCACGCTGCAACACATCCACCTCGTCGCGATCCCGGGCTTCGAACGCCATCTCGCGTAGCCGCGGCATGAGATCGCGCCAGTGACTGACGCCCAGCGCGGAGAGGTCTGATGGGGACAGCGAGCGCGCGACTTCCGAGGGGCAGAGCGTCTTGGGGTATGTGCGTGAGTGCAGGAGGGTGTGGAATTGTTGTTGCAGGAGGGATGGAGCAGGAGAATTAGAACGAGAAGAAGACATGATGGGTTTGGTTTTGATCGGGGAGGAAGTTGACTGTGGGTAATATAGACGTGGATGTAGAATGGTATGGTATGAGAGGAGAGGAGATGGAGAGGGGAGTTTTAACGTCAATGACACTATCAAAGGCAAGGCACAAGGCTGAGCGAGAACTTCCCCGCAAGGCTGCGAACTCCTGGCTCCGGCGATGTACCGGAGAAATATTGATCCCTCCCAATGGGTTCCTCAGCTTCACAACAACTTCGCGAACAGCTTCTCATCGTCTACCACGAACAATGCTGACGAGTAACATTCTCGGATTCGTAGAGAGGCCGAGGCATAGCTCAAAGGTGGGAATACTTGTTCTCAGAACTTTCTTGGTCCAGCTAGGTCTTACGCCTCAATCATGATCTTTGCCCAAGAACATTCTGACGACCAGGCATTCATCTCCTCCTGCCTGTTGCTTCGAATCATGCCGATACGGCGCTATAGGGCTTGGATTGCTAGTGTGGAAGTCTTCGACCAGAAATGATCCTCAATGGCGCGTCTCAGCTTGGCTGGTCGGGCCACCTTGAACTGAAACGAACCTCCCCTAAACATGGGCTCGTGCGTGTCACAGCTTTCTCCTTGTTCCCTTCAACTTGGCCTCTGCGCAAACTTCAACTCTCAGATGTCAATTGCCGCTAAATGTCCGTCTATTCCTCAACCATAGACTCATCAGAAAGACAGCCTGAAAGCTGCTATAGCTGGAAACTCTGCCGCAAGGCGAGGGATACGACTACTCGGCCTCTGATACTCTCTGCAGGTTTTGCAGCTCGCTGTTGTGCCTATGCCCTTATTGAAGTGTCAACGCGGACAGTGGAGACGCAATACGTGCATTGATACTGCTAAGGAGATATCGCGTCTTGCACACTCACTGTCCACATTCCACAGCCTTGTTAGGAAGGTCACCACACATTCTGACCATTGAGGACGAACCTCTGCCGCCATGACGATTCCAACAACTACACAAGCCACAACATGGTCAATGTCCGCGAAGATTGCCGTCAGGGCTTTCACCCCTTCCTGAGAAGATGGACGGGTTATAAAATCGCAAAGTTGCTACAGCTTCTCATCATTTTCCCTCTTCATGTACTGGCACACTATACACTCGTTTATCTGATCTTGGAGGGGCGTAATTACTTACCGCAAACATGTATGTCCTCACGCAGTCTTTCGTTGTCCTGACCACTGTCGTTGCTCTCGCCCTCGGCCAGGATGCTGGCGTCACGACGTCTACCTCAACTCGGATTTACACGGCATACGGGACATCTCCAACCTCGAGCGTGTACACAAGCCACGTCACTATCTACGGCGACACGACTACCCTGACCAGCACTTCGAGGGTCACCACAACAAGTCCCATTCGGTTCACAACGATCATTCCTTATACTTTTCTGTCGACTCTCAACGTTACTAGCACATATCGCGCAACGTAGGTCCCCATGTTCTTCGGTGGTAGACGTCCATGCCAATAAAGAGATCCAGTACCGATGTCTTCACTAGCACTACCACAAGCACACAGTATAACATGCTAAACACCACTTCAACCTCGTATATCAATGTCACTGCTGCCGCGAACACCACACTCGTTACAGAAAGTATTGTCACCATCCCCACGCCGAGCGGCTTTGTCCCGGTAGACGAGTCTTCTGGGGATGAAAACTACAATGGAACCATGAAGCGACGGGATGCAGAACTCGAAAGAGATGTTCCTCTGCAACCCCGACAGGCTGCTGTCACCACAACGGCCGATGCTTGTTATATCTCTATCATTTCTGTTGTCACGCGGTTGGCTCCACAAACCACTTCTACAACGACTGTGACTTCGACGAAAACAAGCACTCAGCGACCACCGCGGACCGTGACTCAGTCGACGACCCTTACTGTGACCAACACAGTGGGCGTCCCTGACGTCCCAGTGCTCTCTGTAAGTCCTGACCCCAAAACAGACCTCGGTTCTTTCGGTTGCCACATCTTGTATTCCAGCATCTCGAATTTCTTCCCCCGCAAGCGTAAAAGTATGTGTCCAGTCGGGGACTGATCATGGACAGACCTTGGTAGTGACAGTGCCCGCCACCACGAACCTGACCCAGGTCATCGTGGTACAGACAGAAACAACAGTCGGCACCCTCACAAGCACCTTCACCTCCTACACCGCGACCCGAACCGCCCATCTCGCCTGCGGCACCGACAACCAGCTAGGCCCGCGGATCGAGGACGGCACCTACATCGCCGCCGTCGTGGACAACACGCGCGCCAACGTCGGCACAGGCACCAACGCGACATCCAGCTACGACTGCTGCGCCATCTGCCAGGACGCCGCGGGTTTCTGTGACTTTGCATACTACGACACGCAGGCCGCCGGTTCGGGGAGTAACAACAACAGCAGCAGCGGCAACAACTGCATGCTGTACATGGCGAATGCGCCCAAGAAGGCCCAGGGAGGAGGAGGAGGCAATGCCACGTGCTCGCATGCCCAGGCTGGGTTCTACAATACGAATAAAAAGACCACGAATAGGTGGGTCGTCATCAACGGGCCGTGTGGCCAGCTTGTCCATGGCAATCCCACCCCGAAGGCGAGCTCGACGACTGCTGCTGCCGTGTCTACGAGCTCGTCTGCGGCCGTGCCTACCTAGGTCCTCAGTGGGAGGTTACTAATACACTCGGCTGCCATGTGCTGTTTACACGGCGGCGGGTGTAGTGACGCAGGTCGTCTGGAGGGTGTGCACTGGATCAGGTGGCAAGAGGGACGATGGATGGATGGATGGTGGATGGAGGTTGGAAGAGGAAATGGTTATGAACTTGTCCCCTTCTTGTAGAGCGGATCGAGAACCAGGGTGTATCCGCCTCTCGTGGAATCCGCCCTTCTCTATCGCGCACAGACATACATTTCATATATAGTGCACGGTTTACTACCACTTCTTTTACTAGGTAGTGGATCGCAGTCTGGATCTTTTCAGATGAGAACCTTTTTTTACTTCTTCTTCTCCTCTCTCCTTTCTTCTCTTTTAAACGTTCCCATCTTCAAACCAGCTCCTTATCAACCACACAGACAGCCTTCCCCTTCACCTTGCCCGCCTCAAGCAGCTCAAACATTTTCGGCACCTCGTCGAGGCCGTGAAAGACCTGAGTCTCGGCCACGATGCCATGGGTAGCGACGGTCTGGAGCATCTCATCGGCGACTCCCGGCCCGCCGTGCATGGTTCCCTTGATGGTGATGTCGCGCAGCACGATCTCCTGGAACGGCACCGTGACCTCGACGGGCTGGGCGGCTTGGACGACGGTGCCGTGCGAGCGGGTGATGGAGGCCGAGAGAGCGGCTGTGGACGGGTGGTCGCTGACGTTGACGGTGGCGTCGACGCCTCCCCGGGGGGACGTTAGAGCCCGCACACGCTCGGCGACTTTGTCCTTGCCCTCGCGGGCGTCGAGGACGTGGTCGGCGCCGTACTTCTTCGCGATCTCGATCCCGTCGTCCCGCGCCTCGACCGCGATGACCTTCATCCCCGCGGCCTTTGCGAACTGCACGCCAAAATGCCCCAATCCGCCCCCGCCGCCCACGATCGCGACCCATCCGCCCGCCCCGACGCCGCTGACTTTTAACCCGCGGTAGACGGTGACGCCCGCGCACGCCAGCGGCGCCGCGGTCAGGAAACTCACCCGCTCGGGCACTTTGCAGCTCATGCGCGCGTCGACCACGTGGTACTCTGCAAACGCGCCGTCCGTCACCACGCCCAGCGCCCCGTCGTTGTCGAAGCAGTACTGTTTCCAGTCCCTGTCCGGGGGAGCCTGGCAGTTCTCGCAGCGCCCGCAGCCGTGGAACGTGATGCCCGACATGACCCGGTCGCCCGGTTTGAACGATTCCTGGGCTGAGGCTCCTGCTGCGACCACCACGCCTGTACCCTCGTGCGACAGCGTCATGGGCAGCCCATGCTTGAGCGGCATGAATCCCGCCTGCACCATCAGGTCTGTATGGCATAGACTGGCCACGGCGGTCCGGAGGAGCAAGTCATAGGGACCCAAGTCGGACGCTGTGGGGGCTCTGGTCTTCTGCACCACTGGGGGGGACTTGAATTCGACCAGTTGAGCCGCGAGCATCTCGCTTGGGGTTTCTGGGGCTGTTGCTGTGGCTGCCATGGTGTGTGGTGGGATGTTGGCGTCACGGATTGGCTCGAAGGTGAACGGCCAAAAAAATCAGAAGACCTAACTCTCCTGTCTCTACTCTGCTGGACCAGAGACGGTATAACCGATCGAAGTTCAACGTGGGGTCAAAGTTTGTAGTCTGTATAGGAAAGGGTCCTAGCACCTATCTCCCCTCAACAATTCAAAATTTGTACGAGAAGAAGAAAAAGGGGCCTCAAAAAGCCAGACAGTTTCCCCGGTATGCCCAGTGCTTGGTGCCGTTGAGAGTCTATGATGAAACTTGTGAAGGTGAGAAGAGCCCGACGACGACGACAAAGGCACTGACTGTATCGAGGCACGGTCGACGAGCTGGAAAATCCACAGACGGCTATGATTTATACATACCTAGGTAGGTATATGAACCCCTCTCGGGAGTTGTAAGGGTCCCCTTCATTGAGCCCCACTTGAACAGCACATCGCACGGGCTTATCGTCCAATGCTCGGACAGGACAGAGCCATGGTATGCATGAAAGGAGGCGGGCGAATGGGAAATCGGTAGGAATAGGTGTCATTGACGCCCCGGATTCACAATGGGAGAGAATGGATTTCCTTCTTCTTCACCTGGTATATCGGGTATGGTGGGCAAGGACACTCCCGACTACTAAGTAGGCACAGGAACGGGGAATGGACAAGGATGGATCCACGGCTTCTCCCTACTACTTGATCGCAACTACTTCATTGATGGGTGCAGCAGGCCTCTCTGTTGGGGAGAGATTTTTGGATATTTCAAGACACTCCCTCTCGGATTTCATCCGGCGTCCGTAAGCCCTCTCGAGTGCGCCTGGACGACTACCTTGTCACTCGCTGGTCAAGAAATATGGATTGATGTTGGGTTCTCCCTTAGCAAGGCTGGTCATCGGAGGAAGACACTTGTCAGATGAGAGACGGAAACTGCACGAGTCCAAAGACCTGTGGCTGCAATGCGCCGTTGACTCTAGATCAAAGCTAACAGTGCTCCACCGGTCAGAAATTGTCGTCTGCAGTCCTCTCACGCCTTTGCGGCACCGGCCTTGATGAGAATGATGTCGCCATCCTCCACAACTGTGCACAGATATCGTTAGCCACAACTTCCATCTACACTCGAGACTCCATCAGGGACTGACAGAGATGAGACAACTTACCATAATCTTTCCCTTTGGTCATGACTTTCCCTGCCGCTCTCACAGCATTTTCGTCACCGTATTCCCTCAAAGTCTCATAATTATACACGATACACTGAATAAACGTCTTCTCAAAATCCGTGTGGATCACGCCCGCTGCTTGTGGTGCCTTGGTGCCTTTCCTGATCGTCCACTGCCTCACCTCATCCGTGCCAGTGGTGAAAAAGCTTGCGAGATTGAGTGCTTGTCTCATCGTCACGACGACTTTCGGCAAAGCGGACTTGGTGTTGAGATTTTTGCATTCTTCGGCGGCTTCCTCGTCGGACATGGCGGCGAGGCGTTCTTCAAATGAGACAGAGATGGGTAAGACGGGGTCGCCTGGAGAGTTGGTCTTGAGCCACTCCATCACTTTGGGCAGGTATTTGTTCTTTTGACGGAGGTAGTCCTTCTCAGAGAGATTGATGAGATAGACTACGGGTTTGGCCGTGAGAAGGAAGAGAGGATTGATAACCTCGATCTGTTTGCCGTCTCGTTAGTCTGCAAAGTGTATAAACAGAAATGGTAGGGAGCAGCTTGATCCAGAGAAAAACTTGTGTCAGGGTTGGACTTCCTCTCATAACAGCCTCTAAACGTGAGATTTTGGGTGAGACTGCTGTCGACGAGCTGGGATTATGTCGAGCTTGTAGCTCTTCTTCATCATGAAAAGGCAAGGGACACCGGAATGGAAATGTCAGATGACTTACCTCTTTAGGCCCCCAATCAGCCTTCCTCACATCCTTGCCATCTTTCAGATGTTGCAGGATTTTGTCAACGGTCGCTTCCTCCTCTTTCAACTTCTTCATCTCTAAACTCTGACCACCTCTCCTGGTCTGCTTGGACAGGTTTTCCTTGGCCTTCTCCACAAACTCGATGTCTTTTAACCGCAGCTCCTCGGAGATAATGTCCAAATCTCTCGTGGGGTTGACGTCGCCCTCGACGTGAATGATCTCTGCATCGTCGAAACAACGCACGACTTGGAAGATGGCATCAACCGCTCGGATGTGCGACAGGAAGGAGTTGCCCAGACCGGCACCAGTTGAAGACCCTCGAGTAAGACCCGCGATATCGTACACCGTCAAGTTAGCGGGGACTTGAGATTTGGGTTTATAGTGTTCGCAGAGCCAATCGTATCGTGCGTCAGGGACAATGACTCGGGCCTCTTCAGGTTCGATGGTTGCATAAGGGAAGTTGGCAGGGTTGCCTAGTGAGCATTTCGTGATGGCTTGGAAGAGTGTCGATTTGCCGACATTAGCAAGACCAACCTAGCGCAAAGGACAGTCAGTCACTGGTGTGGTCAAGGAAAGTTGAACCATTCTTGTGCGGGATCTGCCTACATACGATACCGCTCTTCAAGTTGTTCCCGGGCCTGCCTAGCAGGATCTTCTTCTCTTCCACGGGCTTTTTGGGAGGCATTTTCTTCTTGGCGTAATTGCGTGTCTGTAAGACCTGAACAACGGAGAGAGAGGCTGTATTCCGAAGAATCGGGTGCGAGCAAGGCTCAAGTGCAGAACCGGCTGCAAAGATTGAAATGCGAAGTGGAGAAGTGAAGGGGGAGGTGAAGTAAGTAAGGGAGACCGTGTTGTCGAAGCAGGAAGTTAGAGACTCGAGGGCTGATTCTGCGCTCGAGATCTCTACAACAAACGGTTTGTTAATGGGTGCATCGATGGGTGCATCGAGAAGGCTGATTTGCGCCAACTTGACTTTTTTTCTGCTACGCAGTGGGTTGAGGCTGCGGCTGCTGCATTCACGTGGCAGACAGACCGAGCACGTGATGCCAAGACTTGTAATGACGGTGGTGCTTCGGTCATTCAAGTTGCTGACTTCCACGCTGCGTCTCTATCTCAGCCTCGCATCTCAGCCTGCTCCCTCCCCTTCCTCCTTCAAAGATCGATATCAAGGGTCGAATAGGCCACGTGCTGCATGGACCTCGCGACTAGCCCTGCATTTCTGGTATATTGTTATCTCCTAGAGGTGGGTGACAAACTCAGGATCGGAACGAATTTGCACCGACCCACGATGCACAAGAGCCGTGGCGGAGTTTGCTGGGTAAAATCCGACCCACTCGTGCTACAGCTGGCATGCACCTCGAATTCTTTTCCAATGTCAGTGACGAACAATCTCGCAGGGTTTTTCCTCGCGAGGTTTAGCGTCGAGCATTCTGTGCAGCCTTCCCAGAACCTTGAGAGCCCCTTCTCATAGCTCTTCCCAGCCAGTGTCCAGGAAACGCGGCTTGTCTTTGACGGCAGAATTTGGTCCGAGTGTCTTGGTGACGTCCATGCAGTAGCACCGGGATTAATTACTTTCCCATTTCCGTGGACAAATGCTGCTGGAGATTGATATAAAATGCTTGATGGTGGGCGAGCATCTCGACCTTGGAGTCTGCTCTCGAACACACAGTAAGAGCCATTCCACACTGTTAGACTGACCCTCCCATACCTCTCTTGTGCGAATAGTCTGCTCAGCTCTCTTTTGTTGCCAAAATGGGATTTCTCTACTCTCAGTTCTTCATCAAACCAGCTTATCCGAAGAGATCTTTTGCTGGAGAGACCGTCATTGTGACTGGAAGCAATACTGGCCTAGGAAAGGAAGCAGCTCGACATTTCGCTCGACTGGGCGCCTCCAAACTGATCCTCGCTGTGCGAAACACCAAGGCGGGAGAAGCTGCCAAAAAGGACATTGAAAACACCACCAAATGCAGCCCCAACGTGATTGAGGTTTGGGAGCTCGACCTTGCCTCGTTCGACTCGGTCAAAGCCTTCGCCGACCGCGCATCTAAACTCCCTCGCATCGACGTGCTGCTTGAGAACGCGGGCATCGCTACCAGGAAATACAGTCAAGCCGAGGGACACGAACGCACCATCACAGTCAATGTCATCAGCACTTTCTTCCTGGCGTTGCTTTTGCTGCCAAAACTGAAGTCCACCGCCAAGGAATTCAAGGTCAATCCGCGTCTCACCATCGTGTCCAGCGAAGTGCACGCCTGGACCAAATTCGAGGAACGGAATGTGCCTCGCATCTTTGAGACTCTCGACAACGAGAAGACAGCCAAGATGGACGAACGATACCAGACCAGTAAACTACTGGAAGTCCTCAGCGTTCGCCAGATCGCGCCCAAACTTGCCGGGTCCGGGGTCATCTTGAACATGCTCAATCCTGGATTGTGCCACTCGGAGCTTGCCCGAGAGGCGTCGTTCGTGTTGACGCTATTGAAGTTCTTCCTTGCCCGCTCGACAGAGGTGGGCAGTCGGACCTTGGTGGCAGCGGCCGAGGCAGGGATGGAGTCGCATGGCAAGTACATGTCGGATGGCAAGGTTGCAGACGACAATCTGTCACCATTTGCGAGGAGCAAGGATGGCGAAGTGGCTGGTAAGAAGGTGTGGAGTGAGCTGAGCGACATCCTGGAGAAGATTCAGCCTGGGATTACCCAGAATATCTGATGACTCTCAGGACTTATACCCCCAAATGGATTTCGGAAAGTTGCGCCTCTGAGTTTTAAAGTATCTAGTTGCTGATATGAATGCTTCACTTCCTCTGCCTTTCGCAAACCATTTAAGCCAGTAATGTCCAGAACATCCACAACAAATGCCCTTCTGGCTTTTGACGATGCTTGACCATAATTTTGATTTGCTCTGAATAATAGCTTCTTCTACTAGACAATACAATGGCTTTGCGAAAAATGAGATAAAATTGATTGACCTGGGCAAATAGGCTTTTTGAAGGGGGGAGACGTCTTCGAAGCACAAGCAGAAAACTTCTCACAAATCGCTCTGCGCATGGAGCCTCCCCTGAGGTCTGGACAACATCCATCGTACTGGCGATGCCAAGCGCAGTCACCGTTCCCATTGCGAACTGCGCCCAGATATAACTTTCACAAGACCGTCGACTCGGCTACTAAGTCATGTGGCTGAGTTCGAGTGGGTCCGTCCATCACTGTATGCCCGCAGAATGATAGCTCCTGGTGGGCTGGCCAAAGACCGCTAGTGTCGTTCTGGGAAAACCGGCGTGGTAGAAGAGGCCATGTAGAAGAGGATAACCAGCGGGTGTCTGATCGCCAGGCTGCTTGCGCACATGTTCAACGGACGAGATCCAGATAGAAGTCCTCGACGAAGAATTGGTGGTTACAGATCTCGAAAAGTGGACAAAGGGTACACCTAGGGCGTCAATGAGACGTTCTGAGAAACAAAGGCGCCAGAGACACTGGATGAGACAAAGGCTGAGAAGGACCAGCGCGTTGTCTCCAATGTTTGCTGGCTTTCGACAGGGCTGCAAATGTGAATGTGGCCGCAGTTGGGTGATGGCAGTCAGACAGCGCTTGTTCCACCCTTTCTCATTAGGGCGCCGAGGTCGACGCGCTTCTTTGAGGATCTTCTCCGATCTGAATAGAGAGAAGCCATTTCTGCCTCTTTCAGCCATCCTCCATTTCTTCCCCTTCTCCGAGATCTTCTTCCCCGCTTTCACGATCGAGCTCTGCCTCCTTCTTCTCCCACTTTTTCATCGCCGCATCCCCGTCCTTTCCCTGCCTTTTCGCTTCAAAATATGCTTCTCTCTTCTTCAACGCCAACTCATCTCGCTTGGTCATTCTTGTAAGCTTCCTGTCCCTTCGACTTGCTTCCAGGTTGTGCAGGACGGCGAGCTGCTGCTTCAACTTGGAGACTTCCTCTTCGAGTCTTTCTGATTTGGATATCTCGGTCGCATCTGGCGGGAGCGAGATTTGCGAAGAGGCGTTCCCCAATTCCAATGAGCGGACGGCCGCGTCCAGCATAGATTGGGAGAATCCCGGACCTGCAAGAGCTTGTTCGAACTCGTCATGTTCGGATGGGTTCCTTGGAGCAGTGATCGTGACATGGAGACCGTACTTCGCGGGGACACCGCAGGTACCCTTGTCCTTCGACGAGGTCAACTCAAGATTGGGCTTCACAATGCTTGAGATAGTATACTTGGGTCTTTTCGCGTTCGGAAAGCCTTCAGGTTTGAGCATCTCGATATTGGTAATTGGTTGGCTGAAATTTGTGATCTCTTGCAGGATTCGACGCTTAGCAACATCCCACCGGATGACAGTTCCATTCACGTGGCCGGAGAGTAGCGATGTCCCGTCATACGATAGTGTGACACAATTTGCCGTTCCAACGTTGGTGGATGGGGCTTTCCAACTGTCCTTGTCCATAAGTTGTATGGCCGGCCTAGTTGAAGGGCCAGATGATGAAATGCTGTATCTTGGGGATTGCTGAAAGATGTCCCAGGAATGGATCCTCCCATCATGACATCCGAAATATATAGCTCTGTCCGCGGGGTCAAGTGCGATGGAAACGGCATGGGAGGGCAACAATAGAGTCTGCAAGACTTGACATGATTCGATATGCCAGATGTGGCAAGTCCCATCGTTGGAAGCCGAAACTGCAAAATTGGTGGTGATGCTAGAGTGGCCACAGATCAATGCACTGAGAGCCGTTCGATGCCTGGAGAAGGCCTTGACAGGGGCATTTGACGTGCCGTCGTCCTCATAGCTATCTGAAGGTGGCGCGAAGGAAACTAGTTTTGCTAGCGACCAAACGTGAATACTCGAGTCAGCAGAACCAGAAATAATGTATTCGTTCCTAGGAGTGATGCAAAGACACGAAACTGCTTGAAGATGAGAGGCTGCTGAGTTTGTTACTCTGCCCGTTGCCACTTCCCACAGAATCAATCTTCCTCCTTCGGTCCCTAGAACCAAGATTTCTGCCCCATTAGCATAGGCGAGACTCGATACCCGCTCGGGGAATGGGACAGTGGCTTCTTGATTGACCCTTTCTCGACTATAGACATTCACCACTGCTTTGTCTGCCTGAGCCGCGAAGATGTGCGAATCACTGATTGCCACACAGCCTGGTTGAGTTGAACTCTTCTTGAAGCCTTGCCGAAAGACACGCTGAGGTTGAAACTCGTGAAGGAAAATGCCTACATCTTTCAAGGCGGCGCTGGCATGTGCTGCAGCTTTATTCGCAGTCAGAGTCGCTGCAATGAAGCTTTCTGTGAGCATTTCTCAAGGTTGACGTCCGTCGGCAGGCATTGTGGTGGTTTGCTTGATGGGCAGCAAATAACGGAGAAACTTTTTCTGCACCAAAAATGTTCTTTTGGGGACCTTCGCATGACTAAGCAGGGCTCTCCACGTGAATCAGAATTTCTTGCCAAGGATTGATGTCTTGGCATGCGCACGACGGAAACCAAAGCGCATCTACACAATTCATTGACTCAATCTCCGGCCTTTGACGAACTCAACCAACAACCACGTCCTCGCCCAACTTGCGAATCTTTTCCCATACGACTTCTTGCAGGTGATTGACAGCGAGATGTCGACCTTCGAGCCCGTCGTAAGTCCTTCCCCGGCTCATACTGCGCCTGCAGCATCGACCAGATGAACCAGACCAAAAGTTTGCTGATACGGAACTCTTTTCTTGCTTCAGGTTGTCATCGACGGCAAGGGACACTTGCTCGGTCGTCTCGCCAGTACAGTCGCAAAGCAACTCTTGAATGGCCAGAAAATCGTCGTCGTGAGATGCGAGGCGCTCAACATCTCTGGCGAATTCTTCCGTGCTAAGCGTACGCCCTCTTCCCCCTCGTTCTGCTCGACCACATCCATCTGTCGACGTTGAAAAGGTGTATTGGGACTAACACAAGCTTTTTCCTGCCTCGAACAGTCAAGTACCATGCCTACCTCCGCAAAATCACTCGTTACAACCCAACTCGAGGTGGCCCTTTCCACTTCCGCGCCCCCGCTCGCATCTTCTACAAGACCGTCCGAGGCATGATCCCGCACAAGACCGCCCGAGGTGCTGCCGCAATGGAGAGGCTGAAGGTCTTTGAGGGCATCCCCCCGCCATACGACAAGAAGCAACGCATGGTTGTTCCTCAGGCACTGAGGGTCCTCAGATTAAAGCCCGGAAGGAAGTACTGTACGGTGGGCCGATTGGCGCATGAGGTGGGATGGAAATACCAAGATGTGGTCGCAAGGTACGTTAGATGTTCTGTCCTCAATACACAAATGGACATTCGGTGGCGGCTGGATTTATTTGTGGAAAATGAGGGTTTCGGCTGACAATGTGACAACAACAGACTCGAGGAAAGAAGAAAAGTCAAGGGCGCCGCGTACTACGAGCGAAAGAAGGCTCAACGAAGACACCTCGTCGAGGCGACCAAGTCGACTGCCGATGGGGAGGCGAAGAAGAAGTTGGCCGAGCTGGGCTACTAAGCCATCCACCGTTACCACTTTCTTGTCGAATACCCTGTCGCGCCTCGTCGCCCGTTTCAACGCCTGCAGTCCTTTATCTACAGTCTTCTATCAACGATCAAGGCGTGTGGCTGGGCTATGTTGAGCATAGACACACCAGAGGGAAGAGAATTCGGACAGTGGGGGGAAATGGAGGCGAAGCGTACCTGACAGAGCGGTTGGTTGGCACGATGGACAGATTTCTTTAATCGAAAATCCCGAGGATCAACAACGGCCCACGCTCGATGCAGGATTTTCAGCTAGCATTGCTGCGTGCATTCAAGGCCTGTTGGGCGGTGGCAGAGGAAGAGAGCAACCATGGTGCTTTGAACGCCACCCAGGAGTTGTGAGCTTTTCGTGGCTTTTGAAAGTGCTTCAGCTACGGATTTTTTCATGAGCACCAAAAAGAAAGAAACTGATGATAAAACACATCGCTGCCTGAGAAGTCTCATTCCCGGAACCAATCATCCAGAAGATCTAGGACCTGATCACTGTGTCTGACTAGCATTCGATGTGCAATGTCATCTGCAAACCGAGCGTAGCTGGTTTCTCCATCTCCAACCAGATTTGTGTCCCGTGCAAACCCAGAAAAGCATCTCGAGTGTTGAATGTATTGTGGAATCCCCAGCTCTCAGGTCCATCATGCTGTGACATCTCGCAAGACCCAGAATTCAATCCCCCATATCATGAGCAAGACAGCCCGTCGTATGCTCGGACCGTAGGAATTCACAACTCCATGTTGCGTCATTCGGGTGAGAAGAAAGGTTGACCGAGTATGAGCAGCATGCCCGACCGTCTCCATCATCACCACCACCGCGCCACACTCGTCAATTAAGGCAGACCGAAATGAGAGGTCCTCAATCAACCCGTTACTTAGCCGACCCGGACTAATAACGCTTTTTGCAATCGTTAGCCAGTACGAACTTATGACCCTGGAGACAGCCCGAACAGATCCAAACACCATCTGTCAAAGCCGGAGTACTTGCATGGTGGCATTGAGGACACTTCTTCTCCGCGGCACCAGCCTCGGAACACGCCTTGGAAGACTCCGACTTGAAAGGTTTCCCCGTGGTGATGTCGATCGGAGGAGGCGGAGGAGGAGCGTCGGGCGGTGGGCTGATAGGGTGGGGATAGTAACCGGAATCCAGGCGAAGATGAGGGTTGAGGATCGTTGAGCGCGTCTCCTGAGGATGGCTCAGATACTCATGGGTTGGCATGATCGTCTCAACTCCGTGGATGGTGGTCGAGATGTGCCCTTTGAAGGCTCTCGTGAAACCGGTGTTCGAAGCATACTGCCCAGGGTGCAGGTAGGAGACTTGGCCTTGAGAAGAGTTGGTTTGAGTCCTCCACGAAGGGCATCAGGGAATGAGATATTAGCACTGACCATAATGCTGAACGGGGCCAAACGAAATATTCGGGGAAGAGTTGACTTCCGATTCTGATGGAGATGGTCCTGTCAGTAGCTTTGCCTGGACAGAGTTTCTTGCGCACTTTGGCTTCCAAGGTCGGAATCGATGCAGGAAAGTGCCTGCAGTCCCTTTCCCCAGGATGCCCTTTCTAGACTCACCCTTGGTAGAGGCCTCTTGCTTTTCTGACGACATGATGGAAAGGGGATCGACTTGTAGAGTGGACTGGTGAGACTTTCGTGGGTGGTTGGGGAACAAAGACTTCTTGAGCAACCGAGATTTCGAGAATTTATATCCCGGTTCGTTTGTTATTAGTGACTTGCACAATCACCGATGAATCGGACATGTCGTCGGGGCGAGAAGAAATGAGTCAGCGGCATTAGTGTAGTGAAGCTTGCGCAGCCTCAGTCGTGCACAATGCTTGGTGCTCGAGGAGGTCGTACTATTCACCAAAGACGCCGGGTCGACTCATTTCGACTTTTTGGCTTCAGCATTCTGGGTATCTTCCACGTAAGGGTGCTTGATTGTGAGGCACCAGATATCCAAGTAGTCACAGATTGTGGTTATGACATCGTGAACAAAGCTTCCGTACACTCCCAGCGCAAGACCCAGTGACAGGAACACAAACGCCACTTGGTAGACATCATCACCCAGCGCACTCGGCCACAGACCGAGTGTCGGGCCGAGGCTATCAACAATGGCACAAGCCAGCGGAACGATTAGGACGTTTTGGTAGGGGAATTTATCCTTGACCAAATGAGCCACAATCATTTGTCCGACGGAATAGGCATTCACAATGCCTGCGAAGATGATGAATGGAACCAGATGGCGGTGCAGAATGACCGGATTAAGCCAGAGATAGGCAGGTATCAAGGTCCATGTGATGGTGAAAGGAGCCAGACCCAGGAGTGCCTTGTAAGGATCCTGACCTCTTTGCCGCCGGGCGTCCATGACGTTCAATGCGCTGCTGACGGTGTTGAAGACCAAGACCAGCCCGCCATAAACCATGTACCATTCGTTCCAGGCCATTTGGTAAAGAGAGGCCGGCATGAGATCACTCTTAGGCAGACCGAGACTGGGCAACATCGGCTGTTGCCAATAACTCGCACCACCTTTGAGGAAGGTGATAAAGTACACAACAACCAAGGTCAGGATTCCTTCAACAGGGCCAGAAACTATACCCAACGTCAAGGTGTGAGTATGATATTCCTCCCAGGTCTGGATGTAGAAAGTGAGGATTGTGCCGAAGAGAGTTAGGACCGTGTTCCAAGACTGGCCAAGATTCATGGAGGCAGCGAAAAGGAGCACCTCAAGGCTAGTATTGCACGCATCGACACCTGCTGCCCGTTAGCAGTGCCCGCTACGTCGCAAGACTGGATCTAACCATGGTCAAATAACTCGCCCAACGGGCCGCTTTGGTGTGTTCGACGAGCCTGTGTACCATCCACGGCGTCGAAAGTCTGATATAAGAACAAACCAATGGCCCAGGTCAAATAGACCCATGGAGGGCAGTCGGTGTCGAGCGTTGGGTTATACCACAGCATTGTGAGGACATTGACAATCACAAAACTGAATCCTGTCAAGGTAATCTGCTTTCGCGTCAGAGGAAGCTCTTACAGTTGGGGCTGGAGTTGTCGCACAAGATTGGGTCTGGAAGCTGTCTCAGTATCAAGTTGCTAACAGGGAAAGAAGCGCTGTACTCACGCCATTGACATGGGAAAGCATTTGATGACAACATTAGTGTAGAACGGCTTGAGGACATATCTGGACACTAGAGATTTATCCACCCCGGAGTATTTGTACTCGTGGAGCTTCTCCAGGTTTCGCTGCCTGATATACACCATCTTGAATTGCTTTGACAAAGCCAACACGCGTTGAAATCAACGTGCAGAGAAGAGAAAACCGCAGTAAGAGTGATCAGACGCGAAAATCTAGAACAAAACGCGAGGAATTGTTGACCGAGTCTATGCATAGAACGAAAAAGAAACATTCGATGAGAACCGGGAACTGAGGATGAAATTGTTGTTGCCCAGAACGTCATTCTGCAGCCGAATGCACGTGATCGCACGTGATGCCTCGAGATGTCACATGAGATCACATGAAATCACATGGTCAGGCTATCCCTTTCGCACTTGGTCGACCTCGAGGACATCAAGCAACCTCACTCTACTCGGTACCAATAATACCATGTTTTGTTCTTTCATACATCCACACAGCTCGATGAACTCTCCAGAGGACTGAAGTTCTCTGGCGGTTGTTCACTATGGCAATGCCCGTGGCCAAGGCTTCCAGGTTCTTCTGGTCCCTGCGCTCTGAAAAACATTCAAGTAATACCTGGCTCAAACCGTAGTCTTACCTTGAGAGGTTTGATTGACTGGGGAAGTGGCTTCATTTACAGCCTGTATATGAAACAAACTCAGTGACTCTTACCAAGATCTTATGTGGCGAAGGTTTTCTCGAACCGCTGGTCGACCAACTCTATGGTGACACAAGGTTTCACCCAGTCATTTCAAGGTACTAAGGTCTCTTTTGACAGAGGCGGTGGTTGGTGACATGCCTCGATTATTATGCAGGTGAAGTCCTTCTATTGCCTATTATCCTCCCATTCATGAATGCCGTGGTATGCCCAGTGAAGCTGCGGCATTCACTAGATGTCTATTCACCACCAGTAACTGCAGTTTGTCTCTCCATTGTCCACTATTCATTGCTTGTGGGTGTTGAATGTTTTCCTATTGTTTGCTAATTCTATGGGTCCTCATATATCTTTCCAAGGTTGCCACCTGCTAACCAATATTTTGGAAACTTTAACAACCACTGTCCCTGCTCTCTTGCAAACTATATATATGAGGCTGTGACTCCCTATTCTTCCAGATCCCAGATCCCAGATCACAAATTTGACACACCATCCCACTCATCTCGACACCTCTCGACGTCTTACACCCACATACTCAACACGCTCTTGCCATATTCCCCACGCTTTACACCTCGACTCCGTTACCACGACAGATCCGCTCTCAGCTCGACTTTCTCAACAGCATCTCCTCAACAAAATGGCTTCCCTTACTGACAAGCCCCTTGAACCTGCCTCGATCAGCCCCGACGAGTTCCGTTTCCTCTCAAAACAACCCGACTACAACAAGGTTCTTATCGACGCCGAGGAACTCAGACGCCGAATTTGGCTCAGCAGCCCTCAGAGCTGGGCCACCAGAAGAAGCCAGCGCACAAGAAGAAGCCAGCAAACCTCAGGCCTAGGCGATCTCGACAAACTCCCCCTCGAACTTCAAATGTGTATCTTTGCCGCAACGCCCGTCAGCAGCCTAATCAACCTCCGAGCAACCAATTCTCATGCCAAGCAGCTCATTGAGCAATGGGAGCCTTTCAGGGTCGTCATGATGCACGGCCCCGATGCAATCCGTGCGCTTCTGGCGACTGGCGCCGGTTGCGTATGGACAGTGCCCCAAGTGGTCGACGTCCTCTTCACGTCCAAATGCGAGTTCTGTGGCGAGCATGGTGAGATACTACACCTGCTGCAGCTCAAGCGGTGTTGCTTTCGGTGCCTTTCCCAAGAGCGTGAACTATTAGCCGTCAATCTTGGCTACGCTCAGAACACCATGGGGCTTTCACAGGCCCAGCTGCGGAAGCTTCCACAGCTGGTGACTGTGCCGCAGAACTGCTTCTGGGGGTTTCCAGGCCAGAAAGGTCACCTTTTTGACTACAAGGCTGCCATGGACGTCCTCCGACAGCAAGGACCATTGGCATCAACCGCTGCGGATCAGGCGGATTCGACGCCTTGCCAAATCCCTCTGATGCCCACTGGGCTCGAGTTAACTGCAGAACAACGCAGTATCCAACCACGGCCCAGGTCGCCGATCCAAGCCCGCCGTCACCAAACGCCTCTACGTCTACTGAAAGAGGAAATCTCTCCGCCGGAAACGACCTACGCACAACACGCCTGTGCGATCCGATGTCCCCCCCTAAGACGCCAGACTACGCGCAAGCGCCTTCGAGATGGCTCGCTCCAGACGACCATGTCAAAGATTGAGGCGGTCCACTGTGCTGGATGTGCCTACTTCTGGAACTACCATTCGCCGTTGCCGTGGCAGTTCCACCGGCTCTATCCACATCAGCCGGGAGAGGCGGACACAGAGTTCAACAGACATCTGAAACACTGCGTTTATGCCCGAATGCAGTGGAGGTGGTTATACGGTCCGTGGCGTCGCTGGCCAAGGGAGCGTGTCGAGTATGTCCTGAGGAACTTCAGGCTGTCGTATCGCTCAAGACATGGCGCTTTTAACGTCGCCGAGGAGAACGCCTTGTTTGAGAAGATGACAGGCGATGCTGCAATGCTGATGCACACCAGCGACAGCGATTTCACCACCTTTTCCCCTCAGTATACCTGGCCGGACTTCAACAATGGCGACGAGGATATCACTGGCCGACAATCGCAGGCCATTATCCATCAGCTTGCAAGGATGAGAGCCATTGCCAACCGCCACCCGATCGACAAGCGAGACTACTACTGGGACAGCCTGGTGAGCCAAGAAGCAGTTAGCCAGGCGAACTGGGCGTGTGCAAACGCCCTCAGCGGCAAAGTCTCTCTCTTCCGCGGGCCGGTTACAATTCTAGCAGAGAAGAAACAACTATATGACAAAAAGTTCCGATCGGGGCGAACGTCATCCGGGAGACTGCCGGAATGGGGATTCGGTCACTTCTATCTCTGATGCCTCCAGCAAAGAGGCGAAGACCTTGCTTTACCTGAGACCAAGCGAAAGAGCGTCGTTCACACCAGTCACAAGACACAATTCGACAATCATCTAGACAATTCGACTGCGATAGCAACAAACCTGAAAGCCAATGGACCTGAAACGAAAGAAGGTGGCAAAACCTAGAAGCTGAATCGGCAAAAGCAATCTCTGCCTCAACAATTCAAGACACACACAAACCGGCCATATCAAAAGCAGAAGTGAACACTGCAAATCAACTGGCCGCAAGTGACCGCCAGCGAAGCTGGACATTCGGACGACCAGCGCAAGAGAACCAAACGCCATCTCATGGAAGACACATGTCGAAAGCATCTAATTGTGACGCAAATGGAAAGCAGAAATCAGGATACCTGGCTGAGGGACAGAAGTGCACCAACCTCATTCCCAACTCCACAGAGAAGATACCCCACACGACCAACCTGCGTGGTTGGAACTAGGACTGGACCATTGCAGAAGACGACAGGACACGGATTGCGAACGACAACAACCAATTTATATTACCAACACAAAGGCTGTGCACACTATTACAATAATTCGATCCAATCTACATGATGACACTGGACGATGGCCCTATTTGGACATTCCACCCAATCTGATGGATTTGAAAGTGCAAGTTTCAGGGATTGATCAGAGACGGCGATGAATGACGGCGTTGGATGAATGGAAATGGAAATGGAAGTGGAAATGGGAAGGGGAAGACCGGTGCTTGAGATAGGATTCGGAACCAGGAGCAGGACCAAAATGCACAATGCGCAAAACTGGAAAGAAGAATCCTTCTCGTTCGACCACACGAGAATAAGAATCAACAGGAGAATCATTGAAAGTTGGATATGGAAGATCAGGTCGGACACGACGTGGAGGGAAATGGAATTGATAATGCACAAGTGGAAATATAGGGCGCTGGCTTATCTGTGAACCCAGCTCGGGATAGCTCTGTATCATAGATCCTCGACAGGGGAGGTTGTACTAGGAGGGGATTCGACATGAAGGGAGGTCATGAAGGAGATGGATAGACAATATGCATGGCATGGCATGGCATGGCATGGCAGGACAGGACACTAGGTACTTTATCTGGTACGGATGGATGATACATACACGGAAATGCACAGAAGAACTCCCTCGACAAAGACAAAGGAAGCTGTTACACTGCATTGAACAATCTTCACACCACTTCCTCAAAGTGTAGACGTTGGACGAATCGATGACTGTGAATAAGGCCTTCTTTGTAACGAAACAAGCTTGTGTAAAGACATCTTGGAAAACCGATACCAAACCCATCCCTAGATTCATCCCTCACTCCCTGTTTCCCTCTCTCTTGCTTTCTCTCCCTCTAACTTCTCAGCTCAACAAGCCTCCTTTGGACCCTCTTTTTCTTTCTCGTCCAGATCCGCCCCCGTCTCACCGGATGGAAAAAAAAAAGACCAGGGCTCATCAGTCCATCAGTACCATCTCGGCCGATACTCGGGCCACACACTCAATTCCTTCCGAAACCTCTCGAGGGCCTTGCTATTGCCGTCAAAGTCGACGCCGGCGCTGCGCAGCTTCTTATGGTCGACCTCGCCGTCGACCCAGTCGGCGGCAAAGGCCATGTCGTCGCTCCAGCTCTCGACCATGTCCTTGACCTCGACGGGCAGCTTGATCTTGCTGCGGCCCTGCCACCAGGCCGGGCTGGCGACGAAGGCGAGCATGATGCGCGGGTCGTCGGTCAGGTTGGGCATGCCGGCGTGCCAGAGGCGCAGGTCGCGCAGGATCAGGCTGCCCTTTGTGGTGGAAACCTGCACGGGCGGCGAGTGCTTGCGGCGCTGCTCCAGATGCGCGGGCTTGATGGTCAGCAGGCCCTCGCCCTCGGTGCCCTCGCTCGCTTCATCCTCTGCCTCCTCGGAGCGCCGGTTGTGCGCCTCGTGCACCGACACCTGGTGGCTGCCGACCCACACCTCGGTCCCGCCGTTCTGGGGCGTCACGTCGACGAGGTTGATGTTGATGACGTACGCGAACGGGAAATACGCCGGGTGCGCGAACTCGCAGTCTGAATGCACCGGTTGGCGACCGTGCGGGGGGGCTTTGAGCGCCGTGTTGCCGTTGGCGTAGTGGATGACCGGTCGCGGACCCAGGACCGCCGCCAGGATGGCCGCCGCGAACGGGTTGCACCATATGTCCTTGAACATCAGGTCCCGGGTGGGAGGCGGCGCTTGGTCCATGTTTCGTGTGTGCTTGCCAAAGTTGAAGTGGTGGTCTGGGTCGGCCGCGATCTCGAGCGCTTCCGGCGCCAATTTGGCATTGAGTGTGTCGAGGTGCTCCGGGTCGATGGCGTTGTCCAGCACGATGATACCATCCTTGTGCAAGAACGCCGCGCCCTCGGCGATGAGCTCAAGCGTTGGTTTGCCTGACTTGCGCACTTCTTCGGGGATATGGATGGTATGGACCTCCTGGTCGTGAAGGGGAGTATACGACCCCATTTTCGAATGGCAATTCCCAAGATCCCTCCCTTCAAAAACACAGAAGTGTGACCTCTGGTACGTGACGATGTCTTCAAGAGCCCCCGCCTGCTGGGAGTGGAGGATGATATCTTCGTGGCACGTTTTAATCAACCCATGTCCACGAAACACCCGCGGTCACCAGAACAGAAGCGAGTCAGTCCCACCCTACCTCGCATGGGATCACCACCTGTCAAGCCAAGCCCATGCGATCTAGACTGCAGAATGGGAGCGCCATGGACTCTGCTGCCTCTAGGGTGGGTGCTTATCAGCGATCTGCCACCACGTTGCATTGTCCATGATGAGGGGTATGCGCATTGCCAGGCAATAGCCAAAGGGGAAAACGGTCTGGAGAGATAAAGTTGGGGAGTGCGGAAATGACCGTTTCGCCCTTTGTACCGAGTACGGTGAGTCAATCGACCGGATGCGATGTATACAAATATCGGCATAAGAGCATTCGTGGACAAGTGTAAGACTGGGACGCCTCAACGGCATTCACACAGTTGTCCGAGATGGGTATAAGATTGCCTGTTTGGGATTCCTACTTCACGCTCAGTCGCCATGGCTCGTCTTCCTGCACTGATATGATAATCAGGATTGAGGATCGAGCTTGGCCACTTACAGGATTGTTCTCCCCTGAATGGTGTTGGTATTTTTGCTTTGGTGTTTTCGACGCAGCAGCAGTATTGAGGCTCTTGAATGTAATCGGCATTTCCGTTCTTGGCCTGAACGAGCAGCCATATTACATCCCCTCGTAATTCAAAAGGTGTAACGGCCATTCGGGATGCGAGTAGCGCGGAAAACCCCTGTGAGGAGGCAGGTATAAATACGTCCAAAAGCCTGTCAGCCAGATTAGTATCTGCTGACGAGTCCCCTTATGCTCTCTTGCACTGTGCCCTATACAAGTCCGACGACCTGTTCCCGTCAAAAGTAATATATATATCGATATATATATTTTGACAAGATGTCAACAGCTCAAACAGCCATCACTCAATACGTGGACGCCGCAAATGGAGTCCGCTTTGCCTATCGACGTATTGGAGAAAAGGACGGCGTTCCCTTGCTCATGCACATCCACTACCGCGCCAATATGGACCTGTGGGATCCCCTGTTTGTCAACACGCTCGCCAAAGCCCGAACCGTGATACTCTTCGACAATGCCGGGGTTGGCCGCAGCTCCGGCCAAGTTCCAGAAACGTTCCAGGGGTGGGCAGATGACTTGATTTGCTTTGCCCAAGCCCTCGGACTCGACAAGGTCGATCTTTTGGGTTTCTCCATGGGCGGCTATTGCGCGCAAATGGCTGCGTTGACCGCGCCACAACTCATCCGCAAGTTGATACTGAGTGGGACCGGCTCGTCAATACCATCAGCAGATCATGTTGCTGGCGTCGTATGGCCACGGGAGGATCCTTCAGCGGAAGCGTTGAGGGTGCTCGCAGAGGCAGAAACAAGTGAGCAGGGTCCTAAAGCGCTGGCGTTCTCCTTGTTCAACGACGACGACCAAGGGCGCGGCGCCTTCCATCGATACTGGGAAAGGGTACAAGAGAGAACGGCAGAGCCTCTCATCCTGGACCTGCTGGATCGGTATGGTGCAGCCCAGAGGCAGTTGGAGGCTGCGCTGGATTCGTTCAAGAAAAATCCTCGAGCAGCCTTCGACCGGCTGGGTGAGCTCAAGATGCCCGTTCTCGTCGCCAATGGCGACAATGACATGGTCATCCCCACAAGTCGAAGCTGGGAGCTCTATCATGAAATCCCAAACGCGCAGCTCATCATCTACCCGCGTGCGAGTCATGGGTTTTTGTGGCAGTATGCGAAGCTTTACGCAACCCACATCAACATGTTTCTTGATGGGGATGACTTTGATCCATATCTGTCCAAGCTGTAATCGAATCGCTTGGTACGTGGAGAGGTGCGTCGATAATTTGCCAGAGGCTCAATCCGTAGTCTCCTTGAAGGCTGTCGATCCAGAATACTTTCCGAAGCTGATATTTGACATTTTCCCAAGTGAGAAAATCATGGTGTATACTCTGAAAATACATCAACCGTGCCTGGAACCAGTAGCACTCGTCTGTGTTGACAGATACTAGTCCTCCCATGAAAAGAATCCAAAAATGCAACTCATCGGGCAATGCCTTGGGCTCGACAGCAAGGCAGGCTGTTTTCAGCTCCCGGGAAATATGGCCAGAGTAAAGTCTAGTAAATGGGACCTCGCGGGTGAGCGTCTGTATGAAAATCAGTGCTGCGATCACGCACACTCTTTCGACAACTCCCTGCTGGGAGTTCTGTGACCGTAGCAAGTCGTGCTGGATACAGGTCACATCCTCGTCGAATGCAAGAGGGTCAACCGGTATTTGCTCATCAGCGGCGTGACTGAGAGCGTGGCATAAGTGTGCTAGTTCGGTAAGAGCATTCGATACGGTCGGGGTCAAATCAAGGTCCAGAATAGGCAATTTGGTAGGCGTCAAACCTGAATTAAGCACCACTGCACTGTAAAGCGATTCAGTCGTTTTGACCGGACGCGGGAAATGAGGATGTGAGAGCGTATCGACAGCGCCAATCGTATCAGGCCGATAGATCTTCATGTGCAACACATCTTTGACAGCCCCAAAACCACCTCGTGCTCTTACCATCTCGGACATTCCAGCAGCGTGCATTGCCCAGCTTTGGTGATTTCCCAGGTAGTTCTCATTTAGCGCCAGGCACGATACAGCGCTAATAGTAAGGTCCGAGTATGTCCCATCGTGCAATCTGCGGTTGAGTCGATTGAGAATTACCTTCATCATCAGGTCCGAATCCTTGAACGATTGATGTCCGGACATGCGGAAGAAGTGCATGGCGCATGAGAATAGAGTGGCGTGCAGCGAGACCTGGTCTGTCACGACGACGGGCAGCCATATTGTCTCAATGGGGTTGTAGGTGAGTCGGACCTTTCTGCTGATTGGATACATTGATGCAGCAAGGCGTGTAGGATCTTCGCTCGCATCAGTCGCGGAGTGGTCATGAATCATTGGGGGGAGACATACAGTAGCTCACGAACTCCTGGAAAGAGCTCACTTCAGGGTCGATCATCGCGTACAGGGCAGTGGCTGTTCCAGGAAGTGCCCACTTGGGGAAGAATATATCTTTCCTGGCTACCACAGACTTGGTGCTAGGAATAGAAGATTGATTATCCGCGTCGGTTGTTTCTCTTACAACCTCTTTCTGCTTTTCGTGCTTCTTCGATTTGCCATGGTGCCTCTGTTTGCCCGCTGAGGGGTTGTAGGCCCGAAACTGTACTTGATTGGGCTCCTTTGCATGGGCTTTTGCTTGCCTCTCAGTGTCTTTAGCCCTGGGTGGCGACGCTTGTCTCATCTCGGCCGGCCCGTTCGCGACCTTGATGGTGACCTCAGGAACGCGCGAGCTCTGAAGATCAATTTCCTGAGAGAAAGCATCATTCTTCACCTTTTTGCGCCGTTGCCAACTTCTGTCCACCATGAAAAGCGGCTGAGACGGGAAGATCACCGCTTCCTCGAACATGATGAATGGTCCGCGATGTTCTTTGCCAACGTCTTCTTGAAAAGGCTCATATTTCATAAGATTCAATCACAACTTGGAAGTCATCCGGAAGGCCTAAAGTGATACAAGACAGCTGACTAATCGGCAATACCCCGCGAGCCTGGATATCACAGCCTCGTCTGCTTCAATGCCAGCCACTTTTCATCTGAAGCCTCGGCCGTAGATGTGAAGCAGCCTTGACAAGGTTTCGGCGCCCTCGGCCGAGACCCCTGTCCATTTGCAGGATAGCTACAATCTGTAGGCAGCAACATTCCTGATTTCCACAGGCTGGATTGATCTGATTGATAGAACCTGGTCATTGGAGAAGATATTCGTCTTCGTTTAACAGCAAGACGACTCGAGATGAAAGCAATTCTGACGGGGTCCACGGGATTCATTGGGGGAGAAATCCTCAACCAATGTATTGCACATCCACAAATCACGTCGATTGTGGCCCTGTCTCGCCGTGCCCTGCCTGAGCCAGCTGCGAGTAGCTCGAAGGTCAAAGTTGTTATTCTTCAGGACTTCACGAACTATCCAGATTCGGTCCTGGACGAGCTCAGAGACGCGGACTTTTGCATATGGTAAATTCCACTTTTGCTTTTCGAGCGGGCTTTGATGACCGACGCGTTTGCTAGGGCGCTGGGCACATATACCGGCGGTGCAGAGGTCGAAGCTGGCTATCCACTAGCATTTTGCGAGGCGATTGCCAAAGCCCGCATTGGAACGACCACCAAGATGTTTCGAATGGTCTATCTGAGCGGCATGTTCGTGATCAATGACCAGAATGCTTCGCTGTGGTTTTTCACCACAACTCGCAAGGCCAAGGTACTGCTTGCCACGGATATTCTACGAGACTTCACTCTCTGATAGTCTACTCAGGGACTCGCCGAGACAAGGCTGCTGGCCTTTTCCGACGAGCAGAAACAGAACAACCAAAACTGGGAATCATATGTAGTCAGGCCCGGTGGTGTGCTACACAAGCAGACAGCTGGTCTGAACACAGCCACCTACGGAAACAGACTCGTGATCGGCGTCAGTGTGCTCGCGGTGGCACTGATCGAGACAGCTTTGGAGGGGAACCCTGAAAACAAGATATTTCATGGCGCCCTGGTCGAGAAGGGAAGATCTGCGCTCCAAAAGGCCAAGTGATTCATTCCAGGACGGGATCAATCATTTATTTTATGTTTCGTAGCTGCGGGCGGAGTGTAAATGCGAGTTTCGTAAGACAGGAAATAAAGTCGCATATTTCCCACATTGACAATCTGTACGACTGCGCCGCTGTGCGGAAAAATGCATCGTCCATCTCAAGTCTGTTGAGCCAGTTGGTTCCTAGACATAGTACCTCACATGCTCCTCGCTCCAAGCCCAGAGCTCTTCGGCAATCCCACTCCCTCCGTCCGCTTTGCTCTTACCCGCCTCCTCAATGTCCGGTCTCAATTTCCCGATGCGTCCCCAAGGCATCAGCCATGCCCCCGTTTTCTCGAGTGTGATCTTTGGGGAGAGACCGCCAAACAGCTCGGTATACGCGCCATAGACAGGATCGTATTGCAGGGCTCGCATGAGGATCTGTCCCCATCTAGAAACATGACGCGGCAGATCTGAACGCAGGTTCCCGGGGTTGCCGCTCTGAATAGATCAATTTGTTAGCTAGGACTGCGAGACGTAGCAGGGCGGACAAGCTGGACCTACCACAGCGATGATTCCATCTTCTCTGTGCAGTTTTGCGAAATGTAGAGCATACAGTGCATTTGCCGCCTTGCTCACGCCATACATATACGTTGGATCTTTTTCGCTAGCATCCCTCAGACGAAGCATTTCCACTCCTCCTGTCGGCGCAAAGAGGTATGTAGCAGACGAGCCCACAAACATCACTCTGACTGATCCTGGCGGAGAGATCTTGGCCGTAGCCAACATCGTCGGCGTCAAAAGCTTGGTGAACAGGAACGGTGCCAGACAATTGACACCAAGCTGTAAGTCCAGCCCCTGTTTAGTCTTCGAGCCAGCCGGCGGCATTAGAACTGCGGCATTATTCCAGAGAACATCGAGGCGGCTTTCTTTTGAGAGAAACTCTTGTGCTGCTGCTTTGACGCTACCCAGGTCCTCGAGGTCCATTTTGAGATAAATGAGCTTTCCCGTGGACTCCGGGTTCTGGGTTTTGATATCTGCGTTGACTTCGAGGGCACGCTCTTGGTTCCTGGCCGCGGTGTAGACCGTCGCATTTTTTGAGTAGAGTATGCCGGTCAGGGCTTTACCCACTCCACTTGTGGTTCCGGTGATGATGAATACCTGAACTCTTGCTTAGCATGGTACGGGCAGATTGAGTGGCTTTCACTCACCTTGCCTGTCTGATCGCCCAGTTCCTTGTCTGTGAATTCGGGGCGCGGCGGCCATGATTCTTTGAAGAACTGAAACCAGTTGTTCATCGTGATAGTATTCCTGCGCCTTCTCCTATGTGGTATCCCTCATATTAATCCTTGACAATGAAAGCGGGACAGCAATCAAGGATGACCAGATACATGTCTTTGTCGACGCATTCATGAATCTTTATATTATGGTCACGCAACCCAGGACCACAATAGAAATTCCAGGCTTCTGAGGACCCTAAAGTTATTGTTCTCTGCATCAACCAATGGGCAACTAGCGACAGGTTGCCTGAATGTCATTTCTATGCACATGAGTGGGGTTTCGACACTGATGGCTCGGCCGAGCAGGTCTCAGCCCCCAACAAGAGAGTGCTTTTCATCTTCTCTCATTCCTTTGGTCCATCTGAAGAGTTTGACAGCGTCTTTATCTTGAAAGCAGCCGCTGTTGCCTGGTTACAGGGAGAGATTCGTTGTCATCCCAGCATTGCTATCCGCCCTTGCTATGATCAGACCGGACTTTTTGCCTCAGCTGTCCCAGTCCGGAACATCCCACAAGCTGAACGAACCACCCCATGCGGGAATCGTGTCAAAGTCCCACGCTTGCAAAGGGGGGATCCAACCGGAGTCGGGTATGTTTGCCTGCTCAAATGACAGATGGTGACTATGAACAGGTCCGGTAGAGATACCACTGAATTGCGGTCCGCTATGAACCTTGTTTGACCGGAGCAAAGACTCGATGGGATCGACTTCGTCGACAGCGTCCGGCACCGTTGTAACTGGTGTGGGACCACCTGGGGTCTGGTTTCGCGATATAACGATAGGACCAAAGAAAGGTATAGTAAATCGCAGGGTGTCGCTTGTGTTGCGATCTCTGGCGCCGTTTAATGCTAAAAGTGCCTTCATAACCTCGACCCCTTGGCGGGCCATGAACTCTCGTGGTCCACGAGAGACCGTTCGCATGGATTCGACGACTTCAGAGACCAATTTCATGTCTTTCTCCCCATCAGACGTGGCAGTATCTCGTGTTGCGGATTCAACTCGATTAAGGATCAGCGTCACGGCCGCAATGACGGTACCGAAGTCAACAACACGAGCGGTGTTTTGAGTATTGTTTGTGTCTCGGAGAGCAAGGTATCGGCGGAGATGCTCTCGCGACGCGTTCAGGCAAGCGAATCTGCTATACTCATATTTGCTGTCAGTGAACGCTCGCAGCATCCACGGTATGTGCAAGATTATGGTGAGTTGATAGAACCATATTTGGCTCAGGACCAATTTGAAAGGGCTTTCTCCGACTGAGGAGTGAGGTGAGGCATTTAAAGGTGGGATCTTCGTCAGGATATCGCCCATATCTTTTGCAAGCTTTTCAAGTCTTTCGTCAATGTCCAGCGTTGTGGTGTATCCAGGAGCCGGTTCTTTTTGGTTACGGGCAGCAATCAACCCGGAAACCACGCAAATTCTGCGCTCAAAAACATCAAGGAAATCGATGATGGGCACCATGACACCCTCTTCACCAAAGCAGTCATTGCCAACGCCGCATGGAAGCCCAAGGATAGGCGCCAGAAAGCGATCAAGCATGACGGTTCTGACCCACATCAAGGCACTGGCTCTCTGGCTGGTCCCATCGTTGTCTTCACTCCGGGTACACCTGAGATAGCTTTTTTGCAAACCTAAAAACTGGGCGGCGGATAGAGCTCGACGAGCAGCCAGCCAGGCTCTGCGCAGGTTACCATCGTTGATGTAGAATATACTCTGGAGGAGGAGGCATTCCAAGCCCTCCACTGTACAAGCAAAATCATCTTTCGACGTAACGAGGTCGGCTACGTAGTACAGGTACTTCTGTAGCACAGTTTCGATGGGCGAGTGGAAGTGGAGTCTCGAGGTGTCGAATTCAGGAGGCATTTGTTGGATGCGAATTGCAAAATGCATCAGTGCGCGTGCTATAGTTAGCGGTGAGCCTTTCGACAAAGTGGTTATCTCGAAATCTGGCATTGACGTCCTTTCGTTGGCAGCGTCGACCAAATTCAAATGGCCGAGGCCCCAGGCGTTCTTCAGAGATTCATCAGCAGTGTCATTCTGCACGATGCTTCCAGCACTCACGGTGGACCCAGTGATCAGATCTGCATCTTCTTGCGTGGGGAGGAGTGCGCTAAGTACCAGGCGCAGCTTTTCCAGCTTAGCATTCTGGGGCCCTCCGAAACCTTGGGATGGGCTGCGATGCTCCGGCCCGTTTGACGGCGTAGACTGCTCTTGATGACCAAACTATAACCGTAAGCCATTTACGACGAAGACGAAGATTGATTAGCTTGACCAACGTACAACGGCGTTGTCGAACAGAGATATAAGAGGAGGAAGATTGTGCCCTTCAATCGGTGCGGTTATTGATCCATCTCCCGCCCCCACATTCAAGGCAGCCTCGACAGCGTCCAAGGATTCAACGTCTGTCAACTTCTCAAGGAGAGATTCAACACGGCGCAGTCTTGCACTAAGTTCGAGATTGGACGAGTCGAGGCAACCAGCCGAATCTTCCCATTTCTCGCAAGCAATACTGCGAGCGGTACAGGCAGAACATTTGTCTGATGCATTGGAGGTTAAGTCGCACCGAATTTTTCGCCTTCTGCCTGCAGCGTGTCAGTGGCAATGGTTGAAGTCGGGATCCAAACCCAGAGAACTTACATTCGAGACAACTATTCACTACCCGCCGAATCTTCTTCCGGGGAGGCTCCATCTTGTTGTTTCATGACGCCAGACGAGCTCAAGTGTCACCTTGTTAGCAGAAAGTTGGTTTGTCCATAGTTCCACATTACGTAATCTGATATTGCGTCTTGATGCTCAATGGCTGACCGTATTACGCCTCCGCTCCCTCTGGCCGATCGTGGTCGATTCGCTTCCCTAGACACTCACTGACACTCCCACTTCTCCTCCTCTTTCCAATGTAACGATAACATCTTTGAACCTATCTATCGCAGATCCCCGCCTTTAGTTGGTGGCCACCACTGGCTCTTAGGGTCTCGGCCTGCTTCTCTTGTCTATGCAACAGTGCAATCGCATGATTTTGCCCCGACGATCCTGGCAGCGGCCTGACCTTCTTCGCTTCCATCTGGGCCGAGTCAGACATCAAGATGGACGCTATCGACGAGCCGGACGAGCAGCAGCCGCTTCTGGCAGGTCGGTCAAATCAGATGTCCTCGGCAATTCAAGTTGATAGCGAAGGTGAGGCTTTACCCTCAAGGCAATGATTTCCAACCACGCGAGGGGACATCAATCCAGTCCAGACCCTGGCCACTTCCCTGGGGCTACTGTATCTCGCTACCGTCAGGAGGGGTCAAGTCGAGCGGCAAAGACTGATGAACACACTGGTTCTCATGCTCTTATCGTCCTTTGATAACGCGGACCTATTTGGGAGCGTTTATCAGTTGACCATCGCCCGTCAGCTGGCCCTCCTTGTGCCCTCTACTTCTTCCAACTTCCAAAGGACCTGATCAGTGTCGCTCACGGCGGGAATCGCAGATATGGACAAGGATATTGAGATCAGAAAAGAGCCTGCGGGCCTCATTGCAACCGCGTCTATCGACGACATCAATGCCGAAGCACGCACAGCCACTGACAAAGAGCATAATTATTCTTTCTGGGAAGCTGTGAGGTTGTACCCAGCAGCTGTCGGATGGTCTCTCTTCTTCTCACTGGGTGTTATAATGTGAGTGACGGTCATGACAGAGCATTCGCACGGGTTGATAACAGGTGGACGTTCAGGTGTGCCTTTGATCCGCAACTTTTAGGTCAGCTGTATGCGACGCCAGCATTTCAGCGTGACTTCGGTTACCTCTACGATGGGAGCTATATTGTCTCAGCTCCATGGCAGACTGGCCTGAGCATGGGCTCGCCCATCGGCCAAGTCGTTGGAGCTTTTTTCGCGGCTTACCCAATGGAGTGGTTCGGCCGCAAAAAGACCTTCGGAGCTTGTGTCATTCTCACCACCGGTTTTGTCTTTATCCAGTTCTTTGCGAGATCGCTTCCTGTTCTACTCGTTGGTGAATTGCTCGGAGGTTTAGTCTTGGGAAGCTATGCTGTGATCGCCCCGGCGTATGCCTCAGAGGTGTGCCCTTTGGCCCTTAGAGGTGTTTTGACATCTTGCACGAACATCTGCTTCGTGACAGGCCAATTGATTGCAAATGGTGTCATCGCTGGGACACATGTACTTGACAGCCACTGGGCTTATAGCGCGCCGTTCGCAGTCCAGTGGCTTTGGCCGCTGGTCATTCTGATTGGTTTGCCGTTTGCTCCTGAAAGGTCAGAGCCCTTGGGTTCCTTCACCTGCATCCCCGTGCTAACTTGGGTGTAGCCCGTGGTGGCTGCAACGACAAGGTCGTTTTGAGGACGCTGAAAAGGCTCTCAAGCGACTGGCCTCACCAAAAGTCGACGTCCGACCTACACTGGCCATGATCATCGAGACGGACCGACTGGAGAGGGAAATTGAAGCTGGCTCCACTGTAAGTCCCTCTGTTCTTGTGCCATTACCTCTTACTAGAGCCGCTGGTAGTTGGCAGTCTGGCAAGCTGGCTTCACAAACTGACGGCTAGCTTAGTACCGGGATTGTTTCAAGAAGATCAACATCCGCCGAACAGAGATTGCCGTCGGTGTTTACACTATCCAAGTTCTTTCTGGCATCTACCTTGTCGGCTATGCCACTTATTTCTTCACCCGTGAGTGAAATGAACCTCTCTCCATTTTTCCATCTCGTTGCTCACACAAGATCAGTCGCTGGCCTACCCTCCGACCAAGCATTCAACATGGGCGTGGGCTTCCTCGCCATCGGCTTCGTGGGTACTTGTCTCTCCTGGATATTGTTGATCTACTTTGGCCGCCGAACCATCTACAACACGGGCCTGGCTCTCCTGGCTGTCCTCCAGATAATCATCGGAATCCTCGATTGCGCGCCCAACTACGACAACAGGCCATCCATTTCTTGGGCCCAGAGCGTGCTGATGCTGATCTGGAACTTCATCTACGACCTGTCCATTGGACCCGTGTGCTTCGTCCTCCTCTGCGAAGTGTCGGCCACCAGAGTCCGCGGAAAGACCATCGCCATCGCCACCGCGGTTCAGGCCATGGCCGGTATAGTCATGACCGTAGCCATTCCCTACATGATCAATCCCGATCAAGCGGACATGCGAGGGAAACTCGGCTTCTTCTTCGGTGGACTGGCAGCGCTGTGCCTGACTTGGTCATACTTCCGAGTTCCTGAATTGTGAGTTTACCGCTCTTGTCGCCATTGGCATATCCCATGGCGTAGTCGCTGTTACTGACTTTGTTACCCCATCACAGGAAAGGGAGAACTTTCCAGGAAGTCGACATCATGTTCGAGCGCAACATCAAGACAAGAGACTTCAAGCACTATGTGGTGGCTTAAGATGTAAGACGAGCAGTATCGACGAAATACTCACCATGTCTGTGATCATATAAGATTGGGTGAGTGCGTAACAGTTCTCAGTGGGATTATTTGGACTGGACCACTCTATGTACAGAGCTAGTATAAGTACTGATCTGTGTTTCTCATCATGGGACTACGAAGCCAGCAATTTTGAGGTTGATTGATCCTTAAATTGAAAGTCTTGAGAAGTCAAATCCATCTAATTAACTTTTGATAAACAACGCCCCCTGCGCCGGACCAACAGTCCCGACTAGCCTCTAGGGTGAAAGGGATGGCTCACAACGTCAAACGCCGGGTATCATGATCGCATGAGCTTCGTCCAGGACGTATGTAATCATCACAGCGGACCAATTCAATCCAAATCCATCTCCTCTTCCGTCCCTCCACCAACAAGCATCTTCCTCTTTTTCTTCTGCCGAAGCCTCTCCTCCCCAAGCACCCTGCTGGCCTCGTTATCTCTCTTGAGCTGGTCGACCATGGGCTCCATCTCCGCTCTCGCCGCCTCGAGGTCGGCCAACTCCTTCTTGATCAAATGCTCGCCCTGGGCCACGACCTTGAGATCTTGTCTGCGTCGTGCATCTCTCTGCGCCTTGCCACTCAATCTTCGCCTTGTGTATACTCTCTCCCTCCGTGCTCGAATCTCCTCAATTCTCTCCATGGCCTTCATGGTGGCCTGGATCAGGTTCCTGTCATATTTCACGGGCGCATTGCGCCTCTTGGCGAACTGCGAGAGCAGCAGGTTTTGGTCGACAATCATTTCTTTCCCGCGGAGAGCGCGGTGCGTCTTCGTCCACTTGAGTTTGCGAGGTTGACGCTTCATCTTGAAGTTCTTGTGGCATTTTGACCGGCAGAACCGAAACACTTTGGCATCATTGCGCACAAAGGTGATGCCCTTGGACGGGTAGACGGGGCGGGAGCAGAGATGACAGGTTTCGATCCTGGAAGACACCAGCCGTTAGCACGAATATATGTCAATGGTATAGGAGGAAGATCGGGGTCTGGCGAACCTCATGGTGGTAGAGGCGAGTTGTAGATGGTAAAGAGCGGCAGAATTTGAAAGGTTTTCGATTAAAGAGGTGGCGTCTAAGAAATCTCAGCTCCGGCAAAGAGACAATCGCTGCAATGGCCCTGCTATTACTCCGCCTGTCCGCAGACTGGCTATTTGAACCGGGTGTGTTAGTACCGCCTTCGAGGAAAGATCTTGAATGCGGAAAATCTTTGCCAAGGCGTGGAAAAACCTGGCACGTGACTACTTGGAGTTTCCCCTGATCCGCCTCTTTGCCTCTTTTGGAATAGGCTGATACCGCTCTGTGCGGGCAACTACTAAGTATGAGTGACGTCATTAAAGAGAATCACGTGCGCCTTTCCAACGCGCGCTAGAGGTCGCAGATATGCTCGAGTGGAACGTCCTCTACAACATCAGAGGGGGGCACGTCCGTATCCGATCGTTGAATTTTCGTATCGACCAAATGTCGACTTCCCATTTCTTTCTCTTTCTGAAAGATCCACCCAATTGTGAATACGCTGGGGATGATCTTTGGCACCGACGCCACCGACGCAACCCTGCCACCCTGCCACCCTGGACCACATTGAGACCAAATTAAGCCACGCACATTCCTACCCAAGTAACGGAGGCCAGTGAGCCAGTAAGCCGAATTCGTTGTGGAATGGAGGCTGTCACTCCGGCCTCGAGCTCGGGTCCGTCTCGGCGCAAAGCCTCAACAGCCTGTTTCAGCTGCAAGATCCGGAAATCTAAGGTGGAATCGTATCTCCGCAGTGTTCTGGGTCATGGTGTACTGACTTTCGCTTCCCGACCAGTGCTCCGGAGGCAATCCTTGTAGTGCTTGCAGTCGATCGGGACTCAAATGCACATACGATGCCTCCCTTGACAAGCGACGCAAAATCCATTGGGAGCGAGCCGAGACCGAATCCGCGCTGCAAAAGGAGATGCTGCAGCGACTCCTCCAACTGATCCACTCCGGAGACGACGAGACTCGAAGGCAGTTCGAAGATGACGCTCGGATTCGAATTCTCTCGCAAAGGCTCGGCATGGACGTGCCCGAACACGCTGCCACATCGTCGGATCCCGACCGACAAGAGTCCTGGGCTTCAACCCAGGCTCGAAGGACAAACCTCGACCAATTTTGGGAGGACGTGAGCCAGAAGGAACAGTTGACACGGCGACGAGGGGTCCAATTAGGGGGAGTCCATGATGTTGCGGCTAAAGCAGATCCCTCAAGCGTGTTGACCAGTCCAGCAGGTTCACATGACGAGCAGTGGAGGCCAATCCCATCGGACGCCGCTGTGCAGGGACCTGAAAAAAATGACCCTAGAGACCAATTCCGAATCTTTTGTTTCAGAGACCACGACGTTCCCAGCATCGAGTCAATCAGCATATTCGGCGACTCCTCATTCCTGTCATCCAAAATCAGGGCCAGTCAGGTTTTGACCCTGCAGCGCCAGCAGACGCTCAACTTTGACATTCCCGAGTACCTCATCCAGCCGATGCTGTTCGAGGGAGAGCGATGTCCAATGGCCGCTGTATATACTGATTTCCGCGATTATGGACGACGACAACTGGCCGCAGGGTTTCCAACCGAATTTGTCCTGGGGTCTTCACAGGTCGACCTCGCTCTCTATTTTCGCGAGCGCAGGCCCGAAGATCCCCACACACCGGCGACCTGGGCCTGCGAATATATGAGACTGCTGAAAAACTTCGATATATATGTGGCTCTGGCATGGATTTTCACCTATGCACATTTCATGCGCGTCAGTTTCATGGCAGAGAATCTGGGAAGAAAAACACTCAATTGACGACCTGACAGTGGACAATTGCTCCTTCAGCAGAGACATACGCATTGCTCCCCGAGGCAATGAGGCCAACGCCCCTTCAACGACTAGTCCGCCATCATCCCGGTGTGGATCTGCCAATTTTGTGAGTCTGCCTTCCTGTATCAAAGCTTTAAATACTGAGCCTGGCACGCGGTGCCCGCCAGCCCTGAAATGCGCGACGGACTAATTCCAGATATGCGCGACTACATCGTGGCCATCCAGACCCTTGGATGTAGCGTCAATTGGGAACATGGGCTGGATGCAGCGATCGACACCGAACCCGAGACCGGGACCATGACTCTGTCAGACCACTTCGCAACGCATATCTGTAGTCTCTCGCACTGGTCCATCAGCCAAAAGTTTGCCGACGTCTTTCCCGAGATGCAAGGCTATTACCAAGTGGTCGAACAGGACACGATACCGGCTTGTGAGGTTGATGTCGACGAATTTCTCAGACAAAGGGCGGAAAAGCGCCCTGGATTCGAGCACGCTGGCGAGGCATGAATGGTATGAGGGCGACGGTGTTATGAGGAAAAGAGAAAGATTGAAGACAGATCGATGGAGGGGACAATAGGACCACACTAAGCTTGTTGCTAAGGGATTCGCTCGTCCGGCTGTGTTTTCCAGGCTGAGGCCCAGGAATCCGCCGATCCGGATGCTTTATCCACGACACATTGGGGAGGCTGGGAGCTAATAGTAATACACACAGGGCTGATTTGGAGGGACTGATCATGCTCCCAAATGACCTTTCATCTGTACTCCGCCACTTTGCCCTGACAACGCATATTATTTCCCCAGGAGCACCGAGTCACATACGCGGTACGTCTCCACGGTACGGGCCAACAGTTTTCCCAATCACATAGCCCTCCCTTGACCTAACCCTGTTGGCTCTACCTGCGGCTGCACGGAATGCTTGGGCGAGCAGCTCTCCGATAGCCGCGTGTCCCGGGTGTCTCACGTGTTGATGCCCGTGAGCCCAGACGGAAAAGAAGCGCAAGAGCTGCATGACCAGGGGGCAAGCGGCCTTGGTTGGTTAGTGACGCTGCTTTGGTAGAAAACATGTCGGGGATGGTGAGGCTGCAAGAACAAGGGGCAATCTGTGCTACAGTACCGAGTGCATACCCAGCTTACAGGGGGGCTGTGCTTCTCCCTCTCTTTCTTTCTTTTCCTCTTCTTTTTGGAATAACGACTAACCGGCATGACTTGAGGCAATGTCTCTCTGTTCGACGACTTTCTCCTGTCAGATATATAGATACATATTTCCCCCCATCGCTGGATCCTTCAGGATACAATCGCGTTCCCAAGTGGTAAGTCCGGCCGACCATCTGCCTCGAGGGCCTTTGCTGCTTCAGCATTCACATCATAAGCGAACAGCCACTCTCGGATGTTGTTCCTGTCGTTGGCGCGGGGCAAGTCTTGTGGCTTGGCCACTTTGATCAATTCTGCCCACATGATGCTCACGGCATCCTCGAAATACGGACAATGGCTGATGAGCTGCACGGCCGAAGCTCTCGGGTGCCTCAGGTTGAAGAACAGATCCAACCTCTCTGTGATGTCCTCGATCCTGCTTCCATGCATGTCGGTAAACAGGCCGCTCAACGCGCCGGCGTCCTCGATGCACATACCAGCACCTTGGCCCTGGTTCGGGAGCATCGGGTGAGCCGCGTCGCCCACCACGACGAGTCGGCCTTTGGACCACGTCGGCAGCGGCGGTCTCTCCGCAAGCTTCCACACGGGCAGAATCTCGCTCGTCTTGTCCGCCAGCTTCCCAATGTCCGGGTGGAAGCCTTCGAGTTCCCGATGCAGACTCTCGCGGTTGCATTTGAACCGCTGCACCTGCTCGGTGACCTGTTCATTGGCTGTTATCCGTGAGTACATGCCATAGTTGATCTCGCTGTTGTCGCGGACGGGATATTGCAGGAGCCAGCGGTTGCGGTCCGGGTGGACGAACCAGGTGAACTGCCCTGGCGAGGAGATGAGATGTGCGGTCTGTGGGTCGGCGAGGATGGCCGAGGCGGGAAGCATGAACCGGATGATGGTGGTGCCTGTGTGCGAGATGTCGTAGGCGGCGGCGGCATCCGACCCTCCAAGCAAATAGTGCGGCGCAAGCGAGTGCACGCCGTCTGAAGCCACCACCAAATCCGCCTGGTACCTTGAACCATCTTTGAGCGTGATGCTCCCTTCCTCCGGGTCATAGGCGGCCACATCAGCAGAGTAGGTGATGGTAACGGGCGTTCCGGGTGCATTTTGGTCAGTGGCCAGACCCAGCAGAGCCTGTTGGAGATCGATTCGATGGGCGTAATATTGACGACTCCCACCCGCGAGCGTCTCGTACAGGCCCGGTGGGAAACTCATCATCTCCTCCAACGTGTCGCCCTTGACCATCTTGAACGTCTCGGCCGGGTTGATGTTATACTTTGCATAGTCCAGCCCCCACGACGTGAGCACCTTGGAGGCGTTGTAGCCGATCACGACCCCGGCGCCAAAGGCCGTGGCTGTCTCGGTGCGTTCAAAGAGGTGCACATGGTGGCCCGCGCGACGCAGTCCAATAGCTGTACACAGCCCGGCGATGCCGCCACCGACGACAATCACCTTGAGAGAAGTCGAGGCTGAAGACATGAACACTTAAAAGCCAGGTGAAGAAATAGGAGAGGAGAGGAAGAGAGAGGCAGGTCCTGGGCTGCTGATTAGTGATAGAACCCCCAGACCTGCTCCTGGATCAACCCGCGATTTTTATATCTCGTATATTAGCGGCAGATCCCAACAAGGGGGGAGAGATCCCTGAAAGACAGAGACGACAACTTCTCCAGAGCGATCATCGTGTCTCCCAAAGACCCCAAGTATACCCCAGATTACAGAGCGCGCCTAGGCATTTACCCCAGATTATTATTTGCGGCGCATATTCCTCGATGCCTCGGTTGGACCCATTTCCAGGCTCTTGGCCAACGCGAAGACGAAGCATGAGCGACTTGAGTTGTCTCGTCGTTCCTTTTTGCTTCGTTTGTTCTATTTCTTTGGCAAAGAAACGGCTATACAAGGCCCACTTCGACATATTTCTGGATTACTGAGCATCAATGTTGTGACTTGCCTAGGCCTCCTATATAGATGGCCGTCTGTCTGGCAAGATCTCCGGTTGTTGGCGGTATCACAACGGTTGTGCCCTGTTTCAGCCCACGAATGGGAAGAAAAGGAAAGGGGGGTGTTAGCCGGCCTTTAGCCTCTGCAGCGAGAGGTGTGGTGGTATTCTTGGGAGCGTCAACGATGGGAACAAAATGATGACGAGCAATAGGGCGCCGAAAAGAGTGGCTTATGCGCAAATATGAAGATCCCGGGCGCACATTCCAACGCAACAAGCCAACCACAGAAGGGCAGCGCGCCTCAAATCGAGAGCCGGAGAGACTAGCATGCGAGGGCGAGGATCTGCATGCTAACGCGAAGTGAGGGTGTAATATTCGACAATAGCTTGCATTCTCGCTTGTTCATACGTGGAGTCTCTGTGGTGGTCTAGCATGGACTCTGGACCAGGGAGGAAGATTCACGCAACGAAATTCGGAGCTGGTGGTGTGGCACCCATGCAGGACCTCAGAGACCAAAGGTGCTTCTCCGGAAACCACAGGGGGTTCGATCTGGATCCAAGGCCCACGGATCCGTTATCAATTGTGGAGAATGGACCAAAGACGTTGGAAGGGCGTGTAATACCTTGTTGACCCGACTACTTGGGTCATCGCATCAGTTCAGATCTTTGCGATTCTTCAGGCTGAAGCACTTTGAGACCAGATTGCAATTGGCTGCAGAGCTTCGACAACTAGATGGTCAGCCTCTCGCGTTCCAACACCAGTTTCGATATATATTTCACGACTCCTCCTCCAGGCAACCGTCCTGTAAGCTTGCTATCTCTGCCAGGTCAGTCAGGGTGGTCATCATCAACAAGCGTTCTTGCTGGATAGAACTCGGAAACTTCCTTCAGAACCACGTCTCAGCGAGATGGGGGGAAGCCCAAGGCAAGGGCGTTGGCGTGGGGATGTCCTAGCCTTTGATACTCAGCCACGGCACTCGGCTAGAAGAGCACGAGAGCATTAATGGCTGTATCCCATTCGAAACGAAGAGGGACCATGCAGCTAGCTCGCAGAATATGGGGCCACCTTTTCAGATGTTTCCAAAACCACGTGGTGGCAGCAGTGACCGTGGCGTTGGGACAGCGACCATGTCCGCAGGCTGTTTCGTATAAAGCTAGCTACTAGCTGACAACTCGCACTGCAAGCGAGATTATTGACACGGCAATTGGCGAGGGCAGTCGAGGAATCCGACCGTTGACAGTTGACAGCTTCCGTCTCGCCGTTCGAATGGGTTAAGATTTCCCTGGCACGAGTAAGCTTCCTGCTGGCCTCTGGCGGCCTGGGGGTTTATTTTGGCGTTTGCTCGATGGCCGATGCTATCTGCGCGCTTTTCCTGGTGAAACAGAAATGATTTGTGGCATCCATCTGAGATGGTTATCTCAAGGCTGGCTGGCAACTCTCAAATCAATTGGTTGACAAAGGCCCCCTGCGGACAAGTCCCGACATCCTTATCTTTCAACTGCCCAGGTGCTTACCACGATGAGCAGGTACCAAAGCTTACATTTCTAGTGGTCGTTGAGGCCTGCATCATTCTCCGAGAATGAATGGGTGAATGCTTAGGTCTAGACTGTGTGGCAATTTCATCTTTGACCTTGGGAGACTTTGATATTATATTTGATCAAGTCCGCCTTGTGCCCTTGGCCCTTCGCTGCACTAACATCTCTAGTTGTTCTCTTCATTTTTCTGTCTGCACCTAGGAACATGGCGACTATGGACGAAATCTCCCCCAAGAAAGAAGGGCTATACTCGGCCGATGCGGTCGGCAGTGAGGAGAGCAGCGATGCCATCGACCAAGATGAAAAAGATATGGCCAGGATGGGCAAGACGCAGGAGTTCAGCCGCAACTTCAACTGGATCAGCAGTGTCGGCTTCACCTCCTGCACCATGGGCACCTGATACGTCTTCCCCTGTTCTTCTTTGCCACCTGCTCTCGTACTGACAACCTGCTGCACGGAGTTTGTCGCCTTGAACAATTTCCAAATGCTTGTCGACGGCGGCACGGCGGGCATGTTCTGGAGTTATACGTGGGTTATCACGGGTCAATTCTTCATTGTCCTCAGCCTCGCCGAGATGGCTTCAATGGCGCCCACGGCAGGCGGACAGTACCACTGGGTCAGCGAGTTTGCCTCGAGGAAGTACCAAAAGGCTCTCAGTTATACCTCAGGCTGGCTCAGCTCTCTCTGTTGGCAATCCTTCGTTGCGTCCGACTGCATGTTCGCCGCCCAGCTCGTCATGGCCCTGGTCCAACTCGGAAACCCAGACTTTGACATCAAGAACTGGTACACTGCTCTCCTGAGCATCCTGATCGGCAGCCTGGTCACTGCAATCAATGTCTGGGGTGCAAAGAAGCTGGCCCTGCTGGAGAATGTGTTTGTGGCCTTGCATGTGGCCGCATTTTTTGTGGTGCTCATTACCATCGCCGTTGCCTCTCCCAAGAACGACGCGAAGGAAGTCTTTACCACTTTTACGGACAATGGCGGCAATTTCCCTCTGCGTACGTTTTGACCCTCGCACCGAACAGCCCTGTTCCTTTTTCTTCAACCTTCACAAACCTCCCTTACTTGAGTCAAAGCTCCCTATACTGACCTGGACTCTGCAGTGGGTCTCGCCGTCATGGTCGGCCAAGTCCCTGCCATGTGGAACGTCCTGGCCTCGGATGCCGTCGCTCATCTGTGTAAGTACACTGGGTCGCAGGTTGTAAGCAGCCACTGACGGGCAGCGCAGCGGAAGAAGTCAAAAACGCCAGCGTGGTGACGCCCAAGACCATGTTCTGGGCATACATGTTCAACATCCCTCTCGCCTTCGCCATGTTGATTGTGTTCCTGTTTGGCATGACCGACGTCGCCACTGCGACCACTGAAGCATTCCCATTTGTGTGGCTGTTGCAAAACTCTCTCAGCACGGCGGGTGCTCAAGCCATCACATCCATCATGTTTGTAAGTTCCAAACCGCAAATGTGCTCCTCTCGCCACGATTTTGCTAAGTCGCTACCCCTCAGATCCTGGTGTTTATGATCGCCACCAGCTGCTTCGCATCGACCTCGCGCCAGCTATTCGCCTTCGCCCGCGACGACGGAATGCCGTTCCCGACCTGGATGAAGAAAGTCAACAAGCAATGGAACGTCGCGGCCAACGCATGCTTTGTCACCTGGGGCTACACGGTGGTCATGAGTCTGATCTACCTCGGCAGTGTCGTCGCCTTCAACGCGATCATCAGTCTGGCCATCGTGGCCCTGATGGCCACCTACGCCATCAGCATTGCCTGCGTGCTGTGGCGCCGCATCAAGCTCCCAGAGACACTGCCACCAGTGTACTGGAGCCTGGGCAAGTGGGGGATCCTGGTCAACGGGATCGGCCTGACATATGCCATCTTCGCCTTCTTCTGGGCCTTCTGGCCCATCTACTGGAATCCTACTGCGGAAGAGGTACGTAATTTTGTAAACCCGTTTCCCCCGGCTCCCCGTGTTTGCTTTTAGTATTTGCCCCCGCGGACCATTGGAAAAGCAGCTAACGCGCATACCTTTCGGCACAGATGAACTGGGCCATCGTCCTGTTCGCGGGAGTCATGTTCATCTCCGCGGTCAACTGGGTCCTCAGTGCCCGGAAAATGTACCTCGGCCCTGTGGCGACGTGTGAAGGTCGTCAGCAAGGTTGAACGGATGCAGACCATGCTATAAAATCTCGTCGCGCGACCGTGGATATATTCCCCTTATGTATCCTTGTGGTTACTTTCTAACTAGCTGATCCGGAATCTCGAACTGGACCTGGCGCCTCCCTTTGTCAGAGTCCAGCAATCTGGCTCGAACAAAAACCTGTCTGTCTCTCTCTGCGAAAGGCGCTGGAGCTGGTACTATAAGAGACTCAAGAAGATGCTGTCAACATAGCTCGAATGGGAATAGAAATAGAAATAGAGTATCAGTGTTCGGCCTCTCTCTCTCTCTCTCTCTCTCTCTTGCAGATGTTATATATACCCAGAGCTACAACGGACGGACCCTTTGCCACCTCAAACCCTAGCCTGTCTCATCTATCCTATCCTATCCTATCCTGCCCCTTCTATCCTACCTAGGATGAAGCGCGAATACGAGCAAGACAACCTCCCTCCCTCCCTCCCTCCCCCGCCCGCATGGCGCGCGTATACCTTCTTGGGCTGGGCACGATCGAGACGACCGAGACGACCATTTCCAGCATATTTACGGGCTCACCGTTTTCCCCTATTGGGATCGAAGTCGTGCTCGTGCTCGTGCTCGTGCTCGTGCTCTGTGCTCAACAATCTTTCCCTGCCCGCTCGTTATCCCGGAGCTAACCCGTTTTTGCCCTATAAACACCTCCTTACCCGTCCCAACTCCTTCCGTCGAGGAGGTTCGTATGGAGCATGACATTCAGTCATAGACATCAGGCATGGGCACTAACGTGAGCATGAGAATGAACTTGGCTGTGGCTATGGCTATCTCGGCAACGTCATCGTGGGTATTCGCTTGGTATCGTTTCGGACTTGGCAGGGCTTGTAAATAGATCGATAGATAGATATATATACCTAGGTAGGTAATAGGTATATATTATGTACTAGATCCTTAGGTAGTGTAATCTGACGTAGGAATATGTTTTCGAGGTGGTGGGCCACCCACCTGCATTCGCGCGCCGTGGACGGGATGTCACACAGTGTCAGCTTAGGGCCCTCAGGCGTCCTGATCTCGCCGCGAGGGTGAGATGGAAGTGTGATATAAAACCCGACCCCCTTGGGCGTTTGCGGCGCGGAGTGTTGACGACTATTTCCAGAACAAAAAGGGGGTGTAATAAGAAAATATTTAGAATAGGATAGGATAGGAAAGGATAGGATAGAAGAGGACGACAAGGGACTTGCTACTGGGTTACCAGGTATTCCAAGGTACAAGGCCTGCGTGGGCGTGACGCTGTTGTATACTTTGTATCCCCTAAGGTACACGACACCTCGGGAAGCTACATTATTGCGTCTTGCCGACATGTCACTCACCACCACGGCCACGACAACAGCAACCGCCTCTGCCTCCGCCCCGGCTGTTGTCGAGGCCATCTTCCGGTACGAAGAGCCTGACCGATCCGTGCCGGCCTCGGAGCGGAGTCTGTTCTCCTCGCCAGCGCCTCACAACCTGCGGGAGGAGAAATTGCCGCTCCACGATTACCGGTCTTCCACGACGCTGGCCAAGGGCGCCGAGGGTCTGCACAAGCACGGCTTCACGGTCGTCGAGCACCACGTCGACCCCAGCGCGTGGGCCACCGAGAGGGACGTCCTTGACACATACATCCCCGTGGTGCAAGACCTGGTCAAGAGCGTGACGGGCTGCAAGACGGCCATCGTCAACAATGTCGCCTTCCGTCGCAAGCTGGCCAACAAATATGACGCCAACAAGATGTTTTTCCACCCCCGCGATGGGGAATTGGATAAAGTGATCGGCGCGCTCCCATCGGACCGTCCCATGGGTTTGTTTTTTGTCTTCCCCGTCTTCGTTCCTCGTCATACAGCTGGAAGCACAAAGCTGATTCTGCTTTCGGGTTGTAGTTTCTCCGCAAGAGGCGGACAAATCCCTAGAGCCCGCGCGGGCCATGCACGTCGACTACACGCTCAAGGGACTCCGCGACACGATCAAACACTGTCGCGCCGATATGGTCGAAGCGGGCGCCGAGGCGATCAGGGCGCACGAGGCTGGGGAGAGTCGAGGTCCGCGCGTGGCCGCGTACAGCGTGTGGAGGCCGCTCAAGACAGTCAAGAGAGACCCCATCGCCGTGCTGGATTGGAAGTCTCCGGGCAACATCCAGGACGACCTTCATGCCTTTGACTACCGTGCCAAGGGCTATCAGGGAGAGTATCTGCTGGAGGCGTACACCATCTCGCGACCGACAAACCTCGACGACCACAAATGGTACTATGTCTCGGAGCAGAAGCCGCACGAGGTGATGATGATCAAGTTTGCCGACACGGACAGCGTGCATGATAAGGATATTGCTGCCGCTGGGGGTCACGGCAGTCCTTTCGTCGTGGGCACGGAGGATGAGGAGCCCAGAGAGAGTATTGAAGCGAGGGTGATAGCATTCTGGTAGTCTAGTTCTGGAAGGTCAGGCAGAATCGCATACTATGTAGTGTTGAATTTCCGATAGGTCATTGCTCATAGGGCATGAGTCCGCTGTCGTGTCCATGGGCTGCTAGTTAGAGGTGTAACTCAGAAACTCAGAAGACTTGGTCTGGTATATGGCAGATAATGAACCCAAGTATCATGACTGTCGCCTTTGCTCCTGCTTTCGGGGCTCGCAAGAGCATGAGCCCTCCTGTAATGGAGAAATCAGTAGCTGAATGTACCTCGTACAGAAGAACAGTGAGTGAACAGGTCGCTTGAGCGTCTTGTCTCTAAAGCTGATGTACAGTGGAGCATAGACACTTTTAGCCATCCTGCGCGAGTCACGCCAAATGATCCGCCCTAATCCGCCTCGCTGCACTTGTCGCATTCGGAGAAATCGCGGGCTTCGGTACTGCCGCAAATGGCAATCCAGCCGGCTCCATGGAAAGCGAATCTTTTTCATTCCGCAACGACCTGGAGGTGTCGTCGTCGCAGACCTCTGCACCTAATAATACAGACCTTGCTGCTCAGCGCTCCTTCTCGACACGACAGAACCGCGACCCCGACTCAGTTCCCTGGCCACCAGCATCTCCATATTCTGTAAAGGCGTCCTTTCAAATACAGAGAAAGCCTTCACTACCGACTTTTCCGACCGCAAACAAGCATGGCCTCGACACTCGCCATCGGCGTAGGCATTGCCGCCGCCGCATTCTTTGTACGTCCCCCTTCTCCCCCCCATCGACTCCCTCCCTCCTAGTATCTCTCTGCTCCGTTCAGCGTAACTAACTAACGATTTACATCGCAGGGCCGCGCTGGCCTGGTCGCATTCCGCCGCTGGCGCAACCCCAACGGTCTAAACGCCCTCGGTCGACCCTTCTACAAAGGCGGGTTCGAGCCCAAGATGACGAAGCGCGAGGCGTCGCTCATCCTGGACCTCAGCGAGAGAACGCTCACCAAGGACAAGATCAGGAAAAACCATCGGGCACTGATGCTCTCGAATCACCCGGACAGGGGCGGCAGTCCTTACCTGGCCAGCAAAGTCAATGAGGCCAAGGAGTTTTTGGAAAGGAACGGATGATTCTGTGCCACCCAGCTGATACGGGGAGGGGTCATCGTGAAAATTCCCACAGGCGTCTCAATTTTCTGGGGAGGAGAGAGAGAGGTCTAATTTGTGGTGCCTTTTGCGGAGCATAGCGCGGGCGTTTAGAGACGGGATGGATACATCGGGACAAGAGCACGGCGTTATTTGTGGTATTGCAACGTGAATCTCACATCTGCAGTGACGAATCTTATTTGTCTGGTCGCTGTCAGCTGTATATCCAGGAAGCGGAAGACTTGTACAACAGAGATTTATGTATATATCTCCGCTCGATAAGGAGGGCCGGTGCAGGATGAGAAAGTCTGTATATTTGACCAGAGAGCATGATGAAGGCTGTGGACATTCCAAAGACGGAGAGAATCTCGGGTTCTGGTTGTCTTCTTTGCTCCACTGTTCTGTTCTCTTGATCACTGCCTCACGTCGTCTCTTCATCATCTTGTTGTAAGGCGCCACCTCGTATGGTAAAAGCCTGCCAATGCACCACTCGACGCTCGCTGGTTATGTAATTTGTCGACGCATCAACTCAAATATTCTATTTGGAGGTTTGGAGAGTCGAAGGGACGCTCTTGCTTGCCATCCTCTCCTGTCTCATGCGGTATTATCAGATTCTGTACTCCTTTCCGTGCGGTTGTAGTTGTAGGGCATGTGTATATCTGCTCTAAACCCGGTCCTGGGTTCCGTGGACTGGTCCCTGAACACTCACTTCCACAACGGAGCCGGGGTTCCCAAAAAAACGCCTCGGAAAATGCGATGTGGGTTCACGATGCCATGTTGGTGCACGTGTCGAACCGCTCCTCCAGGAAGCGATTGAACTCGTCTTCGACCTCCCATACAAGAACGTGCCCCTTGCCCTCCCAGACCCTGAACGCGCAGGATCCGTCGGACCCCTCAGGGTGGCCTTCGCAGAGCTCTTCCTTCAGCATCTCAAAGTGGTGGAAATCGATCATGCGGTCAATAGTGCCGTGCACGACTGCGATCCTGGGCCGGCCGACAACGTCACCCATGGTCTTGATCTGATGGGCTGACTTGTGATGCCACCCGGCCGCGATGGCCTGGAGCATGAATCCCTTCTTGGTGAATCCCGTGTGGTCCAGCCTCTTCTGCAGCTCGCCGGCGGCGAAGCGGTCGCGGTTCGTGGGGAAGTTGTGCACCGGGTGCTCCGTGTCGGGAAGGGCCAAGAACTCGTCCGAGAACAGACGGTGCGCAATCTCTTCCAGTTGGACGTCGATGTCGCGCGGGATGAACATGTTGATGCGCTGGCGGAGGTTCTGGACAAAGGGCACCGTGCGTACGATGCGCGGCGCCGTCGAGATTAAGGAGAGCGAGGCCAGATGTTGTGGGATGAGGAGCGCGAGTTCTTGGGCGATCATCCCGCCCATGCTGACGCCTACGACGTGCAGGTCTCGTTTTGGAGAAGTGGGAGTCTTCGTGCTGGTTGATGTGTTGTCGGAGAGTGCTGGATGATTGGGTGGAGAGGCCGACGACGACGGTAGCCATCCGACATGTTCGAGCATGTCAATCACATCGCGGGCCATCTCAGACGTCGAATACATCCATGACGGCTTGTCGCTAAGGCCCATCCCACGGTTGTCAAACACAAAGCACGAGTACTGGTCCGACCGGTCGTGGCCGAAGTACTTGGTCTGTCGTTTCCAGGCGGTGCGGTAGGCGGCGAGGCCCATTATCCACTGTAAATATAGACGGTGTCAGAATCATCCTTGGTCGAGGAAAAGGATGATGAAGCAGGTCACAAAAGACTTTGCGGTTCCAAGACAGACCATCGGCTCCTCCTCCCAGGGGCCTGACTTCTGTTCCCCAGAAAGGACGGACGTCTATACATAACGAACAGACCCAGTTGACTCTCTGCGACATCCCTATATACACCTCCCTTCATCATCATCATGCCAGGGAGGTCCAACCAACATCCAAGTAAGGGACATTCTCAGCTTAATCGACCCGAGAACCAAACCCCAAAGAAAAACGAAGGGCGCACAGAAAGAGAGATTTGGGGGCCACGTACCACCAACTTGACCTCGCCCTTGCCATGAATTTCCCAGTAGAGTTTAAATGGACCTCCATGTCTGGTCTTAGCCGCCTCGCAGTAGCCGGACTTCGAGGGCTCCAAGTGCCAGTCGACGGTATCATAGGCTGGATGGGCGAGGATTTCGGCCGCTGTGAGTGGCATTTTTGGTTGCAAGCGTAGGACTTGGTGCCACAGGGAGCGGAAGAAGAAGACTAAAAGATCGGATTGAAATAATGGCAATTATGGCAGAGAGTGTAGGATGAAGATGGGTGGAAGATGATATACTCGATGAGTCGATAGTCAGTGCGGTCACTAATACTGGGACGGCGGCACGATAATGCGTGTCGGGCTTTATCTAGCCGATTCAGGACATGGATGCGAACACAACCATATACTCGTACTATAGCATATAGCACATACTGATCCCATCTGACAACAATCAGCACTGATGCTGGTCAGCTCATTTTCGACCATGTCAGGTCGTTACATTGACCTCGGTTCAGTCGATCGTGTTCTTTGAATGCAGATCCTCCGATTCCCGACCGGAAACCACCCTCAAGGCAAGGATTATCGTTTCTGTAGCGAGCGCGACCGACGGCTGATGCTGTTCCCCGCCCAACAGAACTGCCTCAATCACCATCGCTAGCTGGCCATAGCAGACTACACGGCCATGGTTGTTGAAACATTCAGGCCTAGGTTGGCTGGAATGCTGACTCTGAAAAGCGGGCAGAAGTGAGCGAACCGTCCGTATCTACTGCGGTCATCTGTGTAGAAGTAGCACAGTCCCACAAGACGAGCGGCTGATCAGCCAGTCCTCATGCATGACATAGTCATAGCACTAGAATCCTCCGAGACCAGGTAGACGCAAAGACACAAGATAGGGGCATCTCGAGATCTTCACCGTCTCCAGGGGGTCCCCCATCCTTCGGTTCCTCCAAAGTTAGTTGCCCCTGATCAGCGATGACCACACCGTGACATGCATCTGCACATCGAGCCTCACTAGCCCATCGTCAATCACAATACTATGCGAATTAGTAAAGGTCAATCCTGCCGATCAAAAACGCGGGGTTGTTTTGAAATGCTTTAAAAAGTGTGTGAATGCTGGTGGCATCTGCTTAACACCAGCAAACCTACTGTTCGCCCCTGGAAATAGTGTTGCCCCAACCAGTAGAGTTTCTCACATCACAAGAGTTCCCAAAATCGAGACAAGCAAACAACAATTCTGCCCTAAGTCCTGGTTCGAGACATAAAGGGGAAAGGGTGTAAGGCTCGCCATGCCATACCTGGTGATGCACACAAAGAAATCCATTTCGTTATAGCAATATTGTATCCTGCTCAACGCATCGTGCAGGACAGTCCCACTCACTTTAACCTCGTCGACTTCGTAGCGTCTGCAAGAGCCGACTCATCGGTGTTTTGAGGATCTGTCTGCGGAGCATGGAAGTTATATAGTTTTCTTCTCCAAACAATGGGAAAAAGTATAATAGTTCCAGTAGCTTTCGCCTCCAATGTTTTCGTCACCTTGAACATCTCCTCCAGTGGCGCAACCAAGAATCATCGGCTTCCTGTCGTTATCTGTCCTAGCAGTTGGTTGGGCGTTGCGCACTGGATGGTGTCCCACGACAAGTCCAGACGGAGATGTTATCTGTTTTATGTTGCAATCAAATACGTACAATTGAGAAAGGCAGTGCCCCAAGGATGTGGCCAAATCAGAATAGGCAAAAAAACTCGTCAAAAGGAGTGGACAGATGTGATCAGCTCGCAGGATTTGCTCCACGGCAGCGCGTTATTGATCCATCCTGAACATCTCTTCATCGTCCATCTGGACGTCTCGGTCGTCACTTCCGTCCCGATAGTTGCGCTCGTCGGATAGCTTTTGCGTCAAGGCAGGAGGGTGCAACTGCAACAACGGATTATATATAGCTGTCAATGTACTGTCAGATGATTTGCTGTTGAAAGATTGATATTGTTGTGGCAATGGTGGTACAGGTGGCACATCGGCGCCGAGATAGGATGGCTTCGTACGAGGAGTTCCGCTGCTGAACGTGAGACCAGCTGTCGCGGCCGCCAACGTGCCATCATCAGTCCCCGACGTGCTGGGTCGGAAGTCTGCTCCAGAGAGTCGATGAGGTGGCAATCCCGGAGAATGAAAGCTCTCGGCGTAAGAGCTGGACGGGATAGATCTGTACGAACGCGAGAAACCAGTGCTGCCAGTGCTGAACCTTTTTGAGTCAGGCACTGGGTACGATGCTTCACTCATGGGAGGAGGAGTCGTCTCGACTGAGCTGAGCTCGTCTTGCATTTCGGACGAGGAGAACCCTGGAGAGGCAGATGAATCTTCACTTGGATCGATCGCGGAGGTTTCGATCTCAGATTGGCCGGCTGCTAAATTCTCCGTGGTCATGTTACACAACACCGACGCAGCCTCAAGCAACTGAACTTGCTGATGTTTGGAGATGAGCAGCTTGGACGTAATGGCCCATGCTGGATCATGTTCCCAGCTAAGATCGCCTGCGTCAGCTCAGGTAAGGAGAGGCAAGGGAGTTACATACAGATGCTTGGTGAGACAGCTGCTGTGCTTGTAGCCCTTGCCGCAGGTATCGCAACGCAATTCAATGGCCGACTTTTTACCCTCGCCTTTGATGAGATGTGAGCCTTCGCTTGCTCGTCTGTTACGATTCTTGAGGTTCTTGGACGAAGCTGGGCCATCCTCGTCATGGGAATTGTCCTCGACGGCATCGTTGTCACCGGCAGCAGCCGTGCCAGGGGGGCCATTGAAGTACGAGTGCATACTAGGCCGAGCACTCATCGAGTGTGATTCCGTCATCTTTCTTGAGCTCGCGCTTCGGCGGTGGCTTTGGGCCGGGGCCCCAGGTAGATCACCCTGGTCCCTCAATGCTGCAGCAATCGCAGCCTGAGCAGTTGTCGAAGCCCCTGCGTTCACGCTCTTCCTCCGGTTGACTCGATGAGAAAGGTTCGTAGCCGAGAGCGAAATGGAATGAGAGTGTTGTCTTGCAGAGGTAGAAGGGTGCCGGGAGGAAAAGCTGCCAGAGACAGGACGAGAAGTCGGTTGTTCCTTTGTTTTTTGACTCGAGTCAGCACGAGCACCGGGTCAAGTGATGGGCCGCGTCTGTCACTCACCTTGGAAGAGGCCATGTTGAAGTAAGTGTAGAGTCCTTGAGATCAGACGACTCTCGAGCTCAAAACTGTAGGCAGTTTTGAGACTTGAGAGTCGTCAAGAAAGAACAGCAGCCAAAGTAAGTGAGGGTGGTGTTGTGTGTTGTGGGGTCGGAATGCCCGAGACTCAGAGGATGGAGGAGCGCGAGGGGACGAACTACTCTTGCGGGCAACTGCAGCTGGGCTCAAAATATCCACGTTGAGTCGGCAGTGCTGTAGCCGTCAGGGTGGACTGTATTGAGAAAAGAAAAAGTCTATCGAAACAATCCGTCAATGGAATGGGTGGTGGAAGTCTGGTACAGAAAGTAAAGTGGTGGGAAAATGTGTGGCCTGGACCGTGGAGTGAACCGTGGGAATGGCAGGCGTGGAACGATGGGCGGAAAATAGTTCTTGTTCGCAGTTGGCACCCAGTCGGCACCCAGTTGGCACCCAGTTGGGGCACTTTTTATTAGGAATTAGGAATTCAGGTTCTCGGGATTTGCTTGCGGGTGGATTCGTGGTTCGTCGATCGAGGATCGCAGGCTGTGGAGTTCAATAACTCAGGTCGACAGGACTCCCAGCGTGTTGGCAGCCAGACTCAGAGCCCAGCCAGACTTAGCTGGGATCAAAAAATATCCAAGGGCATTTACAGGTCAGATAATAGTAATCTGGAAAAGAGGTTTCACTTTGGATGGAGAGTACGAGGTACAGTATTATGGTCAAGGTCAGGCAGACAGCCGACACTTCTTTTTTTTTTCTCCTCTCTGACGGATCTGCTGATCGTGCCGATTTGAGCATCCTCGCATCCTCGTGCTGATACTATTCTTTGGGTTTCTCCTCTCCTGGCCTTTTGTTTGACTGGCTGACCGCGTTCCTTGCTTCTGCCACACTTTGCTGGCTGCTGCGGGGTCGCCCGTGCCTGGGCCTAAGTGTCTCAAGCTCGCCGCAGGAAATTAATCGCACCGAGCTCCAGACCAGTTCACTGGCATCTGTTTCAGCAGCACGGGCGGTAGAAGAAATTGTCCCCTCAGGCGCGCTCTCTACGGATCCACGCTACGCGTTACCGAAACGAAAAACACATCAAAGGCAGAGGGCGAGATTTCATCTCAGAAAAAAGAGCAAGGGAGACGGGAAGGGGACAACGGCAACCATAACTTTTGGGAATTGATCAGCTCTCTGCGATTGATGCCGACAAGATCACACACTGCGGGCATGGGGCATGGGCATGGGAGCCATGAAAAAGATGGGGCAAGAAGCTGAAAAGAGCATGGTCCTGATCAAGTCATGCACTACTCAAGGTCATGGGTCAGGCAGGCCAGGGCTGATGGGCTAAAATGCGCCATCAGACTCCTCGCTGCCGTACCTGACTAAAAATTGACTGGCTTCAACCCCCAAGCGCCAGTGGGTGCCAGACGCCGCAGCCCTCCTCATTCCCCCCCTTCGAACTCTCCAAAGCTCTGGGCCGACCAGAAAGGGTCCAAACAGCGACCCACTGCGACTGCGAATCAAGGAGACGGCAAAAGAGGGGGATAAAACGGACCTCCCCTGGATGCGTGAGGAGAATGAGTTGGAGGATGCCCGTCAGGAATATCCTGGGGGACTCGTACTTGGGTGCTGTTCAAAAACATACCTAGAGACTATGGACGCCCCAGGCAGTGATGGGCGCTTCCCAGCATCCGCTCGACGGGCGACTTGTAGCTGCAACTCCGCGAATCAACATGTCCGCTTCACGGCATGGAAAGAGTTGCTGATTGGCGTGGCCCCTACAAGCACAGCCATTGTGCCCACGGCCCAGGTTGGCGACAGGATCCTCATTGGGCGTGATAGCTGGTGGAACACGGACAGCAACTAGCAAGCAATAGGCACATCGCCGGCAAGGCACCATGCTTCTTGGAGAGCCTGTGGGGAACCGAGACCAGAAATTGTCGAACCAGCGATAAGATCGAAGTCCCAGCAGCCATGCCCAAAACTGCCAAACAGCCATGCGAACTGGTGCACAACAAGCAGGTGCCAGGTACGAGTTGCCCTCTGACAGGCCAGTTCCTTGGACGACTGGCGACAGTGGCGAGCCGTCAGGCGAGGTCGTCTGATGCCAATGGTGCAAGGCAACAAAATCACGCACCATCTGAATCCTGGATGCCGTCATCGGCTGAGACTTGGCTATGGTTTGCAATGCATGCCTTGCGCAAGATACGGCTTCGTCCCGTGGCCCCGTGGCCCTTTTCGTCAAAGTTGGACGTTTCCTTGATCCACGAGGTCAGCAGCGTCACTGTTCAGGCAAGTTTCGTCATCATTGAGAAGATCTGGAAACGGCACGGACGCGGGAACCATGGGCGGCCAAACGAGTTAGTCTCGCATGCCCTGGGCTTCTATACGCGGACCAAGCTCATGTACCAAAGTATACTGGACAACCATTTCTTGGGTTGTCTGCGGCCCAGACTACTTGTACTCGGACAAATGAGAATGCCGCTCAATGGTCCATGTCCATCCGCGTGGCACCGACATTATTTGTCGATCAATGATGGTGCTGATCTTTCGACTGTCCCCAATCGGACAATTCAATAGGTGACCGACTATGAGACAACCCGCAAAGATCGTCCTAATAACCAACACACGTTCTCCGAGTTCTGCTTGTAGGCACTTCGGCAATCAGGCAGGCGGAAGGAGATATCAGGAATCCGTCAAACCCGATTTTCCCGGAGACAACACCCATCCTTGTGCCTTTAGGCTGAGCTGACGCCTCCAGCCAAAGCAGAGCGAGGTAGCGGGGTTCTACCTAGGGGAGCCTCGGCTGAACTGGGTTAGGGGCTTAGCTTGCCCCAGCTTTTCGATCCCGTTGCCGTCGAGGTCAACCGAGACCCGAGTTTGAGGGGCTCTGGAATGCTGTTGAGCGAACAGCCCCTCCCGGAAGGACGCGAGGTCAAGAGGAGGGAGGCTGCTCGGATCCAGCAATAGAGATGATACCCCCCATACAGAGGCTTTCACTATACGAGGTAACCGAACATATATCCATGGGTCCACTGTCCATGGGTCCGAAATCGGCGAATATAGGTAAGTCGAAGCTTGAAGACCCCAGCGAGCATTTGCTGATAACGGATGACCAGCATCGCTTGCCCTATCTAACCAGTGGCTCCCTTATCGCACAATCACAAATCCAGACCCAATGCGACCAAGGGCAAAGAGGAGCAAACAGGACTCCCAACTGTTTGTCTGATTTGATATGGCAATTGACAGGTGTTGTGCTCTGCTCCTGGACTAGCTCACCTCGCAGCAGGCTTTACCGAATACTACCTGCGAGAGGGGAACTCATGGAGAGGAGTAATACTCGGTTCGTGTTTGTCTGCATTGCCGGTCGAGCCCCGCGTTACAGATGGGCAAAAAGGGGTTGTCAGCCGAAAAAGATTCTCCCCAACATGCCGTGGCCATGGAAAACCCGCATGCTGTATTGTGATCATTGCAGATGCACAGAGTCGCTGCACAGAGTCTTCAGTCCTGCATGACCTCGAGTGCGTCGGCTACGCAGAATGCCCCTGAGGAGTTGAGGTGAGGCTTGCCAGATGGAGAGAATATATTACTCCGTACAAGCACGAGGAAGGCAGCGTGTCGGCGGCTCGGATAAGCCAACAAATTTATCCACACAGACGGCCAAAGTCCGCGTGTGTCTCTGATTCATTTGCCCGCCGTTGGGCGAGGCTGAATGGGCTTATTCGTGTGTGTCGGGCGTTGTGTCTCTGCCTGCGATTGGAAGCTGAGTCCGTTAACTAGCCGCATTGCCACGCATCGTCGTCTCAGTGCGCTCAGGCATCGTCTCTGTCTAGTTATCCTATCCCTAGCTTGATGGTCGGACATTGACCTGAGGCAATGGGCGGCATAGCCAAGTAATATTAATGGTTTCCGTCTTGTTTGTGGCTGCTCGATTTCATCTCGCCTCGACCGTATTCGGATCTACTAGCCAGACCTCAGCTAGCTCTGCCGTTGCCAGTTGCTTCTTCCTCCCCTTTTGTCGTCGCTCCGGCGCCACGGACCTTTGAGCTCGTCAATGGGCTTCTAGGTAATAATCATACAAAGTTGAGTGCTGATCACACTTTATTGCCTCCTCCTTGGCTGCCTACAACCTTTGTGGTTGTCGTTTGCTTGGAGCGAATCTTTCAGAAGATTGGGCTTTCACGCTGTGTTGTTTGTTTTGTTGTTGGAGCGTTCGGGTCCTTAGATCTGAAGTCAAAAAAAAGCAGATCCCCCACCTTTTCCTGCCGAGATCCTGATCCTGATTCCTTTGCAGTTTTGACTGCGGCTGTTAATGCGTCATTGCTGAAAAACAACAAACACAACACAAAGGCATTGTTAGAGCCACGTCTCCTTGAGTGAAGATGACCTCGACAACGCAGTCCTGGGCGGCTGCTACACAATCATGGGCGTCGTGGTTGCTCGATTCCTACGCCTCATCGGTGTCGCCTATGGCCACTGACACCTCCTTTCGACATCACGAAGACTCCAATTCCACATCGGAGTACTCCTCCCATGACGATGGCCAGTCGTCTGTATCTTCCGTCTCCATGTCCTCTGCCTATGGTCCCTATGTGAAGACTGGCCGTGGGGGCGCGGGCAACTTCAATTGGCAGTCTGAGGTCCAGCTCGCTCCGCGATCAACCTCGCCCGTTGACCTCGAGGCGAGTCGACCACCACAACCACACACGTCGCTCGCGGAGCGCCGCAAAGCAGGGGCCAGGCTGGAAAGCATCAATACCCATGATATCAGGCCCTTGCGCCAGAACTCCGCCCAGTATCTGTCCGCCGGCCGCGGCGGAGCCGGAAATTATGTTCTCGCTGACATGAAATCTATTCAGCGAAGCCCGAGTCTACCGGCAAGTTTCTCATCTCCCGTTCCAGGGAAACCTCCCAGTCCACAAGGTCCAAATCCATATCCCGCCGGAAATGCTGGAAGAGGAGGAGCGGGCAACTACGCAGCCGCCGCGGAGGCCAAGGGGCGGGTAGAATCAGAGAAGGAACAAGAAGAGAGACTCGCTGCCGAACAAAGGAGAGGCCAGATCGCCGAAGAGGTGGGCGGATTGCTGCAACCTCCTCCGGGCGCTTGGCTTGGTGGTGGACGCAGGAAGAGTGAGTCGATGTATGAAGATGTTTGAGATCCCTGCAAGGTTCCTCTGGAAACGAAATTTTTGAGGGATTCATCGGCTGGCGGATCTTACATGCTTCCTGGGCGCCTTACGAGTACCTCGTACATCGACTCTCACAGTCGGTAAGACGGAAGACCGGAGTCAGCGGTGCCTATCCTCCGATATACCTTCCTGGGCGCTGCAGGCGGCACGACAATGGATACGACTTCCAAAACAAGAATCAAACCGCCCTCTTACGAGCTAGACCTCCTTTGAAGAGCCCTTGGGATCCAAAGATTGGCAGTTGAATATGCAGCTTTCCGGCCGAGTTCAACAAGCAACAGGTCGACATGAGCCTCGTGCACCGATGACAAACGTCGCCTTCGACGCGCATTTTTGGGATTCGCGCCATTTGGCCAGGACGACGTTTCGACCCGAAGATCTGTATATGCGACATGAATGCGTGTCCACCTCAGTCATGCATCGCCCTGTTCACCACGAAATGCACGGTGACACGAGAGCCTCGATTCCTACCATATTTCTGAGGTAGAATCCTCCTTTACGGACAACATGGATAGGAACAGCTGAGGCACTTCCCACGCCATGAGATTTCCTCAATGTGACGGGTTGAGACAGCTGCTGTGAAGATCATTCTGGCCCAGATATCGGAGCTTCTTCCTATAGAAGTTCTGAGGACCTTTGGGGTGTAATGAGACCGGGAATTGGTTAACCCGAATTTAATGGGTCTCATGAAGATACCAGATATCTTCTTCCATCTAGTGTGGTTCGTGACAGACGAAGCACGACATGTGGATGTTGCACCCCTGTCGACTCGTCCTCAGGGTCCTGAAGAAAAAGGAGGACCAACTTCTCCGCCTGAATGACACAAGTGGATGAGGAATTGTCTCCTATGAAATGACCACGAATATGAAAGGCCCTTGGCCCAAGACGTCCGTCGGCTGGATTGCACATGGGCCGTATATATGTTTTCAGGGAAGAAGGAGGTGGAAATCTCTTCCCTGGCTTGCCCAATGTATTGATATATCGTAGTGTCTCTCACAAATCTTCCTACCCCGTAACAATTCGTTCGTTAAGTCGCTCAACCTCTCCTTACATCAGAGCTCTATCGTCTGGACTGTGTGAAGACTTTGGAGACCCAGAAGCACACCGTAGACCAACGGCATTCCGGGGGAAATCCTTCACGAGTAATACTTTATTTGTCTCGGGGTTCCTTTTGGCCCCTTTCCCTCGCCCACTCCCATTGCTTTCGGATAGTCAGAGACTCTAACTGAAGATCTTGTCAAAGTATTTCATGAACGTGTTCCTGCGATGTCTTCAGGTCAACACAGCACAGCACAGCATAACTGAACGCAACACGTCTCCAGACCCATAACTCACCTAGGCGGCCTGGGCACATAATTCCTCTCATACTCGGCAATCTCCTCCATATCCCTCGCGAGATCGACCTCGTGCGGCTCCATCCACTTGGTCTTCTTATACAGCTTCCAAAACACAAACAAGACCGGAAACACGCCGATCATGGTGTAACTGAAGAAGAAAGTGGGCACGTCCCAGAACCCGGGTAAAAAAACCGTGTAGCCGCCCACAAAGGTCATGATGAAGCAGCCCGTCAGCGCGTAGTAGGCCGAGAAGGGCTGCCACCACGACTTGTAGGGTAGAGTGTTGCGGTCGATGCCTTGGGCCTCGAGGGCGCGTTTGAATTTGAGGAATGTGAAGGCCATGACGGAGAAGTTTATTAGTTGGGATGCGGTCACCTGTATTGTCATGATATGGATGTTAGCGTTGGTGGAATGGGGAGAGGACATGGTTCGGACTGAGGAATGGGTGGAAATTGAAGAAGATGAAGACGGAAATAGCACGGGCTTCGAACGCACCAGATTGACAAACCAGCTCAACACCACGGCGGCATCATTGCTGACTTGCAAAAAGCTCAGCAGACTGATCAGCAGAACGAGCGCCACGCAGTATACCGGCACGCCATTCCTCGTGCAGCGGGTGAAAATCTTGGGCGCTTTCCCCTCGAGCGCCAGCCCAAACAGGCTGCGACTGGCGCAGTAGACGTAGCTGTTTCCCGCCGAGAACGCGCTGCCGAGAACCATGGCGTTGACGATATGCGGGAGGACCTTGATGCGCAGCCTGTTCATGGACACGACGTAAGGCGACGCCGCGGCGCCGGGCTTCCCCGTCGAAAAGGCCTCGGTGAGTTCCGCGTCGTTGTACGGCACGAGGATGCCGACGCAGAGCGAGCCGAGCATGAAGAAGGCCGTCAGGCGGTAGAAGACGGCCTTGTACGCCTTGGGGAGGACCTTGCGGGGATTCTCAGCCTCGCCGGCCGCCATGGAGACGTAGTCCGGTCCGGCGATGGTGAAGGACGCCTGGATCAGACACTGCAGGAACCCCAAAAACCGGCCCAGTGAGCCGTCATAGTAGAGCTCGGTGAAAGAGCCCGGGTCGTTCCAGTATCGAAACCCAAATCGGTCACCCAGGGGGTTGCCGCCCAGCATGGCGATAAACGTGTATATGATCAGCCCCACGATCAGGAGCACTTTGCCCAGCGCGAGCCAGAACTCGGTCTCGCCGTACCATTTCACCGCAAACAGATTGACCAGCGCGTAGCAGACGATCACGATCGCGATGATCCCGCCGGCGGGGACGATGTCGCTCCAGAAGTGGATGATGACGTTGCATGCCACGATTTCAAAGGGGACCAGCATCGCTTCAAAGACGAAGAAGTTGTAGCCCGCGGCGACGCCAAAGGCTTCGTCGACGTAGCGGCCTGCGAATCGGATGAAGGGCGAAGAAATGGGGAGATAGGTGACCATCTCGGCCATGCAGTTTGTGACGCAGAGAATGAATGTACACCTATGAATGCACATGTTCAGTGAGTACATAAAGCTCCACGAGTTTGAGCACTTCATCCTGCAACCTCTTCGGGTCTTGAAAAGGGAATATTCTTGAGAATGGCCGGGATGAGCTGTAACAGATGTTCTGCAGGGACAAAACTCGTGCTTTCAGCCTCAGCGCCACTCTTCTGCTTTCTGTATCTAACGGAAGATCGGAACCCGTGGCCTTCATGATAGTACAAGCAAGAGAAATATACAGATCCCCTACTTACCAGATGGTAAAAGCCAGAAACAGACTCCCAGGTCCACCATTGAGCAAACCCCTCCCAATCTGCACGTACAGCGCCGTGCCAATTGTTCCGCCAATGCCTATCAGCTGAATATGTCTCGGTTTCAATTTTCGATGGGTGCTATCATATCCCACTTCGATACTGCCGGGGTAACTGGGTGTTTCGGCCAGACCGTAGTTGGCCTTGATGGACGCTACGACGGACTGCTTGCGTGAGCCACGTCTCACAGCATGCTCCTCGTCGTTGTCGCCGTCGCTGTGGGACCGGGTACGCACGCCCCGCGCGATCGGGGTTTCGTCCATCGCATGAGGAGGCATGCCATGTTCTTTCTCACCGTAGCCATAGTCGTGCGCAGAAGACATTGCGGGGGGCTCGGGGTCAGAAAAGGGGACAATTTGATAGCGGAAACCAAAAGACTTTGGTACAGACAAAAAGGGCCTGGGGAGAGCTTTGGGAAGAAACCGCAGGATATATCACGACGTAGCAGCCGAAGTTATCGCCAGAAAGCATACTTCATCATCTCGAAGCTCTGGCCTGGTCCCAGTTGGCTTCTTCAGATAGCATGCTCGGGGCATAATCGATGCTCTTGCATTGGACATCTTGTAACCAAGATCTTGGTCCTGTGGGCTTCGAGGCTCGGCGAGGTCTTAGCCCGTGGATCATTTACCTGGGAGCTGGAAAAAATTCGCCGTCGAGGAGAGTTGCAGAGAGTTGCAGAGAGTTGCCGTGAAGTAGTAACAGCGATTGCAACGACGAACAACGACAAAGACGGAGTTGAGTGGAGAAGAGTTTCAACGAAGCGTCTGGGCTGACGACTGTTTGGATCTCTTGGGGAGCTTCGGGCCTCTTGGCTGGGCGTTAGGGGGCGGAGCTGTGCTTGGAGACGCCTGGAGTTGGTTAAAGGACCCGATGGCCGGTAAGTGCCTAGGGGGTTGGAGGAAGGCATTAGGTACTCCTCCAGCCTCCTACCGAGGCTAGTGGGCCCCCTCCCGCCGGCCTGGTTGCCAATCGTCAAGCCTAATGGCCCAAGAGCCTTACCCGGGTGCTCTACCTACCTGGGCAGCTATGGGTGAGCACCAATTCATGGCCCACTAGTAGGCCGGTTTCTCTTCGTGGGCACCTGCCAAAGACAAGCAGTGTTTGACTCTGACTTCCAGGTTTCCTTATCTTGCTTCTCAATGAATCGTCTTCGCAGCACATTGCTGAGGGAAGCAAACGTCTGAAAACTCACCTGAAATGGTATTCTGACCCTGACACTCAGTATCTCGAGCGGCACTCGGAATGGCCCCGCGATAATTCATTTCTAGCCTCAAATCAACGTCGACTCTCGTACCTTTACCTTCAAATCAGTACTGCGAGATACTTACAAGCTTCCAAGAGCTCTGATAAGACCACATCGCAGTCATGTTGAACTCTTGGACCTTGCCGCTGTTCCTCCTTCCAGCTTCCTCGATAGCTCGGGATATTGTGTTCCCACCAGTATCACCACTCCAGGCAAACCTTGGAGGCCCTGATGGCCAATATCGGTCGCCCATCGCCTCGGGCAAGGATCCTTTGGCCGAGTTTGAGAAATACTCGGGACTCAGTACCTTTGCAAATCTCCCTTGGGTACATTGCTTATCGCCAGATGACAATGTAGACAAGTATGATATTGCCTTTTTGGGGGCCCCTTTTGACACAGGCACTACCGCTCGCCCAGGATCGCGGTTTGGTCCTAGTGGAATCAGATGGTAAGATCAAGCACGAGGGCATTTCCACCTGGAACTTGCAGCCTTTGCTACCTGGACCAACGACGTTCTGACCCGACTTGAGCAGGGGTTCTAGACGAATGCAAGCTGCGGCTGGATGGGACCCGTATACCCACGAAAACACATTCCTGGGTTGGGCACGCATTGTAGATTGCGGCGACGCACCGCTCACTTTCCTGGACAACACCGTAGCCTTGCAGCAACTTGAAAAGGCGCACAAAGTGGTATCGGGCCGGGCAACCAATACCACAGAAGTGGCCGACGTTCCTAGAATCATCACCTTGGGAGGTGACCACACAACAACCTTGGCGGCGTTGCGCTCGACCGTTAACCACTGGGGTCCTGTCAGTGTCATACATTTTGACAGCCACATAGATACCTGGGGTATGCTCGCAGCGATTCCTGTGCTCTCACGGTCATGCGATTGATGAGGGCCCCAGCTTGTCCAGAGCAATTGCCCGGTGCTTGGTTGACCGTTGCTGAGAACAGTGAACTCGGTGCTGACTTTTGATTCTGCGCAGATCCAAAAGTTCTCGGTGGAGGGATATCCCACTATGCCGGGCTCAATCATGGCACTTTCCTTCACATTGCCCATGAAGAAGGCCTCATTCTCAACTCTTCCGCACACGCAGGCATCCGAGCCCCGGTCTTCAACAAAAAGTATGACTGGAAAAACGACAAACGGTGCGGTTTCGAGATCATAACCGCCAGGGATATTGACAAAATTGGTGTTTTGGGGATCATCGAAAAGCTCAAAGCCCGAGTGGGAGACACGAACGTCTACATCTCGGTTGACATTGACGTCTTGGATCCAGCATATGCTCCGGCCACGGGCACGGCGGAAGTAGGTGGCTGGACGACTAGAGAGCTCCTCAGCATCCTGGATGGCCTTGAGGGTCTGAAGGTCATTGGGGCTGACGTGGTGGAGGTTGCTCCGATATATGACAATCCTGGAGAAACCACTGTCCTCGCAGCGGGAGAGGTGGCCCACCGACTCATGGGCCTGATGGTCGAGACCCCAGTGAAGTCATTAAGGAGGAAAGGAGCCAGGCCTGGTGGAGAAGAAGAGTAAAAGTCCTGGAAGTGTCCATAGACATAAAACTGAACATAACCCACGCTCTCACCTAGATTCTGCCAGGGGAACGCGAGCACACGCTGTCGCCAGGCGGAAATGACCAAAGTGGGCATGATATATACCTATGTCAATACCTGTTCTGCACAACCACGGTAGAAGGCACGAACACCGATGGTGGTCGTGTCTGCGGCCGGGGCAGTTCTGCGATGGGCAGCCACCAAAGTCCTCGGTATGGATCAAGGCGTCATATACCTGTGCTGCGCCACTGAGGACCATGATCTCACCCATACCTGTTCAACAGCGATTAACTCGCTGAAGCTCGTCAGTCAGTGCCGGATTTAATTTGCGAGCCGAGACTTGACAGCATCGGCAGCACCAGCGGGGACGGGGGAATGAAATCCCATGGAGGGGCAGCCCAAGAGGGGCATCTTCTTCGCCTGCCTGCGTCCGCTTTATGCTGTACCCTAGGTAGGATTGCTTCAGACCGACCAGGGATCGAAACACTATCAGCCGATTGCCCTCGTGTTGCCGCGACCGACAAGCCTACCAAACCCTACCTACCTAGGCACCGTTACCCCAAGTCCCAATCAAGTCAAACATTCAGACTGGAGGAGTTCCGCTTTCCTAAGCTGTGGGAAGAGTATGTAATCAGCCCTTGCACACACTTTCGCAAGGTCACAGGGGCAGTGCACTTCATTTGGTGCGGTGGCACGATTTCGCCTTGTCACCTTTGGGAACTCCAAAAGTCCGGAAAACTGACCTCTTGTTCATTCTCTCGTCCCTCTACACAGTGACCGACACGAATCGAGGTTTGTTTGTTAAAGCACATCATCATGACTGATCCAACCTCACCGAGCCCTTATTCAGAGAACAAGAAATTCGAACCCAAGGTTCCTGTCGAATTGGAACCGCCCAAGAACCAAGAGATCTCGTTGGAGGAGCTGAGTCAATGCGATGGTACGCAGAGAGACCCGTGCCGCGTGTGCAGCACACATAGCTTCTGTGAGGGGGGGAAAGGGCAACATGCTGAGACTGCGACTTTTCTTGCGATAGGGACAAATCCGGATAAGCCTACGTGGGTTGCGATAAAGGGAACTGTCTTCGACGTCTCCAAGAACAAGGCCTATGGCGAGAAGGGTCAATATCATGGTACGGGCCTGCCCCTCCCTCACTTTGGTGTTTCCGCATGCTTGCGCCACATCCCGAACTAACCAAATGCTTTCACTTTTTGCAGTCTTTGCCGGAAAGGATCCTTCTCGCGCCCTCGCCCTCTCCAGCCTGAAGCCCGAAGATTGCGTGCCGGAATGGGACGATCTGGACGATAAGTACAAGACGGTTCTCGATGAGTGGTACACCTTCTTCAGCAAGCGATATAACATCGTGGGCAAGGTCAGTATATCCAAGATACAGAAACTGTGAGGAGGGAGAACACAAGAACTGTCCTAAAGTCGCCTGCACGGGCTGGGCGGGGGGGAAAGGTTCAGAATGTGCAGACGACTTGAGAACTGGGCAAGAGAAGGCCATACAATATCTCGGGATAGGTGCTGACTCCCCTTTGCCTCTACCTCTAGGTCGCGGGTGCTCAGAATATTGGGTGAGAAAACGACGGTTAGCAGGGAGATATCGATATATTGTGACGGCCAGGCAGATACCCCGGACGGAAGAAGTAGGAGACACAGTCCTTCGCCTTGACTAGCACATTGGTGCCGCTCATTGTTCAATGCTCAACTGCAGACTGATTGCGACTCAAACATTCAGTCAATCCATCACCCTTTCCGTACTTTCCTGGCCTGGCGCTTCTTTGCGATGATGCGATTCCTCTTTGCAACGCGATTCTTCTCCTCCGGCTCAAGCGCCTCCGGGACTTTCGATGTCTTTGAAGATGATCCATCATTGTCCTTGTCTCCGCGCTTCCGCTTCTTGCTGACCCTTCCGCCATTCTCCGACTTTTCTTGCTTGTTGTCCTTGAACCTTTTCCCACCACCTTCCCTGGCCTTTTGTTCTCTTTCGTTCCTTCGCTGGATGACCTGGGCGTTCTCAATGGCAAACTCTACGATCAAGCGTTTCCCTCTTTCAGAACCAGCATTCTGGGGTTTGACCATGTGCCCATTGAGCCAACGCAGGCCGGCCAGAGCATTCCGATGGCCAACATATTCGATGAAGCCATAGCCTCGACTTCGACCAGCGCCTTCCTTGACCTTGCTTCCTTCCTTGTCTTCAAACACCACTTTTGCCTGTTTGACGATCCCTTTGCCAGATAGCTTGCGTCGGCGCTCAGCTTCTTGCATCTCGCTGCCGCCTCGCCGTAGCTCTTCCTTGCTCAGAGGCTGTCGGAGGCCAGCTTTGACGTCCTTGGCAAATCCGACCACCGCTTCGCGAGCCAGCGCCTTCAATTCCTTGCTGCCGATACCTCGGGGAAGATTTCTGACGCTTAGTCGGGTCAGACTCAGGCATAGATTCGGATTGGTTTTGATCAATCGCTGCCGTTGGCGAGCACTGCTCTCTCTGATGTCGATCTCGGCTTTGCCTAGTTGCTCGTAGAGCTTTGATCCTTTCGAGATGGAACCTTCCGAAAGCAGATATAGGCGTCGTTTATCTCGATCTCGGGCGTCTCTTTTTTCACTGGCCTCACTTGCTCGGCGTTCTGCATCTTCCCTGCTGAGAGCCCGGGAAACCTGGAGAACGCGGCCCTCGAGTGTATAGCGACCCGACGGGTCTGCTGCTTCGTTCTCAAGGATAGAGTGCTTCAATGCTTCCCTTTGTTTTTTGTTGTCATTGTTCGTATGTTCAAGTGGCATATCGCGCTTGGGAGCATTTTTGACGCAGGCCTTTGCGTCGTCAATATTGAAAAAACAGACGAAACCTGTGCCTTTGGAGCGCTCAGTCTCTGGGTCGTAGACAACCCGTGCATATCGGATCGGTCCAAAAGTCGAAAAGTGTTCCCGAAGAAGGTCGTCGTCCGTTGTGTAGGGTAGATTTCTTACAAAGACAGAGGTGTCATTTTTGTTGTCACCTGCCTCAGGGCCCGGGGTTGTGCTCTCCGTTTCCGATTGTATGTCCTCTTCGTCGCTTTCAGCATCCAAATCCTCGAGCGACTCTTCCTCGGAATCTTCAACCAAGTCACTAGCATCTGCGACAACTTCGTCATCATCCTGCGCCTCGTTGTCAGACTCCGCACCGTCGTCTACATCGCCATCCGTTCTGGTGTCACCCTCGTCATGGTCGTCCGCAATCGGCTCGTCTTGGGCTGGTTGTGCAGTCTCTGGACGAGTGTGTTGCAACTCTTCCCAAGTCTTCTTGTCGACGGCCCAGTCCACGGCTAAAGTGCGCCCATCGACTTCTTTCCCATTGACCCCCGCAAGTGCCCTCTCAGCGTTCTTTTTCCCCCGAAGCACAACAATGCCAAAACCGTACTGCTCCTTAGGTCCCTTCTTGGGTACGACCGCATGCTTGACCTTGCCATAACTTCGGAACAACAGGGAGAGATCCTCAGCCGTCTTGATACTCCATGGCAGGTTTCTGACAATCAACTTCGGGGGCTGAGTCTCTGCTTGGTTCTTCTCTCGCTGTGCTCGAAGTTGTAGCGCCGTGGTATTGACGCTGCTCTTGGCTCCGATATCTGCATCACGGTGTCTTGCTTCAGCCAGCTCAACTTTGATCTTCCTCCCATCTAGCACTGAGTTGTTGAACTGTGCAACTGCAGCCTGCGCGTCCTCTGCATCGGCAAAGGTGACGAAGCCGAATCCTCGAGAGATCTTTGTCTCGGGGTCTAGGACGACTGTGGCATGCTTGAGAGGGAAGGACTCTGAGAAGTACTGCGTAAGTCGCTCTGTGGTCACGGAAGCGGGTAGAGAGCGGACGAAGAGCGAGCGTCTCTGCTCCTTGGATTTGGGGCTTGGTTCTTGGGTTGGGTGGTCAGCGTCTGAAGTGACCACTTCATAGCTGCCACTAGAGAGTTTGCGCCTCTTGCTACTCTGGTCCATGGTCGAGGTGCCACCAATATTCGCGGCCTTGTCGAGTTGGTGGGAAAATTGAACTTTTCGCAGCCCAAAAAATTTCTCCAATTCGAAGTGGAGTTGCACTTTGCATTTAGCGCATATAAAGTCCGCCGTATGGATTTTCTACGTCAAAGCATAAGGAAGATATAGAATTTCCTGGATCCGGAGTGACAATTCCTTTCAGTTGGCAACTCTCAAACCTTTCTTTGAAGTGACTGCGAGGAGTGAGAGAGTATGCTGTTTAAAAACTCGAAAGGCGAAGCCTCATATAAGACAGTACTGGAAGCACCGATGAATGAAAGACCGATAAGTGCATATCTCCCATCTCTGAAAATCTAGGACAAGGCCCGAGCGCAACACAATGGCCGAAGAGTTCGACAATGTCGACTTCCTATCACAAGAGGCAGCGGTTGAGCGATCATCTGGCCCGCAACGAACAGCAAGCCCAGCTACTGCCAACGCACCCGCAAAAGTGGTTCAGCCAAAGCCTCAAGCACTGCCTGGAAGACAGGGACCATCGGCAATCCTTGTATCAACTCGACAAAAGGGCAATCCTATTCTGAAACATGTTACACAGCTCCCGTGGGAATATTCTGACATACCATGCGACTACGTGCTCGGTGCAACAACATGCGCGCTGTTCCTGTCTCTCAAATACCATCGCTTGCATCCAGAATACATCTATAGCCGCATCCGCCAGCTGGGAAAGCTTTACAACCTCCGAATCCTGTTGACCATGGTGGACATCACGAATCACGAAGAGGCTCTGAAGGAGCTATCCAAGACCTCGATGATCAACAATCTGACGTTGATCCTGTGCTGGTCCTCCCAAGAGGCGGGCCGCTATCTAGAACTCTTCAAATCATATGAGCACGCCTCCTCTGCATCAATTCGAGCGCACCAAGCAGAGACTTACCAGGAGAGCCTCACTGAGTTCGTTACGACGCCACGAAATATCAACAAGACCGACGCTGCCAGTCTGATCATGAACTTTGGGTCTCTTCGAGCAGCTGTGAATGCGGAACCAGAAGAACTGGCTCTGGTGCCAGGATGGGGTGAGAAGAAAGTCAAAGCTTGGTATTCTACTGTCCGGGAACCATTCCGCGTCAGAAGAGCCGCCAAATCCAATGCAGCACTGCTGAGGCAAGAGACCTCGTTGTTCTCTGAAGATGCAAGCACTCCGGAGTCAAGGCCAGGAAGCGGACACACGCCTATTCCCATTGGCAGTGTACCCAGCCTTAGCAGGCAGGGATCAGCTGCTGTTGCGATACAGAATACAGCTGAGGCGGGCCCCAGCCACAAGCGTCCTCGGTTGGAAGAAGTTACCATGGACGATTTGGACGAGGAGGAAGAAGCTGCGCTCCTTGCCCTTGCTGATGTTGAAGCGGCAAAAGCAGAGGCACAAGCCTCACGACCGCCCCAGCCACAGAGTCGCAAAGAACCTGAGTTGAGCGCAGGTGTTGCGGCGGCACTAGCAAAGCTACGACAAAATGGTTGAAGGAGGAATTTTCAATTTTACAATCCTCACCATGTTCTGGTCGATGCCCAGGGTATCGTGCTACTGCAGCACGGCTTGATGCGTCCCTTCGACCTTGTGGTACGCAGCACATGCATAGCCACACTTTTCGGCGACCACAACCCAATTAGGAGAACCCATTTTGATCTGAGGAAGCCATTTCAGTATTCAGTTCATCTGCCAAATGAGAATACCTTACCACGGGGGATTTTCATCCGATCCCAAAAGGCATTAGTCGCTAAAGCTGAGGGGTATTAACTCATGTTCTGTCTTCCCCACAGCTTCTGCATGACCACCAATCGTCACCATCAAGGCAGACACTAAGGCTATCAAAGAGGCATAAGAGAGCAAGGACATCGCACTAAGTTGGAGGCAGTGCACACTGGTGATCATCCTTTTTCCCGTTCATGATGAAAGCGTTTGAGCCTGTGGTTTTATATTACTGCCAGAATCATATCAATCTGATTCTGCCTTTTCAGTCACCGTAACTTTTAGCAACCTCAAACGCCAGAAAGAAAGCAAAAAGCTCCCATTAAGTATGGGAGGGTGGGATGCAGTCGCCGCTTCAGTGAGCGGCGTCAACCCTAGCGCCTATGGGTTTCAAGGAGGACCCATGTACCGTCCCGTCCTCAAGCCTACTGAGTACACCGACGACACGCTGATGACAGTGCCAGTGCTCGACCCAGAAATTCTACGAGGAAGACGCGACGGACTCAAGGATGAGGGAGCATTGGGTGTACATTCTAAGAAAGAAGGCAACTTCGGAGGTCGCCCGGGACTCTTCCGCCATAATCCATCAAGTTCTCAATCTTCTTCCCACGGAAAAGTCAACGTCAGCATTCGCCAGGTCACAAGGACAGAATATCTCAAGCATTACGCGAAGGACGAGCTGGGCCGGTATGTCGGCACAGAAGATCCCGCAGAAGACTGCATTCTGAATGGAGAAGACTCCAGTCGGTGGAGAGGGCGAGAGGCAGGATCGGGGATGGCTGCAGGAGAAGGCGAGTCGACATCAGCTGAAGGAGGCCAACTAGGCCAGACGGAAATGGTTGATGTGGCCCAAGATGAAGCTGTCGGGAAAGGAAACAGGCCCGGCAGGCCGTCGAAAAGGGAAGAGAAATCAAGTACAGGAGGCAATGGAGCTGTCGAGGTGGACGGTGCTTATATCGTTCCAGATCCAGTGGGTGCTCCCATGAGGGTTGTCAATGGCGGTAGGAATAAGAGCAGGTTCAGTCTCTTCAAGGGCCTGCGAGGAGGTGATGGAGGCGGTGGAGTCATACGTTGACCACGACCCTGCTACAGACGCCTCTCGACATGACAAGCTCGAATTCATTGCTTCTTCGACCATTTTTTGTCTAATATATCCTGCTGTTCGTGGCTGTTTGGAAGTGTTGCGTCTTTCCGTTCATATTGCGACCACCCCAGGAAATGATGAGACACATCGGCGCTAAAAAGCCCTCAGCAACACCGACCCTGACGCCCTCTTACTCCTACGTTTCCTTCCCAGGGTATGGAACTTCTATCATCTTCTTCCCTGGGAGGGGTCTTACCTTACATTTTCCTCTCTGATCTGGTACCCCAGCCAAATACTAAGACCTCTTCTGGCTATACGGTGCTTCCATCTATACTTTAATATCTCCAGCGCATCCTTCTCATCATACCCACATTCTTCAATCCACTTCAACTCTTCCTCACCTTTCAAACCCATTCATTCTTTTTTTTTGGATCGGTAAATCTCTCCCGTACGTGATAGTGTCTCATCACAGGGATTGCAGCCACGACTTTGCCTTTTTTGCGCTGACGAGGTCTATGCTACAGCTGGACTCTTTTCTTCGCTTGGCAGGAGCCATTGGAGGAGTTCCAGAACTCGGTTCTGCGTGCAGATCTCGTTCTTCCTCCTCACTGGACGAGGAGTCGGATGAGATGAAAGAATCGGACTCTATCGTATCTTCTTCCTCTTCGTCTATGGGCACGTCGATTCCCACGTCACGAAATGCCTTTGCGGCCCTTTTCTCGAAGTCTGCCCGTCCTCCATTCCGTATCTCTTCAAGACATTGGTTGACTTTTTCGATGAGCTCGTCATTTAACGGGACCGTCCATTTGAACTCATCCGAGTCTGGTCCACGGGTGAGCTGGAAGCTAGGCTGATTAAAAATTCGATCAGGGTTCACGTCGGCCGTAAGGGGCTCGGGAGTTATTTTGCCATCTTTAGCTCTTTCTTGCGCTCGCCTCTTTGAAGACGGGGCGTTGTCGGCGTCCTTGGCGGAAAGGCTTTTATACCCAGCTCTCCGGTACGCCTTCGGTAGCTGGAAGCGCGGCTTGCTGCCAAACCATTTACCGCTGGCATACGCTTCCTGGAGATATTGAAATCCAGCGTTCGTGGGACTCATGCCAACCCAGTTGGCCACAAGCGGGTTAAGATATTTCAAATCTTTGATCGCCAGAACAGGAAGCATGGTGGCGTCGCCCAAGGGCGACTCAGTAATTCCGAGAATGGGATCGCTGACAGACAACGCGCCGGTCTTGAGGGTCTTTACGGACTCATGGAGCTTGAGCAGGTCTTCTGTTGCCGACCTTGATTCCGTCTCTTGCCGTAGAAGTGAACGAAGCAGTGGGCCGGGAGATTTGTCCGGATTCCAAAGATGGCGGACCTTTGTTTCCAGATGAAACATGCGACCGAGGTGTGTGTCTGTGCCAAATATGGCACTGATCGGGGTGTCCGGGTCACCAATGGGGCCTCTGTGCGGTATGCCTAGACGAAACACATCCTGGATTGATAAGTTTGCAAGCGGATCGTGGTCGTTCATTTCGTAGCCCTCATCTCGACCGTCCTCCTTCATCTGAAGGTCGCGAAGCTTCTCTCCTGCAGCATCGTAGCTGGCTTGTAACTCATCTCTCCAAGTACCTGTGCCACTGGGCCCCAGAGGCATATCTTCTCGAAGCGAGTCACAGAAATCTTTCCCGTACTGGACTGTGCCAAGCTGGTCACACATGACATCCCAGTAGCAATCGTTCAGGTACTTCCCGATGCGCTGCGATCGATCGTCTTTCGACCCACCCTCGGGAAACGCGTCGATCATGGTTTGCCAAAGCTCTGCTACAGACGTGCTGTCATCGATAGATTTAAAATCCTTGGTTCGCAGATGGTCTTTCCATTTATCAGTCAGCTTCCCGTCTACATAGGGTCGTTGAAGGATCCACGTGCTCCACCTCGTTAGAACTTCTCTAGACTCGGCGTGCGACACGGCAAACCATTCTCGATGATCCTTGCAGCATCTTGGGCAAGACTGAATTTTTCGACAAGACTGGAGCTCCGTGTGGATGATCGATTCTAGTCTCCTCGCATGCGGCACCAAGGGAGTGTGGCTGACCACTTCCGGTCGCGCCAGACATCGAGCAAGTTCGTGTGCTCGATGCTCTGGGTGGAACTTTGAAAACCCAATCTTCAACAAGGCCATGGTGCTAGGACCCATCTGGGAGCGTAGGACATATACGTAGCCCATTCCATGCCCTTGCTGTTCGCTCGGGCTCAGGGGGGTATTCAATATCCGGACAAGGTCTTCGCTGACACTCCTCTTGGTGAGACTGCCAGTTTTGAAAGGTCGGAGTCCAAAATCTCGCTGGTCCGAACCATAGTCGCGGGCGTGGTCTGATTCGCATAACTCCGATAACTGGACGGCCAAACTGCGAATCCAGAACCTGAATTCCTCGGCATCGTCGAATTGCTGATTTGCCTGCGGCGTGCAGAGTCGTTTGGCTTGTTCAATCTTCTCGGCACTGCTGATAACGAAACGGGCCGTGAAATGGTCCGATGGTAGCAACCCACGTATAAGGTCCTTGATGTTGTGCCCTGGGTGAAGGCCACTCAGCTGGTGGCAACTACATGGTATTTTCGAGGGAGTTGACTCCGTTAGTTTATCTCGAAATGACGGGCTGAAGGTCGATTTCGGAAAGAAAACTCGTAAGGTGACTATGGTGAGCCAACCCCCGTCGTTGGTGGTCTGGGGTTCCTTCGACATCACGTGGTGTTGGGGACCAGCCGGGGTTTCAAGAACTTTGTAGGAAGAAGTGAAATGAGGTGGGAAGAGAAGGATTCCCAAAGGTCGGTCAGTGCAGTACTTTAGTATTCGTAGCATTCACTGCGCCACTATAGAGCTAAGGAGGCAGTGCACAGTCGGACAGTCATTCTTTGCGCCGGCCACAGGGCCGCACCTGGACAGAGGCGATTCGGTCCGGGAACAAGTTGTTCGCTTCAAGTTCGATCATGCGAGGCCAGACCCAGGAACTCTGTCCACGGCAGATGGCATTGAGAGAGCACGAATATGCTTAAATGCCGAAACTGCGCAGATAGTGAGCTCGGTGATGTCCTCTGGAGGGTCCATACAATCTGTACGAGGTGCTCGGTAGACGCTGTGTGCTTGCCAAATGATTGGCCCCCACACCATCTGCACGAACTCCACTACCGCAATAGGCAGAAGTTGGTTACAAGCAGGCCTAGCGCGAAGTGCGCCAATAGGCAACCATGAGAGAACGGCTGCTGGGTTCCATCGAGGCCTCCTAGTAGTGACCAAGTACGTAGCGGTCCCATCCGCTGCCTGTGTCGGGCTATGCCCATGGATAGGTGCGGCGTGCCCAGGGCTGAGCGGGTGCTCTGCCTGGAATCGGAGCGGGACGCGGGAGTGGACTTTCGTGAGGGTTGTTTTGACCATTGTGTAGAGGGCTAATCAGCTTCCGACACTCGAAATCCATATTGAGAGGGTTTTGGTCGAGAGGGGTAACAGCCTTTGGTTATCAAAATTGCTTGCCCATTCGAGCGGCCCATGATCAGCTGTTCTTCCGGCCGCAGAAGCTTCGACCGCCATTTTCCGCTAGCGACTTCCAGCCAGAGGACCGGCCTGAGTCACGGCGTTGCAGCCTGATACAAGGCTGCAGGCTAGAGCGCATTATTCTCTCGCAACTCGCCGAGGAGCGGGCCGAGGATCGACTTGGGATCAGGGTCAGGCTCGTGACTATAGAGCATCCCATTCAAGGAGCCCAAACAAGCCCATTGTGAGCAAATAAGATCTACTCAGTATCAAATACGCAAGATCAACTCCTCAGTGAATAGAGGCTCAACCCTCAAGGTTCTGCAATTTTCTAATGCAGAAAGATACAGATCGGCGAGGGTTATCGGCAAAAGAGAGAGAGTAATTCTTTTCTAACAGGAAAGTAGGCTAAGCTTTAATTAATATAGGCCGAGTCGGGTCGGGTTAGGCTTAGGAACTCGGTGGTGGGTCCTGCAGCCACAGGAGCCGCCATCGAGTTCCATAGTTACCAGGTACCTACCTAGGTAGGTATCCTTCCAGCACTGCTGGACATGCTTCCAGGACGCATCAGCGTTGAGAATCCATCAAAGAAACCACGTTCCTAACGTGACACTGACCTCCATTGACAGTGCGCACTGTAGCAAGAGGTATGTAGACACTTCTTGTTTAATATTCCTCCGGCCGGTGTCCGTACAACTTCGAATGCCAACATTGCTGAGTCACATAATGTGACTCACATTTCTGTTAGGACGACGTAACACCCTCTAGTGGCATCACCCACGATCTTTACCCATACCTTTCAGACAAGGGAGAGGTGAGAGAGCGTTGTCTTCAAGCCTCGTCAGACCGAACCGCAGGATCACAAGTGGGCCCTCAGACTATTGAGGATCCAGAGCCCGCTCTAAGGAGCCTCGTAGACTAGTCAAACTTGTGCGAAATAAGGCCGCTGAATTTGTAAAGTCAAAGTCCTCAGAAAAGAGAGGTTTGAACCTCATATTCTGAAGCGCTTCATGGCGGTTCGATGGGAAGAAGTGCAGACCGATCTTGCCTGGCCTCAAGGAAGAAGCACGTCCTATTAATAGCTGAAATCTCCAGACTATCCAAGAATCCTAACTGAGGGTGCGTAAGTGCCATGAATGAATTCCATCCTCGATTCGACGGTTATAATTGGATCTCATGCAGCTCCATAGCGGCCTTCTAGCAACCGGGTCCAAAACAAAGGCACAGGGATGAAACGAGGACAAATCTACATATACTGCCAAAGGTTAAGAAGAGTGCACGTGTCCTCAACAGCTGACTTCCTTGTTTTGCTTCATTCTGGCTTGACTTGGAACCGGCTTGTAAGTGAACGTCTAGAGGATCACAGAATCTCAGTGCTGTCAAGAACCATAGGAAATGCCTACGGGACTGTCAGACACTCGCATCAAACAGAGGGTAGATGCTTACCTCCATCTACAATCATGGCTTGCCCGGTGATGTTTCGCGCACCCGGACCTGCCATGAAGCTTACCATGGCAGCGATATCATCGGGGACCTGTCGAGAGTCAGCAGACCATTGTTGAGTACGGAGTTGAGGACCGAACGTGCCGAGGGTCTCTTCAAGCCACATCGAGCCTGGACGGATCTTGCAAACGCTTCACCCTTGGCCAGACCTTGTCCCTTGGCCAAAGCTTCATCGATCTGATCCCACATCTATGATTTAGATAGGTGACATGTTAGCCTTTCACTCATCGCCTCGGGCGGCAGTGTACTCACCGGAGTATCAACCGGCCCCGGGCAGTATGCTTCGGATGGAATGTCAGTGCAAGCGATATTGGGGGAATTGAAATACGTCTACCGTACCATTGACCTATGCGCGGTAGAAAGGTTCAGCCAGTACATCCGCTCAGCGCCGTTTGCTGGGGAGTCTTACGTTGATGTCGTGTTCCGCCAAGTCGTAGGCCATACTCTGAGTCAGTCCACGAACCGCCCACTTACTGGCTGCATAGGGGGTCGATCCGTGGGACTTTTGTTGTGGAAGAAGAGACAGTGTTAGCAGAAATCGGGCAAGGAATTGCCATGCAAGCACGCGGCCCCTCACATACCGGTCGGTAGGCTGCCAGAGATGAGGCTCCGATGATGCGTCCTCCTTTACCCTGTTTGATCATCTGACGAGCTGAGCCACCGTTAGACTCGACCGTGCCGGACAAATATACCCGACTTGCCTGCCTCGCGGTAACAAATGAATGTGCCGATGACGTTGACCTAGGCGCGTCAGTGTTGACTCTCTTGTTGAACTCAAGAATCTCCCATACGTTTAAGACGAGACTGAACTCGCCTAAGTCGGTATCCATCATTGACATGGGCATGATGATGCCGGCATTGGCCACCATAACCTGAAATGCAGCCAGAATGAGTCGTTTGACCATAAAGGCCTGTGATGGCTGTGAAAGAGACGAGCTCACCGTGAGATCTCCCATAGCCTTGACAGTCTGTGTCACCATGTCTCGCACTTGATTTTCGTCGGTAATGTCGGCGGCAAAACACAGACATTTTCGACCTGAATTAGGACTTTTTAAACAAAGTTGATGATGGTGTGATTTGAGCCAGACCGACCACTGAGACTGAGCCCCTTACGCACCTTTCTGCTCGACCTGCGACCTGACTTCTTCAAGAAGGGTTGCCTGGTTGTCGAGGTCATTGATCTGCCGCAAAGTTAGAGCGCATACATCCGAGATTTCCTACAACCCTGAGAGAAGCACACCGTAATATCCATGCCATCGTCTGCAAGTCTGAGAGCAATGGCCCTCCCTATTCCTCTCGAAGCTCCAGTGACGATAGCAACAGGCATGGCCACCCAAGTATACGATTGTCTGATGAATCAGCATCGAGCGAAGCAACGCTGGAGAAGGGGACTTTCTACACCATTGCACGCAAAAGGATTTCAGGCCAATACCCACGAGTTGCTACCTCATCGATAAATGGACGGTTGAGGTGTGGTTGTTGCTGAGACTCGCCCATTTAGCCGCGGGCGTGATTGGTTATTGATTGATTCATCGATTCGTTCCATTCTCGTCCCATACTTTAGCCGCGGAGCGAAACCATCAACTAGCACAAACTCGGCAACGGAAAAAGATGGGCAGCGTCTTCAGTGTACCGAGTTGCCACGGGGATCTGGAAATCCCTTGCTATCTGCATACTGTACGAGAAGTGCTTGCATCGGTACCTTTGTCACCTCCGCCACCATCGATCTAGCTATGCCAGTCAATCCTGGAAGGCAGATAGATTGGAGACACACTGGCAACGGTTCTCGGAATATGGATAAATGAAATCTGAAGGATCCCAGAGGTCATGCAGCAGGTATTGCTTCTGACCAGACTCGTTGAAGTTATCTTGCCGTGGCGTGGACCCTGCAGCCTGATTGTCGATTCACCATCGCAACCAATCCATCCATCCATCGCGGAATCATTCATCTTCTGGACTCCTCGATTTTCGCTCTCTCACCAACCAAAGTATGTCGGCCGGTAATCGAACACAGTCCCAACCTGTGGACAAACTAGCTCTTGGCCGCCAGATGGTGAGGAAATTTGTAGGAGACAAACACGTCGATGCAGTCGCGGCAAGCATGGTCAGTCCGATACCGTCACTCTGCCGACACATTCCCTCGTACTACTTATCCAAAATTTCCCACACGCGGAGCGTCATGGCTAACTGGCTCGCCGTCCGTCACTAATGTCTGCAGAAAAGGGACTATTTCTCAGCCGTGAGCGAAGAATTCATCTCCGAGGTCTGCTGGTCCGGATACGCTCGGCCGGGCTTGGAGTTCAAGGAGCGCGCGCTGATGAACATCGCCATGTTGACGGCGTTAGGCAGAGGGCCCGAGTTGCGCATCCACATACGATGCGCCGTCTACAATGGTTTCACGGAGGAAAAGGTTGCTGAGGCATGCCGCCATGCCATGGTGTACTGCGGTGTTCCCGCCGGCCGAGATGCGCTTATCATCGCCAGCGAGGTCTTTCAGGAATTGAGGGAGTCTGGGGATTATCTGCCCAAATCAGACACAGATCCCTAGCGCATGGGTGTGTAGAATAGTGACACTATATCTCTATCAGATGATGTGTACCTACAGCCTGCAATACTCTTCAGCCAAGCACGTCTTCTAGTCGCTGGATAATGTGTCAGTCTTCTCGGTTTCACTGTGTCTGGTTCATCCTGCGGTAGGATCTCAACGAAACAGGTTGCCTTCCAGATCGTCTGTCAGTGTATGGCACAGTCGTCTACTGTAAGCCGGAGGCCAGCGAGGTCTGAGACCACGATGCTACGTATGCAAACATCTGACAGGAACTCAGTACCAAGACTAGATCTCATGCATTTAGATAGGGAGGCGACACCTTAGGGGCTGATGGACATTAATCCCGGTCTTCAGTACTCCTAGAGAAGCCCTGACACCTCAGAAAGTGCTCTATGGGCTGCGACATCACGGTTCAGCCTAATCCATTCACTTTGGTGGAACGTATCTATTCAGAGCGGATATCTCCAATCTGGATGATAATCACAGAGGGTCTCGAAGTCGCCAATGTCGGTGGGCAGTGGTGGTGCAGATCCGTTACGACGGGCTTCAGCAGCGGCATCACGCTTGCGGTTCTCGTTTCTCAACCAAAAATAAAGGATCGCAGTTGAAGAGAAGGCGACGGCGAAGATGCCCAGCAAGATGCCGTTGCCTTTATAGAACTTGGGCGGGGTGTCGAAGACCTGGGTGGCCATGATGATGAAGCTGTTGATGAAGACCTGCTGGATGCCGTAGACGGTACTTCTCTTGGTGTAGCCGCCGTGAATGGTGCTGATCCAGGCTACCGCGATAGGGTTGCCCGGATACGTACCTGCGGCAACGAAACAGGTGCCTACCATAGATACAGTCGGGTTGGGCGAAGCCAAGATGATGATGATGCCGATGAGACAGCTGCCGAGACAGATCGCCATCGCCAGTCCGCGTTGCTGGTAACGGTCCGAGAGCCAGCAGGCCACGGGCATCGACACCACGGCGAAGCTGTAAGGGATGATGGTGTAGAGTTGCGATGTAAGCCGGTCGAACCCAAACGCGTTTATGAAGGTCGGGAGGAAAACGGCAAATGCGGCGGCGCTCAAGCCCACGGCCGAGAGCATCAGAGAGCCTAGGTATGTCTTAGGATCTTTGAACGCAATCCAAATCTGGCGGGGCACCACCTTGGCACCTGCGGTGTTCTGGCCTAGGAGAGCAGTTTGTCAGTTGCTGCAACTGTATGCGCAAAGAAAACACTCTGACAAGAGTCAACACGTACTGGCCCTGGTACGCGCAAGGAGTAGTTCGTTCTCGGAGCGACTGAACAGGAAATGCCCCTTAGCGACCACCTTGTCTGGATAGGGAGGCAAGAAGATGATGATGGCCAGTCCCACGGCGAATGTCGGGACCCCTTCCACGATGAACAACCACTGCCAGCTTCGAAGGCCGTGTGCATTGTGGATGTTCTTCTCGACCCCATAAGCAATCAAACCACCAGCAAAGCTGGCGACACTAGTCGACCAATAGATCAAGCCTGTGGGATCACCGTATGTTAGTTCCTGTCGTGCGTCAGACGAGAGATGACCAGGGCATAGCACTCACAGCCTCTTAGCGCCAGCTCGTCATGCTTGTACCACATGCTAATGTACAAGAACGACAGCGGCACGATGGCCTCTCCGAAGCCCAGAAGTAGACGAAGACCGATGAGATCGGCAAAATTACGCGCCTTGGAGAACAGTGCGGCAACAAGACCAAACATGGCGATGGACCCGCCGAGAACCCAGCGAGGAGCCAGGATCTTCATTAGAAGAGCCGCTGGAGTTTGAAGGACTAGGAAACCGATATCTGGAGAGAAAGAGAGGCAACCGTGTCAGTTCATCTATGATGACCCCGAGCCAGCATGCATGAATAGTGCCGAGTATCGACTCACAAGTCACCATCAGAACTTGGAAGTACTGATGATTGCTCAAATTAAGATCTTTCTGAATACCCATGAGACGAGCATTGCCGATATTGCTTCGATCCTGCATGTCCAAGAGTCAGAATCGAAGAGCGCCGGAGAGGGGAGGATCTCTTCCGTACCAACACCCCCATCATATAGCCAATGCCGAGCAGAGGAAGAATGATCATATCCTGTTTGCGGACGAGTTTTCTCTCGGCCTTTCGATTGATGGTCGGAGTAGCATCCTCAACAAAGACCTCGTCGGTCTTATCGGCCGAATGCTGAGATTCGACAATGGCATTATCTTGCACGTCGATAGGCGATTTGACGCTCGAGTCGACAGCGGCGGCAGCGTTGGTGGCGTTATGCATGTTGATAGACAGAAAGGACAAAAGAACAAGCCAGAAATTGTAGACTCACGTCTATCGAGGGCCAATTGTGCTGGTGACGGAGCGGGAGGAGCGCTAAATCCCTTAATATAGTGTCATGAGTCTGATATATTGGTCAAATCTAGACCAGGCCCTTGTCCTCGTCTCCCCGCGGCCTCCACGAGAAGTCTGAAATCCTGGGGAAGCGAAAATGGGGTTCACAGCGCCGAAAAGCTTCTCTGGCCTTGGTGGCTTCCTCGGATGGTTGTTAAAGAGCCATGGGCGTATTTCCCACTCCCTAACTCCTCATTCGATTTTACCCCCGGTAGAATGCACGAATATACCGATTCCAAAGTTTGTAATGTGGGTGCGCCCCTATAAATTCCGATTGGACGGTAGTTCACATCACGCGTGCTAGCCGAGACCGAGCCATTCATGATGAAACTAGAAGAAGCATAGATTGAGAACCCGCGGGTAAGTCACTTATATGTAAGATTCTCGTGGATGTTAATTGAGGGGTTCGAAGAAGGTTCTCGGCGTCGGCAACAGGAGCAAGTGGGCCTTCCAGCCATAGCCATCAGGAGGAGGATTGTCGAGCTACCTTGAAGACCGATCACGCTAGAAGTATTGAAAGAATTAGATCAAGAGACGAACTTGATCGAGAGATGAGGCGTATTCAACATCTTGTTGCCATCCAGCGTGCATCGCATCAATACCATTGAACCTCTAGCTCTCAGGATGAAAGGCGCCGGCGTCAGTGGCGCCCATGTCGATTGCCATTCTCACACCAAAATTGACCTCGAACCTCTCCTTGGTAAAGCCCCAGCGTGGACTCCACGGAAGAAGATCAGAGTCGTCACGGTGGGCGCAGGATTTTCCGGGCTCATGTTTGCACACAAGCTACAACATCAACATCCCGACGTGGGAGCAATGGTAGACCACCGTATCTTTGAGGCGAGGCATGACGTTGGAGGAACCTGGTTGGTCAACACATACCCAGGCATTCAGTGTGACGTGCCGGCTCATATCTATGTCCGTAGCCAACCATTCTGGCATTCCTCCTTGACAGGACAAGACTGACCAGGGCCTCAGGCATTCCCATTTGATCCCAAGCCGGATTGGAACAACTTCTACGCCTCCGGGGCCGAGATCCAAGCATACATCCGGAGTACCGTCGAGAAATGGGACTTGGCGCGTGACGTGAAGTTCAATCATCGAGTCACCGAGGCCATCTGGCAGGAGGAAACGGGTCAGTGGAAACTGACGGTGGAGAAGAATGGCCAGGAAACGTTGACTGAATACGCCGACGTCCTGGTTTCCGGGCAAGGCGTGCTCAACAAGTGGCGATGGCCCGACATCCCGGGACTGATTGACCGGTTCCAGGGCCACAAGTGTCATTCAGCGGCGTGGGACTCTGGGTACGACTATGCCAACAAGCGCATCGCCGTCATCGGCAACGGCTCCTCGGGCGTCCAGATTGTGCCCAAGCTAGCTCAACTGCCAGGGACGCGGATCACGGCCGTCCAACGAAGTGCCAACTACGTATATATGCCGCTGCCGCCGGCGACGCTGCTGGGTCGAGAGGGCGACACTCGAGCGAACCCACCCTTTACCGACGAGGACAAGAAACGCTTCCGCGAGGACCCGTCCTTCCACCGTGACTACCGCCGGAAGATCATCCACCAGATCAACACCGCATTCAAGATGTATCTCAAAGATTCGGTCGCGAACAAGGCTGCGACCGAGATCGCGCGGCAGCAAATGGCGAGCAAACTCCAGCACGATCCGGACCTGTGCTCCAAGCTGATTCCGTCGTGGCCCTTGGGTTGCAAACGTATCACGCCGGCCGAGGGGTTCCTCGAGTCTCTCTTACGCCCTAACGTCCAGCTAGTTAGTAGCCCCGTCACTGCGGTAACCGAGGACTCGATTATGACCGCCGACGGACAGTCTTTCCAAGTCGATGTGATTGTCTGCGCCACGGGGTTCGACGTCTCGTTACGACCGCAATGGCGCATGATCGGTCGCCACGGCGTCGACCTAGCGCAGGAGTGGGCGGTGGATCCAGAGTCCTATCTCTCTATAGGGGCGCGAGATATGCCCAACTTCTTCATGTTTCTTGGGCCCAACGCTGTCATCGCCCACGGCTCTCTACTAGAGGCCATCAATTGGACCGGCGACTATATCGTGAAGTGGCTTCGAAAGATCGCCACCGAGGATATCAAGGCTGTCACGCCCAAGTCGCGAACAGTGGACAACTTGATCCGGTACGGGGACAGCGTCCATAAATCTTTAGTCTGGTCGGAAGGCTGTTCGAGTTGGTTCAAGCGCAACACGGTGGACGGAAGGGTTACGGCGGCCTTTGCGGGAAGTGCCTTGGTCTTCCGGCAGTTGATCTCGGAGATCCGAGCCGAAGATTTTGATATCGAGTACCACGATGACAACCAGTGGGCCTTTTTGGGCAATGGATTTACCGAGTATGAGCTGAATCCGGCTAACAGTCTGTCATGGTACATTGAAAACTAGGCAGTGGTTTTTGGATACACGCATATAGCCAGACATATATCAATACATGTATATCGGTCTGAGACTAAGCCGCACTAGGCATACCCACCCACATGTCAGTCAAGTTGGAGAAATCTAGATTGAATATATCATCATCCGGCAAATTGAACACGGATCCCATCACGGAGTCCCCGAAGTCGGAGAGACCAACGCCCGACCCCTGACGTGTCTGCGTCTGCATTTCCAAGGGGCGGGCATCGGTCCAGTCTTGTGTCGCGGGTTCGTGAGTTCCGGCTGCATTGGTGTCGCTGCCGGTTAAGACAGGCGTGGCGGCATGTTGCATCTTTCTCGACACCGTCCTCGCTAATCCACCATCCGGTGGAAGGGGTTGCACCTGTCGTCTCTTGAACAGACGACTGACGTGCGACGCCGCAAAGGTCAAGAATCCGATCGCCCATTCAGCTGCGACATTGGTCTCCACGAGCTCTCGGAGAGCCAGTTTGCATTCTTCGAACCGCCGGGCCCCTTCTCGACGACGTTCGTCACTCGCCGATTGCAGATCAAAAACGTGGCTCCAGCTGACGGTCAGGATGCACGAAATGCTCGTTCCCGGTAAGCGGCGCATGAGGTCGGCCCGGTACAAATCCATCACGATCTTGTTGAGATCTGCCGCCGCCGCACGCATCGATCTTTGCGAAGCCCGCATCTGATCATGGCCTGCCCCTAAGCCCATACGATCAGCCAAGGCACGCGGACGGTGCAAGCAGAACTGCGCAACCAGATACATCATCGCCAGCATCGCACGGTGTATGACCACGGCTTCATCGGCGGACGAAGTGATCGTAGGGACGGGATATTGGTGCAGTAGATCGTCCGACACTTGGTCGCGCCACCTCTGTAGGTCTCGTTCGCACATCTCGAGCTTTTCGAGATCGTCCAAGCGCGGGGGCTGCGTGTGGTTGTCGTCCTGTTTCGGATAGAGGATGCCGTTGTGACCGATTGGATTTTCGGCGTAGAATAGATCAACAATCGTGCTCAGGATCCTGCAGATCTTTGTTGACGCGAAAAAGATTGAAGTGAGTTTGAATTTGTGCGGCTCATTCGCATAGACACCACTGTCGGAGCAGGACATATCCTCCAACGTGAGCGGAGCCACGGTGAAGTCGTCAGGTCGAACTCTCGGTGCTCGATTGGTGCCCAGAGAAGTGAAGGCGTCGCGACTCAGACAGCACCACCAGATCCGTCGACGAAGTCTGCGAACTGGCGCCGGCAGGCCTTCGCTATGCGCGTCTCGATGGAGACCAATCGATTTGGCTACGGCCAGCGCCACGCTGCACCAGTAATACCCGTCCTTTTGTTCGGTAGGTGAAACCCACCAGGTGGTAAGCAGAACCAGGGATTGCACAATGGCGATGCGATCTCGCTCGCAGTTAAAGTCATAAAGCAACTGTCCTCAATGAGTCAAGGCAGTGTGGGTCAAGGTGGCACGGATTCAAACCTTAGTCTTAAGGTAGTATGCCCGGCGCATCGCATCTCGAGTCAGGAAACCTGCTCGGCGTACTAGCTTCACGTCTGCCCAGGCTGTAGCAGAGTACATGATAGCCTGCAGGAGCAGCAGGCTGATTTGGCCATGCCGTGCTGGATTTTCGATGCTGGCTTGAAACGAATCTAGGTCGATGAGGGGCAGGAAATAGTGGGCGAGCTCAACATAATTTTTGAGTAAATCATCGCGCAATTCTGGATTGGGAAGTGTCAAAGCACCCCTCTGGCGCAGATAGATCAAATCTTCGACAGCCAAGTCCGATGGCATTGGTTTTACAAATGGTAGACGGTCTTGATCTTGGGCGTCCGGTAGGGTATTCGGCGGGTGAACCGAGACATTCGACCGCGGGACCGTGTCGTCAGGAGATATGGGGGACGTCAGACTCTGCGTCGCGGCCTCATACCAGTCGAAATTGCGGTCGGGTGCAACAGTCTCGTCGATGTCCCACGATTTGTCCCCATCCAAAGTACGGTGGGGATGCTCAGGTTGAATGGCACAGGGCGACCGAGATCCGTTGGCTTCGGCATCGCGAGGGAGGTCGGGTGTGATCTCAGACCACGTGCTTGCAGGGCCATCAGGTGGCTTAGTTGATGAGTTGGAAAGTATGTCAACCATGAGCTGCGAGCTGGCAGACGGCTTTTGAGCCTTGGGTTTGCCGCGTGGCCGGCGGTGTGGCAGGATACATTCGACCTCCTCCACGATGCAGTTGTAACAAGGATGGCCGCTGACGACACTGCATCTCACTTTGCGAAAGCGACAGTGATTACACGCGACGGTGGCTCGATGCCTTCTGACTGAAGATCGATTGATAATCCTCGGGTGTCCCAATCCCGTGGCCGATGTTAACGGCGATTCTGGGATTGGACGCGACTCTCTCGACACGTCGTCGCCCATCTTATGCTTGTTTATCTGTTCGCGAGAAGGACGTTTGTTTACGTCCTGGTCGTGAGGAAGTAGAAACTTTTATCCAAACGCCCTGGAAGTCTTGGTGGCGGGCCCTTTTCTGGGGGAGGTTGAGGGAGGGACTTAGTTTGAGGGGGCCTGCGCCGAGCGCCAACCCAACAACACTTTCCCCCACTCCTTCGTGCCCCCGCCTTCCCTGACTTCAACCTTACAGGCACCTCGTCTCGCCCCATTTCCCCTTCCCCCTTTAGCTTGTGTTGCAAGCAGCGACCTTTTCTTATTAAAATAGCGTTCCAAGCCGCGCCTCGACCACAGATTTTGCCATTGGGACCGCCTGGGATACAGGCAAGAGCTTCGATGAGGGAAAAACTAAAGCGGGCCAATATTCTTTTACTCTTGGTTTCCAAGACTCATTGGTCAGTGCCCAGCCCTTCACCGTTTGTCGTCCTGCCGCATCGTCCGAGGTCCTTGTCGACGCAGGAGGGTTTTCCAGTTGGAAATATCCTTCTCCAATCGGATCAAATCTAGCAGAACAATTAAGGTTAAATGCTTCGATCCTCGGATGAAAGAACATGAGAAGGGTGCCTAGGTACACAAGGACTAGGGACTAGACTTCAGCCGGAAATGATTGGCCCCCTTGCCCGCCTTGACACCATACTTGCTGGAGATTTCGGTCCCGTGGTATATACCTCATACCTGGTCGTCTCTTATGTTTGACCTACTTAGGTTAGCGTGATACTGCTTTAAGTTAGTATATGTCTAATATCAAAAGAACAATAAAGCACGTGACTAGAGCTTTTTTTGCTTAGTAATATTAAGAGCGTTAACACTAGCTACGCAAGGTTATCTTAAGGTAGTATAGCACAGCAAGACTATACTATATTAGACAGTATACATACATGAGCCCTTGGACTCTCGAGCATAGACAATCAATTATCCACCAAACCACTTTCCCTGCCACGAATCCCATCAGTTTCTCTGTACAGCCTCCAGATTGGAGGGCTGGGGATGGCAAGGAGAGTGTTTCGACAACGTGGTCGGAAAGCTTTGACAAGGGTTCCCTTTGCAATACTTCTGTGCCCCGTAAGGTAGGGCAGCTTTCCAATCAAGTCTGATCAGGTCATGGTCCAATTACGAGACTGATAAACAATCTACTGATTTGCCACACCAAGGGGAACCCCTCCACGAGCAAGGCACAATAGTCATGGCGACCCGAGAGCCTGTTGCGCATCGAGCGCAGGCTTAAAGTCTCTAACAAAATCCCATAACATCTTGCTTTTCCAACCTTTCTTCTTCCATTCATTAGCCTTAAGCGGGAAGAGGTCTGCATAGTGTTCGACTGCCTTAGAATGGGCATAGATGAACAAGACGTTTTCATCGGCGTCGGCTTCCTGCGCCTTGGTGATCGTTTTCATCGTCTCCTCCGCATCGAAACAAAAGCTTGGATTTGGGATGAAGAAGGGCTCGTCGCCTGCGCGGGAGCGATTCTGGTTGAGTCGCTCGAGTGCCGAACCGGGGCAGACCCACGGCGCCATTTGATCCGGAAGCTCGACGTGGATCTCTTTGGGTAGATGAATGTGTTTGGATGGACGGATCTCACCGCCGTGGTGACAGAGGTCGCCGCCGCAGAAGATGAAGGTATCTGGGTTTGAGGTCGTCCGTACCAACCCGGCGAGGTGGCCAACCGCGTGACCTGGCGCGTCGAGAAGATAGAACGACCCATCTCCGAAAAAGTCCAACGCCCTGAAGTGCCCAATTTTGATTCCAGGATCATCATCGAAATGAATTTCTCTCGTTGTCCGGCCTCTGTTGTCAGAAACCACTGTCAGTCTGGTGAAGGGTCCACTCAGCTAAGAAAGGGGCAAACTGACGCAAAATCGGATTCTCGTACAGGCGCATCTCCGATAGCCGGGTACCCTGGATAGAACTTCTCCTTGAAACCAGGGCCGACAACCAGCTCTGTTGTTCCAGGGAAGGTCGAAGGATCTCCAATATGGTCGAAATGCCAATGACTAAGATGATGCGGTTAGTACAGAACCAGCAGAGGCCATGAGGTCTGAAGGGACTCGATACTAACCTCCAAATAATGGAATTGATCGAAGCAGGGTCGATCTGGCTCTCCCTAAGAATGTCCGCCACATGTTTCTCGGAGCGAATTTCCCAGGCCGGATTTCTCAGCTGCTCTTGATTGACTGGCGAAAAGTCGAGAAAGTTTGGTGGCACCCCTAGGTCGAACAAGGCCTTCTTGCCCGTCGGGCTCTCAATGAGGAAAGCCCAGGTTGGGATGTCGGGCATATAATCCATACCGCTTAGAGGGGGTTCCATCAACAAGCTGACCGGTAGCCTGATGATCCTCGAGGTGCAGTCGATGATGCGGACGTCGGCCACTGCACCAGGTGGTACGTTGAAGAGGTCTAGTGCGCTCAAGGCCATTTTGTAAGTCAACTTGTGTATGGTAGTTGTGTAACGAGTGACAAGGCTGTACTCAGTTACAAATTTCCAAAGACGAAGTGCTTCTCGAGTATAGTCTCTATATTCAAACTGGAACAGAGTCGAACCAGCCACTATTGTACCGCCTACATCCAACTTCGTCTCATATAGCGCCCCGCAAATCAGTGACCTCGTAGCTCCATAAAATGCATCAGAAAATCACGAAGGATACAGAGGACCGATGCCGAGACTTCGATACCGGAATGTTGCTTGGTTAGCAATGATCGATACCTAGGTAAAGCGATGGCGCCGGCCTGTGGGACAAGTCAAACTGAAAATGTACCACAACTCTTCCGTGGCTAAAGTGCTTAAACTCCTAGGATCTCCACGAGTCGCTCAACGGCGTCAGATTTGGCGAACTTGGACTTACTTTGAGATCGGAATCTAATTATGGACCGGAAACGCTCTGCCTTGGGAAATTCCACCTGCGATTATGCGGAAAGCTAGAACATTGAAAAGCCTGTCCTGTCCAACGATGCAAGGACGGGGGAACGATCATCGACTTGAGATCCCCTTTAGGGCGGCCTGTGGCTCGAATGTTGTTGCAAACTGTCTACCGACTGACGTCGCGAACCGGGTTCGATGGTCTGGAATCTTTCCAAGAACCAGTTCCCACGGCCAGCAAGCATGATATACTCATCAAGGTGTGCAGTGTGGCCTTGAACTTCCGAGACATTGCCATTGCCACCGGCACTTATCCGGTCCCGGTCAAGGACAATGTAGTTCCTTGCTCGGACATGGCAGGTGAGGTTGTGCAAGTGGGTGACGAGGTGAAGGGTTTCGCTGTGGGTGACTTGGTTATCGCACCTGTCAGCCTAGATACGTTGTACGGCCCAGTCAAGGAGCAGGCCGGTAGCCTCGGTGGCTCTGAGGATGGGGTACTCCGACAGTATCTCACGCTGCAGGGAAACACTGCCATCAAACTACCGAAGTCTAATCACAGCCTTGATGAATGGGCGGCCACAGTGACGGCCGTGTATACGGTATGGAATGCCTTTTACGGCGCTATGCCGCTCAAGCCTGGGGACACAGTTCTGGCTCTGGGTATGTGGATGATGATATACCTGTAATTAAGAAATCCTACTGACGCCCAACGATAGGAACCGGAGGGGTCTCCATTGTTGCTGTCATCCTTGCCAAAGCCGCCGGGGCGACGACCATCATCACCTCTTCCAGTGACGAGAAACTGGGGCAAGTCAAGTTGCAGTACGGAGTCGACCACACCATCAACTACAAGACATACCCGAAATGGGCCGAAGAGGTTATGAAAATCACAGGTGGCCGAGGCGTAGATCAGGTTATCGAGGTCGGTGGGGTGGGCACCATTGAACAGAGCATCGCGTCGGTGGCAAACGGCGGCACCATCTCCGTCATTGGATTCCTGGCTTCACTCCCCGATGACAAGATGCCCAATGTCACGTTACAGACCCTCCTCAAGGGCGCCAACCTTCGTGGCGTCTTGGGAGGTTCGAAGCAACAACTCGAGGAGGCAGTCCGTTTCATCGCCGCGCGGAACTTACCCATGCCCGTCACAAAGACATTTCCATTCACCAAAGAGGGTATTCTCTCCGCTTTCCAGTACGTTGCTTCAGGTCAACATATGGGAAAGGTATGCATCAGCTTGGGCTGAGAAAATCACGAGCATGTATCCGGTGAGATCGACAAATCCAGTGCAGCAGACTGCGGCAGTCAGGTAACCCGGTTTCAACAAGTGCAGAGAAGATCAGGAGATGGCCTAATTAGTCTCGGAGCTTCGGCGAATGTTCGAAGACTGTTGTTGAATAGCTCACACCTGAACGCTGCGGATGCCAATGCTCTCATGCATCCGTACCTAAATTCCTACATCCAGAACTTCCTTCCTCAAGACGAAAAAAAATCCCTCCGGGCGGGATGGGACTCATACGATAATACAGACCTACAAAGCTCTCAGCACCCGACCTCCACAAGGCCCCACATCCCAGAAACACACGACCTGAGCCCAGGCAGCAGCGCATAGAGAGATTCCAACCTAGTCATCTAACTCTGCAGCGTTGTCAGGATTCCAATCTCATGAGATAAAACCTCTGGAGGTCGTATTTGGGAGACTTGGTAGACAAGAAGAAGTCGAGGGTCGGACACCAGTAAAGGGTGGAGAATTGGAAATGGAGACTAGCTTCCGGAATCGAATTGATGCTATCGATGCTCTCGATGCTATTACTATTGCTACTGCTATTTCGTGTATGGGTTGATCTGGAAGCGAATGACATTGCGCCCCAATTGCTGCAAGACTGTCCATCACAAAGGAATGACCGTGGCCTTGCTCACGACAGAAAACTCCGTCCACTCTTCGTCGACCTTAAGTTTTACTCTTCGCATGACCAGGGGCATCAACCCGAGGCATACCACACGCTCCTTGGATTCGTCGTCGTCGTCGTCGGCACCGGAACCAGGAGCTCTTCGCATTCGATTTTCCTGGCGCTCATAGGGTTGCAAGAATCGAGGCCAGGTGATCAAGTAGTCTTCATTCAGCTGCTTCGACATAACGATTTGGAATTCCAATCCCTCTTTGAATATCTTGGCGAGACTTCGACGCAACGTCGCCCGTTCCAAAGACTCTTTCAAGCGCGGTGAGGGGTCGCTGGTCTGGGGCGGCTCCTGGTCTGATTCGTCCATCTGTAGACGATAGACATTACGGTCTTCCAAGCGTCTTATTTCTCCAGGGTCGTTAGGGATGACCATGTCGATATATGCAAGCATCATAGATGCCATGTGGTGCGCTTCTGAGTCGATGGTGCGAATCACTTTTCTGCTCAAATGCTCGTCCCATAGTCGTTGCCATACATGGGCTTGGACTTCAGGCGTAAATGCTGCAGAGAAGACTGTTAGCTTCACGCGTTAATTCTAACGCCCAGTAGGAAAGACTGACTCTGTTTGATGACAGTATTGACGGTTCCTCCACCAAGCTCGCGGAAGTAAATTCCCGGCTTCTCTCGATGAAAAAAACACCAATGCACCACAGCGATGCCGACAAACGACTTGAGAAACTCGCACAGTCTGATTTTGCTTTGCTGGAAAGCGAGGAGCTTCTCAGAGCTGCGACCTGCGCCCCTAAAGCTAGATAATCCGAGTATGTCTGCAAAAAGAGCGCGGCATTCGTCAGGATATAGAAGTCTTGTGTCAACGGTCATCAGTTGCATATCCGGCATATCCAACGCTGCCATATATATGGTGATGGCAGAGGCGATTTCGTGCTCAAGAGATTCCATAGCCGACACTATGACTTTGGTCGGAAGTGTATCCCCGAGGTTGCGATAGAAAAACTGGTCAAGGAGGCTTGGCTCGAACAACGGACCCTCGCTTTCTCCATTGTCCACACCATCCCTCATATTTACGGGAATTGTGCGTTCTGGTCCACTTCTCGGCGATTCTTCCTGTTGGGTCGGTGGCAAATCATTGGTGGGCATGTTAGGAGTCGCATCCTTCCCGAATGTCGTTGGTCCGATAGCCCTGTGGCACCCAAGGTGGCAGAGAATGATCAGCATGTGCCCAGCGTACAACTTGGAAATAGAGCTTGAGGTGAGGACAGTGGTCCTTGAAATTACCCAGGAATACTAACCTCGAACTTTGGTCGGGACGAGAAGAACCATCGACTTGAGACTCTGACTCCTTTTCCAAACCATTCGAAGGGCTCTTTCGCGTCCTTCCCTCTTGTCGCTGGCCCTTGCCCTCAGATCGATTCTCGGAGCCATTATCCGTTCGACGACGTTTATCAGCCTGGGTGGGCTCTTCTGTGTCACTTGCCCCGGATGCATTGGTCGCTCTGCTTGAGCTTTGAACGCTTTTTCCTCTCAAAGATGCAATCTCTTCCTTTGTGTACGCTCGAGCGACAGGCTTGCGGCTAAGCTTGTCCCAGTCGAGCACGAAGGTGCCGTTTCTGTAGAAGTCCTCCAACGCCGATGATTGGAAATCGTCGCGTCTGTCTTTCCAAAGATAATTGATCCTTTGTTCGACTTGGGGTCGTGAGATCCCTTTGGAGAACGATGCGTTGTCTCGAAACCTCTTCTGCAGGCTTGTCGTCAGGTCTGCGATGGCTGAATCATAGTTTTGGATCAATGCGCTTTGAGACCCCTTGTGATCGTCAATCCATTCGAGGAGCGCTCGCTGAGCGAGAGGCGGCCAATTGATGGACCTCGTCATTTTGGATATTCGGAGAGACGAGGATTCTGCAGATGTGCGAGAATAGATAAGAACAGGGCCGGGGTTCAGGATGGCTGAGATATATATCTCAAAATGTGAGTGGCATCCATTTCATTGTTTGTTTGTGGTACCCTGCCACATTCCAGGCACATTTGTCTTTGGCATGCCGGCTCAATGCTTTGGTATGTCGGCCAAATGCTTGGTAGATTACCCGAGAGCAAACTTTCCTTCAGCCTTTATCTTTGTTTTGGGGATTACCGTCCGCCACTTTGTCTCGGAAGGCATGGAAGCAGTGAAATGTTCAGGAGCTGAGGCGATTGAATTAGTGGCTGCTGGGTAAGCCACAGGCTGTTCCAACATCGTAGGAAACAGAGAGGCCGATGTGGTGAGTCCAGCCGCCAGACGCGCCGTTGCGAAAAATGAATACCAAACGTGAAGCCACTGCCCTGCCCAATTCACCTCTTCTACTGCGGCGATATCTGCCTCCATTAGTAGGAACACAGAATTGCGGAGAGCCAAGCTTGACAGGTATTGTTTGCTGTTAGATGTCAAGAGCTCAAGCTATACGCATAGCAAATGCTCTTCTCATCTCCACAAAGGAAGCCAAGTCTTTGATGGCAAACATCTAACAAGATCAACATAAACAAGTTAAAGGTACCACTTACTCTCAACCGGGTGTGGCCAAACGCTCTACCTCTTCAGTGTTACAAATTCGCCTCTTTCCCACGGAAACTGCAGTGCCTATTCTGTGACTTCCTTCATTTGCTTTCCACTGGCATTCAAACAGAATGGCTGCCACAGCTCGCCGACAGGGTTCGAATCCCTCCAACGAGCCAGAGCTTTTTGAAACGTTGCGACAGATGATCGACAAGTATCCCTGGGGCCTTGAGTCAGGCATGACGTTTCTCATCGGAGTAGACTTTGGGACCATCCATTCCACCGCGGTGGTGCGTCTGGCCCAGAGGCCACAGGAATTCATACGAGGCAACGTCCCTGGCGACAACGGAAATATATTTGTGGGCAGGCGACAGCAGCTCTCCTACCGTATTCCCTCCAAGGTAGCCATCGCAGCCCAGTACCCTGAAGCACTTGGGCTGCCGGACCGATGTGCTATGTTATTTGGCCACTCCGTCGATCAGGCTCTCGAAGAACGCACAGTCAGCGATGAAGATGTGGTCGATCTGTTGAAGTTGTTCCTGTTCCCCGAATATACCGCTGATGATAACGGAGCTGTCGGCCAGCTCATGAGGCAAACCCGTGTGCAGCACGATGCCTTGGTCAACAAAATCGGGAACAGACATGAGTACAAGGTCTTGTACAAGGAAAAGTTGCAGGATCGCGAATGGGGTTCAGGAGAAGTCAAAAAGATGGAAGATGTCGTCGTCGCTTACTTGAAATTCATTCTGCACAACACTCTGTTGGAGATTGCTCACGAGATGGGCGTTGCGGCCAAGGAGAATGACGGGACATTCGTGAAACTTCGTCAGATTTTTGAACAAGAGTCGCATGTGGCAGTATCTGTGCCCACGATGTGGTCACGGACAACCCGAGACAATTTCTTGAAGCTCTTGCATGGCGCCGGTTTCCCAAGTTCAACTGCACTCGTTCCCGAAGCAGTGTCGGCAGCGGTAGGCCACTTCAACCGTACCTCGAACTTGAGGGACGACAAACGCGAGCCGGTCAACATGATCCTCGTGGATATTGGTGTAAGAGCCCCCGATCGAACAGCCAGATTGGCAGATGTTTCCAGACTTGTTTTTACCGAAGGGAGTCGATGGAGAGCTAACGAGAAAGTAGGGTGCCACTTTTGATGTGGCTGGAGTCAGAAAATACTTTCAGAGTGGATCGGCGCGATTTGGAGAGATCGTGAAACAGAAGGGCTCTTTCCATGGCTCGATCAGACTCAACCAGCTTATGGTCAGGCACGTCGCCCAAATCTTTGGAAGAAGCCGCTTGAGGTCTGTCCTCGACAGCCTAGGCTGGACAGCAGAAGAATGGTCCCAGAATATCAAAGACGGCTTCGAAATCACAAAGAGATCATTCGACAACACCGAGGACACATACGTCATCGGACTTCCAGGTTTAGCTCAAGCACAAGATATGGGCGGTGCCGTGGGCGGTGCCGTGGGCGGTGCCGTGGGTAGTGCTGCGCTTCAAGAATGCGAACTCAGACCTGATGGGCTCGTCGTCGGCAGAGAAGTGGTAAAAGCAGTCTTTGACAAGTGGCTGGTCGAAATCATCAAGATTATCCGACAATCTCAGGACGAGTTCGAGAACAAATACCCGAATGCCCTCGCTCCTCTTCTCACACTGTGCGGGTGGGGATCTCTACCACCGTATGTTTTGCAGAAATGCAATGAAGAGTTCCGTGGCAACAATGTCACTCTCATCGAAAAAAAGAAGGTCCCTCTCATTGCCCAGGGAAATGTCGTGACCTTGCTTCGCGCAGACTTGTTCTTTGATGTACCAGCCCGGTACAGCTACGGCATAAGAATTGACATGCTATGGGAAGACGTCGATGTGGAGCATCAAACAAATCAAGAGTTAGTCGATGCGCAGACGGAGGATGGGTACTTCCTTCCCGACCGCGCTCTATGGGTGGTGAGAAAGGGTGAAAGTCTCATCGGTCCGAAAGGGCTGTTTTTTAAGGAGGGTCACACACGCGTGACAGCGAGAAGCATCCGCCGGACATTTCCTTTCCTCTGGGAGATTGATGTTCTTAGCAGCAGCCATGTTGAGGTGCACGGCAGCGACAAATATGGGGCTGTCTCAAGAGCAATAGAGGCCGGTAGAATTAGGGTTGTTAAGCGGGACTCTATGGCCATCGACAAGAAAAGTTGCAAGATCAAACCTCACCCAGCCTGCATGCGTTTCAATGATCCGGCCTACATCGAATTCGACTTTCGGATGAGAGTGGACTTCAACACCATTTGCCCAAAGGTGATCATCTCCATCCCTGCAGAGGGAGGAGAGTTCAAAGAGCCCCTAGATGAGAACTGGACAGAAGAGTCAGAAGATTGTCACCTTGTGGGGATCGAATTAGGGCTTCTCCATGATCACACGGCGTTTCAAGGCAATAAAGATGCCAAGCTTGATGCAAATCCAGACATGGACGATGAGGATGAGGAATCTGGGACAGAGAATGATTGATGGCTGGAGGATCCAGGGAGCAGCAAGTGCAATATTGGGTGGGCAAAGTGGAGAGGACGACAGACGGAACACACCAGGCAGGAATTCGGGTGAGCCGACTTCGAAAACGGTCTTAGGAGAAGAGGGTGCGACCGCAACAAAGTAGAAGTGATCAAATATGAGCTGTCTCGGTATCTTCAAACACAAGGACTTCCTGTCTGCGGCTTGCTCCTATACTTGAATTTGGAAGAAGCCGAGAGCCAAGAGCCATTGCATATTCGATGGATACCCAGCGACCTGAAAAGGCACCGAACGGAGTACTGTGTATTGATTTTGATACAAATGCAGATGGTGTGCGGCGACATCTGATATCCCCAATCAGGAAAAAAGACGTATGCTATATTATTGCCGGCCGGCCTTTTGGCGTGTAGATTTGCTCCCACTGTAGCTGAATAATGTGACTTTGCTCACTAAACGGAACTATCCCTCCTTCATCAGACACGTCTGGCTGGGACGAGATAACGCATCTCTTCTTCAGTGTAACACGATTCCAAGGAAGGCCATTCTTGTCCTATTCATTCCATTCTTCCCTCATCGGCCAGCATACAACCAACAGGATTTTCGCCCACACTTGCGATGGGGCGAAGAAACAAAGGCGTAAAACGTCGCTCGTGCCAAGGATCAGCAAAGCACAACAACATGCGTCCAGAGCGTGACACGCAGGTAGATTACATCTCCCACAGATACACCATGCGGCGACCGTGCCCACTTGAGGCCGAGAAGCCAGTATTTCATCTCCTTTTACATCTTGGTGGATCAGATCTGGAATCGTTTGTACCCTTCCACCAGTCCGTCCGCTCTCTTGCTAATTGCTGCCCACGCTGGGACATAATGCATCACCTCATCAAATGCAGGTATTACACCATTCATGTTCACGTCGCTCCATAGACATACCACTCGGCCAGACAACGTGCTGTTAGCGATTGAAATCGTATGAGCATTAGGATCCTCGGGGTCGCTTGATCTCTTAGAACTGGCAGCCGGAATATCCCAATTGACGTCCACGGTCCAAGCTCTTGCCCACGTGCGGCTCCATAGTCTGATCTCCTGACTGCCACCATCGGGCACCGGGGGAAATCGCGTGTCCCTCGGCGCCTGCCCGGCGACATGGAAGCTCGTAATATTGGCTGTCTCAAAGACAAGTTTGCAGGCACGGGTGTTCTTCCCGAAGAGCACGAAGCGGGCTTTGTATTCGCTATCACTATAATTCAAGCGAGTGAGGTTGAAAGTGAGCCAGCTGTCGTACTGTTTTCTAGGAGGGACAGAGATAGAGGAAGAGTGGGCAACGGTCGGCGGGATACCGGCCCACGAACAGGTTTGCATGTTGCCGGAAACTGAAGGGCTTGCAGGTGTGCAGATGATGTCCTGCCCGGCGGAACTGGGTATAAAGTCGACTGCATGGCGGGTGTACGGTGATGCGCCGGTCAAAAAGACGGTGTTGTTCCCTCCCTCAAGGTCCACTTGCTGCTGGAAAAAAAGCTTCAACCTGTTGTCCATGGAGAAAGGGAATGCAGTAAGGTTGTAAACCATGGTGCCGATACAGACGAGCAGAAGGAAGACAGGTATCTGCCAAGTGAACCGGTGCAGGATGGGCACAAGTGGGGAGAAGAGAAGTATTGTGCAGGCAGCCACCATGATGTACAACAGAAACATAGAACTTCCGTCCTGTCCTGTCTGGTGCAGACCTTCAGTCAGTAATAGGCCAATCTGACCGACGACGACGACATTAATGGGGATAAGGACGAGCATCTGCAACAGCCACAACCACGACCATTGGGATTTGCTCCAATTTGGTTCTTCGACGGCGTCAGCTTTATCCTCGCTGCCTTTTCTGTCAGGGTCCGGTTCTTCTCTCTCTTGACGGTATCCCCTCCTTAGGAGACTTGACCTCTCCGTAGGCTCATCATCATTGGAATCGGCATGGTCCTCAACTTCTTCGTGTTGAGCTCCCAAAGCGGCATTCTGGTGAGATGGGTCGTCTTCACCAATGAAACCCTGGCAATACACCGACTTCCTGGGCAGGGAAAACAACTCTAGGTAGGCCAACCACGTGGCCAGCCACACGAGAGCGGCGTAAACAAGAACAAAGTATAAACCGACAAGGTGTAGATGTTCTTCAGACACCGTTGCAACGACAAGGAGCACCCACCATGCTCCCCACATCCATGAGAACCCGTAGACACGGGTAAGTGAAGAGGGCCGTGTATAGTCCGCCGCTCGACAGAAGAACCACGCAACAAAGACGAAGGAGCTAATCATCATGGCCCACACGGCCCATTCACTGCTGTGGGCAATATACTGATTTTCTTTGAAAATCAGGTATGCCAGAGCAATTGGGACCGCACACGCTACAAGCAAGATGAGTGGGAAACGGAAAAAGCCACGCCATCCATAGAGCTTGATCTTCTCGTCTCCATTCGCGTGGTGAAGGGGTCGTGACCCCGAGAAAAGATAAAACTTGTCGACTCGGTATAGCAGGGCAACAGTGAGGAGAAGTATCACAGGTCCAACAACAAGCAGTGTGACAGATAGAGCGAAAAAAGTGTGCGCTTTCAAGACGGCAAATGTGCGGCCGAAGACATCGAACCAGAGTGACGGACTCCCTGGATTGTTCAGCGGGTCCAAATTTGTCGTCAGCGAGGCCGATGTCAAAGCTTCCGTTGTAGCCACTGCTGCGGAGAGCATGTGCCAAAGAGAACCTTTTCCTGTGTGCCGTGAATCGTCTTGATCAGTATGGTATCTCGCTCGCGGTCCAATGAAAGCAACATCCAACCCACGATAACCCAGCTTGCCATTGAATACGACATAATCCGTCTGACTCCTGACCAGTCCTCGATTGAAGCCATCCGCTGAGGTGGACGAGCCAAAGGGGTACTTGGAGTGAGCGTAGGCTTTTGTGACTGCATCGTCGGTGCTTCGAAACAGAGCAGCTCTGCCCCCGGCACCAGCTCCCTCTAGATTTAGGAATGAGCTCACAATCATGGACATGGGATGTTGGCTGAAAACATTCGCTCCATTCAAAAAGTCTTCTTCGCCATTGTTCAAGAGGAGGACCACTCCGTTTTTTGGCTTGCTCTTAGGTGTCGTAAAGTATCTGAGGAGCTGCAAAACACAGACAACTCCGACGCCGTCATCTGTAGAGCCGAAACCAGTTGATACACTATCATAGTGTGCATTCACGAGGACTGCGTTCCGACTTGATGGTTTTCCGTCCGAGTCAAGCCACCATTTTGTTTCATCATCCTCTTTTCCCGGGATGTACACGATAAGGTTGGTCCCTTCGAAGTAGACAGACACGCCGGGTCCAGAGACTACTCCGCCCGAAGAAAAGGTAAGATTGGAGGTATTGTCTTCGAAAATATAGGGGGAAGCGTCGTTCTCTTTTGCTATGGAATTGATCCGTTCGAGGAGCCACTCGTGGACTTGGTCGTTGCGACGGCTGTTGTAAGGACGGTAGGACGCAGTCAGAAGCTGTAGGTCCAGCCAGGCTTCCGTGAGATTAAGGCCGCGAATAGGAGTTGGCGAAGCTGGAGGAGAAGGGACAGTCGTATGGACGATGAGGAGAGCAACAATAATAACGAGGTAAACAGCGGACGTGATGACGGTGACGGGCCAGCGAGTGAAGGCGAAAGGATTGGAGAGCCTCGCCATGGCAGAGGGACGCAACTCAAGCGTCAAGGCATTAGGGGAGAGTCAAGGAAGCATTTATGAAGTGTGGGAGTGAGCAGGTAGGCAAATGACTCGAAGATCACTGAGGGTCAACGTAGAATGAGAAACCTTGAGATTCTTGCTGCTCCCCCGCGCCATTACGCAGTGACAAGCTCTGCACATGCACATCATTCTCGCATGTGCAGCTGCAGCACCCAATAGGAGACTGTCCGAGCGCCGAGCCACCTTGCCATATCCGGTACTTCTTGGCGTCAAATTTAGTGCTGTATACTCCACCCTTTTGATACAGCGGAGCACTCACCGGCCTCATGTCGCTTCTTCTCGTCAGTGTCTCTACTTGCACTTCCACTGTTTGTCAATCCATCGCCGTCAACACAGGCTCAGCTGGCTGATCTATATTTTCACCATGATTTTCGCGGCACTCCAGCATTGGGTCTGCATGATCTCAAGAGCCGTTCGACCCTTTTCAAGTGTGTTCTATTATGGCAGTCGCTCTGCTCAGTGTTCTATGCCGATGTATACGGGTCTTGGATTGCCGATAGCTTAATTGGAGAAGGAGCACAATACACTGGATTTTGAAATCTAGTGATCAACAACAATCCGATTATGTATCAGACGCAGGAGCAGACCCTTAGAGAGACAAAGACATTGTGCTTCAAGGGACCTTCGTTATCTCGATGCAAGGTAGCTGAAGGCGATATAATTATGGGTATATAACAGAACCCACTCAAAATATCGACCTACCATCAGAAGTTGGTTGTCTTTCTTCCCGCATGTCCCCACTCTAGACATGGATCATGTCCTCCATCTCGATTACTCTCAGGCTCCGACCCACCAATCTCCAACAGTTGCCAGACCCGGTAGCCTTTAGTAGTCCACGATTTCCGACTGCATCCTCTCGACCGCCTCCTCAAGATGCTTTGCGGGAACAAGCACATCGCGTAGCTCTCAGCCTACAGGTGGACCTGAAGAAGCGAACGAAGCTGCCGAGCTAATTGCTGTGAAGAATTTCTCCCAAGTCTGCGAGGAGAACTGTGTTCTGCCCATATGGCGTAGGTAGTCAATGAGAAGATCACCATTGCTTACTCTTGTTTCGAAGTACTTAGGGTCACATGCGGCGTCGACTGTTTTATCGTCCGTGAAGATATCAACCTGTCGTGAGTGAGGAGCTTGGCGTCGCAGGTCAGTACAGTATTTGCATTCGCATGTCTTTGTTCGAGAAGCGGGAAGAGTCTGAATACTGATGGCGAGGCGAGTATGGCTATGTGCTGCCTCGAGGAGGAATAAGGTGGTTCGAGCAGAGACTCCAACTCTACGCTCCTCGCCTTGTTTCGCAGCCCGAAGAGAAACTTGATCCAAGATGGAAACCGATACACTCTGCAGATGAGGAAGACTAGGTCATGAAACATGACAGAACCCAAGAATGAACGGAGTCAACGGACCTGGGCACAACGACATCGACAGGACGACACCGCTTTGTGTGAAACCGTCACCAACCATTGCAAAATCCCTCGCGCGGTGCTTGTGGTCGAAGATAGAAACATGTCTCTGATCTGCAACACGGGCAGGGTCAAATATAGAAGCACATCTTCTTTTGCTTTTGCAGTGAGGGTATAGACGGAATGCGCGAGCGTCACAAGCACTGTGGCTTCCGGCTTCGGCCTTGTGGACTGGTCCTTGACTGGCGGAGGTCCGGAGCTGGAATCCATTGATGCATGATGTGTCGTGTGTGGTATGAAAGAGCCGTCTAGGTATCTGTGAAGCGAGGAGCCCGTCTCACGGGAGCCTTGCCGCGCAGCATGATACCTCGGTTGAGCGTCCCGAAATGGAGCGAGGACGTGAGCTTGGCAACGTCGTTATGTTCTATCGGAGGCGCTCCCGAGTATGCAAGCCGCGTTCCGAAGTATAGGTGGCACGGATCAATTCGACGGCTTGGACAGCTCGTGCCTTGAAGACTCCGCCTCAAACCCACGGAGTCCGTTTCAGTGATAGTCGCAACTCAGGCTGCCTATCATTGCATCCAGCATAGCAAGCAGACGACATTAGGAAAACCACATGCTGCAGGCACGCTTGTGCTCCCAAAATAGCTCGGCCTGAATGCTGAAGAAAGCAATCCACAAACCTCTAGCGCCACCTGGAGTACATCCTTGCCATGGATCCCGGCATTCAGCCGAAGCAAAGGAGCGGCACACGCCCTGCGCAGCCTTGCTCCCACAGTCGCGCGGAATGGAGAGGCGAGCATGGAGATCGTTCCCTAAAGGTGGAATGTCTGGGGGAAATCGATAGAATTGGGAACATCTCCCGCGCTCTGCAGTTCAATTTGCGGTCAGCGTTGTCATTGTTCGATCCACAGCAATGTGTGCTCAATCCGGAATTTGAGCACTGGAGCAAGTCCGTGACTGCCACGTATGTCGCGAGCGAAAGGATTCAGACGATATTCAGAGGGTTGTCCTGTTGCTGGGACCCAACCAGGCATCGAAGTGTCTGTAATATGTCCTCGATTAATATTGCTGCTTTCACGAAGGCACGACAACATAGCAGCCGAAGCAGAACATTGACAGCCCATGCGTGAGTGGGGTGGGCCGATGGACCAATCTGACAAGATGCTATATATACCTACAGGGTATGGCGGCAAATGGATGGGCAGTTTTGCATGGCGCTGGGAATGACTGTGCTGCTCGATGCGCTCTGTCATCACTGAATAGTAATGGATGGCAGGAATGGCCACTCGCTGAATGGCCGTGGCCAAGTTGCAGCGAGCAATAGACGTCCTCAAGAAGTAGGTACCTACCTTAGGTAGTGATCAGGGAAGAGGGGCACCCAAGGGGTTAGGGGGGTTGAGGGAAGAAGGGCAGAAGGAGCGGAAGGGTGAGAGAAGCCCGGAGAAATTCTAGTGTCGGGCGGGAAATCCCCGAACCTCCGACATGCCGATGGTCTCTAGCGAGCTAGTACCTACTAGGTATGGGTGCCTATGGTCCGCACACAGCGAGCGCAGTTTTCCCTGCGTCTGTCTGCCTTGATGGACCATGGCCTCGTCTCTACCAATCCATCTCCCCGTCTCTCCATCCAATCCATCCATGCATCAAGCATCGACCATCGAGCTTCAAGCCTCAAGCCTTGGCATCCGTAAAACACTTTGCGTTTAGCCTCCTCCCCCTTCAGCTCTCCCCCTTATCAGATCATAGACCAGGTTCTCTGTTGCCACTCGAATTCGTCCGTACGGCCACCAGGCATCAGTCCACTCACCAAGCTGCTCTCAAGCGGAGACCAAACGTTGATGCATCCTAGCCTATGGCTTCCATCTGGCTCACCCAACCGCGCGTCTCCGTCAAGCCTTATTCCGTCTTCGGTAGCTGAGGACCACCCTCTAGGGTGATCTGAAGCTCTTCACCTTAACAGTCTTGCTTCAAATCCACGCAAAATGGAAAGTCAGTGCGATACGCGTCATTCCCTGACCACTCTGCTTCGTCCTTGCCCGGTCCTGTCTCCTCCAACGAGCCTTGGTCGGAGTCTTGGGGTTGTGAACCACCGATGGAAAGAAAGGAAAAAGTATAAAGGTAGTTGTGAGAAGTTGTCACTCGTGCACATGCTCTTCAGGCATTCGACCCGACTGTGACTCCCAAGTGAAAACCTCGTGGCACATTCTATTCTCCTGCTTCCTCGTATTCGTGTCCAAGACTTACTCAGATCTCTATCTCATCAACAACAATCCCTCAAGAACAAAGCCAACAGAAACATGGCCCTACACATGCCAACACTCTGGGCGCCCAATCTCTTCTATGTGGCCTCTTCCATCCTGATTGGCTCCACCATCGTGACATATCTCCTGAAATTCATCAAATTCGACCTGAAGCCCTTTCTCTCCACGAAGCCTGGCAAAGCCCTCGAGGCCACCGTCCAAACAGCCTTGGAACGCTTCCTCAACATCCTGTCCGTCTCGGACCCTCTCAGTCCCCCCTCGAGCCCAGCCACCATGGCTTCGCGAGGCTACTTGGAAACCGTCCCCTACCGCCGTGGCTCTCGCCCTGAGGTCGAAGGCATCAGCAGCCCTATTCAGAAGACGCAACTACCCCCGTGGGAACAAAAGGATGTGGAAGACCGCCTCCGCAACCTCATCATTGACATCCCGGCTCGATATCCGCAGTCCACCTACCTAGGCCGCTCGACCTTTGAGCCCGAGTCTCCAACCTCTCTATACGCCCGGCACCGCGCCTTCAATGAGACTAAGTACTATGGAGAGATCCTCAGTGCCAACACCGAAGACGGCTTCATCCACTCAACGCTCCACCCCAGTGATGTCAAGACCGTTATCGAGAAGGGCTGGGGTCAAAGACATCCTCTCTCCGGCCGAGTCGGGTCTCGACTCATGCGCCTGTTTAACGCCAACCAGCCGAGTCCTGTCGAGGGCTCTCAGGTTCTGCTCTACGCGCCCCGCAACCAGGAAGACTTGGAAGTCATCAAAGACATCATCAACGCTGCAGTTTGGTGGGTCGGAGGCATCGACAACAGAGTCGACGACGAGAACTTCTGAGCCCATGTATGACTGCTACTACATGCATGCATCCTTGCTCATGGACTGCTACGACTTAACTTACGACAGGGTGGGATCTTTTCAGTCGGGAGGTGTGTGTTCGTGTGGGGATGTGTATTGTTTTATGGTACTGAGCAAGCTTACTTTATTCGAAGGGCGACGAATGGCGCAAGGCCAGGGCACGAAACTGAATGGAATGGAACGGAACTGTACTACAGCCAACAACATGATTACTGAAGAAACTTGAGCTCAAAGAGCACGGAGCCATCCGGCGTGTATGCCAGCAACGAATAAAAAAAGGAAGAGAAGAAATAGATAGCTAGAAGAAATTATCAACATTGCCTCTCACGGCTCAACAACGGAGACAACTTCTCGAACCATCTATCCATCCATCCATCGCTCTGACGCCTATACATTTGCGTGCCAAAAGAGCCAGAGAGGCCGTGGATCAGGGGGGGATTCTAAACATAGGTAGCCCTGCAGCGCCAAGAGAATCTGTGCAATCCTTCCCACTGCACTGCACGACCACATGCATTCTGAGCCGCAAATCGCGCTTTCTTTCCTCCATTCCTGTCCTGTCCGTTCCGTTGGCTTCTTCTACCCTTTGGAGTCCCCCATATGTGGGCGCTTTATTTGTGTCCGTCCGTCTATCTATCTGTGTGTACTTCTGCGCATCGGGTCTTGTTTGGTGGCTGCGTGACTCGCGTGGGTCGACCGCGTTCCAGGACTCCCCCAGTTTTCCCCGGTGCATGCCCGTCTGGGCACACACGTACCTAGCGACATTTCTGGTGTGTTTCCGTATTGAGTAGCGGGACCTAGGTAGGTATATTACCCTGCATTTTGAGCGGGAAGGGCTCTCGAAGCGAAATAAGGAAAAGGAGAGGTACATTGTCATTTGTTCATTTGTCGTCGACTGCATCGGCGGTCTTCGTTGGTCCTCGCCGATTTTCTGCAGTTTACTCTCTCCCTCAATCCCATCCCCGAGAACGCGGGGATGCAGAATTTCATCTCCTTCCATATCCGGGGATATGGTGCGACGGACTGCAGGTGGTTGGGGTGCAGGATAGGAAGGTCAGGGAACTTCTTTTGCGTTTGGTCCTGGTCCTCTGCGTTCGTTCGTTCGGTCGTTCATTCGTGCAGTCTGAGTCTCTCGCGGGGGTTTCATACCATTCATATCATGTGATATCCTCCCAATCAACCGACGATGTATTAAACTCCTCCATACCTTATCATATTACCAAACCACACTATCCCATTTCCAACCCATATTGTCACGGGATTCCACACCATTTCACACCGAAAAGACATCCCGTCCCATCCTGCTTAACTCCGTGCTATGCATATGATTGCAGACCAGATCTCGTCCGCTCAGTAGTATGTGGCATATTGGGAGGTGCCGTTCAACACCTGGACGAAGTTTCGTGCGATGATTCGGTCGGTTTGTTCGCTAGGATGCAACTCGTCAAACCACAGATACCCATCGGGATTCGTGCCGTTCTGTCTCTTGACACACGTCTTCTGATCCACCGTGCAGTGGTTCTCGTATCCCCAGACGCATTCACCGCCCTTGACCACGCCCGTGCCGTTCAGGTACTTTGCGGGGCTGTTGTAGATGTCGGTGATGAGAGAGTGGGTGTCGAATAAGGCGAAGTGGGCGCCCGGGTAGCGGTTCGCCACCAGGAGCTCATAGGGCGTCTGGTACTTGAAGACGTTGTTGACCGTGGTGGTAAACTGCTGCATGGTGTACGCGATCTCGGTGTGGTTCGCCGTCTTGTTGGCCCAGTACTGATTGGCGCCGATGCCGTGCAGCGAGTCGTTGGCGTACAGGGGCGCCAGGTTCAAGGGAACGGTGTTCATGAGCACGAAGTGCCGACCGCCGCTGGCGTAGAGCTTGTCGAAGACGCTGTAGATGCAGTCCGTGTAGTCGGAGAGCACCTTGCCGGGGACTTGCGAGTCGGTGAGAAACGTGTACACGCCGAGGTCGTTGGTGCCGATCCACAGGGCGTAAACAGAGTCCTGAGCCGTCAACTTCGGCGTGAAGAGTTGTACGGCTGGAGTGGAGTTGACCCGTGTCGCCGGGATGTCAGCCACGAAGGCCGGCACCTCGTACTCCAGAACGGAGGGGAAGAACGCGTCAATCGCTGGGAACCATCTAGAGGGAGTGTCTCGTCAGAATGGCTTTTCCGAAGGCAAGAAAAGTGGGCGTATAGTGGGACGAGCCTTGGGGTGACGTTGTTGGAGCATACAGCTCCTGAGACAGCATAGTCATACAGAGTCATCTGAGGAGTCCATTTGCCCTGCACAGTAGCCCCGGTGTACTGCACCACGTATCTGGACCAAGTCCGCCCGCCGCCAGGCGCAGCGAATGTTTCTGGCAACAGAGTACCGGCAGGTGGAGCGGAGCCATTGTGAGTGATGAAATAGCCCAGTCGAGACTCATCTGTGTAGCTGTCACCAAACGTGATGAGAGAGTTGAAGTTCTTAATCGACCATGGCTGGCTGCTGCTCTGGCGAGGGACGGCTGTGCTGGTGGTCGATGAGACGAACAAAGAGGCACCGAGGGCGAGAGGCCCCGCGAAGGAGGAGAGCTTCATCTTGAGAGAGCGATTCCGTCTATATCAACAATGGCTTTCCCGGTGGCGGGGTTTGACAGGGTCGAGAGAGCAGCCGAACCCTTTTTATACCATTTTGAACGCGGAGGAGCCGCTCCTTTTTGCCTTTTTTCCTTCCATCCTTTCGCAGAGCCAAAACCAGCGCAGTGTGGGCTCGACTCGATTTATCATTACGGGGGAATTCCCAGACTCTTCCAAATCCAACGCGGAGCATTGTCGGTAGGACAAGGTAGCCCAAGAAGGGAGAAGCCTTCGACCCGGCCCAATGACGATAGATGGTGAACAGAAAACCCATCATGTGCGCGGCGGTTGAGCGGTGCTGGGGAAGGTTGGAACAAATGAAAGGCTCGATCCCACGCGTCATTGACGCTGAAAGCTCGACGGATTGGGAAGCTCATATTGACGGCTTCACGCATGGCGAGTTTGAGATATGCCGGAATTCAGCCTGAAAGCATGCGTGGATCATCGCCTCGTCCCTCGCAAACTTTCTGGGCAAGTGGAGGTAACGAGGATTACAAAACCGGACTGGAGTTGTGGCCGTTTTCGTGCGTTCTTTGTGATTCAATTGTTTGACGTCGGCTTGTTAGATGTACCGACTACTTGTGGTGCCTGAGGGAGTGAAGGCGGAGGGGTCGGACGAAAAGGAGGCAACGAGGCTGTCAGCCTCGCAAAGTCTTGGCTTCCCACACCACCAAGACGCAAGACACATGTCTTGAGAGATGAGGGGAGAGACAAACGAGAATTCATTCATGCTTTCATGAGAGAGTCAAAAGCCGTTGTTTATTCTACTACCGATCGGTTGTTCTAGAGGCATGGGCTGGCCAGCGCAGCCACTCAGTCCAGGCCGATATCCAAGCATCCTAGCGCAGCTACAGCAACACCCCTCCCCATATCCGCTTGGCCTGTCTTTATATTGGAGACTTTGGATATTTGGATTCTCTCGTCCATGTCGGCTCACTCCGTCTCAGCCAGCCTCCGGGCTCGGTCGGCCGTGATGCGCTCTCCCGTCTTGTCGTAGTGTTTCGCAGCCAGCATGTGCCATTTCTTCTTGTCGTATTCGTCAGCCCATTCTTTGAGACTGTGAGGTGATGAGCTGGGTTTCCTGGCTTTGCTATCTGACTTTGCCCATTTGCTGTCGTTGTCCTGAGTCCAGTTAGTCCAGTCAACAGGTGGCCAATGTACTCTTCCCTCTGAGCTTACATTTTTGTCAGATTTGGTGCTATATTCCGCCTTCGGTTCCTCCGCATTATTTTCCTCCTCTTGCCTTTTGGCTCGAGCAGCTTCTCTTTCGGCTTTCCTCCTCAGGCCTTCCTCACGATGTCTCTTGATTCTCTCCTCTCTGTCAGGATCCTTGTCCTTCCTACCCTCCTTAGATTCGTGCTTGCTCTCCGCTTCGAGCCTGTGGCTGATGTGCTTCCAGCGTGCCTTCAGCTCGCCCACGTGCTTGAAGTTGGTGGTCTCGGCGAGGATGTCCTTCCATTGTGCTTGTTGATTCTCGCCCTTCATGCGTAGAATGATCCGATCGTCCTCGGTAAGGTCAGAGTCATCGTGCTTGTCTTTTCCCTTTGCGTCATTCTCGCCTTTTTTGTTGTTGTCCTTGTTTTTTGCGTCTTTCTTATCTTCAAACTTGCTATCCTCCAGAAGCTTTTGTTTTCTTGGCTTCCTGTCCGGAACACCCTTCATGGCGTCCCATATCGACATTTTGATTGGGATTCTTCTGCCGTCAGGCTTGGTGTACACCACTGTAAAGGACATTATAACTGCTGCAGAGGCACTGTCGGATCGAAGCACTAGTGTTGCAGCCTTTGGGTTGACGATGAAGACGAATATGAGAAATGTATAGAAGGGATTGCATTGGGGGAAAAAAGGCATGAAGGGGCAGTCTACGCCTAGTGGTATCTCATTGTCACATGTGTCCGGTAAATTCCTGGTAGTGAATGAGATGTCATGTTGAAAATACGATGCCATCGAGATGACCCGACAGAAAACTTGCAGTTAGAGGTCAGAAAACACAGCCGATAGTTACAATCGACCGCCAAGCCAAGTTAAAGACCATCATGTTATTCTTTTGCCTGCCAGTGGCAGTATGGTATCATCGCCTTGCTTCACTTCAAAATTCATATGCGAAGTTGATCACTTAAGCGGCAATGGCCAGGAATGAGAGGCGCATGAACTCGTCGCGAGTGTTAATCCATCCATATTTGCCAAGCACAATCCCCATTGGCCAGCGTCAAAACCCCTGGATGTCAGGGACAAAAACTGCGGAGTTCAAGTCCATGTCGCTTGAGGACACTTTTATTTGGCTGTGGTGTATCTCAATTGTCCCCTGTTCAATCCGCCGTTGACGCCTCTCCGGACACCTCCCGTCCTAATACTCGTCTCCCATCGCCGCCCGAGAGATTTATTTCACCAGACTCGAAAAGAATGCGGTTTGGCAAAGCCGCGGCATGTGCCGCGTTTGCGAGTTGGATAGGGGCAGGCCTGGCACACAATATCGCTTTGAAAGCACACACAAGAGAATGTTTCCACGAAGAACTACACAAGGATGATAAGATGACGGTGACTTTTCAAGTGGGAGACCGCGAATTTGGGGGTGCAGGGAATCTGGAGATTGATTTCTACGTATGCGATACCCATCTGCGACGGTTCTTGCCCATCGCAATGTTGAGAACTCCAACGACTGACCACTGGCGGTGCATGCATCCAGATCACCGATCCTGCAGGCTCTTATGAAACACAACTCAACTCCGTCTCGTCGGGCGACTACTCGTTCGACGCCCGCATGGATGGGAAATACGTATACTGCTTCAGCAACGAGCATTGGTCTGCCAACAGCAAGGAAGTCTCCTTTAACGTCCACGGCATTGTCTATGTCCCTGAATCTGAGGCACCCCAAGATCCGCTGGAAACTGAAGGTTCGTCCCAACTTCCGCCTCGTTGGCCTAGACAGCCAAGAGACTAACAATTCTGTGCTTAGTCCGCCAACTCTCCGATCTCCTGGCCCAAGTGAAAGACGAGCAAGCTTACATTGTCGTCCGGGAGCGAACGCACCGAAACACCGCCGAAAGCACAAATTCAAGAGTCAAATGGTGGTCGATATTCCAACTGGGGGTGTTGATAGGAGAAGGAGTGTTCCAGGTGTGGTGGTTGAAGCGTTTCTTCGAGGTGAATAGCCGACCCCTTCCGTGATCCCATGGTTTCGTGCCTTCTGTGAATCCGGTGGTATTTGTTGGCGGGGATGATTGTCTGCATTTGCATCTGGCTGGACCAAAAACACAAAAGTGGGAACTTTGGCTGACGGCTGTCTACGTCACAGGTCAAGCGCGTTGTATAATAGTTATGAGGTCTCACGAGATGGCAAAAAGTTCTCGGCCAATATCATTTCACTGTCTTTCATCACCGTCAAGGCTCGTCACTGGGCGCACGACTTATTCGAACATGGAGCTAAATGCAGATATGACATGGTGGAATCGAAGGACGGCTTCGCTATGCTCGGTCTCACAAATGTGTTTAGGGTCACCAGCTCGTGGCAACAGTCAGTTACAAAGCATCATGGATAGACATGCATATCAATCCCAGCCACTGGCTCTCGATGATGCAGGCTCGACAAGCAGACCAGGGCACTGATGGCCAAAGCAATCAGGGCTGGAGATGCATGTGGAAGAAGTTGCAATCTCCAATACATGCACCAGAAGACATGTATGACAAGAAGTAGCAGAACGAATTAACTTTTCCGGGTGAGCCAGCTTTCAGGCACACGCGCACACACAGACAAACTCCCTTTCCACACACAACACAAAAACAAAAACAAAACAAAAAACCTTCACTGTGGGAAACAAAAACTCGCAACTCGAACCCTGCAAGTGATACGGGTTCGAATCCGAGAAACCCCTCCGGGCCAGGCACAAGGCCTTACCACAGAAGGTTTTTTAGGATATGGGAATGTTCGTTGAACTGTGTTGGTAGATAGGTAGGTAGTAAGATAAGAATAAGTAGTCTCTCGTAACAAGTCACACCCTTTCTCTCTGCCTTCATCTCCTCCATTGGGGAAGGAGAGAGGGGACAGATGCTGGAAGATCAGATGATATTAAGACAAGCCGATGTTACCACCGCCTTCGACCTGCGATTTGTGCAATCCTGAGTCTGAAAGTTAGCAGGATTTCTGGGCTTGAAAAAAATATCAGTGGATTTCACTTTTTTTTTCCTTCGAAAGTGAATACGGGAAAGAGTTCGGGCATCAGGCAGAGACTGGCAGGCAGGCACATGATGTCCATACTCCTCTCATCGCACCAACATCTCTCTCGATGTGTCTCCCTCACCAACAAGTTAATTTCTCTGGTCGCGCTCCAATGCGCTTCTCTCTTGCTCATGAAGCAGATTGCATGTGGACATCGTCTCTATAAAAGAGTCGTAGTTCAATTTAACTACCCGCAAGGCCTCCCCCCTTAATGATCTCACCGCAGTCATGCTGATGGCGCCAGTGCTCGCCGCAGCCGCAGCCGCACAAACAGGGGCCCCAGCGGTCAATCATCGCCTAATTGATCCCGAAATACGAAGCGCGCCATCGTGAGCTTTACCCGATTGAAGCACTGCATCGAGCGATGGCTTGACCTCGGCTTCGCTTACAGGCTCTTCGTGTCGTTCGCCCACCACCTCCTCCATTTCTCCTCCCATCACACGACTACGAGTACTATAGCCGGGACTGGCATGGTTTACGAATCTTGGAAGAATGGGCCACTCGTTCGAGGGCAATACTCTCATCGCATCGCAAGCGAGCCCTGTTAGCTGGCTCTGCTGGGCCGCTCATTTCCTTGGCCTTGGAGGATCGCTCCGTACCATTGGCTTGCTGGCGTTGATGTCCCATCGAACGGCGTCGAAGCTTGACTTGTCCATCTTTGGTCCCTTGCCGAAGTCACTCATGGTACCTTCTATGGCCGGATAGTCTTCTTTCCGAGAGAAGCTCGTGGACGATCGGAAATGTCGTGATCTTTCCCCAGGGTTGCTCATGATTTTCTTGATGTCGGATGTTTCGCATTCTTGTTATCGCGGTATGCATTTATTTGCCGTTGTATGGGCAAGGCGTGTTCTTGAGCCCTATCCCGCTACATTTCTGAGTGAAATTCTCCGCTAATAACAGCTCCCGCAATCTTCCACGGTCGCGAGATGAGGCTCCCTTGGTCAAAAGCCCCAGAGGTGGACAAGCCGTCAGACTCGGGTGTCCAAGAGAGCGATCCCAGCACTTCATCGGAACAGCCACTCTCAACAGAGATCCTAGACCCCGAGAAGAGGTCACTTCCTGCTGATTCTAACGGCGCAGAGGCTGCTTCACATGAACCACCGTCAAACCCGGTTACCGCGTCTGAGGAAGAAGTTCCCGATTCAGCGCCGCCTGATGAAAAGTCTGTGTTACACACAAAAGAAGAACTATCCAGGAGAGATTCAACAGCAACCTCAGATGCAGGCGAACCCGGAGAAGATGATGAGTCCAAGTATGCCAAGGGTTTACCGTTACACCTTTTGACGTTCGGCCTGACTCTATCCACCTTCGTCATTGCTCTCGACAACACCATCATCGCAACCGCCATTCCCAGGATAACCACAGTCTTCAACTCCCTGGATGATGTAGGCTGGTATGGATCGTCGTATCTGCTCACGACCACCTCGCTGCAGCCGTCTTTCGGCAAGATATATACCTATTTCAACGTCAAGTGGACCTACATGCTTGCGCTGTTCATCTTCGAAGTCGGCTCTGTACTGTGCGGTGCGGCAAGAAACTCGACTATGCTGATCGTGGGCCGTGCCGTCGCTGGAGTTGGCGCTGCTGCAATTTTCTCCGGTGGCATGACGATTGTTGCATATTCTGTACCCCTGCGGAAGAGGCCGCTCTATATTGGTCTGTTGAGCTCCATGTTCGGCATTGCATCCGTTGTTGGGCCAATTCTGGGAGGAGCCTTCACTGACCGTGAGTGCACCGGTTGAACCATCCAATGAGGCATCTCTTGCTGACCTCGTTTCTAATATAGGCGTATCGTGGCGCTGGTGCTTCTACATCAACCTCCCCATTGGCGCGATCGCCATCACTGCCGTGTTTTTCTTTTTCAAAAACCCTGAGCGCAGACACAGCAACATGACCTCGAGGCAGAAGATTGGCCAGATCGACCTTATCGGCGCGTTCTTCCTGATTTGCGCCATCGTCTGCCTCTTGCTGGCGCTGCAATGGGGCGGCACCACGTACGCGTGGTCCAACTCAAAAGTCTGGGGCTGCATCCTGGGGTTTGGCCTATTGATAATCGTCTTCACCGGCATCCAGTTGTGGAAGGGCGACCTGGCCACTCTCCCGCCGCGGATCCTGCTCAGGCAACGCACCGTGTTCGTGTGCGCCTTCTTTTCGGCCTTTCTCGCCATGGCGCTGTATAGCCACATTTTTTTCTTACCGTTTTATTACCAAGCTATAAAGTCCACCTCCGCGGAACAATCAGGGATCCGCACGATCCCTTACCTGGTCAGCATCACCATCTCATCCATTGTAGTGGGTGGCAGCATCACCACTCTGGGGCCGTACGTCCCCTTCACGTGGTTCGGATCAGCCATCTTCACGGTCGGGTCCGGTATGCTGTACACCCTGAAGGTGCACTCGCCGGCGGGGACGTGGATCGGGTACCAGATCCTGGCTGGGGCCGGGGCGGGAGCGTGCGTGCAGATCCCCTTCATCGCGGTGCAGGTGGTGCTGAAGAAGAAGGACATGCCGGTCGGCAACGCCGTGGCCATCTTTTTCAACTCGCTGGGGGGTGCCATCTCCATCTCCATCGCCCAGAACATCTTCTCCAACACCCTGGTCCAGGAGATCCCAAAGTACACCCACGGCGTCGACCCGCAGACCATCATCATGGCCGGCGCCACCCACATCCGCGAGGTCACTCCGCCGGCCCAGCTTGCTGGCGTGCTGTTCGCGTACAATATCGCCGTGACGCACGTGTTTATCCTGTCCATTGCGTGTGCAGGCATCGCGTTTGTGTTTTCGCTGGGCTTTGAATGGAAGAGCGTGAAGGGGAAGAAGATTGAGATGGGCGGGGCCGCATAGACTCTGAGGGTGGGGAGAAAAGAGCAGAAAAGATACGGCGTCACGATGAGAAACTCTTGAAGAAGGGAAGAAAGAAAGTGGACAATATAAATACATTCCTAGTCACAGGGCACAACCCAGCGAAATCAAGAGATCAACCTAGATCAAAGCCTGCCGGGAGAGTGAATGCCGGGTCCTCCTCGTTCCAAAATGCCATAAAGTCAAATCTCAGCACGGTATCGAGCAGTCCGGTCTGCAAGGGTTGTCAGCTAGTTCTGGATGTACTCACCCTTAAACAGGGAGGAGGCCAAGAGGATGGAACTCACTGCATGTGAAGACGTCTGGGGTGGGGACGGAACAGGCCAGAAGCACGCTTGGGTTGAAAGGGCGGTATGCTCGAACGGAACACTGCTTTTGTCTTCGTTTCCATCATGGCCACCGCTAGAAGTGCGGTAAGGATGGCGGGTGAAGCGCAAAAGATACGAGCCTGTGCCGGCACTGTCAAAGCCCACGTCGACCAGTCTGATGCGGTTCGCGGGGGGAACGTCGGAGGATACGATCGGTGCAACGAGGCCGGACTCCTCGAGGCGGACGACACGGAGAGCGATCTTGGCGAGGACCTGCCCATCCAGGCCGCACTGGCGGAGCATGTCGATGGCCCTGCGGCGGAAGCTGGCGTTGCGGTAGCGCGTGGCGACCAGGAACAGCATAGGCATGAGCCTTGCGCGCCGGCGCCGCATCAGGAGGCTGCAGCTCACGACGACGTGCTCAAGCGTTCCCGGGTACGCATCGAAGGCGGCTTCTCCTCCCTGCCTGAAGGGCGCGCACCGCGACAGCACGTGCAGGCACAGGTGGTACGTCGTTAGCAGGTGCAGGTCCGTGAGCATTGCAGACGTGAGGTACGCGTGCATGCTGGACTCGAAGGCCGCGAGCTTGTCGAGCCACGTGTTGAGCTTCGCCGTCAGGTCGGGAACGATCTGGAACCTCGTCTGTGGAGGCGGCCCGTCGAGTTGCAGCGCCATGCATTCAAAGCCGATTTCTTGAAGGGCCCGCGCGGCATCTTCAATGAGTGTCCAGAGCTGTCTCGGGTCTAGTGACGGGTAGTATAGCGGGAAGTTGTCCGTGGTGACAACAGCGGATTCTCCCTTACAGAATGACGGCCACCAAGACCTCGACTGCGGTCTGGACATGGTGTAGAGCTCGCTAGTGTGCAGCTCGAGCCTGGAGAAGATCTGGTCGAGTTCCACGATGGCTGCAGCGTTGCTGCCGGTGCTGCGCTGGGTTGAGGGCGAAAGGCCTGTGAGCCGGTATGCCGCGAGGATCTTCCGACCAGCGATGACATGCTGAATGGCCGCGAACGGGTTCTCCTGGAACTCGTCGCACAGGACCAAGAGCAGGCAGGCCATGAGCAGGAAGCCCGGATCCGGGTTCTTGCTTCGGCTGAGTAGCTTCAGCGCTTTGCCATAGTGCCAGAGAAAGACGGTGTCCTGATCCGAAGGGGCCTGCCTGCAGGGCTGCTGCTGCTGCTGAAACATTCGATACTTTCCCAGTCTGGAGGCAGCGATGGTGAGATGCTTGATGCTCTCGTCAACATGGCAGGCTTGTAGCACCTGCTCGTTCCAGAAGTAGTAGCTCCCGTAGTTCAGCATGCCCGGGGCACAGAATTGAACGAAGAATTTGAATGCCGTCACGGCTTCACGGTCGCATTGCGAGCTAACAAGCCCAGGAGAGTTGATCACCACCAGAAGGGCCGCGGGAGGTGGATCTTGTCTCTTTCCCGGGAGCGCTGGGTAGCCATCGCATTTACGTCCTGTGCTGAGGCACCTGTTGCAGGATGGGGTGGCATAGTCACACTTTACACGCCTGATTCGACAAGTAATACAAGCCCTGGCGCGCCGCCTCAGCCCCTTCGGACCGTTCTTCGTTTCGCTTTGCGCAGGAGGATCCGGGAACTCGACCATCTTCTCGTTTTCAACCGCGTTAACAGGACGACTGGCACCGTTACCGGATCAGCCTTTGAGGACAAATTGTGAAGGAATCGGAGGGCAAGTAGGGGAGGTTGTGACTTCCAGGTTGTGACATGACAAAGACATGTTTGGCAGCTGCCGGGCCTTCTGGAAGCAGATCAGGCCGGTCATAGATAGAGTTCAAATTTCAGGCCCATGTTGCCACACGCAGAACCACCAAATGCGGGAGAATCGATCTGAATAAAATCCGCATCTTAAGCCCGTGAGTTGCGATTCGTCCGCTCGCGAACTAGACGTTAGCTGCATATGGCGCCTCACTATCCCCAGAGTCTCAACTCCATTGTTTCGCAACCGATGTATCACCGTGAGTCGCGAGGCTCGGCAAAGGCCAGATGATTTCAAAGAATTCAAAAATGCAGTGACGATTCAAGGGAGAGGTTGTTGAAGTGCAGCGGACGCGGTACAATAGCCAGTCCGATGGGGACACCAGCAGAGGCCAGGTGCAGAGTATAAATGGTGGAATCAACCTCTCAACGAACAAGGCAACCGTGACCTTGATTTTCTCTACTCAGACTCTATACCGCCAGCATGTCGTCAGTCACAGCAGACCACACTATCGTCCTGATCACAGGCGCAAACCAGGGTATTGGCTTTGAGTGCGTCAAGAAGCTGGCCGCCGAACAAGCCAACTATCACATCCTGCTCGGCTCGCGAAGTTTAGAAAGGGGGAAGGAGGCAGCCAGCAGCATCACAGATCTGGCCCGAGGCACTGCCGTCGAAGCTCTCGAGCTCGACGTCGACGACGACGAGTCCATTGCCAAAGCGGCCAAATACGTCGAGGAGAAGTTCGGACGGCTCGACGTCCTACTCAACAACGCCGGAATCAGCCAGGTCAAGGACGTGAGTTTCCGCGAGAACATGACTCGTGTGCTGCAGACCAACACCATCAGCGCCGCCTGCGTTACGGAAGCGTTCATCCCACTGATGCGAAAGGCCCCCGTCCCGCGCCTCCTCTTCATGTCCTCTGGGCTCGGTTCCGTCACCCTCACTCTGGACCCTTCGTTCCAATATTACGGGCTGGGAAATGCAACGGCAATCAAGGGATACATAGTCTCCAAATGCGCAGAGAATATGGTCGGGGCGCTGTATGCGGTTCAACTGGGCAAGGAAGGTTTCAAGGTCAACATGACCTGCCCGGGCCACAGAGCCACCAACTTGAACGGGTATAACGAGCACGCCGGGCCGGCTGCCGACGGGGCGATCGAGGCATGTCGACTCATTGTTGACACAGACAAGAATGGTCAACATGCCACTTTCACCACCTCGCCAGAGAAACAGTATCCGTGGTGAGAGGATTTTGGGTTCCATTGCGCCAATGAAGTGAAGGACCAAGGAGGAGCTCTGGTAGCACCGTCGGCCACGGCGATAGCATTCAATTACAGATCTCGTGTCAGAAACAGCTTGAGTCGGGCTAATCACATCAGACAAAGTCGGTCGCATCCTGGGCAGATAATTCTGGGAGCATTAGAAACGTATATCCTGTATCCAAAGTTTCCAGAGGTAGGGTTCAACACAAGTGTGCATTGTAAGTTTACACTGGGCGAGAGTAGCGGTGAAAGAGGGCGGTCCCTGGAGCGAATCCACCAACCAATCAATACTAGCTGGCCTTTCGAACGCCCCCCGGGAGGCTCCATATGGCGGGTTTCCATAATCCATTTTTTATTTTATATATAAATTATAATAGCCAAATTGTCCTCTAGTTGACTGTCGTAGACGCGATGGCCGAGCGGTTAAGGCGTGTGACTAGAACTTGCTCTACTAGGCTATCACATCTCTTCGGAGGCGTAGGTTCAAATCCTGCTCGCGTCGTTCAAGTCATACTCAACCTGTACTGGGGATAACCTGGTATAGTTAATTTTTTTTTTTTGTGTTTTTTGTGTTCTTGGTGAGGAGAGGTGCATTGAAAGGATGGTATTTTGTGGTGTGGGTGTGCGCGCGCGCCGAGAAGCACTATTTTCTTGGCGTAGTGGGAACCTCGTTTGAGCTGCAGTGATGGACGATCGAAAATAGCCGTTGACCTCTCGTCAGGTCATCGAACTCTTTCAATTTCATGATCTTTCTGCCTTGTAAGGGTGTATTCGTCTGCATTATCATAAAGCCGCTTTGAATCTGCTGAAGATCACCAATTCTGCCTTGTGGAAAGATGGATGACTTGTGTCTCTGCCTTGTCAAGCCACGCCGACCACAACCATAGGTTCTGCCCACCTCAACAACGTTGGATTACTTTCTGGCTACAGACAAAAGCTACTCGCACCTGCTCTGCAACCAGGCCCGTTCCCCTGTGTAACACTGTAACCTGAGTTCTCCTCCGAACGTTGCACGAAAGACAACAAACAAGGGACCATAATAGGCATGCAAACCCCGTGTGAAAAAAGAATGCTGTTCAAAGGTGCCTTGGATAGAAATGCCCTTGGACAAAGGACGTTGGCGCCCCCCCCCCCCCCCTCCCTTTGTGCAACTAATCTCTATCTCGAACACTCCGACCTCCCAACGGTTTCCGTTTGCCAACGAAAAGCCTTTTTGATTGTTTATCGACTGTTTGATACTTCCCCCTTTGCTTTTTTTGTTCACGGCCAGCAAATTCTAGATACAAAGCTGGCTGGCGTCCCCAGGGGTACTTGCAACCAGAGTACCACGCACAGCAATTGCAAGGCACGCGAGTACCCTGCTGCGAATTTCTCTCGATCCGGTCAGAACAGAACGGCACTTTAGTGGCTTCCACGACGACCAGACACCCGATCAAATCATGGAGGTCTGGCGCTACCACCCGGATGGCTGGCACGAACCGCTCCTCTTCACACGCGGGCGTGGACGCAGATGTGACGAAGCCATTTACTTGGGACATGGCATCGGCGCCACCTTCCACGTTCCTCCCTACTCACGCCGCTGCGGACGTCGACGCCCACCGCCACCACCACCACCACCTGTACCTTGGGACTATGACGACGACTCCGACTATTGGTAAGAAGCATCCGATCTTGAAGGCAACTAGGTAGGAGGGTTTGTAGCAGGGCTAATTGGTGTCCCTCAACTCGGCAAAATAAAATAGGTCCGACGACTCCGACTACAGATACCGAAGAGGAATCAACATCAACAACCGCAACCGCAACCGCAACAGCGCCACTGCTATGGCCCGTGCGCTCGCCAGCAATCGAGTCGTCGTCAACAACATCTACCGGCCATCGAGGCGGATTTTCTAAGGAAGACGGTGTTTGCGCCCGCAAATGTAGGGGTGGTTTCGGACGTCGTTCAGCTGACGGGAAGGGTTTATCAAGATGACGCAACAGGGGGAGAGTGCTGGCGAGGTCGATTTGGCACTGGTGGGAAGGTGAATTCTGGGTTGAGACACACGGGTTGAAAAACACACAATGAATCTATCAGAAATCTTCAGCTTGTTCTTGACCCAGCACGACTTTATTCTCGGGTGGGGCGCCTTCCTCATCGCCCTTGACATCTCTCCTGTGACTGAGCATCCACCGATACAGGTCCGGATTGTTGTACGTCGGAGTCCAGCTATCGTGCATCAGATCCGGATATCGCTTGAAGTTGACTTCCTTTGCATCTGTCTTCTGCAAAGCAGTGACCATCTGGATCGACGCCCGTACAGGGATGATGTCGTCGCGATCGCCATGGAAAACCCTGCCCTGGAATTAGCAACCCCGGACACTGACACTGCATCAACGACGCGATACTTACCAGTGCGGCACATGCTTGATATGACTGACCCGCAGGTGATCCCCTCCGCCACAGATCGGGGCCAGCGTGGCGAACCGATGCGGCGAATGCAAGGCCAGATCCCAGGTGCCATACCCGCCCATGCTGAAGCCCGTGACATGGATCCTGTCCAGGTCGACGCGAAAGCGATCGACCATCTCATCGAGCAGGGCCGACAGGATGGCCGCGTTCCATCCGTACCCGTTGTCCATGTTCAAGGACGGAGTGACGGTGATGAAGTTCTCAGCTAACAATTCGCAGGTCTCCCTGGGCACAGGCTCCGTGGACCGATCGCCCTGCTGTGTCTGCTTGCTTCTCCGCAGTCGCGGGGCCAGGGGAATATCGATCGAGGGCGTCTCATTCGTCGGATCGGACTTCAGCTTGTCGTAGCAGAGAATGACCTTTGGCACGCCATGGCGGATGGAAGCGTAGGACTCGTGCTCACCGCGCTGCGACTCGCCCGCTCCATGCAGGAAGAGAACCAGCGGCCACGTCCTGTTCCGGTCTTCATCGTACGCCGGCGGGAGCGAGACGAAGTGCTCGTACCCAAAGGGGGCATTGGAGACGCGCTGGTCGAAGTATTCGAACCTGATGTGTCGCGTGCGCGCGTAGGCATGGCCTGGATCCTTGGGCGCGCTCTCGCTGTGGGCAGCTCCGCTAGTGTTACTTGTACTCGACACCGCGGGCGTGGACATGACGACTGCTGGGATGTTCTTGGGCCCTCGTTTGGCCGTGTGGAAGTTGTGTAGCGAATTTGGATTCGTTTCTGGGTCGTCGCGAACCACAGGGCCAGTAGCCACGGTATTGCTGGGCCGCCGTGGTGGTTCGAGTGGCGATGTCGCTGGCGCTGGCGTCATATTGACGTTTTTCCCTTTTCCATTCGACGTTTGGAAGCGAGGTCGGAAATTGTGTCCGATCTTTGAGGTTCGCTAGGATAGAAAATGAGACTTTTGGGGATGGATCACAGTAGGGTGTATATTTCATCGATTGTTGGCATGGAGAGACAAAGTGTCCAGCGTGTGGCGAGATGATATTCCAGGGGAGCCTTGTCAGGATTGGGAGAGACGGTTGTAGATCTCTCCTCTTGTGACTATGCGATCAAACGATCAAACGGGAAAGACTTAGCAGAACGGATCATTGGGGTCGGGTCTACATAAGTATATTGATCTTTTGGGGATTGGGCATTGCGTTGATTAACACTGTTTCATTCTCTTGGGCATCTCTAGTTGGGACGTGGTATTACTCTGTTTTTGGTAGATCGTCTGGGTATAATCACCGTGTGCCCCAAGGTTGTCCTAGGAGCAATGTTGAATGGCATTGCATTTCACTCAAAACACATGCTTCAGGAATCTCTCGTTGCTAGGAGAAAGAATGCGGGTGTCACTGTCACTGTCGCGGTTGTGGGAAATAGATTTTGGTTCTTTAGGTGAAATGAAGGCTGCAGAATTGCATCTGGTACGCGGCGCTTTGGCTGCCCGCACTGGACTAACCCAAACGAGCGACTCCTTGGGAATTACGTAGTTCCGCATCCGAGATAGCAGACCAGCAGGATGCCCGTTTTCTGATCGACCTCACCAAATACCTATGTATACAAGGTTTCTTGTCGAGATCTCAGGAGCGCTTTGAGCGTGCAAGACAGACTGAAGACCGCGCGCCACAGGCGGCCATGCGGCAACCATGGGAAACTCTCAAAGCGCGCACAAAATCTCGGCGCAGGATAGGTAAAGTGACTGATTGATCGCTGCGAGACACACACGTACAATCCAGCTTGCTCTGTTCCAACAAGCTAACCTGTTGTCTCTGTTTCTTCCCACAGGGCTATTCTGGATATGAAAAACCAGCGGGACAAACTGCGCCAGTACCAAAAACGAATCACCGTCATCACGACCCGCGAAACCGAGATCGCAAAGGAATGCCTGGCCAAGGGCGACAAGGCGAGAGCGCTCCTCGCGCTGCGCCGGAAGAAATACCAAGAGTCGCTCCTCTCCAAGACGGACGCGCAGCTGGAGCAGCTGGAGAAACTGACCAGCAGCGTCGAGTTTGCGCTGGTGCAAAAGGACGTGCTGTTCGGCCTGCAGCAGGGAACGCAGGTGTTGAACATGATCCACAAGGAGATGGGCGGGCTGGAGGGCGTGGAGAAGATGATGGGCGAGACCGAGGAGGCGCGCCGGTATCAGCAGGAGATCAGCGAGGCGTTGGCCGGCCAGATGTCAAACGAGGACGAGGATGAGGTCGAGGATGAATTGGAAGCGATGGAGAGAGAGGTCGTTGGCCTCCCTGACGCGCCGAACAAGACGATAGTGGGCGAGGGGACCCTGCCCGAAGTGCCCAAAACGGAGTTGGAACTGGAACAGGAGAAGATACAAAAGCAGAAAGAGAGAGCGCGGCAGAGAAGAGTCGCCTTGGAGGCGTAATGATTTAGAATTACATACTTCATGATTGCCGTCGTGGTAGTACACTTAACGATGCATTTTAGCGTCCGGTAAATCACATGCTTTTTGGAACTCTCAGGGACTTTTCGGTTTTTCAAACCCTCGCTGATGCTCTCTCACTGACCCGGCATGGACTGGTTGGTGTTGATCAACCCCTGGATCAACTTATGATCTTGAGGATTTGCCGCCGCTTCGTACAGCACGTGGACTGGTTCGCGGTTCAGTGCCATGAAGTCTCCTTTGAACCCAAGGTAGCTGATGCGAGAGACATCCTCCGCTCCGTCGGAATGGTTGTCCTCGAAGAAGAGGTCGATCGAGGTCGTGCCGTTCCACAGAGCACGGTTCAGGGGTATCTCGGCCACGTCATTGCTTTTCGGGAGGGTCAGCTTTTGAGTGGGCTTCAGGTCGGATGCGAGGTTGAAGTCCATGTCGTCTCTGTTCCGAAACAGTTTGAGGGTCTGTGGTGCCGAGTCCGTGTCTGATGTGCGGACGATGATGGAATACAGCTTGCACGATCCAGCAAAAGGCACATGCATTAGCAACTGTTCGTCTGCATCGCTTTCGAGGACGGGGTGGTCATTGAGGCGTTCATCCCATGTCTTCTGGACAATCGCCGCCCCCGAGCGCGGTTCAGCCTCGTTGAGCGTGGTGATGCCTTCGAAGTTGATTTGTTTGTAGAGGTTCGATTGGAGTGCTGGCTCGAGGTCGTGGGAATGATCGTGTTCGTGACCAGCACCATGGCCGTGGCCGTGGCCATGATCATGGTGGTGATCGTGAGAGGACATTTTGCATTTGACTCTGCCGTCGTTCTGTCGCGGTCGCAGTGTTGGAGTGCTTCTGGATGGCTGCTGTTGGATCAATGAATTAATGGTCTTTTGGATTGCCTACCATGTATCGAGACAGCACTGCACCAGTACCTCGTTCAATAGAGGCCAGGACAAGACTTCGATGTCTCTTTCGGATTGTCATCGAATGTTCCAGGATGCAGGATGATGGTGATGGGTCCCTTTGCCGTTGGCCCAAGAGGGAAAAGCGGCGCTGGGGGGATTGTCTTCGCCGCTCAAACGAACTTGAAGTACTAGTCCCGAGTAGAAGCTGCTCGACGCCGCTTTAAACACGATCCGGCCTCTTCTCACCTTCCTCTCCCTCACGTTATCCATATAGACAAATGTCAACATAGTGTCGACCCAGCGATTCCATCCTCCTCTTTATCTCATCCGACCTCCTTTGTCCCCCTATTACCGAACTATCTGTGTCCCATGCTTATCACATGATGCATAAATATCTCAGTCCTGATTAGGATTAGCTGGCCTTGAAGCATACAGCTCGAACCGCCAGCCTGCAATTGCTAAACTTGTGTATTTCCATCGTATCAGAGTTTGAGCCTATTGATGGCCATCGCGAAGAGTCAGTGAGTTACTTGAGAAGCGGTTGAGGATTCATCTGCCATTGGTTCTTTGCTCCATTTCCAACAGTGTGTTTGTGTGACGAAAACTATGCCTAGCCAGCCGTTTCCAAGTTGCTGCCAGGCAGCTTAAATCTCCCAATGCGAACTTGGTTATCACCTGGATGAGCTCCGAACCCCTATGCTTAGCACGAAAGAGCTGTTGCAACAGTGCAGAAACCGCATTATGTCTTTCTCGGCTCATCAGCACTCGATCCTCTTGAGCAGCTTCCTACCGTCAGAGATACGTCAAGGAGAGTTTTGTCCTGATTCGAATCGATCCTCGCTGGCCCCGGAACATTATCTTTTCGCAGTTTTCCTATTCCCGGTAATGATAGTAGTCTCGGTGGCGTCGAAGTTCGTGCTCTTCAATGTTTCGTTCTCTCATTACTGTTGTTTCTGTAAGCGTTCTTTGCTTTTGCCCTTTGCTTTTGCCCTTTGCTTTTGCCCTTTGTCCTATTTGCTGGTGCGATACATGCATCTAAAGATGATGCTGCATTCATTCCTGTCCTACAGTCAACACTCATTATATCTGTCCTTGCACGAACAGGATTCTTGATCAGGGACATTGGGAGTCGTCGATAAACCTTGAACGCACCACTTGTTAGTGAGAACTTGGGGATGTCAGTAGGTCATTCTGACCGTCGCTGCCTCAACATCTCTATATGTTTCTGACAGTCCGCACCTGCGAATCATCCTGTACATCCGTGGCGGATATCCAAGACCATGAATGCAAAGGATGATCATTGACTCATTCTATGCATCGAGGGGGTGCCCTTTTTCCGAACTACGTCGCCTAATCGGACCGCCAGTGGGAAGCAAGTATAACGGACTCCTGTATTCTCTACCCAAAGAGTTCGTTCGACAGTGGTAGCTCGTTATTATCACAGCGATTGCTCCCTCTTGGATCTGCCCATAAAGCACGTTGACAAAGTTGACGGCGCTTAACGTGTTAACGTGCACAGGCCAGTCTCGCTCTATCCCCAACGCGGCGCCAGATCTTGGCACCGCTTGGTTGGATTTCCCGGCGCGACCCTTGACCTTTTCCTTGTCCTTTCTTCGTTATTCACTTTGTTCAGACCATGCAACAACCTGTAGTCAGCCTTCTCTTGGATGCCCACGATCATCTCACCAGCTTGATGATCAGTGGGTGGACCTGACAATACCCAACGTGTCCGTTGTTGCACACTTCTGATGGCAGCAACAGCCTAGACAATGACATGAAAGAAGAAGCCATTAGCACCTCAGGATTCAGAACTCATCACCCCGGACCAAGCCTGGCTCAACCGGTTTTCGCCTCTAGTATGACACGACACCCGCTGCAAAAAGACAGGATGGAGACTTGGAACTGGTCAGGGAGCTCAGTGGAGACGCTGTCATGCTGTCTCAGGAATCCAGCTATACACAGAGGCGGCTAGGAGTTGACTGTTGCAAGTGCAATAAAGAAATAGCGAGGCAAGACGGGAACAACTGGGCAATTCAAAAAAAGAGGTTCCTTGCCCATGTCCCAAAGATGCCTCCATGCTGCGGCCTACCTGTTCGATCAGGAGCTGGGCAGCCAATGCTGTTATTCCCCAGGGCATAGGGGTGAGCCCTAGTACCAACGGTGGGTATATTCTAATTTTTTCTTTTGCAGGCTGGACAAACCAAGTCGATGCATGATCATTGACGTATACACACTCAAACAAGAAGGTCGGAGGGCTTTGTCGACCAGCCTTTGCTGCAGTGATGGACTGTCGGATCTTCTCCAGTTGAACTAAGCCGTTCGCTCGTCTCTGCAGGTCTTATCTCCCGATACGGGAGATTGAGAGTACGCGAATGTCTCTCGTAACGCTCAGTGACAAGGCTGTGAAGTCATGGGATCGCCTACCTGCATTATCCTGGCTTCTCAATGCACGATTTTGGCACCGACGACAGCAAAGGTCTGTTGATTCCCTTTTCTGGTCAAAGCAGGAAGATAGGAAGACAGGAAGAGTGTCTACCTTCCTTCGAGGCGTGAATACAGATCACTCAGCCAGGAAAAGCAGGTCAACCGAGTAGTATTCACGTTTGTGCCGCCAAGTCGAGGCCGTGAATTCGCTGCCGCCCCTATACAAAACCCACTGTCTGTGAGGCTGCGGTGTTTTGATTTCATCCCAAAAACATCTCTCTTCATCCATCACCTTTCCATCCGTTCATCATCTCACACTCGTTCTGTACGCCCTTCATTCGTTCAAACATCTCTTCTATCGCCAATCATGGCTACCACTACTACCTGGGACGCGATAGTCTTCGTCGTCACCTACGCTTGCGCCGTCTTCCTCACCATTGTCGACGCTCAGTCTTGTGGAAACATGACCACAACTGTTTCAGTCGTCAAGACCATCACCGAGACCGTTCCCTGGATCTCTGGGCCCTTGACTGTTACCATGACTGAGTCCATCGTCGATGGCTTCAATTTCACTCACGTCTCTGGCACTACCTTTCCTGGAGTCATTCCGGCTATAGCCACGGTTACAGACACAATCACTGTCGGAAATGATACCAGCGCTCAGTCTACCTCAGGTATGTAACTTACAACCATCAAAGTCCCGTCAGGAGCACTTTGCTAATTTGTTGCGCAGTTGTTGAGTCTCCTCGCTCAGGTTCTGCCATTACGTTGACAAGTACCACCAAGTTCACATCTTATGGTAAGAGAGCAAAAGACACCTTGAGACGCGTCAGGATGGGAAAACTTACACAAGCAATAGTCAACAATACCGCCTCTGCTACCGTCCCTGCTGTCTCCAGTGGTGCGAGTGGGAACTTCACGCGTGGTGAGTGACTCAAATTGCGCACCTGCGCTGCCTCTCTTTTCCGTTGCATATAACTAACGAACGCAGCATCTGTCCCTGGCTCACTCACTCTGACATTCCCAATCACTACTGCCAGTCCAGCCTGCGCTTTCGGTCTTCCAAATGGAACATGCGGTGGTGGCAGCTTCATCTCAGCCACCGAGCCTTCGACTCTCAACTTGACTTCCACTCTCACCATCACCAGCACCACGCATCTTGACACTATCACGTCGGTTGCTCTGCCCACGACTGCGGTGAACACCCCGAGGCCGTTCTTCGTCAACAGCACTTTCGAGACCAGCTTCCCCTCTACGGCCCTACCGTTGTCGTCTGCCATGAGTGTCCCAACCTCTGCCAGCGATAGCATCACTGTAAATCATACTGGTAGCAGCACCAGCACCAGAACCACCACGACTTTGACCACGGTCACACTGTCAAAGACTTCTGCCGCTGTTAGCGCTATCAACTCCACACTGGATAGTGACACACTGATGCTCGCTACAACGACCACCACCTCAACTGTTGAGCCAATCGTCTCGGTCTTGAGCATAGCATCCTCCTTCCTCGGTAATGCTTCCTCGGTGATCGCAACCAAGACAGTTGGTACTACAACCACTGCCACACCTCTTGAGACAGTTCTCAGCGCTGCTTCTTCCATCCTGGGTGAGGCCACATCAGAAATTGCAAGCAAGACTGCAGGCGCAGATATCACAACCACCACAGTTTACACGACTATTGAGGCAACCGAGACTGCGAGCAGTTCTGGTATGACCTTTACTGAGACTGTCTCAGTGTATGTCGATACAACTACCACCTCTGTCGTCGTTGATAATACTGGGGCTGCGATTGACCTCTCCAGTACCACGACCATCTCAAGCATGGATTCAGCAACTACAATTTTGCCCTCCATGACCACTGTTGGCGTGCCTTTGTCGTCAGTTGTCATGGCTAGTGAGAGCCTCAACGCTAGCACCTTCACCACTCCAAGCAACGAGTCAATTTCACTTCCCGTGGTGTCCGCGTCGTCGGCATCCGGGTTTCAAGCGTCAGCGTCAATCTCGCTCTACACTCCCACCATGACCGGCGCAGCATCCTCCTTGCGTGCACCCCGTGTCTTTGGTCTGGTCGCCCGCTTCTTGATGGTCCTCGACCTCGTCAAGCCGCAGACCCTAGTCAGAGCCGCCGTGCCTGGACTCCCTCAGCCTGAACCCGAAACTGCCCCGCTTCCACCTTCCCTGACAATCACTCCTAACGTTTCGGCCTCAGTCTCTGTGTCCTTCACGACTCTCCCATGCAACTGCACCGCATACTTGAATGAAACTGCTAGCATTCTGGGAGCAGCAAACTCTACGATCTGGTTGACCACCACTGTGCAGAGAACCTTGACCGTCATCACCACCCTGACCACCCAGGTCCCTGGTGCGCATCCTGCCAACTCATCATCAACAGCAATTCCTGCTACCGCCACGGTGCTTCCTGCGCCTGCGCCCGCGCCCACTGTTGTCTCTGGCACGAGTTCTCTCACTGAAAAACCCAGTACCACTGATGTTGTTGGTGTGACGATCACTACTCCTGCCTCTCTCGTCGGGAACATCACCATCACCTTGGGTACTCCCAACACCACGATCATCCCTGCAGTTGAGTCTATGCCCGTGCCCGTGCACACCACTGCCATGTCGATCCCGTTCCCCAACAGCACGACCATCAGCATGGCCAACGTCAACGCCAGCATCGCCAACGCGACAACCATGACCGTCAACAGCAGCACGACCGTGCACCCCACCGTGACGAGCTTCTTCCCGAGCAGCCATGTGACCAACAACCCCACCGGCATCGAGACACGCACAACCCGCACCACATTCACCGCCACCCCATCCACCGTCACGACGTCTTCCTCGTCCGAGGTGACCCGTCTGACCGTCCACACCGTGACTGCGTTGTTGCTCGTGGCCGTCACCGCCTGGTTCGTCTTGTGAGGACCTCAATTAGGTAACACGTCGTCATCGGACCTGATCCTGACTTGACCCTGTCCTTGACGGGTCCCCTTTGCGGTCGGCCTGATATGGTTTCCAGCACCCTTCGTTCAAAGCGAGTGGATAGTGGATCTCAGAGTCCGGTGCGGAATCGTCGTCACCTACGATTCAGGATAATTCTCATGCATGGATTGTCGTCGGATGGATATCAAGAGCTTTTCACACACAGATGGACATGAGTGATCATCAACAATGGTGATGACAACGATACGACACAAGAAGTGTCACAGCATAATGAAAATGGAAAAGAAATCACAGTGCTTTCAATCTTGCCCATGCCTTTTTATCTCTCTGTTTCCTCTATCGCCGACACTTGCAGTGCAGTAGTTCCAAACAGCTAACCCATAGTCCACTAACTCATACGAATTACCTCTGCTGCAAAGTATGCCCTGCCCGTGTCTAATTAGCCCTTGACTGAGGCTATTGTGTTGACATCCAATCGCTCCTCACTGTGATCCATACCCTCGATCTTGCGGATAAGCGCCTCTGTGACTGTCTCGTGTTCCCTCCCAAGTTGCCGTTCGAAATCGACAGTGCTGTCCCTCAACTCCTCGCTTTGCACACTGTCGCTGGTGAGATGCCGATCATACAATCGATGGGGACCGTCCCCGAGACCACCGAATTTCAGGTCGGGATCGCTTCTCAAGGCTGAGAGACTCCCAACACAATCTTGATACATACGAGTCCAAGGTTGAGTATCCAAAGGTTCAAAGGAGCGATCATGCAAACGATTTACCACTTGACGGTCTTGGAGGTGGTCGGTTTCAGCAGGTCCATCCATATCCGGTCGCCGGTCGAACACCTCACAGGCACCAATCCGACGTTCATCACCATCCCCGGCGATAACTTCAAGCTCCGGATATTCGACACTGGCGCCCACACTTATGCTACTCCGATGTCCATGGGTGAGCGCGTATGCTCTGAGTTCAGCACTGCTGCTGCGGTACAGTCTTTTCCATCTCCCTGCGAGTCCTTTGCGGCTCTTCTTGTGCCGCACCACCAGGGACTGCGTGCCTCGTATACTCTTGTTTCTGGCTTTGTCTCCACCGTCTTTCTTGACAAGGTGCAGCATCTTCCAAGATCCAGGGGTGTGCAGACCTCGTGTCGTCATGGATCCGGCCCAAGGCGACCGTGGCGTTAGGGATGAAGGCGTATTTTCATCCTGATAGTCTAGAGCAAAGTCTCGTATGGCAACACCGTCTTTTGGCCCTGCAGAGCCGCACCTATCCTCTCTTGTGTGGCTGGGGAAGCGTCCCCAGTGACCGAAGAGATCCTTTAGTGGTGTGCTCGCACCTGAAGCCTTCTCACTTTCGTTAGAGGCTCCGATGACCGTGAACCGTCTACCAATATCCAATATGCTCTTTTTCCTCGAAGTTTTCTTGCCCGACCTAGTATTAGGCGTCGGGTTTCCTGCATCGATGTTGGCAGTGCTTCGTCTGGGGTGCACGGTTGGTAGGGGATCAGGTTTCTTTATACAGACCTGAAGACGACGCCGCTCTTCGGGCCTTGGTGATTCATTCCGGATTTGGATCTCTTGCAAGGAGTCCAAGTCAAGTTCTGCGTCCGAGTCGCGGTGGCTGTGATGAGATGATTGTACCGCACTGATACTCGACCTCATACTTCTCGGCCTGCCGTCACGGTCAAATTTTGGGGATGTGAGAAAACCGCCTATTGTGTCCTTTTCAGGCTCTTCCAAAGCTTGTCTGAGAGATCTCTGCCACATGTTGGTGGCAGACTCTTGGGATTTGTTGGGGCCCCGAGGTTCAATTTCGCTCATCCTTTCATTGTGTATGTCACGAATGGCTTGGGCACTGATTTCCGTCAACTGTTCTTTCCTAGCGTCTTGTAAGTGATCGGTGCTGATTTCGCTCATTGCTTCATTTTCTTCGGTTGATTTCTGAAGCCGCCGCCACGGTACAGCTAGATGTGGCCAGGAATCAGGATTACTTCGATCTGGCATACTGACACTTCTATTCCTCTGAGAGGGTTCGTGGAATCCGCTCTTTTGTTCAATCACCTGTTTCTGCTGTGGAGACTTTCTGCTAAACCAGGCACCCTCCTCTGCAACTGACATATTACCAATGCTGGCACTAGAAGACCCTATGGGTATGCTGATAGATTCTGATCTCCCACCGATTGCAATGCTGTTTGGATTTGTCTTGTGTGTTCTTCGCCTAGACGGTCCGACATCGTCGCATTCACCGTCACTCCAGTAGAATGATGACGCATCTTCGGTGCAAGAAAGGGGCATAGGGTTTCCAAACGCGGTAGTGTGGCCTGGTGAAGTCCCCGGTCTCCGACTAGAGGATGCCCGCCGTCTAGCCAAGTCGCCTTCGAAGAGTCGTTTCGTTTCTGGATCCGAGGGTCTTCTGTTGTGCTCAACAGTGATAAGACCTCCGATCTTGCTAGCCATGGATATCTGCCTGGTCGAGGGACTGGAATCTGGAGAAGTCTCTCGTGGCGGCTGAATTGTTGTGTGGCTTGTGTTCGGTCTGGAGGAAGCAGCAACGAAGGATGGACTGGCGAGGCGTTGAGAGATTCGCATGTTGTACAGATGAACTGAGTTTCGGTCAGAACCAGAGAGCGAAGAAGGATCCTTTCTGGATATGCCTTCCCTTCTGAGTATTGACGCGTTAGCAGGATCCATGTTGGCCGTGACCAATGGATCCGATTTGACCACGAATGCAGCGGCATTGCCATCAGATGTCCTTCCTGAAATCTCAGCCGATGGCCGTTCGCCATTTGTCGAGATGAAATCGAGCAGGTTCGGATCCAACTGTGACACCAAACTGGCCCGTGGATTTGTCGCATTGGAGATCTGGCTCTCTCTTTTGGCCCGGGAAACATTATCGCCCAGCATCTTGAGCACTCCAGCAAAGTCTTTGCAATCACGTTTAGACAATGCACCGTCTTTTAATGGAGAACTGGTGAAGGGATCATGCTCTTGAATCTCAGAAGCGACGAAGGCGGGCGCCGCCCTAAGGGCGGATGCCTCTGCCAGCTCGATGATACCATCCACTTCTCGATCGGTGACATGTTTCGGGGCTTCTAGAGGCAACTCATGTTTCCCAGACTGGACAACTCTTGTAGAGGAAGCATTCAATGAAGCGGATGGAGTGGAAGGTGTGGAACCTTGTTTTGGGTGATCAGCTTCAATTTGAGGGGCCTCGGGAGCATGAGTGTCTGTCGGTGATGGCGGCGGAGGGCCGTCGGTGGCAATGGGTTGAATGTCAGCCGGTGAAGATAGGCTCAGCATTCTTTGTGGACTCAACTTGATTGTGCCATCGCTCGCCTTCAGCGCAGCTGTCTGGATACTTTTTGCGTCGCTATCATAGCCACCCTCACTAGCAGTCCGCGACATGAGAAGTTCAAGGAGACCAGTGGATCGCTGGCTCAGCGTGCCCCCAGGGGCACTCATTCCCAACTGTGCATTGTCACGTCCTGTCGAATCGTGAAGGGCATTTTCAGATGCTATTTGAGGTTTGGAGCTGCTCTTGCTCAGTCTCGACTCTGAGAGCTTTTGCTTAATGTGATTGCCCAATTGCTCTAACCGGCTGGGCTGTTTCCGAGGTTGACATTGTGACCCAAGCTTAAGATCAGTGTCCAAGGACGGCTCTCTTCGGAGATTCGATCCTGATGGTAGAGAGGCAGTTCGGTAGCCACGGACTGAAGAAGAGGACCGGAAAAGTTCGCGGAGGGCTTCTGTGTCTGCGGTTTGTGAACCAGGTTGGCTGACAGCGTGTGGGATCTGCGAAGCAGGTAGTTGCACCGAAAGAGCTGAAGGGAGGGTCTGGAGGTCAGATGCTGTATGGTCTTCAGAAGGACGGATGCCAAAGCAGCAAAGAAAAGGCGAAAGGAGGCGCTTCAGGGTACACATGCTCGATAGCAAAAAGCAGGTCACGCCAAAGGAATGAAAATGCGAACATATGTAGGGGTGGTAACTTTTGTGCCACGAAACGACGGCAAAACATCTGGAGCATCAAAACGGTAAAGAGACAAGTTGTGTATGGGTCAAGTGCCAATGACTCTGACATGTTGAACGACAAACTCAGAAAGCCGAATGCCCAACTGCGGACCAGGAGGAGGATGGAAAGAGCAACGGCCGGCCTCGAGAAGGAGCAACAAAAGCCTCTCCAGGTCTCAGGCTGGTCCGGCCTCCGGTACTAGTCTTGCTTGTCTGAGATCAATCAGGCTTGTGTTGAGCAGAAAACACAGTTACCCTGGCGTCTGGAAAGGAAATGCCTTCTCCTAAGCACTGGTGCAGCCAGTCAAGGACATAAGCTAGACGGTCCAAACATTGGCTCCCAGGCTTCAATCCAGCGATTGAGCACGGGCATTTTACCAACATTCACCGCAGTCACGCTGAGATGGTTACCCAGGTACAGAGCGGACGCATGGAGAGCAGTCGGTCTACGAAGCGCTGGGTCGAAGTACTATTAATAATAATAGTAGGAAGAGCACGGAAGATGCTTTCGAAGTCTGATCGCGTCGCTTGACGCAAGTCAAGTCACTCGTGATTCGCAGTAGACGCCGTACGGTGAATCAAGACGTCCACTCTTCTCCTTTCTCAACTCGAACAAGCAGCCACTAATACCCTTCATCTCACGTTGGAAGCATTGAGCTCAGCTACACTGTTTGGCTCTAGAAGCAGAGAAGAGGCCCGTCGCATATGCCTTTCATGCCTTTCATCCCTTCGGCATTTGTGTCAACGCGGAATCAAGCTGCTCTCTTTTATGCCCGAGGACCTTCCGTCTGACTCCCGAAGCAATGGCCAAACGATCAGGGCGAGATCTAGAGGTCCAGGACTTAGATCCAGAAGGCCATACAACAGTTACATTCAGATATGATCCCACAACTCAGAAGTTTCAGGTTCATCGTCCCCAGCGAATGTTGTCGCCCAAGTCATCTTTGCTCACGAAATGCATGGCGCCCTTCCTGCCAGCAGGATATCCCTCATCTGTCCGAGCGGATTATACTCCCTACCAGATCTACGATTCCATCCAGGCATTTGCCTCTACCATTGCAGGATTGCTAGCCTCACGCGCCGTCTTCGTTGGAATGGGTGTCGGGTCTGAGGATGCCTCGCTCGTGACCACCATGTTATTGTACATTGCGCAAGAAACCATTGGGCGGGTTGCCACTATTTTATTCGCCTACCAGTTTTCGCAGAAGATTGAAGCAGAAGTCAAGTTCTATCGCTTCTTTGCCGACATTGTCAACGATATGGCCTTCATTCTGGACTGCCTGAGCCCAGGTCTGCCACTTTTGGGGCGAATCTGCACACTCTGTGTCAGCAATGCGTGCAGAGCCATCTGCGGAGTCGCTGGTGGGAGCAGCAAGGCAATCTTAAGCTCCCATTTTGCAAAGGAAGGCAATATCGGAGAACTCAATGCCAAAGACGGCAGTCAAGAGACTGTTGTCAGCTTGGTCGGAATGTGGGCTGGAGGTTTGCTTGTCAGCAAGGTGCAGGGCACTTTCGAGACTTGGTGCTGCTTGATACCCTTGCTAGCAATGCACCTGTGGGCGAACTGGAAAGCTGTGAAGAGTGTGCGTCTGACTTCACTCAACAAAGACAGAGCCACTATGCTATTCAGCGCGCTTCTTCAGGGCAGGGTCAAAGGTCTAAATGAGATCGGCGAAGAGGAACCGATCTTGGGGCTCGGAAAGATACTACGTGCCTTCACTGACCAGAACGCCTTCCAAGTCGGTGTTAGCGTCAACAAGTTCCTGCAACACTTACCTGGAGATGTCAATAATTCCCCGCGAAAATACAACCATTTCGCTCAGCTGCTGAGCGTGTTCCAGGGAGAAGATTATCTGCTCTGGTACGATGTGCAATCAAACCAAGGATTCGTGCTGCTGAAAGAATCAGCCAAGGGCGATACCCAGGCAAAAGCACTCTGCCACCTGCTTCGAATATCAATGCAACTGAAAGCAACCACAAAACCTGCGATCTTATCACAGCAGCATGACCTTGCCCAAACCCATCAAGACGTCTTCGGAGCCACACCGAGTCATGACAGTCCTGAGGAGAAGCTCAACATCCAGGATCAGTCCTTGCACTCGTACGATGAACTTGACCCAACCGTTCACCTAATTGTTGAGACACTCCGTGAGCATCGGCAAGAATGGCAAAATATGCAGGACCTCGTCCAGCGCACTGGCTGGGAGCTCAATCTCACAAATCTCGTCAGGGGGGATTGTCACCGCATCCGAATGGGCGGAGCTTCGCCTGAGAACAAAAAAGACAAATGAGGAAGTCAGTCCTGGTGAAAATTCTGCCACAGTATCACCGACGGAGACAGTCTGTCCTCGCCTGTCACTGTGACCTAGGTACGACCATGTGGCCAACCAGGGGCGGATCAAACACAGCCTGAATTGTAACGTTCACGGCGGAGCAGGGTGACGTTGGAAGGCAGGCCCCAAAGCCCATGTCACGACGGTGATTTTCTACGGGGGCGCCGTTGAGTACGAGGATGTTGCTGGCTTGCGATCATCCTGGCGCGAACAATCGTCCGTCTCTGGACGATGGCCATGGCGCCGGTGGACCGAAGCAGCGCCGTCAATGGATTGCTGTAGCATCAAGATGCCCACGTGTGTGCACGCGCCCGGATGTCACCCCAAATGCGGAAGAAGGCGCCGGATGGGTAGATTTCTCGTCTAGGCAAGTTTCCAGAAAAATAGAAGAAGCCCGCAACCGAGGTTCGCCGTCGCCACGATCTAATTTTCCGGAGTGCTGGAGAGACCAGATGTTTTCCGCACGAAAGGAGATGAGTGGTTGCTGGACGTATATTCTTTAGAGTCCTGTGGAGTCGAAGGGAAATCTCAAACAAAAAGGATCACCCCAGCGATTTTACTTACTCGTTGGTGTTACTCCGTCCATCACCGGCCTCCCTCTTCCAGAAGTGGAGCAATGACTTCAATATTCGTCGCCGATTGTGGCTTGGCATTCAATCGAAATGTGACCGGATTAGGTCGTCAGGAAGAGATCTGCAGTGCAATTAGTGAGAAACCAGTATACGCACCGACAAGTGGGAAGACAGCTCGAATAGGCAGACAGCCTTTTGTCCGTGACCGCATCTTCTGCTGCTCCTTTCCAATCGCCCGCAACTTGTGTCAGGGGAAATTCGGTGGCCGCTATTCGGGGATACAACTTCCACAAATGATAGCCGTCGCCACTTGCCAAAAGTAAACACGTTGCAGCTGACCCATCGAGCCATCTTTCTAATGGCCACCCTGCGCAATTTGTGAGATTGGTATTCCAGCAATGGCAAGCCTCCGGAAAATGTGGATGGACGAGGGGATTAATATATCTCTCGTACGTCGGTATTTGCTGTCAATTGCATTAATAGACGGCATTTCGGTTGGTCTATCTGGATTATACGGCGAGACGGCTAGAGTGCGCGGGGAGGCGTTGGGTAAGCCCAAGCGAGAAAAGGCGCACAGCGGCAACCCGTATGTAGAGAAGGATCAGGCGAGTTTGGCTGGCATCGTTGATATCCGGGCCGTGGGAGAGATGGATGTTAGGGGATGCTGGGTGGGTGCTGGGTACCAAAGTCGCCAACCATCGGGGCAGCGCAGCCCAGCAGCGGCAATAGCCCTGAAACAGACTTGAACCATCCCTGTAAGGGAGAGACTTTCCCCAAATAAGAGTCGCAATAATTGCGTGCGACTTTAATGATTGTCGCCGTTGCCCAGGTTTCCAGACGTGGAATTTGTGTTGTGGCGGGGCAGAGGAGACATTTTTTTTCATCTTTGCTTCTGAATGGGGGTACTGGAAGGCGATGCGAAATGATCAGGTTTTCCAATAGCCCAGTGGCGCGCACAGAAAGTGGGCGGTAGTCAGTGGGCAGAGGGCAGGTGACTTACTGAGGTCGGAGGACGGAGTTCTGGAAAACGCGTAGAAGACCGAGGGAACAGAGTGGAAAGATAATAGAAGCCGGGAAGAAAGCGTGTGGAATGAGCGTAGAAGCCTGAGCGAATTGCTAGAAGCCAGCGAAGGCCGCCTAGAAACCAATCGGGCGGGGGCGATCGGGAACTGGCTCACAGGGAGAAAACAGGTACGTAAGAGCAAAGGACATGAGCGCATCGTCCCCCTGGAGGCATTGTGTGATCGGTTTCTTGCCCAAACCCATGCCTAGCGAGCCCTCGCAGCCTTATGAGTTGGAATAGCTGGGCGCCGTGGTCAGCAACGTTTAGGGGACGTATGGGTGCGTAGGGGGCATATGGCAGCCGCAATCTCTCAAGTCGTTGCCCGGGATCCCTGACATCTTGGTTTGTTTGCCTTAGGGGTGGTAGGGGCCCCTCCCCGTGGGAATTCATTTGATCATCATCCCATCATAATGTGGCCCCTGCAGCCAATCCGCAAGCTGGGACCGGGGCCCATTAAGCTGCAGGCCTGATTTAGCCCAGGCAACTAGTGGTGCTTAAGGCAAGGCTCCTTGGGGCTAACGAACAGCGTTGCAGCAGCTGGGCCGAACCTCTGGTTCTTTCTGTACCTCGTACTCGTCCTCTACTGCTGATGGTCACTGAACTGCGTCTTTCAGGCTTGGTTTTTGCCTGTGCCTGCGCCCTCGCCTGCGCCCTGTGCCCTTGTCGTCTTTGAGTCTATTACGCTCTGGTTGCCTGTTGTCTACCTGCCCAAGGTATGCGCGTATTCTCATCCCTCATGTTTCAAATGCACGTCGCCTCCCATTTCGTCAACCTCTTCCCACCCCTGACTGGATACTCTGGGTCCTGAATGTCCGTGACTGCCCAAGAGGAGAAATACAGCAGCCTGTCAAGCCTGACACGAAAGGACCACTAGCAAAAGACTAAAACCCCCCCATACCACGTCGATTGAGACCAGCCGACCCAGAATCTTCCGGGTATCGACTCTTTTCCTCATCTAACCCACCCATCATCGTCTTGCCTCCGCCTGCGCCTGCGCTCCGCTGCGCTGAAAAGAAAACCTCGACACTCCGCGACAAGAGAGTATGACTCTTAGCTAAACCTTCCACGAAGCATCCTTTCGCCTCTCCACTTTCCGGATTCCTTCTGGTCACCCAGCATCCTGGACACCCACATCTATCCTCCACCTCACTGTTACCTCTTACCATTGTCCTCATTCCACCGCCCCGTCGTGCCCGTCACTATGACTGTGCCCGGGCCTTGATCTCACTAAGCCCAGAGGCAAAAGATTCAGACAACGCTTCCAACCACTCATACGGGCGCTATTTTCTTCTTCAGCTTCCTTTGGAGTATTCCAACGCATCTTGGAAGTCAGATGTTTGTGCTGAATTGGCATTGCGGCTGCGCTGTTCCTCCTTCTCCTGTCGCTCTTTAGGATCTTCAGATTGTTGAAATATTGTCTTACCCGCACGACTAATTACATCCTCACCGTCTGGCGCCTGTTTGCATCTCGCCGGCCTTCAATTCAATTGGACACTTTGATCGCCTCGTTAACATCTTCCCAAACGGACACCAACCGAGCACACGACGCACCCGACGCACACCCTTCCGCCACGTCGACACCCACACAAGTCGTTTCAACCAGCCAGATTCCACACCTTCTCATCGCATCGAAGGCCACGTTCCAGCCCGGCATTTGGCGCTTCACAAGTCGAAATTCCTACAGATCCCCTGTCGTGGTTGCACAGCGTTCTTCTGTGACACAGAGCGAAGCTTGCTGGCGGGAAGAGTCTCGGATATACACAGTGGGACAGCCTTCTATCTCGCAGCGTCCCTGTACTGCTCACGCCTGCTCTCTTTTGGCTCATTGCCGTGGACAAGACACTGGCGGACGGAGAATTGAGAGAAGTGACTTTGTCCAAGGCCATATTCCGAGATCCCGAGTCCAGACTGCCCATAACCATTTCTTGGAACAGAGGACACTCTTCTGGCAGGATTGAGTATCAGGCGTGCAACATAACACCTCGGTCTTGGTATCTTCGGTCCAGCAGCAGTCAAGTCAGGGCGAAGTCCAGCGCAATGGTTAGGAAGAAATCGACCTCAATAGCGTGGCCATATACACCTGAACCTTCACCCCGTCTTGAACCATTGGTTTACCCGTTGGTAGATATTCCCGAGGAGTTCAGCATGTCCGAGGAAGAGCTGCCGCGGGCAAGGCCCATCAGTGTGGCAGCTCGAAAAGAAGGTGTGCTGTCGCCCGGAGGCAGACCGACTTTGGAGGATGTGCTCAACAACAAGGCGCCGTCACCATATACCCTAGCCGCGTACACAGCATTTCTCTCGCAGCAACACTGTCTAGAAACGCTCGAATTCACCACAGAGGCCAAGAGATACTCGGACAAATACGATGAGGCATCAGCCAGCATGGGAGGCATGCCACTCACAGTAGAAACGCAGGAAGGATGGGAATTGATACAGGACTGGACACGGCTCCTCGAAATCTATGTCAAGCCAGGTGCTCCGCGAGAAATCAATTTGCCGGCAGAGGAACGAGATGATTTGATCGAACGATCCTACGACTTCAGACCTCCTCGGCCTGACTATCTGGACGCTGCTGTCAAACGCATGTACGATTTGATGTCGGATTCGATCTTCATTCCATTCTGCAACAGCCTGAAACAACTCCACGCCCAGACATATTCGGCTATGTCGGACTACGCGGACATGGCTGAACTTGAACCTTCACGGCTGACATATGATGAGCGAAGCATGCATCGCCGGATGCCATCCCGCCGACGGCGGTCTCCTCCACATACCTCAGCGGTGTCGTTTGAAGCTACTCGATCTCCTCCGCAACAGCATCGGCCTACACAATCCTCGTCATTATCCTCGGCATTAGGGCGGCAGAGTGGGGCGCGCTTGTCGACGCACGTGTCGCATTCATCTGCAGTCTCAGAAAGCGCACTGACTGACAGCAGCGGAGGTCCGGATAGTCCGCCTGTGGGTGATCTTCTAGAAGTTGAATCAGTCATAACCCCGCCGACAACGCCGCCAACGAGCGAGTTGGGTGGGACTATAAGTCATGGAAGTGGAAGTGGAATGGCAACCGTCAAGTCACATCGAAGTGAAAGCGGCGGCTGGAAGAAGGCCATGAAGATCTTCAGCGGCGGCAAGAGGAAGAATGGAAGCAGCGAGCAGGACTGACATGCAATAGAGGGGTCCTTTGTGACTTCTCGAATCACGATGGTTCACTCGCCGAAGGGATTGTGCCTGATTAGGTGATAATGTGGTTTTTTTGCAACGGGATTACGAATGGATTTGGGTATGGGTGTGTGCCAACCGGGGACAAAAGCCGGCAGCATTTCGGATCATGGGATGGTAATGGAGTTCGCAATGCGACTACGAGATATGATTTGGCATGATGGCGTCGGATGATGGATATTTGACTGGAAATATCCGAAAGGTTTCAGCATTTTCTTCTTCTCTCTGGCGATGTTCTTTGACTGCTCCGGTCAAGAGGCCGGATCGTCTCTTCTTCCAAGATTCATTGATGCTGGGGGCTAGTAGAGCACGATATGAGCTGGAATACCTGGAGGCAGGGATACGAGGCGAGCGGAGTCTGCCAGTCCGGGAACGGAGCTGGACAGAATTGGGTATTTCTCAATGTACACAACAAGTAGTGGGGACGATGTTGGTGATACGGCTTAGTGGATGCTGATGATATGGGATAATCAGGATTCAGGAGCAATGAGTGAGTACCTCGTGTCGAAGTACTGCCCGCGAAAATGAAGCATATCTCGTGAGCTTCATGAAATACTACCTGACCATGATCCCTCTCGCTTTGGATTCCTCCATGTGCAAGTACCGAGTACATTGACTGCCTTTCTCTATCCCAAGACCAGAGAAACCCAATGCGTCTTGAGTGTGGTACAGGAAGGAATACGCCAGGCCATTCGTGGGTCGACAAGCGACATGGATGAGAATGATCTGCCGGGGGATACGGCGGTCCCAACCTCGCATCCTCTCTCGAATGAATGAAAGACTTACCCATATGGAGGCTTGAAGGGCCGATGCCGCCCGGATACCCTGCTTGGGATCGTGGTAAGGGCGGTCACTGATGGTCACTGGCGGTCAATTGAATGATATGCCGGCAGTGGACGGGTGCTGCCCTGATTCCCTTCCATCGCTCCTCCTGATCGACCACCGCTCGGGGCTTCTTGTTGGATGTCACCGTCAGCCATCATCCGCTTTTCACCAAGCTGTTTCCATTGTCAGTCAACTCAATCATCATCACCCGCCATCCATCCAGACACCAGCACATGAAAAGCATGCTAATCAGGCGAGTAAAGAGCTCTCAACCCTCCACCGACCAACTACAATGTCATGCGTGGTACTGAATTTGTCCATCCGCCCACCCCCTCGTCAATCAATCCATCTGCATTGGTGCCACCATTTAGGCTCGTGTCAAGAACCGGCCTAAGCCCAAGAGCAGGGATGATGACGAACGACGATGACGATGTGGTGCCCCTCAGCGGCACAGTAAGAATGCCTCGGGTACACCTTTGTGGCCACTGGCCAGGAAGCTTGCGAAATCAAGACATGAAACACGCCCTGGGTGCGCCCTCGCATGGCATGGTCAGGACCTTGGTCTCGCTGCGCCAACCCAATCAGCAACTCCTCCCAGCAGCCATCCGCCAAAAGGGGCCAGCGAGCCGGAGGATAGAGTTCGATCGGGCTTTTCACTCGTTCTTCTGTCCATCTTCCCTCGCTCGACAACCAATCACCAATGCGCCAATCCCTCGCCTACGAGGACCAAGTGCCAAAAGGCCCCCTTCTCCGCCACAAGAGATCCATCTTAAACTCGTATCCCACATGGCCGCCTGTCCTCAGCAAAAGCCCCCTCTCAGAAGCAGTTGCCACGATGAGAATCAGAGACCCTGATTTCAAGTTCGGTGTCAATCAGCATTTCATCAAGCATTGATGGGCACTGACTTGTCCCTGGAGAGGTGGGCTCCAGCCCGATGATCAGACCTTGATCATCTGGCATGTGTTCCTGGACCTCCGCTTATTACGTGCTACCTGTTCCCACTCCTCGCCTCCTCATCAATCTATGTCACCGAGCGATCCTGGGGTTGACCACAGCATATTGTTTTGCGTGTGCTCAGTCAATGGACGTGAGATCATACAGCCATGATATTTCTGGAAGTGCAGTCTCTTCTCTGTATCTACCCTCACTCACCCTTCCATTGGTCTTGCGCACGCCACAATCCTAAGAGTTTGACATAAAAGCCGGAGCCGTCAACCTAAACACGGATTCATCCGAAGTTTGCTGCCCCGGCTGGTGGTTGTTTTCCGCGAGGTAACCCCATTCTTCTGTCTCTCTGGTACAGACCCCTTTCTTTTTCAATCAACTCGAGGGTACTCGTTGTGTACCATGTCTTTAGGCAACATCAATGCCGAGTAAATACTCGCACAGCGTCGTCCTGGCCAGTTACTCCCGTCGGGGTATCATCAGCCTGCCAAACGATGAGAAAGTGGAAAGCCGGAAGGGGCGCCAGGCTCCACGGATTCTTGCCGGGAAACCACCACCACTTCATGAATCTGTTTTCACGGTGAAGCCTGGGGGAAGGGCTTCTTCTAGATCCTCATATCACGCTCGTTGGTCGACATTGCAGCCGACGTTTCCAACACACAGCCAGCAGAACCCAAAGGAAGAAGTGTCCAACAATGTTAGGTCAAAAGGTGCGATCCATGGCATTCGTCCATCTACCAACGAACGAAAGGTAATCCTGGACTCGGAGAGTGAAGAGATTGCGAATGGCACTGCAGACGACTTCTGCCTTCGCTCCTCTGGCCCATCCAACGGAAAGCCTCCAACTTCTTCCCGCCTATCCACACCCTTTGATCCCTATATTGAAAGTCAAGAGCTCACCCTTGAACGAGATCCATCCGGAGCAAACGCAAAACCGGCAAATCATATCAGCAATGGTACCTTGGCACGTGGCAAGAAGCTTCCGTTGCCCGTTGCCGCACAGAAGGATGAGTCAAGCAGAGGGTTCAGAGGTGCAGCCCAACCTACAGACAGAGATGGTCTACAATTACATCGACGACCACGACCTCGACCGCACGGTGATACTGAGATGCTCTTTTCAGCTCGGGACCCTGTCGCCCCGTCGCCGCAAATTGCGGAAGTGGAGGACGCGGTTCATTCCAGGAAACAGTTTACTATTCCTCGAAAAGCGGTCCCGCACAATGATACCATCCGCCACGCACCCGTGATTGAAGCTGCGGACCAAATTCCAAAGCTCCAAAAACCACGCCGGCCTTCACTCAGCCGAGCCAACACCAGCTTTATTGATCTGTCCGATGATGAGATCAGCGTCAAATCCCGTGGACACACCCCTCACACGTCACTGGGTAAATCGCCGTCTACACATACCTTGATCTCAGATGTCGAAGTACAAGGTTCGACAACCTCGAATCTAGCAGACGACCTCCGTGACCTTCACGATGGAGTTGCTTTTCGCGCAAGGCAGGGGAGAGGGGACAAATTGGGAAATGCAGCGACATGGAAAGGTGGTCTGACAGAGCCAAAAGTTCGACGACGGCCTGTGAGTCTGGGTAGCGGCTATATTGCGACCCTGCCTGTACAGAAACGCGCTCCACTCCGCAGAAGACAGACTGAGGAACCCATGCGACATTCGATCTCACGCAGTCCAGTCCTAGAGTCACAAAATCTATCGTGGTTGCTGCTAGACGTGGGATTGAACAACCAAATGAAAGAGGATAGTCGCGACGAGGCCCCAGCCTTTCCACAAATTACCTTACAATTGCCAAAGTCCGAAGTCCGTGCAGAGGTCATCCTAGGATCTAGTGCCGCACAGCCTAGCCTCCCAAGGCTCGAACCTGTCGAGGCTGACTTCTTCAAACCTACTGACAGCAACGAGAACGGAAAGCCCCACGATCTCCAGGATAGTGCTACGACAAATACCTATTTTCACGGACACAGTGACTCGGTCCACAGGTATCCCCCACATCATGGCACCACACGAAAGATGCCACCACCGTTAAGCCCCTCATTGTCCAGCCGGAGAGGAGAGGAATCATTATGGTCACCTATCTCAGCGAGATCAGAGCCAACGTCTGTGGAGAGCGGTAGGCGTCATCAGCATACATTCTCCAACATCAGTTCGTGTTCCGTGGCGCCGGAAACCCAACCGCAGGCAGGCATGAACAGTTTAGCATCTTCTGGGAAAGCCAGATTAAAGCCTAAGTTGAAGTCAGAAGAAGAAATGAGGATGAAGATCCCCACGCCTATCCCATCCCCTGCGCTGCCTGCAATGTCCCCGAAAATATCAGGTAGAAGAATCGCCAGGTCATCATCCGGATCGGCGCATCAGGCGTCAAGGCCTACAGCCATGCCGGAATTTGGTATGCCCTCTGTCGTGCGGTATGATGACGAATCCACACACATTGATGAACACAGTAAGCCGAGACCTGCCTCTCGACTGGGAGCAGGCACCCCGCAGCAACAGAAAGCCGGTTCTGAAACGATACGGGATCTGGCCTCAGTTCCGCGGTTTCCCAGGATGGCAAGTACACCACGACAGGGCAAGGACGCTACGCCTGCCAGTGCTACGGAGAGCTATCAACAAGACAATGACGATTGGATGTTTCCGTATGTCCCTGTCTCAAAGAAAGCTGCTTCAAGGGCCAGTCTCCTGGAGTCACTGGTAGCAAGTGTGGAAGCTGAATCGAGGCTCGAATCCAAAGGATTGGGTACCTGGCATGCGAATTCTTCGAATCTCAGCAGCCAGTTCCAAAATGTGACTAGTCAGACGCGACGCAGCGGCGATATGGATGATATTATTTCTCTTTTCTCTAATGACCATGAGATCCCTGTTGACGTTCGAGACGACTATGCGCAAGACCTAAACGCTGCGGGAGACGAAATAGAAGACCCAGACGCAGCTCTCCCCCCACCAGACATCTCACGCCACCGGGCCGACCGCAGCAGCTCCCGGAACGGGCAGTATCGTCGTTCGCAATCCTCTCTCACCGCACTTCCTTACATAGTAAGTGCAAACATAAGCAGAAAACGACTGTCCCGCGCTAAATGGGAGGATGCGACGAAACCGATGCCCTGGGCTTGGAATGTCAATCCAGCTGCACCTATGCCTGCCAGAGCCGAAATCTCACTTGGAGATCAGGAGAAAAGACCCAGGATGAGGACGGGAATGAAAGCGCTCTGGGGACGATTGAGGCGATGCATTGAGAGTTGAGAGTACTGGTTGTTTCCCTTTTTTTTTTCTGCCCCAGTGTTTTATGAAGCCCTTGTACTTTTCTCTGCTTTTGATTTTTCTTCCACCCTCAAAGACTGGGCCTGCAACTCGGGATAAAGTTCAAAGGTACGCAGGACAATGTGACGAATATAAAAGGTCCGGCGGACAGGACAAGGGATGCAGGATCATCCCAGGCGGTTTGGCGCAATACTCGCGACGTGCACTATCTGTATGTTTTCTAACTGTTTTCTGACTACATATACACCGGGATATACATGGCGATTGGATGGTGGCACGAGAGTACGTGACGCTGGTGAGTCACATGTATGGGTATGATCATCTGAGCTATACGAAAAGACATGTATGTATATGACATATGATATGGACGAGTGGATGAACATAGGGAACATATTATCAAATGTGTTGAATTGGGAAAAGCCTAGGAAGTGTTAAGAATATGTATTCACGGGCTCTACCGCGCCTGGCGCTGGTGGTGCTTGCTGCCTGTGCCAGACGCCATCTGTCTGTGCTGTACACGAAAAGATTACTGTTGAGTGCTGTAGGATGATGGGCCTGTTGCCCTTGTGGTCGCCCTGGCCTTTTTGCCAGAATGCTGTCGTCGAAGAGGCTGGCGAGGCTGGCGAGGCTGGCCTTGGTGCTGTGCGTCGTGTCTCTTAACACTTTCTCTCAGACGTCGACCCAAGCCACGCTTCATTCGAGATCCTCTGCCACCCAGAAGCTCCACAAACCCTCGGGGGAAATCAGAAAGGCAAATAATGATAAAAAGGGGCGCGACACGGGATCGAAAGCTCCACCGGTTTTCTATACACAGGAAGCGGCCTTCTTTGATAAAAATCTTTGCAAAAAATCCATCGCTCAAGAGAATCCCGAATTCGCTTATTTACTCGCCTTCTCGCCTTCTCGCCGTTTCAAGCAAACATGCTGGCTCCCGCACTATCCACCGCCTCGATCTCCTCTTCCGACCAGGCCTTCCGGCGGAATCGGGCTGGCAGCTCGTCTCTGTCGAAGAATTCTCCCTGCTTGGGCTTGACCGACCCCAGTGCTCTTCCTGGCGAGCCTCCGATGGCACCGTAGGACATTGCCGAGCCCGAAGAAGCTGCGGCAGTATATGAGGATGACGGCACACCGCCGCCGCCGCCGTTGTTGCCGCCGCTGCCTCGTAGGGGACCGTGCTGTTGGGCTTTGGAGCGGTAGGTCGCGAAGCTCTCGGGGAGGCTGTGCGTGGGCGAGGCCGGGTGGGCGTGAGGAGTGTGGTCTACTGATTCTGCGGGGGGGGGGAAGATGAGTGAGTTAGTAGGCTAGCATCAAGTGCTATCGGGGGGATAGGGAGAGAATGTACTGGGTGGTGAGCGTTTTCCAATGAATTTTATGAGGGGGGTGCGCTGGTGCGCAGCGCGGAGGATCAGGGAGGGGCGCATCGTGGGTTTGTGGTCGTAGAGCTCAGATGTCGAGACT